CCATCCTGCACGAAAGCTCACCGCCGACCCCGTTCTGTTAATCCGATCAGTTGGTGAGCCGTCTAATTAATCATTTTAATGGCGCTTTAATCCGCCGCGACGTCTTCGTTTCTCTCTTGCTTCGTCCTCATCCCAACTGTGTCCGGAGGCAGCGAATATCATCGAAAAGAAGGCAGTGCTAATTGATATAAGAAGAAGAAGGGAAGACTAGTTGAATTAGAGGCCTCTCACCGAATAATTCGATTCGAAAAGGACCTTTCGCGCCCCTTGATTTCTCTCTGCTAGTCACACAGAAAGCCCCGTCAAAGCCTCCCACGTTTTCGGTGTGTGGAGCCTTACCTTGCACGGACGGCATCGAGAATTATCCTCAAATCCATTCAAGCCTTCTTTCCAGGATAATGAGTATTTACATCATCTCGGCGCTTCTCCTCGCGGCCGCCACAAAACAAACGGGAGCTAATCAGTCGGGGGCAGTGTCAATCCGAGGTCTCCCACACAGAAAGAACATCTTTCTAATTATACAAATAACCTTTTACGGCGTCATTCCTATATTCCCTCCCTTTCCAGGCGATTCAATGTGATACGAGTGTACGGTACTCTTCCTCCTGCACATCTCTGGTAATTTTCGGCAAGTAGCCGCAAGAATCGGCATCCGTGCCGTTTTCTGCGGTAAATTTCTGGAAGGGTTGCCGATTCTGTGCTTGCAACGCGCTGAACCCTTGCTACTTCCTTGCTTCAACCCTGCTACCGTTGCAGCTCCCTTGCCGCTCAAAAACCTTGCCCCATCTCACTTTCTCCTGCTGCACGCCCTATTCATGCTGATGCCATGCCGGATCCGTGCGTGACGCATGCTCGCCCGTTGCTACCGTAGCAACTTGCTGTTCACTTGCTGCTCGCGCGCCCCATCCTTGCCGAAATTACCTGCTCAGGCAAGCACGGAATCGGCACCCTTACAGCAAATTGCCGCAGAAAAAGGCACGGCTGCTGCATCTAGTCGGCACCCATGCCGATTCTTGCGACAACTTGCCGAAAATAACCTTATGAGTATTCAAATGTTTCCATTCCCTCTCCGATACGTGCAAACAAAAACTTTCCCACCGTTCATCGTCTTCTTCCATTGATTATTCAATTTCGTGCGGTCCTTGATTATGCAGCATTCTCAAGAACCTCCATCGCTCAAACAGTACAGCTTTCTTCCCCCTTCCCCATGATTTTCCCTTTCGAGCCTTCTGAATCTTAGTTGTAGTGTGTGTATATAAAAATCAAAGTAATTTGGGTCCCTGCTCCGTCGTTTCCCGCCCTCTTCTTCTTGAATCTGGCCGAATTTAATCAACTTCTCCTTGTTGCTGACTTCTTCACACTCAACCGCCCCTCGTTGGCCAAAATCTTTTGAAATTTAAACGAATTCGCTGGTCAAAATTTCATCAATTTGAAGAGATATCTGAAGTCAAGAGATTGACTTGTGAGAGTGAGACTCCTCGCGGCCGCCGATGAATTAGATTTAACACAACACATCGAATACAAGTAGTAGATGAGAGCAGCCGAGTAGTGGCATGAAGAGCCTAACGAGTCGTCAGGATGAGCTCCGCGAGCCGAACCAGCTGACAGACCATCGCAGTACGAAACGGCCAAGTACCTGAAGTTAGATCCCTGCCCATCCTAATCCGATCTCCAGCATCCTCCTAATAATGGTATTCGTTCTCAACGGTGGCGCCCGGTGTCCTCGTGTTCTCGCCTCATTTCACCCCATTGACAATCATTTACGGCCCGGCTCCATCCACTATTTCGTCGCAGTGGAAAAAGTTTCGATTCGGGTCCGCGCCGGTCACTGGAGCGCTCTCTATTATTAGGCCAGCCACACGCACTCTGAAGGCGTTTTATGGTTTAATGGATTACGCACGATTTGACACCATCGACACCAATTTGTGTCAAGTAATAGTAACACACTCTCCTCTCCACTTTTTCTTATATTACGGTAGCCGAATGTGGTGCAGCGGCGCCCCTTGTCAACCGAATTAGGCGGTCCCTGTGTGCCTGTCGCGCTCATAATAATAATTCATTCGGAGCCGCACGAAAAAGTGGAAATGGGCCTTCCGGGGAGGCAGCGTGCAAGCCACCAGAGGTGCCAGGTATCCGGCCGAGGCTGTTTCCGAACCTTGAGCGGTAATTTATTAACTCGAGCGCACGATCGCTCATGCGCGCGCCTTCCGAATTCGCCGCTGAGCTCACGGGGGCTCGGCTAAACCTTGTTTAATCGGCCGCCTCGTTGAAGTTTTTGGAGGCGAGCGAGGCCCACGACACACACCTTCGTGTCACGCCAATTGCACTAATGTGCCGCTCTCAACTTTTCAATTCACACTTTTTCGAACTAATTCGACAAACCCCATTTGTGTGACAGCTTTACTGAGCGCTCCGCGACTCTGTTTTCAATGGATTCAGCTCCAACGCTTTCAAATGCAATGTTCATAAGCTGATTTAAGAGTCGAACCAAGTACCGTAACCCTGTTGTTCTTCTCATAATCCCCTCTAATTCTACCGTACTCTCATCCGTTTCCGGCATCCTCATTTGCTTCCTTTTTGTGGAAATTCCCGAGGTTCGAATGGGTCGTTGTGGTGGTTGTGGATAATTGTGAGTCCGATTGTTATGTAACCAACATAATAAGTGAATGTACATAAATGCGGTGCGCTTTTTCGCGAGTCCTGGGACGCCGAATAGAATAGAAATAATAATAAATCGAAATTCTCGGCCGTCTCTCGCTTCTCTGTACAGCCGCCGGGCGCCCGAAATTTCATTTCGCGGGCATGTTTTCGGTGGCCCCGAAAACAAATTGGCGACAAGTTTTGTGCCAACTCGCCAAGTTATGATAATTCGGGTGTGCCCCCGACGGGCGGTTTCCTACCAATTCGGCGACTGCTCGTCGCCCACACGGCCCAAAACCAACCGAGCAGCAAATTGAGCAAATTGCTGCTCACACATACGCCGATGAACAACTTCTTGAGGCTCTTACCGTAGTTCGTTGATGAATGCGAAAGAAACGAGGGAATCGTTCGAAACTAAAAGAATGGTTGCTATGCCGGAGAGAGGATAACTAGTTCCACAGCTCTGTGCTCCTGTGAAACAGACATCTCAGGTGTTCGAGTACTACCCCATCTTGTATTGAATACGTCTCTCACCCTCGCTCATCATCTTCCCAATTCGTGGATTCCAATCTCTGATTGGCCCCTTCCCTTTTCCGCTAAACTTCCCCTCTTTTCCCATTCGTTAGGCATTTGGATCCACTTTGCGGCGTGAACGAAATTAGCGAATCATTGACTCATAATCAAGTAAATCGTAGGCTAATCGAATTAGGGACACCTCCTCTTCTGACGAGTTGCTCCGAAGATTGCCAATTAAATATTCGAGTGAATAATAATAATAACAATGTCTTCAGAACCTTGTGTCTCTACTAATAACAGGCACTTCGTATGATACGGTTCGACCAATTAATAGGTGCCAATTAATGCTGGAAAGTAGTTGAGTGAGATGGGCAGAAGCGAAAAAACAGAGAAGTGAGAGAGAGAGAGAGGGGGATCGAAAGAGAGCTCTCAAATAATTAATCGGGGACCGGGGTGGCCAGGATGGCTCGTAAAAGACACGAAGTATCCGGCGCGACGACGTGTAATTAGCTAATTCACGAATGTGCGATTTGATTACATTAAAGGACTGACTTGTCCACTTCCCAAAAACTCTTTCCTTCATTCTCTTCCGAATCTCCCGTGCCGCATCAGATGCACAATTACAGAATCCTCTTAAAACGGGCGGCACTAACTTGGCCCTCTTTCAAATTGAATTCAACAAGCCAGTTACAGTAGTCATAATCATTTTGCTCGTCGTTTCGACAAATTTAAACGTGTTACCTCTCTCGCTCTCCGTGCCTCCCGTCCTTCTTCGCGCCCCGTCTAGAATAATTCGATTTGTTGTATAAAGCGACGGACCGCGTGGGCCCGCCCCTCCGCTTCCGTGGGCTCCTCTCCCTGCCCAACTCGAATGCCTAATCAGCCAGTTATAACGAGCTGCTGCACATCAACGCCCCGCCCACTTCCCCCCTCATCATCATCATTCTCTCTTTTCGCCCACAATTTCACAACGACACTGGAAGTCCCTTTCATCTTCCAGTATTTACAAATTCATCTGACTATCCTTCTAGAGTTATGCTTCTCCTTACAGTCCCGATTCGAGTACTATAAAATTTCGAAAATTCGATCCGACCCTCAAGACACCTCGGATTTCTGGAAGTCTTCTTTTCGTTTTCCGGTTGACTGCAGGTTGAAATGCAAATTCAAAAAGTTTATTCCAATTCCTGTACTACCTTGTGACCCATTCTCATTTTTACACACTTCATTCCCACTTCCGATCCCGAGAGAGAAAGAGAGAGAGAGAGTCCGTTCCGCCGAAAAGAGCACATCGTCGCCAGATTCTGTCTGCGTCTCTCCCTCCCACACACTCCCTCCCGTCTCTGGAAGCGCCATGAATCCGGCAGGTGCGAAGCGCCAATAAACCGACGCCATTATAGCGGAAGTGCCTTCTGAGCGAGGCGGTGCCCAACTCGAGTACACAAAACATATCGGAATTGTCTCAAACGTTGTCGCCTCCATATGTTCTCAGATGACTACCGTATGCTTCTGTTCGCTGTGTAATTGTTGTTGTTACTCGCTCCCCGAACTACCCCATTCGCGCCTTCCTCCGCAGGTGTCATCCATCCGTTCCTCCGATCCGCCGTCTCCCATTCTCTCCCCAAAAGTTTGGAGCAGCTCCGCACAGAGTCAATCGGCCGCTGTGGCGCCCGCAAATTTTAATTAATTGCAAGCACATGTGGCGGTAAAACAAAAATCGTCGCCCGCCGCAGCCGACTCATTAGATTTTAAATCACTCACTTCGTCTTTCCGCTTCTCTTCTCTTTCTCTCATCAATTGCAACTTTGTTTGCTGCACAGAGTGACCGCAGTGAGCCCAATGCGAAGATGGACGTGGCACTCCTGACGATGGATGAAAGCAACCAGACGACGAGCGCTTCTGCCAATCAGAACGGGAGCAGAGGTTTGAACTTGACTTGATTGTCACTGAAAACGGAGGATATTTCAGAGACGTGCTCCCCGATGATTCCCGATTCTACAGAGCTCATGAGAATGCTCACAGATCCTTCTTCTCAGATGTTTGGTAAGTGTCGAATGTGTTTCAGTCCATTTATTTCTCTTTTTGACAGGTGGGGAAAGTGCGAAGTGCCAATTGGAACGCATTTTCGCTGCCGCCAGCAATGGATTCGATGATCAGAGTATGGCAAATGGTGGAGGATTCGCATTCGATCCGTCAACTTTTGGCTTAGCAGATTTATCATCATTCGCCTCGCTTCGCAACTCTTCAAAAACGCTGAAATGTCCGAAGTGCAACTGGCACTATAAGTACCAAGAGACACTGGAAATCCACATGAAAGAGAAGCACAACGACGTCGATGTGAGTTCCACGTCTCTGGAACCGTGTTTGTTCTCGAGAAATAAATAGACAAATGCTTTTTCTGAAAATTTCTCTTCTTTTCTTTTCTTTCTTTTCTGTGAATCTCAGTCCTGAATCTCAAAAACTGAAATTTCTCAGTCATTTTCGCATTTTATGTGCCGTCTCTGTGCTCAAAATATCCTCCTCTGTGTGCTGAACAATCGTGAGGCAACTGCTTTTTGATTATGTCAACCGTTTTCTCAATAGTTTTTATAAAAGCGCGTAAACAAGTAAACAACACGTGTACTTCTCGTGGAATACTCTTCTCCTGGGCGAAATTCTCCGTTTATTTTCCGCAGTTGGAAAAATTTATCGAATTTATCGACACAGTGCTCTGAACAAATGCCATTTCTCGATTTAATATAACTCTTGGGGTGTTCGCCACTCTGTTTGTATCTTTGTTTGTTTGCTTGTTGAATGAGTCCATGACATCTCCTCGAGTACTTATAACAACCATATTTAAAAAAAAAACATCGGGAAACAAGAAACTTATCGAGAAGTTTTCGAGAAAACACAGCTCTGGAACTCTAATAATATTATTTTCCAGGTTAAATGCATCTACTGCGTCGAGAACAGGCCGCATCCGAAGCTGGCTCGCGGAGAGACCTACTCCTGCGGATACAAACCGTACCGATGCGATCTGTGTCGATATAGCACCACAACAAAAGGGAATTTGAGCATTCACATGCAAAGTGACAAACATCTTCACGCAGTCCAAGAACTTCCGAATAGCATTGGTAAATCAAGAGACTATTTGGAACGCAATTCATTAGTTTTTAGAGTTTGCCGCTAATTTTGGATGTGCTCCAGTCAGCAGAAGCAGTCCGATCGAAGAGACCGATGGATCCCTGGTCTGTCTGATCTGTGGGATCTTCGCGACGGAATCGATTCCTGAAATGTTGGAGCACGTGGAAAAGGATCGTTCGCGGACGTTCCAAGGAGACGTCACAGTGCTGAACGGCAATTTCCGATGTCATCTGTGTCCGTACAACACGACACTGAAGGCGAATTTCCAGTTGCACACCCGAACGGACAAGCACCTTCAAAAAGTGCAGACGGTCAGTTTACTCGTTCTTTCCCCCAACTCCTCCGTCATTTGCCGCCTTTCTTAATGTTTGCTGTAGCACTATAAAAGAATCTCGAGGGAGGATTCTGACTGATTCTGGCGAAACTGCCAATTCATTCATTTCCCGTCAATTCAGCCCATTTTCACGAAAAGAACGACGACCGACCGATTAATTCCGTCCGTGTTTCTCACCGCCTTCCTCCCCTTCTCGCTCCTCCTGCACCGTCCTTCTCGCTTGTATGCGCTCCGATTTGCATGCGTCCCGACGACGACCCAACATACATAAATTCATGATTTAATAGTATAATGAGTAATATTTGCTCAAGCCTGTGCCCGCTCACTCCCCTTCGCCGCCTGGCGCCTCATCGACGCGCGACCGCCAAGCCAGATATTCTCGGTTACAAAAGTATCCGACGGAGAAGTCAGGTCACTTTTTTGAGTTGGCAACTGTTTGGAAATAGAGAAAACAAAACAGAAAGACGGACGAACTGGAATAGAATTTGTTCAAGAGGTTTTTGAGAGCCAGCGGAGAGAGGGAGGAGCTCTTCATCTCTAGATGAACGAAACGGTGTACTTTTTGGGATTGAAAGTTTTCTGCCACGAATCTGAGCTCTCCAAACAACAATGTTTTCATCGGCACCGTCCTCCTTTTTTCCTTTGGGAGACTCACGGGAGCATTCTAGAACCAGTCCGTTTTGCAGTTGCCTCGCACATGATTCGACCGCCCATTAAGGGTCTCTTTTGTTCGTTTTCCCCTCCACTGTTTCCCCAATTTCTTCTCGAATTCGAATCCACACTTGTTTCTTGCCCTCTTCTTCCATTTTCCCAATCCAATTAGTTACGGGAACTGTACCCGATGGGTTGGCGTGACGACGGTGGAGGCGAATGAGGAGAAGAAGGAAGGTGGCCGATTCTCGCGATCAATTGCAGTGAACAAAACAAAAATGTCAATTTGAATAAATAAGCGCAGTGATGCACAGCACGACTTCTCCCTCTCCGATCAACCTTCTTCCCCCAGAAGAGGGTGCCCGTCCATCTATTAAACGATTAAGAGGAGGAGGATCCTCGTTTTCACTTAACTGTTTCCCCCTCTCTTTCTCTCTCTCTCTCTCTTTCTCAGTTTTTGCATTTACACCAATAAACCTTGCCAAAGGTCGAGTATTTCCACGATGCCGCCTGTTATGAGGAGGCCGGGAACGCGTCGAGAGACTGAGAGAAGCGTGCCCAATTAGATGGGCGGGGCGCGTGCCCCCGTCGATTGGCTGATGAGTTGCGACTCCGCCCCGATTTCGGAACACGATTGCATTGCACACAGACACCAATTATCGCTTATTGACAGACGGTCGTTGAATTGAAATTCTTTCACTCTTCCGCCTCCCGAACTGCCGCTTCCTGTACTCACTCTCCCTCCCTCACTTTTCCTCTTCAAGTATCGATTCCAACCTCATCTGTCCGTCGCCGCTGTCGTCATCGCCTCGTTTCATTATTTCATACACCTGTTACCACTTAATTCGCCTATTATCCTCCTCATTACCTTCATTTTTGCGGACGACGTCAACTGGCGCCGAAATGAGAGAAGGGGAGCGCGGGGAACCACACGCACACGACGACGACGACGTTTCCCCCGATCATTTTCTCCTATTCATCTAATCCTAACCGTCGTATTTCAACCAAACCTCCTCATTTCTATTCTTCGTGTCTCGAAGCATCATCCTCAAGGCTTCTCTGTCGGTTGACGTGGCACCGTGTCCTAAGTTCCTCGTCTCATAGTTCGGAAGTAGGCTGCTTGCGGAGCCCATTACGATTGCTCATCGAGTCGTTTCCGGTTCTCGATCGGCCCGTCCTCCAGCTCTTCCGTAGCCCATAAACTCAGCCAGTCCTTTTCATCCAATTTGCATCCAATTTTGAGCGACGATTAATAGGTATTTTTGCCCTCTTCCTTCTCCTCCTCCTCCAGCATTTCCCCTCAACCATTTCTTCTCGCGCACTCGGCCCACTTGACCATAATACGACCCTTTCCCCCGTCGTGCCTTTCTCTTTTCTGTCACTCCATTCACACTTCATGCCAATGATATTATGCCCGACCATGGCCCCTAATCCCTGTCCACACACAAAGAAAACGATAGTTGCAGGCGAACCATCTCCGCGAAGGAGCCCGCCCTCACACGGCCATCTACCGTCTGTCGAGCACCAAGACCAGCGTGCAAGTGCTTTGTCGTCAGTGTCAGGAAGTGATTTCGAGCAGCGAATTGCTCCGCGAGCACCGCCATTTCCCGTGCGCCCTTCTTGCCGCCGCCAAGCCGTTCTGGCGATGCAAGCTCTGTAATCAGGATTTCGAGTCCGCCCCGCTCGCAGCAGGCAAGTGTCCTTTGTGTCCTTTCGCGCAACCCACTTGTACCTCTAATTACGGTCAACAAGTTTGCGGGTTTAGTTTAGTGAATGAATACGGGCGACGTGTGGTTGGTTGCTGACAGACAGCCCTCGAACTGCCCCCTAATCCTTGCATTTCATTATTGAGTCTAACGATAGGTGTCGCAGATTCGGAAGGAAGGAGAGGTCCGGCCTTGACAGCGGTTTATATTCATTTCATTTGACACCTCCCACTCGCCGACTCGACGACCCATTCATGTTTTTCGCATTTTGTTAATAAAGCCGCTGCTGGCGCCACCACAGTCGTCTTTAGTTCACCAAAAACAGCCATTGATGCGTATCGGAATTATAATCGCGCATTTATTGTAGGACACATGACTTGCCACGAGCCGTCCACTTGGCCCAACGAAACACTCGGTAAGTCGTCATCAATTCATTCCTCTCAAACCATCCCATACTTCTGATTCTCGTCTCTTCCAGCTGTTTGTTGAAAACGCGCTTTCCAAACTTTGAAAAATGGCGGAGCAATATGCTAGATTAGTCAAACATTTGCACCTTTCTCCCATGGGGGCCACAGTAGTAACAAGTTGATGAATCGCCCTCGGAGCGCCGACGATTCGGAGCTCCCGGAGAAAGAGCCCCTAATTTGATAGTTGTATATATGTACACGTGCTTGCCGTCCGATCCAATCCAATCATATTTTGTTTTGTCTAATCTCTCGCTTGCCAATCAGGCTCCCAGAGCCCGTCCGTCATCGAGTTCCGCAATTAGCCGCCTATTCTCCTTATTCGGGGCTTTGCTTGCGTTGCGAATTCCTCAATTCGCCCACTCGTTTCAACTAATCATTATCTGGTGCCAACAGAAATGATGCGGAAGAAGAGCACGGTTTGCGAGGCGGGGCGTGCAATGGACAGGAAAAGACAAAGTGTAAGATGACACCTGGCAAACGAGAGGCATCCGGGCGCCATCCGGGATCCCGACGGGCAGATCGCCGCGCAAAAACAGTACAAACAGCCGAGTATATACATTTATTTTTTATTTGAAAGCGAGACGTTGTCAATATTCGCTCGGTGGTCTCTCTGAGTATCTCGGTCTCTCGTCCTCTCGCCCAGTTGTGTGATGAATCAAGATATTTTTGGGAAGAGGGACCGGCCATCGCCCTCCGAAACAACATTTGCATTTTGTACATCAACTTCATTGATATAATTGTTTGAACACACAACATACAATTGAAACTTTGACTGTGGGAAATGAAGAGAGGAAAGCGAACAAAGCTGTTAAAATCGACACCTTTTTAGTACAGTCAATAAATGTGTCACTCTCGAAAGAAAAGCTATTCTCCGGCATAAATTCTCGCACATTTCTTTCCTTTCTTTGATATTGATTACGGTACTTAGCGAAGCCCAATCGATGAATTTCATTCAATGTCACACCTTCTGACTTCTGAATCAAACTGGTTTTCGTCGTTAGTCCTAAGAGAACAGTCTACTGAGAATGGCCCCGCCAACCTATTCATGAGAATTTACTTCGAGAGCCCATATCTATCGAAGCCGTTTATCTAAATGCTCATCAACCGAGGCAATTTCCAAAAATATTGCGCGCGGCGGACCCACGAAGCTAAAGAAGGAAGAAGTTGGTGGTGTGACGGGTGTGCCGGGATGCTCATGCTCATCTCGAGCTGCCAATCTTGCACATTAAGCAATTGGCTCATTGGCATGCTCCTTCTTCTTGTCCTCTGGGCCTCCGACGGCGAGCACGGCCCGTCGCGAGCATCCCGTCGTCCGTTTGATATCTGCTCCCGGGGGACGGACGGGCGCACCAATCGGCGCCGCCCAACGCGTGCCGCCAGCAATCTGCCCGACACCCAGCCGCCGGACCAACTTTCTAATGTAATGGGCCGGAATTAGGAGAAGAACAAACGAAGGAGGGGAGGAGAGAAGAAGCGACGACGAACTGATTTGGTGGTGCTTCTTTCTGCCACAAGAGCAGCTCGTTTTGTTTTCTTGTGAGACTCTGTCGGACTGCTCGGCGCCGCTAGTTAGTGGTTAAACGAATCAGCCAAATGTGATAGATGTCCCGCCAATTTCGCTTTTCTGATTTTCGCATTCATTTTTCGCTTCGCTTTACATTCTCCGATTGGTGCCAAGCACGCTTTCTCTTTCATTATTCCGCCTCGCTGCCACGCGACGAACTACTGAATTTACCAGAAAACGGACCGAGTACACACTAAATTTAGGATGTTCAGATACGACTGTTATCAGTCCGATTCAGACTCAAATACCAGCAGACACCTCGGAGACACCAAGGATTGTTCTTTCCCAAACAGGAAACCTCGGTGGCTGTCATCAATAATCACAGCTCGCACATTGAACATTTCTATTTTCCCAAATTTCAACATTTCTCGTTCTTATGTTTTGATTTCAATCGTCATCATGAGCGCGTCATGCCTGTCACTACATATCGGTTCTTCGAGCCGTCGTTTCGTTCAGTTCCCTTCTCCGATGGGCGCCAATTATTCTGTCGAATGCCTTCTCAAGCGACAGTCTATAGTCAACACATAATAATTATTATATGAGCCACGGCTCTCGGCTGTCTGTTTGAAGTCGGCCGCTGCGTCTTCTCGCACACTTCTTCCCATAATTACCATTTGTAAGGCGCCGGTCCCTTTTTCAAGTGTGCCGTGCTTGACGCGTTTCCTGCCGCTCTCTTCGGCCGGTACGCCATCTCTCTTCTCGTTTTCACAATAATCATAATCATCAAGTTGGACACCAAAAAAGCCATAAATTCGATTCCGGTCGAACGAGAGAAACGAGAGAAGAGGACGAACGAGATGGTCGCCCGACGCGCTCCTCATTCCTCTATTTATTTACAGCTCTCTTTCGTTTCCGACCCCCTCCATCTCAATTCCCTTCTACAGTATTCGGGATGATGATAGCGCGCAAACAGCGAAATGAAGCCCCTCCCACTGTCGCGCGATGAATCAATGGCACTAACAAATTAGTCATTGCGCTTCTCCTTAACAGTTTGTTCTCGAGCCTTGCTCCGCCCCCAAGAGATACGCATCCAATACTCTTTTCCTTCAGTTCCCCATTTGTTTCCATCCTCTTTCATCTTTTTTGGTTTCCTATAATTTCATAGACTTCTTTTCAGATTTCAAAGTGATGGAAGACGCGGCGTACGCATGTGCTGGCTGCGACTTTACCACAAGTGAGTTTCCGAGACACTCGGAAGTGCTGCACAGGAAGGCGAGACTGTCTGTTGACCCAGCCCCCTTATCTTATCAGCTCTTTTCGAGAGTAATCAGAGCTTCTTCGCGCCTTTCCCACCCTGAATTCCCACGTAGATCGCCCCCAATTGTCTCCGTCTCATTATGTTCGTCCGCCCTCTGGTGCCATTCTCTCACATACAACACTGGGTAATACCGATCACAATTCCCTGCAATTTGACTCATTAATAGCCCTCTGACAATCGTCTTCCTCCCCTCTGGCGTCCCTGTCTACCAACCTACCCCTACCTCTACCTTTGCCGCATTTAATTGGCAACTAATTCTGCGCACGCGGACGGACGGCTCAAACGATGCGCGTCGCGCCAACGTCGTCGAAGGATGCCGCTGACTGCGTGCGACCGAGACCCGACCGGTTTTCTGCCCCCGGTGTCTGCCCACTGTTTCGCTAATTTATTTGGTAGCGTTGACTATACATCATTTCGATTTGAGAGGGGGCGGATGGGTGTGCATTTAAAAATAATTATAGAGTTGCACTGACACTCTGATCCGATGTGCTACGCGGTGGTATCCCCTCATCATTGAAAATGGCTTCTGCAGAAGCAGCAGCAGCAGATCCAATAACTTTTGCTCGGCCGCTCCGCGATGCAGTTTCTATGTTCTGCGCTTCTCGATCTGTCCCTCCTCTCTTTGATATTTACCGCGTTTCGGCACTAATTTCGCGCCCGGACCGGCACGGCGGCTCCCTTTCATCTTTTGTGATGCCTAATCGACCGCGAGCCATTTCATTATGAAATGATAATAATAATTATTATATGCGGGCGAAAAAGAAAAGAAAACGACAGAGGAGGAGGCGGAGGAGAGAAGTGTGCTCCATCCGGGAATCAGGCCCGATAACAGCACGGACTGATAGCGGCACGAGGACGCCGTCGGGTCCTTTGAGTAACTGATAGCCGTGTTCCCTGTGCTGAACACTAAAATAACATAGATTGCCTTAAACACACCTTAAACAAATTACTGCAGTCGCACCCATTCCATTCAAACCATTCAACTTTTTGCAGAAGACGTGTCGGATTTCGAAGAGCACGCCAAGCTACACGAGGAAGAGGCGTCCGGCGAGGGAGCTTCTTCTTCCCAGAGGGCGTGTGCACTCTGCCTCGAACCGACCTCCGACCTCGAGAAGCACCTTATCGAGCAGCATCGCATTGCAGAAAGCGCTATCGAAAAGTTCCTGCTCGCCGAGCGGACTGCCAAGTAAGTATTCCTTCCACCTCCCGCTGCTCCCTTTTTCTCCACTTCCGCACTCGCATTTCCTGTCGCGAACCATAAAATCATGCTTGCTTCGGAGGCGCAAGTTGATGATCAGAAACAATGATTAAGGTACGGTAGGTTTGCAAAGGCGCTCCTCTCTGCGTCTCTCCAGCCTTCCGTCCTCTCTGGCTCGCAATTAGTACAAGTGGAGAGAGAGAGAGAGAGAGGTACGATCCGATTTTGCATATTTTATGCACGCCGCCTTTTCGAAGTTGTTTACTCTCTCGAATTTGTATTGATTAATTGTGGAATCGGGGTCACGATCCTTGTTATTCTAAGGGCTCATGGACCTGAGGAACACTGCAGACTGATCCAATAATGAGACGGATAATTAGCGAGTCGCCTCGAATTGGGTCATTGCATTTCCCACGAAATCTGCGCCGATTCCTAACTAATTGAGTGTTTCAAAATCGGAGTTTAATGAGGAAAATAGCTTTTAGTAGGTTAACGAACCTTTATTAAAGTAAATCAGAAGTTGACTGACTTCTTGACCTTTTATCGAATAACTCGTTTACTGAATTCCCATCGCCACGTCATTCTGCGCCCGGCTATCATCGTCACTCCTCAAATGTTTTGGATCGTCATCACCCACCAGCCCGATCGTCTTCGCACTTAGGAACATGCAAATGTCTTCCTGCTTGCCACGTCATTCACTATTGATACATTAGTGCTTCGACCTTTCCAACCGTTCCCCCTCTCTCCTCCTTCTGCTGAATCATAATTGATTGTTAAACTTCTCACTTCCTTCTAATTCTGTCTCCACTTATATTAAATGGGACCTCTTTCTCCCTCTTATTCTTCTTCTTCGTCTCCTGTTTATTTATTACAATCAGTTCTTGCTCCCATCTCATCCAAACAGTTTTCTTTCTCGCTGCCGCTTTTCCCTCTTCATTTTCTCATCATAATACGTTATCACCAGCTTTCATTGCGCCGCGTAATTGAATTTTTAGGATTTTTTGCCCCATTCGTCGCCTTCTTCTTGCCTGCACAAAGTGTAACTGAAGCGGGAGTGTTTATTCCTTTGAATCGTCGTCCAAATGACTCACTTTGTTCGCAGAACTGTCCTTTCCCATAAATAATTCCGCCTGGCCCCACCTCATTCGATTCTTTCAGAGAACCTTGCTCCTCATCCGAGTCCTCCTCTTGCGAGTTCATCCACCGATGCTCCAAGTGTTCGATGGCTTTCCGAACGGACACTCAACTTCAGAATCACTCCCTCCAACACGTATTCAATAATTTCCACAAGTGTCCCACATGCGGAGACTCTTTTGATGAGAACAATATAATGGTGAGAGAGGGAGAAGGAGGAATTCATCGATTTAATCAAGCTGATAAGTCTTATTTCTAGGCGCACATGTTAGAACACAGTAAAGAAGAATGCGAAATGTGCTCGGAGACGTTTCCGTCGAAAGAATCCTTCCTCACTCATCTCAACTCGGCACGTCATCTGCAGCAAGCCAAGAAGCACCTCGAGGCGTCACTGGTCGATCTAAATTCTCAGCAGGTAACCAACCAAATCTATAGTACGCCAGCTGCCCAAATGAAAAGAATTCCTTTGCGTCTCTAGGTCTGCAATTACAGTACCCATTATTGTCGTTTAATTGAGTTGCTCTGGTCTTTTCTGCTCGCGCCGCTCGAGAAACTATTACACTTTTGTCGGCTCATGGATTTTATGAATTGCTTTTTCGCGCCAAGACCTCTTGGAGCCATAGAGAGCTCATTGAGCAGCAGTTTGATGGGCCCTCGGAACGAGTGTGCGAACTCACTCCATCGCGGCTCCTTCTGGATTCCCATCCGATCCGAATCTCGCTTTCTTTCGCATTCTAATGATCGTGCTAATTCTAAATCATGATCGTCTTGTGTTTACAAATCTGTCCGAAAGTCAACACGAAACTTGTTCAAACCTTTGTCTTGCCGGCCGAATCCCTCCTCGGGCCCATGTTATTTGCTCATCTCAATTACCGTACCCATTATCATTGCGCCGCCCGCCCGCCCGCCAATTTGAAATGAATTGAGAATGACGGCTGCGTTCTGTGTGATTCGCGCATTCGCCGTGTTTGTACTAGCCAAAGGCGGTGAGGGGAAGGTGGTATACGTGTCGGTCGACAAACAAATACACGCACAAATTCGTGTGAAATAGATGAGGGCAAATAGGAGAATAAGAAGAATAAGAAGACGAAGAAGAAGAAAGAGACGACTGATCTGGTAAGACGTACGATGCGTTAATGCGAACTGTGTTGGCTCACCTTCCTGCGTCTCTCGCTGCAAATTGTTTCGGTGTGAACACAAATACAATCAAACTTGTCATCATTCTCCGCATTACAGTAATCACACTCGTAAATGAGGAATGTTCTTTTCAGGGTGTCGACGGAGAGAAATCACGGGTGTTCCTGTGCAACGTCTGCAAGCAATCCTACCCCCAAGCCGCCAATCTGGACATCCACATGAGGTCGATGAGCCATCAGAGTCGGATGAACAGACTCGCGGAGCTGGTGGCGACGGGAGAACTCCAAGGAGACAAACCTATCTTCGAGCAGCCGGGCATTCCAGCGCCCACCATCCAGAGTGTCATCGATACGGTAACCCTGAATCTTCTCACTACCTATTAAATATTTATTTCCAGACGTCGAAGCAAGCGACCATGAATGATATCATGTCTTTGTTAACCAGAAGCGAGTCAGATGACGTGAAAGAGGAAGTGAATGGGCTCCAAGTGCTCACCCAAATCAGAGTGTACGGAGAACAGAAGATAACTAATCTCGTGCTCGGACTGGATGGCAAAATTGACGTCGTTGCCCAGTTCGATGAATCGAAAGCAGCCGAGATTTCAAGAGTTGATTGTGCATCATGTGGACAGCAGATATCAGGAATACTTGCTCTTAATCTGCACTACGAAGAAGCCCACTCATCCAAGATCCCTTCTGAAGTTCTGAAAAAGTTCGGAGAGAAGGTTCTGGCTGCAATTGAGGAAAGACTGAGCGCAGAAGGATCGACGAAGAACGGGTCTCCACAGAGCACAGCAAGCAACGACGACGAGCCGATGGAGAAGAAGATGAAGCTGGAGAACGTGGCTGCTGATATGGATAAGAACATGGCTGCCGCCTCGCAATTCGCCATGTTCCAGCAGATGATGAACTGCTTCCCGTTCATGGCTCCTGGCCCGGCGTCCGCTGGATTCGGGCTCACTCCTGAAATGCTCAATCAGCTGATGAACCCAGCTGCTGCCGCCGCCGCCGCCGCCGCCGCTGTTGCTGCTGCCAACAACTCGCCAGCCAAAAGAGCCCGAACGAGGATAACAGACGAGCAGTTGAGGGTGCTTCGGTGAGTAGGGAGGGATTACTGTAGGGGGAGGTGCGGGCGCGAAATGAATTGCAAACAATAGGTCGAAATGGGCGAGAGACAGCGAATGAAATGAGCGCAAACACAGCAAATCAATCAATTGCAGTTCTGGAAAACATCGAGGAATTCGCGGGGGACTGAAATAACTCTCATTTCCATTCATTCGTTTTCAGACAATATTTCAATATCAACAATTCGCCGTCAGAAGCGCAGATCAAGGAGATGTCGCAGAAAGCGACACTTCCGGAGAAAGTGATCAAGCACTGGTTCCGGAACACGCTCTTCAAGGTCTGTTTGACGATTCGCTTGCCCGTTTGTTTGTTATTATTATTATTATTACTTGAGAGTAGTGGGACAGGAAATAGTGGGAACGGCGCACGTCGAGTGGTAATTAGTCATCGGATGAATACCGAGAGAGCAAACAAGCCAGAATGAGTTTTGAGGAGGCAAATTGAATGTGTTTAATGTCGGTTGGCCCGAGAACCATTTAGTTTTGATTCTATTTCCGTCGTGACTCAGATGGGAACGTACGAACGTACAGTTAGTACAACATGATACGTTTGACATATTGACGGGACCTTGATGCTTTCAGGAACGGCAGCGGGACAAGGACTCTCCCTACAACTTCAGCGTTCCGCCGCAAATGGGCATCGACTTGGAAGTCTACGAGAAGACCGGAGAGGCCAAAGTGGTCAATCTGAACAATGAAGGAGTCAAATCGGAAATCAGTTCGGCCCGTGCCACGCCAACAATTCAGACGCCAGTTCCACTTGTGGTCGAAGAGAAGAAGCCGGAGATAAAGAGAGAGAGCCAGCCGTCTTCCACCTCCTCGTCACAACTGAATCTGCAAGCGATGCTCTCTCAAATGCAAGGCAATGTGAACTTTTTCGACGCGAACAGCTTCATGGCGGCCGCAGTCGGAAGCCCGATTGCCCCGGCTCCTCCCCCGTGCAACACGACCTCCAGCGGTAGACGAGCCAATCGGACGAGATTCACCGATTTCCAACTGAAAACTCTCCAACAATTCTTCGATAAACAGGCGTATCCGAAAGACGACGACTTGGAATCGTTGAGCAAAAAGCTGCAGCTCAGTCCTCGTGTTATTGTGGTTTGGTTCCAAAACGCAAGGCAAAAAGCACGGAAGATTTATGAGAATCAGCCGAATCACGAGAATTCCGACCGTTTCGTCCGCACTCCGGGATCCAATTTTCAGTGCAAACGGTTGGTTTCATTGATTCCTTTCTAAAGGTTATTCTAATTGTTTTCAGTTGCAATCAAGTGTTCCAACGGTACTACGAGTTGATCCAACATCAGCAGAAGAAGTGCTATAAAGACGATGGAGCCGCTCTTGTCAGTGATAACAAAAGTGTGGAGGAGTCGTTGACGGAAGAAGAGAAGGCGCAGCTTCTCGCCCAGCAGCAGGTCGCTCAGCTCACGAGCGGCCTTGAAATTCCCCGAATCCAGCCATCTGAGCTTCTCAAAATGTTCGGAGCTTCGCAGAATTCGAGCAATGACGTTCTTCTGAAGATGTGCGAGTCAATCGGAGTGCCCACTCCCAGCTCTTCGTTTCAAAAAATGTGCGCTTTCTGTGCTCAAGAGTTCCCGGACAAATCCGCAATGAAGGAGCACATGCAGCAGCAGCACCCGAATCAGATGCTTCTGCCCAACTTCCAACTCGACGTGCTCCCAGATTGCGGTGGACTCGAGGCGCTTCTGCAAGCTGACGGAAAGGAATCTGCTCTCGATCTCTCCGGATCTTCCGTTGACTACCGTGATTCCCTGTCCACTTCTCCAACAAGATCGGACGAAGACGTGCTCACGGAAGCTCTCGATGACTCCACGTTCGCTGCGTTCGGACTTCCCCTGGCCGCTCCTGGCAATTCGGAGTGCAGGTCGCCTGCCAGCAACAAGCGATTTCGCACTCATCTGACGCCGATGCAAGTTCAAATGATGAAGAGTGTGTTCAATGAATACAAAACTCCGTCAATGGCCGAGTGCGAACTGCTCGGGAAGGAAGTGGGACTTCACAAGAGAGTCGTGCAGGTCTGGTTCCAGAATGCGCGTGCGAAAGAGCGGAAGACCCGAGGAACGGCCGACGAAGACGCCAGATCGAGTCAATTGAACTGCGAACTGTGTGACAAGACGTTCACGACTCGTTTGTCCCTCCAAGATCACCTCTTCACAAACGATCACATCTCAATTCTGAAGAGCAATCTGAAGAAGGAAGGAGTCTCCGAACTGACAACGGCTTCCGTCACCGAATGCTCTCCCGAGAAAAAGTGAGTTCAAATTATTCTCTTGATTCTATGTCAACTATTCCAGGATTCCAAAAATGCCAGTCGGATTCGATGTCGCGGGCCTTCCGTTTTTGAACCCTTCGTTTGAGAATCTACAATTGTACGGAACTCCGATCACTTTTTTGCAAGTTCCCGACGAAATCAAAAAGCAAATCACCGACGATATCATGGCTGCAAAGACCCGAACAGTCTTCTCTCAGGACGGATTCACAGCCGAAAAACTTCGAGAAGCGATTCCGGCATCTGAAAAACACAACTTCTCCACCATTCAGAAAGATGTGAGCTGTTCATTTCTCAGATCTGATTTTCAAATGTAATCGTCTACAGGTCGGATGGGCATGTCCTGCTTGCACATTTGTCTTCCAAGAAGAAAAGAAGTTGCGAGAGCATCAGAAGGCAATCTGTCAAAACGACAAGGTAGTACTCGAAGTATTACATTCCGTTGCAATATAAATTATATTTCAGACGTTCACTCTCGTCCAAACGCACTACGCCTGCAAGAGCTGCCACGCGGAGTTCTGTCTCCAGTCCGAGTACCTGTTCCACCTGACCGTGCCCCCTCACTGCTCCTCCTCCTCCACCTCATCGCCATAACCGCCCGTTTAGTCACCTCATGTCCTCCCGCTGATCCCCCCAACTCACCCAGATGCCTTCCCCTTCTTATCCCGATCTGATCATTTCCCTTTTCTCCAGCAATAAATGACACGTTTGCCAATCAACTTTGTATTCATTTTCGCCCGCTTTATGACACTGAAACTGGTCCGCTTCTCCCTCCTTTTCCTTTCCTCTCTTTCCAAATGCTTCTCATAATAATTCTCAGAGCAATAATACCTTTCCTTATCCACCCACCAATCCATGCACAATTTTAGTCAAACTTTCCAAAAAATTCAGTTTATGTAGGTTTTCTCTTCTGCTATGATATGATATTTGTCCGGTTGACACAAAACATAGTAGTTTCCACTATCATTTTACCTAGACTTCTATCTAGATTCCGCCCGTTTCCTCTGTCCTGTTTTCCCGGAGATAGTCTCTGTGAGCCTTGTCCCTAATCACTTGGGCTTTTATGAAATGCAATAATTATTTGTAAATGAACATTGTTTAAACTAGGTATCCTGTTCTATTAATACAATTATAACAGAAGAAAGAAAAAAGAAATAAGCAAAAAGCGTAGTGTTCTTATCCGATCCGTTATCAATTTGTGGCGAGATAATTGCGAGAAGGGAAGGAAAAAAGTGTGTGATTGACTAAGCGATTCTTGAGGTTGCCACATCCAGTACGAGACCTCTTTTCCTCGAGACGCTATGAGCTAACAGGCGGATTCTCGCGCAACGAGGTGCCGATAAGGACGGTGATAGCGGGCAGCGGGAACCCGTCCGGCCACCCGCTTTGTCTTCTCGAGGGACACGCCTCCGACAGGTTATCCACCTCATCCCGACCACTCCATTCTCATTGTTTCTTCTCGACGGGGGCTATATTTCTTCTGCCGATGGCTTCGCTTATGCAACACTCCCGCTTCCTGCCAACCGTTTCTTTTTTCAGAATGCATTGGGGTAGTTGGGCCATTGCGCTCAACGTGATAGTACTCGCAAGAGCAGATGAAGCACCGGAAGGGTTTCCAGAGGATCATGTCGATCTTGTCATTCCCATGAAAAGTAAGTATTTGCTCCGCCTTCGCATATGTTTCTCATTTCAGTGAAGTACGAAAGTCATCTTCGTCAGGCCGATTTGCCTCCTCATTTCATCGTTGCCAATGAAACGAACCTTGTTCCGTTGACACTCAGACTTCAAACCAGAAGGAAACGATGCTCTTGTGGATGCTCCGGCTGTGATCTCTTCCCAAACCGTTCCTGCTGTTCTAGCTGTACTCATTTTTCAAGTGCTCTCCAAGCCCTCTCTTTCTCTCATTTCAGCGTGCTGTTCCTCACAGAAGCCTCTTCCTCTTGCTTGCTGCCCACCACCACCTCCTCCGAAGCCATGTTGCCAGCCTGCATTCGGTCCCTGCTGTCCAGCAACCCCCAACTGCTGTCCTAAGCCGTGCTGTCGTGGCCGTCGTCCTGAATATGAAGAGTACGAGGACGAAGAAGGAAACCCGGGAGGAGTGCCAGCCCCTCCAAATCCTCCGAGAACCTGCTGCCCTCCCCCGACTCCAGCAGCTCCTCCTCCACCCCCGCCGCCCCCACCACCAGCTCCAGAAGCTCCAACGCAATGCTGTCCTTCTCAACCATACGGAAGAACTCCTTGCCGTTCCGGATGTCCGAATGGAGACTGTGGATGTGGAAGACCTTGCTGTTACTACCAGAATCCGACGTGCTGCAATCAGGGACAACGCCCTTGCTGTCCTCCCGAACAACCTTGCTGTCCGGAGCTGAAACTGGACAATTGTCTGGCTGCGGTGCCGCCTTGCCTTCGTGCCTGTCCATCTTGCCCGTGCAGAAAGAGACTGATGCTCGGAAAGAGAACGAAGAGAGATGCTCCAGGGTTACACTGTCAGCCAAGTAGGTCCCCTGCTCGAGTTTCAAGCCTCAAGTTTCTGTTTCAGTCGGTCTCCTCGGACAACAATCTCCACCAACTTTAGTGTCTCAGCCTGTGAAGACTGTCGTGAAATCCAGAGCAAAGGCTGCCGGCACAAAAACTGCCCCGTCCACAGTCTCAGCTACGAAACAGCTGATCGAACAGTCCTCCGATCACGTGGAGGCTCCTCCGACAGCCGGAAGACTCTATGATTTCCGTCGTGCTCACGTTCGTGTCAAGAGAAATCTGGATGGAAATGGAGGATGCCAGCTGTGCATCAACGGTACTCCATTGAAAAGAACGAAACGTTCGTTCGACTGTGTTCCCTGCACGTACCTTCAGCCACAGTATTCCGATTGGAACCCATTCCTGGGAGATCAGAGACCGGGACAACAGTCTCCGGTCGGAACTCCACTTGCAGGACACAAGAGAGAAAAGAGAGCTGGCGTAAGATAGAGAAAGAACATGTGATTCCAGAGCACAAAATACACATTTGCAGTGTCTTCCTCATCCACAATGCACTCTGCACGTCAGAAGATACAAGAGAAACCTGATCGGTTCCCAGTACTGTGAGCCTTGCAACGGACACTACGGCAGGAAGAAGAGAGAGGCGGAGAGAGACCAGTGTTTGAAAAGAGAAAAGAGATATGCGGCCGATGAACAGTGCGACAACGACGAGTTCAGCATCAACGAGAGAAGCAAAAGACAGGCCTACAATCCAAAGGGCATCCTGGACATTGTGAAAATGCTTTCGAAAGCCTCTTCTGGAGGAAACAACCCGGGAGGATGCATGAAGTTCCCCGCTTGTGTGTTGGCTCAGAAGAAGAGAAGAAAGAGAAATGCGGACAGAATGGAGAAGTATTACAAGGCAGTGGAAGAGCACAAGAAGCAAGTGGAGGAGTACGAAAACGCGATGGAAGAGCACAAGAGAGTCAAGAGACAGTTCTTCGCTCCGGATAACGCTGCCGCGTGCGTCCCTTGTCCTGCCTGGGTCACTCTCGCATTGGCGAGCAGGAAGAAGAGAGAAGCCAATGAGACAGAGGAAGCAGCGCCGAGCAGGCAGCTGACGATGAGCGAGGCCATCGCAGACATCAGATCCAAGAAGGGATACAAGGCTGGATTCGACGACGATGATGATGTGAGTTGCGAAAATAACGAGACAGGTTGAGAAAACCCGTTTTGCAGGAGGACGAATCGTCCGAAGAAACCATCGAGATGCGCAGAAAGCAAAGAAGATCATGCCAACAGTCGGATGACTGTCTGAACAACGTCGAGTACGCAGTGTTCCAGAAGGTCTACGCGGAGAAGAGAACGAAAAGAGAGGCGGTATTCAGAAGGAAGAAGTGCTCGAGGTGCGGGGCCAGTGGTCTCTCTCCGCACAGAGTGAAGAGAAACTTCGGCGGGCCGAACATCAACGTCTCCGAGCAGAACTGCATGGCGTTCCCGCAGTGCAGACATCGAGTGAAGAGAAATCTGTTCGGAGAGGACTGCAACATCTGCACGGCCGATACGGGAATCGCGAAACGAAGAAAGAGAAACTTCGGAACTGCGGTAAGTTCATCTTTGATCCAGAAGCTTCTCATTTATCATCATTCTCCCTTTTCAGCAGTGCTATCCGTGCTGATTAACCCCTCCAGCAGACTCTCTTCTCGTCGACTCATATCAGATTTCAAATCTCAAAGTGCAATCATAATAATTATATTGTATATAAACCCTAGACATGACCTTCTTCTAATAAACAACATTTTCATCAACCCGTCATAATCTTAAAAATACATCCAAATATGTGGTTTTGTATCAACATTCGCATATGATGTGGACTAATTTGGTCACAGCGATCGCAGATCCTTCAGTTCCTTCAGACGGAAGATTGACTGATTTGGAGCCAGCAAATGGATTTCACGTGGAAGAGAGGCAAAGTACGGATGGAGCATGGCACTGGCTGCGGAGACACGGCTCTCCGGACGCAGCTGGAAGTGGGTTGGATGAGGGAAATCGGGCGGGAATCGGAGAACGTACCTGGAGAAGCATGCCGAGCAGTTCTTGGCCAGTCTTCAGAATCTTCGTGAACATTGGATTGACCGCGATGAATGAGAGTTCTCGGTATCGAGGGAACATTTCAGGACTGTATCGGGGCAGATTCACCACCTTAATTTCATTTGATCATCTCTCTAGTTGTTCTCCTACCTCTGGCCATCGTTTCTCATCCGGTGCTCCTCTAGTACTGAATATTTTATCCAATTGATCGATCACATCTTTCGTTCCCGGGAAAAGGGCTGTTCCAGTGCAAATCTCAGCAAATATACACCCGACTCCCCTGAAAAACACTCATATTTCTATTTTATCAGCCCTTTCTCACCACATATCGAGCGAAGTTGAGTAGTCCGTGCTTCCCATCAGAACGTCAGGGGGACGGTACCAGAGAGTGACGACTTCATGGGAATACGTCCTGCTCGGCACCGACTTGGCTCTTGCCAGTCCAAAGTCTGCGAGCTTCAGCACTCCATCGTCATCGAGAAGAAGATTCTGAGGTTTCAGATCTCTGAAAATACATTATTTATGCTTCCCTATTATACAAATGTACCTATGAAGAATCTTCTTTCTGTGGCAGAAATCTAGTCCCCTGAGAAGTTGAAAGAGCAGCAATTTGATGTCAATGCTCTCCAATCCATACACATTCTGCTCGAGATACTTGCTCAAATCCATCTTCATATATTCGAAAACAAAAGTGAGCTGATGGTGTTGATAGAAGATGTCATGAAGAGAAACAATATTGGCGTGTCGCAGATTTCTGAGCAGAGATGCCTCGCGGATGGCAGTGAACGGAAGACCCTCCTGGAATTGCAGTTTGATCTCTTTCAGGGCCACAATCGAGCCATCCAGTCTGCAATGCAATCAATGAGACATTTCAACTATTTCAACTATCTCAATGAGACATTTCAACTGTCGAGTTCACCTGGATTCACATTTATAAACGGTCGCATAGGATCCTTCTCCTAACTTTTCGATTCTTTTGTACAAATCATTTACATCCTGCGGAGTCACATCCTCTTTTGCAGGCAGCGTTATGGTATTAGGATCGTAGTGTGCAGAGCGAGGACGACGTCTCCGCAAGTGAGTGAAATCGGCGACGGTGCTGCTGGAAGCGGGAGGAATGGACGGAGAGGCCATCTGGGGCACCGTCGAGACCGAGTCATTAGGATTGTTCGAACGGGATCTTGACTGACGGCTGAAAGAGTTCGTTAGAATGCGCTTCAGATCTTCCACGCGGGTACCTCAAAAAACTGAAGATGTTCTTGCTGTGGTGCTCAGGAGTGCTGCCACTTCCTGATCCGGAAGACGTGCCGTTCACGTGATTAGAATGCCATGATTGCGTCATTTCCGTACCGTGCTTGGCAAGAGGCGATTTCGTCGCTCCTAATAGAAAATTTTTATTTTGGAAACTCATTTCGGACCAAACACTATGTGAGACCTAGAAAAAAAGAGTTCTCAGTCAATTTCTCGTCGGTCCGGACCCATGTGGACAATGAAAATGTTAGTAGAGTGAGGGAGGAATTCATTGCGAAACCCGTTAAAGAGTGAAAGTATTCTCTATTTGCTACGACGAACCTTTCAGCGAGAAGAAGCTCGAAAACATTGAGTCTTGAAAGAGAAAGAGAATAGTATCGAATAGTTATGGCCTTGTTTACATGGCTCCGGCCTCCCCAAATTGGCCCCCATCACTCACCGTTTTTGTATTTCTTCTCCTTGTTTCGACTCCGGCGCAATGTGAAAATTGAAGAAGTCTGAAAGAAGTTTGTTTTCTGAAGGACAGAAGCGATCGCGTGACGGAAACTTTTGGGCCACTAACCTTCCGGACACTCGGAGAGCCCCCATCCACGTCCTGAACTCGCTGCGGAGACATAGTTGTTATCTGAAACTTTGAATACTTTTCCACTAAAACTCTCTGTCCATTTCACCTACCCTATGCAGATTTTCCGAGGATTTCGAGTTCCGGACAGCCGTGAGTTGCGGGTGGTGGATCATCGAAAGGGAGCAGGAGGCCCTCATCGGCCGGTCGGCCTCTTCCAGACCCAGCCATACCCCGATGTGAGAGGTTATTTTACCCCACATCCGAGGACTTCTCAGTCTGAAAACGAAAGGGAAGGATCAAATGGGCGGCGAACGAATTAAGGGAAACGAGCAGTGAGAGGGAGCCCACGCGCCGCGTTAATGGGTTGCTAAACCCCGTTTTCAGCGGCTTCGGAGCCACGAAATGGATGGGAAAATGAGGAGACGCAGGGCCAGACAGGGAGCATATTGTTTGAGTATGGAAATGAGGGAAAGGCGAAAGAGGAGGCCGAGGAGCCGTCCGTTTTTGGAGCAAGCAGGCTCGCTCTACGACGAATATAAATAAAATAATTAAGTGAGAGGCGCGGCGGGGGCACAAAAAACAAAAGTGATGAGAAAGGGGCGGAGCCTGAGAGAGAGAGAGAGAGAGAGAGAGAAAGCGATGGGAATTTGATTTGAGGGCGCAGAGGGAGCAGAACGTAATGATGAAGTGGAATGGTGAGCACTTCATCGGGTGGAACGAAATTAGGAGAGGATATGTGGAATGGAGGAGGGGACGGACAGAAAATGAAGTTTTTGGTGTCGGATGAGCAAATAGAAAAGGGCGCAAAAGTTCAGAGGAATAAAGTGCGACGTGCGGATGAGGGATGAGAAACTGAGAATTGGACGGTAGAAAAGGATGCACCAGATGCTTAGTTCGATGCGAAAAGAGAGCTCATAAGAAGGAAGGGCGGCTCATAAAATAGTAATTGGTCATTTTTAGTGTCCATTGTTCGTCCTCTCCCCTCTCGCTCTTCTTCTTCTTTTTCATCTTCTCCCAATACTTTGTGCGTCGGCGAACCAGAACTAAGCGGCTCCCTCTCTCAAAAATGAGACTGGTAAATGAAGAAGATAGGGGGGAAGAAAGGGGTCCTCTGCGAGTGGGATGAGCCGGGTGGCGAGGCGCAGAAACAGCAATAGTTGTATGGTGTGGTGTGTTGTCGAGGAGTCCGATAAATTGAATTACAACGAAAGTGCGAACAAATGCGATGATGCGCAGAGAAGTGGCCCCCAGAGCCAGGTTCTTTGACGAGGAAGAGCAAGTGTTGCGCTTTTTGCAAGTGAAGACGGAACGGGAGAGTCACGGGAGAGATCCAGGAGAAAGGAAGGAAAGGACACGGACAGGAAGGAGACCGGAGAGAGCTGACGGCTGAAGTTTCAAGACCATCAGCTGTCTCTGCAGCGGTTTTCAACTTTTCCGATACGATTTGCAAAGGAAATCAGACTAAGATCAAACGCTTGTGCAGAATGGTTGAAAAGTAAGTAAAAAGAGAATGAAAGAAAGAAAGAAATGAGGCGGACAAAAAGAGTGGTTGATGGAGTTGTCTGTCTGGATTATACTTTCCGATGCGTGCTCATCTCTTCCTTCCTTTCGTTTCCGTCATAAACAAGTGGCCAGCCGTCGGCGGTCAACGAAAGGAAAGACGGATAGCTGATGTTAGAGGTCAAAAACGACGACGAGTGATGGAATGTTTCTAGGTCGCCTCTGCACACGGGCTGCTCCTTTTTCGTAGTACGTCGTCTAGTGTTTCCCTTTGTGTTTTTGTTGGTGGGAGGTGCCGCCTCCGCCACTTGTCAGCTTTTCGGGAGATGTAGCCGCCTCTCCCGCCGCCACGAGTCGCAACACCCAAGAATTGGCGTTGATGGGGGAAAAAGAATGGGAGAAGGAGAGACGGAGAGAAAAGAAAATGATGAATTACTAATGTGCACATGGAGAAGAATGGCTGTGGATGGAGAGAAAAAGAAGGCGTCCGGCGGAATGGCCCTCACGATGAAGAACGATTGTGGCGGCGGCAACGGCCTGAGCAGCGGGGGCACCTGAGGGAGTCGAAGGAGTTACATGTATCTGAAGTGACAGGCAATGCAAGTGCAAACTCAATTCTGGAGGGAAAAAGGTAGAGAAAAGGAAAAGAAGGGCTCTCGGAAGACTATGAATTTCAGAAGAGGCCAGTACGTACGCGAAAGAATGTCAACAAAAACAGCTGTATTTGGGAATCGGGTCAAAAAACGTTTTGCTCAATGACCAATCGGCAATACATGGAGGGGCGGCTGGGAGTGAGGGGCCGCATCAAAAGAGCCTGTTCAAACAAGATGTCAATGAAGAAGCATGACAGACCGTCACTGAACATGGGTATCTCACGTGGGACGGAGCACCGGGCAATCAGTTGGCGTCCACGAATCGATTGGCAAATGAGCGATCCATCGAAGTGAGAGGGCCTTGTTACAACGGCAGGAGCCGGTGAGCTAAACGGGAGCCCTGGGTGAGCCCGCCACTCTCTCCGAAATCCGACACTTTTTTGAAGCGACGTGATGATGCACTCGGAAGTGGACTGAACGAACTCGACCAGGCCGGGCAGAACGGGGAACGCGAGACAAACGAACACGATCAATCAAATCGCATTTCATTTCCTTTCAAAACATGCTGTCGATGGGGCAAGTGTCTGCGTCTGGTTCGACACGTGTCTATTCTGTGAGTTATTACGGGTCCGAAGAGAGAAAGACCAGAGTCAGAACAGCTGAAATTCGTGTGAATCAAGAACACGACTGGACGAGCTCCGATTGTTGTGATGAAATAGCGTAGAGATTTAACAGATTAAAAATCGAAATATTGTTCGAAATATTTTGTCGCATACTCAGATGAAAGATCTTTCAGACAGAGTCTGACCATTTCCAGATATAGCACCAGGTTTTGATTCTTGTGTTGAGCCATTCATGCCGTGTTGATTAATAAAATGCATTGTATTGATATTTTTTAATGAATAAATTTTAAATTCCACTATTATTGGTCCAATTTTTAATTTCTTTATGAAATCTCAGGCTGCACGCAGACACATTGTTGGTTTTTCTACGCTCGAAAACGTTTTGAAATCGAGCGAGGATGCATGTAGTGCAAGCACGCTCTATCGCACTTCCTTTAATTCTTTCGACTTTGGTCAGTTTCCTGCCCATTTTCTTGCTTTTCTCAGTGATTTTCTCTTTAACATTCAAGTAATTGTGCAATTTTAGGGTTATTATGTACGGAGGATACCCAGGAGCATATGGGTAAGCAGATTTTGGTTCCAAAACGTTGCAAAAATGTGTTTTCAGTGGTTACGACCAGAATTATCAAGTGACAGGCGCCCCGAACACATATTGTCAGGTTCAACAACAGCATCAGGAGTATTATAAGTTAGCTTTTTTTCTAAAAACATTTTTGTATTCAATACGGAAATAACTTACAGCGGTGCCAATCCATACGCTAACTATGGCTACGGTGGACCAAACGCGCCGCTTCCTCCACCTCCACCACCGCCAGCAGTTGGGTATTCTTCGTGGCTTGCTTAATATAAATGTTTCAGGCACCTCAGTTACCATCAGACTACATCGCAAATTCCTATCGCACTTTCCCATCCGCACCAACCAAGTTGGGTCCCCCCGCTGGATTCTACAAAGGCCCAAAAGCGCAGCAGCAAGCAGGTAGTTGAAAATGTTCGATCTTCGAAGTAAGGAAAGTATACTCTATAGGAACATACAATAGCAGCACGTATGATGCTGCTGTCTTCAACTATGCACACAGCGGACAAAAACGGATAAATATGGGTGGACAAGGCGGCTCTCGACGCTTCGGTGGACAGGGAACTGGTGACTCGAAACAATATTATTGCGATGTTTGTTTTCAGATATCCAGGTTCGCATTTTAATTACCAATTTTATAGGTTTGCAAGATTTCTTGTGCTGGCAATATAACGTACAGGGAACACTTGGAGGGCCAACGTCACAAAAAGAAAGAAGCAGCAGCGAAAGAAGGAGTGCCATCCACATCCCTCGCCAAAAACAAGCTCTCGTATCGCTGTGATCTGTGCGATGTGACATGTACTGGACAGGATACGTACGCTGCGCACGTTCGTGGAAGCAAACACGTGAAAACAGTGGCTCTTCATCGCAAGCTTGGAAAACCAGTTCCAGAAGACGTTCCGACAATCATCGCTCCGGGAGAAGACGGTCCAACTGAAACCAAGGCAAAACCGAAATGGCATCAGCAATCACTGCCAGGCGGAAAAAAGTTTGTACTTAGTTTTCTGTGAAGATTTCATAAACACCTATGTATTCAGAGTGATCGGAATCAATACGGTCAATTTCGTGGGAGGAACCAAGCTCAGCTCGACAGGACAGTTGGAAGAAAAGAAGAGAGAAGTCGCTGCTGCCGTTTCGAGTGTTGGAAAGCCAAATATTGAAGTAGAAGATGAGAATCTGAAAGCTTTGATGGCCGCGGAAATCGTGAAGCCTGTCGGTGAAGAGCACGTGACGGAAGAAAGGGACACGACTGGAAAGCTCATTCAATTCCACTGCAAACTGTGCGATTGCAAGTTCTCCGACCCCAACGCCAAGGAAATTCACGTAAAAGGACGTCGCCATCGTCTTGCCTACCGACAAAAGATTGACCCGACATTCGTCGTTGATCCGAAACCAAGGGAAACGAAAAAAACCAACGAAAAGTTCAATTCGGCTATTCCTGCTGCGCAGACCACTTTTAAAGGTCCACTCGCACATCGTGGCTCGTACTTTGCCCAGCCTTCTCCTGACGGCCGCGAGTTCAACATAGTTGATGAGAGAACTGTTGATGAAAAGTACAAAATGCTGAATCCAGGAATAGAGTTCAGCACGAAAATCGATAGATTCATTGTTGACATAAATATGACACTGAAGACAGTGTCCGAGAAACTGGAGAGATCCGCGAGAGGGCTAGCGGAAGACGCGGAACTCGTCGATGCTCCGGGTACTGTTCGAGCCATATTGGGGGTGGCAAGAGTCGGAACGATCTCCAAGAACACGTACATCAAGGGAGAACAGATGGGAGAGGCTGTTCTTTCGTGCACTAACGTTCCGACGTGCGCTCTCGTACAACAAGTGAAGGAGTTCTTCCAAGCTACTTCGGTACGTCTCCCCTTCAGCTTCCCTCTCAATTTCCAAGCTTTTCAGACTGAAATGTCAATTTGCGACGACGTGTCTCCAGTCTGTCTCATCGTCTCCGCTTCCTACTTTCCAGAAATGAAGTGTCGTCTCATGTTCACCTCGACTGCCATTAGAAATGTTGGAGAAGGTATGTAATTCTTAAGCTGAGATGGAAAACCTATCGAGAATTCAGATACCGACTGTCCGGACAAAGATACGTGTGTTAAAGCGCTCGCGTACATTCGGCACGCCAAGTGGTATCAGGTGAGTTTTCTTGGATAGGAGAAAAAAAGTGTGAATGCGTATCGTTAAGAGTCACTGCACATACCTGAACTCTTGCCAGAGCGTCGTCCGTCTCTTCCGTGACGCTCGTTTCCGTTACGAAGTCTGGTCTATTCTCGATGATTACGTTAGTTCCCATTTCAAGAACCGAATAAATAAGTTGTTCTCAGAAACTCGAGTTGCTCGTGGCCAATATAATCGATTCTTCGTCCACATCGCTCACTATTGGTGAAGCCTTCAAAAGGGTTCTTGAGGCTATTTCTGCTGGTGTCCTCTACTGGGGTCAGTTTCTGAAAAGATGCTCATTTGAAAACAACGATTTAAGCAATCCTTCCGGATCCGTGCGAGACAACGAAACCCAATGTGCTGGATGCATTGACAGAAGAGCAGAAGCACACTCTCACCTGCTGCGCCCAGAACATGCTCCGGCTTGTTGCTTTCAATCAAATACATACAGTCAGTGCCTTTGAAAAATCAGCCAGTTCACGAATAACTCTTTCCAGGTTCTTGGCATCGAACGACTTCCGGAGTTTTCTTCTGACGTCCCATCGCTGAAGAGGCCAATCGATTCGAACGGAAGCATTGGCGAAGAACACGCCGAAGAAGAGTCGTATCCGAAGAAAGCATGTGTGGAGGAGGAGCAGAACGGACAGTCTGAAAAGACCGAATCCGAGACCAAGCAGGAGGAAGGGAGATGCGAACCTATGGAAACTAATGTCTTCTGATGAATTTCCCAACACTCGTTCCGTTTTAGTTTTTGACCATTCCTCGAAATCTCGTTGTCGATCGTCTCCACCTTTCCACCGAACGAATCTTCCCTTATTCGCTGATTTTATTTGTCTTTTTTTATTATGTTTCAAAAAACATCTTCATTCAATTAGCCCCGAATTAATCACAAACATTGTGAACCATTATTAGGTAGAAATTCAATAATAATAGGGGAATACAGGAAGGGAAAAGGGGAATATAGCCGGGCAAGACGGAAAGATACATAAAATGAGGTGGCAAGAGACAGATGGAACGGTGTGAAAAATAGCTGAAAGTTAGTTCCGTTTTCGATGTAAAAGGTGACCGCACAGTGTAAAAATTGCCGATGACTAGAAAATTCAAAATTGCTTCAATTTGTTTTTTTTTTCGATTAAAGCAAGTAATGCAAAAGGCAAAAAAAAGCATAGACTAGGAATGAACGGATGTGTAAAGTGGGATAAAGCAGCACGGAAAGAAAAGTGGGACAACAATAAATACCAAAAAAGGGTGATAGGGAGAGAGAGAACAAATCGGGACGGAACGACCGGCAAGAGGAAAAAAAACGAGAGACGATGTGTTCGGAAGTGAGCAAAAAGGGCGGGGCGAGCTGCTAGAGAACGAGATTCGTGTTGTGGGAAGGTGTCCATTGCGAGGTCATCTGCTTCCACTTCTCGTAGTTCGATTCGAGCTGATCGGAGAGCTCTCCGAGTTTTGCGAATTCTGTGAACGTGGCGAATGCTTCGCGGGCGAACATGTCTGAAATGCAGCAACTCGTGACGCCATTCCCCTCATTTTACCGATGAATCCGCATTGAGTGATGGGCACGTTGCAAGTGTTTCGGTCGAATACTTCCATTGTCACCGGCAGCCCTTTCTCCTTCTCTTCTCGGGTCTGAAATCACCGGTTCTCTTGAGTCCTCTTCGTTCCCTCACCTGCTCAAAGTATTCCTCAACTATGCGATGAGCCCATCTTTGACAAAGAGCCCATTCTCGGGCCGGATTCGAGATGTCCGCGCACTTGACGAGCATGTCGCAGATCGTCAACGAGTTCGTGTCTCGCTGCTCTTCCGCCACGTCGGTCACGTGCATCTTGTTGAACTTGGCCAGGTACTCGAAGTGCCTCGAAATGTCCGTCGCCAGCACCATTTCGACCATCGCGTGCCTCATTTGAATGAATTCCTCGCGCGATAAATTAGAGAAGATGTTCACGTTGGCATTGTGTTGGAGAGTTAGTTGGAAGGCGAGCGCGATGTGATGGTTCTCGAGGATCGAGTTGTCGTTGTAGAGGATCGCGAGCGATTGTCTCGTGTTTATCAGGTACGCATTTCCCCTCCCCGGATGGTCAAGATCGTGGACGGCGGCAGCCAGGAGAGCAGCGACCGCGTGGCTCTCGTTCACGTGAATGGCCACGGAAGGAGAGTCAAGGAAGAATGAGGTGGCTTGGAGGACGTCTGCCGCGTGCGTCGCATTGTGGTACGTGTTGCCCGCGTGGTAATGGGCCTCGATGGAGAGAATCCAGCGGTTGAGGAGTTCGTCGGAGCACCCGAGCACGTCGCAAACCTTCCATCTCTCGAACACTTTCATGCCGACCTGCGAAAGAGCGTGATGGTCGGACACCTTCTCCAAGTGCAGAATGTCGAACTTCCAGCAGTTGTCGTTCTCCAGCGCATTCTTGACGTCGGCAGAAACCCTTCTCCGTTCTCCGTGCGATCCTCGCTTCTCTCTGTGCGCATCGACGACACTTCGCTTCCGCTGTCTCGCCGGATGATGCAGTCGGATGAGGCCGTCGTAATACTGAGTCGCGATGCGGTCCGCGTCTCGGAATCTGTTGATGGACGGCGCGTAGAGCTCGTGCGACGAGAGCACCTTCATCGCGTCCTTGATCGTCTGTGCCGGTTCCCCATCGACCCGTGCCGACACATCTCGCAACATTGACAGCACTTCCGAAATGGGCGCTTCGATGCCGCCTGTCTGCGATTTGAGACTTTTCAGAGACACATCGCGGAAGATTGCCGCTTCACCGGTTGTGTTTGAGCGTTTCATATACACAAATTGACTACTGCAATGAGAACTTTTAGAAATGAATGAGAAACAATGTGAAGTGACGTACTTGTTAGCAAAGGGAACCCGTATAAACTTCCAGTCGCTGCTCCTCCTCCGTTCCTCATCGCCTCGAGCTCTCGGCAAAGATTTGCGTCGCATCTCAGACTCTGGCTGTCCGATCACTTCCGATCGGATGCATCCGGTGACATTCTCGTAGGCACGGTTCACGTACTGAACGACTCTCTGCTCATCGCACACTTCGACGGCCTGGTCGGTCTGCAAGTCGTCGGTCATGGCGGAATGAATGGACGAATGAGTCTCACCTCGTCGAGGACTGCGAAAAGGGCGGGGAGGGCACGGATGCGATTCGCCAGTCGACCGACATAATCGAAAAGAACCACGTCACGCGTATTCCATGTCACGTGCTGAAAAGAAATCTGATGAATGATTGATGAAGGCGTCGAGATTCACTCACATGAATGATGTTGGATTGAGCCAGCGCTCTCCGTCGTTTCTCGCTTATGTGCCTGGAAATATCGGAATCATACACGGACATGTGAACAAAAAGAGGGATCTGGAGGCTGTTCGGACACTTCTTGAAATTGTATTTCTAGAGAACATAGTTTGGGTACTGTACATAAAATGTTTTCTGTTCCTCGAGGGCTCCAAATGGCCGTCGGATCTCCGTTTCAAAAAACTCACTTCTCCGCAATCGACGCAATTAGGACCTCTTCAGTGCTGACCGACGAGACGTCTCTGCAAAAACGAATGAGTGAGTTTCCGGTTTGTGCCGCACTTTTCGCCCGCCGCTTTATCAATTTCTCGCTTGCTTCGCCGGCGACGGAGACAACGAGAAGAAGGGCGATTAAAAGGCAGAAACCCAATTAAAACGAGCAAAGAGACGGCACTTCCGACTTCTTTTTGCTGAACTCTGATCGGTCATTTATCTCGTTCCAGCTACAGTAATCTTCCCCCCATCCACGAACACTTTTCTTTTTGTTTATGCCGCTAACAACGATTCCCCAGCGAATTGCTCTGTCCGTTAGTCGGCTCCGTTTGGGACGTCAGTGATAAGAGGATAAGGCGGATGGATAAGCAGATCGGCTGATTCATTCCTCTTGCGCGTGTACTACACTTCTCCTATATCGCCTACTTTTTGCTCTTCTTGTTTGTTGTCGGATTTGATTCCGGAGCACAGATGAGAAAGAGAAAAAGAAGAGGAGAAAGAGAGATATGCAACGCGTCTCTGCGGAGAGCACAATCCGGATCTTTGCATGAGATTTGTTTCATTTCTCGCCAAAAACGGAAGCGCAGAAGAGCAACAAAATCAGATGAGCAAAGAACAGGAGAGCGATAATGATCGGTCTCGTACTGTGCTCCCGAAGCACCGCGCCAAAGTGCTCCCCGTTTTGTGTATCGTTCGTTCTAGTCTAGGCATCCCCGCAGGTTGTTTTGCATAGATTGTACGAACATTGTACGCGGCCGCGCGCGGGGCAACTGAGAACGACTCTGGCGTCACCCGAAACCAATTGAAAAACAAACTACAATAGTTACGCGCGCTCATCGCCATTATTCGCATTCAATTGTCCTGCTGGAGCCAGTCCCGGACAGACGACAAAAAGAAATTAAGTATGAATGCAAATGTATCAATCACGCGATCGGAAAAGAAGAAGAAGAACAACAACTCACTTGGCGACTTGAGAAGGATGCGGCACCCGCAAATCGATAAACACCGCCAGGGGACAGATCGACTCGATGTCCGATGTCGCCTGAATTATTCCAGATTCGAATGTGACTACAGTAATCCTGTTTCTCTTTTCATAAATGATTGTTCTTGTTACTGTATTTTCATTCCTTATCAGAAAACCATTAGTAATCATGATCCCTCAATTCGTAACGTTTCCTTATCAACCGCAAAAGTGCGATCATTCGATTATTTCCTCATTGCATCACACAAAAGTCTATTCATCAACTAATCCCCCGAGCACTTTATTCCACTCTCCAGGGGCGCTCCGAAAGCACCTGCCTTCTGGATTAGTCAGAAGTCGCGTGTCTTTTTATCTCGACGACGACGTCTTCTTCCTCTTCATCTTCCTCCACGTCAGCATCAGAATTGTGCTCTCTTCGAAAGATTGTCCAGAGCACTTTTCTCGTCATTTCTGGATGCCGACGTCGATGAAGAGGAAGAAGAGGAAAATGCGACGACAACGGCGACATTCGAAGATAATTACGGGCGGCGCAGAGCGACGGAGCAGACTGACTTGTTGTCATCATGACTGCTCTTGCCCCCTTATTATAAAGAAACGAACCTGAGTGGGAAACGAGATTGTACAATTCCATCCGGCGGCTCTGAGTGAGTCGAGCAGCACGCTCTCGCCAGTTCCCTCCGTCACGATCACTGCCTGAAAATTGCCTTCATTGTCCGATGACACTCAAAAAAGTTTGATGGGAAGGGAGGGGAACCTCGGAACGCCTGTGCTTCCCGACGAAGTATTGATTGACGTGCATCTGGACAAGTTGGGCGCAGCAATGAATGCGGCGTCACAGGTTGTTGCGTGTGCACAAAAAATGTATGTATCTATGTGCTGAGAGTGTGTGTTGCCCGGGTATGTACACCTTTTCGAGCGTGCGTCGACCGACTTCTTATCACAACGCACCCCGACGCGTGCACGCGAAGAATGGGCACAAAGGCGAAGGAAGGGCGCGATAAAATGTTTATGCACAAACTTTCTCCACCCTTACATTGGTGCCACGTCATATAATAGAATCGCATGCACGTATCTATTCCCTTATTCCCTTAGTGCTAGTGTGTTTGGTTATTGAATTTCGTGATGAGAAGAGCTAGAAGGCCCTCTTTTTGCTGCTCGCACATCATCATCATCAAGCAGAAGCCGACGCGAGAAGCGCTTCTTCTCAGTCCTTCTCCGTCCTTCTTCTTCTTCTTCTTCTTTTTCTTCTCCGTTTTGTTGCCATATCCCATCCAACCAACTTTGTTACTTACGGAATTCGCGCGCGCCGCTGCTCGAAGAGCCCCACATCGGCTCTGCGTCTCCGGCTCTCACAGCGCTTCAATGAAGAAGACGACAGCGCGAGCCCGCGCGCAAAAAGGCGCCGAATACACGATTTGTCATCGAGATGAGCGCTGTGCTGACAAAACGAAAACGGCCGCATCGTTCCGCATTCCGCCCGGATGACGTGGATGTCTGCGAGAACTGACGTGCTCGCAGGTGCATCTCCTGTTTCAGAGGCTCTAAGCAAGTCGGAAGGATCGGCACGGAGCGTCGACGTTATTTTTATGTTGACCGACACACTACTCACATATTTCACGCTCTTTTGAGTATAAATACACGAACGTGTCAATATATGAGCACCCCCTTGTTGGGCTCCGTTATATGGAAATGAGGCAGGGGAATTGAGTGCAATTACTGTAGCCCTGGGAATGTGAACTGCACGATGTTTTGAGAGGCAGCGCATAAATTTTCGTTCTTTTGAGAAGGGGCATGCGAAGAACTTTATGCTTTGAGAAGCCCGGGTCGCACTGGGAATTGGCGGACGTCTCAGCCAACCTACTGTAATGAATTAGAACGAAACGATCAAATCACAGTACAGGAAAACGTCTTTTTTAGGTAGGGAGGGGTACTGTAGATGTGGCAGATCACGAAGATCCGCTTCTAAGGGAACCGAACAAGTAACAACTTACAGTTTTGTGCACCTTCACGTGCATCGGACCAAACGTGTCGTGAGTGGATGAGAGGAGGGCCTGATTGGCAGCCGAGCCGGTGGTGGTGGCGACAGTCAGCAAGGGCGTGGGAGGTGCCCCTCGAGATCCGCCACCATTTTCAGAATACGACCCACCGCAGCACCATCTCATTGCAAACTGCTGTGCTGTTAGTGCCTCTTCTAGCTGCGGAGCGTGCTGCCAGCTTGGCTGCTAGCAAGCACCGTGTCGCTCTCTCGCTCCTCGTCTACTCCTCCCCGGTCGTCTTGTCGTCGGCGCCCTCTCTGTCTCCCTCCGTCGCGTCGTCATCGATGGTGCTGCTGGCTGTTGCCCGCGCCGTTTTGCCGCCCGCCGTCCATCACATCCTCCGCCTCATCTCATCGCTTTTCTCATCGTGTCGCCGGCCATACTCTTCGGCCCACTATCGATTTCTCTGTCACGCTCCGCTCGCCGAGCACTATTCGCGGACGACTGTGCCACTTCTCTAAGTCTCATGCCCGGCTCCGCTCTCTCTCCGCTTCTCCTGCTCCTTGTTCTGCTCCGTGTGCATCCGATTTTCACTCAGTTTCAGGTAAAATTGATAACAACCAATGTCCTGTACTATCTAAATTTGCTCGAGAATAATGCCACGTTTGATAGGTTACTAATAAACTATCTTCCGTTATTCAATGATATATCAATTTGCCGCCAAAGTACTGTCCTGCAGACGGAGCACAATGAACAATTGTTTTGTATTTTCGGGGAACAGGTGCCAGACACTAACCGATGAGCTGTCAAATCCATTGCTCACGGAGCCACCGATTGGCAGCGATTTGCAGACCGCGTTTAAGTGGTTTCCATTACGATTCCCTCATATTCAGTAGACCGAGAAATGGAGGAAATGGTCTCGAATCATATGATCTTCGCTTCCCTCACTGCTTCGATGTTTACTACTTGTGATTGTACTTGTTTGTCATTGAACAGAAATCAGAGAATACTTGGGAAACAGGAAGTTAACAGGTACTGTATCGGGAGAATTCGGAGCACATCTGGAACAGTTCGCAGCCCGTCCGTTTCTGGGAACTCGTCGAGTACCGCCCGACGCCTCCTCCCACCACGACCACGGTCCCGCCGCCGACGACGACGACGTAAGTGAACGGCTGACTTTCTTAGACTTCATTCGCCGAATGACCTGTCTCTCCTCTCCGACCTGATTCCCTTCCAAATCACAAAAACAGCAGCAGCGGTCGAAAGACTGACTGACCACGTCATCCTATGATTGTGATAAATTGAAGTGGAATCCAAGAGATTGTCGACTACAACAAGTCACGAGATTCGTCGTTTGTGGTTCAGAACTCCGACGACTACAACCACCAGAGATCCTTGCGAGTCATCGCACCCGCTGGATCTGACCAGAAGACTCCGAGACACTGCCGGATACAACAAGATCTATATGGCAAACGACTTCTCGTCGGCTCGCAATGAGTTCCCGGACCTGCGTGGGTTGGCTCATAAAGCATCCACCGATTATCACTGTGGAAAAAGATGTCAACGGTGAGGGAAGGAGAGAGAGAGAAAGGGAAAGGAAAGAGGTTTAGATCGAGTCAGCTCATTCGAAAAATAATAAAAACGGGTCAGCCGGCAGAAGCGGAAAGAGCCTGGTGGGACGAGGAAGAATGGGAAGAGCGAAAGAAACGGGCGATCGAATGGAGGGATTCGGAGGTCACGGACAGTGCGCTCCTCATGAGAAACACCGGCACGTCCAAGCATATTCTAGGTTCGTTCGCGTCCGTACCTACCATAATACTCATTCCAGGAATGACCGTTGCTGTCGAATGTGACGACGAGAACGGAGAGTTCAACAGCGGCGGCTATTCCCTGTGCACCACGTGCCGGGCCGTCCGTCATCTCCCTTCCACCTACTTTCCACGCGTCATCAATGAGCTCATTTGTTCTCAGAAAGCGTGTCTCCGTGGGGAGGGAAAGTGCATTCAAAGGGTGATGCCTATGAAGGTACATCCGTCGTCGTTATCATCCCCAATTGAATAACACTTTTTAGGTGCTTCGAAATGTGGGGACCCGCGAGTGTGCTCGATGGCACATCAGCTCCATCGACGTGCGAACGTGCTGTGATTGCATGCTCAACCCGTCCTCACCACTTGTTACTTACCTGTGAAGCTAAAATTTTATGATGAACAAAAAAAGAAAAATGGAACAACACGAACATAATGATACAGGTTATCGTCTTCCTTCTCGCTTCTCCATTTCCCTACTCATTCTGAATTTTTGCCTTGTACACTCGATCTTTGTTGAACACGGTGAGAAGCGGGCCGCCTCGGTGCCCTTTTATCTGGAAATGATATTTCACTTTTCGGTCATATTTCATCATCCTCATGCCTGAACTTCACCCTCCAGTTCTTTATCATCGTTGAGCATCTCAAACGACTTCGTAGCTTCGTGTAGAAATCTTTAGAAATTAGTTTGTAAATTACGTGTGTGCAATAAACTATTTCACCTTCGAAAATCCCGCTCCGGTTGGTAGAAGTACAGCTCAGTGCGGTTATCAGCTACGCGATCGGTGGACCACTGACTAAAAGCTCTGTTTTAAATGAAAATAGAGACGTTGTTCATACTTTAGAGCTCTAATTGCAAGCTCGACGGGGCAACGCAAGTAGCCAAATGTTACAGCATTCGGGAAAAGACGTGGATGTTTCTAGAAAAGTTTCTTATGCAGAAAATTAACATTTCTTACTCACATCAGCAAAAACCTCATCGTGCATAGTATTGGAGAAATCACAGCTGTCTAAAAGAGCCGAGTCGACGGATTCGAGTTCGAAAAGCCCAATATCTTCTATCTAAAGTTGGTTTTCTATTATGGGAGTACAGGACAAGATTATTTACGTTGGACAGGGTTAAATGACGCAGTCGGACGCACTTATTCAGGATTCTTTGTAAATGGCTGTCCAGACTGACAAAATAGAAAATACGGAGCACTCTGAAAAGAAAGGAAGCTGGTGAAACATGGATTATGCATTTGTCATTCACCGAAGGGTTTCCCAAGTGTTTCTAGGCCGGATAAAGTCCGCGATGAAGTCGGCCACGTAGCGCGCTTCCTGCGTCGGCGGCTGCAACGAACGTCTCTTTTTTTCAACTTCTAATGCTTCTTACGTACCAACGGGTAGACTTTTCTTTTCGCAATCCCCAGATTGACCTCATAGACCCTTGGAGCGATGTTTGAGAGAATTTCGGCCAGGTCCTTGGCATATGTGAAGTCGTAAATGAAGAAAACCAGTCGTTTGATCATAATAATTTCCTTGCAGCGCTCTCGTCGCTCCGCAAACTTCCGGAGAACATTCTGGAAAACGAAGTGTGTGCGTGTGCAATCTGTTCTCTTTGTTTTCAAGCGTTACTTCTATGGCAATCTTGCTCTTCGACGAGCTTATGTTGATTTCGATTTCGAGGGAATCGAGCAGAATGCGGTCATCTGTCAGACATTCTAAACATTTTGCGGCATCCGAAATGGGCACTTCGATGAAATCTGAGCAAACACTTAAATGGGTTTACGATTCAGCGCGCGAAATCACCATCCAACTGGCACGCAACGTCCATTTTTGGATGCCCATTCTCTCCGCTGCTGCTGACGTTGTAGAATTTGATGACGAACGGCTCCGTTGTCTCCAAATTGTCGATTTGTCCATATTCCTCGTATTCACGGGAAAGACTTTTCTCAGGTGTCCGTTTCCATCGAAAAATCAAATTCTTTTTCTTTGTTAATTTCCGACTTACCTCATAAAGGAATCACTAGACAAAGACGAAAAATCCGATCTTGGACTTTCCAAATGAGCAAAACTCAATGAGTTTGTCGGAGTGCTGTTCATTTTTGTAGGCTTATGCGAGCAGAAGGCGTAGAAATTTGAAAATTTGAAAATTTTTAATCTTTTGATTGTCCACGATAAGTACACCGGGTTGCCGGGTCTCGAACGGAAGAGCCAAAAATGTTTGAAATTCCTGTAAATAGTCTTGTTGTAGTTTTCAGTGTTTTCATCAAACTTTCATCAAATTTCCAGTCTCTTTACTCAGAAAACGCATCCGGCTGTTTATCCGGCACACGCACTTTACGGGTTGCCTCTAAAGTGAACCGAAAACTTATTTTCCCAGCCCTCTTCAACTGTTTCTCTTCCTGTTTCGCTTCTCGCACGACTTCAGCCAACCTTTTTGAAATTCTACGCCGCGCTGGTGCTCATTTTTTGTCTTTGAAGTACATTCGTCCGCCATTTCAAGCTGTCATCGTATTATTGCCAATTTCCACAACTATCTCTCGCTTCTTTCCAAATAACAATGTTTCTTTTTTCTGTATTTGTGCGATGCCCCTCCCACGACGAAGAAACCTAGATGATTGCTCTGACACTTCCAATTAGAGACTGCAGTCTCTCTTTCTCTATTTTTAGCCTAGTATCTTCTGAAAGTTTTTCGTAATTTTCGTTTGTCTGTGCCGCCTACGTGTACCATCGCCTACGCAGTCCGTGATAATTTGAGATCCGACCCTCGAGGAGTGGAGTCCAATAAACGAACGAGTTCTTCGATTTGTGTCTTGTAAGCAGTCAAAAATTAGGAAGCCGTTTAATTTGTCCAAGGAAAATTGAACACTTCTTCAAAATGACTTCCGTTTGCTTTCTGGTGACCTTCTTACACCGCGCTAATCAAGTTGTCAGTCTCATTCTATTAACTCGACGCGCAGAGAAGCAGAATGTTGCAATTGTTTGTGTAAAGCACCCTCCCCCCGCACGTCTGCGACACCCAATATGACGAGCAATATCTTTATTCTCTCGAATTTTGCACCTTTTTTTCCACGCGTATCTCTTCTTAACTTTTTTGTTTGCAGAATCCACCACAAAATGGGATGTATTATGAGCCAGGAAGACGAGGCGGCGAAACGCAGATCAAAAAAGATCGACAGATTGGTGAGGCTTTCTTTTGCGCAATGAGATAACGAGAGAGCGTTGCAGCTGAGAGAGGACGCAGAGAACACGAATAAAACGGTAAAGTTACTGCTCCTCGGCGCCGGAGAGTCAGGAAAATCGACCATTCTGAAACAAATGCGCATCATTCACGATGTCGGCTACACAACTGAAGAAAGAAAAGTATTCAGGGCCGTCGTCTACGGAAACATCATTTTAGTGAGTGGCAAACGGGCAGATCATTTGTGATCGACGTTTTCGAATGTTTTTCAGTCACTTACTGCTATTATTCGAGCTATGGAACAATTGAACATCAGTTTTTCTACAGTCGATCACGAATCAGATGCACGCAAACTTTTGATGTTCACAACTACCGGAGAAGAGGACGAATTGCCTGAAGAGCTCGTTGTGCTTATGAAAAGCGTGTGGTCAGATCCTGGAATCCAGAAGGCGCTCGAACGGTATCATTCCTTTTATCAGTGAGAATTCCTGGATGGCGAGATAAGATAATACGATTAACCACTGCCGAAAATAATGCTGATAGCGTTGTCTGATTAAAGAAAAGTTCCAGCTCTCGTGAATATCAACTGAACGATTCTGCCGCGTACTATCTGAGTCAACTGGACAGGATCTGTGCACCAAACTACATTCCAACACAGGTTCACAATACTTTTATGCGAGAAAATAAAGATACCTCCCCGACGTTTCGCATTTAACGTGAACTACTTAGCGATAAACTCAATTCATGCCCTCGGTGTTTGCAGACTCAAGCCAAAATTTCTGAAATTGGGCTTGATTACGCAAACACGAGGGAGCAAGAGTGGTGAATTGAGAGGAAATTGCAATGAGCTCATATGGAGAAGCCTTGATTTCAAAAACTTCAGAATTTACGAAGATTTGATTGCAGGACGACATTCTGAGAACTCGAATCAAGACAACCGGAATCGTTGAGACACAGTTCGTCTACAAAGATCGACTTTTCTTGTATGTTGAAGCTGAATTGAAATTGAAAAGGATAACTTTTAGGGTGTTTGATGTGGGTGGACAGAGATCTGAACGGAAAAAATGGATCCACTGCTTCGAAGACGTCACTGCTCTCATCTTTTGCGTCGCCATGTCAGAATACGATATGGTTCTTGTCGAGGATTGTCAGACTGTAAGTTTTGGGCTGTTGAATGTGAGCTTTGAAGTTTTAAATTCAGAATCGAATGAGAGAATCTCTGAAACTGTTCGATTCGATTTGCAACAACAAATGGTTTGTCGAAACGTCGATTATTCTGTTCTTGAACAAGAAAGATCTGTTCGAAGAAAAGATACAGCGATCTCCGCTCACGCACTGTTTCCCGGAGTACACGGGCGGTAACAACTACGAAGAGGCTTCTGCTTACATTCAGCAACAATTCGAAGAGGTCAACAAGAGAACTGTCGGGCAGAAGGTGAGAATCCAAGCGAAAATCCCTCGGTAACCGCCCCTAAGACTCAGGAAATCTACACACATTTCACATGCGCAACTGACACTAACAACATCCGATTTGTGTTCGACGCCGTCACTGACATCATCATCCGCGACAATCTGCGTACGTGCGGACTCTACTAACATGCCATTCTCCAATATAAAACCCTTCAATTTATCCGGTACTATGTATTGAATTGAGCAAAGAGCTCGTCCCCACCCCAAACCCCGTTCACTGTCCCTATTCTACGGTTATATTTTTCGTTCTATTTTTAATGCCTTATCGAACATCGTTTTACTGGTAACTGCACTTACAAAATATCAATAGTTTATAATGGATTTTTCTTCAAAACGAGCCATTCCCCTTTGAATCAAAAAGTAAATAATTTTAACGTGACAAGTTTTCTCCACTTTTCCGGTTCCAAACTGGGCGATATTAGTTTTAAAGTTAAACAAAATGCGCGTAATACTCTGGATTGCCTTTGCATGCTTATCAATTGTGGCCGAATCCAAATATCGCTTCAGATTCCGTAAGTCTCAGAAGACGCTCGGAAGGACGGAAGTGCGTTCAGATTTGTGTAGATCAGAAGATCAGAGCATTCTGGAGCAGGAGAACCTGCCTTCGCTTCGGCAGATCGTCTTCGTCGACGACGGAGCCATTCTTTACGATGACAGTTTGGAGTGAATCTCGGTGACCGAAAATGAAATACTCATTCCAGAATCAGGCCTAGAAAAGGTGGGATTGTCCATTGGGAAAGGAGACGAATTGGAGAATTATTCGATGAATTACACGACTGTGAGTGCTGCAAATGTGGCGCTTCAACGGAATAGAACTGTTATGGGGTTATTCAGGCTGTGAAAAAAATTATTGTTTTCCGTTTTTTTTCGTGTTTTTACGTCAAAAAATCCAATTCAGCGATGTAAAAAAACGAAAAAAAACGGAAAACAAACATACGCTGAATAGTCCCATTACGATTTGCAAATCGCAGTTGTATTTTAATGTTGCGAGTTCCAAATCGTAACAGTTCTATTCCGTGCGAGTTCTATTCTGTTGTAGCGCCACAAATGCTCTCCATCGCACATTCTCATTGGAGCGCGGTTCAGGGTGGAGAATCGGTGCATATCGTCGTCAAATTCAAAAAATCGGAAAATTTGCTCGTTATTAATCAATGGTAACAGCAATTTAAAATATTAAAATTTAAAAAAACAATATTCAGGACGCATTCATACTATTTCATGGGGAAAAACGAAAAATACACGTTTTCGGGCAAGAAAGAGACGATCAGACCGTCGCTCGACCACTTCATCCGCGTTTATTTCGTTTGTGCTCCGGGAAACGGCCGCAGTGTGCTCATTTTGTTCGGCGAACAATCTGATAGGAACGCGAACGGAACGGAAAAGAAACGGACGAAACGGGATGCGCAACCGAAAATGAGCAAAAAGAGCGAGAAACGAATAGAAATGCTGCAGAGGTGTGCGGAACTCGGAATTGAAAATGGAATGGCGATGATTGAAATCTCATTTGCAGACTGCATCTCAAACTGAGTCTGACGTTCATTCATTTCGGATTCGCCGTCGCCGCCGTCGTCAACGTCGTCGTGCTCGTCGTGTTCTTCCGTGTTTGCAACGCGGCAAAACCGATGAAAGAAGCGAAGAAAGCGAGTGTGAAAAACTCGGAAAAGGCAAATAAATAAATGTTAATTTTATTATTATAGTTTAATAAAATAGTATTGTACATACACATGTGAAAGTGTCTTCTGTTCTTGTCTGGGAATCAATTGCACGACGAGCATGCCTCCTTTTCCTTCTCTTTTTCTTTTGGTAATTGCGGAGAATTGGTGTCCGGTTTGGACATGAGTCGCGAGCTCGAACATCTGAAAAGGGCGCTTCGGAAGGATCGGAAGCAATCGGATACCTTCGGAGGCTGAGACTCGAGAAGAGGGGCGTGCACTTGAGCATGTCCTTCAGTTGGATCGACTCGTAGTTCTCGATCGACTCCTGAAACTTCTCGATCCATAGCTCCTTGTCCGACTTGTCAGCCGCCTGAAGGGTGTATATTCCGACCACTTGATAGTATCTCGTCAGATGAATTATCACGAATGCGAACTTCAGAGACACTGTAAGAAGGCGAGATGAACGGACTGGATGGAGTGATTCACTCACTCGGAGTCGCCTGATCGTTGGAATCCGCATCACAGAACACGCATGAATCGAGTGGGACTGGCTGTCTTTGCACTATGAAATGCTCTGATTTCCCGATCGGAATCCCCTTCTGAAACAATTTAACTCATTCACCCCTCCATCCGCTCTATTCCTAACCACTTTCAGCTTCGATGCACACTTCTTTGTCTTCGTGAGCACGAACATATCATTGAACAAAAACGCGTACATGTCCACAGTCCGCCCGTTTTCTACCAGCTCCAACGGGCCCTCGTGGATCAGTTTGCGGCGAGGATGGGCCAGAAGGTTCTCGCAAAACTGGCGAGAAAGAGCAACGCGGAGGAACTGAAAAAGGTATGACTTGAAGGAAACAAAAGGGAACGGTTACATCAGGAATGTACGATTTCGGTTCCAATTCGCTAATGTTCGGCCAGATGACCTGCGTTTGCAACTGCTGAAGTCTCTCGAAGTTGTGCAGCCACTGGACGCTGTCGTCGATCGAACGCAGCGATTCGGTCATCGTGTCGATCACCTTCTCCACCTTTCCCTTGCACTCCTCATCCGCCGACCTCTTGTGGATTTCACGAAGAAGGATCGGAAGGCGGGTTATCCTTTGGAGAGGGGCGATCAGAAGATCTTCCAGTTGGAGACGGAAACATCGTTCGTCGGCCAGACATATCCTCTCGAACTCCGTGAACCGTTCCTCTTTCTGTCGGATCGATCCAAGATACTCCATCGTGGCCTTGTAGTTGATGCAATACGCCTGATACGCAGATATTGTGGACGGTCCCTTTGAGAACTGAAAATGTATTTGTACTGGAAACTGATGCTCGTTATGCGAACCAACCCTCTCGAACAAGTCGACGACCAGCTGCGTGCAGTCCCAGTTCTGCTTGTCTACCGTATTCAGAAGCGAAAGAAACGATTGACAGAATGTGCGGGAGATTCTGAATGCGATAAGTCACAAAATGCGACGGAAAACAGCGAAATGAAAAACCTGCAAAGCTGATCGAGGTTGCCGAATAGGAGGTCGGGCTCGACGAGCAACAGACAGCCCTCGACTTGACATCTCTTCAGCGGCTCCTTGTAAACATCGCGTAGCACGAAGAGCTGGCGGTAAAGAAAGACGAGTTCGGTGTGGAAGAGCTCCCACACCGCCTGAAGGTACTTGTTCTTTGTGGCCGGAATCGCCGACGTCTCGTCGCCCATGAACATTTCCTCGAAGGAGACCGGCTGAAACAGGACTGTCAGCGACGTTCAAGCTTCTTCTTTTCCTAATGCAAACTACGTGGGAACTCCAAACTAGACCACTTTCGTATCCGATTTCAACTAACCAGCAGCTTCTCCAACTCGTCATCCTCTATTTCGTGATCCTTGGACGTCTCAAGAGCCGCCTGCACGTGCTTTATGATCTCCCGCCGTTTCGCTCGTCCCGACCACTCGTACAATCGTTTCAGAATCCACGGAGACCTATTCTTTTGTGGTTCACTAGCTTCGGCATAGAACGCCTGTGATGCGATGGTTGCTCTTTGCAAATCTGAAAACGGTTTCGCATGAGAAATAGACTACATAGAAAGTGAGCTAATGGGCAGGATTCAAAAAGGAGAGAAGTGGGCAGTTTGTGCTAGTGGAATGTTCCGTTCACGCGAGAGATCTACTGAGAATGACGGAAAGATCATGACACGACAGACCCGAACACCTACCGAGAGCCGTGATTTTATTAGAATCTGGAACTGTGGTTACAAAAGCAGTGGAAAGTGGGACTGACCTGCGAGAAGCCCGCCGCCTGAGCTAATCGCTCGATTGAAGAGGTGGCTTTCATTGGGAGAAATCTGCACGTGCGGGACGATGATGACGTTGTCGGAGGAGCAACATCCCTGGGAAGAAGCCTCCTGATTCTCGTTTGGCTGGTCCGGAATGATTGCATGACGTCGTGAAAGTTGCTCCTTATTCGGGTGGATCGTTTGAGGCTCCCCCTCTTCCGGCTGAAAAAGGGGTGTTATCCAGGTCGGTCTACAGTATCCCTCTGGTCAATGTCTCCCTTTTCCTTGATAATACCTCAGAGTACCTAATCAGCGGCGTGAACAGTTGTAAATCGACCATTGCGGACGAATGCAAAGTGACTCTTGAAAGAGAGGACGTACAGATGGATATTGGGTTGCGAAGGGAGCGAGCGAGAGGAATTGCCTCGAGGGGCGCAAGAGCCGCACGAATAATTACTCGATTCTTTGCCTTTTTCTCCTCCGCCACACACACGTCGACCAATTATCAGAACAAGGATGAAATGACGGAGTAAGAGGAGTGGACAACGAAAGAAGAGATGAGAAGAAGCCCGGGGGAAGATGTGCACTTGGACGCACAATGTTCTCCCGATTACTGCTTATTCATCTGCCATCGTGGTCGTTGGGCGCCGAAGAATGGAGGTGTAACGAGATATTGTTGAGATATTATCGAGAGCAGCGAATTGTAGGCGGACAGAATGGAGTGTGAAGAAGGCAAAAACAAGAAGGGACGCCGAGCAGAACGCCACCAAATTAATTCGATTTTTAACAGAGCACAGTGTTTACTTTTTTCTTTCAAGTTGGTCTGGAAAGAGTTCGGCGGGAAATGGAATCGAAGGTCGGAGGTGGAGGTGGAAGTGACTAATTCGATGCGATTACGGGTGTTTCCGATTTCCGGGGGAAAAGAAAACAGAAGTAGACAGCCGGGGACGACAATTGGAGTGTTTCGGGTGCGGTGACGACGGAAAGGGATGGCCGGAGAGTGATGGAATGCGTAATGCGGGTGGGAGGAGGAGGAGGAGGAGGAGGAGAGCCGCCGAGTTCAGAGAGTTGCCACGTAAGCACGAGACGAGAGCCGCCGCCCCGAAGGAATATTTGATATGGTCTGAAGGCAGCCCGATTCCTCGATTCGCCTAATTATCCGACCTTCTTATGTGTCAAATTTTCGAGTGTGCGATCCCTTTCCCCTTCTTCTATTTTTCTCACTAACAAGTCTGTCACTCTCCGTCGCTCACTCGCTCTTTCTCGCTTTTCCGTCCATCGGAGAAGGGGGATATTCTGAAAATAGGTGTGAGAAACGACGATAATGAGAGAAGTACGTGAGAGATGCGAGCATGGAAAAGCAGCCGAAAACACGAGTGATTAAAGCGCTCCTTCTTCTGCTTATGAGGGAGGGATCGGCCAGAACACAGAGTGCAAGATATGGATTGGGGTTCCGGAGCGGTAAAAGTTGGATGCTAATTCGATGCCATTCACGCTTCCTGTCTTTCGACGAGATCAAACACCAATCAGACTACATTTATTAATTGAAAGGGTCTTCGCAGACACTCACATCATCTCATTTCTATTCTCGGATTCTAAAAACTTCAAGTATCAGGTGAGAATGACTCCTATCGATGTCTCAAAAGTGCGTCCAAAACGCGTGCTTCGAAAACACTGTTTGTAGTGGAGTCATCCGCTTGTTTGCGGCTTTTGCGGGCCCACAATTCGTCATTGTTTTCAGGAGGGAATCTTAAGAAGGTAGCCGAAATGGAAAGAGGCAAGAAGAGTTTGGTGCGAAGCGTCAATTGGTATTTCTTGGTGGAGAAGCGGCGACGAGTGGATAATTGAATAGAAGTACAGCGGAAGCGGGGAGAAAAATGCCAAATTGGAAAAAATTCAAATTGTGCCGACGAAATTGGTTTCCGTCCTTTGGGTCGACGTCTTGGCGCCGAAAAAAAGACTGAAAGTGTCGAATTTCGCCGAGGAAAGGGGAGGCTAAAAGGGTCGACAATCGGGGCGGGAATGTTTCCGAAAATTGATCAGAGCAACATAGACACGCATCGGGTTTCACACCCCAATTTCTTTTCTCTTTCCTTTCCGGAGTACCACGCGATGCGAGCAAGAAAAGGGAAGGAAGAAGGTGCGGAAGAGGTAGATATCACATACCCTTCGGGAGGAAACTGCTTCCTGGAAACGAGTAAACATTCAGAAGGGAGTCCGTCTCTCTCTCTCTCTTTTGATAATGGAATTAGCACCAGAGAGAGAGAAAGAGAGAGAGAAAGAAGGGGGAAGCAGCTGAAACACGTCGAGAATTCAGGCTAATGTGTCCTTCTTGTGGGCACGAATTCTGGTGACAATGGGGTACGAATGAATCAGGACGCATGATCATAAAGGACTACAATAGACCCCTCGGGAGGACAAGATGACGTGGCACAGAAACGGGAGAAAGGGGCTTACCGGTTTGATCAGTTGATTGCCGCGCAGATGATGGAACAGGGTAAGAGCCGGCGCTTCGCTCGTCATTCGATTCGTGTCTTGTTTGGTCGGTTACCTCAAATCTGGTGTGTCTCGCTCTGGAACGATGGCAATTAGACGAAAGGCGGTCCGGAGAAGGAAGAAAGACAATTTGATTGAGCTAATTAGAATTGAGAGCACAGATGAGCTTTTGATGGAATGCCGAAAATGGATCGGAATGGAGGATCGGGTGGAGTGAAAATAGAGAAGAAGACAGGCGGAGGAGAGGCGGGCGAGGCAGCAAGTTGACAAATTCGACACTTTGGACACGAAATTGGATGAGCGAAAAAACGTCAAGGACCCCATGTGTGCCGGAATCTGGCAAGAGAGTCTGCTAATTTGTGCTCGCACACCCGAAATGTTTTAGTGAGGAGAGTCGGGGCGAGTACGTATCTGGTAGGTGAGGGGCGGAAATGAAAGGGTTACGGACATGATGGATTGGGTGCCGGATGGACTCTTGATGGAAAGGGAATGGCAAGGAATGGCGGAACACGACGCAAACGGGTACTCTCTCTCTTTCGGGGTTGACTTTTGTACTTGCACTAGCATGCTCTCAGTTGGGATCTGTGTGGGATCGGGTACAATTCCTGGTCAGAAATGTTCGGAAATATCTGAGTGAATGGAAAGAGTACGCAAAGAATTTCCTCATTCACGAGAATCTTTGCAACTTCCTCAGCAATCTTCTATAAATAAGTCTCATAAAAAGTGCAAACGTCGAAGAGATCCACGTCATAAATCCTTCGTGAGACTCTCTCGCTTTCTTCGGAAATCATCGTCTTCGAACCGACTGCGTCAGGGCTTTCGTAATACGAACACGAAGTCGAAAAAGAAGAGAAAAAGAAGAAGAAGTAGTAGTAAGGCATGGTAACCAAGGAGGGGAAGGAACAAGTTGCCCATGGTGAGCCACCGAAAACATTGCGACGCGCAGTCAGGCTCCGCGTGCACCCGGCAATTAGAGTACGGAAAGGACACGCGGAGGACACGTGGCACTGGAGGACTTGTCACTTGCCATCATCATCAGAATCGCCGTCGTCGCCGTGCCCCTTCTTCTTTCCCTTCTCCTTCTTCCACTTTATGTCGCCGTGCTCCGATCCGCAGAGTGTCATCCGTGTCAATCCCTTTTGTCTGCGTCTCTCCGCTCTCTTTTCGCGCTGAAATTCTAAACTTGGCCAACGAGTTTCAAATTTACACAAAAAAGCTCATTAATTGGGAAAGGGAGAATTGGGTGTGCGTGTGACGGATGGAGGAAGAGAAAGCAAAGAAGAAGAAGAAGAATAAGAAGAAGAAGGAGAAGAAGAAGTAGGAGCAGAAGAAGGAAAAGAAGAAGAAGAAGAAGAAGAAGAAGAAGAAGAAGAAGAAGAAGATGGAGCACACGGGCGAATATGTAAATATGTCGGGTACGAGCCGCCGCTTCCCTCCCAATTAGACGCCGTCCGTTCGTTTGCACCTTCTTCGAGTCGTCCGTCGTTTTGTTGTTTTCCGCGAGAATTCATTCGAATGCATAGAGTCTTCGTCCTCTTACATTTCGTGCGATCTCTTCTCAAAACGAGCCTCTAGTGACATATAAATATCGAGTTTAATCAGAAGACTACAAAGCATACAGTACCGCTCAAAAGTATATTAAGTTTTGGTTTTTTGGTGATACCTCAGTGAGTACTAATCCGATTGACCTATAATTTTCAGGGATAATGTAAAATAGACTTTGAAACATATACGGTATACCTGGACATGCCTGCAATCACTGTGACGCGATTTCACACAATTTTTCAAAAAATTAAGTTTTTTCGTTTTTTACACTTTTTTTTATTTCTTCCAAAAAAATTTTTTTTAAAGTAGTAATGTGTCCATATGTTTGTTTTTATGTTTTCAGATATGGGAAAGACGTCTGGAAAGAAGAATTTGACTGATAACGAGAAAAGAGCCCTCGTAGCGGGTCGTCGAAATGGGCTGACTTTGATAACGCTGGCAAGAATGTTCAGCGTGACAGAAGCGTGTATTTCTCAATTCTTAAAACGCTGGAAGGCTCAGGGTGGCTTTCCCGTGAGCCACCGCACTGGAAGACCACGTGTCACTGATCCCAATGACGATAGAAACATTTTGAGGACCTCTAGAAGCAATCCAAGACTCACTGCCCCTGCGATCAGACGGGAAGTTTTCGTGAATTCGCCATCTCCACCATCCGTCTCGACCGTGAAACGCCGTCTAAATGCTGCTGGAATCATGGGCAGACGTCCAGTAAAGAAACCGTTGATTTCTGAGAAGAACCGATCAGCCAGAGTGAAGTGGGCAAAGGATCACCTCAACTGGACCCGACAAGACTGGAACAGGATTCTGTGGTCCGACGAAAGCAAATTCCTGCTCTTCGGGAGTGACGGAATTCAGTGGGTTCGTAGACCAATTGGTTCCAGATATGATCCAAAATATCAACTGCCGACTGTGAAACACGGTGGAGGTTCGTGCATGGTGTGGGGTGCCTTCTCTGGAAATGGCATCGGGCCGATTCATCGCGTGAAGGGCATCATGGATAAGAACGTCTACAAAGACATTCTTCAAGACCAGATGTTGCCGCACTTGAGAGCCATGGGTCGTGGGAGTGTATATCAACAGGATAACGATCCAAAGCACACTTCTCTCTTTGTCAAGGTGAGAAAATTGACAAGTAATCCGTATTATGTTGAGTTTCAGGATTGGTTCAAGAGCCGTCGGGTCAACGTCATGGAGTGGCCAAGTCAATCTCCGGATCTCAACCCGATCGAACACCTCTGGGAGGAGTTGGAGAGACGTTGTGCTAACAAAAGAGCCAAGAATTGCGACGAGAAGTTCGCCCAACTGCAGTCAGAATGGAATAAGATCCCCATGTCGACCATCGACACTTTGATCGACTCAATGCCCAGAAGATGCCAGGCAGTTATTGATGCCAAGGGCTTTGCAACGAAGTACTAGATCCCAAATATTGTCTTAACACTGTTTTTTGTTAATAAACTTTGTTTTCGTTGAGCCAAGATAATTTTAATGAAAATACCAAAAATTCGATTTTTTCAAAAATTCGATTTTTTCTCGAAATATTTTTTTCTGTTGAGCTAGTGGCCTAAAAAATTGCCAGAACACGCCTAACCCTTCCAGGAAAGTATGGAAAAAAATTTGGACCGATACCATATCTCAAAATAAATTTATCACCAAAAAACCAAAACTTAATATACTTTTGAGCGGTACTGTATGTACGCGTTTTGGAGTGCACTGACCACAAACGTTTTGAGCACTTGCCGATAGCTCAAACTTGATCTTTCGAAAGTTGAAATATGTCCGTGGCACAACATCTAATCTGGTAAGTACCCGCTCAATTGAACTTTCCTCAGGAATAATGCAATCAAGCTCTACTGTTCAGGGTTTTGGAACCCACGTGATGGTGCACTTTTCTGATATAACTGTTTCGCATCAATACAGTATATGAAATCTTTCGAATTTGTAATCATGAACATGAAAAAGAAAAAAATAGTCTAAATGACTTTTGATGAGAATTATTTTATGCGAATTCGTCTCCAAGTTGCCAAACACACATCGTGCGCCTCGAAACTCGATACACAAAACAAGGTTTCCGGTAAAAAATTCATGGAAATTGGAGTGAAACCATGTCGGTTTTGGTCTTCCTCTTCCCGATTTCTTGGTGCCCGCTCTGGCTACGTCGCATAAATTCATCGGCATTATGCCCTCCATCCGTCTTCATTCGTCTGCGTCTTCGTTTATCAAACGCTCTTCCTTTAATTGACTGAATTTGGAATGATGTTTCAACAACGGAGATGGCGGCCGAAGAGCCGCCGTCGAAGAAGAGAATGGGGATGGAATTGAATGCAATTCTCGCGTCCGTTCCCCCCAAACAAATCCTAATGAAATCGACGGGTACGAAAAAAAAGCGAAATGAGGTAGAAATGAAGGTGGCCAAATCGGAAAACAATGGGCAGAGATGAGGGGAAGAGGCGGCGGCGAGTTGTTCCCTTCTTCCGGCGATACAACATGTAGGCGTCCCGGGGAAGAAGCAGATGCCAATGAGCATGACATACGATATTCGGAGCAGCAATGATGACGAGAAGAGCAAGCGGATGGAAGAGGAGACGGAGCAGAAGTCAATTCGAGAACATTCGGGAGTCTTTGGAGTTCTGGCACACAACCTGAACTTGTCTAAGAACAGATTTCAGATATAATCTGTCGCCTCAACCCATTCAGATCCATGTTAGAACGACCGTGAACAAGTGAGTCACCTGCCAGACCGTATCCGCTCTTTCCGTATCTCATCGCCTACTTCACACGCTCTCTGACTCATTAGCTTGCATATCGTGTGTAATATACGGGCGGTCTTCTGTTTACAACCACTTATGACTCAGTCGAAGACTTCCTCATCTCTTTCCAGCCAATCAAAGTTGGGTTTGTTCACTGAATTGTCGAGAGAGGGAAAAAGGTGTTGTAACATGCCGATTGGACAGAAGAGACAAAACTGGAAACGGACCGATCAGTTGACAAGTGGTGACCCTGAAGCGAAGCGTCGAGAACACAGTATCAGCGGCGTAGTCGTCTTTGTCTGAGATTCGAACGGTTGTGAGGTCATCTGCAGTGACGTGAAATGCTTTTCTGCTACACTGAAACAGGTTGTCTCGAGGCACAGATTAGCCGCACAGATATTTCGAAGGTTTCTCAGTCGAGGTCGCCACTTTTCAGATCTGCCCATTCGGGCCACACCGTCTTCCGCTTCCGTTTCAAACGGCATCTCTTGTTGCCTTTTCGAGTAGATATCTTGATTTATTGCAGCGAAAAACGCTCACTTCCAGAATTTGAAACATTAAAACAGTCAAGCACGTAGACACTTCCAGCAGAATCTCGTGAAGCAGTGCTTTGTCCTCCCCCGAATCTGCCCAATCCTCTTTGGTTTCCACTCCTCCTCCTCCTCTTGCTTCTCCCTCATTCCCTGTATTCTTCTTCTTTCGCTTCTTCTTCTTCTTCTTCTTCACACCTCTCGCCTTACTCGTGCCAACCATGTCTGCCAACTCCCTTCCATCGCCCTAATCCCCGCCTCTTTGTACTTTACTACTACTTGAATGAGGTAGAACAAATTGCGTGTATTGGCAGAAGACAACAACTGAAACCAGACGCAGCCAACCATTCGCCCCTCCGTTTCATGAGACTTCTCCACAGCTGCTAGTGTACTCGCCACTATGAACACGCTTATTTTCCTATTAATCACGCTGTTGGCGTCTTGTGTACAGGTGAGCTGTTTCAAAAAATACCTGAAGAGAGTGAGATTCGAACCCACGCCCCCGAACCGCTCGGCCGTGATTTACACTTGATAGAAAGACAGGCAATACCCAAATGTTACCCAGTACTTGATACGTGACTATGACTTGGCTTATGATTGAAACAATAGCGGAAATATTGGTGTGTGACTTGAGTTCGGTGCCCGCCAACACTAAAATTACACCTATCAGAAGAAGAATCTCGAACCGAAAGCAACCGGTTCCCCTATTTAACTTTTTTGTAGCCGACTGACTGCCATAAACTCGTTTCAGGCTCAAGACTTCATGTCTCTCTTCAAACCATTCCTCGGAGGTGCCGGTGGCGGAGGCAATCCATTCGCGAATCCTCAGGCGATCGGAGTACGTTCTGCCACGTCATTTCAGAAATCGAAAGCCGGCTGAAGGGGCGAGGATTGTTGTGTGAATGGCGGTTACGCAATGCCAAACACATAACACGGGCATTTATTTGCATACGGCATTGAAACGAACAGAAAGCGAAGGGGGATCGTCGTCGGCTATTTAGCAGCAGGGGATTGACGCGATTCGGGTCTTTTTTGGCGGCAATGCAACTTCTTGTTTCAGGGCATCTTCCAACAGTTTGCCGGAGGAAATGGAGGAGGATTCGGGCAGTTTTTGGGAGCGATGGCACCGGTAGGACCACCTCCGAGGGACCTCCCTCACCACTTTTGTTCCAGAAACCTCCAGCAGCTCCTCGACCAGCGATGCCACCGGCTCCAACAAACGAGGACTACGCCACAGACTTCGACGAGATAAAGCCGAAGCCGAAGCCACGAGCCAAAGCAGCCGTCCACAGACCGCCGCCCCAAGGTGAAGACGACGACCAAATCGATATGTCACTCACTAGACTCGGCTAATCAGCAGTAACCTCACTAACCTGTGTGCACACGTACGATCTATCAGAAATACTAATAAGTAGTACAAACTGCGTTTAGAGTGACAGAAAGTTACAGTGATTACGTGATGTTCTCTCTCTCTATTTTTCTTTCTAGTTTAGCTAATCTTGTTGTAATCTCTGTAATCTTTTGTCTCTCAATAAATATTCATTCATCTAATTCTCTTTTCACACACATATTTCAGCCGATGCTCCGCCAGCTCCTCCACCGAGAACGAAAGCAGGAAAGATTGATCGCTTTAGGAACATCGCCCGAACATTCGCGCCGTTCTTCTTCAACGAAGTCGAGCAGAACACCACTCCGGCGCCTCAATTCAACAATTACATCTGGCAGAATGCTCCACCAGTCACTCCTGCTCCGTTCACTTTTGCTCCTTTCTCTTTCCCAACTCTTCCTACTCCAGCGCCTTCCGGACCTACTCTAGAACCTTATCTCCCAACAACTGCCAGTCCCAAACTTCTGGCTCACAATACCGCGAGAGTATGTAATTTAGCACATCAAATTCAAGTACTCTAGCCGATATTTCAGATGATCCGTGAGATTGCCAGCTTCTCCGATGGGGGCCATACTCGCGAACAAGACTTCGGAGCCGTTCAGACGTTGATGCAGGCGTTCTTCGAAGCCGTCTCAATGAATAACAATGGAGCGGCCGGATCAACGGGGGCAGCAGTGGGAACACCTTTGGGAGTGAGTTCCCAAGTACAGCATCGCAATGAAATCTGAGATCTTTCCAGGACGCGCCGATGTTGAGCGCCAGGAGAGACGGAACCGAACTGGGAGCCAATAGAGCACTGACTAACAAGCTTTTCGAGTCGGACATGGTCCTTACAGTTCCACAGATGAAGGCGTAAATTCATGTTTGAATGTACTCTGTAATATTCTTCATTTAAAGCGTCGTTCTGGCTGCTCAAGAAGCTCGTAACCCTCGTCGAAGGTACAGAAGAAAGGTGATCACTGGATCGGTGTACAGATGGAAAGGAGCGATTCCATTCCGGTACAAAGGAGGAGACGCTAAGTGGAAGCAGCTCATCCGAGACGGATTGAACCTGTGGGAGAAGGAAACTTGTGTGAGATGGAGGGAAAACGCGCCCGGAAAGGATTACGTCATCTTCTTCCGCGGATCCGGGTAAGTTGTTGTTAGTATCTACGTGAAATGAGTAAGGAACTTCAGATGTTACTCATCGGTAGGAAGGACTGGCGGCTCGCAGCTCATCTCAATTGGTTACGGATGCGAAGACGTTAGTGATGTTAAAACCGTCACAGCATTAACAGCACATTTCAGAAAGGAATTGTGGCTCATGAAGTTGGACACTCTCTTGGATTCTGGCATGAACAGTCTCGCCCGGACAGAGATCAGTACATTCATCTGAGGAAAGAATGGATCATAAAGGGAACGGACGGAAACTTCGAGAAGAGAAGTTGGGAGGAAATAGAAGACATGGGAGTTCCTTACGATATCGGAAGTGTCATGCATTACGGTTCGAATGCGTTCACCAAGGATTGGGATCAAATAACCATCGAGACGAGAGACAGCCGATACCAAGGAACAATTGGGCAGCGGCAGAAACTGTCATTCATCGATGTAAAACAAGTGAATCGGCTCTACTGCAATTGTAGGTTACTCAATCTCGCCCGCAACAAATGATACTTTTTCAGCGGTATGCCAGACGGCGCTCGCCTGCCAACACGGCGGATATCCGGATCCGAACAACTGCTCCAAATGTAAATGTCCGGACGGTCTTGGAGGGAAACTATGTGAGCACGTGGCAAAGGGAACAGATCATGGTAAGCCTGAAATTAAGGGAAATATAGTAGATACCAGAATTTGCAGCCAAGTGCGGAGGAGAACTGATTGCCACTCCAGAATGGCAGGAAATGATTTACAAAGGAAAAAGAACGTGCAACTGGAGAGTCAGAGTGAGTCTCTTCCCTCACATCGATCCGTATTCCCATAATCCTTTCAGTCTCCAAAAGGCCGTGTCCGTCTGGTGCTCACCGAACTCCGTTACCAGTGTGCCACTTCATGCAAAGCGTACATCGAGGTGAAGCACAACAGCGACTTCCAACAGACCGGTTTCCGAGTATGGTGGGTCCAATTGAATCGGGCGAGTGTCTAGTGTGGAACTGAACACTTTTCAGCTGTTTCAACAAGACTTACGACGTGATTTCTGATCAGTCCGAGGCGTTGATTCTCTCGAACGCTAACATCGTCGACTATGAAGTGTCGTACAAACTGCAGTGGATTCAAGGTGAGACGACAGTTTCAGATGTAATAATCGAGAATGTTTGCAGACAATGGCAAGCCGTTGCCTCCTCCGAAACCCACTTCCACGTGGACTCCGGGACGGGAGAACCGTCCGTTCCGTGGAGTCGAGAATACGGGCGGCTCGATCGAGAAGTTCATTCTGCAGGCGATTCCCAAGATCAGAGACTCGCACCGTCCGCTCGAGAGCATCGCGAGCATCGTCACCGAGTACGGACTTGCCACTCTACTCGGTATATCGCACAGTGGCAAGAAATAATTTAGTAGACAATTCTTTCTTTTTTTGTACATTTGTCCACGCTTTGCTCATTCCTTTTGATTGTCGGGTTCCGTAGCCACATCCACAATAAAGTGATTACGCGTACCTGCGTGTGTTGAGTGTCACTAGGTCACTCTCTCCTCTCTCGCCACACTCTCTCCGTATTCTCCCGACGCCGCCGCCGTTTCGGATCGCTCATTTCCACAGTTCCGATTCGTTCCTCTCCATGATTCTCTTCATTTTCCTACTTTTCGGAGTCCAATTTGCACGATCCAGTAGGTATCTCTCGCATTTCCACCACAGACGAATCTGCTTTAGTCGGTCCTGTACGTCCGTTCAAATATGCGCTTCCGAGCGTGGGAAGGGACCTTCCTGCAATGCGAACTTTCGAGAATTACGCGGCGTCGTGTCGACCGACCAGCAAGAAAGATTTCAACATGGATCAGTTAGCATCTGTGAGTAATCTCTCCAACTTTCATTGCATCCATCAACGAGTTTAGCTTCTCCAATCTCTCCAAATTGACGATGTTGCCACAAAAGTCTACAAATCTCTGTTCTTTGCGATGGCCGATATGCAAATTGAAAAGTTCATGGGAAAGTGGTACACAGTGGTGGATTCGAAGGAAGTGCACAAAGAGGACTGCTCGATTTTTCATTGTTAGCCTTACATCGAACTCTTCCATTCAATAACGTTTCGATTTTCAGTCAAAATGGTTTCTAAGACCCCGTATACAGCCACGTTCACTTCCAGACAGTATGCGCTCCTCGGTGAAGACGTTATAACCAATGAAGGGTACGGTAGCATGAACGGACCGGACGCGGGCTCAGTTCTGATAACCACCGGGCACGAGGGAGATCAATGTCCATGTAAGAAAAGTAAAACATGAGATATTTTATAACAACGGTTTCAGATTTCCCGGTCCGTCTCGGAGGACTCAACGACGAGGGAGACTATGCTTACATGATCCTGAGTACTCCATTAAAGTACCCAACAATGGTACTGGCAAGGTAAACGGGATAGAACACTTTAAAAAAGCCAAGCTCGAAAGTTTCAGAGACTTGAGTGAATTTGATTCGAAATGGAGTAAGGAAGTGTACGAATTCGTGGAGAAGAACGGCTTCATGAGTCCGATGGCTGCTCTCAACACTCGGCTCCACTTCACGGACGTCGATGTTTGCCGTCGCGTGAACAAGTTATACGAAAATGGCACTGTTTGAGCAACAGATTGCGATCGTTTCCTTACGGGTTTCGCGATAAAGTATTTCTTCGTCTTTTTCTGCTTTCTAGCCGACATAAAAAGACCGTAGCCACACCGAAATTACCCCTTGAGGTCATCAAATTCCGGGACGCTCCACCCTTTGAATTCCCGGTTTCTCTCTCTCTCTTCCGAATTCTGTTATCAGCACGTGTTTGATAAGCATTTAAGAAGAGCAGCAATTTGAAGTTTTCGTGATCATTCGAGATGTCGGCCGTCCGATTTTCTCTGCTAATTCTCGCCTTCTCAGTGGCTGCTTCCTATGCGGCTCTTCCTGATTTAGGCTACCCCGGATGGCAGTGTGATGCTTCTTTGTATCAAAAGTGAGACAAACTGAAAGAAACAGACGGAGAGGACAGTGTTTTCAGAAGCAAGAAAGTGCCGACATCAGCTCATTCCGTTCGTTTCTCTGACATCAAAGTGATCGGAGCACTCGGAGATTCTCTGACTGCTGCGAATGGAGCCGGAGCCCCGAAAGGAGACCCGCTGGCAGTAATTCTGCAGTACAGAGGACTCGCTTTCCAGTGCGGAGGAGACTCTTCTCTGGACGAACATGTCACTGTTGCCAGTACGAACGACCTGATGCTCTCCGTCATTCATAGTATCTCATTTTCAGATGTACTGAAGAAGTTCAGCCCGAATATCATCGGCTACTCGACAGGAATCGGAAGTGCCAATGTCTGGGAGGTCTCCAAACTGAATCAGGCCGTTCCGGGAGCTGAAGCAGTCGATATCATCACTCAAGCACGCGCTCTCGTCCAGATTATTCAGGGTCATAAAGAAGTGGGTCACAGATCACACTGGTAACAGTCTATAGATTGCTTCCAGATTGACATCAAGAACGATTGGAAGCTTGTCAATGTGTTTATCGGCGCCAACGACATGTGCGCGTATTGCAGCGATAAGGAAAATGTTGGTTTCCCTCTGCAAATAACACGAGAGAGACTTTCTTCTTTTAGGGATCGCACTCGAAGGCCCAATGGAAGCAGAACGTGATCACCGCCATTCAGATCCTCAGGGATAACCTGCCAAGAACCATTGTATCCATGACCGGAATGTTCGACATGGGAATGCTCCGACAGATCGACCACGACAAGTACTTCTGCGACGGACTGCACGTGTTCGAGTGCCCCTGCGAGAAGAAGACTGCCTTCTCCAACGACGAAATCTCTCAGGCATGTCACCTTTACATGGATGCTCAACAAGAGATCGTGGACTCGGGAATGTTCGACACCACTGACGACTTCACCTTTGTCCTCCAGCCCTTCTTCAACGGCATCACCGTGCCGCCTCTCAAGCCGGACGGAGAGGTCAATCTCGATTGGTTCGCCCCCGACTGCTTCCATTTCTCGAAGCTCGGACATGCTAACGTCGCGAAGCATCTGTGGAACAACATTGTGCAGCCGGTCGGATCGAAGAGTCACAAGGTGGATCTTTCTGATCCGACGATCCCGCTCAACTGTCCGGATGCGTCGTGCCCGTTCTTCCGCACGACGAAGAACAGCTTGGACTGCTCGAAATATTTGACCGAGTAGACTGTATTCTCCTCCATTTGTATATATTCTGAACCTCTTATCGGGTATTTTAAAAAGTTATTGGACGGCCTTTCGACAACATGGTTATTATCAGACGCAAAGGGCGAAAATCGTATTTTTATCAGTGAAATAAAAACGAGTCGTGGGGTGGGAGTATAGAGATCTTTTCAGGAGAATCCGGAAAAAAATATTATCACGGGTTGGGGAGGAGATAAAAAATATCATGGGAAAATGGAGAAAACGTTTACTTCGGGCACAATTCATTGCGGTTTCACGATCTGATCTTCAGTGATTGTCCGCGCGAACTTCTCCTTTTCCGACTCGATCTTCTTCCATTTGGTGCGCCGATTCTGGAACCAGATCTTTACCTGAAAGGAGCACGGAACCGTGGGAAAGTGAGGAAGAGGGAACTACCTGAGTCTCAGTGACGTCCAGCCGACGGGCGATTTCACTTCTGTCACTGCTCGACAGATACTTCTTCGTCTCGAACTGCTTCTCCAATTCGAACACCTGCTTGCCAGAGAAAGTCGTTCTCGCTTTCTTCTTCTTCATTTTCGAGTTCTTCTCCTCTGGCGCTTCCTTCTCCAAACTCGCTTCTGAATGTTCGATATAGAAATGATTCTGAAAACAGAACTCACTGCATCTTCCGAACTCGTCAATTTCACCATTCGAAGTGGGCAAGTCGAGGATGTCCTTTATCAGATACGTCTTCCGAGGAGCCGCCAGTTCCTGCCCGAGAAGAGCGAGATAGGGATGGAGGAGTTGGAAGAGCCAGTCGGAGTCCATTTCGGAATGAGTCGCCTCCATCGGCGGCTCCTAATCCCTGCAATACAGTAGTCTCCACCCTCAATCAAATAATTGAAGACGTTGGCGGCGAGAAGACTCTGGGGAATTTTTGATGGTGTCGACAATTTTGCAAAGTGGTCGACAATGATTGCGCAATTGGTGGCGGACGAGCTCTTCTCGCAGCCAAAAAGCGCGCTTCAACTCGAGCAAGTGTGCCAAATTGAATAAGGAGGAATGAGCGAGATGATGGCCGTTTGGCGAGGAGGCACTCTTCGGAAGAGACGCCAAATCGTGGGAATCACAAAAAAAACCGATGGGAGCATTTAGAGAAGAACAGAAAGGTTGAGAGAGTTTGAAACAAACTGAAGAAGATAATAATTTTTGCTAAAAATCTGAAAAGTTATTTTTCCGAGGGTTTAGACCGAAAACAAGAAGTGTGCAGGTGTAATGAAACCTCTCTAGAATGCGACTAGATCTGTCTCAGTGGTTCGAAAGTATACCTTCGATGGCATTTTGACTAAAGACCAATGAAAGAGTTGTGTCGATATTTAGAGACTTCTCAAAAGTCGTGATTATTCGGTTATACGAATCGGCTCTCACACTCTGCCATTTTCGCCATAATTATGTGGGAATGCAGACATTTGGAGCACTTTTCCATTCCATTCGGAGCGGCTCTCACCTGCTATTAGAGCTGCATTGAATGTCCAATCAGGCCGCCCATTCTTCTCCTTCTCCCATTTGTTTACTGCCCGGCTATCGGTGATGCTTCTCGAGGGAAACATGTACAAAAGAAGTGGACGCCGTCATTTCCGATGATCCCCGTCTCCATCTCCTTCTCCTTCTTCTCCTTCGTTTCCGTTTTTATCGCCGGCGCCGCTTGCATTATCCTCGTGGCGGGCATTTCTCTTCAAGGATTCACTCAATCACATTCTCCACACATTCAATTAATCCAATGTCCTTTTTCAATAAAGAAATGTATTCATTCGGAATCTCTTGTTCAATTTGTACAGACAAATGCCGACCATTTTGAAGGGATGGCAACGGCGGAAACCCAGGGAAAGTGTGAAAAGAAATGAGGATGAGCCAGTGAGCCTGAGCAACCAAACTGCGCATAAATAGACGGTTGAAACAAAGAAAAAGAAGCATAAGTTAGACAACACTAAAGGATAAAATACTAGGGGAAAGAACGATGGGCACTTAGTCCTCCCAGGTGAGCGAGTGGCGGTTCTCGTATCTCAGCTGGCAGTTTCTCTTTCCGTACCAGTTGACGTAGGCGAACTCGGCGTCGGAAACGATGGCGTTGAAGCGTCCTCCGAACTTGGCCGAAGCGTCTCCCTCGATCTTGCGGGCAGCTTCCAGGTTGTCCTGAAACGAGACTGATTGGCATGTCAATCCCTGTTGCACCCATCCGGATAATTGGATTTGTCTCCGGTTCCCGTCTCAGGTAATTGCAAGTGTTCGGCTATTCGAGTGATTTATAGCCAAGTCTCTCCCATCCCCTTCTTCCCCTTGTTAGCCTGATCAATGGCTTCCAGTTGGCCAGTATCATTTCGCCATCCCATTTACATAATCCAAACCGGGTTTGCAACATTTCTTAAATGTCATTAAGGTACGTACGGGCAGATGGTGTTGTAAATAGGTACGCTAACGATATATCCAGTTTTTGTTGCCGTGCCCGTTATCAAGTTTTCCCTCCCCGCGCGGTGATGTAATCGGTGGCGGAAGGCGCCGACAAGGAAGCTGAAGACGTAACAACCCGAACGAACTGACCTTCTCGTTCTTCAAGGCACTCTCAACGATGGCGCGGAGCTCCGGATCGTCGCAGTTTCCCTCGTCTCCCTCCTCATCGGCGTACTCGACAGCCTCGTTAGTCTCCTGGAATGGGCAGTGTGAATTTGATCAGATCAGATAGAATTGAATGAGAATACCTCGACGGCATCGACGTTCTCGGACGCGACAGCTTCGGTGGAGGCAGCTGGTTGCTCCTCGACGATGTCATCATAAGTGCTCTCTTCCTTGGCAGCAGCAACTGGAGCCTGCTCGACGACTGGAGCTGGGGTCTCTTCGACGACGACTGGAGCCTCGGTCTCAACAACAGCTGGGGCCTCGGTCTCGACGATGACTGGGGCTTCGGTCTCGGCAATGACTGGGGCCTCAGTCTCAGCGATAACCTCTGGAACAACCTCTTCTTGGGTGGTCTCGACGGTCTCAACGGTCTCAACGACGGCCGGTTCTGGTGCAGCGACTGGTGCTGGCTCTGGGACTACTTCCGGTGCTGGCTCTGGTGCTGGCTCGACGACCTGCTCAACAACCTGTTCAACAGGGGTTGGAACAGGCCCTTGGGTGTACGTGGCAACTGGTGCTACTTGCTCGACAACTGAATGTGCATGAGTGAGTGCTAGGTGAAGCGGTGCCTGCGGAATGTGATCTTACCTTGTTGGACAGCAACTGGGGCCTGCTCGGGCGCCGCCTGGTAGAGTCCTCCTTGTGAGACCTGTGTGACCTGGATAGAGCTGACTGGTCCGGACTGGTAGGCTCCTCCTTGTGGGGCAACTGGGGCAACTGGGGCTGGCTGGTACGAGGAGATTGGTCCTGGAGCGACTGGGGCTGGTCCAGCCTGGTATCCTCCCTGGGCAGCAGCTCCGATGGTCTCGATGGCAGCGGATGGGCCAGATTGGTAGGCTCCTCCTCCGATTGGTCCTTGCTGACCAACAGCCTGGTAACCTCCAGCAGACGGTCCGACTTCTCCTCCGATTGGTCCCTGGTATCCCTGGGCTGGTCCTTGAGAGTAAGCTCCTCCAGCAATTGGTCCGGCGCCACCCAAGAAAGCTGGGGAAGCCTGGTATCCTCCTCCGATCGGTGCCGGTGGTGGCGGCGGCGGAGGCGGCGGCGGCGGGGCGGCAGCGTAGCTTCCGCCACTTGCGTAACTGTAAGTGAACACATTTACGGGCGAAAGGAAGCAGGTTTCGGACATGAAAAGGACATTTTCATAAATGGGGTGGCGAGTAGAATGATCTTGTCGCCACCGGAAAGCGAAGGATCAAATAGAAAAGCGAAGAGAAGTGAGTCAAGAGTTCTCGAGAAATTGTTTAAAGTTTGAAATGGATATTGGATTACAAAAGATTTCTGTATCGGGCGGACAATTAGTTGCCGAAATGTTACATTTGAAAGACCAGGGAACAGTCCGAGATAATGTGACACTATCAGAATCCAAACTCTCAGACATGCTAGAACAGGGTTTCACGCTGTTCCGCTTGCAGACATTTTTGAGAACTGAGATTGTGGCCAATAGGAGCCAGAGAGACACTCGGAAAGTTCTTTGATCCTTTGAGAATCGAAAGATATATAAGGCAGCTTAACTAGAATTGGAACGAGAACAAACGAAAGGAAGCAATTGATTACCTGGAGCTAGAGCACGGCGGAGTAGCTGCTCCGCACGACGGCTGGGAAGGTGGGCAGCATCCTCCGGCACTTCCGGCACCTCCGATGCACGCCAACGCGGGCGATACGGCCAATAAGACGGCGACCAGGACTCTCATGACTTGAGGAGAGACAGCGGCGAATGGGGATGAGTAACTGTCGTCAGATGGCAACGCGACGTGCCTTTTCTACCTGCCACGTAACTCCGCCCCCACCGGCGCCTCGCTCGCGCCCTCCGACGACGATGCCGATCGCGTTTTATCGATGATGATGATGAGATGAAGCCTTTCGCGGCCGATTGCGACATTTGAGGAATCACGGGCGGACGGACGGAGACAGGACGAAACGTTGCAGGAGGAAACGAAATGCGTTGCGTACGAATGGGGTTCGCATCAAAAATGGGTATGGAATGAGTGGCAGCCGTGCCACGTCATGTATAATGGCTTCTGATAAGTGGATTGTCTGGACTCTACATGGTCTTTGATACTTTATCAGACGAACGGAAGTCCCCGAGTTCCGACCAGAAGAGCACAAGGATACTGAGGAAGCACACTCATTATGCAGACGGTTTCCTTAGGGTGGTGAATCAAACTAACAAAGAAGAGCTGCAGCCATCCGTGATTGTCTCTGTTCTCACCCAGACTGTCATCTTCTTGATCATCGCCTTTTTCGTTTTCTCACACTTTCTCCCCGCAGCCTAATGAAGCGGATAAGTGTGCTTTCTACGTAATTCAAACTAATTTTCCGGACTTTCACTGCGAGACAGTCCGAAAAGGAACTAATCCGAATGAATCTTCGTAATCCACGGGCTCTTTCCACGAATGTGCTCCGTCCCTCTCCAACTTGAGTGTGCTTATTTTATCTGAAATTCGTAATTAATGCTTACTTGAATCTACAAGTTTTCCCTTGTCCCGTTTGAACTTTTATCTTCGTCCGATAGACTCCACCCGTTCCTGCTCTTTATCACCTCTGGCCTTCTCCGAAGGTTCCCTCTTTTTCCCTCTCAAATATGTGTCCTTCCTCCTCCTGCGTCTTCCATTTCTTCTCCAGACATCGAGTAAATACTTGATATGCTCGTTTTTGCTGTCTAGTGAAACAGACGTCGTCGCAATCGGGCAGCATCGGTTGCGCAAGAAGGCTTGCGCGCCGTCGATTGCGTACGTATTTTTTAAGGCGAAAAAAGAGAGGAGGCGAAGTGATAACCGAGATGTGTAATCAGATAATCAGAAATAGTGTAACTCGCAGAAGATCCTTTCCTTTCCGCATTTCCATTCACTTTCGACCGCGCCGTCGAAAAGGACGTACAGAATGGAAAGTATGGTAATTGTTGATGGATCAGCGTAGAGAATGACCAGAAGCTGCACTAATGGTCGGCAGGCGGTCGGCAGAAAGAGGTAAAGCTGCGGGGAGCTGCCGAACGACACAAAATATCAGAGGATCCACTTGTGTCTTGTGACTTTCTTTCCTGAAAAAGAAAGGCAACTCATCTTCTTCACAGTCATTCACACATTTTTTCTCAGAAAAACTCTTTATCGTTGTATTGTTTACAGATATATTACAGCAGCACAGAACGTTGATGTTTGCGGATAAGGAGAGGAACCAGTCGTCGTGCCGTATGACCTCTCTTCTCCTTTCTCTTCTGCTTCTGCTTCTGTCGACTCTTTCTCAGAAGGCTTCCCGTTGCGAGACGACGCGTTCTCTTCCTTTCCTTCATCCTCCAAAAACCCACAAAAGGTGTCCGATGGGCACTTTATCGCTGCCGGATCGCTTGCCGTTTTCTGCCGACTGGCTGCAGGAGGAGGGGAGAAACGTGTTTGGGCCGGGCGGCAGCACACTTGTAAAAATAATAATAAAATAACAAATCGAAGAATGGAAGAAGCGGGGGAATCTGGAGAAGACGTCTGTTTCAATTGAAAGACAATACATTTCGAAGCACTGCTGATGACAGGTTCCACCCGATTCGAGGAAGTGGATTCGAGTGGGGCAGACGGAGGAGATGGACGGACGGTCTGAAATGATATTGGTTACGGGAATGATACTGAGGTTTCGGAGTGTAATGATGGAAGATCGGAATGGGTTTCCCTCATCAAAATGGTCACAGCTTAAGAGTGGAAACTGTATGATCAGATCTAACCCACCATCTCAACGGAAACAAGTTGCAAATCCTCCCAAAACATTCGTTCCTAATGTTTCAACTTCTTGTTATCTAGATGCTGTGGACGGCTTTCTCTTAGCCGCCTTCCAGTTTATCTGACCTTTGAAAAAGTTTCCTTCTTCCATCTAATTGCATCAATTATTACATCTTCTCACTGAACCCACCGAAGACTGCCGAGACACTTCATCTCCCTCTCTCCCTTTCGTTTCGCACATTTTACACGTAGAATTCCTTGGCGATGGCGTGCCGCTTCGGTGCATTCCGCGAGAGATCATACGAATCGGAGAAGCGGCGAGAGAAACGGAGCCACACGAGCGCGGAGCACAGGAGAAGGAGAGCGAGACTGAGCAAGAGCACGGCCCATTGGTACCATAGCATAAGGAAAACTGGAAAAAGTGGAATAATGACGGGAAACGGGGACGGATGCTCAGGAGAATGCTTAGAGAATACGACGAGAAGCGGGGTAAAAAACACGGAGAGAATGGACATATATGTTTATTATTCCCGAATTAGAAGTCGTGAGAATTATATGATGAGAAAAATAAAGAATAACTCCTCCTGGAATGAGGTAAAATTATATTCTTCGAGGGGAATAAAAACTGAATTAGAAATGAAATACCACTCTCGTGAATGGGGAAGGAGAGAAGGAGAGAAGGAGATAGAAAAACTAATGAGCATTTGACGCTCTAAGGGAAACTTAGATCAAGAGTGAGTGTCGGGTGTCCGAGAACATCTGCGAGACGCCGTTTTCCCGGGCACCTCCGAGAGCCCATTCGGCAGAGTTATGAGAACGGGAAAGGGCTGGGCGAAGATGTTGCTGCCGCTGACACGGATGACAAATGAGCACCGGAGGAAGGCTCTTTTCGACAAAGTCGGCGCGGAATTCCGAAAAATGCTGCCTCAGGGGAATTGAGCATTCAGCTCGTGTTTTTGTTTGTGCTGGTGGTGTTCGTCGAGGGATACGAGACAAGTTGAGAGAAAGTTCGACCGAATGCCTGAAATTCAATTGGGAGCGAGAAGAAAAAACGAAAAGGAGCAAGGAAAAATGAAAAAGAGAGAAGAGATTCGGTTTGATTATGGAGAAAGACTCTTGAACTCGGAGAACGAGAAAAAAGGAGGGAGTTTGGAAGATGAGAAGGCCGCAGGAAGCACAACATTTTTCGGAAAAGTTGAACTTTTTGCGAGAGATAGACCGAGTTTTGTTTGTCCGAATCGTATTGGAAACCAGCGGAAACATTTGTTTGATGAATAAAGAAGATCTTTTTGATGTTGCATCTTGTCCTTGAGCATGTGGAAAGAAAAGACAACTCGAGACGCTGCTCATATCGAATTCAAAAGCTGACAGACAGAAACAAACCGGAGAGCTCTGATTAATGTACGTGATGTCCGAATTTATCCTATCTACCAAGAAGTCTCGTATGACAAACATCTTCTTTCAAACTTTCACACCCCGAAGCACCATGCTATTTTCAGTTGATCCTCAACCTGAACTTGTCGGAGGTACAAACTTAAATTTCCGACCTGTAAACCATCAATGGATTCTATTCCAATGTACCCAGCCGGCAGAAGGAGCGCTACTTTAGTTGGTGGCCGAACATTCACGACATGGCCTAGGTTTCACGCGTTTTCGAAATTAGTTTTTTCTTCAATCTTCCCCGACCACTTCTAAAAGTAAACGAGTCCACAACTTCAATAATAGTTTTAACTTTTTTCAGTATAAACAAATGTCGGACTTCGTGCCGGAAACTGATGAAACCGACGAAATTCCAATGGAAACAGAATCTGCACCCGTTCAACGAACCGTTCCGATAATCACACAAGCTCCAGTCATTGACCAAAGTGAGTTTACAACTCGAAAAACCAAGTACTTACTACGTTGATATTTTCAGGTTTCACCCGCCGTTTTCTCAATAACAAATGGTATGGGAAGTACGGAGAAGAAGGAGAACTTCTGGAGCACGTGAAGGAAGACTGGGTCCCAGTGGCGGAGGATCTAGTTGAGTTTTTGAGTCAGCTGTGGTTCGAACAGGAAGAACAGGAAAGAAATGCAAGTGGAGATGCTTCCTTTCTTATAAAGAGCTTTCTGTTTCAGGCGCACAAGCATTACGACTGGGACGAAGAAAAGAAAGAATGGGTCCCGAAGGCAAACGCTGAAGAGGAAGTGAATGAAGACTTCCTCGCAGAGTATCAGGCGAACTACGGAGTTCAATACGACGATATTTACAGTAAGAGAACTATTTACAAAAAGTTAGTTTTCAAAATAATCTCCAATCTGCAGAAAAAATGGACGAAGAGATTCAAGAGAAAACTGCAAAAGCACAGAAAGAAGACGAAGAAAAGAAGGAGAGAAAGAGAAGGAAGAAGATGGGATTGGGAAGTGAAGATGCCAATAAAGAAGGTAAAAGAACAGTTAGAAGCCCGGAAAACGGTAGAATTGCAGGTTGGATTGATCTTGGAGACAAAGTGCACGCTGTTTACGTTTCGAATCTGCCGACTGATATCACGGACGAAGAATTCCAAACGTTCATGTCGAAGTGCGGAGTCATCCAACCGGATATCCGAACGAATAAGCCTAAATGCAAACTGTATCGAGATGAGGATGGAGATCTGAAAGGAGACGGAAGGTGCTGTTATATCAAGAAGGAATCCGTCGAGCTGGCATGTAACATCCTCGACGGAGCACACTTGAAAGGCAAAGACGTGAAAGTGGAAGAGGCTCGTTTTGAAATGAAAGGAAACTTTGATCCGACCAAAAAACGTAAGAAGTTATCGGCGGCACAGAAAAAACGGTACATAGAGCAGCAGAATAAGTGTGTTTTTTCCCAATTATACTTTCGAAATAAGTTTTCTTTTTAGAATCTTCGAGTGGACTCCGGATAAACCACGTAACTACCGCCCGAAGTCAGACTGCACGGTCATCGTCAAAAATCTTTTCACTTTGGAGATGATGGCCAAGAACGCCGCTCTGATGCTCGATCTGAAGGAAGAAATGCAGCAAAGCTGTCAGAAGTACGGAGCTGTCAAAAAAGTTGTCGTTTACGATGCGAGTCCCTTTCAATTCCATTTATCAATTCCAATAATGTTAAATTTCAGAATCATCCAGATGGTGTTGTATCGGTAACATTCCCGACGACCGAAGAATCGGATAATGCTGTCAAATATCTGAATGGACGCGTTGTCGACGGAAGAAAACTGACGGCTGAACTGTGGGACGGAAAGACCAAATATAAAGTGGAAGAGACGGAAGAAGACGAAGAAAGAAGACGGGCCGAGTTCGAAAAGTTTATCAGTGGAAAGAACGAAGAAGACGAGGAATGATTGGAAATTCACCAAAACGCGTTAAATTATTGCTTCTTTTATTAAAATACAACTATCACATTCGTGTAAATAAGGCAAAATTATTGGCGACGTCAAATTTAGATTCTCTTCAGTAGTCCCTCGACGGCTCGATCTACTTGGGCGCGAGTTTCCTCGTACTTCCAGAGCGAGCAGAGCACCACGTTACTGTTGTCAATGCGCTCTTTGTTGCTGATCTGAGAGGACATCCTGTCGCGGGCCTGTTCTTCACTCAAATTGTCTCTTTGCACAACACGACAGACTGCTTCTTCTGCTGGAACGAAGACAGTCCACGTCTCCGTGAGGGTTTTGTGCCAGCCTGCTTCGATGAGTGCCGCCGCCTCGATTACTGAAATTGGAATTGAAATGGATCAGAAGGATAATTAGTATTATACCGACGACTTTGGCAGTGGATTGTTTAGCAATGTTGGCTGCTTTATCGCGAACTACAGGCCAGACCAGTTCACTCAACTCTCGGAGCTTCGATTTGTCAGAAAAGACGATCGAACCGAGCTTCTTCCGGTCGACAACTCCGTCCTGAACGACGTCTTCTCCGAAGTGCTCCGCGATCTTCTTGCTCAATGAGCTCCCCTTCTCGTAACAAGTATGCGCCAGCTTATCACAATCTATCACATGGAACCCGTGCTTCTCCCTCAGATATTTTCCAATGTGGCTCTTTCCCGATGCGATTCCCCCAGTAAGTCCCATGATGTACGGACGGCCAGGATCACGGGGAACGACAAGGGTCGGGCGAACAAGTTTTCCGAGATCTGCCCGTCTTCTGGAGCTCGAACTGATTTTCGTTTCGTTTAGAATCGCATCGTTTCCTTCTACCAGTTCCACTATTATCACATCCAGATGTGTCATTCCCTTCTCTCCTCTCTTTTTGTTCACTGCGTCGGCTCCTTTCACCGTCTCTCTGCTCACCACTATTGCCTCCAAATCCTCAATTCTTGTCGACGGTCCGAATGGATCAATTATCGGCTCGGCGAGACATTTCGCCTGAAAGAACAGAATGAATGAAAAAGAAAAGAAACTCGTTCATGTTCTTACAGTTCCGGAGATGTCCTCGACAAACTCGACGACTTTATTCATTCTCAGCTCGACTGGCTCAATCATCTCAAAAAGAGATTTTTCTGGAAACAACTATCAGTAAAACACGTGAGTTTTCTCTTCACTGACTGGTAATCATATCTTTCTCGGTCACTCCGACGACGACGTCTTCCGACGCCAGTTCGGCCGCCTTGTTCAGCAGAACTTTATGTCCGTTATGAAGGCGATCAAATGTTCCGCCGAGCACCACTTTTTTGTATTTCTTCGTTTCACTTCCGTCGACTTTTTCTGGCTGTTCTTCTCCAATCAGAAGGTAATGCTCAGGCAGAGTGGTTTTCACAAGCAACCGCACATCGAGGTTCGGACATTGTTGCGCTGAACTGAGGTAGACATTCGAGACGAGCTCATCTGTTCTCGGTTCTTCCGGGTTTAATCTAAATTGATTTTTTTTTCGAGAACTTTTGATAAACTGTACCTCACGTAAAGCCTTGATGTCAGTGAAGAGGCTGCCGAAGTGAGCAGTTGTTTCAATTTGCGCACATTCTTGCTGCTGATTACGAGAAGTCCGTACTTGGACGCCATTGCCAGGAACAGGATGTGTGGACTGTCGGCGTGTTTCCCCAGATAAAATCTCTACCGGCCCGCGCCTGGAAATCTGTGTCAATTGACGTTAACGGTGTTTTCCATCACATTTTTTTCAGTTTTGGTAGAAACTAGCAACGGAGCGCGTTTGCTTTCGGGCCGGTGGCCGTGGCCTAGAAACTGCCGAAAAAATGCCAATGTTTCAAAAGTCAAAATTTAATCGCATTTTCATTGTCTTCATGTTTTAAGTATCAAGTTTTCTTACTAAATTTTATTTTGATAACACGCAATTATCGATCAGAACTGGTTTCGCCGCCGTAACATACACTCCTTAGCCTTGCGAAACCGTTATCTTTGAGCAGTTAGGTAGTGATAACAACCAGAGCTGGGAATTTGCCGGCGGCGGTTTTTTTTTGCGGAATGTGTATTTGGCTCACTTCCAGTTGACCGATCGGACCCAAAAAATGTTTGGACATTGACCTTATATGAAGCATCTCCAGGACAATTTTCAGCTCGATAGGATAATCTGATCTGGCTATAAATTTATACGCGGCCGATGCGGCCGTCTTTTTTCAAAAAACCTGGCCGGAGCGACCGCGTTTCGGTTTATCGCTGGATGAGATGATCTATTTGGGCCCAAAATTGTCCTGGAGATGCTTCATACCAAGAGCAATGTCAAAAAATTGTTTGGGTCTGATCGGACAGCTGGAAATGGGTCAAAAACACAGGCCGCAAAAAGGCGTGGCCGGCAAATGCCCAGCTCTTGTTATTAACAACCCATCAAATCAAACACATTAAATCAAATATTCATTGAGCAAAAAGAGAGAGGTGTGTGCTCATTCACAGCATTTCCCACATTTCAACCCATTCTCGAACCATCATCCTCCGAGACCGTTTTGTTCTTTCCCTTCTTCTTTGTCTTCTGAAATCAGTTGTGAACAAATTGGACAAATCGAGTTCACTGCTCACCTTCGCACCCTTCTTTTTCTTTTTGACCGATTTCTCTTTCTTTGCCTCCGCCTGTACTGCAGCAGCCCCAGCTCCGGGGTCGTTCTTTCCGAAATCCGCATCTTTCAGTCCGACCTCGGGCGGTGCAATCATCGGAACCTGCTGGTATGACGGTCCTTTGTAGTCGCTCATGCAGTCCCAGTCTGGCGGCTCTTGCGAATTCGCTTTCGATTTCTCAAAGAGCTTCGTGATTCCATCAGCGAGTCTGTCGTAGTCGACAAACTCGGCGACGTCTTTCGGCTCGCGAATGATGCTCAGAAACTCGAAGAATCCAGCGATCGTCTCCGGAGTGGTTCTCCAGACGGCGGCGATCATTTGGGCAGTGATTCTCTTTTTCAAATGAAGCACATCCTGCTCGCTTTCCTTGTTCAGAAGAGCCCATGGAAGTGCGCCCAGGAAGAACTCGAGGCACATATACCACCAAGATTCCATGTCATCTCTGTAGCCGAGGTTCTTCTAAAATGTCACTTTTTTGTTTCTCCCAATTGATAAAGAACTGACCCCTTGGTGGGCATGGACACTAGCGTATTTGACGACTCCTCTATAAAGAATGGCGTTTTTCCGAATTTGCTCCTCGGCTTCGTCGTTCTTCTTGGCGAATCTGCAAAGAATTATTGATACCTGACGTATATGCTCTGTTCTCTACGGGCATGTGATCAATTAGTCTCCGTCCTTCCTCTCTCTGTTCTGCTCTTTCAAGCGTGCCGGCCAGTACCCCCTCAGTCTGCCGTCTCGCTTGCGCATAAGAGCCACACGCTCCTGCTCGCTTCTAATCTCGCTCCTCGTTTTGTTTTCACGACGCTCTTAGTTACCTATCTCTATTTTTCAGAATGGACTACGATAGTTCAAACGAATCGGGAGGTGAAGTGGAGGCCGATTTGGATGCCTACGGAGGCGGTATTTTCAAAGGAGAAAATCCGGATCACACAATCAGACATGCATTGGCATTGGCTCAGCATAGGCAAGTCACTAATCCCCTCATACGCGCACCTCGGTCTCTTGCACAATCCAAAATCGAGTAGGAAAACGTTGTGATATTGATCTTCGGACTCGCGTCCAATGCAAAAGTGCGTCGGTTTGATGTCTCTGTGAATGAATCCGTTGCGATGCAAATCCCGAATAGCGGTCAGAGTCTGTTCGGCCAAATGAAGCCCAGTCGCCATGCTGAACTTTTTGTCCTTGTTGGTGCTGTGCATCAGATCGTGCAAGTTATCGCCGTACTGAAAGTAACATATGCATGAGCATTCCATTTAAAAAAATGTTCACCAGCGGCATGACGACGAACAGAAATCGATTAGGCACTGTTCCACGTTCCTCGATAGTCACGAAGAACGGAGAAGGGTAGTGAATCGAGGCAAGAACGACAGACATCTGACGGAGCAACTGAATCGCATCCGTTCATTTTAGTAAGCCAGGTCTTTGGTCCCAATTCTTACCGAGTTTTTCATATTCAGCGATTCGCATTTGACAGCAAAAAATTTTCCATCGCTCTCACGTTTCGCCTTGTAAATGGAGCCGAAGGTTCCGGTGGCGAGTGGTTTGGTGACCTCATAAGTGCCATTCTGCGCAGTGATTCTTTCCTTCTGCGGTGTTCCCGCCGCCGCCATCTGATCCTTTTTCTATTGTCCGGACCGTCTGAATCGTAATGAAATTATCAGAAATAGAGGATAAGTGAGAGAAAAACGTGTTTATTGTATTTAGTGCAGCACGGGTCATTGGGTGCACACGGACGGGATAAAGCCGTGAGATGCCGGCCGGTAAAAGTTTGTGGTATAATTGAGAAGTAAGAATCGAGCATTTGATTTGATACATTGGAACTTGGAGGGCGGTCCGCACAGGTGGGGTCCGGGGCATTCGAGTCGGCGGATCTCCGAGTAGTAGCCAGCGAAACTTCTGGAACAAGATACCGGGGGCTCCTGCTCCAGTTTTGAGATCACTTCGGTGATTCTCTCATCCGAAATCGTTCTGAAATGGTTACGTTTCAGAGGCACTCAAAAAGCGACGATTATTTCGGGAAAAGAGAAGAACACAGACTTGAAACCGGCTTTCATCACTGTCCTCTGCAGTTTTTTCAAAAAAGATGGCTACTCTCAACTATATTTGGGCATTCCAAAACTGCCGCCTATCAACACAAAATCAGATTTCAATCAACCGGAAGAGTACGCTGACTACGACGGAAAAATGAGTGTGTGGTACGAAAAGACGGAAAAGCGAATCAAAATTCAATGTAAGCCGACGGAATAGGTGATCGACGACAATAACATTGATTCATTCCAGACAAACCGTTCCCAGTGAAGCAACGTAAACACCAATGTAATCTGTGCGAATGGTCGTTCGGATCGTTGCCGAGACTCATAAAGCACAAGGACACTCACTGGGAGTCCGGAGTCTATGCCTGCCAAGTGTGCCACAGTCTCTTCAACTTCCAACACAATCTGTACGCGCACTGGAGATCGTCCTGTCACGCGGTCTCCAACAAACGCACCGACGCAGAGATCACGAGCATAGAAATCGGAAATCTTCGCAATTACGTGCTTTGTGTTATGGGAATGGAAAACCGTGCTCAACTATTCCACGTATTCGGAGGCGCCATGTTCCTTCCGTCGCCCGAGTTTCTCGCCGAGCGCCACAATGAAGACATGCCGCAGTACGCGTTCCCGTGTCATCTGTGCTGTCTTTCGGTTCCGATCAAACTGTTGGAGTGCCACGGAGACGTGCATCGTGGAAGATTCCGAATCGACGGATGTGTCTACGGAAACTACTTCTGCCACATTTGTGCCCACCTTTTCCAGTGAGCCTCATTTATCTTGTTACAATTCTGAGAACTCTTTTTTCAGAACCAAAGAGAGCTTGATTCGCCACTGGAGAACGGCGTGCGAGGAAGTGATGGCGTACACTCCGGACGAGGCGTGGCTCGACGACGACGAGCTGACCGCCCTCGTTTGGCTCGTGCTCCAACAGTCCGTTCCGCATAAAACGATCGCCGATATGGGCAGAAACACCCAACAAATGCTCGAGAGATGGTCGGCCGAACATGCGAAGTCGCATCATCTGAAGGATATGCTTCATGAGTACTACCACTTCCCGCAGGAGATTTGGCCCCTCCAGACTCAGGTTGACCAGGATATTGTCGCAGATGCGATTCCGATCCGTGGAAAAAACACATTTGTATGGCGCTCTGAAGTATTCGGTACTCAAATTCTGTTTCCAGTTCATCAACAATAAAAAGTATCCGGTGCACTCGGTAAATTTGCTGGCTACAATGTGCCCGGAATTCTACGCGACAGGCATGGCATTCCTCATACTGTGTAGTTCTGAAAGCGACGATAGCCCGGTGAAGAATGTGTACAGAGTCATTCTTCGTTATACCAATGCCGGCTCGGTCATCAACACGGTATCTGCCCACTGTTTACTTTTCCTCATCTCCTATTTCAGTACAAATTCACCGCAAGAACCTGCCCGCGTCTGAGACCACAACATACCAAGTACAACATAGAATCCGATGGATTCACTTGTACGCACGATCACTGCAAAAATCAGCTCAGTGCTATCTCATTCATTTCGAAAGCTCGTTACGATGATCACGAAAATCACATTCATAAAAAGAGTTTCTGGGATGATTACTGGTGTCCCCTTTGCAAACGAATGTGAGCTTTTCACAGTATTCTGGTAGAAATCGTTTTATTTTTCCAGTATCCGCCATCGTTCGAGTCTAGAGCACTGGGAGGAAGACTGCGTCGTGCTGAAGGAAATTCTTCCGGACGTGACAGACCGACAAATGTGCGATTACACTTTTGTTCTTTGGGTTTCGAAGCTGTTCCAAAAACAGAAAGACAAAATCGTAATCACGATGGAGTCGGAAACGTGTCCGATTGACGAATTGCTTCACAAGGAACCGAAGTTCAAAGGAAAACAAAAGTCTGATTCGCTGAGAGACATCGTCAAGACTGTGTTCGAAAAGCCAGAGGAAGTGCAGTGGAGGAAATTATTACGGACCATCGAGCCAGAGTTCCGAAAGGCCAAAAAACGCTTCGAAAAGTTAATGAACGCCGAACGGGATTTCGTCCCTTCAGGAGTCATTCTCGTCATTTGCCCTCACTGCGGTACATCACTCTCATCCTGAATCTTCTAGACAGTTTAGCTTTTCAGGCGGTCGATTCCACAATGATTTGCTGGTTAATCACTTAGAGCAACGTCACAGCTACCCGAAGGAGAGCCAGATTATGCGCTATCACTTTGACAAATGGAAGAGAAGCCGTTTTGTGGATACGCTCCAAGTTTTTGTGAGTTGAAGTGCATCGTGACGGTTTTTTGAAAACTTTTATTTTCAGGCTGACATGATTGCAGAATTGGGCGCCGAGCTTTCCCCGCAGAAATTATTGTCTAAAGAGCAATACGAAAAGGTGACCGAACAGACGTTGGAGCATTGGTAATTTTAATCATTTCAGTGTCTAGAGTTCAATTTCAAAGACATGTACCTCAAGAAGGAAGCTCGTTTCATCGCCACGTGGCAAGAAGATAAGACTCTCCGTCCGGTCACCATCAATGGACCGCTTAGACTAATCGGAGACATTCAGCAGAAGTCGAAAACCGACGCTGTCATAGCCCCAGAGCCAGACTTCGACGCTTTCGAGCAGATCTTCCCGGAGGGAAAAGAACCCGAACAACATGATCCGAAAAGCAGAGTGGTTAGTTCGCTCTCAATCAAATTAGAGCATTTTAGTGTAATTTCAGCAAGATGCCTGGTTGCCCGAAAACAAGGATCTGCTGTTGAAGGACGTGGAATATGTGGATCCGATGTCCGGCAAGCCTCTCCCACCGGAACTCGCGGCAGTCCAAAAAAGGGTTGACGAGATCTTTCTGAAGGGATTCAGAAGAGAAGCACATACGAATGGCGTCCTCATCAATTCGCTCACTGATTTCTTCCGTTGCTCTGCTCCTCCCGATGGCGAGAAACCAAAAGTGCAATATGTCGAATTGGATGTGCAGCAAGACAGTTACGTGTCTGACGAGAAAGTGGCGAAGGCTTTGGAAGAAGACAAAATGATTGAGCCGTACCAATCGGACTCCGACGAGGAAATTGTGGACAACGATGTGGAGGACTTGGATCCTGACTTGGAATCTGATGACGATGTCGGCGACAAAGAATTTCACGCAGAAGACAATCTCGATGCACTCAAAGCGAGAAGAGCTCTGGTCATCGAGGCCCGTTACCGGCAGAGAATGATCTCGCGCGAAGCGATCATTCCTCCGCCGTACGAAAAGAGGAACTTTGCGCCGATGTACACAGAGATAAATCCTGCGAGAGCCAAGAATCTGAACTTCCTGACTTCGGTTATTCCTGGTCCGGACATCGCAAACGACCATAAAACTGACGAGTTGCGTCCGCTCGCATTAGACTGGACCATCGAAAACGAAGGCGGCGATTTCCGTTCGAGTGCAGTCAAGTTCCGAGAGCACTACTCGAAATATCTGTCCATGACGAAGACCACCGAAGTGCTGAGACATGTTAACGGATTGTGCAAGAGGGACACTGAGAAAATGCAAATGCACGAGGAGATGCTCCAGGACAATGTGGGAGATGGAGTAGTCGACAGAAAAGGAACTGCCTACATCGGAGGATATATTAAGCCTTCAACATTCCAACGGAAACACAATGAAGTGTTCTATGTGGTTTTTGGATTCATCGTAAGTTATGAAAACTGATTAGAAAGTAATAGGATACGTTGCAGACGAGAAAGTTCCAAGTGTTCGAGTGCGAAGACAGACGCGGAAAGTTCAAATTTGTGTGGCCAATCGAGAGAACAACGCAACTTCAATTCGACAAGCTTCTTCCATTCTCCAGATTCCGATTCGTGCCCTACGATCAAAAGAAAGGTATCATTCGCTCATTTCTCGGAAGACTTTGTAACTTCATTATTATCAGAGTTCCCGAACCTACACAAGTCCAAATTCCCGCCCGAAGGACCACCCGCTCCATGCACGTCCTCAGGCCAAGCAGGACCATCCAGTCCTCCCAAAAAACGTGGTCTGGAGGATGAAGTGGAAGCGTTGGAACTGGAAGAGGGACCTCCTTCCCCGAAAAGAGCAGTAGTCACCAGTTTCCACAAAGTGGATACTAACACTTTCATGAAACCGTATTGAATTCAAACTTTTCTTGCACCATCTCTGTACTATTATATTCGATTGTATTATTCTGATGTACATATTTTAATCCAGTGCTTCCAAACTAATAAACTTCTCCACTAACCGTCTTAACGCCTCTCCAATTGCCCGTAAATCATCCGTCCGTAATATTTCGTTTCCCACAAACATTCCGTCCATTATGGTAGTCAAAGAGTCGCTCTCCGTCATTTGATAAACCTTGTTCGAAGTTAATTGCTTGCTGAAAAGTCACGAATGTGAAAACTATCGAAAAATTCGAAGAAAACCTTCTCATTTTGTACGGTTTCTCAATGGGCTCATTGAGCCAAACACTGTCGATTAGCAGGGGCCGAGTCACCACTTTCGAGTGCCCTTTTCTGTTTTTAAACTCCAAAAGTCCTACATAAATATCCGATTCAAAAAAGTGCGCAAATTCTAAAAAGTACGATGTGTGTGTTTTCGGAATGAGGAGTTCGTCCCACTCGAGAAAGGTGATAAACCGGGCGGAACTCTGAAATTCCGTGTTCTTCGGGAGAATGGGCGGTACGAACAGACCCTGTACTTATTGAGACAATCGCAGTTTGCAACTGTCACTCCCCCGAATTCAATCTCTTCGAGGTTGGAGGATCCGTAAAAGTCGGGCAGAGCGTCGACGGAAACTCCTTTGAGCCTCTTCAATTCGATCAAAAGTTCGAAGAACGGAGGTGTAGCACTGGAGACGTAGGACTGAAGGTGTCCTCCGAATCTGGAATGGAAAGACTGTCGTTCTGGTTGAAAGTTGAGCGACGAACTGAGAGAATACATGCGTGGCGAGTAGAACGTTCTGCCATCGGACACTTTTATAAATGAGCGGAGTGCAGACCACGAGGTCTCTCCGAACATTGTCCGCTGGCAAATAATGAATATTTGCAACGTTCCGATTCACGAGAATCTCCAGGTTGACCAGCTCGTCTTTCAGTACTACTTTCCCGACTAAAGTGACGAATTTGCAAATGTTATGAGGGGAAGCTCTGAAATATACCGTCTTTTTAATTCTGTCAAATTGCTCGCCAACCTATGAACTTTCATACTTTCGAGCACAGCGTTCGTCTCGTTGCTCCGTATGACCACAATTTTCCGTCGTTCCCATTGGGCGTCCCTCGGGGCCACGAACACCAGGGACAACTGATTCTCGTAAAGACTGAAAAAAAGCTGAACAATGAAACATTTATCCTCCCAAAAAACCTATACTCTTTTCCATAATAATAGGCAGAAACGAAGAAAAGATCCTGCTCCTCGTGCTCCAATTCTTTCATCTTGTACGTGTACGCATTCTTGACGCGTCGCAAAACCGGAAGCGGATGTAGTAGAATATTTAGGAATACGAGAAACATGACAAAAAGGTAAATGGATCGGCCTCTGAAGAGAGCTTGCTCATACAAATGTCCGTATTTATGGATGAGCTCTGTGACTTCCGGCGGTAATTTCGAAGTGATGTACATAGTAAGAGGGAAAAAAAGAAAACAGAAGTCGTAACGGATTGACTGGTTATTCATATCTTTTCCGCAAATCTGTGGGAAAATGGGGAGAACGCTTTCACTTGTTCCGCAATTCCGACGTGATGCCACGAATTGAACTCACGCGAAACCTTTGCAGGGTGCGTCACTCCGAGAATGAGCGGTCAAACACAACAGCTCGCTTCGGGCCAGCCGGCCCCGTTCAGCGACGATCCGACAGTCATCAAGAACCGAGAAAGCATTGATTACTCGAGGAAAGTGACAATTAGCGAAGCGAAGAATGGAATTCGTGAGTGACTGATTTCACCTTCCAACTCAATCGTACTTGCGAAACGTATTCAGTGAACCGTCCAGTTCGCGTCTACGCCGACGGTATCTACGACATGTTCCACCACGGACACGCGAATCAATTCTTGCAGATCAAACAGATGTTTCCTGATGTTTACATAATCGTTGGAGGTCTGTGAAAAGAATGTTTTCTTTGTTAGCCACGTCATTTCAGTGTGTTCGGACGAAAAGACCAACAAGTACAAAGGACGGACTGTTCAGCCGGAGGACGAGAGGTACGAGGCGCTCCGACACAGTCGGTACGTGGATGAAGTGCTCAAAGATGCTCCGTGGGAGGTTTCTGTCGACTTTCTCGAGACTTTGAAGGTTCCCTCGGTCTTTCCGAAATCGCCATCAATTTCCTGACTTTTCAGATCGATTTCATTGCTCATGACGCGATTCCTTATCAAGGTCCAGAGGCGGAAGACGTCTACGCGAAACACAAAGCTGCCGGACGCTTTCTGGAGACGCAGAGAACGGAAGGAATCTCGACAAGCGATTCGATCTGCCGAATTATTCGGGATTACGATACTTACGCGAGAAGAAACCTGAGGAGGGGGTATTCGGCCAAAGATCTCAATGTTGGATTTCTGACGGTACAAGAACGACGTCCAGCAACTTCTGAACTTTTTTATTTTTCAGACGAGCAAGTATCACATTCAAGATAAAATGGACGAAGTGAAGGAAAAAGGGCGGGAGCTGCTGCTGACGTGGAAAGCAAAGTCAAATTACTTTATCGACGGATTCATCGGAACCTTCGCGAGAGACCTGGGAAACGCAGTGACACCGCCAGAAATGGACTCAGATGACGGCGTCGAAAACTAGATGTACTTTCTGTGAATACACTCGACAATCCGAACCGACTAAACTCCATTTTGTATTTTCACTTTTCTCGTTGCCGATCTCTAACGTCTCTCAGTATTCGCCCATTTTTAGCAAATAAAATATCATTCATTCATCACGCTTTCTTTCCATATCAATGCCAGAAGATCAACTTTGGGTTTTTAGAACATGGTCTTCCCCGAAACAAGTTCAGAGTGCACCTCGGGGGATAACTTTGAAATATTAGTTAGATTCGGCCCCTCAAATGCACTGTCGGGGGCGGTTCTCGGATGAGAGCATACTACAGTCGCCTCCAGGCCCATCATCTGTTTGTTCCCCATTTCCAGTCCTTATCTCCTCTCTTTCTGCCACACCCTCCCACTGATGACTATTGTCATTCGATCATTCCTTTTTCGGTTTTACGGTTTCATCTGGCGATGAATTCGCTTGCTTCTTGTGGACCTGCTCCGTTCAGCGACGACCCCGAAGTGATAAAGGCAAGGGAAACAATCGATTACTCCGAGAAGATCAGTCTGGAAGACGCGATTGCGGGCAACGGTTTGTCGCGTTTCTCACTCCAATTCATGTCATTTCCTTTCAGTTTCTCGACCAGTTCGCGTCTACGCCGATGGAGTTTACGACATGTTCCACTACGGACACGCGAATCAGTTCCTGCAGATCAAACAAGCTCTGCCGAACGTTTATCTGATTGTAGGCGTGTGCTCCGACAAAGAAACCCTCGAATACAAGGGAAGGACTGTGCAGCCCGAGAACGAGCGATACGATGCTATCAGACACTGTCGCTACGTCGACGAGGTCTTCAAAGCCTCTCCGTGGACTTGTCCGATTCCTTTCCTCAAAGATCTTAAGGTTTGAACGTGTTTTTGGATGCGAAAGAGTTGCAATACAAATTAAGATCGACTTCATGTCCCATGACGCTCTCCCTTATCATGGACCACTGGGGGAGGACATTTACGAGAAGCACCGAGCGGCGGGAATGTTTCTGGAGACGAAGAGGACCGAGGGAATCTCCACTAGCGACTCGATCTCTCGCATCATTCGAGATTACGACACGTACGTTCGGAGGAACTTGCAAAGGGGATACTCTGCTAAAGAACTGAATGTCGGATTCCTAACGGTAAAAAAAGGAAGCCGATTTTTATGAAATATTTTAAAATTTCAGACGAGCAAGTACCATATTCAAGACAAAATGGTGGAAGTCAAAGAAAAGGGGCGGGGCCTTCTCGCCACGTGGAAAGGGCGGTCAGATCATCTGATCAACGGCTTCATAAGCACCTTTGCGAGAGACCAAAGCAATGATTCACCTTCAAATTCCTCGGGAAACGTCTCGCAGAACACTGCTCCGATGGGCGCTGATAACTCCCGAAACAACTGATCGTCGACTAATCTAGTGCAAATATATAATATTATATATTCATGAAAAAGTATATTGAGTGGAATGAATTAGTCATCGGGTAGCATAACTTTCATTTCGCTTGTTCACCACGGTCTCAGGTTCTTCTTGTCCGAAAGGTGCGAAGCGTCCGAACTGTAGTTGTGTCGGTACTTTCCTGGCGCCGTTTCCTCGAACTCGGACACTGTCGCCTGTCCGACGTACTTGAAATCTCCCGTCAAAACTTCGTGGCAAGCACCGATTGAGGCTCCGTGGCCGACGAGAAGAAGATTTCCTGCAATGAACGAATAAGGAACATGTTAGAATGTGGAGAATGTACCTTCGTATTTATCAAAGATCTTTCTCAAAGTCGTTCCGACGCGTGTCACGCAGGCACCATCTCCGCATCCTTCTTTTGGAAGTGTGTACTGTAAAAAAGTAATAGGTTTTCATTCGCAGAAAGATTCGTTACCCGCGAGTACACTGGCACATAGTCCGAATCGATCAATGGGAATTTTCTTGCCAACTTCTCAGTTTCCCAGAATCCAGGCGGTTTCTCGCACAAGTAAAGTGCCTCGCACAGTCCGCCCTCCGCTTTCACTTTCAGATTCTTGTCCGCGACTATCGTCGAAGCGGTCTCGACGGTCCGATCGAACGGCGATGCGAAGACGTGGTCGATTTGAGTGTTCTTGAAGCGGGTCGCGCACTCTCTGGCCTGTTGTTTTCCGCGAGCACTCAGCATGGAATTGTCGGATGCGAGATCTCCGGCTCCTTCCGATTTCCGCCAATTTCGGTTGATATTGTCCTCTCTGGAAGTACTCACAATCGTATTATTATTCAGCAAGTTTTACGTAGACGATAACTAGACAGAAATGGGAATAGGGCTTACCGCTCAGCATGGCGGACAATCCAAATTTTGCGGGGATAGGTGATTGGCATTGTACGGAGATCTGGCAGTTTGCCTGGAGGAGCGTTATGTTTGCAGAAAGAGTGAAAAAAAACGAAGACGCAAATATGAAAATGAATACTTCAATCAAAGAAACAAACGAAACGTTTCGAAAAAAATTGCAAAACAATTTATTAGTCACATCAAGAGTCAATTGCGAAAGAAATCCGGGTTGAACTGTGAATTGTACTTCTTCTTGTTCTTCTTCTCCTCTTCCTCTCTCTTCTTTGTCTCCACCTCCGGATGCAAAAGAGCGTGCACCTTTGCCTTTTCTGCCCTTTCTCTCTCCATCCGCTCATTTCTCAGTTCCACCAGTTTCCGTTTCCGTTCCCTGTCGTACTCTTGTTCCAACTTCCGTTCTTCCGAACTGTCACGATGCTTCCTTTTCTCTGAAAAATCTTTCATTTGCTCTGCAAATGCCACTTCCAACCATAGGTGTTTTGAGTTGAGCGCCGGCAGTTCGGGACAGGCGAGTGGGAGGGGTCACTTGGTACGAGCACAAGAGTCGGAAATGTCCAAATTGCTGGAATGTCCTTAAGGGGCAGCAATCTGGACATTTCGGACTTTACCGCGACGCGACTGTCGGAAAAATTTTTTGGCGTTTCTCAAACATCCCGCACCTATGCTTCCAACCCACTTTTCTTCTTCTTCTTGTCCTTCTTCCGTTTCCTCCGATCATCCTCCGAATCGCTCTCCTCCCTCGTTCTTTTCCTCTTCCTTGTCCATTCCTCATCTTCATCGTTTTCCCTCAGATTCGGGAGTGCGTCCCGCGCCTTCCGTTTCTCCGCCACCTTCGTTTCTTTGTCCGGTCCTCTTCGTATTGGCATCTCTTCGTACCATTCTTTCTTCTTATTCAAATCATTCGTATTATCCGCAAAGTACACCTGGATGCCCATTTTCGACTCCCATTCTTTCTTTTCCTTTGCCTTTTCTTCTTCGTACTCCTTGTTACCCGTTCCCAAATTCTTCCGTTCTTCTCGTTCCAAATCCTAAACAGTCATTTCGTATCATTTCAAGATTTGAATTTCAATAAAGGCAACTCACTTGAAATAAGTTCACGTGCCCCGTCTCATCCGAAATGCTCACGTCCTTTGCGCTCGTCGAGGAGGGACCGAACATAGTAGAAACTCTGAGCATTCTCTAATTTCCTTTCTGGGCTTTCTCTTTTTTACCTGTCATCGGCTCTCGCCCTCAGCGTGTTTATTCTCCGTTCGTTTTCAGCCTGAATCTGCCTGTCGAGCACTCTTTGCTCTTCTTCGGCCGCTTTCCGTTCGTCCCTTCGGACTCTCTCCATATTGGATTTCGTCCGGACGTGCCATGACTTGTGGTGCAAAATGTTCATCTGAATTCCGATCTTTTTGTTATATCCGCCAACACATTCAATTAAAAAAAAAGTAAGTGGATTTTGATTGAAACAATTGTTCACCTGGCGCAAATTACTCATTTATTCACATGTTTATTTATTAAATCATTATTATCTTTATCATCCATCACAGTATGTCAGCAGCAGATATTATCACACAGCTTGGGGGGAAATATCACAATAAATATATGTATTACGCGGGGTTTGTCAGGGTATATGGGGCAGAAGATGGTAAACTTCCTAAATGTAAAGCATGAAGCAGTGAAGAATTCGATTGTACGCCACGGTCACAGAGATAAATAGAAGCACTCTAAATGGTGGGAACGTACAAATGATTGATCGATTGAGCCAGAGCCATTGGTCGCATGTGAGCCAACGCTTCATTGCAGAACACTTCCTCTCGGTGACGGAGCGGGCGGGAATGCTCGACGCGTGCGAGACGGTAAGCGCGAGATGCGTTGATCTGTAATGATAGATTTAGAATCTTGATGTAATCCGTGTATTTACCACAGTGAGCCTGACCAGCTGGGCCAACTCAGACATGGAGACCAGTGCTCCGTCGAAGAGAGGGCCAAACTCGAGGGTGGAAGAAGTGTCGACTCGGACGCGAACCATCTGAGAAAGAAATCTAGAAGGTTTCCGGACTGAAAATAAGTCGTACCTTGTCTCCAACATGCTCTAGAACAATAAGCACATCACAAAACTTGGTAGCGATAGTCTCCCTCGTGTACGTCTTTCGACTGTTTTCTGTCCAGACGACGTGCACTTCGTCGTTTCCGATATGCTTCCATTTCTGTTGTACATCTCCGTTCAGCATTGTGCTCACGTGGAATATCACTTCGCACTCTGCGTCCGCATAGTATGGAGCCCTCGTTTCGACTGGGAGTCCTCCGTGATATCCGTCATGTCCTCTTCCTATTTTCACTTCCCATCCGAGTTCTCCTGTGAACTCGTCGAACTGAGGAGATGCAGCTATATTCGAAAGGATCGAGCTGCGATCTTCCTGTCCTTCGCTGACGTAGATGATCGCAACTTTGTGAACTTCTCGAGAAGACGTTTGATCCAAATGTTTGAGATCTCTCTGAAAGTTCGTGTGAACCGAGGAGACGGCAGGAACGAATCCAAGAGAAGCAGAAAGAGATCTCCATTCCAACAGTTTCGAGTTCGGCGTGAAAGCGGGAGCATCGTGTTGCGAGTAGCTGCCGATCGGTTGCGGCTGCCGACGACTCGTTTCGATAATTGATGCGAACTGAGCTGATCCTTCAATCGGCGACGCGTCCGTGTACGAAGATCCGACGGACGGAGCTCTGACCTCGGGCAGTTCATCGAACGGGTCATCCATGGCTCCAAGGATCCCCTGGCTTTCTCTGCCCGGTCTCTTCCCCTTCATAGCTTCTTTCCGCAACCAATTCGTCACATTCGTCGCTGTTTTCTTCTTCTCTTCGTGCGTGTCCAGTTCCCACACATGCCTACCGACTACAGTTCTGCACGTCACTTCACATGAAGCTTTCCTAGAAATGCTCACAATCGCCGAGCTTCTATTCACATATACTGTCTTTTCTTCTTGTGCTCCCGGCGTTGTTTTCGGGCTACTCTCAATTGAATTCCACCTCGAAACATCGAATCCCCTCATCGGATACTGTCCACCCAGGGAAACCAATTCTCCGAGTAAAACAGAGTGCCGATCGGCAATTATTCCTCGTATGACCAGCGGCAGCTGAGGTTGCGGCCATTGCACACACAGTTTCGTCATCTGCCACTCGACTTCCGTCCTCGTCCGTTCGTCTCTCAGCAGCGAGGCAGCTCTGAGCAGAGCTTGAAGAAGAGTTGTGCTGCTGAATTGAGCGAGAGATGCAATTGAAGAGCAGAAGAGAGGGATGAGTCTCATTGCGAACTGATGCGTCTCAATCATTTTCATCGCAGTCAGAACTAGATCAATCTGAGCCCTCTGCACGATCAAAATGGCCAATGTATTCACAATAACGACAGCGTTATCGGCTGCATCCGTGTTTGCCAGTTGATCCAGGAGAACTTGCTCGGCTCCAGGATAGGAGGATGCGAGCATTGAAAAGAGTTTGAGCGAGTTCGAGGAAACCTTAGAGTCTTTGGACGTTTTCGCGGCACTCAACATTTTCGGAAGATGTTCTAGAGCTCGTGGAGCAACAATCGAGAGTTCGTGAGCAGAAAGTCCACAGATGGCTGGGACAACGAGTTGCTCCTTGGACTGCATCAATCGGATGAAGCAGAGAAGAATGTTCGCGGAGAGGAGAGGGGGAGGTCTCCGAACACTGGACTCGTTCAAAATAGCAGAAAGGGCCGGAACGCAACGAGGAAGCAGAATGGGCGGCACAGTGACGAGGCGACAAGCGAGCCAGTGGGCGAGAGGATGGAGGTTCACCTGAGAGCACATTTCATTGGAATTATTCACTAGAAAAAAAACCAACCGAGAGAAGGTTCTTGATTGTCTGCGAAGTGCAGTCAATTGCCACGTGAGCACTCGCATTCGTGTACGGATCAACCAGTGAGATCACCCGTCTCCACGTCTGGAGCCACGCCAGTTTATCTCCAGACCAGGACTGAAAAAAAAGTGCCTTATAAAAGATCCTGGGAAACTCTGTGACTAACGGTGACGGCATTTGTGATGTCATCAGTGTCGTGGAACACATTATCTTCGCTGATCGTATTCGACGACGAAAGACTTTCGCCGCCTTCGGAGGACTCTTTTCTAGGCTCTTCCATAGCTGTTGTTGACTCGATCGCCTGCCGACGACTGGACGAGCTTTGTGAGCTCTCAGTCGCCTTTCTCAGGGCTTCTTCTCTTGAAAATATGTCAACGTGTGCGAGATGGAGGATGAGAGCACGGGTCACACTATTGACAATCTGAAAGAAAGATCCGATTCAAAAGAGTTTAGAGAAATTGAATAACCCCACCGTCGCCCACTGTTCAGCCATCGAAATCCAGACTCCTCTTTTCATAACTTCGTGCACTTCATCCCAAACTTCATCGTCAATCTCAATTCGTCGAACTGCCTTAATTATGACGACGTTCGAAATGAGAGTGGAAGTGAATGCGGCTGAGACGTGCTGCGAGAAGATGTCCGATTGGTGACAAATTTTGGAAGCGCACGAGCAGAGCCCAGCCATCAGTTCGGACCAGAACTTCTGGGGAAGGGGCTTCGGGAGCTGAATTCGATGGGCAACCAGTTGTTTGCAGGACGTGAGAATTGCAAAAGCGATGGACACCGCCGAAGATTGGCTGCAAAGACCATTTTAGATGAAAGATGAGACGGACTCACCGTTCGCCGCACTGTGAGAGGTATGGAGAATGGAAAAAGCTGAGGAGGATGTTGGAAAGGAGCAGGGAGCATCTCTCGATCGTAACTTCTCCTGATGCCACGAAAGGAGGAATCTCGTACTGAAGCAGCCACGCAGAGAGCACATTCACTACTTTGTGGGTCACATTGCTGCATGCTAACGGAAGTTTCATGGCTTCTCGCATCAGAGTCAACGCAACATTAGTCGCTTTTTGCGACGAGAAGAGAGAATTTCGGTAGAGAAGAAGGGAAGCGTGGGCGGTCTGTGGGCCATTCGAGGCAGTGTGCGTGGCCGAAGCGATGTTGTTGATCCACCGGATGAGCCAGTACCTTGCAATGACGACAGGATCGGCCGTGTCGAGGGGCTCTCCTGTCTCATCCGCTCCTTCCCATCCTCCGAATACATCAACTCCATTCGTTTCAAGTTCTGTGAAACACTCGCCCATGTACAGCTTGATTACCCTGAAAATTAATGTGATAGGTACTGACTTTTAATTCGTAGCTCTCACTTGTCAATAATAAAATTGGCACAATCCTGCCTTTTTCCTTCATCGTTCCATTCAATTCGGACTGTTTCTCGCGTACAATACTCCAGGAATTTATCCAAATAAACCTGCAGCATCTGCGCTCTTTCTTTCGACGTTTGCGCAGGAGAAGCCGTTGATTTTATTGGTCCGTTCCGCAGTCTTTCGCACCAATCGCCAGTTCCAGACGACTGACAGTACTCGTTAAGCACGTCTTCTGCATTCTCGCCACTTCGAAGAGGAAAGAAAGGAAGAAGGCATTGAAAGACACGATCCAGGTCTGGGGTGGCTTTTCCGTACACGCCCAGGCACTGATAGAAAACGAGGAAAAGTCGGATGGCGATCTTCCGGACGGCCATCAGATTCTTCGGGTAGACTGCCTTCTTGAGCAGAGATTCAATAGCATGTCGTTGCCAACCTTGAAAATAGTCAGTGATTTGTGAAAGGAAGACGGAACATACCACTGCCCACGAGTTCCGGAGCAAGACAGAGCACTTGTTCGAGAGTCCACAGACCGCTTTCTGCTTCGATTGCACTGTCAATCTGAATGAGAGCTCGTTTTGAAGTGTAATTTATAAATTTCTGTCACTTGACTGCTGACGTCATTAACTAGCAGAAGCTCATCCACCAGATGAAACGTTTCAAAGCTGTGTTCGTCGAGCAGCTGCCGCTTTTCCTAAAAAAAAAGATTATTCAAATCAACGTCAAAAAAAATTTTACATTTGTTGTCAGCGTGTCCAGTAAGATTTTCAAATGCTTCACGCGACTCACGCAATCTCTGAAAAGCAGGTTTCATTGAACTCCAGAAATCTGCGTTCAAAACGAAACCTATTCAAGTCAGTGAATCTCGAGATGCTGGCCTGTACATCTGAAGATTTGCCCTTCCGGGCGAACATTCCTCCCTTTTCTTGCTCTGAAACGTAGGCTTTTATATGAAAAAATGAAGAAAATGACGTTTTTTGATTTGCGGGGAGAATCAGCAAACATGAGGGCACAGAAAAGGAAACAAAGCAGAACGAAAATCGATCTCTTTCGAGGAAAACTACTGTTCACAGAGACAGCGGGAGATGTGTACTATTCAGGAAAGGGAGAGGGAATAGAAGAAGAAACAAAGTTGACTAAGAGAAAGAGAAACAGCCCTGCAGCCACGCCGCCACCACATAAGGACTGGAATTCCCACCTTCTAGCTTTGGAGAGGTTACATTGGACACACAAGTAACCTAAATAGAAAGTGCAATTATACATTTATAAATGGAATGGAAGGATGGAGTCAAAATGGACAAACTGTCCCTCTGTGCTTTCTAAACAACTGCAGTCGGCGGAGGAGGAAAAGAGTGCGCGAAACGCGGAGGGTGCCGCACACGAAAAACCCAATCGGAAAAGGAGTAGGCGATAGGAAGAGACGCAGAAAGTGCAGATGAAAGCAGGACGAGGCGACACTTTATGACAGCCAGATTGAGTCGGCCAGAGGTCCCAGGCTGGATTGACGAGAATCATGTTCAATGAACAAAAATCGTGTGACTTCCGAAAATGGACGGAAAAAAACAAAAAGCGACTGCGGAAACTGGTACCGATTCATCAAGTCGGAGAAAAACGGGCAACTAGCGGGAAGCGTCACGTGAGCGGACACGTAGTAGGATTCGGAAAGGCTCCAGATAACAGTTCATTTTGAATAACAAACGGATGAGGGAAGAGCGACGACGAGGAAGAGCCAAAGGCGACAATGTGGACAGACAAGAGGGAATGTGCTGCTGCACTGCGTGGGTGAGCACACTTTTGGTGCGAGCCGGATGCAATTGTTTTGAGGGCTTCATCAGACTGCTCGGACTTTTGTACTCCGTTGTCGGCCATGTCCGCCTCGGATTCTTTATAATCCGAGCTATCGAAAAGAAATTGTACTCGTTTCCTATTTACGACCACGAGTTTTTGATTAGTGGAATCGACATGGTGAACGTTCGAAAGTGGCAAAAACACTTTTAGATCGGCTTCAGATCATAATCGGACTGTTCATCTCCCTGTTCCGATGTTGCCAATCTCGCGCCATTTTCACACTCGCCATCGGTCTGATGCTGTTCGTTTACGCAGGAAGCATTCTAGCGATTGCACTCAATTTCCACTTGCTCACAACATTCCGCCAAAGTGACAGTAATCGACTTGAAAGTAATCAAACAGACATTTACTGTATTTTAGGCTACAAGATATACGTCATCCGAGGGCTCGTTCCTTTTTCTTTTTTTCTTCATATTCTTCTTACAATGGCAATAACGAAAATGAGCTGTATTTGTGGATATGGACGAAACGCATGAGGACGCAGTTTCCAAGAATTCGAAGGTATTGATGTGAAAGTATGAATTTGAGACGCAACAGAAACCATATGATTTCAATAAATAGTAAACAAACATTTATTTTTAGAAAAACTAATTATACAGATCACGAAATTTCGCTTCTAACTCCAGAAGGATTTGGACTTTGTTATTTTCGACTTCGCCAGCTTTGCACACTCTCTAGGCCGTTTTGGTGAAATGGAGTCTTCGGCAGACTGCTCTGATGAACGCTTCTTTACTTTGAGAGAAGAAGTGGTCATTCGTCTCGTTTGCTTTGTTGCTACTCTCGCCTTCGAATTTGATTGCGTCATATGTAAATCTGAAGTCGATAAGTTGATACAGTCAAAATACCGTGGCCATATGAATACCATTTTTAATTGTTTGTTTTTTTGTACGTTCGGGTCCACGTTTCGTAGAATTCTGTTTGGCAAGCTTTTGCGAAGCTTTTTTCGAGTTCATTGATTGGAAAAAGGGCATTTCAGTCCGTCGCCTTTTAGGATATCTGCTTTCAATTCTTACTTTTTTGCATTTCCTCGGATGTCTGCGTTGTTTTTTCGTATGAGTGTTCTCAGGCGGCTCAGTCACTGTTGGAATCACTTGGTCGGATAGAGACGTTCTTGTCACTTGTGCTGTTTTCAGTCTGCTAGCGTGGGTCTGCTCTATTTGTGGAGAAGGTTCTCTTGATTCTTCATTCGGAAGGTTCCTAGGCCGCGAATCAGAAATATTGTAGTCATAAACGCCTTCTTCGATTTCCCGCTCGATTTGCCGCATTCCCTCATTCCACTCTGTCAACCATTCTTCGTCTTCGGACTCATCTTCACTCCCTGCTGCTCTCAAATCGTTCAATGTCCTCTGTAAATAAATCGAAACATTAAAAGAGAGAAGAGCCAAACCAGAAAAGCTTGTCTCTCAGGAATTCGGTAACCAATCCTGTCTAGCTCGGCATCAACTGCCGCCTGCTGAGCACGTTCGTTGAAGTTCCGGGACCTGTTGAACGCCGCGTCTTCTAGACGGATAGCTTCATTAGCTCCTGTCAAGTGTCGGGAAATTCAATTCAATCTAAACGATGCAATACTTTGAAAATTAGTCCTGTATACTCCAATTCCGTTGTTCGGAGCGCGACGAACGAACGGCGTAGGAAAGCCGATAATGTTCAATTCTCGATCTAAACGACTTTATAGATGAATAATTTTAGAAAGTTTGAAATATACCTGTTAGAGGCGGTAGATAATCATTTCTCGATAATAAATCCCGCAGATTATTGCTCATTTTTCCGATAAAACTTGACAAACCTCAAAACAACAACAGTTTAAAAATTTAAAGAAAACTACGGTTTTAAAGGCGCAAATTTGTAAAGTTTGAAATGGTCTCGGAACGATTGAACAAAATCAGGTTTTCCATATTCATTTCATCGCTTTTAAAGTTTTTGCAGAACTCTATTAATTTTGAGACTGTCTTTTAAAAATTAATGATATTTTTTAAAGTCTTAAAAGTGTCATTCTTTACAGAAACCTCCAATTCCAGCCTGATATTCAGTTTGACCTACTTCACGTTTTTATTTTGTGGCGGGAACTCAGTCTCGCTCGCTTGTTTACTATTACTAACTTTACAAAATCATTCGACTTTAGATCCATTCTGAAATTCGTCGGCACCGCCCCTCTCAATGCCGTCGCTATCGACCAAACCGACCGCCGCAGAGAAGAAGAAGTTCGTGGAAGATTTCCTCCTGATCCGCGAATGCCACGGCAAATTTGTGAGCTTCAGAACAAATATGATGAACGTTTTGCAATTTTTTCAGGATTTCAAAGAACAAAAAGCAAAGTGGTTGGAGTACAAAGAATGGCTCGAATCTCCGATCCTCGATAAACTGTGGTTTCTGGAATCGCTTTCGAACAACCAGAAAACGGTTCTTTCCCGTTGTTGGGAAAAATTCAAAGTGTGGATTGATTCGCGTAGCATAATCACTTCGGTTTATATCAAGTCCGCTTTGCAAGATTTTAAGGAGACAGGGAAAAACAAGAAACTTTCGGCCCACAAACTCTCGTACACTGCCAAAATTGGCGAATTTGTCACACTGGAGCGCCTCGAATTAAAGTCTAAACAAACCTCAAAAGGTAAAATTAAAAACGGCGATAAAAAATGGAAATAGATACTTCAGAATTCAAAGTCTTCCGAATGTGGAATTTTGAGTTTTACGAGAAAAATGAGGACACGTACTGCAAGAAGTGAGCTGAAAAAAGTAGGCGAATGCATTATAAAGTCTTTTCCAGATGGGTCGGGGGTCCGAAATCTGACAAGTTCAAATGGCCAACTTCGGAAGAACCGGAAATCCAGAAGCTCGGAGTTGATGGAATCATTCATGAGACCGGAAGATTTATTGCCGAGTTCATCAAATCGCACGAGCATAATCTGACGGAGACGCTCCATATTGACGTCAGTCATTGGTCTCGCGTTTTTGACCTCCCGAAGTTCCGCTGCATCAAAAACTTCACGATCCGACACTGGCGACCGTCGCCGACTCATTGGTGGATGTCTCAGATCGAAACGATCCGGACGATCAAAGAAGTGAATATTTTGCGCAACCACGACGGCTCGGAGAGAAATGACGATAAGTGGAGGGACCGATTTCCGTTCAAAAACAGCGAAGCGATGCCGTATGTGATGCCGTTTCACGAGAGAAAACTACCATTTTGGGTGGAAACACTCGATGAGCATCCGGTCAGTTTCGAAAAGTAAAATAATCAAACAGAACTAGATTTCAGATATTCTGGGCTGGGAAGCTCACAATTGAGCCAACTGTCGAAATGAGACTGAAGGACATCAGTCGAATGTATTCCGTCAGCGAACTGAACATCCACATCAACGTTCTTCGCCCGAAAGATCTCATGGACTTTTTCAAAATGTGGTCGACTGGACGTATGGGACATCGTATGGAACGTCTCACCATCAAACTGGAAGAGCCTTTGTTCTCCAAAGACTTCAACGCCGATGTTTTCGGCGATGTTAAGTTTACGGAAGTGAACGACATGAATGTGTGAGAAGATTGGTCTCAAATGCATCCGCTAGTTTCATAATTTCAGTCCCCAAGACATCAAGCGTGTCATCGAAGGCTCGAAAGCGTTCGTGATCTACTACGAGACGACGTTGTCTGGCCCGGCACACAAGCTGGCCAGAACGGATTCCAACGTCTCCACTTCCGAATCGGGAATATCAGTCACTGGTTCACTGGGAACCATTGAGGAGGGCCGGGAGCGAACTGAATCCACTAGTTCATCTGCAGACGCGATTCCGGTCACCACAGGCAGAAAACCCGGCGGACGGCTGATTTCTCAGTCTTCGCTGGATAGGACGGGAGAGCACCCGTCAACGGAGAGAGAAATTGACAACCTGTCGACAGGATCAAGCCGAGTTTGTACTTCCAGCTCTTCTGAATCTGGTAGAGATATCAGAATTATTCCGTCGATCGGCGGAATGTGCTCTATTGCGCAATTCATTGACGTCGACGAACACTACGAAATTCACTGGACGGCAGTCCGCAACGTGAACATGGCCGAGCACTTGCTCAAGCTTCAAGTCTGAAACCCTTCCTCACCCTTTCTTGTGTACAACGATATCCTCCGGTGTGCATTGCTCGTCAATCCGAGCACTTTTCATGATTCTCTATGCAACCGCACTAACGCGTCTTCTTTGTACCATACTGTCCCATTTCATTACTATTGATTCGTTTATATAGATACCTCTCCTTTGTATATATTTTTCATACCCTTCCATTTACTCATTTCACAGTTTTCTGAGATTGAATGAACTGAGACATGTGCAAGAAGCATGAGCATCTTAAAAACGAGTTGATCGATGGATTCTGTGAACCTTTTCTATCGTTCTCTTTCGCGCTTTCCCACCCGGGTGTGAGAACACTGTCGTTGCGCAATTATTGCAAGCGCGCTCTATCGCACTATAAAACGGAGCGATGTTCAAAAAATGGCGCTACGACGAAGTAGAACTCGTACGGAATGGAACTATTACGATTTGGAACTCGCAGTTTTATTTTAACGTTGCGAGTTTTAAATCGTAACAGTTCCATTCCGTGCGAGTTCTTCTTCGTTGTAGCGCCCAAAAAATCGTATCACTGTTCAGAATTTCCTTGTGTCTACACTATTTAGCAAATGAGCAGAAGCATAGAAGACGTGGGAGTGAGCGAGAGTCCCTCGAACTGCACGTATTGCTACACTTTGGAGTGCTCATTGAGGATCGAATCGACGTCGTCTTCCAAGAAAAAGACTCCGGTTTCTGCAAAAAATGCAATTTTGACAGTCGGCAGAAATGCTCAAAGGTTTTGAGAGTAAACTAATTTTCTTTTTGCTATCGAAATAAATTCATTTTAGACAAATTCTGCTGCAAATAGAGCTGAAAACGACGTCGAGCGGACAGCCAGCGGCCGTGTGTTACGATGCGAACGACGCAGTCATTCATCTGCAGAACGTGGCAAGCGGGAAGTGCACAGTCGAGATTCCATCGAGGTAAACACTTCTGAAAAGAATCAAATAGAATTAAATTCTGAAATGTCAGAACGATAATGCTCCAATTATTCAACTGTGCACCTCGGAAATTGAATGTTTTCATGAAGTCTCTGCAGGCCAAACTGGATTTGATGAGAACGGAAACCAATTTATCAAAGAAAAAATCAATGTGCTCCTAATTTTAATTTTCACCTGAATCGATACTTTTTCAGACCACCGCAACTCTCTCGTTTACCCGCTGCGTTCAGTGTCCTCAGCCCGTTGACGATCGGAGAAATGAGAAAAGTGAAACAGTTAAGAAAGGAAAAAATAGTACGAAGAATGGCTAATTTCTAGTTTTCAGAATGAGAGAGCCTCTATCCGTGTCCAGCAATGGAAAACAGATTACGACTCCAAAAAGACGGTAGCGTATCACTTTTCTATTCGAAACAACAATTCCTAGACTCCAGGACTTCGTCGACGATCGCTGGCGGAATTGAGAATCGCATTATAGCGCGGTCGATCGGTTTGAAAAGAATGCAGAGTTTCGCGAGAGATGACAAAGACAAAAGAGAGGTGGGAAACGAAATCCCATCGGGAGCAACTGAACCATTACAGGCGTTTGCGCCGCTGAAACCATTGAAAGACTGTCCGTCGGTTGTCGAACGGATTCACTTGTCGGAGGAGCAGAAGAATGTTGTGCGCACTGTGATAAACGTTGGTTTCAATGACAATTATTCGATAGAAATGATTACTTCAGAGCCGGCAAAGTATATTCTTCACTGGATCGGCCGGAACGGGAAAATCCGTGATATTGAAGCGGATCATTGAAATGCTCCCAGCCAAGAGCACATTTGTCACTGCGGCCACAGGCGTGGCCGCTTCTCAGATTGGTGGAATAACTTTGCACGCCTTTTCCGGATTCCACCACGAGACCAGTTCCGCGGAATTGTGCTGTCAGCAAGTAATGCGACAGAACCACATGGTGCGGCAGTGGAAACAGTGCTCCCATCTGATAATCGACGAGATCTCGATGGTCGATAGTAATTTCTTTATGAAATTGGAGTTGGTGGCCCGGACAGTTCGTAACAGTGACCTTCCGTTCGGAGGAATTCAGTTGGTCATCACTGGAGACTTCCTCCAACTTCCACCCGTTTCCAAAGACGAACCAAAGTTTTGCTTTGAGGTTATCAAAGCTGACGGTCAAAGTTTTTATAGACTGTAATGCGTTTTCAGAGTGAAGCGTGGTCCCGATGCATTCAAAGAACGATATTATTAAACACAGTCAAGAGACAAGATGACGACGTTTTTGTAAAGATTCTCAATTCAATAAGAATCGGAGAGTAAGCGCCGTTTCTCTGTTTGAACACGAGTAATCAGTAGTTTCAGATGTGATTTCACTTCTGCCGATCTTCTCAGAAAGTCGTCGAAAAATGTGTTCCCTCCGAACGTGGTCCCAACTCGACTGTGCACGCATTCAGAGGACGCGGAACGGATAAATCAGAGAAATCTGAATAGCACACTGGGTGACCGACTAAAAAAGTCAATTTGAAATGGTTCGCTTTTCAGGAGACGAAAAAACGTTCCACGCTCACGATGACGATAACTTTGATTCAAACATCAGAACGTTGGCAGTCAAGAAGCTAATTTTGAAAGTGGGAAGTCAGGTGATGCTCACAAAAAACATCGACGTAAACAAGGGACTGTGCAACGGATCGAGAGGATACGTCGAGAAGTTCTCGGAGACCGGCAACCCCGTCGTCCGATTCGTTTCTCAGAAGGACACGCCCATTGAGGTTTTCCGCCGATTCTCCCCACCGATGTTCCATTTCGAATTCAGATTCTCCGTTCGAAGTTCTCAGTTCGAATTCCTGGTTCCGATGTTCCACTCATTCGGAGACAGCTACCTCTTCAGTTAGCATGGGCAATATCGATTCACAAATCACAAGGGCTGACTCTGGATTGCGCCGAAATCAGTCTGGAGAAAGTGTTTGCGGACGGACAAGCATACGTGGCCCTCTCGCGTGCTCGCTCCCTCGCCGCCATCAGAATAATCGGGTTTGACTCTTCGTGTGTACGGGCCAATCCACGAGTCATTGACTACTACAATTCTATTGGAAACGACGACGAAGAAGACAGCTGTGAGACCGAGTCGACTCGTAAAATTAAAAAGTTCAAATCTATCTAATTCACTAGATTTTCTCAATTGCATTTATCTGTATATAAGAATATCATGGAGTCGGATTGAAATTTCAAAAAGTTCATTTTCGTTGTTCGAACTTGAGTCATGTCTCCTGGTCATCTTCACTGCCATGTCACTATGTCTGAAATGTTCCATATTTTTCAACAAGTTCACTATCATCTCATAAACTTACGTCTGTTCCGAAGAGAGATGTTCCTCCGTCTGTAGGATTAACGAAAGAAAATAGCATGAGGTAGACGGCCAACAGAAAATGAATGGGCGTCATCGCCAGCACGATAATGGAAATGCCAAAAAGAGGTTCAAGAAGGTGTCTCTGATTGGTATCATGGCGCTTCGTGACGGACTTTTTCTATCTCCTCTCTCTCAGTCTCTCTGATCTTTTACTGACTCATTATCGACTATTTCTTGCGTCTCTTCATGATATCTTCTGACTTCTTCCTTTCTTGGTTCTTCCCACTTTTCGCCCAAATACTTACGCGTTCTTGAAGTCGGTAGCCGTTCGATGGATGTCCTTCCGGTGCTGGTATTTGCCCCATCCTGTACATTTCCATTTATTATTCTGACTTCCTTCTGTGTTTCGTTACGTGGTCTCGAGAAGCTATTCGTCGTGACTTGTTCCTTCAGGAATTTAATCTCCTTCGCCGCGTTATCGTACTTCTCGAGGATCATCTCTATCTTAAGCTTGTTGTCGTTGAGTTCTTGCTGCGATGCGATCAGTCTCCTCCTCAACTTGTTGCTCTCCAACTCTTCATCCTCTAATTTCCTCTTTGTTACTTCTAATTCATTCTGGGTTTTGCGAACCTGGTCCGATTTCTCTTCGCTTAGAGTTTCCCCGCGTTTCTTCGCATTCCTCAATTCGTCCTCCAGCTCTGCGATTATGATTTTCCATTGATCTTGCTGTTGATCGTGTTGTTGTCGCTCTTGTTGTCGTTTGACGCCTTCTTGCGGTCCACTCTTTTCGGTTCCGATGTGCGCTCCATTATGCAATTGTGAATAATAATACTCGAGCACCCTTTTTCTTCTCGGAGTGTACATATGTACTTTTGCCTGTTCGCAATCACGTTCTCCCTTTTCTTCACTATTTCCATGACCTTATTGACTATTTTTTTTGATTCAGACTCATTGTGTTTCGCAAAAATTCTAAAATGTTGAGCCAGTTCTTTTCTCGTCATCTCATTATTTTCATCTCTTATGCTTTTGAATCGTACCCAGTCTATCTGATTCTCGTCTTCCTCGCCAGTCGGATCTCTCAGCAACTCTTCTTCGTATTCCTTATTGATTATCGACGCGTCACTTCTGTTTGATCCGTTCGAGCTGGTAGCTTTGCCGCCCGCCTCGTTCGTCTCGCCAACACTTCCACCTTTTTCGTTGTCCGTCTGGCCACTCTTGTCTGCAAAAGTGTTATTTTCTCGTTGAATGTGCCCGGACGTCGACACGTGATCCGCAAGGCGAAACAATATGGAATCCAGAAGACCGATTGGGATTAAACGATCCCGAAATTTGTATAAGTTCCTATTTTGTAAATAACTAACACATTAACATATTGCATGATCGGAAGTAAGTGAATAAAGTATTATCTGAATCCAATAAGTACTCTTTCGACTCGAAGTGTCCAACTTTTACAACCATTTCGCCGAAAAACTAGCGATGAGCGCAAACTTTTCTTTCAGGAAACGTTTTCAACCATTTATAGCCTATAAAATTATAGGCTTTCCTTCCTCGAGGACGACAAGTAGTTTGTGTATAATTGTGCGAAAAGGCGCTCAATTGAACATCACAACTATCGTGGGACCGAAGCATTTGACCCGTTTTTAGGCAGATTTCGCGGAATATTCAATTAAGCGTGCTTTTTCAACTTTTCATTTTGCCTTCAAAACAAGGGAAATACAACGAGAATTGTTGAATAGAACTTTTGAAAGCTCTGGGAACTCGATCGCAATCTAATCAGAAATCTTTGCAATCTAATACGAACTCGTTTGAAATAGAATTTGCTTTAATTAGATTGCAAAATCTTCTAATTAGATTGCAATCACTGCAATTTTTTTAATTAGAATGCAATTTTTGGAAAAACCGGCAATTATGGTGAGAACCGCACCGTCCGACCGCTTTCCATCTCCCTCTTCAGGTGCCAATATTCGAGAAACAGCCGCATGCTGGCACGGCACGGAAATGCGATTTCCCTTCACAAAAGGGATTTGTGCGATTTGAAAAAGCTCAAATCCGCTTTCCATTCCATTCTTCACGATGAAAACTACCGATTGAACGCCGAGAAAGTGGCAGAAACGCTTCAGAATCAGCCGCTGAAACCGAAGGAAATGCTCATGAAGCACATTGAATTTGTCGGAAAGTGAGTCACTCTTCCATTCCGTTCTCATCAAAAACCTTCCGTTTCCAGGTACTGTCCCTTCCATCACATGACTCCGTACAGTCTCAAAATGCCCGCTTATCAGAGGTACAGGGCGGTCCATCGTTACCCGTACAAAAGTTTCACGCGGCGCGCGTAGGTACTGACGCAATTCTGGTGTGGCCCTAATTCAAAATTTTGTATATTATCATGTTCTTAATTATTTGGCCAAGTCTCAGACCAAACGGATTTGTTTCAGCCGAATAGCACCGATTAGTCTGCAAACCGTTCCCATAGTACGCTTTTTCACTGAGGGGTGAGCAGACAAACCATCATGAAATGTGATGTGGAAATGAGTCCAATATCCGTGTAAATCACTCTAAAATGCAAACTGAGTCCGTGCCATGATTTCTTGTCCCATCAGCTGAACATGCCAATCTCAACGCGTTTTCATCGATCATGATGACAAAATCAGAAAAGTACGTTATGTAGATGAGACGTCAACAAAGAAACGTTTTCTTCGGTCTCACAAATACTTTAGAGAACAACATTGGGTGTTAGATTAGGATAATACGCCTGCTCACACGGCCAAGATCATTTAGCAGTTTTTCCAGGCCAATTTGGCAGCGTTCATCAAGAAGGAAGAATGGTCCGATTTCTCGCCGGACCATTTTTTGTAGGACTATTCGTTGTTGGGGTCTTACAGGCCAATATGAAGGCTAAACCCCAGACAAGTAGGGGAGTGAGAAAAAAATTCCTTGCCAGGTAGGGGGTCAATTTGTTCACGGACTTCCCGCGTGCCGCGGCAAACGGTTACTTCGGAAGTCTTCGGGCTGTCATTGTTAGGAAAGGAGGTCGGGTGCAACACTATTAGCTTATAAATATTGTTAAACATCTTAGTAAACGTTTTGTTAAGTCTCATGTCTTTCTGACTTCTAGTTTTGGAATTACACAACTTTTATTTTGTACGGGTAACGGTGGACCACCCTGTACAGTTATGATATCTACGCCTACATTTCCCTTCTTTACGCCCTTCCACTTCCGATTTTTTAATCGTTCTCCGGAAAATCGTTAGTCATTTCCCGATTCGAATTGTTTAAAAAACCCAGAAAGCCGACTAAATATCTCTAAAATCTCTTTCAATTTTACAAGTACGGTTATCAATAAAAGTTGTATTGTTCATATGTGTAATTCAAAGTGCTTTAATGTCTTTAATCAACCACTTCGGTTCCGGTCTCATCGGTTAGCATTTTCAGTATTCTGTGAGCCATGGCCGGACCGACTCTCCGTCCGTTCTCGGCCACAAGATCACCGATTTCACGAACGGCGGTTGAGTAATCAATTTTCGAGTATTTATCAATTGCGACGATCGGATCGGGGATCAACTTGAGAATCGCTCTTCTCTGGGCATCCGAGAGTCTGTCGATCGTAGCGAGCATCTTGCTCCACCAGTCCGAAACTATCTCCGCCCGGCTTCCCAACACGATTCCCTTTTCTCCGTGATACTGGACTTTGTGCCCTCCGCTGCTCGATTCTTCCTCCTTATTCGCTTCCAATCTCTTCTTTCCACGACGAGAAAGACTGCGCAAGTATTGGGCAGTGAACAAAGCCAATTCAGAGATATTATCGAGCTGAACGATTTGAGCACGGTGTGTTTCGTACAATTCGACCGATAGATTATGCAGCTTTTTCTTCGTTATATCCAACTTTCCGAATGATACGATAAGCATGGTGCACCGGCCATTTTGGAATCCAGTCCGTTGCTGAAAAAGAAAATAGAATGGCTCTAGAAGAAGAAGCTTCTTACTTCGACGATAAAGTCAGAGAGTGAGTTCGAAGCGATGACGTCTTTGAGAGTGGCGGCGGGCACGACGACGGCGAACAGATCTTGGGTGGACTTCAGAAATAAACAGAGTTAGCGGGGGTAAAACGACGGAATGCTCACGGAATACTCAAATCGCTCGCTTCTTCCGTCCTCGTCCTCCCTCAATTCGATGCATTTTCTGCGCCACTCAATCCTCGTTCCCAAGTCTCTCTCGATTCTCAGCTGATTCTCGATCTTTCTCTCCGTAAACAGCATTCTGATTTCAGCTTCCAGACCAGCTGAAACATTCTTCATCTGCGTCTGTTCGGTTTGAATGAACTCACGCAAAGTGTCGAGGACGTTCCTTCCCACGTGGCAGAATGTGTACTGTTCACATTTTGTGTTCAACGCCGCCGAAATCTCTCTCTCGATCTTTTTCGTCTCTTTTTCTCTCTAAAATTCCCACTTTTTGCTTCAATTACTTCCGCCCACCAACCTCTTTCTCTTCCCGTTTTCTCATCGCTTCATTCTTTTCTTTATCTTTTTCAGTCGCTTTCTTTTCTTTCCCCGCTTCTCGAGCCCTTTTCGCATTCTCTTTCTTCTCCTAAATTGTTCGCATTCACTCTTTCTCCCCTTTTCTCTTTACTCAGGAAAAAAGGCGCCGACGCCGTTTCGACGCCTTTCAATAGGCGTCTGTGCCGAATTTGCGCTCGTTTGACGCCGAGGCTGTTCCGGTGGTGCCGAAAAGGCGTCTGTGTCATTCCGGAACGGCGTAGGCGCCTTTTTTTCATGAGTACTTTCTGTTTCTCTTTGTCGTCCTCTTCTATTATTTTTCTCTTTTTCGTTTCGGTAATTTTGACTTCGGAGGAAGTCGACGCAATATTGAAATCCACATCGAAACTGCACTCGAACGGCTTGGAACTGCCCGCGTTCTTCGCCCTCTGCTCCTCGATCATTCTGTCCAATTCGTCCATTTCGTCGTCTAAACTCGTCTTTTTCTCCATCGCAATTCTTCTCGAACGTCTTTTGTTGACAGCGTCGACTAGTGAAAAACTGGTGGAGCATCTGAAACTGTGCTGCTAAACTAGAATCTGATTCAGAAGGCGTCCTACGTCTTCTGCGAGCTTTCCGTGACGACTGTCGATTCTTCAATGCAAATGCACTCATCGTCATCGTCGGACAACACGATTGCGTCGTCCATCTGTCTTCTGAATAAATTAGATGAACGGATCCTTAAACTAACCGATAATAAATGTTTTAAAAACGCAACTATCAATGGAAAATGTGACAAAATTCAGGAATTGTCTCGTCGTCTTTACTTGCAAAATTCGGGAGAAGGTATTTGACAGATAACATAATAATTAGGGTTTTCAATAAGTTAACAAGACTGCGGAGATTAACAAATGGTAAGCGTACAAAAGATAGCAGACGGATAGATGAAGGAGACATAACAGATGGGTAAAAGGATTCAGATGATGTCGGCGATGTTCATCGGCATCTCGTCGATTTGGGTGGAGTAGTACTGCTCGATATCTCTCAAGATTCTGACGTCATCCTGCTTCACGAAGTTGATGGCGACTCCCTTGCGTCCGAAACGTCCGGAGCGACCGATGCGGTGAATGTACAACTCACGGTTGTTCGGCAGATCGTAGTTGATGACCTGAAGATTAGTAGATACAACTGAATAAATCTTGATAGAACTTACAAGTGACACCTGTGGGACATCGAGTCCACGAGCCCAGACATCGGTGGAGATGAGTACTCTGGTGGTTCCAGCCCGGAATTCTTTCATCACTTCGTCACGATCTTTCTGTTCCATATCTCCGTGCATTGAAGAGACGGTGAAGTTGGCCTCTTTCATTTTGTCGGTGAGCCAGTCGACCTTCCTGCGGGTGTTGCAGAACAGAACTGCCTGAGTGATCGTGAGCGTATCGTACAGATCGATCAGAGTGTCGAACTTCCACTCCTCCCGATCGACGGCCACGAAGAACTGCTTGATTCCTTCAAGAGTCAACTCGTCACGCTTTACGAGAATGCGGATTGGGTCGGTCATGAACTTGCTGGTCATTTCGAGAATCTCGTGTGGCAGAGTGGCGGAGAGCAGAACGACCTGAGCGCCTGGCGGCAGGTAGCGATAGATGTCGTACAGTTGCTCCTTGAATCCCTTGTTGAGCATTTCATCGGCTTCGTCGAGAACGAGCAGCTTAATGGCGCGAGTGCGAAGATTGCGACGCCGAATCATGTCGAAGACACGTCCGGGAGTTCCGGAGACGACGTGCTGTCCGTAGTCGAGTTTGCGTATGTCTTCTCCGAGATTCGTTCCTCCAATGCACGCGTGGCACTGCACATTCATGTAGTCTCCGAGAGCAAGGACGACCTTTTGAATTTGAACTGCCAATTCTCTGGTTGGCGATAGAATGAGTGCCTGGGTCTCACGGACTTGGGTGTCCAAGGATTGAAGAACGGAAATCGAGAACGTCGCCGTCTTTCCCGTTCCGGATTGAGCTTGAGCGATGACGTCGCGAGCCTTCAAAATGGCCGGAATAGCACGTTGTTGGATAGCCGATGGTTTCTCGAATCCGTAAGCGTAAATTCCACGAAGCAGATCTTCTCTTAAAAATCGAACGTAAAAATCAATTTAACAAGTAAAAACTAACCTCAATCCCATTTTATCGAAAGTCGGAACAATAGAGACTTCTTCCGAAGATTCGAACTCGACAGTAGCCATGTCGTCATTTTTCTTTTTAGAATCCGACATTTTTCAAAGTTTTGAAGGTCCACAACCTGAAATCGACGAGAAGGATGAATGAGGAAACAGACAAGAGCGCACGGAGAGACGGAACGGGGTGAATGAGCAGATGTGCGGCGGGCGCGCGCACGCCGTATCGATCGATTAGCCTTTTACGGGTAGTGTACAGACTGTAGACACAAATTCAATTTATAATGAGAAGACGAATTGCTTTTCAGGAACACCTTCGTGAAAAAACGGAGCACTTTCAAACGTTGAAGAGATCTTAGAATTTCCTTTGGTCAAAAGTTGATTTGTTAGGAGGAACAGTGGTTATGAACACATTTTTAATTTATTTTGTAATTCTGCATTGATTTGAGCTTACAAAATTAGTCGAATTCAGAGAAAAAATGTAGGACGAATTGGAAATGTTTTTCGAAATTAACGCGAAGACGACCGTGGACGAAGAATCGCAGGCAGGTGCCCCTCGGCCACGTCGGTGTCGATTTACGGAGATTACAAATATTGATTGATGACTTTACCTTCTAGGTGTTTCACACATTTCATTTCACAATTTTCAGAGCATGGGTGGAATATTCTCAAAAAAAGAAAGAACTCCGAAGCCTGCACCTGTTTCTGACCAGGATAATGCGATTTTAGTAGGTTTCTGAAACGATCCTAATACAACATTGGCAATTTCAGGCTCTGAAAACTCAAAGAGACAAAATGAAGCAAATAATAAAAAGGAAAGAAAACTGCATGGATAAAGAGCGACAAATTGCAAAGCAGTTACTAAAAGACGGGAGAAAAGAGTGAGTCAAATCAGAAAACTATAGTAGCAAGTCCATTTCAGCCGCGCACTTCTGCTTCTCAAAAAGAAGAGATACCAAGAAAATATCATCGACCAGACACTGAAGCATCTGATCAAAATCGAACAAATGGTACGACAATTCGTTTAAAATAGAACGACAATCTCGTATTTCAGGTCCACGATCTCGAGTTCGCCGAGGTTCAGCAACGTGTCACAGAAGGACTCAGGCAAGGAAACGAGGCACTGAAGAAGATGAATTCGTTGTTTGACATCGACGAAATCGACAGGATCATGGAGGAAACAAAAGAAGCAGCCGAGTACCAAGAGGTGGGTCTTCAGTCTGCTCAACTGATCGTTCACCTTTCCATTTAGGAAATCTCGAACATGCTGTCTGGCCAACTGTCCAGTGCAGACGTTTCTGACGTAGAGAAGGAACTTGAAGAATTGTTGGCTGCCGAAGGACAAAAAATGGCTTTGGATATCAAAGATCAGCTGCCGAATGCTCCAAGTCACGAGCTTCCAGAGACAGAACGACAGAAAGGTTAATATAGAGTGTGAAGTTAAAATTATTTTTCTACTTTTCAGAACAAGAGAAGCCGCGCAAGGAGAGAGTGGCACTGGAAGCCTAAAGTGGTCCGTCCTCAGTCAACTCGAGACACGGTATTATTGCACATCACTTATTTCATCTGTATTAAAATCGGTTCTTGTGAATAAAGACATTGCATCCTGGGCTTCTTTAAAGAACAACACCGGTGATCAAACAAGGCGTCCAGAGATGGGTCAGTACGAAGAGACGCAAACAACCACACGAAACGTATTGACTTATTGACTGGCCGATCCGCAGTTTCCCTACCTTCCCTGGCTTTTGCACTCTCTTCCAGTATTCGTTGAAGAATGACATCCAGAAGACGTCAGCCGCCGGACCGCCAGAAGGAAGGTGAGCAAGCGGGTAATCGCGCGTATGACGGAATACCCGGAACAGTCAATATGTCTTGACGGAACCAGCAGCAGCAGCCTACTCAAATATTTTGATTTCTTTCAATCCGTTCGCTTATTGTCTCCTTCCGCGATGACGTGTTCCCCCCTTTTTCGCACACTTTCCAGTTCCACTGACTCAATAGTTGGCTCCCAAAAACTCATCATTTCAGTCACGAAAAACGAGAAACCACCAATGCTAATCCTTTACCCACAAAAACTCAATTTTCAGAAAACTAAACAAATGTTCAGATGTGTTTATTCCTCTTTTCACTAGGATTTTCCGTCTTACTTTCATTTTCCCATCTCATTCCCTTTTTCAACGAATTCTTAATAAGTAACATTCGCTTCGTCGTCTTCTTCAGAACGAAAATGAAAAGAACAGAAAAAGCAGAGAGATGGATCAGGTCATGAGCTATTCAGCAACTGACTCGTCCTGTGTATGCATCGAAATACAGAAGAAGAAGGTCCCTTGCCCCGTGGCGGTGGAAACGTGAGCTGCCTGGTGACCCTATGGCTCCGGCGGCTCCCCGCGTGCCGACAACAGCTGTGCGGGCCTTCGAATTCCGCCCATGCTCCCCCTTTCCGACTTCTGTTTCTTCGTCAACTCCCGACTGACAGCTCTCGCTTTTTTTTTATCGAAACACCGTAGAGCCCTTCCGTGTTTTTCTCCTCCTTCTCCTCCTCGTTCCAGCTGGTAGTAAATAGCCAATTTCCACTTTTCGCTCTTCGCCGAATGGCCTTTCCGTCCGGCAATTACTCGTTCGGCACTCCTTTGAGATTTACTCATTTTCTTGAAATATGGATAATGGGAGGAGATAAATCCAGAGCAAACGTCAGTCGTTTTGTTCTTCGCAAAACCGCAGGAGGCTCTCCAGATCATGACGCGTGCTCCATGGGCTTCCCTCGCTCTCCCTCTCTTTCTCTCGAGTGCACACTCGCATTATCATTGTGAAACGGGTGAAAAGGCGTGAAGTACTCGGCGTCCATGATGCACAGAAACCGAGAACAAACACCGAACTCATCATCAGTTCGCGCAACCCCCTCCCTTTCTGTTCTTCTTCTTCGGCGGGGAGTCTGTTTCAAACTGCTCGGCGCCCAGGACCCGCTTATTGTCTGTCTCTCGTGTTGACCGTGCCGATTAGCTGGCACAACACAACCGTTCTATGCAGATGCTCCCCCTAATTGTGCTCCAGTCATTCAGTCCGTCCGTCCCTCCGCTGCCTGTCCTCTAAACATTCCTGTTTGCCACCAAAAGAACAAGATCTCCTTTCGTTTCCATCGACTATCAGCTTGTCTTCTTCACCTCTTCTTCTCTAAAGCTGATACACTTTCCATTCTTTTTTTTTTGGGGTCTTCCATTCGTATCGTTCAATTCATCTCCAAGTGTTTCTGTTCATTTCAGAGCTGGGCAAAGGTCGGCCCAGGCTTTTTTAGGCCTGAACCATTCGTCCAGCTATGATATTCTGATCGTACCCAAATTTCGCATGATTCTTGGTCTTGGATTGAAGTATGACCAAGTTTCAGAACGAAAAGATTTCCTGGACCCAAGATATTCTGGTCTGAAGCCGAAACTGCGGCCTTCTCGGCCTTCCATCCACATTAATCCAGATCGGATAATCGGCGCGGACTTCAATTCAAGTCTGCTGCGACAAAGTTCGGGCCTCAAAAAACCTTCGAGAAGGCTGGGCCGGCCTGTTGCCCAGCCCTGTTTTATAGCCTTCTCTACAATTTCCGTTCCGCAAATCCCTTCTCATCATGTCTCGCTTCTTAATCTACATAATTATGTTGCGATTTAGTTCGTCTTTTTCTTCATCTTCTTCTCGCTCCCCTCTTATTCATTTTCTACTTTTCAAGAAGACAGAGTTCTAGAAATCTTCTCCGCAATTTGATATCCGCTCTCTTCTCCGCCTTCTTCGTTCCTCTTTCAGTTCTCTTTTTACCTTTTCACCACACAAATAACAGCCTCTCCCGGCTGCTGCTGTTGCTTTTTTCTTTCCCTCGCGGACTGACCGCTCGGTCCAAACTGTGTTCCGGTATGTGATAGGCGTTTCGGAAATGTGTCAATTTGTTTGTTTTGCCATAGATCGCGCTGCCGGTAGCCCCTCCCGGCCCTGTTCACTTCCTATTATCATTTCAGAAATGTACCCGACCGACAAAGGATCGTCGGGCACACGGACGACGTTCGAAACGCGGAGCCGCAAGAAAAGACTCTTGCAGATCGTCTTCACCGTTCTCGTTGTTTTCGCCCTTCTTCTTGCCAGTAAGTGTTGCCTGGGATACGGTATCTCTTCCGTTACCGTAACCCGTTGTGACAATTCCGGATGATGTCATTGTGTTGTTAATCATTGAATGTTCAGTAATCGGACTGGTGTACGGCAGCTTCTACCTCTACCGCAGATATGTAACAGACGCGAACGACAAGAGGGAAAGTGACGAGTATTTGAGAAAGCTGGTCAGACAGGTCAACGACTCGCCCGAAACCACGTGGAAGGCAAAGTATAACAAGTTCGGAGTGAAGAACAGATCGTACGGATTCAAGTACACGAGGAATCAGACTGCCGTCGAGGAATACATGGAGTACATTCGCAAGTTCTTCGAGTCGGAAGCCATGAAGAGACATTTGGAGTGAGTGTGCACACAGTCTTTCTCGAATTCGCCATTGGTTTTCAGTGAGCTGGAAAAGTACAAAGATTCGGACATTCCGAAGCAGTTCGATGCCCGTCTCAAGTGGCCGAACTGCCCGTCCATCTCGAATGTTCCGAACCAGGGCGGATGCGGAAGTTGCTTTGCAGTGGCAGCCGCCGGGGTCGCCTCCGATCGTGCGTGTATCCATTCGAACGGAACTTTCAAAGCATTGCTCTCTGAGGAAGACATCATCGGATGCTGCTCCGTTTGCGGAAACTGCTATGGAGGGGATCCGTTGAAGGCGCTGACCTACTGGGTTAATCAAGGACTCGTCACAGGCAAGTAACCAGTGTTTGATCCTTCCTGAATGCACTCTTTTCCAGGTGGGCGTGACGGATGTCGTCCCTATTCATTCGACCTGGCTTGTGGTGTCCCTTGCTCGCCGGCCACTTTCTTCGAGGCCGAAGAGAAGAGGACGTGCATGAGACGGTGCCAGAACATTTACTACCAACAGAAGTACGAGGAGGACAAGCACTTTGCCACCTTCGCCTATTCCATGTATCCCCGTTCGATGACGGTGTCTCCGGACGGAAAGGAACGCGTCAAAGTGCCCACTGTGATCGGTCATTTCAACGACAAAAACTCGGAGAAATTGAACGTCACCGAGTACCGTAACATCATCAAAAAAGAGATTCTTCTGTACGGACCCACTACGATGGCTTTCCCCGTCCCGGAAGAATTTCTCCATTATTCAAGTGGAGTTTTCCGTCCGTTCCCACTCGACGGATTCGATGATCGCATTGTCTACTGGCACGTAGTCCGTCTGATCGGATGGGGACAGTCGGAGGACGGAACTCACTACTGGCACGCGGTCAACAGTTTCGGATCGCACTGGGGAGACAATGGTGGGTGGAAAGGATTGTGTTCTTCAAAATGAAAGCATTTCAGGACTATTCAAAATCAACACGGACGATATGGAGAAGTACGGATTAGAGTACGAGACGGCAGTCGTCTGATCCGCCCGTGAATCATGTACATACACAGATGCGAATCTCATCTAGATACTATCAAAGGCTATATTTATTCCTCTCCCTCTCTCTCTCTCTCTTCATTGGCTTTTCGAATTAGTTCATTCCATGATGATATTTATCGAATGCTAAAATTGCCATTTTCATAGACACTTTCACAAACATTTCGTTTTCCTCTCATATTATCCATTTACCGTTGTTCGGAGAAAAATGAACACATTTTTAATAAAGAGATCATTCTTTCCCTTTTTCTGAAAATATATACTGGAACAAGAACGAACACTGTTTAAAAGTTTTTCGATTTATTGGGAACAAACAAACATATTTACAACAAAGTCATGGAAAGCAAAAGAAATATATACAAAAATAATAATTTAGAGAAAAAAAACAGATAATTTAGTCGACCTCCTCGACAGTCGGCCCTTGTGGATGGTTGCCAGCACTGAATCCAGCAGATCCGGGGTTTCCGCATCCAGAAGAAGGCTGCTGCTGTCCGGACTGGTGCAGTTTGGTGAGGATGGCCTGGCAGACAGCCTTCAGCTCCTTGTCCTTCGCCTCGATCTCGTCCTTTTCGGCCAGAGAGTTGGCTTCCATCCAACGGAGAGTCTCTTCGCACGCCTCCTTCGCACGACGTGCATCTTCGGCCGGCAGCTTCGATCCGTGCTCGTCGAGAGCCTGTTTCACTTGGAATGCGTACGCCTCGAGTTGGTTGCGGGCGGCGACGCGTTCGCGTTGTTCGGCGTCCTCCCGCTCGAACTGCTTCGCCTCGTTGACCATCCGATCGATGTCCGCCTGCGTGAGCCGTCCCTTCTCGTTGCGGATCGTGATGCGGTTCGACTTGCCCGTTGACTTGTCTTCAGCCGTAACGTTCAGGATTCCGTTAGCATCGATGTCAAAAGTGACGTCGATTTGAGGGACGCCGCGTGGAGCAGGCGGGATGCCAGACAGTTCGAAAGTGCCGAGGCGGTGGTTGTCACGGGTCATCGCTCGTTCTCCTTCGTACACTTGGATTGAGACGCCCGGCTGATTGTCTGCGTAGGTGGTGAACGTCTTGGAAGCCTTTGTCGGGATGCGCGTGTTTCGATCGATCAGGTTGGTCATCACTCCCCCGGCAGTCTCGATTCCGAGACTGAGAGGGGCGACGTCGACGAGCAGCACGTCCTTGATCGTCTGATCCTTGACTCCTGACAACACGGCAGCTTGAACGGCAGCTCCGAAGGCGACGGCTTCGTCCGGATTGATGGAGCAGTTGAGTTCCTTTCCGTGGAAGAAATCCTTGAGCAACTTCTGAATCTTCGGAACACGAGTGGATCCTCCGACGAGCACAACTTCATCGATCTTTGATTTGTCGAGTTTCGCATCACGAAGAGCCTTCTCAACTGGCTCGATAGTCTTTCGGAACAGATCTGCACACAGCTCTTCGAAGCGAGCACGGGTGATTTTGGAGCACAAATCGATTCCTTCGAACAGCGAATCCACTTCTAGAGTGGCTTCCGTTGAGCTCGACAATGTTCTCTTGGCACGTTCGCACGCGGTTCGGAGACGTCTGATGGCCCGGGGATTCGGCGAGATGTCCTTGCCGGTCTTTCTCTTGAACTCGGTCATGAAGTGCTGGAGCATGCGCTGATCAAAGTCTTCTCCTCCGAGATGAGTGTCTCCGGCGGTCGACTTCACTTCGAAGATGGATCCTTCGGCGATGGTGAGAATTGAAACATCGAAAGTACCTCCTCCCAGATCAAAGATCAGCACATTCTTCTCTTCCGAAATGCCTTTGTCGAGTCCGTAAGCAAGAGCTGCAGCCGTCGGTTCGTTGATGATTCGGATGGCGTTGAGTCCGGCAATGGTTGCAGCGTCCTTAGTAGCTTGTCTCTGACTGTCGTTGAAGTACGCGGGCACAGTGATGACGGCGTCTTTGACTGTGTGTCCGAGGTACGTCTCCGCAGTTTCCTTCATCTTCTGCAGCACCATTGCCGAGATCTCCTCCGGATTGAACTGTCTGCGTTCGCCCTTCACTTCCACTTCCACCACTGGCTTTCCTTGCTTTCCCTTGACCGCGAACGGCCAGTGCTTGCAGTCCGACTGCACCGTCTGTTCGTCGAACCGTCTTCCGATGAGTCTCTTCGCATCGAACACAGTATTCTCCGGATTCCGAGCTGCCTGATCCTTCGCCGCGTCTCCAACCAGTCTCTCCGTGTCAGTAAATGCCACGTACGACGGAGTTGTCTTGTTTCCTTCCGAATTGGCGAGGATCTCGACCTGAAATGAAATAGGTTGAACACTTGAATACTTACATCCGCTGGCACTTACCTTTCCATTCTGGTACACTCCGACACACGAATACGTAGTGCCGAGGTCAATTCCGATAGCTTTGCACGAAGACATTGCTTGTAATTTGTAGTTAGAGCAGTAGAATATTTTATTCTTCTGAGGGTGACACTCTGCTCCGAACGCCAGTTTATATACCCGTTGAGCACTTCTTCTCGAACCTTCTACAATGTTCCAGAATCGGGGCATTCCCCCCTTCTTTCCGCCCTCCTCGCTCTTCCCTCTCTTTTTGTTTGCGTCTCTCTGGCCGCCCTATACTATTTCCTCCTTTTTCTTTTCCCTCTCCCTTCTTTCTAGTGCTTTATCGAATGTTCTAGAATATTCGCGAAGAACGCTGCTGTTTTTCCAGACTTTGCACTGTTGTGTACCTTTCCAAAGTTCTAGAATCTTCCAGTTTCTAATGTTTTCGCTAAGAATTTGTTTTTGGAAGTTTGTAGAGACAAACAACTGAAAAATAAGAAGTTTTTACTTTTTCTAAAAGTTCTACAACGACAAAGAACAAATAATAATCATTTTCTACTTCTGTTTCTTCATACTCGGACTGTCCTGCAGATGAAGGAATCTCGTCTTCAGTTTCTCAATGCGCCGATTCTGTTCGATTTGTCTTTTTCTGAGGGATCTCCAGTACAGCCATCCGTCCTTCTCCGGATCCAAATCCTCGAACTCTCTCGGCGGTCGGAGATCCAATTTGAACAACCATTCGGGGTATTCCGAGTCCGGAAGAACTTTCGGTCCCGGCTCGTCTCCTTGAAGGTACGCGTTGATGCAGACGTGCGTGGCTAGTTTCTCAGCGTCTTGATCCACGAACGATTTGTCCACTTTGACGGCGGCAGCAGCTCCCGCCTTCGGAGGAGCGTATGATCGTCGGAAAGTGACGGACAAACGCCTTCCGCTTGAGGCAATCACTGCTCGGAACATCTGGAACAGAACAATGGAATGGATTGAGCAGAAAATCATAAATAAGGGCAGCTATGAACTGTCATTACGGTGGAAAACAAGTTAGAAGTACAAGTATCTTATTCGACATAACCCAACATAAGAAAACAAGATCAAGCATCCAATATTGGCATCGGAGAAAAATGTTTTTCAACATGTAAAAATGAATTTCAGATAAACAATGGAATGTATTTCCTTAATATTACAGATTTTTCACTCGAGAGCACTAAGTTTGCTCTGTCTGAGCCGCTTCACAGACGGCGTATCCGGAGAAGAGCGGCCTCGTTTGACAGCTCCGATACTCGAACGAGAAGCAGAAGGCGTGGATGGGGCGAGGTTCGACGGGGCGTCGTACTTCTGCACGTACATCTGCTTTGCCCCTCCGCCACCACCCAGTACTTCTTGGAATGACGTGGCAAGGGTCGTCTTCGCGAGCAGGGAAGGCTTGCCGACGCGGCTCCTCATTGTGATCTCCTCCGTGCACTCGACAACAGTCTTCTCCTGCGTTTTCATAAGCTTTCCTGCTCTTTCAAATAAGTCATTGTCTTCCTTAGGATCGTCCAACATCAACAATTCTTCAGCCTGAAACCTCTCTATCAATTTCATTCTGACAGAGATAATCTTACGTGTTCAATTTTATACTTTATAATCTGCGCTCTTTCCTTCTTCTTCTCCTCGCTCTCTTCTTGCTCGTCATCGTCTTGATCGTCTTCATTCTTTTCTTCTTCCGTTATCTGAACAGTTGTTTCCTCTCGAAGTTTAAATCGGAAATTTCTATTCGTCTCCACTCCTCCCAAGTCTCCGTCCGCAAGAAGACGATCTTGAAGCTTAGCCAGAGCCCTTTGTTCTCGATCGCTCTCCTGCTTCAGCAGAAGTTTATAATTCTGCCGGCGAATCGTGTCGTCGTCAGGAATATCATCTGCATCTCCTTCTTCAGCTTCGTACTCATTTAATGCGCCTTCTTCGTCTTCCAGATCGCTTCCGACGTCATCTCCAGATAACGATGCTTCGTCGTCGAAGAGAGTCTTCTTTTTGAGCTTCTGTTTGTACTCCTGGTGCTCGATCCTTTTAATAACGGCCAACTCATCGTCCTCGTCATCGAAGTTCGGTTCGGGTTCTTCTTTCTCCTGTTCTTCCACTTCTTCTTCTCCTTCCTCTTCTTCTTCATCGTTCAATTCTTCTCTATCTTTGTCGTCACCTCCAACTTCTTCTAATTCTTCCTCTTCCTCCTCACTATCGTCATCATTAAAAATAATCCTTCGATGTTTCTCCACATTCTCCTCAAGTGGCACCGTTTCTTGAACTGTTTCCGTTCCAAACATATCTTGGTTCGGAGCATTTTCCTCTGGAGTCTCCTCGACAATTTCTTCGTCTTCTTCGTCGCTGTCTAGAACTCTGTTCGCCTTTTTCGGTATCTTCTTCATCACATTCTCCTCTTCTTCTTCGTTTTCCGATTCGACCAACGATTTCGACGTCTCCTTCACAAATTCGCACTTTTTGCTGTAAGGACACTTTACACAATTCGACTACACTTTGAATTTTTACTTATTTTTCGGAACTTCTTCACCCAACAGCATTTGCAATGTGTCCGGGAGTCCTTCATTCGCCCCATTTAAAAGTTCTTGAGTGCCCCTAAACTTTCCAGAGCATAAATTTAAAATATCTCCAAAATCGTCAGTTCCATTCATTGTTGGCAGCTGAAGAACTCCGTTCTTCTCCACATCGCCAGCTTGTGAACGCCTGAAAACATTTTTAGAATTACTGTATTTGGATCGAAAAACTTACATGTCAAAGTTGGAGACAGTGGATCCTGGACCGGGTCTTTTGACATTGTTGAAGACATCGTAAGTGAAGGAATCATCGAGGAAGTTCACACTCATTTCATCATCCGCCTTTCCATTCTCTTTCATTTTATTCTTCATCTCGTCATCTGATTCTTCGTCACTGCTGTTCTCAGGGGGCGAATCCTCTTCCTTGTAATCCTCGTCATCTTCACTGTTATACTCGTCGTCGTCAGTCGTTCTTTTCGGCCTCTTCGCTTTCTTCTTTCTGATTATCTCCTCTTCTTCTTCCTCGTCGCTACCAGGTTTCAGATGCTCATTGTCCTCTTCGTACATCTTTCGACGCTGCTCTTGCTCTGAAAACTGATAATTAAAGCTGTTAGAACCACTGAAAAACCTTTCCGTCGTTTAACTGACATCGACGCCTGCAGTTTCTTCTTAAGAGTTTCTCTGACCAGTACTACAATTTTTCTCATTATGTCATCTGTTATTTTAGTTTGAACCTCTTACAGCTTTTCGGTGCATGTTTGGGAATGTTATGGGGCACGGCGAACGGTTTTCCATTCTCCGGGTTATTTGTCTCTGTGGATCGTTGAACGTTGGCGAATGTCTTTTTGAACCACTTGTTGCTTGGATCGTCCTGAATTTATAGATTTGAAAAAAAGGAAGATGGCGCTCACGTCTTCGTTCGTCAGATCAATGGTGTTGTTGGCAGAAGTGAGCACTCTTCCGAGCTTCGGAGCCGGTAGTGGACTTCTTTCGATAGCCAAAGCTTTCCGTCTGTTCACACGACGTATTTTTCTATCCTCTTCGGCCGTTTCGTCAGTTTCCGTGTTCTCATTCGAAATAATTTGTTCCTGTAACGCAATTTTAGGTCAGCGGCCGATCGAGTAATAATGGCTCACTTGGGAATCGGACATAGTCGACTCTGCGGTCAGAGAAGACGGGGAATCACTATCCTGATGATTTAAAGCCGTTGTGCAAGTTGGAGCCGCCTCCATTTCTGAAAGAAGTGATTTCTGCATAGAAACGCTTTTCAAAATGTATTTACGAACGAATAAGAAATAAACATTGTAGTGATAAATATGTGTTTTTTTACGAAAAATATTGTTCACTTGCCAGTAATAATTTTTTGAACATTTATTGTGTAAACGGCAGAAAATTCAAATTTTCAGCCAGTTTCCCGCATGCTGGCAAGACGCCAAGTGTTTGAATTGGCGCACTACCGTAGTGTGCCTGCACATCATACGTGTCTCGCTGGAGGAATCGGCGACGAATTTCCTTACTTTTGTCACGCCGCTATCCTCTGTGCGGTCCTTTTTTGTTGCTGTATCGTGAGATAACTCTACAAAAAACGAAAAATGGTGAGTGCTTTATCCTTTTTGGCAAGAGATTATCGTCGTTTTCTTGAAAAACTCCGAAACTTCGCCGAAATGTTTAGGCCCAGTTTTGAAATTTTGTGAAAGTTGTTTTTTTTTAAATCTATCGAGTCGAATGGTTTTTCAAATTGTTGATCCAGGTTTTTAATGTTATAAGAAGCCTGATCTAAACTATTTGAAACAGTTGGTTTCTTTCATCATAGTTGGGCAAAATTTCGCAAGAATGGGTTGCCTGCAAGTTGAAACTCAAAAATGTATAATATCTTGATCAAAAAAAAAAATGTATTGTTCAGGTCAACTTCACGATCGATGAGATCCGTGCGCTCATGGATCGCAAGCGCAACATCCGTAACATGTCCGTCATCGCTCACGTCGATCACGGAAAGTCTACCCTCACCGACTCCCTGGTTTCCAAGGCTGGTATTATTGCCGGAGCTAAGGCCGGAGAAACTCGTTTCACCGATACTCGTAAGGACGAGCAGGAGCGTTGTATCACCATCAAGTCTACGTAAGTTTGATTGACATGGGGAACTACGAAATCCTATCTTTTTCAGTGCTATCTCCATGTTCTTTGAGCTCGAGAAGAAGGATATGGACTTCGTCAAGGGAGAGTTCCAGGTTGAGACCGTCGAAGTGGACGGAAAGAAGGAGAAGTTCAACGGCTTCTTAATCAACTTGATCGATTCTCCCGGACACGTTGACTTCTCGTCGGAAGTCACTGCTGCTCTCCGTGTTACTGACGGAGCTCTCGTCGTCGTCGATTGCGTCTCTGGAGTATGTGTCCAGACCGAGACTGTGCTTCGCCAAGCCATCGCTGAGCGTATCAAGCCAGTTCTTTTCATGAACAAGATGGACCGTGCTCTCCTCGAGCTTCAGCTCGGAGCCGAAGAACTCTTCCAGACCTTCCAAGTGAGGTTTTGTGGCATTGGGCGTTCGCTCATTAATCTCCTTTCAGCGTATCGTTGAGAACATCAACGTTATCATTGCCACCTACGGAGATGACGATGGTCCGATGGGAGCTATCCAAGTCGACCCATCCATCGGAAACGTTGGATTCGGATCTGGACTCCACGGATGGGCTTTCACCCTCAAGCAATTCTCTGAGATGTACGCCGAGAAGTTCGGAGTTCAGGTATTGTTTTTATGGGTTTCAAATTGTAAACAAATTGTTCTTATTGCAGGTTGACAAGCTCATGAAGAACCTCTGGGGAGATCGTTTCTTTGACCTCAAGTCGAAGAAGTGGAGCAGCACCCAAGGAGATGGAAGCAAGCGTGGATTCAACCAATTCGTTCTTGACCCTATCTTCATGGTGTTCGATGCCATCATGAACATCAAGAAGGACAAGACCGCCGCTCTTGTCGAGAAGCTCGGAATCAAGCTCGCCCACGACGAGAAGGACTTGGAAGGAAAGGCTCTCATGAAGGTCTTCATGCGTAGATGGCTCCCAGCCGGAGACACTATGCTCCAGATGATCACCTTCCATCTTCCATCCCCTGTGACTGCTCAACGCTACAGAATGGAGATGCTCTACGAGGGACCACATGACGACGAGGCAGCCGTTGCTATCAAGAACTGCGACGCTAACGGACCACTCATGATGTACGTCTCCAAGATGGTGCCAACCTCTGATAAGGGACGTTTCTACGCTTTCGGACGTGTGTTCTCTGGAAAGGTCGCCACCGGAATGAAGGCCCGCATCCAGGGACCAAATTACATCCCAGGAAAGAAGGAGGACTTGTACGAGAAGACCATCCAGCGTACCATCCTCATGATGGGACGTTACATTGAGCCAATCGAGGATATTCCATCCGGAAACATCGCCGGTCTTGTCGGAGTCGATCAATACCTCGTCAAGGGAGGAACCATCACCACTTTCAAGGATGCCCACAACATGCGTGTTATGAAGTTCTCCGTGTCTCCAGTCGTGCGTGTCGCCGTCGAGGCCAAGAACCCAGCTGATCTGCCGAAGTTGGTCGAAGGACTCAAGCGTCTGGCCAAGTCCGATCCTATGGTCCAGTGTATCTTCGAAGAGTCGGGAGAGCACATTATCGCCGGAGCTGGAGAGCTTCACCTCGAGATTTGCCTCAAGGATTTGGAGGAGGACCACGCTTGCATTCCACTCAAGAAGTCCGACCCAGTCGTCTCGTACCGTGAAACCGTTGAGACCGAGTCCAACCAGATCTGCTTGTCCAAGTCGCCAAACAAGCACAACCGTCTTCACTGTACTGCTCTTCCAATGCCAGACGGCCTTGCCGATGATATTGAGGGAGGAACTGTCAACGCTCGTGATGAGTTCAAGGCTCGCGCCAAGATCCTAGCCGAGAAGTACGAATACGATGTCACCGAAGCTCGTAAGATCTGGTGTTTCGGACCAGACGGAACTGGACCAAATCTCTTGTTCGACGTCACCAAGGGAGTTCAATACCTCAACGAAATCAAGGATTCCGTTGTCGCTGGATTCCAATGGGCCACCCGCGAGGGAGTGCTTTCCGACGAGAACATGCGCGGAGTTCGCTTCAACATCCACGACGTCACCCTCCACGCTGACGCTATCCACAGAGGAGGTGGTCAGATCATCCCAACTGCCCGTCGTGTGTTCTACGCTTCGGTGCTCACCGCCGAGCCACGTCTTCTCGAGCCAGTTTACTTGGTCGAGATTCAATGCCCAGAGGCCGCCGTCGGAGGTATGTTCATTTAATATTGAACGTTATTCATTTTTTGTTTACAGGTATCTACGGAGTGCTGAACAGAAGAAGAGGACACGTCTTCGAAGAGTCCCAGGTCACTGGAACCCCGATGTTCGTTGTTAAGGCTTACTTGCCTGTCAACGAGTCCTTCGGATTCACCGCTGATCTCCGCTCCAACACCGGAGGACAAGCATTCCCACAGTGCGTGTTCGATCACTGGCAGGTGCTCCCAGGAAACCCGCTCGAGGCCGGAACCAAGCCAAACCAGATCGTCTTGGACACCAGAAAGAGAAAGGGACTCAAGGACGGTATCCCAGTCTTGGACAGCTATCTCGACAAGATGTAATTCTTGCAAGACTTGTTTATTGTTAAATTTCCTATTATAATAAACACGGTTGTTTGTTACTTCTTTTTTTTTCTTGTGCTAATCCAATGGATGGAATAAATTGTAATACTTTATTTTAAACAAGAGAGAAAATCTGTCGAAGACTCAAATTACCTGTGAAAATGATATTGAAGGAGTAGAGACTGTGACATTAGACGGTGTTGGACGCGGCAACTTCGTAACTGACTTATTTAGACTGATAAGACGGCATGAAGGACATCAAATTTCCGCATACCGCTTGTCTCCAAAGCTGCGAATATTTTTCTGCTAAACGTGCTGAGTGGCTGATTAAACAATTTGACCTTCCAGAATTCACGTGTACATCACATGCTCTATTTCAAAAACTTTTGATCTAAAATCGGAGCGTGGGCGTTTCGAAACGTTTCCATTCCTATCACTTGTCACTCGGGTTCTCGCGGCCGAATTGCCCGTCTCTCCGTTTTTCTTTCGGGCGGAAAGGGACCCGCTTCTCTGTTTTATCTGCTTCTCGAATACTCTTTTGCCCACTCGGCAGTGATGCAAAACTATGAAGGAAGGAAGAAAAAACGAAGAGGGCGCACACAGGAAACGAGGGGAGCCAACACAAAACATTTGTGTGCTGTGCGTGTGTTCTGCGTCTTTCGCTCCCTTCTTCTCGCCCGATTCCTCGCCGACAGGCTCTTCCAGTACACCCCTGTTCTCAGTACCAAATCGAGCGTTTCGAGAGTATTCTTCCAATCTTTGCCCTTTTCGATCGCAGTTGATTTTAAAATAGATGATCAAAATGAGGCGCGCGACCACGGAGTCATTGAAGCGAACTCCAATCAGAATCTATTCAGAATGATTCCAATGCGAATCATCCAATTTGTTTTGTTTCGCCAAGATTGCCAAGTTCATCGGAAGTCACGTGTGAATCTCTTGTTTTCCCAATCTTTCGCTCTTTTTCCCGGCTGCTGTTGGAAGCAAACTTCTCACGGTTCCGTCTCCCAATAACTCCGTCCTTCTCTGTGTCGATTTTCGAAAAACGTTTGTATCTCGTTCTCTTTTCCTGCCGTCTATCCGTTTCTCTCTTTTACGGTTTTACCCACTCCCCTTAAAAATGATTCTGGCGCCATAATTCGACGATTCGTCCCCAATGACCCAGCCTTCAATGATTGGTCTTCACTTCAATTCGTTCGCTCACCGAATCGATTGTTGTTTCTCTGCCTTTCACGCGCGCCAACTACTCTCCTCTTTACCGAATCTTCGTTTCCTGCCTTCTTTTCCCCGTTTTTTTTCGCGCCAACAACTTTTTTTTTGCAGGGTTAATCGTCGTTCAGTCTTCCCAAATGGCTTCTACTCAGGTTCAAGATGTCGTGAGTTTAAAACATTTTAGATTTCGGAGAGTTTGTCGGATGATTTCTGAATGCCAACTGACTCCTCTCTTTCTTTCTCATCGTGCACTCCATTTTTAATCGCCAGACAAACAAAAATGTGGGTAGCCACAAACGTGAATCATATCATGGTGTAAACGTTGGTCTGTTGTTTCGTCGGCTGGAAATGTGATCGAAGGGAAGACTTTGTGAGTGATCAGTGTATTTGCCGATGGAGAAGATAACCGACGGAGGAGTGTCCGATAAACGGACGGCAGATCGGCGGTGCATATTATGAATTGCGAGGGACCGACAGGACAGAGTGACCTCAGCAGTTGGCGGAAATGTGATAACGCAGCAGAGGAGGCGAAGGCATCGATTGAAGTTGGCCCCGCTTTGCGAGAACGGAGGAGCACGTCGGCACGAGAGACATAGACATCTGCTGAGCGTTCGGAAGAGTCGACTCGCGGGGCCATCGGGGAATTCGGGCAAATATTGACTGTCGATAGGGGGTTGACTGGTGCGATTTGTTGTGAACGAGCAGAAGAGTAGCGGTGAGGAGCACAGCTTACCTGAGCAAGAGCAACTATGTAGTTGAGGGACTTTTTAGGATTAACTTGAAATCAATCAGGAAGGGTGTTGAAAACGAGGGCTCTGGGAGCAGAAACTCTTCTGACACCTAATCCGGCTATCTCCGCTGTCATCTGAGTGCCATTCAACCACCGCTATTTCGTTGAAAAACGTCTTTTTCCGTTCTGATATCATCGTTCTGATTGATGTGTTCATGCCCGACCGACTGGATGCCATTTCTTGTCTCATTAGAGGGAGATATATGTAAATAGGGACCGAATACCTCTTGACAAAGAAATATGCTCACGAGAAGAATCGGTGAAGCATGAATAAACGAGACTTCTTGCCCGTCGGTTTTTTCTTCAATCGGGCTCTAGGTGAACCGTGAGAAACAAGAAGGGCAGCTCGGTTTTCAGCCGAAAGTACGCTCGTGAGCAGAGTCGTTTCCCATTTTTCTTCCAATTGCAATTTCTATTGGCATAATCAAGCGGGTTTCTTCTTGTTGCTGGTGTTTCGCGTCGTATTCTTTCCTCTCCTTTTCTCGTTGATCCAAACATCTCCATCAGTTCAGTTTTGAAGGTATTCGATGAAAACTACTCACGGCAGTGCAAGCGTCGCTCCGATCGATGTGACCAATGGGAACTTTGTTATATCCGGATCATCGAGCGATCGGCAAGGTGTTATATCTGTCAGCGTAACGGAACTTTGCCATCATTGCTACGAACGACGCGAAAAGAGGCCAGAGCGATCGAGTTCATTTGAACGACTACTCACCGAATCGGCCATAATGCCAGCTATGCATCCACTGAAAGACGAGAATTGGCATGCTGGAGGAGATACTTTTCATAAACGTGCCTTCGTTGGATCGCTACCACTCGAGAAAGACTGGGATTTGCTTCATGAAAATGTAATCTATCGAGCTAGTCAATCAATGGACAGTCCGTATCAAATGCGACCTCGATCCTCTTCCGATTCACTTCCTTTCCGTGCCGAACTGAAAACAACGTACTCGGAATTTGGAGGTTTCTATGGCGATTTAACCGGAGATGCAATAGAGCGGGCAGGCGGAAGTCTTGCGAATCGGTCACATGACGAGGCCATAAAAAGCGCGGATGGTTTTGAGTTTATTGACGACGGAGAAGACCACGGTTCCAGTGGCGTTATCATTGAAGAAATTGAAGACGAACCCTTGACGACTATGAACAATAGCCAATGGGATGAAATTCCAGTGAGGGGATTGATCACGAATATGGAGAGCTTCGAATTGGTTTTGTCTGGAAAACTGAATGGCGAAGAGAATGATACCAGTGAGAGGACCGGAGAAAATGAGCAGGAGACGAAGGATTCCTTCGACGACGTTGAGACGAATAAGAATATGGATGAACAACAATCAGTAGAATCTGGGAACGCCCTCCCGAAGATTATTACGCCAGAGGATTGGAAAAGGGAAGTTCAGCAAAAACGAATAAACAAAGACAACGTTGACTGTCGTAAATCTTTCATTACTCCCCTGGATGAGCTCTACAAACAGTACAATCATCATCCGATCCACTCTAATGGAGTGATTCGAGTTGTGCACACTCCGCCGGCTCCTCGGAGGATTACGACGGTTGGGCACATCAGGCGGTCTTCTTCCCTTGGTTTAATTGAAACGTACAGTGACGCGCTGAAAGCCAGGTCGTTCTGGTATATCGAAGAAAACTCTGTGGCAACTGTTGCTTCTTCTGAAACGGGGGACGTACAGAAAGTGCAGAAAGTAGAAGAAGTGGAAGAGGAGGAAGAGCTGGTACAAAGCTCAGCGATCTGTTTGCTATGCCTTCCGCTCCGTCAGTTCTTCTCTTCGTGCAAGTGGCGAAGCCCCGTGAGTTTCTAGAAGGCTTCGCATTCTTTCTATTCCGACAAACTCCCTGGGAAATTGACTTTGCCCGTGTCAGACTCAATCATAAACATTCATTATTTCAGGAACTGGCCGAGGCCGGAGATACCGTGGCTGAGGTGAAAAGCGGCAGTGCTTCCGGAAGAGGACGTCTGGCTCGCAGAATGACAATTGAGGAGGAGCACGCCGGAGACTATTTCAAGTAAGCGATTAAAAGACACGTCATTATGACGGCGATTTCGTCACGACGCAATTCTGCATCTGAATTCATCATTGCACAATTGCATCATCGTGGAAATAAGGAAGGGCTCCCCTGCCAGTCGAAGAGCGCGCGCGTTGTTTATGCTGTTTGGCGGGTATTCCTATAGCCACATGTGTGTGTATTCGTCGAACATATATTATTACTTTCATCATTTCGCTCATCGCCTGAGATTCTACTTAGCACGTTTTGTAGTTATTAAGCAGCCATGAAAGCGATTCGGGATTCTTGTTTCTAATCGCCTACGCATTCTTCTTCTTTTTACGGCATATTCCAATTAGTAGCGGCTGTTAGTGAAAAAAGTGCGTGCAGGAAAGAGTGCTCAGGGAGCTCACATTGACTAGTCTCCCGATGAAGAAAAGCTTTCCGTTTACATGAAAGGCGTCGGGGAGAATAGAGCTCATTCGCTTTGTATTCCGGGTGGGTAAACTGTTCCTTCGAGCGGACGCCTTTTTGTGAGTCACCATTCGTTTCGAATGATTTCGAAATGTGCGCAACCCTCCCCTCCACTTCAGGTACCATTCTCCCTTCTCTCCGTTCCCCTTAATTTCGCTGCGAGACCCGCGATAGCTTCACGGTCACTGCGCCTTTCGATACAGCATTCTGTTCGTGTTCCGTCCTAAAAACTTTCAACTGCTTCTTCGTTCCTCCCGCGTTTCGTTTTCTGAGTTCATGCATCTCCGAATTTTTTTGCCATTCTTTTCTTCACATCCGCTTTGTTTGTTGCGCAGCTCTTTCCCAGTCGCAAAGTTCACAACTCAATCATCGAAACATTTGCGACCTTTGAAAATCGCGAGTGCGGGGGTGGTGAACAGTGCACACCGCCCTCGTGATTGTTCTGCAACTGTACACTGAAAATAGATAATGAATCAGCAAATGCGCAAAAAATATGTGCGTCCCGACATCACGCCTTTCGAAAGTCGTTTATGTAAACACGTTGTTGTTGTTCTGGTAGGAGTCCGACATGGGACCGGGGCGTGACCTGGGAAAGCCCGTGCGAAGTCTCCTCCGCGCAGTCTCGCTCTCTTTGCTCGCCGGCGTCGTCCTCCGTCCTCCCCTCTCTCCATTCCGTCACACTATTTTTTGCTCTGCGAATTTTTACTGCGCGCATGTGAAATCCGCGCCGTCTTTCTCCTTTTCCTCTAGATTTTCATTTCCAAAGCCGGAGTCTTCAGCTGACTGCTCTTTGAGCACTGTCCCCTTCTCGCTGTTTCTCAGAAAGCCATGTGCTTCTGATGGCTCCCCTTTTATTGCTGTCTGAAAGTTGTGTGCACAAGATTCAAAACGCTTTCGTATTTCTAAGATCTGTCAGTTCTATTTATTTCGAGCCAACGCACTTCTCTTTCTGACCGCTAGACGGTGAGAGAAAACAGAGTACATTCGCCAGCTTCTGGAATGTTCTGCAAAAGTCCGCTTTGTGCTCGGCTGCCTCTTTTCTCTAGTCACATGATTTTCAGATTACCCGTCTTGTTTTCCGTCGGGGCTCCCCTACCTTTATTGCATCATGATTTTCCGCGCGGATCACCCGACCTCATTTCGACTTTTGTGTTCTGGAGATGTTCGAGCCACAGTTGTCTAATTGGATAAGAGGTGGCCCACTCGACCAGAACCGGTTTTTGTTTTCGATGCGCCGGCATTCTAGCCTTGAATTCACTCAATCAGAGATGACAACCCTCTCATTCGCTCCCCGTAGTCCAGTGGCTTTCCTCGCTCATTTAATTTTGAAAGGCGATTCCATGAGAACACATACCAGTCACCATGGAGATAAAACATTTACGCGGCTCTCAATTTCGCTACCAAGCAGCTGCCTGTTTCTTTTTTCTCCGTTTCTGCACATATTCCTGCTTGTGCTCATCTCCTTTCTAATCCGTATTATATCCGTTTCATTTTAATAAGTCAGTTTTCTCAGCTCAGGAAACTAATCTCTGTCCGTGCGCGCTCTTCTTCATTCTACAATCCACCGAGCTGACTCCTTCCTGAGTGGCTCGTCATCGTGAATCTGTCAAAACGGGAGCGTTAAACGCCAAACCTTGCGAGCATCCGGAAAACGACGCGGCGAATCCCACGTCGCTGCCGCCGTTGTCGAAGCAGCCTCATCCGATCCAAGAGGCCCATTCCGAATCGCCGCCCAAATCACCGCCGCGTCCCAAGTTTCTGAATCAATTGGCTCCGTCAGTTGCATTTGAGCATAATCTCAAATCGCAATCGACTTCATCTTTTCGCGAACTTTTTGCGTACGCTGCGCGCACATCTGAAGCTCCCACCGAGTGGGATTCTGAAGACGACGAAAATTCGGACATTCTTTGTCGTAGCAAAAGCAACATGAGCGACGATTCGTTCCAAAAAGAACTCGATGCCGCCGCTTATGATAAGTAAGTTTGAAACATCTTCCACCGTGAACTTTCCAACTCATGGGGTGCGCTTGTTTGTGATTCCAAAACAAACGTTAATTAGAAATTTAACTCGTATCCAATGTACCGCCTCTGGTCCTTCATCTCTGGGGACAGAGTTCTCGCAAAGCAGTCGATTAGAAGCATCGAAAATGCGAAGCACATTGCGCACGCCGAGCAGGTAACCAAGCCGACGGCGCTCAATTTGTCAATAACCGAGAATATTCTAAGGCGCCGTTGACTCCAATTTTATCCAAATTGATTGCCGAGCCAGCGGTCAATGTCGACGCGAATAATAATGTGAAAGCGGGAGAGGAACCCAGAGATGAGGGGGTTCGCCCGAAGACTCACGTCTGTTCGCAACCAAGTTTCAGACAGAATTCATACAAAACTAGGTAAAATCAAAAGCAGAATTGTGTCAGATGATAGGTATTCGAATAAATTGCATCTCGATACGAATTTTAGGCAAGAGCAAAAACTCGATGCCGTTCCGGCCACCACTCACATGGAGCACTTGTGCCGTCTGAACATCCGCGAGGCCCCGCACCTTGTCCGCCAGACTGGAATCATTTGCACGATCGGACCTGCTTGCGGCAGCGTCGACATGTTGCAGAAGATGATTCTCAACGGAATGAACATCGCCCGTCTCAACTTCTCGCACGGATCGCACGAGGTTGACACTTTGGAAGCCTCGTGACTTGCCTTGCAACTAAATAATTTCAGTATCACGCGGGCACTATCGCCAATGTCCGTGAGGCTGCTGATTCCTTCTCTGATCCACGTGTCATCGGAATAGCTCTTGACACGAAAGGACCCGAAATCCGTACCGGACTTCTCGCTGGAGGCGCTTCCGCCGAAATCGAGCTCGTTAAGGGAGCTTCAATCCGTCTGACGACTGACTTGCACTTCTCCGAGTCGGGAACTGCCATCAATCTTTTTGTCGACTACAAGAACATTGCCAAGGTGCTCGCTGTTGGCTCTCGTGTCTACATCGACGACGGACTGATCTCCCTCGTCGTCGAGGAACTGCAGAACGACGCCGTCGTCTGCACGGTCGAGAACGGAGGAATGCTCGGAAGTCGTAAAGGAGTCAACCTCCCAGGAACCATCGTCGATCTTCCCGCGGTTTCCGAGAAGGACATCAAGGATCTGCAGTTCGGAGTCGAGCAAGGAGTTGATATTATCTTCGCCTCGTTTATCCGCAACGCTGATGGAATCCGTACGATCCGCAAAGTGCTCGGAGAGAAGGGAAAGAAGATTAAGATCATCGCCAAAATCGAGAACCAGGAGGGAGTCGACAACGTGAGTGCCAGTAGAACGAATGATATCAATAAATTAGGATGGTTTCAGGCGGATGAAATTATTGCTGAGTCCGACGGAGTCATGGTTGCTCGTGGAGATTTGGGAATCGAGATTCCAGCGGAGAAGGTTTTCCTCGCTCAAAAGGTATACCTTCCTTCGTTTTCTTCATTTTCTTCTCTTACATCTGAATTCATTTTCAGATGCTCATATCGAAGTGTAACCGTGCCGGAAAGCCGGTCATCTGTGCCACTCAAATGCTCGAATCCATGGTCCACAAGCCACGTCCGACTAGAGCGGAGGGATCCGACGTCGCCAATGCCGTGAGTAAACATTCTCTCTTCTTTATAACGGCGGGTCGACCTCCCTTCAATTGAAGCGCATTTGGCGGAGTGGGTTGTACGTTTGCGCGTCGCTTTGGAGGCGCAGGTTGGCCCCCTTAGGGGCACAGAGTTGCATTTGTTCGAAACAAGATCATGTGCGCTAAGTTGCCCCGAAATGGAATCGGGTTATAAGAAAATTGTGCTTGTCGTCGAGTACCATTGATATCAATTCGAACATTTTACTTTGTTTTTCAGGTGCTCGACGGAGCCGACTGTGTGATGCTTTCCGGAGAGACTGCGAAGGGAGACTACCCAATCGACGCTCTCAAGATCATGCACTACATCTGCAAAGAGGCCGAAGCAGCTGTCTACCATCGCAGACTCTTCGACGAGCTTCTCCAGAACACTCAAAAGCCGACCGACATGTCCCACACGATCGCCATCGCTGCCACTTCGGCCGCTGCTTCATGTCACGCTTCGGCCATTCTTCTCATCACCACCACCGGAAGATCTGCCATCCAGTGCTCTCGATACAAGCCAGCCGTTCCAATCCTCACCATCTCGAGAGATGTGGCCGTCTGTCGTCAGCTCCATCTGTACAGAGGCGTCTTCCCGGTCTTGTATCCGGCGGAGCGTGCTGCCGATTGGCCAACTGACGTAGACAACAGAATCAGCCACGCGATCGCCATTGGAAAAGATCGTGGATTTATCCACAAGGGAGATTTCCTTGTCGTTGTCACCGGATGGAGACAAGGTAAATTATTTTGACGATGTTCTTCTATAGCATTCGCGTTTTTAGGAGCCGGAGCGACCAACACCCTCCGCATCATCACCGCCGAGTAGACTACTCGCGCACTATCCTACTGCTCTCATTTCCTCGATAAATCTTAATATTGCATGATTGTGACTAACCCCCAGTTCAGTTTTAGAGTGGTTACCGGTTCCCCCTACCCAATCCGATTCTGAGTCATGCTCGTTCCCTATTTTTTCCCCGCCTATAGCTATTCTTATCCGAGATTTCGGTTTTCCTTAAATTAAGGTATTTTATTTAGTATTGCCACGTTCTCTCTTGTAGATGAATAAACTGCTGAATGTTGAATAATTCTTGCAATGTTTGCCCCTAGAAACTGGAAACTGTAACAATAGAGTTGGTTGTGAAATGTGGATTTCTGCGGTCTTTACAATCCTGGAACAAAACTTATCAGTAAGAAAGATAAAAAACAACGAGTTTATTAGGAAATCACTCCTTTTGGCTTCGGCAGAAACAGTACCAGAGCGCGTGGAAAAGGCCGGGGAAATAGAACAGAAGTGACAAACAAATGTTGAGCCAGACGGCGCCGGAGCACTTGTTGTCATTTTTCATGAAGACAGCGATCGGCTGCAAAGGATCACTGCGAGACCGAAGAGATCGGGGACTCACGGAGCAGATGATGATCACACAGCAGAGGCAGCATCCATTGATCTCGCCCATCGTAAACGGACGGAACTGAGTGGAGTGTTCCCGAAGAGAACTTCTTTTTGAGGGAAGACGGTCACCCGAACAGAGAAACCACAAGGAGAGGCCGTGTCAGGACGAGGTGGGGCACAAAGAGCCGGTTCACGGACGGTCCTCCGTTTCCCACTGTATCATCGGAACAACTTCTCGCTGTCCCATGTTTACTTTTTTGTTTCGAAAGAGACATCGCTTCCAGACAAACAACGCCCTTCCCCCTTTTCATGTTGTTCGCTTCGAAGCTGATCACTTAGTGAATCCGGACTGGTCTCTGGCCTTCAGTGCCCAAAAAACAATTTGTCAGTTGATAAACAGTTTATTCAGCGGCGATCTTTTATGTAGCAGACGTAGACGGCGTGGATGTAGGCTGGGAAGACGAGGCACAGATAGAGGAGGACGTTGAGGCAGACGGAGCATCCGCACGACTTCTCTTTGTACCAGACTGCCAGCGGCTGCAATGGAAAGCATTCTGAATGGATTAAATAGCGAGCGACTGACCGGGAAAATGAGCATGAGAAGCACCATCACGATACGATCTTCCGGAGTGTCCATGGTTGAGAACGGAAGCGAATGGAAAGTGGGAAAAGGGGGAAACGGAGCCGCTTTTATATGGGCGAGTGATTCATCTTTTCGTACGAAATATTATAAAACATGAGTAAGCAACCAGAAGAAAAACATAATTGAGAATGTATCTGAAGGCGGAGAAGATTGACGACGGTATTTCGAAATAGGCACCGAGATCTGGAAGTTTCGAATTATTTGAACACTCGGATCCTACCCGAATTCCTTTTTTAAAAGTATCACTGGTCAATTCTACTCCGTGCGGTTCTCATTTGAAACAGCTTCATCTGAATTCCTTCCGCTTCGTTCTGTTTCAATGCAAAGAATACCAACTTTTGTATTTTCAGATTCATTTCAGATGAAAGAAATATAATGAAAATGGGAGAAAAAGAATGGTGGGACAAGTAGTGCGTGAAAAAATGAAGATGGGGGTCAAAAGGATGCGTATCTTGGTATGAATTGGTCTCGCCGCGAAGAGGAATTCTTCAGAATTGGAAGGAAAATAAGCGATTTCATCTTCGGCACATTCAGGGATAACAACACGAAAGCAAAGGCAAAAATGCAAAAGAAAGAGAGAAAATAATGTTATGCGGATAAGATTGTCTATTTACAACTACGGGAAGTGGTGGGGTGAGGGTAGTACTGGGTACTAATGCGTGGCTTCGATGTGGGAGGAAGAAGGGACAGGCAATTGTGTTCCTAGGCGAAGAGCAGCGAAGCGACGGTTCGGAACTAGACTAGACTGGACGGAGAACCCTTCGGAACGGAAGAAGAAAAAGAAGAAGAAAGGAGGAATAACGAAAAGATAAAAGGGAGCAACACAGGGATACGGTTACCGAAACGACGGAGAGCAAAGAATGGAAGTGAAGCGAAGAATGGGAAGAACACGGGGAAGAGGACGGAGAGCCGACGGTTACGAGTTGGCAGCCATCAGACGAGCCTGAAAAGAAATGGGATGATCAGTGAGGGGAAGGGGACAAGTACCTTGGCGCACTCGGGACACAGAATCTCGTGTCCGTCGGTGATAAATCCTTTGCCTACTAGGGAAGTTGTGCATTGTGCACAGATGAAACAGTCGTTGTGCCAATGTCGGTCTTCGAAGGAAATAAACTTGGCACCGCCGATTCCTGTAATAATTTCGATCATCAATCGTTTCCTCAAATTTCGGACTTACCAGTGATTGGTTTGGTGCAAGCGTTGCATCGTTTCGCAAAGAGTTCCCCGTAACAGTTGGCACAGTACGGTTTCTCGTCCTTGCTGGTGAACCGTTGGCCGGCGAGTGACGAACTGCAGTTGGTGCAGCAGAAGCATTCCCGATGCCACGGCTCGTTCTTGTACGTCACTCCTCCGGCCGTGATCACCTTTTTACACTTGCTGCAGCGCGTTGCAAACTTTTCTTCGTAGCAGGGACCGCAGAAAACGTCGTCGTTCTTCGGAATGAACGACTTCGTTCCGATCGCAACTTTGCAGTGAGCACAGCAGAAGCACTTGTCATGCCATTGTTTGCCTTTGTACTCCATCTTTTTCATGCCTGAAATGGAACGAATGAAACCGGAAAAGAAAACAAAAGAAAGGGATTCGGAGGGAGAATCGGAGATGGAGGTCCATTCTTTAATTGGGTTAGCGTTACGAGAATGGATACGAAAGCCGACCTGCTCGGAAAATCTCGTTGCACCCGTCACATCTCGTCGCGAAAGCCTGATCATAGCAGTTGGAGCAGAAGACTGAAAACGGGGATCTTACGATGAGGAAGGTGGACTCAGAACTCACTTCGGTCATTTTTGCTGCCGAAAGGCATGTCTACAAGTGAGATCTTGCACATACTGCACAGGAAACAATGCTCGTGCCAATGCTTGTCTTTGTACGAGAGGTCCTGCGAATCGGAAGGTTAGGCACGGATTACGGGAGCAACTCGTGCCCGAGAAGCCCATAGACAAACTTACTTTGGAGTCGATTCCGATCGGTTTGGCGCACTCGTCGCACTGATTCGCGAACACGTCTTCGTAGCATTTGATGCAGTAGGGCTGCTCGTCGCGCATGATGTAGCGCTGTCCGGTGAGCGTCTGATCGCATTGCCAGCAGCAGAAGTGATCGCTGTGCCAGTCCTTGTTCATCGCCTTTGTGTACTCGCCCGCGAAGATGAGCTGCAATAGGGAAGCACATGAATGGAAGGTCACTTTGAAAGGCAAAGAATCCGAAAGGGAGAGGGAGACACCGAAATGGGCTCTGCGCGTCCACGATCAGCACGCCCTCTGCACCTATTAATCATGCAACACTGCCCTCTTCTGGCCCGCCCGCCCAATTCATTCTCGTTTCGCCGCTATCTACAAGCTCGTCCTGGATTTTTTGGCGCGTTTGGAAGGAAGACCCGGATATAATTCAATATGGCCGGCTCGCGGTCTTTTGGAGCCAATTTTCGAAATGAACCTCTTTGTGTCTCTGTGACGGAAGAGCCGACGCCGCCGCCGCCCGAACAATTCCGTTGGGGCGACGACTGATGGTGGTGGGCCGGAGAAGGAGGAGGCGAGAAAACAAAACAAAAACACGAAAAAGGGAGAGTGTGTTTGGTGATGGCGAAGAGGATGAAAAAGCAGAGTTTCGACACCAACTGCACCCGTCCAGTGGCACAATGAGCCCATTGTCGTCGGCTCGCCAGTTATTGCTTTTATAAACATTTCGAGGTTTTTTTTTGCAAGTAGCAAACGACGACGAAATAGGGAATGTAATGCATCGAGCAATTATTTATAGTTCGAGCGGGCAACTGTGCCCTATTGAGAGGGTTTGTTCATTATTAAAACGGATGGTAGTTGAGACGCAGAGGGAGGAGATTGGATCCCGATGGGAAAAGAATCAGGAGCCAGGACTGCCTCTCGGGTGTCAGATCTCGCAAGAGTTTAAGAAAGAAACAATAGTGGGGGGGGGAATGAGTGGATGGTTGGATATTCGGAATGAAAGGGCATTGTCGTGGGAGATCAGCAGAGCGAGCGACGACGAATCGATCGGGGGCACGAGCTCATCTGCCGGGGCGTTTCTCGGCTCGAAACGACGGGCGATACACGACGTCCCCGGAGGATCGGAGAGAAAGAAAAAGAGACAGAGTCGTTTCGTTTCCAGAAATACCAGCGAGACGTCTACACGACTTGGCTTGGCTTGTTGTGCATATGCACTGCTTCTTCTCCTTCTTCGCTGCTTTTGTTCTGAAAGAGATTGCGGCAGCGGCAACGGCGACGATTTATGAGTTGGGAATTATGGTTCTTTTAGTTGTTAACTGAACGAAGCGCCACCGAGCAAAACATTTGAGCGGTCGAGCATTTGATAAAACGCGGCGGAGGGAATGAGGGGATGGGCCGAGAGGCGGGGGGAACGAGACCGACCGAACAATTGGTCCGGGCGGCGGATACATGCGGTGGTGACGGGTCACCGAGCAGCTCTCCAGTTTCAGAGCAACGTGGAACGGATAAACACGGCCGGCCTAGTGGGGTTTGCGGATGAAGCGGATGAGATATTCACGGGAAGATAAGGGGAAGAAGGAGAAGAAGAAGGCAATGCTCGGAATTTATGGGATTGGGTTGAGGATGGACGGAAAAGGGTCTAAAAAAGGGGTTTTAGTAATTGGTGAATGCGAGTGGATGGATGAGTGGGAGGACTTCTTGAGCAATCAGGTGGTCACAACAACAATTGCCACGTCACTTGTCGCGAACAGCTGAGGATCGGCCTAGATCGGCGGATCAGCAAACAAGTGCAGTGAGTGAAAATTGTGAAATCTGGGAAGCGAGAGAGCGTGGGACGAGGAATCCCGGGAGGTGTAATAGCCGGCAGGACCCCGCTGATTCTCTTCTTCTTCTCGCTTCCAATAGACTAAATGATTAACAAAAACTGAGACGTCGAGCACACACACACACACACATATACACATACAAACACATAAAACATGACGAAGACGAGGAAAAAGCTGAAGAAGAAGAAGAAGAAGAAGACGGAGCGCGCCTCGGATTTCATGTCGCCAAAACATGTGTGGCGGCTCAAACTGTCATATCGTCAATTCGCCGTGTACTTGAGAAGAAAACGGAAGAAGAAACGAGAAATCGGGACGAACTGTGATGAATTATTCGATTGGACGGACGGATGGAGACGATGTTGCCGTCGCGGCGGAGAAAGACAAAAAACTAATAATAATGGAAAGAGTGAGAGAGGAAAAGAGAGAGGAAAAGAGAGAGGGAAGGGGAAACGGACCGAAACAATAGGAATCGGAATGTGTCGCCGAGACTGTTTCTGGAAGTGTCGAACCGAGATCAGGAAAGGAAGAGGGGAAGGGTAACAGTAGTTAGTTTCCGTCAGAACTCTTCGGCCAGGGAACTCTGTTGACCTGTGCGCCAAACTACAAAAATGACACATTTTCACTGATTAGGAGAGTATTAAAATGCATTATATAGAGGGCACATGATTCATTAACATTCTGATGAATCACGAGTTCCCCATTTGTTTCCTGAGCCCTTTTTTTCCTATGTTCTGACCATTATTCGCTTCAAACACAGAATTGAAAAGAGTGAAGAGTGAAGGGAAAATTGTGGAAAGACGAGTGAATCTGTGTTGGGGAAGGGTCTGGAAACGAGTGAGTTGAAATGAGTGCGAGTCACGCGATCGGAGCCAACTTCCCGTCGGCCGCACGAAGAATCGGACCAGAAAGTCACCTCCCTGCGGGCACAGACGAAACAAATCGACGGAAACTGCCAAAACAAGGAGACGACTCGCCAAAATTGAATTGGTGTCGACCGGGCGGACGGAGAGGAGAAGTCGAGGGGTGAGGTCGTTATCAGGAGAGCACAAAGAGGGTGAACTGCAGGAAATCAACGCACAAAAATATTTGCGTTTCCCACGTTTCACACGGAAAGGAATGGACAGTTTTAACTTGTTTGAACATTCCCCGTCCCATCGTTCCCGCGGCTTCTCCCAGAAAATATACACGTTTGTTTATTTTTTGTGTTCAACGAAGTCGAATTTAGAGAGAATTAGTCAGTGGTTGGTAGAAGAACATCTCGCAAACATGAAGGAATCTTCCGTCGGAAATGAATGATGTCACGAATTGAGAAGAACGAACAAAAAAGAGATATTTGCCACTGACAACCGGGAAGTTTTGAAGAATCCATATGACTAACTGATCAAACTGCTTTGACATCTTCCCAGGATTGACCTACATTGACGTGGCAACTCGAAGACCAAAGATGAACTTCCGTTCGTATGCGGTCAGAAAAGTACACGACAGCGCTCGTTAAAGTGAAAAGTGTTGTGATGGGGGGACGATCGTAATCTAAGCGGGAAGTACGCGAATGATTCCTGCTGCCTCAACGATCCGATCGCTTTTTTGTTCGATCGAAACGAACAGAGTGGACTGCGCGGAAGAAAGAGCATCTTCTCAGTTGACAATTACTATTAAAAGTGCAATGATTGACGGGAATCGAGAGTCGTCTAAGTAGCCTCGATGTGTAGCCAAAAGGGTAGAAGGATTAACAAATACCTCGTCACACGCCGAGCAACGCGGCTTGTGCAGCTCCGCGTAGTGCCGCTCGCAGTAGATTTGATTGTCTTTTACGCAGTAGGTCAGATCCACCAGAAGCTGAAAAACGGAATGTAATTGGGGAGTGGAAAGGGGTTGAGTACCTGTTCGCAAGTTTGGCAAGTGAAACAAGCCGGATGCCAGCCAGTCGAGTCGCCGAGCTTTGGAGCTATCACCGCCATTTCGTTTGTTTCCAGAATACCCGAACATTTGTGACATTCCTGAACAGAATTATAAACTCGAATAGGATGGAATCTCAAGCATACCATGGCTTTGTTGATGTTGGACGACACGTAACCGATGTCGAGTGCAATTTCGTTTCGAGCATTCACAAACTCCTCGTACACCTTCCTTTCGGTCTGGGTCGTCAGATGTCTGCAGTAGGCGACGGACAGGTCTTGACGTGGCAACTGGAGCAGCAGCTGCTTTTCCCGCAACTTCTCGCCGCTCGAATTGGTCCGTGGCACCACGTTGTTCGGCAGTTGTGACATGTACTCTTCCACCTGAAGTACCGTCGCATTCAGAACCTTCTCCGCCAGATTTGGCCCCGCTGTTTTTAACTCACATCTATCAACCAATTGTTTTTAGTCTTTCGAAATAGTTCGCCCGCTTTTTGCATAAATCGGAGCATTAGAGGATCGCCACGCATGCTTTCGGTCAAAAGCCCCATGATTTGACTGAGAGAAGAACAAAGAAATTAACTGATAAAGGAATGAGAAGAAGAAGTATAAGAAGTAAAAGAAGAAGAAGAAGAAGAAGAAGAAGAAGGGAGCAAATAGCAGAAACAGTAGTAGTTTGGCCTAAAGAACCGAGAGCGAACAGAAGAGGAAGAGACGGAGAGAAAGAGGTAGCGGAAAGTTTGTAGATAGATTAACTTTGTAGAACTGTCGGTTGGGGAGCTGACACCGAAATAGAACTGGGACACTTCTGAATTGGGAACATAACTGAAGGGACCTAGAAAGGACGGAGCGCAGTGGCTACAAACGAGAACTTAATTGATGGAAGAGGGGTGTAAATATTAGAGAGAAGGAGCCAGACTGTCTACAGTGATGGAGATTAGAGAAGGACGAAAAAGAGCCGATTGAAATGTTGCAAAGAGCACGCAGACGGTTTGCATCATACTAAACTCTGGTAGAAAATGATCTAGAACATAATATGATAGGTGGATTGAAAAGTCTCGTTGGAATAGGTCAACTACTCGTTCTAATCTAGACTTGGGAAGCACAGTCATCTATAAAAGTCCTATCAATAGTAAGGTAAAAAACAATTCAGGAGAACAGAGATAAAGAATGTTGTGACGTTGAAAGATGGAAAAGTATCAAGAAGTGTCATCCCGTCCTCCCGACTATCTCGGCAAACATATGGAACATGGTGTGTTTCGGACGATCAAAGAAGAGAAACCCCCCGGATAAGAGGGGGTGTGGTGTGTGCAAACAGGTGTGCTTCTCCTTCGTTCTCCCATTCAAATCGGACACAATTTCGAATTGGAAGTAGATTTAAATGGCTGCGGCAAGGTCGAGCGGGCGGCGACAAAGTGCAGACGTTACAGGTGTCCGATGATTGATGTGAATGGACTGCTTACCTTCTTGCGCGTGAGGCCAGGCGGCACCCATGCGTACCCGTGGCCCACCGATCCGGGCACTTCTTGCTCGGCTACTCCGGACTGCGGCATTCCAGCTGAAAAGTTGAAATACGGATGAGGAAGAGATCTGTGTAGCAGTCGGCAACTGGGTAAAATTGAGGAGTATACCCGATGTGCTCAAGTTTCAAAACAACCTTGACGGGTGTTTTTCGTTCCGAACGCACAATTAGACGGGGCGTACCTGGCGGTTGGATTCCGAGTCGGTTGTAGACGTTGAGCGCTTGATTGGGCGGGAGCTCGTGGTCCGACCGGTCGCTTTTGCAGTGCACGCAGACTTTTCTGGAAAATAATCCGATGAGTGTCCGATTGTATACAATCAACAGATTTATAAACTTTTTGCTTTTTGGGCTCTTTTCTCTTTATTTGGAGGAGAAGCAGAAGGAGAAGAAGAAGAACGCGGAGACGGAAAAGAAGCGGAAGACAAGCGGCACTTGTTGCAAGATTCGCTTTGTAAACAAATTTTTCAGAGCATCCTCGGGCCCGTCCTACAACTGGCGCCGTTCCGCGCGCGGAAGTGACGTAGCAACTGAGGATGCTGTATTGACGTCGGAAAGGAAGAGACACTGAGTACGGAGCACCACGAGAATGCACACCAAATGGCAACACAGTGGGTCGGATTGCGGTCCCGCGGGACGGGCCCCCGGAGCCGCGGAGCCCCTCCAAATGCTACTACCCACTAAACATTTGCATTTCAAAACAGGCCGTTTTCAGAGAGTTCGTCCCTCGCAAAGACGGAAGCAGAGACTATACAAGAGCAATCCGATTTGCATGAGCCTCTTTTTGCCGCCGCTCTCAGAGTCGTTCATTTTTTGTGGCCCCATAAATTCGACTATTATTATGATGCGATTTAGAAACGACGAGAGCCCTCTCCGAGGCTCGTTTCTACGAAAATCACCCATTTCCGAAGTGCACACCAAACACCATCCGCTCCTTTTTCCGCTTGGCGGTAGGCTGACGGACACGGATTCTGTTCCGCGCACTAGTGTATGCCACGTGTCATTTGAGACCACGTGGAAACGAGGAAAGAACGGATTGAATTACTGCTCCGGAAGGAAAGAGGGAAGGCACGTCAAAAATTTGTATGTTTGTACGTTTGGGCAGGCTGGAAATGGGCTGCTGGAGGAGGGCGGATTATGGAAATAGGAGCTGATGGGGACGACAAAGAAAACAGAAAAGGGCAGCAGGATATCTATGGTAATTCTGGGCACGAGGAGAACAGTGATCGGATTACGGTGCGTAAATAGAATGCGAACGATGATCTGGAATAAACATCACGCTTTTTTTTCTTCTTCTTTTCACAAAGCGGTTTCCCACTTTCGTTTTTCCGCAGTTTCTCAATGGGTTAATGAAAAATTGGCGAGTGACCTCCTATTGAAATCACCTGGGAAAACGAGAGAATCACAGAGATAATCAGAGCTGAACGTCCGGCAAACCGGACCATCGCGCAGGAATGCTTTGACGTTTCGACTGGGGGAATCTACTTTTCATCGTGGGGGCAGACGCCTCCTCGGAGTTGCTTTTCACGCCAAATCCGTGCACGCATTCTCCCCGATGAGCAATTTTATTGTGCATCTGCGGCCTCGTCCGAAGCACACCAAAAACTTTGTCTTCTTTTTTTCTTCTTTGCTGCTCCATTCGCTGCCCGGATTGTTCCGTTTTTTTGGAAAGTGCCGCTCGTTAGCAGTCCTGATTGTGTCCAGTTGGGTCGGTGTCCTCGGGCAACCGGAAGGGATTTCGGGACTGGCACCGCTGCTCCGACAGACCCTGCCGCTCCGAGAAAGAGCCCAGATCTATCTTGTTGCCCAATCTGGACTCTTGCAGAAGTACGCGCCCATAATAACATTTCGAATTCTTCAGTCAGGGGAGAGAGTGTGGAGATTTAGGAGAGAGAGACCAGACACGGTTAAGTGAGCCGCTCTTGGGAGTTGAAGAACGGACGGAAAGTGACAATGACGGATCATATCGGCACGCCCGGACGGGTGTCGACGCGGCCGTCAGCTGGTCCGTAATTGGCAGTTGAAGGAAAAAAAAGAGCCGTCCGCAAGATTTATATGGAAATGTGTGGGAGCAAGAGTAACCGGAAATGTACAAAAAGAAAGGCGACGGGAAAGATTACTGTAGCTTACTAGTTTCCTACTCACGACGAACTGAATTCGAATTGTGTCATGTCACTTTCGAAACGCTCAAATCAGAGTCGTGTTCTTCGTTGATTCTCTGTTGTATCGGTACTCATCTCGAATTGAATTACTTTCCCTTCTTGCTCTCCTTCGTCCTCTTTCTACCCAAAGGTCCCTCTTTGCGCCGTTTGTCAAAACTATCAATTATTCCAAAAACAAGCGAGGCCAGATGGCCGGCCGGCCAGCTCCCGAAGGTTACCAGCCTCTTATTATTATGAGGATGATTTGTTGAGAACTGAAAGAGAGAGAGAGAGAGAGGGGGTGATAGACGCAGAGAGGAGGGTTGTAAGATTGTCGAAGGACTTCTGGAGAGAGAAAGCGGTGGCTGTCCGACCGCCGTGAAACTCGATATTCATATGTGGTTCGATTCAAATGAGAAGCTCTGCATTTGGCGTCGAAATGAAATGAATGAGCACTGACGGAGCCGCCAACTAACTAGTAATATTTGAATGGAAACAAACGACAACGCGGTGGAGGATTTGGAGAATCTCACGGTCCGGAAGCCCACTTTGAAGAGTCAAACACCGGAAGGCTCCCACGCAGGAAAGGGTGCACATTTTTGAGCGAACGAAAAGACTTACATTGCGAGATCAGTTTGGACGACTCCGGGATGCGCGGATGATTTGCCACTAGGTACCCGTTTGGGTGGCTGTCTTCTGGCCGGAGGGCTTCCGAGTGAATGGTCCGCAGTGCTCGCCGTGATCGCCGCCGGCTTCGCTTCTTTCCTTTCGATCGGAGGCGAGCACGAGTAACTCGGCATTATCTTGGCATGCTTTGTCGTCGAATTGGCGGGCATCGGAGGAGGTGGAGGCTGTGGCGGCGGCACTCCGTTCTTCTCTTTCTTTTTGCCGCGCCCCACCATTCCCCGCACCATTGCACGCATTCTGGAGACTGTCGGAAGTCGGTTACCTTCGCGAAGGCATCGGAATACGGCGAGCAGCGAGTGGAAGTGACAGTGGACGTGGCGACTCCCGGGTGCACAGGAGCTGTGGATGAGACACGCACTCACTCAGTGAGCACAAACTAGAGGCGAGGCTCCTCCGTCTGCCCGCCGGTTTGGTGTCCTGGCCAACGGCATGCGAAGAGCACATGGTGGGGAGAGACGCAGCGACGAAACGGGGCGGGGTCTATTCTCGAGCGAAGAAGAGGAGGGTCCGTGGAGTCGCGACGCGGAGAGGATGAGATGGCGGCCGTGGTGGTGGTGGAGCCGGATGTGTCCGCTTCACTGCGCCGGGGTTCACACCTTCGTTTATTTATTCCGGTCTTTCCCCTTTCTCGTCATGCACATAGACCAATTCGGACTCCTCGTTCCGCGACCGCAAAGCTTCCGCGCTTCGTTCCGGAGGGACCACCTCTCGCTTTTTGTTTCCATTTCACTCGAGTTCGGCGCTGTTTTGTCGGGAGGAGGAGAGAGAAGAGAGCACTTCACTTTCCGGTGGGCTCTTCTCATCTTTTCCCTCTCTCTCGCTCTCCTCTGCTCTCGAACATCTGATCCGTGCACGCATCTGTCGTGCTGCCGTGTTGATTTGATTTTTACAGCGCCGCCAAAACATGTATTTCGACTCTGCTCTCCGAGGCGCCGAACCAATTTATCGCCCCGAATCGGCTGTGCTGCTAATTAGCGTCCCTCGCTCGTCATCGTCGTCGTCGCCGCCGTCAAAGATTTGATAAAACATGTGCGGTGGCGGCTAGCAACGATTGGAGCATTCGAGCACTTGCCGAGAGCCGCATCCGTCAATTTGTCAAAGTCGCGACGCGTGAGAAAGAGGATGAATGGGCGAACGACGGGACCACGGACCCTACTAGTCATACTTGATTTGCCTCTCTTCTTGTCGCTTTCGTCGCCATAATCCTCTTCGATTCGTCATTTTCCCTCCAGAGACACTCAATGCACTTTTAGCCCATAAAATTTGATAGGATAGTCGGGCCCCGGGTGGGGGTGTCAGGGACGTTTGATACTCAAGTGTCTCCCTGCCTCCCTCTTACCCGTTTTTGTGTGCAAATCGCTTAAAATCCCCCTGGGCATAGTTTGCCCGATATAACATGACCGGAGAGAGAGAGAGAAGAAGAAAGAGCCCGAACACGAGGGGCCGCTTCGCAGATTTCAATCGAAGAACGAAAAAGAATAAAAGAACAAAAGAGAAGGAGAAAACTAATAAATCAGAGCGAGGAAATGGGGTGGAGTCAGACGAGATCAACCAAATAATACTGCAATTCAATGGGATAAGCAGCTGATTGAACGAACGGAATGCATTCGAACACTTTCAGATATCTGAAAAGTGGACCGGGGGAGTGATCTGAATGCGTATATTCTTTGAATATACAGTACTCTAACTTAGGTTTGCACGAAATGGAATTCCAGACAGCCGTGATTCGATTCAGAATGTTCAGAGGACGTAAGATCAAGCGGAAATGAGACTTGGTACTCCCCTCTCTCTCTCTCTCTCTCTCTCTCTCAAGAGCCTTCTTTCCTTCCTTTTTCCGTGACTCTCTTTTTTTCGATTCTTTCTTTGACTTTTCAGAATTCATAAAAATAGAAAGTTTCCCAGCTGTTTATGTTTACAAATTGAGCGTGAAGTCCAGTCGAAAAAGGATGTGCTGAGACTGACAAAAACTGAGCGAACGAGAGAGCGTGCTGGTCAAGGAGACGCAGATTTGTCAAAATATAGTTTACGCTTCGTTTGAAGTCGACGAAATTTTGGGTTTGGACGGGGCGACGGCTTATGACAAATGCACTTGGTAATTCGATTTAAATTCGGACCAAACTGCTGCAGAAGACTTCGAAATAATAGGGGGAAAACGACGCATTGGGGGGAAAACGAGAATTGATCGGACGGTCGGAACAATTGGAAAGTGATTGAAGTTGGGAGGGAAGAGAGAAGAGCACACAAATAGAAAATGATGAATCAGACGATGAATGGTCAGTTTGGGACGGGGGTGCGCGCCCATGTTATGGACCTGCGGAGACAGGCGCGGATGAGCTGGGATGTACAGAAATGAGTCACGGGAGCGCGGAGAGCAATGTAAAGAAGAGGGAGAAACATCTGGTGGTAAGAACACATTGACTAAGGGAGCGAGGAATCAGAAGAAGATGATAATATAATAAGAAGAAGAAGAGGAAGAGGGAAAGTATGAGGGGAGAAGGAGACGGGCGGCTTGAGTAGAAGCACTTCTAGAAGAAACCACGCGTCATCTGATACGGAAGAGAGCCGCCCGAAAAGAGAGCAAGATGCCCATTGCAATGACCATTTCGATACTATACAAAATGGACGAAATGATAAAGACGAGTTAGCCAAGAGGATTCTAGTCGTGAGAAGATTTTGGTGTTTTGAGCTCTGGGCAGAGATAAAACAAAGAATCCCAAAATAGAAAGTATTGGGGAAAGTGGGGAGATGACACTTGATACATTCGAAAAACGAGCACCAAATGGAGCATCGGAAGGCTTCTTTGCCTGTTTTTTAGACTATGATTTCTTAGTGAATCAAGAGAAGACGTGGCACCGACTTGACGCCTTCTCCTTCTTCTTCTTCTTCTCGTTCTGCACAAAACAAGTCGTTGCGTGTTGCTTGCCGTTTAGCCTCGTCCATCGGAATTAGGAGGAGCCGACGAAACAAAACGGGCCGAAACTCTGCCGAATTAGCTGCCAAAGCGACTGCCAATGGATCGCCCGCATTGCAAATCTGCTCGAAACGGAAGCGACCGCATCCGGAGTCGCCCGCCCGCCTCGAGCCGCAAGGAGCCTCTTCCATACATGATAAAACGAATGCATTCATAACTGAAAAGGACGTACCTCCACGCGTGCTGCTTCCAGCCGAGACGGCACTCCTTTTCGCGGCACCGTGCTCCGTCCTCCACGTCCGACAGATTCATCGACTCGACACGCATCTCACGGGCCACCGATCCGCCCGATCCGCTTCCGATCGGCATCTGCAAACGACACATTCAACAATGCGATTGGAGCTTCCGAGACACAGTGTTGTCTGGTTAGTACTTGTGGGATTCAGGGCTTTTCGGAAAAGGTTTAATGTTTTAGATCCGATACGATACTTTTGAATTATTTATGAAAGTGTTGAAGCAGAGATCCTCTATTTGATTCTAAACTTCAAAAGACCCTACGTTAACTCTAAGCTTTCTTCTAAAAATTATGAAATTCTGACTGATTCCAAAAGTGACAAAGGAGCTTTCCCGTGTCTTAACCAAAAAAACTAGCGAGGGAGCCCCCAGTTCGTAAAAAAGTAAGGCGAAAGAAATAGAAACAAAAGAATGCGCAATCTTCAGAATTCGGTTTGTCCGAATCATTGCGGGATGTCTCCTCGACTCGGCTGGAAGTGCACGTCGTCTGCGGATGACATGGCCATCCCGTTCAAAAAAAAAAGAAACGACGGAGGAGACGCACGGATATTTGACAAGTGTCCGTCGGCACTCTGGACTCCCGCAAATCCATGCTTGAATGAGAATTGGAGCAGAGGCCGGCCACCGGAGACGGCGCAGATGTGGGTTGCAAATTGGGAAAACTCATCGTAAAAGTTTCATGACTGAGAACTTCGAGAGAATGCGAATGGGATCCTGCTGGTTGAGAAGGGGATGTATTGGTAACGTTTCTCTTTCTCCTAGTTCTAAAGGTTTAGGCTATTTACAAAACCAAATCTGAATTACAGACTACAAAACTGCCAGACCCCCTTCCTATTTTCTCGGATCTTTTCCACTATTTGTCGATCGAAGAATTGCTGAAATCGCGCACGAATCGAAACGTCACTTTGAACATTTCGAACAAAACAGGTAATTCGGAAAAAGTAAATTTGATCTCTAGTAACTCGGCCGAAAGAGAGTTTGTTTTGGAAGTCAACAAACAATAAGATGGGGCGAGCAGTCGGGGGCGTCCGGGAAGAGAAGGCCGAACAATTGGGCCCAAATTCGTCGGAGATTGGCCGCTTTTCGGTTTCGTTTTCCTGCCCCCCCCCCCTCTCTGATTTTTAATCCAAAAAGCAAAGATGGCACTGGATATGTGTGAGAATTGTGGGGGAATTTGTGGGGGAGCCCGGCGGACAAAGTGCACCACTCGAAGACGGACGGAAATGCGGGCGCGCGTGCCCATCTCTGGAGGACCATTCAATTCATATTTGACAAAAGATGCATGTCTCTCGTTCGCACGCTATTTACTAGTCTCCAGATAATTGTCACTTTTCGCCAGTTTACGGCTGCCGAAAACTTCAGAAATTCTTTCGTTTTTCGGTAGAAGTCACGGAAGTCCTAACTGCTGATATCCGAACGGAAATAGTTGTCAAGTAAGTGGGAGGTCTCTTACCTTCTCTTTCCTTTTTCCATTTCTAATCAGCTTGAAATGGATATTCGCATGGATTCGAATACCATTGGAAGAGCACTTGGCCATCATTAGAAATGAAGAATAAGAATGGAATGAGGAAAGGAGGAAAAACGGAGAAGGGGCAAAAGGGGGGATAAATGAGAATTTGATTAGAAGCCGCCCAGACGAGCACTTTCTCGCCTTTTCTGTCGGCCATCAGTGCCACTTACTCTGTACGACGGACGTATGTTGTTGTAGGTTCGGTTGACTGCCGTCGTCGCCTGGCACACCTGGAAGCGCATGGATTCTGGAGTGGACGGAGTGAGATGTACTCACCTTGAACGCCGCCGGAACTTCCGTTTTATCAAGTTTTTCGTACTCGACGAATGCTCCTTCCTCCTCGTTTTCCGGCTTTTCGTTCTCGTTTCCGTACGAGGAATACTGGAAAGAAAGCAAAAAGAGTCGAATTGGAAGGTGCCATCAGCTGTTGTTTATGAGGGGAGTATCACTCAATTTGAAACCACAAACAGCAACATTCAAGAAAAAAAGAACTGGTGAGAGATGAGCGCAAAAGTCGTCGCCCGAGGGATAAAGGGAATCTACAGTACTCTTTCTGCCCCATTTTGAGCCCGAACGGACTGACCTCTGGGTCGTCCGTGACATCCTCGATGACCATCCGATGGTTTGAATTGTTGTTGTTCGAGCTGCTGCTGCCGCCGCTGTACGGGTTTTTCACAGTGGACAGCATCATCTGGAAATGCATTCGTGGCAATCAATGTGTTCATTATTTGTATGTGAATCGGCGGAATGCAAATCAATTCCCTGCATTTATTTGAACGAACAAATTGGGGAGAAGAAGAGGGAAATGGAGAAGGAAAGTTCGAGTGGTTGTAATTATAGCGAAACGAAGATGAAGAAGAGAAGGAGGAAAAGAAGAAGGAGAAGAAGTGGAAATGGCCGACGAATTGAATTCAGGTCGATTAGGCACGCACGGATTACGGTAGCAAGCAGGTGAGACTACTTCTCTCGAAACTGGTTCACTTTGACGGTCAGTTCGAAACGACCAGGTGAGTGAGGTGGTTTGAATTTGAAATCGGAAGCGAAAGAAGGATGTTCCGAGCGATTTATTGTGTGTTCATGGCCGGAAGGGGGCTGTTCTGTTTGGGCACGGCTCATCTGTGTTAAAGCTGACGCGGAAGGCGCGAAGAAACGGGCGCGATGAGCATGTAACGGAAGAGTCCGGAGCAGCCTGAACGCTCGCGAAAACACGGTAAACAGACGGGCGGATAATGAGAGACACGGCTTGTTTGTTGGTTTGTTTGTTTGTCGGAACCGGACAAAGTTTTTGGAAGAACGAAACGGACGGAAAACCATTTGGTTGGCGGGGAATTAATCAAATTATGATTCACGGTACTGCGAGAAAGAGGACAATGCGAAAAGGAAGAAGAAGAAGAAGAAGAAGACGTCAAAGAGGAGGAGGAGGAAAAGGAAACAGAGACTTGATAAGTAATTCAGTTCGCAAATGAAAAGGGCAAATGAATCAAACGAATCGATGTTGGGATGGCGGTGCGGAGAAGAGTGCAGGAGGAGAGAGATTACTCCCGTTTACTCGTAAGACGGGCAGGGCAAGTCGTCTTCAAATTCTCTTCTTCTCGGCCTGTCCTTGTTTGCTTTGTTTCTGGAACCCGGCGACCTTTGTGCTGAAAGCAGTCGTGCCACGTCACAGAGACATTCGAGAGGAGGAACATTCGGGCGGTGCGCAGGGATTTGTTTGATTTGATAGCGGAATGGACACGGATCGAATTAGGGACGAGCAGGCAGAAGAGAGGGAGAGAAAGCACCGGGCGATCGATTCGGAAGCTTTACGGTTTTACAATGTATTGAGCGTCGGGAGAGGGGGCTAACGAGAAGGAAAGATACATTCACTTATTGTATTCTGATGAACGATGATAGTGTGGTGAGGGCGAGAGAGTGTGGGAGGGAACGCGACGCAGAGAAGGAGGAAGAAGCCGAGGACGAGAATCGGAGACTCGAGACACGAATACAGAACAGGTTTGATAGCGGATTCATAAAGAAGGAGAAGAATGAAGATGATGGGGTCGAGGCGGGCAGGAATCCCACCTGAGAGAGCAATGATCCAACTGTAAACGGTACGGACGAGAGAAAGAGAGAAGAATACATTGCAGGGGAGGGATTATTATGTATTTTGGAGGGAAATAGTGAAAGTAAGTGGACGAACTGGCAGGACGGATAAATGTTTCCCGCAAATAAACACTCGTTAGTTGGAACAAACGTTGCGAGAAATCAAAGAATACTGTAGTTGATGAGTCAGATACCAACCGATACTCTCTTTGTTTTTGGAGTTAACGTACTTGGGTTTCACTATTTCAAAGGTCTAACACGGGTTCGGTGAATTAAAAACATAATGACATAGAAATTGTGTGGATTTGAGAGAATTCAGGCGAGAATTCAGCAGTTGAATGTTGTTGAAACGGAATCATCCACGTGGAAAACCATGCGAAATGCCCAAATATTGACACAGGAAGACACAAAATGGGAGGAAGGAAGGAGCGACGCCGTCCAGAAGAATCATCTCGCGGAGCAACGGGCGGCCGATTACATGCGCGAGCATGACGGAAAGGCGGCGGAAAGCCGAAAGACAAGCTGTAGAAAAAAGAAAATGGGCGTGATCGGTGGCGCGAGAGGAGGCATCAATCAGTTGATACTGGAGGGAAAGACGAGGTGACAACAAGGTCATCTGCATTCGAAATGAACCGCCGGAAGACGTCACGTTCTGAAAGAACTGCTTCTGGAGAGAATGGCGGCCTACAGTAGGAAGTTGACGGTCACGACGAGAGATCAATCTATCTATCATCAATTACAAAAAGCCGCTGAAGGAGAAGGAGAGGGGGGAAGAAGATGAAGATGAGGAGAGAAGAAGGACGGTCGTGGCACACTTTGAGAGGACGATTGATCATGTGATGGCGAACACAAAGAAGAGAAAAACGAAGAGGAATGAGGGGAAGCAGAAGAAGTGACAAGAAGTGATAACTGCAGAAGTTGCAGACGAAACCGAATGGAATCACTTTGGACAATACCTTCGAGGTGGGAGTGTCGTCGTACACTTCCACGATAATCGGCGCCTCAGCCTTCTCTTCTCTCTTATTCCGTTCTCTGTTCACTTCTGGAGGCGAAGGGGGCGGAGTCAGCTCGAGCTTATTTTTGTTTTCCAACGGACTCTTCACATAATGATCTTCCTGCAGAAGTTTGATTAGTTCCGAAGCTTCGGAAGTGTTAACCCACCTGCGCGTCCGATGGCATGTCATAAATGTCGACCACTTCGGTGTCTTTCGAGTAACACGAGCACAGCAGTTTGTGGAGTGCTCCATGGGCGGACGGCATCACTCCGTCAATGGCGATTCTGAAACCGAAAACAGGAAATTAAAGAAAGCGAAGAATGGGATCAGTGTGACGTGGCAACGGACAGACGGTTCGAAATGCGTCGTCGACACCCAATTGTTTTCGTGTCTTCGCGGCGCCGATCACTTGGGTGTGGTCAGATATGAATTGTATCGATTCGGTTGCCATGCACTCTGTTTCTCGGATTATGAAGATCGTGATGAAGATGATGATGAGGAGGAGGAGAACCCGCATAATGAGAGAGGGAGTGTGTGGGACAGTGAGACGCAGAACAGGTTGACACACTTCTCGAAATTAGATATGAAAGCGCAGGGAGATCCGAGAGAATTTGCAAAAAATGGGTCGATTTTGTGAAAAAGGAGAGGGGAAGGGCTCAAAGTTGTCGCTTATGCCGCTTGTAGTCATTTCGAAGCGAGCGCAGGATTACCGAGGGCTTTGCCCGAAAGGAGACGAAAGGGTTTGAAATGACTTTTCAGGAAATGAGGAATCAGTGTGCACAAATGAAACGAAGAAGTTCAAAGAGAAGCCTTGAAATTGAGGTTTCCTGACAAACAAGAAAGTTGGCAATTCTTCAAAGCTCCACAGTTGGTAGCATAATCAATGGAAAAAGAAAAAAAACTAACGAATCGAGTTGGTAGGCCAGAAGATATTTGAATGCATTCGATAGATCCTTGGGGCTCACGTTGTCCGACATTGAAAAGGGGCCAAGTTGAGGGTCTGTAAAGTGCACTTTTGCTAACGAAACACAATTGTTCGAATGGGGCGAAGAAGGGGAAGGAGCACGAAGAAGAGAATGACGTGGCAGCACAGAGAAGAGACTGTTTTCTTTGGGGAAGGAGATACTTACAAACTGCCGGGTCCTCGCCCGCAGCGAACGGAGTAATGGGGGCCTGTTTGCGGAGCGGCTGAGCCGGCGAAACTACGCAACAAGTGCAAAACTCAGGAATGTAATCGGGACCGATCCGAGAGTCCGTCTGACCTCCGGCAGTGTCCTTTCGCCCCCTCGCCTTCGGACGACCTCTTCTGAAGTTGTGACGTCTTCCCAATTCACAGTTTGGGCAAGTCTGTGGCCAAACCAAATCTAAACGCTAAACAAATCAAGATGAGCACGATCAAATTGCTCGAGTAATCCGACTGTCAAACAAAATGAAATACTGTGTCTAGTAGTGAAAAGGCGCTGAAATACGTGGGGCTTCGCTCTTTGCGTGCAAAATAAGAGTTAGGATTGTGATGAATGGATTTCTCGCGATATGAGTAATAAACACATTTCCATTACTTAACAGAGGAACGGTAAAATGAATGACGTATGATTATCGGATGGAGCAGCTTCAGATGAGAGCGTTGCACACAATCTGCAGAGTCTTGAGAGCTTCTTTACATTCCGAATCGCTCACTTTTCTGCAAATGCGATCATTAATCAAGGTTGATTGAGAAAAAAAACTGACGTGAGAGCTTTGCTGACGAAGTATGCTGATTTGTCGAGTTGCGACTGTTTCTTGTACGGGAAACGCCTTCCGATAGAAGCCAGCGACTTTGTGATGGCCATGAAGAAGTCTTTGTTCGTCAAGTGAGCCAGCATCAAATGAAGCAGGCGGGGAGACAGTTTCGGGAGGAGCGGCAGGATAGTCTCATTCGTTTTCTCCTCTGGCACGTTTACAAATGACTTTCTCAGAACATTGAGCAGCGGATGGAGAATACTCGTGTAGGACAGTCCACGGTCTGCCACTTCGAGTATGTCGTAAATCAGTTTCACACCGTTCAATTCCACGACGAACTTCTCAAGAAGCGATGGGACGAGGTCAGTGATACGATCTGAAGAACAATGAGCTTCGGGATTCAAGGGGAAAGGACGAGATACCGATTATTGTCGCGGAGAGAAGCACAATGTGCAGGCTGTCATTGGTGAGTCCGTACAACGAACAGTTCTGGAGTCTGGAAAATAAGCAAAGTTCACACTAAGAAGTTTAAGAGTAGAATTATTACACTCACTTCATCTCGACAGAGGCAGTCGTTACAGAAGTGTCCTTAGACGTATCTCTGGCCAGCTGTTCGTCTTCATTCGCCAGAACTTGGTGGTAGTTGTTGACTCGCTGTCGCATGTCCTCGATTTCTTCACGCAAGCGACGGCGAATCAAGAATCCGCGCAAGTGCTTCTGAATCACAATAGCCGCTTTGTTCTCCGTATCATCAATCTTTGAAGACTCCTCGACGATGAGTTCCTCCTGCTGGTGGATACTTTCTTCCAGAATTATCGCTTCCTCAGTCTCTTTTTGTTGTTCTGTCATGTCTTCTGAGTGGATCATCGCTTCGTCATGGCCGGCACTCGAACGATCTTCCTCGTCCGGTGAATTAATCGAGGTCTCGATGAGTGCCCGATCCACCCGTGCGGCCAGTGCCTGCTTCTCGAGCTCGCCCAATTTCTTTGCCTGAATGATCCTCTTTCACAGTGTAATCTACGCGTTCTTTTGTCAAAACTTACAACTTTCTCTTGCTTTCTTTTCAGTGCATGAGTCTCTTTGAAAATCTTTCGAAGTTCCGGCGTCGACAACTCCTTCTCTGACATGAACTTAATGTTCAACTGGTTTTCCTCTACGTATGCCATCTGCCTATTCTCGAACGACTGCATGAGCTCCTCCATTTTTTTCTGCTCCTCGTCCATAAATAGTTCCGAATCCACTCGTTCAGCTTCTTCCTCGTCTGAAAGAGTCAAGTTCTCTGCTTTCACGTTTCCCGCGTATTCTGCAGCTTGCGAAACATGTCCCGGACTTTGACCTGTTTCAGTTTCAATCGGTTCTTCTTCTTCTTCCTGCTTACGTTCGACCTCTTCCAGATGCTCCGGGTCACATTTATCGGTTGAACATTCGTCTTCATTCGCAAACAGATCGTTCTGCACAGTTTCCAGAATATTGTCCGAGTTTGGAGTCTTCTGAAGTAACACTTCTCCGTCTTCTTCTGCAAGTTTCTCATCGCTCGTTTCGAGTGGTTCCTCTGCCGACTCCTCGACCAGAATCGTAGATTCCTCCATCTCATCCGTGAATACCATTCCTTTCCTGACGGTTCGCTTTTTCGTAGTGCTCGGAACGATAGTCTCCTCATTTTCGTTCTCTTCCTCTTCAATCACTTGAGTAATGCTGCGAACTGTGTGAGTCAACCTCGGAGTTTTCGGCATTTTGAACTCTCCGCCGTGGCTTTCGATGGATTCTCTCGAAACCGTAAACGTGGCATCGTTGAACGTCGAATCGATTGACTGGCGCTCGGAGAAGGTCGACAATCGTCCGGAGAGGTTACTGCTTGGGGTCTGAGGGACTGTGAATGTGTTTTGAAGAGACGGACACGGAGAGTGTCCCCGATCCAACGAAGAAAGTCCTTTCTCGAGTATTTGATGGACCACAAAGTACAATTTCGGTGTCTTCTTTCTGAATGCGTGACTTCTCCATGCCTTCTGAATCATCGTGGCCTTCTCGGCATACGAGTTGATAATTTTTTCATCTTCAAGATGCTTTCGCACTGTTTGCATCTTCTCAAGGAAAATCTTCACGAACAAAGCCATATTCTGATCGAGGCCTCGTGGAATGCATAATTCAACTTCTGCCATCGTCACTATTTTCTCCCAAAGAGACTGTCCTTCGAATGATTGAATGTCCGCTCCAGTCGGTACATACACACTCCACGATCTACTGAGTAATACTCCGTCTGCCAGCCCGTCCAGATCGAGCACTTCCACGTCCAGCTCTCTTCCGTACGCCTTGCACGTCTTCAGCACTTCTGACGACATGTCATCGTGTACCGCTGATCTTCTCTTCTTTTTCGTATCGACTTCAACATTCGGCACTCGTGACACTCGGCTTCTTTCCTCTTTTGCCACGCGGACTCCGATGAGCGACCACAGAATGGCCAGAATCGCTTCTTTCTTTCCTCCGACGATAGCTGCCGGTGTGACGTCTTCAGTGGCGATTCCCATCGACGTCATCTCGGTTAGCACCGTTTTTACATTGTTCAACTTGCGAATACGGTCGCCAGCGGGGTCCCGCAACTTTAAAAGTAGTCCTCCGTACGGAATTTCACCCACGGTTTCTACCAACTTTCTGAAATCATCGAGTTTCTGATTTTTGAGGAAAGTTGAGTTTCTGATTTTGAGAAAGAGGACTCACGCAAGAATTATTCCGTCCGAGAAGTCGTCAAATCCTTTAACGTGGTAGTCGTAGTTTTCGATGAAGGATTGGGAGTAATTCGAAGAGAAGCCGATTCTCGAGAAGGCTTTGCTCATGGAAAGAGAGCTTCCGGAGAGAAGATCTTTCGTCAGCTCACTGAAAACCTCCTCAAGTGTTTTGAAGCAAGAGGATTTTGTGAAAATGCGAGTGAGATTAGGAATGACGTGGTGCGAATGCGCGACTTCGATCAGGAACATCAACTTCATGGCGACGTGCAGGAAATGTCTGTGGAACGCCTCTTTTCCAGCTGCCGTTACGATCGGTCTGCAAAATGGTTTCTTTCAAAACGAAAAATTAAAGAGACTTACTTTCCGGATCCTTGCGCAAACTTTTTGTTCTTCAACATCTTCTGGTTGGTGAAGACGTGCTCGATGAAAAAGCGGGAGATCGCACCGACCATAAACTTCGGAGACGCGTCGATTCTCGTGTCGAAAATGGCTTCAAGAGCAGCTTTGAGCCAGGCAGGATGGAACGAAAGGAAGATTCGGAGAAGAGAAGTTTGAAGAGCTGAAACATAAAAGGAGATGAAGTTAATGAAAGTGTGCAACTAGCCTAAATCTGAGTAAACCGAGAGCTGATTACGAACGGCGACGACGTTTTTCGAGAGAATGTTCATGATGCTCTCGTCCATTCCGGATTCGTCCAACAGCTCACGGCACTGTCTTTTTATCTTATCCGGATCGTTTTTTTCAAAAATTCTGTGGAAACGTCGTCTCGCCTGCTGCTGTGTGTTCTCTATTTTCTCGTCGCTCTTCTTTGACAGCATCTTTTGAATTTGCTTGCAAGCGTCGGCCTTCGTCGCTCCCAGATTCATCTCTTCCGAGTGCTCCATTCCGATCATCGTGTTGCACCACGTGGCAAGAGCAACCATTTGTTTGTCGGCTTTCTCGTCGAAAGAGAGAATAGGAGAAGCCGCTTCCATTACAATTCCCTGAAAGTTATCTGTTGTTTTCGACGCTTTTTGCTGAAATCTTTCACTTTTGTCGGATGAAGCGGAGTCTTTATGTCAACTGCCGACGGACTCGAACCTAGAAACGCCTTTTCCGTGGCTCGGAGATCAATTTTCTTCTTCTGCGGAGCAACGGTTGCGGCTTTCAGAACTCTCTGCTCTGAAATTGAGAAATATTTAGTTTGTACTCGGGTTATACCTCACCATTCCGACACGAAAGTCGTTTCATCATCGCTTCTTTGCGTTCTTCTCTCTTGAATTCGTCGTTCTCTTTTTGTTCTTCCATTTTCTGAATAATCTTTTCTACAGCAGGTCAAGAGTAGGAAAAAACTGAAACTAAGCAAATTACGCAAAAATGAATGAATGTGTTTTTTAGACCCAATTTATTGCTATTGCCCCTCGGTGTTTGCAGATTCAAGCCAAAATTTCCTGAAATTCATGAAATCAGGCTTGAGTCTGCAAACACTGAGGGGGCAAGAGCTGTATAACTTAGCATAACTTAATGAGAAAAGTGATTTATATTCTATTCTGGCAAAAAGTGTGCCATGAACAAGCAAAACAGTGAGAAAAAGAATGAACGGAGAAAATGAAGCAAAATTGCGAAGAACATTCAATTTTTAAATGTTCGCGGTAGTTGATACAGTAGAGCGCACTTGCATCATGGTTCCTTTCTCTGCGTCTCTCAAGCCCACGAAGTCTTTCTCTTTCCCTCTACAATTGTTTGTTCAAATTTTGCTCTTTCCTGAAATAGCCATTTTTGTCCAAGTTTAGAGGTGTTCTTATTCTTGTTTTTGCTCTTTTTTGTAATGTGCTCAGCTGCTCGGGGTGAACTTTCGACTATTCTGAAGTCAACTTCAAACTGTATTTTTGAGAATTTGGCATTCGAAGAACATATTTTCCGAGTAAGTTCAAATAAAGTTAAACAAAATGGATGTTTTTAATTTTCAGACCCATAATGTGGGTACGAACGGAGAAGTTCTTCTAATGTGGAGCAATCGGCCTGCTGTTGTCGTCGGAAGGCATCAAAATCCGTGGATTGAAGTGAACATTCCCTATGCTAAGGAGAACGGAATACAAGTTGCCAGAAGGCACAGCGGCGGAGGAACAGTTTATCACGATATGGGAAATCTGAATATCTCGCTGCTCACAACGCACGCACAACACTGTCGGCCGAAGAATCTCAAGTTCATTTCGGATGCGCTGAACAGTCGGTTCTCAGTGAATATCGTTCCGAATAAACGCGACGACATGGAATTGCAACCCGGGAATCGCAAATGCTCCGGAACTGCTGCCAGAATAGCACGGTAAATCCGTAGTCAGTCGTGTTTCTCAATTAAGATTCTGATTCAGGGGGCAGGCCTATCATCATCTGACTCTTCTCGTAGATGCCAATCTTTCGATCCTTTCCAACTCACTGAGTTCTCCGTGGAGAAACCAGATTGAGTCAAATGCGACGAGAAGTGTGCGTGCGCCGGCAGTAGGGTTCATAAGGCAAGATGATCCGAACGCAGCAGTTTCCGACTCGCGGAAAGCAATTTCAGATGCGTACAGGTATGCGAGCATGAATCCAACGTGATGATAATTTCAAATTTTTATTTAGAAAACTCTTTAAAGTGTCTAAACTAGAGGAAGTAGATGTTTCGGCAAAAGTGAAAAACAATGAAGAGATAGCAAAGATTGTGGAAGAGTTGAAAGCGTGGAAATGGATTTACGGAAAGAGTCCTCGTTTCTCTTTCAAACATCCAAATGGATCTTACGTGGAAGTCAAGGACGGAATCGTCGTCGGATCTGAATCTCAGTTCTCGCCCACTTCATAACAAATTTCTCTCTTTTCTGCCGTTCCTTTTTCTAGCCCGCTCCCGCTTTCCATTTCTCTTCGTGTCCAAAAAGTGTCTTTAGAGTAAATTGATAGTTTTCAGAAGATGAGGATCACGCACCCGGAACCATGGAGAGAAATGCGAAAGCAACTCCGTGAGTCTTTAGCTATCTCCGGAAGAACATGCCGTGTTTGCAGTGAACAAGTGGCAAGGAGTCCGTGTTTGCAATGAGCCTTCTCCGTGGTACATGAGCATTCCGACGCAGTTCAGCCAACTACAAAATGTGCTCCCGGAGGAGCAGGAGGAACTCGTCTTCACTGAGCTCAAGCTCTTTTTGCTGGGAAGTGAGACGGAAAACGTACGCCTTGAGCTCGGGGAGCACTCCAATCAGCTGCCCACTTCCATAGTTTTCAACATTTCGTTCGATCCGTACATCCGATCGGAACTCGAACGTTTTCAAGATATCCTTGTCACGGTCGCCACCGTCAAAATCTGCTGTTACGGTCAGTATTCCCTTCCTTTTTTACCATTCATTTCGACCCGTTTCAGCCATAACTCACGATGCAGTCACATTCTCTCCGATAGGCGGAGCAGTAGCTTCCACGATCGAGAAAAAAGTGAATGGGTTCGTGACGAACATATGCACGAAACTTGACGGTCTCTCTGTAATGATATCCCATCAAAATACGTTTCACCTGCTCCCTCTTTTCAGAATGCGACCCAACAAATGAACAACCTGTTTCGTGAACTGCACACTATTCACGAGTCACTCAGTTTCTACAGCGAAATCGTCAAAACTATCTATTTGGAGCAATTGATCGGCGGCCAAGTGCTCACTTTGCTCGATTCGAAGCGGAGACACGTGTTCGCCGGTAGCGTCGTTCAAGACTTGGACGACGTGTTCGCGGCCGGATGGAAGGTTTTCGCAAGATCCATCGGAAAACTTGTCTGCAAGTTTGAAGCTGATCATCTGGATTATGAGGTAATATTTATCTCAAACTTGGTTTGCATTTTTTTTTCAGTTCGTCATCTGGTCCACCAAGGAAATGGCTGACAACTCGTCGAAAAAGCTAATTGCGTCGCAGGGAAAACAGACGAAATCTTCCCGATATGTGATCGTGGAGGCCCTTTGTCCGAAGTTTTTTCTCAAATATCTGGACATTCTGGTGCGATGCGCCGAGTTCGGAGACGCTTCCAAGTCGGAGGGTGCGAAGAGACGAACCGAAAAAAACGTAGGGACGGAATCGGTGGAGAGTGTGATGGAAGACGTTCGGAATGTCGACTGGAGCAATCTTGACGTGGCAACCACTGTTCGTATGGTTAGTGTATTCCAGAAGCTCGCGAAATCAAAATGATTTTCTCAGCTGGTCCAATTCTCTCGCAAAGAATCGGCATGTCTTCTCCGTGAGATCACATCGGCCACGAACGTCGATCAGGCGATCCGAGACATTCACGAGCTGCTCATAAAGGGATCGTGCGCTCATGAAGTAATGCTCTACGGACTCAAAGCAGATATTTTGCACAAGCCGATTGATGTGAGCTCGCTAATATTTTTATTTACCTAAAATACGCGATTCAGGAAGTTGGAAACATTCGCATAAAAAAATTGACGAACGACGTGCTAGGAGCGGCTGCAGAGAAGCATCACCCGTTCTGGAAATACTTCAGTTTTTACATCGATCGTCAAAACGTATTTGAAATGTTAGAACGGAGAACGCCAGGGGCACACATAGAAAGGCACGCTGAAAATGTAAGAAAGAAAATTTATTCTTTTTATTTTCCGAGTTGGCTTTTCAGGTGACGCCAATGCTTTTCGAGTGCATTTCCGTGTCTATGGAGTGTCCGATCGACATCGAACCGATCATTTCCACGTCCGCCGTGTTCACTCTCGTTCCGATCTTCCGCATCTGGCTCCAATTGCACGTCGCCAGCTGGACTGTTGCTAACTAGTCAGTTCCTTTTCTTCCTCGGTTCTTTCGTTACTTATTATTTTCCAGTCGTGACTCAATTCGCGGACAAATGCCCAGCCGATCTCTCGGATACGTCGCTAAAAAGAAGCATCTCATGCATGCTCTCGATTCGGAAATCGCCAGTTTGAAGCAGAAATGGGCAGCGTACGTCGACATGGCAATCGCATTGTACTACGAAAAAGTGCAGAAGGCCGTCTCGCTGGACGAATACACCGAATGCCAGAATGTTCTCGCGAGGGACGTCATCAAAGTAATACGCCCTTTTTGTAAATGAGTACTAATTGCATTCTTTCAGATGATGGGAATTACCCAACTGTCTCAACTGGAAAACATTCGAGACATTTTGAATATAATCTGGAACTATAACAACGACGACGGCAGGCTTCCCGATTTGATAGCAGATTTCGAAGAGGTCCAGTCGAGAGCCAGAATGGAGTCAGCAGTCGCATAATCTGATAAACTACAGGGGGTTTGGATTCAGTGGTGCATATATATCTCAATAAATGAAGGGTGTGAATAAAAGCTTCATGTTGACAACGTAATGGAGGTCGAAACGAGATCAAGATGTAATGGATGATATGAGACAGGAAGGAAATAAAGCAAGAATTTAGGAGACAACGGCACTGTGATTCACTCTTTCGGTCATCGGTTCGTCCGGAACCGACTGTCGTTGCGTGCGAAGTTTCCGTTCTTCGATCATCGTGCGGACCTGTTTCAGAGTGACACCGTCGATGAGAGACTGTCCGATTCCGTTGACGAACGAGGAGATCGTGCCGCCCATGATGACGTTACAGTAGGCGATGCAGATTATCAGAACGAGAAATTGGACGGAGAAGACGATCACGAAAAAGCCACGCGAGTTGAGCGAACTCTGGAAAACAAAGAAGTGGAAAATAAGCAGGAATGGGGTAACTCACTAGAAACGAGACGAGCAGATGGGAAACGACTGCGGCCGCGCCAGGCACGAACGCAGACGGGATCCGGCCGATCTTGTGGCACGTGTCCCACATCATGATAGTCCATGTGACGTGGAAAAGAGTGTGCAGAATGGCCGAAAGAGAATAGCAAAGGGGCAGATACTTTCCCGCTCTGTTCTGGTCCACGACTCCCCGTTCGAGAGCCTCCGGAAGACCGATCGTTCCCGGTCCGGAGAAGACGGCGAACGCGTTCATTGTGTTGAAGAGAGCCGCGATGACGCCCATTCCAAGGCCGCACACGAGCGCGAGCATGTGACGAGCATTGTGGAGGTCGCTGACTCCGGGAGCCACTGAGATTTGACCTTGTCGGGTGATCTTATTCAATCCTCTGGAAAACTGGCGGAATGAGAAGAGAAGAGAAAGAAACCCGCTCACTTTTGGGCCTTTTTGAGGAGCATGAAGTAGGCGACTCTGGCCAGTTCCTGAGCAACAATGCAGACTCCGAGGGAAACGAGGAAGCTGTTGGGGAAGAGAGCGGTCAAAGCGAACCAGGAAATCGAGGAGACGAGGAGGGAGACGAGCCAGAAGAAAGATCTGAAAATGGGGGAGACATGGACATGGATGAGTTGGAAAGGTGGATTTTACCCGAGGAAGAAGAGGATAATCCGGACGGGGTCATGTGCGATGAACGAATAGAAAAGGGTGATTGCCGGCGAGAATGAGGCGACGTAGCAAGAAATTGTGAGGAGGTAACCCATGGTGATCTGGAAGGAATGCACGGTGCGGGACCATTGGAAAGGGAGGAGATATTCAGTTGAAGGGGCAACAAGTCGTTCGGATAGACACGGATACAGTGGACATTTATTCATACTCGAATGTGTGCAAATCGACAAAACATACAAATAAAAAGAACGAGAGTATGGTGGAAAAGGAGATGAATGGACAGTACAGGACAGGGAAAAGGGCTACTCGCATTAGAGTTTGGATTCGTGAATTCTGTTGTCAGCAACGGGAGATGATATGTTGCTTCTCGGGTTAATCTACTAATTCTATCACACAAAGAGTACCGACAAAAGTTGGAAAAAGGGAGATGAATTGGGTAGCCAGCCGTAACGCAAATAGTCGAAATTGAAAAAGATAAAATACCGGGTATAAAGGTGGGGAAGTGCGAATTTCAAAGCGGATACTAGTAAAGCTTTCGAAAGGAAAGAAGGCGACTAGCGGACTGCATTCAGTTGACTTTCGCGTAGCTCGGCGGTGAGAACTTGCGACGAAGAGCCTTGATTATGTAGAGCGGGAGGCACGAGACTGCCGTGATGGCTGTCGTCTTCGAGATGAAGACCCAGGAGAGCACAAACTGCCGATCGAAGTACTGGTCAAAGAGAATGAGTGAGATCATGTAGAGCCCAAGCGAAAGTGCCTGAAATGAGTGAATTGCGGTAGAAGCCAAGAATGGATAGTTTTACCTGTGCAAGAAGCATCGCCCAATGCCACGTGTGCACGGTCATGGCCACCATGATGAGTTCGGTGACGATGAGAGCGGAGAACGAGATCGAGACGACATGAATGAAGTCAGCGTCGAAGACCAGAAGAGCACCGTACATGATGACGGCCCCTGGAAAGGTGATTGACGAAAGCTCTCTTGATCACTGAATGATTACCTTGATAAAGCGAGATGAGGACCCAGATACAGAATGTCTTGTACGAGAGGGACCTGCCCTTTCCGAGTTCTTTGTACAATTCTGGGTAAGTGAGCGCATTGGTGGCAGTGACATCTCGATCGACGACCAGGGAAAAGACGGGAAGCATTGTGTAGCACGTGGAATAAGCGACCATCAGAACTCCCTGGTACAGAGAGACGGAGGCGAAATAGAAAACGCATGAGAAAATGGCCTGCATTGTTGAGATAATGAGACCACGATGCATGACGAATTGCGAGAGAGCACACGATCGTTTGTAGCAGAACCGTCCGTGGACGAGGAGTAAACGACACACGTGCGAGAACTGGGTGATCGAGAAGTCGGCGGCCAGGGATGCCTGTTTTCCTTCGTTCGCGTCGATTCCGATTCCCGCGTGAGCTGCTTGGATCATCGAAACGTCATTTCCTCCGTCTCCGATCGCGGCAACACGGAGTGGAGCACGGTACTGGAATGAAAGATAATAGTGAGAAAATGACAATTTAAAAAAAAACCTTTCTAAGCAATTGGACTATCTGAGCCTTCTGTTCCGGTGAGCAACGACAACAGACGACGGCAGTGCACGCGCAGACGAGCTCCGCCACTTCTGCTTCGTAGTACTGTAGACAGACGTTTAGAGCAGACCCGGGCATCACAAGGGCCACGTCCGTTTTCCTTCTCAAGTTGTTCAACTCGTTGTGAGCATCCGTTCTATTGTGCACATTTCCAAACACGTGGATGTTGTCAGATCTCGAAAACAGTCCACTGGACTTTGCGATGCAAATGGCGGTCTCCAGTTTGTCTCCAGTGAGCATCCAAATCTTGATTCCGGCGTTTCTGAGCAACTCGAGGGACGTCGTCACCTGATCCTGCAGGCGATCTTCGACTCCAGTCAGGCATAGAAGCTGAAGATCTCGTTCGAGCATTCTATTCACGACACAAGCCATGTTCTGAGATCTATCCGATATGGACATCTTCGCCGCGTGGTAAGCTCTGTCGAATGCGTCCAATTCAGCCGGAGACAGTGGTTTGCGAGCGACGACGAGAGTGCGGAGACCCTCGCGAGCCATGTTGCTGCATTCTTCGTCGAGCCAGTCATTGTACTGCACCATTCCACTCATCACTGTGTCTGCCCCTTTCATTAGAAGCGTCACTTCATCCGTCGTCTCGTCCTTCACAATGATTCCCATTCGTTTCGTTTCACTCGTGAATGGAAAGACGTGCAAAATTTGGAACTGTTTCATGAGCGTCTGGCCATTGGGAAGCATCACACTGAGCGACATGGCATGCAGATCTCTGTTTGCCAATCGTACACCGACAGTTTCCGTCCATTTCACCAGCGCAACCTGCAAATTTGAGAAAAGTTAGTAACATTTTGGTCTTTCTGTTGTTATTTGTCTTCACAAAGCACACCGACAAGTGCGCAACTAGTAGAGAGCAAGAACAAACGAATTAGACGGACAGCGTGTTGCATTTAGGTGGCGCATAAAGTGGTGCCAGACACTCACCTCATCCGGACTGGCGGCTTGATACGAGGTCTCTCCGTTCTCAAAGATCGGCGTAACATTATGACAAAGGGCGATAGCCTCGACCGCATTCTGCAGTTTCGCAGAGAACGAGTGTTTGGCCAGTCTGCCCGCGTAGGCACTCTTCACGTGCTGTCCGACTTCTTCGAACGCGTCACTGCTGAACGCGACAGTTCCGAGATGGATCTTCTTGAAATGCATTTCGTTTTTTGTCAGTGTTCCAGTCTTGTCGGAGAGTAAGAAAGAGATTCGACCGAGTTCTTCCGGAATCGTCGATGAACGGATAACGGTCTCCGGGATATGCTTGTCTCGTCCGATTTGCCACGAATAGAATAGTTTTGCCATATCGAGGTTAACACGAAGCGAGATCGGAATGATGTAGGAGAAGAGGAGGATGAATCGCATCAAGTAACGATACCACAGATTATCGAGTCCTGAAAGACTACATAGAACTGAGAATTTATTTTATAAAGTTACCTTTCATGATGACCATGACAGAAGCCAGCACGAGCACGAAGATAAAGAGCAGCTTGGTGAGATTGTTCACTTCGAGGTCAAGAAGACCAACCTTGCTTTCCGGAAGTGTCGTGTTCATCACACTTCTTGTTTCGCGGCCAGTGTACACGACGATTCCGACGGCAGTTCCAGAAGCAACGACTGTATTCGCCCACAAAACGTTTTCCACATTCAGAGATCCGTCTTGGACAGTGTCATCCACAGTCATTTTCAGAGTTCCCACGAATGCGTGAATATCCTTTTGTGGTTTTTCCGCATAGATCTCGCAATTCAACTCCATAATGTCGGCTTCGTTCGGCAGATGTTGAGTGAACGGAATGGGTATTCTCAATTTCCAGTCAGTTTCGCCGTCCAATTGGTCGGTACGGATGAAACAGGCTCCAGACTTGTCGGTCGTTCGAAGCAAAACGACGTCGGCGGGAACTCTTCTGTCCTTGTGCATTATAATCACGTCTCCGACTTCGATATCCGCACTTCGGATTTCCACTCTCGTTCCGTCTCTTGTCAGTTTCTCGTACTTTTCCGAATTAAGGTCTCGGTCTCTCAAATATCGTACAAAGTCGTCGAATGCCTCACGGATGAGAGTAATGGTCAGAACGAATCCGAGGGGACCCCAGTACGTAATGGGTGCTCCTATTTGTATGGCCGGAATGAACTGAGAACAGGCCATCAGCAAGAAGTAAAGGTTCAAAAAGAATTTGAATTGTTGGAACAGTACCTGCGAAATCATCGATTCCGATTGGAAGAATACATGGAAAAACTCACGATTGGCACAAAACTAAACAGATTGTACTTCTGATTGCAGACAGTGTTCGGTGCGAACGTTACGTTTGCATCATGTCCAACCGGCCCGTATCCCACTCGCACCGTCCGTGAATGCAGCACTCGTCGTCTCGAAAACAACGACCGACAGCATCTGAAAAAGCTTGAACAAATTGAAGTGTCAATTGGAATGACATAAAACTCGCGGGCACCTGCTGAATTTCGATTTAGGCTTTAGTTTCAGAACTTCGTCGATCAATACTGTGTTGGTTTGGCTGTCGAAACCAATCATTTTGAACAGTGGGAAACTGAGCGACTCGCTGCCAGCGGGGATTCTCACACATTTTGAATGCACGCGCGTTTTTATTAACTCACAACAGTCCTCCCTTCGCAGCCGAAGCCGCCGAGAAGTGAGTGGCGTTGGATTTGAGAGAGGCGGTTTTGTCGCGGATAGTGGTTGTCCCGTCATCTTCTTCGGATTTAACGAAGGACACGCTGAAGTCGTCGGCAGAGGGTTTCTGAGAAGACGAAGACGAAGACGAGGACTCGTCGTTCTTCTTCTTCTTTCCCATATTAGTCCACCATTAACGCGGCCCTAGTTACACCCAGAACTTCAGTCGCTGAAAATTACTCGGATAGCGACAAGATAAGGAGACGATGAAAGGAAGCGAGGAGTGGAATGGGAAATCCAGCACGAACGGAACTGTGTCCAGTAATAAAAGACAGAGTAAACAGAACGGAAGTGCTGATTCATCCGGCACGGTCACGGATCGTATAAATATTGGAGAACCGTCTTGAGACCGGAAAGAGACGCTTTCGTCGTTTACTACGGAAGAAGAGGAAAGGAACGACGATAATCTGATTTGGGCGAAGGAGACGTCGAATCGATGCGAGACAGGGACTGAGGAGGCGACGGTGTGACTGTCCATAATCCGGCGGGTTTCGATCGGGCCGAATGGCCAACGATAGACGGTTTGAAAACAAACAGAAAACTCAAAAGTGCGCCTGATCGAATCAACAACTGACTCGCTCAAAAATGATACCGCATTTCGATTCGCATCGAAAGGGAAGAAAGAGTGTGCGAGCACAGCAGTAAAAGGAATGAAGACACTGATTCAATGACGACACAGATGAATCAGAATCAGAAGACCGTATGGCGTCACGGACGGGAAAGAATGGAATGCAATACATTTGGAGAGGGGTGGGGCATGTTGGGTTGGGTCGGACTGATGAACGCATCCAGGTGTTCGACACCTGTGAATGATTTCAAAATGGTTTTTATCGCGCTTTTTCTCAACGCACAAAAATTCTTCGAATCTCTCACAATTCGTCGTTCTGTAGAATTGACTGACGCACAAAAGCACACAATGACTCGTCCAAAGGGAATTACTAGCTACGCAAGCATGAGCTATACGCTTAGAATCATCATGGGAATCCTTAGAAAATGTCTGGAACAGAGCAATATACGGTAGTGGCGGGCAGTTCGTGTGCACGATTGTTGATGGATGAAGAGACCAATTGAACAAATATCCGAGCGGTTCGCACTCGTTCCCAACTGCCTCAAATGTGCGTATTTGCGCGCTCTTTCGATTGCACCGCGAGGTGGAAACGCTATGAAATCGGAGAGAAGAGAGACGGGCAAAAATAAGAAGAAGCAGAAGACGATGGACAGGTGGAAGCGGATCGGAAAAGGAAATACAACTCAAACCGCGCATTTACTCTCTCAGACTGCTGGGCTAAGGTATAATTTGTTAAAACGACTGCGTCTCGTTATGAAATTCGAAACGTGCTAAAACTGAAAGGAAAGAGTTGTTTTGAGTCGTGCACGACATCATTTCCATTATCGGCAGATGGAAACGAGAGGAGACTCCAAACGGCTGCGTCGAAAGAGAAAGAGAGCCTACACACATAAAACGATAACAATACGCGGCTTGTTCTGATTTCTTTGGTAAGAAACAAGAAGAAACCTAGTTAGTAGGGAAGAGGCGGAAGTGAAAGAGATTTGAGACGGGAAGAAGAAGAAGAAGAAGTGGAAGAAGAAGAAGAAGAAGAAGAAGAATTAAATTGGAATTAAATGATAGGCGGGCGAAGAACAGTCCTGGCCTTTGGCATAAGAAACTATCTCGCTTTCCCATGCCATCAAAAACGACAAACACGCAATACAACCCACACAGCAACACAAAAATGGATGGACACAGAGCGTCAGAAAAAGAGCGTCGACGTCGAAAAGGGACGATGAGAACAACAGTTTTTCGGTCTGTACGTCTTGTTCGTCTGCGTATGCATCGGTCGATCAGCGATCGCAAATTAACTGTTACAACTGTCGGCGTGGTAGCAGCAAGTAGGAGAGACCGAGAGAGATGCGGAAATCGTCGGACGGTGCGACACGGCACCAGTATATTTTATGGAAATCCTCCGACGACGCAGCCGCCATGCTACCCGGAATAATCACAAATACACGCGTCGGTGTGAAGAAATGCGGGTGGTCGTCGAAATAACTGGACATTCGGCCGCAGTCTCACGCCGGCTCATTAGTGCGGTTGTCAAGGAGAGCAAACGGAAAACAAGGGGAGCACGAGGACAAAAAGAGCCCGAATGGCCCAGAGGGCAATAGAGGGTGCATTGTGAAATTGAGGTGTCTGAGAATATGTCTTTTTCAGAGGGAGAGAGAGATGGCCACTTTGAATGCAACTAACAAGCGAAAGTATTCAATGGAGAGGATTCGAACGGGTTGACAGCCGTGACTAACTGCTTTTCATTTGCAGTTTCAATAAAGTTTTCAGAAAGAGACGCGGCTGATTTTTGGTCGATGCCTGCTCAGCACACGATTTGCTCACACATCTGCACCAAAAGCTCTTTCCGCTTTCGCTGCTCATAATTCTTATGCACTCTATTTCGGCGTGTTCTCTGATTCTCTTCGGGCTCACCTTGTCATGCTGAACGTGGAAGAAGACGTGGATGACACGGAGGGCAGGAGATAGACGTCGTCTGATCCCTCGATTCCTATCTGAAACTGATATTGGGCGTCGCTTTCTTTGACGTCATCACCTCAGAATCAGGCATTGGGAGAAGACGGGAATACTCGTCGGCTTCTTCGTGGCTCGATGCCAACCGACTGTAGCGCATACAACGTGAAATTACCCAACTATTCTGAAAGTGGACTTTTTAGGTTGAGACATGCGGTAACAATAATAGTACTTAGAGCTGGTATAAAACCAATTAGAAGCCAAAGCAAGATAAGCATAAAACTGAATAATTTATCAACATAAAAAGCTCGAAAAAGTGAGGAAAAGGGAAAATCGGGGTATACTCGTTCAAAAATGAAGACTCGTCAGTTGAACTGGATATACAGGAAGATGGCGGTGGGAACGGGATAGGTACAGACATAGAACATGTGCATTTGAAGGTATTTCAGACTAATTTGATGACTAGAACACCGAGCACTCCACCAATCATGGCAGCGGTGACTCCGATCAGAGAAATGATGCTTCCCGCCAGTTCGCGACAATCTTTGTCGGTCGACCTGTAATAAAAATTGAAACTTCTGAATGAGTTGTGATTATTTTACGTCGTCGCTCCGATTGTCGCATTGGTGGTAACGAATCCATGGGAGGTGGAGAGAATAATGACAAGAAGAACGAAAATGCCGTCGTACGGAATGAGAGCATGCGTGTGAGCTCGCGGAGCCACGTTGCACATGGCAATCATCGGAATGAGCAAGAAGCGGGAGCAGGCGACGCAGAGAAGAAGCTTTCTGGGCTGAAAAAAGAGCAATTGTTAGATGACTGGAACGGAAATATTACGATGCGCAGAGAGTTGGCAGATGACCTTCCAATCAGATCTCCGACATTGTAAAGAAGGAAGGATGCGACCGACGAGAAGTAGGCTGAAATGAATTCAAAAATAAACAATAGCAACGAAAAGAGGAATACTTACAGTTCCAGGTGTGATTGCGCGATGTGCTGTGCACAAGACTCGTCAACCCGGGATAGGCTGCAAGAGTGACGATGAGATTCACAGAAAGTGTGGTCAGGTCGATGGAGGACTGAAAAATCTGTGGTTTCTTATGTCTTCTTTTTTTCTATTACTTTTTTCATAATATCTGTGTATTGTGTCCACTTTGACTGCGTGATTGCACTGTCGGTGGAGTCCGCGTCGATTGGCGGGAAGTGGCTGGCCTGGGTCTCGATGTCCACTTCTCCTTCTCCATCCTCTTCGTCATCTTCGATCAATTGGCTTTCATCGTCGTTGTTCGGCTCAATTGGTGGCGTCAGACTGGCCAAATAGAAGTACGTGGCAAGACTGACGAAGCACATCACCAAACTGAATCCGAAGTACATTTGACCGTTGAGGATGACATTCGATGTGACTGCCTGGCACAGAATGCTCAAAAGAGCTGCCAACACTCCGGCAAGTGACTGGCCAACCATCACTGCTTGTGTCTAAAGATGACGACTTTTGCATAAGACCATAAAATTGCATTACTTACATATTTGGCAGGGAAAAGAGCAGACATGCCCAACACTCCTCCAGCCATCATTCCGAGAGATCCGAAGCAGGCAACGGAGATGAGAGCCATAGAGATATTGAAGAAAAGTGTTTGATCGTCATCGAAATTGAGGAGAGTGAGAGCAATTGTGGGAACGAAAACGACAATCACCAGCAAGTGACCCCAGACCATTCGACAGCTGTTCGACAAGCTTGAAAAGGAAATACTTGCAGCGACCAGTGCTAGTTTGTTTAAACTCTACCTCTTAGTGCCGAGAACGTTCAGAATGGATCCGAGAACACATGCAATACTTCCGTAGACAGTGAGATACGCTTCAAAATCAGCCTGCATTTCCGTTGGAGTATCTTCGGAAACTGAATATAAAAGCTTGAGAAGAAAATAGAAGAATATTCTAAACTCACTCTGTTTTCTGATGAGCCAACTGCTGGTACTATTCACGGGGTCCTCATCATGAGTCACATTCCGTAGTTTGTAGTAGAAGTACTGAAATATTCTGAGTTAGCACGCGTCGACGAGCGCTCTGTCTCCGACTGTTTACAAACTGATGTGAGGTGAATAAACAGAGGCAACACGGAACAAATTGCCGGTTACTATTATAGAAATATCGGATTCATTAGACTGAAAACGGAGAGAACAGTCGAATGTGACGAGTGACTCATCCTTTTTCCATGCATTGTTCAACGTGGTGGCGATGTTATCAAAGCGTTTTACGGAAAAGAAGCGAGCGTTTCCTACAGCATGGAATGTTGCGAAATATCTTTCGTTCTCTATTTCTTGCCCAAAAAAAGCACAGTTCAGATAAGAGCAGACAGCGGATAATTAAAAAATAACAACTAACCTCGTGAGCGTTCATGAAGGCGTTGTTCGGGAACATCGAACTGATCGATACGATCGTAAAAGCAATGAATATTTTTACAGACATAATTATATAACACAACCAAAAGCCAGAAGCCTATCTTTTTTGAAATGCAGAATAATCGATAGGCTTCTGGAAACTGAATTAGGAACGGCGTCGTTTCAGAGAAAACATGCGATGAACGCGTTGAGGGACAAGGGGCGGGGTCAAGGAAGCAACGCCTCTGCAAGTCTACCGCACGGATTTTTGTCGCTTTTCTATGAGTCATGTTTTTGGATGAATCAACGATCATAATATTTATCTCAAATGGACTAAAACAGAATTAAGAATATAAAAAAAGTTTAAGAAATCTTCTCTTCCTTCGGTGCATTGCAACAGCTCCATTCACTGAAAGAAGCCAGAATTTACCGCCGTCGTCGAAAAACGTGACCCACAATCCGATAAGAGAGAAGGTGAATACAGCAGAAGCATAAATGGACAGGGAGAGAATGTTGAGAGACAGAACATAGGGACGGAGATGTTTGGGGAAATCGGGCGGGTCCTCGGCAAGAACCTTCATCAGTAAAGAACCAGCTCTCTGGACCTGGAAGACAATTGTGGGTGAGGATAAGAATTCTGGAGGAGTAATTTACAAGAATGAAGGCATAAAGTTTAAATAGACCTCTCGATTGTCCACAGAGTAACACTAACATTCCATATCCTTCGAATATCTGAAATATTCTACTCATTCGATTCGTTCTGAACTCCCCACCATTGTGTACGTGTGAGTGTTTTGCAAAATATTCGAAGTCGCTGCTGCTCGAATGGTTTCCTCATTAAAAAGAAAGATTCCCATTCGGGCGATACCACAAATTACAAATGAAAATGCGAGGAATCCAACGAAATTCTGAAAATTTAAAGGAGCCGGCTGTATGGATAATGCTCTCCTGCAAGTGCTTACGATGGGATAACAGAGGACCCAGTCCCTCGTGGTCAATCTCGCGTCGTCCTGGAACCCTTTCATAGTGGTAAATCAGAAAAATTAGTCTGAAACGTCATCACCACGTTTCACCACGTTTACCTTAATTCCAACACGTCCAATTAAATTCGATTCCAACACGTCCAATTAAATTCGAAACAAACTACTTTGCCCGGAAACCGAACGAGAATGATGAATAGTTCATTTGAGCATGTGGCTGTCGCTTCGAAAGAGAAGACGGTGACCGATCAGTTGAAGAATGACAAAATGTGGTATTTCATTCCTGTTCTGGTGAATGAGCGTTTCATTTCAGAGTTTCCAATGTTCCTCATTTCAGACGTTCCCTCATCTTCTGATGTTCTCGTACATTCTCGAAGTGGTCGTCTGCCTCTACTTCAACATTTTCGGGTTTCTTGCAGTCATCGTGAGCGCTCAAAAAAGGTGCCCATCTCAATCTCTTCCTTTTCAGTCCTTTTTCTCTGCAATTGACTTTCTGACCATTTACGTGAGAAGACGTGTGATGTACTTGTTGGCGGCCTTCACCTGTCTGCCCGCAGCAGCCGTCTTCCTCTACTACGCGGTGATTATGTTGATCGGCGACTGTACGTGGAACTCTTTCCCTTCCGCTCCATCTGCTCCCTCTTCAGACAGCAGTGTGAAGGCGTCGATGCGTCCGGCCCCCACGACTGCCACGTGTTTCTTTCTATGTTTTCTGAATGCTCTCGCCGTTTATCCATTCCTGCGGCTGAGCGGAGTCATTAATGAATTGCGTAACGAAGGAGGATCAAAAGAAGAAAGTTTAAGCTTAAAAAAGTGATTTATTTATTGGAAGTGTGAATGTGTTAAATGTTTTCTAATGTGTAAGGCGAGATCTGAACCGTGTGAAGTTATATAAATACATGTTTGTTCCTCTCAAATTGAATCGCACATGCCGAATCCTGAAGCGGGTTCCCACTGTCCACCTTGGCATTGCAACGTGGCAGTTCCGGTGACTGCGAACCCTTCCTCGCAGTACAAAAGAGCAGTTGTTCCATCGTCGAAGTCGAGCGACGTGCCGCTTTGAATGTAGACGACTCGGGAGTTTTTGGGCGGCGAAAGAGGGAAGCAAACTCCCGAAACGGACGATTCTGAGCCATTGGAGCACCTTCCGAGGATCGGACGGAACGATCCTTTACGGCACGTGGAGAAGGATGCTCCGGTCGTCTTGTAGCCCAGATTACACTTGAGAGCCGCCGTCGTTCCGTCTTCGAACGTTCCTTTCGTCGAGAATCCGGAGAATGTGATCTGAAAATCATAAGTTGTAAGGTTGTCCGTTGGTTTCTGAACTGACTTCTCCGAATGCAGGGGCGATTGGGGGAGGACACCGTTCTCCGGAGATGACGACCGTCGGGGTGTCATCGGCAGTTCCGTTCTTCGGGGAATCCGCGACCGACAGAGTAAGATTGTTCGATTTGACGGGCGGTTTTCGGAGAAAAGTGGCAGAGACGCAGGTTCCCGGAAGAGGATTCCAGACTCCGTTCGTGCAGACTGCGGTCGGCTGGCCGGAGAGTGTGAAGCCGATGTTGCAGAGGGCGGAGACTGTGGTTCCACTGGGGTACGGGCCGAATCCGAAGGCACTGTACACGAGCGTTCCCGAAAGAATGTCCGCGAGTCTTCCGCACGAGTTGCTTCCGATCTCGGATCCGAGCAGCTCGCAAGTTCCAAGAGAGGCAGGCGTCCAGGCTCCGTTGCTACACGATGCACTCATGATTCCTGAATTACAATTATTTTGAGTAGCTTCTCACACTCCCTACCATTTGCAACGTATCCAGAAGGACATGTAGCAGTGGCAACAGTTGAAGCCGGGTAAGGTCCAAGCGGGCTTCCCTGAAGATATTTATCAGTTTTGCTAGAATATCAATCAGCTCCCACATTTGAGTACGTTACGGTGGCCCCCAAAACGGGCGCGATTCCCAACGGACACGATGCGGAGATCACTTCTGAAATCGAGTCTCAAATCATAAAACGTCGACGTTTCACAGTCTCATTAGTCGTCATTTTGGCTCGTGTGCAAACCTTTCAGTGCTCTCTGACACGTGGCCAAACTCGTCGGCGACCACACTCCGTTGTAGCACGTGGCAGAGGTGGAGCCGCCCGTCGCGGCGTAGTTAGTATCACAGCGAAGAGTTACGGTAGTGCCCTGTGAAGTGGTGACGTGACACGAAAGAGCACAAAAACGGACAACATACAGTATTGAAGGGTCCGGAACCCGTGACACTATAGGACAAAGTGCCGTAGGTTGGCGTGGACATGGCGAGACACGACTGGTTAGCGATTAGTGAGGAGAAGGAGGCTACAAATAGGAGAACGATGGACGAGAAAGGACGGAACGCCTACCCTGCTGCACACAACTTCCGATGGTGCTCGGAGACCATCCGGACGAGGTGCAGGAAGCGAGAGATGTGCCGGAAAGGCTGTATCCACTGTAGCACACGATGTTGACGGTGGTGCCGATGGGGACTGTGGCTGTGATTGTGGGGGTGTACGTCATCCGGCCGTTGGTGAGGGTGCCGGTAATGGCGGAGAGCGGAGTGCATCCTGGAATTGACTACGGTATTAGATAGCTAGGCGACTAGCAAGTGAGCACGGAGCAGAAGCCATATAACATATCCAGTTTATCTCTTTCCACCGGGAAACCATCAAATTAACATCGCTTTTTAATTAGTTCTTTGTACACGTGGCTGTAATTTCTGTGAAGATTCCGTTGGTGCACGTCGACGTGGCACCACTTCCCTGCACTGAATATCCGGTGTCGCACTGCAAAGTGACGACTGTTCCGGCCGAGTACGGCGCCGTCTGGCTGGTGACGATGCTTCCGTACGGCGGAGCAATCGGCAGATACGAGCAAGAGGTGGTGGTATCGGCTGAAATGGATATGCATGCGGGAAAGGGAATCGGATCATGCGGGAGGAAAGAAGAAGCAAGAGGGCCACGAGAGGCGACTGTACCTTGGCCGACAGTTCCACTTCCGGAGCACGTTCCGAGGGATGGGGACCATGCAGAGTTGGTGCAATAGGTTATAGTAGTCCCGGAGGCGGTTTGGCCGGATGGGCACGTCATTGTGGCGGTGCTTCCTGTAGGAAAAAGATCAGAAGAAGACGGGGACGAAGAGTAGAAACCTGCAGTCCACGGGGCAAAGTATCCGGAAGAATAAGTGATCGTGGCACCAGTCGGAGTCAGTGGAGGGGTGTAGCAAGGGCCAGTGCTCGAGCTGGAGGAGGTGCAACTTCCGAGGGTTGGAGTCCACACTCCGTTCGAACACGTTGCGTAACTGTTACCAGAAAGCGTGGCAGCGTTCAGACAAGTTAACGTGGCACTGGTTCCGGACGAATGGAGGACCATGCTGCCGTCGCTGTACGTGATCTGGGAGTTCGTGGGAACAATGGCGCCGATGCACTGGGTCCCGATGGCCGTGCTGCTTCCGGAGCAGGTCGCACTGATGGCAGGAGTCCATGTTCCACTGTAGCACGTTGACTGTCCGATCTGTGTTCCGTTAGAACAGGTCACTCGCGCGACAGTTCCCGTAGCGAAACTCGTCGCAAAACTGGTTGTTCCGTCGTAAGTGACCGTCTCGCCAACAGGTCGTGTGAGAGAGGAACATGTGGTCGTACTGGACGAGCACGTGCTGGTGATACTTGGACTCCAGATCCCGCTAGTACATGTGGATGTTCCGAGAAGACTTCCTCCTGTGGTACACGTGACAGTGGCGACTGTGCCCGATGTGTAACTGGTCGTGCTCAAACTGAACGGAGAATAAGTGGCCTGTGCTCCGGAGGGAACTGTCAGTGCACTGCATGAGCCCGTCGTGGAGCCACCCAGCAAAGAACAAGTGCCCAGGAAGGTGGGCGACCACATTCCATTGGAGCACGTGGCCGTGGAGGATCCAGAGATAGCTTCGCCATTTGTGCAGGTGCCGGTGACGGTGGTTCCGCTTGGGAACGGTCCCATTGAACCACCGTTGGAGTAGGTGACGGAACCGGCGAGGGGAGCGATCATTGCGGTGCATTGGAGACCACCTGAGGAGTTGGACGATCCGTAGTTGCACGTGCCGATGGTCGGAGTGAAAGAGCCGCCGGAGCACGTGGACGTAGAAGATCCGCTGAGAGTGTATCCACTGTTACAGGTGAGCGTCGCAGTTGTGAGATAGGGGCGGGTGACCTGAATAAAAATAATAATGTGACTCGTGAAAGTCATTGATTACGTCATAAGTACTTCCTTGGCTGTAAGTGACCTGTCCACTGAGCACTGTCAAACTAAGACAAGTTGAGGTTGAGCCAGATGAAGTTCCCAAATTGCAAGTCCCCAAAGTTGGAGCGAAAGATCCCCCGGTACAAGTAGAAGTGGATGTTCCACTCAGTGTGTACCCACTGTTGCATGTGAGAGTGGCCGTTGTGAGGTAGGGGCGAGTGATCTGAACTTGTCCCCGTGTCATCTACTTTCTATTGTCCCACTCACATCATAAGTACTGCCTTGGCTGTATGTGATCTGTCCATTGAGAACTGTTGGATTTATGCAAGACGCGGTAGATCCCGTCGTTCCCGTTGAACTTCCATAGTTGCAGGTTCCAAGAGTGGGAGTGAAAGATCCTCCGGTACAAGTGGACGTGGATGTTCCGCTCAGTGTGTACCCGCTGTTACAGCTGAGTGTAGCTGTTGTGAGGTACGGTCGAGTAATCTAGAAGCTCCAGAAGGTCAGGCCATCTGGGGCAATCGATAACTTACATCGTAGGTATTTCCCTGACTGTAGGTGAGTTGTCCATTGAGCACAGTCGGATTAGCGCAGGATGACTGACTGGAAGAGCTGCTCGAATAAACGCACGTTCCGAGAGTCGGGCTCCAGACATTGGTTAGGCAAGTGCTCGTGGAAGAGCCTGAGACGGTGTTCAGGAGATTGCAGGTCAATGTTGCGACTGTTCCCGACGGATAGGAACCAACTGAATAGAATCTGAGTGGAAGTGAGACTGTTCCCAGAACGTACTTGATGAATAAGTGATTGTTCCATTCGTCCGAGCAGCAATTGCTGCACATGATCCAGTTGTTTCACCAAGAGAAAGGGCATTTGTGCACTGTCCTGAATGTGACACGAATCAGTTGCTAAAAGAGAATGAGAGACGGACCGATTGACGGGGACCAGACTCCATTGGAACACATGGAAGAGACGGATCCGGAGAGACTGTAGCCGATGTTGCACATCAGATAGGCCGAAGATCCGGATGAGTACTCGACACTTGGATTCGACTGGATGTAGAGGAGGTTTCCATTCGAAACAGTCGCAATCATTGAGCAGCCAGATCCTGAGGACACCTGAAATAAGAAATGGACTCTTGCGGAACATAGATGACAAAGTTAGAGGAAATCGGAAAGGTTTTTCTGAGATAGAATAGGAGAAAGATTGGAACTGAAATTGGACAGAGTTAGAAGCTATATATCCACTCAAACTGACCTGTCTCCGCATTCGGTTTCTGTGCTAAAGAATATTGATTTGTGATGGGGTTATTCGGGGTGTGAAAAAATGATTTTTTTTTTCGTTTTTTGCGTCAGAAAACCCAATTCAGCGATGTGAAAAACGAAAAAAAAAAACGGAAAACATACATACGCTGAATATCCCCATTAATGTTTAGTTAATGAACAGTATTGTATTCTAACGTACACTTTGACTGAGTCTCCTGATTCCTACCGCTTCACATTGTCCAATTCTCTGATCCCAACCAGTTGAAGTGCATGTGGCCGTGAGGTTTCCGATTCCGAAATAGTTCCGATCACATTTCAACGAGATCACCGAGTCCAGGCTGTACGGAGCATTCGACGAGTTCGTGAAGACCAACTGAAACTTCTGGTGATTTCACTTTTCATGGAAACATTCGAAACCTCTCCGTTCCGAGGTGCCGAGAGAATCGGACATTTCAGATCAATCAAAGAGACGCACGAGGGAAGCGACGGCTGCCATTCGCCATTCACACATTTGGAGGAAGGCGCCGAGCTGGTGGGAACATATCCGATGGAGCAGAGTACGGTAGCTCGGGTGGCCGTGGGTACGGTAGACCGAGAGGTGCTGGCTGCCACGTTGGCAGAGTAGACGACGTTTCCGTTGGGCGTGGAAGACGGAATGAGGCAGGACGGCTGTTCGTCCGCCTGGACCTGACTGGCGGCGACCAACAACTGCGGCTTCGTCTCTTGCTCGCAACTGCCGAGTCCTCCCTTCGGGTACCAGCCGTCCTTTGTGCACAGAAGACTGCTGATTCCACTACCTGCGAATCCGTGATTGCATTGAAGGGTGGCTGTCGTGCCGATGGAATACACGTTGAGCTGGTTGTTCGAGTAGATAATCCGCCCGTGACTGGTTTCCGATAGGGTCAAACAGACGCCGTCGTCGGAAGAGTTGAAAAGAACGACAGAGGGCGTCTGACGCCATGCGTAGCACAGCGGGAAGAACTCTTTTTCGTATCCGGGAAGGGATTGAGCAACGTTGTCGAAAGAATACGCATAGTCTGAGTAAGATGATTCAATCAGAAAAGGAATGAAAGAGAACTTACGAGGTCCAGTGAGAGAGTGCTTCACCAGTCTGTAGATGGGCACATCCGCCCCACACGAATTGTTCTTCTCCGCACAGTAAAACTCGTCCTCGATGTTCTCCATCGTCGAGTCGTTCATGCGAACCATGCGGTGATCCGTGTGCAGGATGGCTCCGTTCACCTGCATCATTGCCGAGAGACGGACTCCGCAGTCAGTGACCACGCAGCCTTCCGGGTGTCTCGCCAGCATCACCGTCGAGCTCGCCTTGTCAGTTCCGGCCCGCTCGTATCCACGGACCGACAGATCTTCATCCGAGATACGCCATTGGGCCGTCGAGTTGTCGAAGTTCCTCTTCCACACACCAACCACCACTGCAACACTTTCCCTTTCAGTTCTTCCAGTCTTTTTTCGGTTTGACTTACCCAACTTCTCCGGTTTCAGACTTGATCCGCATTCCTGCGTAGTCGCATACGTGGCAAGCGCCAAGAGTATAATCACAGTCGTTTTCATCGTTTCATCTAATTCGAAGCGCCCTGGAAGAACGAAAAAACGTAAAGCAACATTGGAAACGCGACGGAAAAGGTTCGGGAGGGAATGACCGGAAGTGGTTGTGTCCACTGTCCCATTTCGTTTATTTGGAGGGCTGCAAGGAGTCACTTATAAAGGGGCAAAAGGTGGAAATACGAAAGGAGAAGTGAGTCAGCAAATTGGATATCGTATCAGTGCATTATGCTGGAAGGCGAATGAAAGAAGTGAAAAGGGTTACCGGGAGAAGAAGGAAACAGAGCAAACACGGGGAAAAATTGGGACATGTTTGAGTAGATGTGGATGCATGCACTACACGACACGATTATTCCGATATTATTACGGAAAATGGGAGAAAAGGTTTGTTGCGGGCGAAAGTTCGAGCTATTCAGAGGGCACGGAGGCCGGAAATGGGGGAGGAATCGGACGGAGACGACGGCTTCGCTTCGCAATTTGAGATCAAGGCCAGGGGAGCTAAAGTCGACGAACAGAAACTCATAAAAATGTTTCGATCCGAGTTTATCCTCATAAAAAATGAAACGTTTCCGCCAGTTTATGACTCGGTTTCACTTTGATTTCTCTCTTTTTTCCGGTGAACTTTTGTTATTCAGAGACAGTTCTAATACCTGGAATCGAAACTGGAAAATTGGGGGGAAAACAATCAGGAGAATACGAGAGAACGTTCCGGGAAGGGGTTCATGAGGAGACAGCTCGATTCGCACAAATCATATGTCGCGGGGAAACCGAAAAACCGAGTGCAAAAAACTGAAAATGGGTTGGGAAAGGGGCGGTCAACAAACGGATTTTGAAAACAGAGCGAAAGAGCGTGTGATCGAGAGAGACGCAGAGAGCATAGATACAAGAGAGACAGCGATAATCCGGGCGGTTCTGGTTCCGCACAGATCCGATTATTATGCGGATCCCAAGTGAGTAATAATAATAATCATAATAACAATGAAGTAGCATTTTCGGGTCAAAGAAGACGGAGAAGAAGAGCCTCAAGTGGGAGCGGAAGGGATGGGCGAAAGGGAAAGGTGGCTGATACGGTCGGATGAACACTTCGGGAAGGAGGAACGGACAAAAACAGACAGGATGTGGGAGGGAGGCGATGTGGTGGAAACGGAAAATATCTGGACGAGGCCCTCTTTCTATCAAATCTTTATGTCTAGACTTTGCAGTTCTACTCCTTCTTCTCCTCCTTCTTCTCCTCCTTCTTCTCCTCGTCGCCCTTCTTTCCTTCCGACTCCTCGGCAATCTTCTTCAGCTGCTCCGGAGTCATGTCTGCGCAGTTCTCGTAGCCATCATCATCCTGAAACCGTTCCCTTGCCAGTGGCTTCTCTCTCTCTCTCTCTCACCTTCTTTTCCTCTTTCTTCTCCTCTTTCTGTCCTTCCTTCTTCTCGTCTTTCTTCGACTTCTCCTTTTTCGACTTCACCTCCTCCTTCTTCGATTTCTCTTTCGGCGGAGCTTCGGCTACCTTCGACACTTCAGGAGCAACAGCGGACGAAGCAGGCGGAGCCGGTGGAACCGGTGGCGCCGGGAGCTGCACGGACTGCGGAGGTCCCTTCGGAGGGGCATTCGTCGCCTCTTTGCTCGCTTCCTTGCTGTTCGCCTTTCCCTTCTTCCCGCACACATTCAGAATGAACACGGAGAGAGCGGTCCAGCCGAACAAACGGAAAAGTTGAAGGAAAAAGTAGTGGGCATCCGACTGGAACTGCGGCTGAAAGGAAATTGAGCGAAAGGAATGGGAAAAGGGAAAAGACTCACTTTCATTCTGAAATCCTTTTCAATTTGAACGGAACGTTTATAGAGAACCGCTGATACGAAATGAATGGAATGAATGAGAGAGGGACGGACGGAGAGTCACGTGGAACCTCCGAACATTCAAGAGTTCATTCAAATCGTGAACTTTCATCGACTGATATCAATTGGGAATCAGAATCTTTCCGTTCACAGTTCAGTTTGGTTAGTTGATGACTAACCCCAGGAAATCACGGAATGATCACTGCAACACACTTTTTTTCTGCGCTTTTGTGTCGACAGATTACTCCCGGTCCAGCGAAAACAAACAAGTCAGAATAATAACAGCCAGCAAGTGACAAATTCGAAACAATTTATTGGAATAAGTAGGGAAAGACGGGTTACTTCGTGTATTCCTCCGAAATTAAATGAGACCTGAGAAAACAGAAAACAAAACGGAATTCAAATGGAATTCTCGCTGACGCTCCGTTCCTTCCGAATCGGATTGTTCAGAACGAACTGTCCGTTCTTGTCCTTCGTCTGATGGGAACAGTACATTTCGTCAGAGGAGTCCGCGCAGTCGGCTACTTCGTCGCACAGACCGCCCGGCGGCAGACACTTCTTGTTGTCGTGACACTGGAATTGACCGGGCAGGCAGATCCGAGGCGCTGTAAATTGTTAAATTTGTCGGTGAGTCAGTCCGCATTCCCTTACGACAGTTCCTTTCGTCCACTTGATCGGAGCACTGAGCGAGTCCGTCGCAAAGGTAAACTTTCGAGATGCATCTGCAATGCCACGTCAAAACGACTACCGTAATCCCTCCCGTTCTTACTTTGGATCCGCGCCTCCGCACTCGATTTGCGAGTCGCTGCAGTTCGAAGAGCACGTCTTTCCGTCCGTCTGCAGGTCGAAACCCTCTCCACACGCACATGTCGCCGCGCCGTTCTCGCCCAACAAACACAACTGGCCGCAGCCACGAGTATCACATACCGACGGTTCTGCAAAGAAAAATGTGGCCGCGTGGCCTATTGCTTCGCTTGCTTGGTATTCCGGGTACTCCTGGTATTCAGCTGGTATTTTGATGGTCCTCTTAGAAAAGCAAGCGTCCCTCTCAGACCTACCGGAAAAACACTGCTGACGCTCGGAAGCGGCTTCGCCACGTGTTTGTTTTTCATAACCGTTCGAAAGTTCACGTATCGAAATCTTTTGCATTTTTCACTTACGGTCAGGCTGCAGACTCTTATGGAAGATTTTGAGCGAGTACGGAAGCAGTGCAGTTTGGGCCAGAACGGTAATATTCTCTCCATTGAGTTTGTTTGCCCTCAAAAGACCACGGTATGTCCAGTCGGTCCAGTACAAGAAATCGTCCGCAACAGCCAAGCCGAAGACGTGCGGGACGGATCCTGCGTCCGCAATAATGGTCCTTCGTTCACTTCCGTCCATGTTTGCAGTTCTGAAATTCAATTTTATCGGTGGAGGAAAAATCAATCGAAACTGACTCAATTGTGTCGAGGAAAGCATCAGCCCAGTAGATCTTCTCGGCGAAAATGTCGACGGCAACTGCGTTCGGCCACGTGATTCTTTCGGTTACAATCTTTCGGAAATGGGAACCGTCCATGGAAGCGGCGGCGATGAATGCATTCGAAGACCAGTCCGTGACGAACATCATTCCTTTGGCGGGATGAAGAGCGATGGCTCTCGGCAATTTCATAACGTCTTTGTAGACTGTCTGTCTGTACCGCCCATTCAGACTCTGCACCAATATGTCCGATCTTAACCTCATTTAATGTCTTTCTGGCCCTATCACTTCGAATACCTTCTCAAACTGTACAAGTTTCTGCCCATCCAATCGACGGCGATTCCTTCGAGCCCATCGACGTCAAACCTCTGGACCGCCTGCGGGAACGTGCCCTCGATGTTCATCCTCTCGATCACATTGGCTCCGATGTCCGCGTAATACAGTCTGCTCTCTTTCACGTCGATGTCTATCATCGCCGTCTTCTGGAGCCCCGCTCTCTGCAGTTGGAACGACTTTCCGTCCGTCGAAATGTTCCAAACACTTTGTCCATGAGCGAAGAACAACCAGAGAGGCGCTGAACATGCAAAATAGTAAAGCGATTCTGAGAAGATGTCACTCACAAGTGTCAATTCGTTCGCAAGTGTGATTGTCGGAGGAAAGTTTGTAGTATTGTTCATCGCAAGAGCACTTGAAAGTTCCCGGGAGGTTGGTGCACTTCTGGGAGCACGCGGAAGAGAGGGACGCGCATTCATTGACATCTGAAGGAGATTTATGAAAATGAGAAGGGAAAGGCCATTCTCACCTAGACACTTTCTCTGTGCGGCATCGTAGTAGTAGCCGGGCAGTCTGCATTTACAGTTTCCTTGAGTGTCACACTCCTCCAGTGGCTGCGCTGCAAACGTTTCTGTCACTTCCGTGTCACTTTTCTCTCTTTTATCTTACACTTCGGCCTGGCCTTCGTTGCATTCGTATTCAATTCACATTTTGAGTCAGGATTTCTCTTCGCCAACATTGAGAGGAAAGATATCTCAATTTTGACGGCATCTTTGCAAGTGCTCTCTTCCCTTTCAAGCAAGCAATCCACATAGGCTTGAATAACCGTGCATTCGTACGTTTGCGTCGGATTCGTCACTGAAAAGTTGAAAAAATGCAAAAATACAAGTGGGCTGAGCCGGGGATCGATCCCGGGACCTCTCGCACCCTAAGCGAGAATCATACCACTAGACCACTCAGCCACGGTCGCAGCGGGATTCCAATGCGATACACATTGCCTCTACTCACCAGTGTCCGGCGTCTCGTCTCGTAGTGTGTTTGTCTTGTTCACAAAACATTCCTTGATGTTTTTGTCACTGCAAAGAAGTTATGGATTGTGAGAAAGTAGGAATCACAGGCGCCAGGCGCCGTGGAGGGCGCAGACAATCAGAGGGAAAGAGAGAGAGAGAGAGAGAGAGAGAGAGAGAGAGAGAGAGAGAGTGACCTACTTTTCGACTTCCAGAAGACATGCCTTCTCTTCTTTCATAATTGCGGCGAATTTCTCTTCGCAAATCGTTTCGTACATATTCTCAATGTTTGGAGCCCGGGATTGTCTGAAATCATTCGTATTCTTGGTCCCTGGTTAGTCTCTTAAGTTGCAGTGATTTGTGCTCAAAGAGCAAACTTCAAAATGTTTCGTAATCCGTTCGCACGCATTCTGCTCAATGTGTTCGTTGTTTGCCACCGCATTCGGACACAGTAGCCAGTTGTGTACATGTTATTGAATCGGCGGGAACGCGTGAGCCACTCGACAACTCACGAGGACCGAAATGAGCATTACCTGCAGTCGGGACGGACTCCCTGCGTGCACATCATGTACTGGTTGTACTTGTCGCACGTCTGCTCCACCGAACTCAGCGGCGGATGGAGCACGTTGTTGGCCAGGTCGGCGGCGTAGTCGACTAAGGGACCAATGCAGTGAAGGGCCGCCGCTTCCTCGATCAGATCGCAGTGGGAAGAAGTGATCAGGGAGGAGATGGGCGAAGAACGGGGCGGTGGAGGGGCCGAAGTTGTGGGCATCGGAGGGATGGTAGTCGTGGACTGGACCACTGGCTCTGCAAGGAACTGGGAGATGGAAGAAGAAATGAGACTGAAATATGCTAGAGCTGTCAGCTACAGTAATTCGTTACATTAGTCCTTAACTAGGGTTCTTTTTGAGTATCATTTGGAAAAATATGAAAACAATTTGTGTGGAACTATAAAGGATGGGGAGCACCTTGACATTCCGTTAACTGTCTTTGAAAACTTTTTAGCAAAATCATCAAAACGTTTGCTTCTTTTGAATTTTAGGAAAGATAGCAAAAGTTTGACGAATTTTCTAAAAGTTGCCAGAGAGATTTGGCCGAATGGGAAACAATATCTCACCTTCATTGTGCCCGAAATGGATGGCCCCAGCAATGGCGTGAAAGTCTGAAAGTGTTGGGATTGCCCGCGAACGTCTTTTTTCTCAAAACTCACGTGTCAGAAAAGGGAGCAGCAGAAAGAGCGAATTCATGGTCGAATGACCGTCTGAAGTGAGCCCGCGAGTCGGCCGGTACTTACCGTACTCTCTGCGTCTGCCCGCCCCGAGAGAGTACCCCAGTAATTTGAGTGCGTGAACAGGATGTCTTCCGTCGATCGGCCTGCCTCCGTTCGTGTGCAAACACGTCCGCTTCCAAATAATTCCAGACACATAAATGGCGCATTCTAATATGTTTGATCAGAGTTTCGGGTCAATTGGAGTCACGCGCAGAGAGTGCGTCGGAGCGAGAGACGCAGACGGTCAACATCGAAGAAGCTGATGAGTGGCGGAAACAACCGAGTAACACACCATTGACAGGCAGGTGCTCTCGGGCAGAAACCGAGGGAGACGCAAGAAAGGAATGCGATTATTCACATAAAAAAGGAATGTATTTATCCGACGATATCAATCACCGGCGACCTCGGCCGAGCCCATCCGTACTTCGGTGTGTACAGTCCGCTCATGTTGCCGAAGGCGGTGAAATCGTAGTAGATGCCTCCGGAAGCCATCTTCTTCACGAATGTATTCGCGTGTCTCTTGAACATTTCCCAGTTTTCATAGGCCAATCTTGATATGTTCGGTTGAGCCGTATCTTCGATTTCTGCCATTGTCATGTTTTCTGAAGACGTCAACAATTTAGAAGCATACTCCCTCCGGTTAACTTACGTATGGTACTGCGTATGTTCCGCATCTGACTCCTCAGATAGCTGTAGATCATTACGATGTCCTGCGACGCATCCCATTCCCCGACGAGTCCGCGCATGTCGAACTGAAATTGGGAAAATTGGAGCTGAAGCCTTCCCTCTCCACTCACGTCTCCGTTCTTTCCAAGACTAGGATGGAACATCATTGTGTGGAACTTCACCTTCGGCACGTCATTCACCTTGGCTGTGTCGAAAGTGAGCTCAATGAAGAAGAGGCCTCCCTGATAGATCGAGTCGTCAGGAGCCTCCATAACAACGTCCCAAGTCACGCTTTCGGGGATCGGATCGTCCGGATTCAGCCGTTTCGGCAAAGGTTTCATCGCTTCTTTCTGAAAATCCACACTTCCGAACAGATTCTCCGTCCCTTTTTACCCGTGGATATAAAGTGCATTTGTGAACTCTCTTTCCGATAAATTTCTCATTTCTTTTCACAAACTGGCTCCACACCATCTCCCGTTTCAACTTCTCGTTCGCTTTCGCCCTCTCCGCCGCGTCCGCCGGATCCTCAAAGTTCGCACTGCGAATCGAAAAGACGCCCGTGGATTTGGCGGCCGCTTCCGTCAGTTGCGCAGCGGATAATTTGAACGACGGCAGGATGACAGTCCGCATCGCTTCCGGCTCCATTCGGCCGAGCTCCTCCAGGGAAACATCGTTCGGAACTCTGAAATGGACCGTCCATTTTATTTCGTTCTCTTCATTTTATCGTACATTCTTCTTCCCCGCGGCTCCGAATATTCCGGAAGTGGTTCCCTTCTCGGAACCTCCGACGGACGAAGGATCCTGACTTCATTCCGGGGCGCCTCATCTGGAGGCAGATTGGTCGGACGGCGACGACGAACGGCTGAAATGCGGAGAGCCTGATTTAGGATAATCTGGAGATGTGCATACTTCTTGCCGGCTGACGGCCAACCGGTGGAATCGCGTTGTTTTGAGGCCGTCCCTCCGGCATCTGAAATCTAATTGAGGAATACAGAAACAGAATCACAAGAACGGTACTAGTCTCCGATAAAACGCGAATTAGACTAACAGAAACTTTATAATTTATCGTATTTATATGAAATGAAGGATGCCGTATAATAATAAATATAAGTTGGATAAAAAGCTGAAAAAGTACTAAAAAGGAGTGCGAGGAGCTTGTAGATAAGATTGAAAGATTCGAGAAGCAATATATAAACGGACGGTGGTGAATTAGGTTGGAGTACGTTGAATCTGGATTGGAAACGGGGGTATTTGGGGGCAACATGGGGAAGGGCTTGTTTTGACTGCAATTGGGAGACAATTATCGTGACGATTCCGATTCCGGACACAGAAAAGCATTTGGGTTTGTGCAAGCTCAATCACTGGCTGTAAGCGACCCTCGGAAGTCGCAAAATACTCATCAAGCATTAGTCAGAAATATACAAAAATGACGGTGAATAATAGAAAGTGGAAAGAGCACGACAACTTTCTGTCAGCACAAATTGAGTGGGGGAGACGAGAATGAGGAGTCCGATTGGCCACCAGAATGGGGGATAATCGGAAATGACGACGATCACAGGCGATAATTCAGATATAGGGCACACACACAACACGGTCGAACGGGGGGTGGACGGATCGGAGAAGAGAGGGGGAGGGAGGGGGGAGTGATGGGCGGTGCGTGCCTATTTACAGCAGGAGCCCTTCTGCTGCTGCTGCGGCTGGTTCATGTCGACAGTTCCCGCCGTCTCTCCTTGTGGCGGTCCGATCGGCAACTTCTTCGCGATAGCCATGAAGATATCACTCACGTTCATCGATGTCTGCGAACGAGAAGAATTACTTTTTCTTCAATAACTTTCAAAGAAATTAGATTACCTTGGCAGAAGTCTCCATGAACAGAAGGGCGTTGTCCTCGGCGTAGGCGTTCGCTTCCTCGTACTCAACAGTTCTTTTGTTGGCCACGTCGGCCTTGTTGCCGGCCAACGCCATTACAATGTTCGGCGACGCCTGCCGCTGCAGCTCCTTCACCCAGTTTTTGGCCTTTTGGAACGACTCCTGATTGGTGATGTCGTAGACGACAATGGCCGCCTGGGCTCCTCTGTAGTACATTGGCGCCAGGGAGTGGTATCTCTCCTGTCCAGCAGTGTCCCAGATCTCGAATTTGATCGTCGCGTCATCGAGGCACACCTGGGAAACATTTAATTTCCTTTAATTGAAATTTTCAGACAAAAGTGTTCTTTTTTACATTCCAAAATTTCTCATTGTATTTCTCGGTTTTCGATTTTTAAAACATACAGTTTGTGTGAGGAAAGCGGCTCCTATGGTCGACTCCTGATACTCGTGGAACTGCCCCTTGACGAACCGCAAAACGAGAGACGACTTTCCTGAAACGAGCGATTCTCTTCTGTCGACGTCACTTCGTATAAATTAGCTCCCTGTGTCAAATGACCTCACAATGATAAACAAACGACACAAAATATAAACGAATGAGCGTGTTCGACGTTTCTCACTGAGAACTACGCAAACTGGTAGAGCAAGTCCACGCGAGATATTTTCGTTCAAACAAAAATACCGATTTCATAATGATGTAGTGTTTGTTCAACCGTTTCAGTCGTTTTTCGTAACTCACCAACGGCACTTTCTCCGAGGAGAACGAGCTTGAACTGGCACGTCCTGTTGGGTCCTCCCGCGCGAGCGGCTCCAGTGTTTCGGGCGGCCATGTCTGCAGAATGCACTCAAATTGATGGGATAAACGAACGCAGAAGAACGAAATTTCGAGAGCATTTACACGAGAATCGATTAAGAATGCAAAAGGAAATGGAGGTTGCTAAGATATCCCGCGGGTCGGAAAGAGAGAAAAAGAAGAGGGAAGGGGAGCAATCAGGCGAAACATTTCGGTTATTGGACGAGAGCCGAACTAGGGCGACGCAGAGAGGGGTGACAAAGGAGTGTATCGATTGGAAAGTCTCATGAGGAAAGCGGCGGTTATGAAATTAGCCATTGCGGGTTTCGCCTGTTTCCACTCGTCTCCAGTCTCCTTATCCTTATCAATGCGCCTCATTCATCGGATTTCGTCGACAATGAATCGTTGGTATTCGTTTAGTTTATTCCCAACTTCTAATGTCTCAATTGGTCTGATAATGAAGCGTCAAAGCAGGGAATTCGGGATCAATCAATCCAGAAGCTTCCGGAGATGAACAATCGATGAAATGAAACATGAACTGTTTGCGCAACACGACATCACACACACGCAGATGACACACTCTCATCGAGCGGCCAATTTGACTGCGTACCTCCTGGGGTGGTGACGGCGCTTGGCTGAGTACACAACGTTTGTGTGGTGCCGCAGAGAAGCAGACGAAACAGAGAATGCATTTCTGCGCGCGTTTTCGAAAGAAGGTTTCGAACCGCGAACGCCGCAACAAAACGGGCGTAATATTTGAGAAACTGCCTTCTGAAAATGTTTTATTGTCATTGGCTGCGTGCACGTTAACTTTGTACTGCTCTAAATGGTCCGCTGAAAAAAATTAGCTCACTTTTAAATAATCCTTTTTGAAATAACGTCAGAACGCCAAACTTCTTGGAAAAATAACGAAAACTAAGGTCAATTGCCTCAATTACGGCGAACATTTGTGAACATGGTTTCAATTTCCCGCCTGTATTTTGTCGCTGCGTAGCGTCTTATTACCCGCGTGCAGAAGGAGTACGCTTTGCGATACGGAGCTATAAAACGGGCCCGAGCATGTTCACAAATGTTCGCCGTGTCAATTTTCTCAAAATTCACTGAAAGAAGGCAGATTCACGCCTCTTTCTATTGTCAGCTACCGTAATCTTCACTTTCCCTTCGAGACCGCAGACATAATTTCGTTAGTGCTCCTTTAACAAATAATTTTTTTGTGAGGTTGTCACGTTTTTCTTCTCGAATCAGGCTGTTTTTGAAAATGTTTGCTTCAGAAGCTAACAATCGAATATTGCAACGATGAAGCGCGTAGCCCTTCTAGCAGTAGGCTCGTTCAATCCACCAACAATTGCCCACCTACGGATGCTAGAGGTAACGTTAATCAAATGAAGGACGTTAATTACAAAAATATTGATTTAGGTTGCACGCTCTTATTTAGAAGGAATAAATACTCAAATTGTAGAAGGTATAATGAGTCCTGTAGCAGACGCGTACAATAACAAGGCGACACTAATCAGGGCAAGTCACAGGTAATAGCTATTTAAAAAAAGTGTAGGGGAGATTTTTCAGAATTGAAATGGTTCGTGCATCTACAAAAAGTTCCGATTGGATTCGAGCGGATGATTGGGAATGCTCTCGGTCGACATGGAGCCGCACTCTCGACGTGCTCGTGCATCATAAGGAGCAAGTGCAGGTGCAAAAACCAATCTCTCCCGAAATTACGATCATCTGATTCAGAAAAAGTTTGGTTCCGATGTTGGATTGATGCTCGTTGTGGGCGGCGACGTAGTCGATTCGTTTCCCCGGGTCTTGCCGGACGGTTCGAATCTCTGGAATGTACGTGACATTCTTCGGATCATCACGGAATTCGGATTGATTGTTCTGAAAAGAGACGGATCTCGTCCTCTCGACACTGTCCGATCGATCGACGCTCTCGCCGAACACGCCAACAGAATAATCTTCGTCCAGGATGACGTATGTCCGAGTGGAGTGAGCTCAACACGTCTTCGGGCAGCCATCGCAGCGAATCGGTCAATCAAATACGCGACTCCGGACGATGTGATTACTTATATCAAAGAAAACCAACTCTACAAATCTTGACTATTAATTATATCCCCTTTCCGTTGTAAATTTCGATTCGATTAAAACCTCTTCTCAAGCGGGTGAACACAAAATTTTCGGGTAAATACATGTTCGTGAATACGAGGCTTTCATCAAATCTGTGAATGAATTGTCAATCTGTTTATAATATTTTCATTCCAAATTTAGTCCTTGATCAATAAAACGTTGTTTCCTTCTAAAAATCGTTCATAGTTCGGCCTCTCGTCGACGGCTATTTTGGGAATGAAACAGCGGTATCAACAACCTGTTCGGCACGAAAAGTATCTCTTTTGATTGGTGGGCAGAACATTCGAAACGACTCTTTGACAAGTCCACTCCAAATGCGAACCCCGCCCACTTTTGCCCGGTGTCCGTCTCATCTTTTGCTCCTTTCCAAAACAATTCGAAATTTTGCCTATAACAAATCGACAATTTCACGGCTCCGCGAGCCGCGAGCATTCCCCTGTGTGCACTCGGGACGGCCGCAAACTCTTCTTTCAAAACCGACAAGAACAACCAGTTTTTTAGTCGCCTTTTTGAAAACATCTTCGGCAATATGTCTCCAAATGCATAGTTTCAGATGCAAAAAGGAACAGTGTCGATTTCTGCAATTCCACGGGTTATCATCACGCCGGCAGGTTAGTCTATCAATCGGCTGACTCGAATAAATCACACGTGTCATCTGACCTCCTGGCTGATCGGGCACCAACAAAACTGAAGGAACGGGCGTGCCTCTGCCCCATTTCAATCAGCTTCTTTATTTGCTTTGTGTTTTTTTTTTCAAATGTTCTTCGTGCATCTTCCTCTCAATAGGGAAATTCGATATTTATCAAATTGAATCGCAAAAATGCCGAAGATGTCTTAAATTCACAAACGCTTTGAATCCTTTTTACCGAGACTTTGCAAGTGCGCTCCATTGCAAATACCAACTGGCGCCAAGTTCGAAAACAGTTTTTATGAGATACAAACGCTTTGGTTTATCCTTAAATTTTCTAAAGTTTTCAGTGTTCTAATATAAAATTGTGCCAGACTTTTCGGGAGGATTTTTCTCTTATCCTTTTCCGAATTTTTCTTCTATTATCCGCGGTCATATCTGTTCTGTACCCACTTGAACAGCAATCTCTGATGCGTTGAGCCTATCCGTCAGCTCTTCCCTTCTCGCATTGTTCCTCAATTCGAACTCGATGTTGTGTCCCCAGTCTTCCCCTCTCTCGCGCTCTCTCTCTCTCTCTTTCTTACTCATCAATGATTTACAATGGTCTCCTCTTGGTGCAAATTCAAAGTGAGATAAATAGTTAGACCCGGCGCGAGTGTAAAAGTGACATGTAGTGGCGGGCCCGATGAATGATCGGATGTTGCCGGTGGAGAATGACCCTTCTTATTCATATCGGAGCCCATCTCTCTCTATCTCTCCCTCTCTCTGCTTCTCCTACGACTGTTTACGTATCATGTGTGGGGGGAGCAGGTTGTAAGTGCGTTCTTGAGTCGACGCTCCCCCGTCTATCTCTCTCCGCTCTCAGCCATTTTTGTGGAAACACGGCAGCGCCCGGTCGGTTCAGCCTAGAACACGACCGTGTTGACACAAAAAGAATCACTTTTTCACTTCGTGTGTGTGTGTGTCGTTAGTACAATTCTAGAGTCGTCTCTTCTGAATCAGTTAGCTTTTGTTTATTCTCTTGTTCTTTGCCCACAAACTCCTCTCCTCATTTTCTCACTTCTCACAACAGTTGTCCTTCCGCCGTCTTGTCCCTTCCATTCGCTCGTCGTCGCTTTTTAGACTCCGGCTGCGCCCTCCCTCCGATCCTCATTAATTCGGTCCATCGTCGTCGTGTTCAACTCGAAACACATTGTCCTGTTCAGTCGGAGTGGAAGAGACGCAGAGAGATGTTTGAGCCGACCAGTCACTCCTTGCATTTTCTCTTCTCCTCGACCGCCATTTCGATATTTGTTGTAAAGTTTTCTCTTCAAGAAAAGCAGGATCTGTGTTTTTCTGCTCTCCGAACTCATCACACTCAGTTTTCAGCCGTCAGAAAGTTTGCGAGTATTTAAAAGTGAAGACGCGGTGTATTTTGCACCGACAGAGACGCTCTAATTTAGAATGCATCGTCTATTCGATTAGAGCGCATGAAAAGAAACGGGGAACTGAGGTCCGTGAATATGGTTCTTTCGGACCCTATTCTCTTAATAGTCGAGATTTGATTATCGTCCATTCATTCGATTCTTCTCGGAAGAAAACATCTTACAGTTGACATTAATTCCAAATGAAAACAAATACTGTCTTTCATAACATACAGTAACTCAATTGAATTTCAATTTGTCTTGCTCTTAACTGGTCAGATGTCACCTGTGTTTGCCAATCCGATGAGTCAACCCTCTTTGAAATCTTTGTTGACTTCGTCGCTGACGACGTTCTCGTCTTCATTAACATTCAATTCCTTTCGGCTCATCGTCTATTCTGCACTTTCATTCATCGCTTTTTCATTTTCACCTTCGCTCTTCACAAGCCCAGTTTCCGCGTTCGAACCAACACAAACAACGTGCCACGTCATGTAGCCCGAGGCGATTTTGAAGCTTAATTTGTGTGCGCGCACGCGGTAGAAGCCCGCACCCATGTTCGCACCTAAACACTTCCAGAGATCGGGCGACACGGAGAGCCGTGCAATTCAATTTGCCGTCGCCTCATCTGTGAAGACTCATCTGACGGCCAAGAAGATGGAGACAATCGGCCGTCTCCGTCTTCTCGCTTCTTCCGTACTCGTGATACTCGCTCATTGCCGCCTTCTTTGTCACTTTTTCCTTTTCTTCTTCTTCTTCTTCTCCTTCTTCACGGTTATTCCAGAATCTGAATACTTTCTTTTCTTCTTCATCGTCTTCTTCATTCTCTCTGTCTCTAAAAGATGTTATCTTGTTCCTTTTCGACCTCTCGATTCATTTACATTCGTTCCTTTTCTTCCTTCTTCTCTCCCCGCCTTGATTCTTCATTTCTGCTCTGTCATCCATCCTTTTGGCACATGTCGTCCTTTCCCTCCTGTCCGCCTTCCCAGATTCAAAACGAGTCAGCTGCGTGTCCTTTCTCCGTCTGCGCCTTTCCAATCGCTCATTCCCTCGCAACCACACAGTCCCTTTTTGTCCTCATTCTGTTCGAAATTCAACATCCTTTTCGTGTTTTAATTGCTCCGACGACATGTTCTCTTCTCAATTTTCCTATCCTCCAATGCAAATTCACTTTCTAGAAACTCAACAGCAACATCCGAAATGCATGCCCGTTTTTATTGTTTATTTTATTGTTCCATTCCCCCGTCCCGATTATCCGCACCCGCTTCTCCCCTCCAATTCCCCCCTCTTTTTTGTCCACTCTTCCACCCTCACAATCGGTTGCCGTCGATGCGGAAAATGATTAGGAAGTCCTGCTTGTTTGTACCTCTTTCCGCCGCCATTGTTCCATCTTTTCTTCTGATGTTTTGGCTCCTTGAATTCTTCGTTCGTCCAACAATTCGAAATTCGATCCTCCGTGTTTTCGGGTCTCCCGTATGAATTGTAGGGGACTCACCTTTTGAGCTTCACGCTGAGAGCACGCGATTGTACAGAAGCCCCACTTGGTCTCCGTCTTTATCGTTCCTCGTTCTGTGCAGCCATTTTCGCTTCTCTTGTTGGTCCGAGACACTCGCCTAATCCGTGGGACTTTTTCCTCAGCTTTTCTTAATTTGCGTTTTTTTTTCATTCTTCTAATTGAGTGCTCACTTGCATCTGCATCTCTGACTCATCTGATGATTTCCGACTTTCTAGGCCAATTAGAATTTTTGTGTTGACGTCTTCGTAGGTATGTGTTTGCCTATCGCAACACGGTGTTTCCCACTTTATCCTCTGTCTGCGTTTTTATCTATTTTCGTGACGTGTATCAGCAGAAGTGTCGGAAAACGACATTTCTCGGCGCATGGGTCTCCGCCATGACGGATAAGTGTCCATAAAAATTGCAATTCGCAATTTATCATATTGACGGCGAATGGATGCGACGGCGCTAAAATGTACATTCTCTTCCTGCATCTGATTGGCTCTGAAACACTTTGAAGCAAAGAAAGCAGGAAGGGAAACGAGACGAAGACTCCGGAAGGAGGGCCCTTCAGACTGCCGAAGAGGACTTCAGAAATAGCAGAGTGGGAGAGTAGTATTGGAGAGCGATATGCTCTCACAAACCTATCCATCATTCGTCGGAACCCTGTTTTTATCCCGATCTGACCGGTATCTGATGTTTTTCACACGTTTTTCACTCACTGTTTGCACTTCTCCTCCTGACACGAACACTGTGTTTTGGTTGGCGCGACGCTTGTTTGTCGGCAGGCAGTACTACAGACAGTGCTCTTCTCAAAACAACGCTTCCATCCCATCCACCGCCTTCCCCATTTCAGTCCGTGTTCTTGGTCTCTTCGGAGTCCCTCCGATTCTGCCCGCTAATAGAGTTAACACACGCGTTTTTGCGCACAACGCGCTGCGAATCTTGGCCGTTTCCGCCGTGCTTCTTCCTTTTTTCTTCCTCCTCCTTCTCGGGCATCTTCTTCTTCTCGCTCTTCTGCCAGTTTCGCATAATTAATGGAAACGAAGAAGGAACCTCGTTTACATGTCGCAAAGATTCAGTGTGATTGCCATCATTATACACTCTCGCCCACTGCCTTCATAAAGTAGACTTGTCCGTTTTTTGTCTTTTTTGTTGCAAAAGCTTTTTCTGCTGCTGGCATGTTCTGTCAAAGGCTAAGCAGAAATTGAAATCTCAAATTCATGAAAGAGCGCAAAGTTTGAAAAAGTGTTGCCTGTGACAGAAAGTCGTCCGCGAGAAAGATTGGTTTTCAAATTTCCGCTCAAAGCTCAATGGGCGTCTATGTTCTCGGAAGTGCCCTTTTCGCTTCCCGTTTCTTAATTTCCGGCATATTTCCAATCGAAAGTCTCATCATAATCGTGATCTTTCCCCCTCACAGATTACCGTTATTGCCTTCCGCCTGCCCAGGTCTCCTTCTCTAATTGGTCTGCTGTCTTCTGAAGCTTTCCGTTTCTCGTTGCACTTTCCGTCCTCACCTTTCCGCCAATTTGAATAATGCCTTTCTATCGCTCTGGTCTCTATTCGGTCTCTTTCTCTTGCATAAAAACAATTGTTCATCAGTCATCAGTTTCGTCAATCCTCTTTTGCCCGAATCAATTATGCTTGCTGCGGCCGCTGATTCATGTGGGTGATAGTATGCTAATGGCGTCAGAAAGTTCGCATTCCCATCAGCCGCAGAACCGGCCATTCGCTTGTTTTCGTTCCCTCTGAAAATGTGTATTTCCTGGCTATTCCGTCCGCTTTCCACTTGCTTCAGTAGAGGTTATCCATTTTATCCCAATGAATATTCCTGTATGAATCTTGATAATTTCAGATCACGACAAGCCGTCCAATTCGCCGACGGACGGGCCTGAAGATCTCGCTTTCGGCCAATCTACCTCTTCCAATTATCGTATGCTGACCGATTTATTCAATTAGTCAAAGAAACGCTTTCAGAAATGACTTCAAATGAAGATGTGAGCAGACACGGAACAAAAGTGAAGAAGAGCACAGTGGGAGACGCCACGTCGACGAACGGAAAGAACAAAACGGGCGGTCGGTCACCACGTAAAACCATTTCGTTCGTCTCTTCCAAGTTCTGGTTACGACTCGTTCGTCCGTGGAAATGGAGGAATCTCAGGCGGAAAGTCAGAAGGTTGGTTCCGGAGCGCAGCCAATCAATACGCTCTTCCGAAAGATTGTTCAGAAGCGACAGTGAACGATCTTCCTCGCACAACCGAGTGAATTCGGTTTCCAACTTCCCGACGACGTCTCCGTCTCTTCCAGAATTGTCATCGATTGTCAGAGACGATATTGCAGATGTGGCCGCCGGCGCAGGTGAGGCTTTGATCACAAAATTTCGAAAAAGCCCCCAAGTTTTGAATTCCACCCCCGACAATACAGAGAGCGTGGTCCGTGGAGAGACGCAGACTATCGGCGACTATTTGCTCGGAGACGCCACTTGAACGATGGTGTGAACCTCACAAAAAACAGTTTCCGCCGGAAGTTGTGCACGTTATTCGTCCTCTTCTCGTCCGCGCTCTTCTCTTATCTCTTGTTCTCTTTGCTCAGCCAGACTCCGCCACGGGTTATCAGTTTCTTTTCTTCACAGAGCACAAAGATGCTCGCGATATCTCGTGCTTTCGTGAGCCGCTGCCTCTGCTGCAGCTTCGCATTGTTCCCCGAGCAACAGTTGTTATTGCAGACAACTCGGAAGCGATCACCTACCGACCCGCCACCTCCGCCTCGAACTTTTCCGAAACGTGAGTATTTCTCTATGATTTATGAGCATTTGGTGTACAACATGTAACACTGATATCCTGCTTTTTTCATTCTTGTTTCATTAGTTTCCTCACAAAATGGCTCAATATCTAAGTCGATATCTCATTCATCACTTTATTACCACGTGATTTCGAAGGTTTGTTATTGCAGTTCTCAGCCGCAGCCGTTGATCGTCGATCCCTCCCGCGTGGCGCTCGTTCGGACTCGTCTTCAAGACTCCGCCGAGCTTGCCACTTCCTCATCATCCTCCATTCCTCAACGGGTTCAATTTGTGCATTCATCTTCTGCAAATAATTCGGCAGTTTTCAACGCTCCGCCTCCTCCAGCTCTGATCATCCAGCCACCGAACGATCGGGATTCGGACGAAGAGAATATCAATTACGATCAGAGCACAGAGAGTGAGCACGAAGAAGAAGAGGGAGAGAGTATGCGTGCTGCCGCGAGAAGAGGAGAACTTAGCCCGCAGACGTCCCGAATGCTCAAGGAAGGCTACCGTCGCATCGAGGCGAAGGAGCCGAACTTCACCGCGCAGCCGGATAAACCGGTCCTCCGCAAGCCGGGCCAGCCATCGAGACTGCGACTAAACGGGAAGACGGGCCGTTCGTCGAAGGAAGAAGGCGACAGCAGTCCGTTGCCTTCAAAACTGACGGACGATAGCGACAGCGATGCTCCGATTCAGTACAGGGACGAGCCGATGAGTGCTGCTGCCGCCGCCGCACGGAGAGCCGCCAATGTGGCACCTCCGACGTCTTCATCAAATACAGATGATGAGGAAGAGGAAGACGTTCCGATTCAGAAAAGTGAGTGGGAAGGGGAACAATTTAGAAAGTGCAGGTGATTTGATTCTTCAGACGGTCTGGCTTCAAAAGTGGCCAGAAGAGATACGATTGCGTTGAAGTTGGATGCTCCGCCGTGTAAGGATGACATAAACGGGCAGACGGCCGACGATCGGAAGAAGCTCATGAAGACGGCGTCAATCAAATTGGCACGGTAAGCTGGATTCAGATTATCCTCGCAACGAAAGAGTCAGTTTTTATAGAAAATTGAGCGAACGTCCGACGCCAGAAGAACTCGAAGATAGGAATATTTTGAGAAGACGTGGAATGACGACGTCTGAAGCGATGGAGGAAAAACGAAAATTACTTCTCAGAAAGGTAGGCGTTCATTAAATTGGCAAATGAATGAAATGATCCGTTTCAGCTGAGTTTCCGACCGACAATTATGCAGCTCAAAGAGCAGCAGATAATTCAATTCAACGATTACGTCGAAGTGACACAGGCAGAGGTCTACGACCGTAAAACGGACAAACCGTGGACCCGCCTGACGCCTTCCGACAAGGCGATGATCCGGAAGGAACTGAACGACTTCAAGGCGACCGAAATGGATGTGCACGAGGAGAGCCGTGTATTCACAAGGTATTTCCCACTGTTCGGTCCGTTTCCGCTCGAGACCCAAATTGTTGCAGATTCCACCGATGAGGTCACAAAACTACAGTATCTCCGTTCTCTCTCACCCCATTTTCCTGTTTGAATAATATTTCAAAAGTATCAAAATCTCTCTTTCTCTCTCTCTGGGCATATTTGTTTCTCTTTCCTTTTATTTTCAGTTCTCTTTCTCTCTGATTTTCTCATCATGTGAAAAGCAAACGTAGATCACTTAATTCTGCTAGCCGGTTGACACTTCGCGAGAGAAGAATTCACACATTGTATTATACTAATCGCTTCCGATTGTACCCCCGTAAATGAACACATTTTCATGATTTTAACTCATCGATTGGCACATGATTTATTCATTCACAAGATGTTTAACCTACAGTCTGTTGATGATTGTGAAGGAAAAGCAGAGAAGACATGTGATCTATGACGGAAGGGTAGAACAGAAGAGATTGATGTAACATGAGGGGGTGTTAGTGAACAATATTTAACGCCTACATTGGCGAATTTCCGTTATTAACCTCAACAACAAAAACTGAAGCCTGGAGATTGAGTACTGCCACGCCGGGAAAAATAGAAATCTGATAAATATCTGAATCTGGAATGCAATTTAAAGCTCTCTTTGGGGGAAATGACATTCACATGAGGGGCTGTAGGGGATGACGATACACATGAGGATATTACAAGATACTTATGTATATGGGTAATTACAAAAGCTTCATGAGCACCGGCATCACTTGTATTTGGCTCTCGATTTCGTCTCGAATGTCGGAAAAACGACCGCCACGCGACCGCAGTTCGTCGATATTTCTCTGATGCCAGTCCCAGCACCGCTCGAAGAGAAAACGCCGCTGAGCTGGCTTGAGGCCCGATTTGATGTTGTCCATGACACACTCCATCACTCCCAGCACATCCATTCCCCATCGATGAAGCAACTGAAACAGTTGAATTCAATGAGGAAAGACGGGAAGAACAATGGTTACCATCTTCATAGTGCATATCATGTCTCCTGCTTCGTCCTCATGACTTCTATGCATTCGAGCAATAACTCCGATGGGAACGAGCTCCGGCTCGAGCACTTGAAGTGAAACAAATGTGTTCATCGACCATGGACTCGGATACGCTGGAAAACGGTGCTCATCCTTTTGATCTATTCTCAAACTCTTACTTGTAACTTCTTCCATCAGATTGAATATGGTGTTCTTTGTCCACGGCGCCGCATTTTTCAGGTTTCTGCATAATAGGAGAGCATGCAGCGCCTTTGAAAGAGGCTTCAGCTCCTGAGCATCTTCCAGACTATTGACGGATATTTGCGAGAACCGGTGCCAATGAATCACTTCTGAACAAGATATGCTTAAAAAAAGCCCTGTTAGAAAACAAACCGATTTGCTCATGAAAAATTGTTGGTGCAAAGAGGAGGTAGAAAAGAGGAGTTGGCAGAGAGCCGTGTATATTCTTGAACACTTTCATCAATCCACCGAGGAAAAACTTGTTGACACCGTCAGAAGGATTCAAGGAGCCGTTGCTCAAGAATAGTGAGAGAGTCGTGTTCCTGATCTGCAAAATAACATGAGATTACTGTTCCTGTAATCTTACAACTTGCCTTCATTTCTGTGTGTAGCATGTCCAGATTGTACCCAATCAACTCACGCTCATTGTCGGCTCTCGTGATGACACAGTTCAAGTCTTCCTTCAGATTTTCAAAAACTGAGAAGCCCATTGAAATTATATCATCGACGTATTCCAAAGAGATATCTTCATCGGGACGAAGAGTGAACTGCATAAATTTTAGAAATTACAAAACAGGCCTGGGCGGATTAGAAAAGCGCTTGAAGCAGAGAAAAAATTTGATCAACGCAAAAGTCTGGGGGCGAGGGAAATCCCATTTGCGCTGTAGAAGAGAGAGACGCAGAGGAAAAAGATAAAGGCGCATAGAAATAAGTTTCACGCATTGCGCCTTTAACTGTCTACCGTTTCTTCTACCGCGCAAATTGTATTTCCATCGTCCCTCGTTTTTTTGCAAAGCCATTTCTCAGGCAGCGGGAAGCAGATCGCTCGCCCAGGCCCGTTACAGAAGCATTCGATCAGAACATTACCGCATGAATCATCCTGCCCAATCCACAAACGGGCGCTCCAGCTTCGTATGCTAACTTCATGAACGATTGAAGGCAGGAAAGTCTCGTATTCCAAGGATGTTTAAAAGACACTTTTCTAATCAAGACACCTGTAATTGGAAAAATTGTTTAGAAACTAGGTTTAAGCAAACCAATTGTATAGAAAGGATCCGTATGAAGTTGATCAAAATCCAGAACACCATCCGGTACTTCGGCGATGTCGGCGAGCCATCTAGCCCGAAATGAGCCGGTGTCAACATAAGAATGCAGAGTCTCCGTCCATACGTTCGATGTCATGGCCATAGATCCAAGAACATCATCTGCAAAACAAAAATAACGCATTGTTATCATATCGCCCTGATTACAGGGAGTTCTGCTCAAAACATGCAATACGGCATCTCTCGGCAACGTTTCAAAGTTGCCAAACGGTTTCTCCAAAATGTGTGACAAACGTTTAGGGAGGGAAGCAAACGGCCCTGAAAAATGCGACTTTTTCACTGCATGTGCTTGGTTGTTACTTTGTTCTTCTAGCTGAACGTGTCGATAAGGATACATGGCGTCGGGAGAAGCGAAAGCAGGTCCGACGGACTGTTGCGTGCGCTGACGTTTCTGAACTCCGTGATCATCAGATGATTGGCCGGTGACTGAAACATGTTTAATTTTTTCTATTTTTATTAACCATTTCTACCTCGTTTTCTCAACGGAATTGATGGCTGCTCATCCTAGAAATTAGTTATTTGAGAATACTTACAGTGTTCAAAAACTCACTCTGGACGGTCGTTCCATGCTCCTCAGATTGTATATCCTTCGCGGAGTCGTTGACATCGTTTTTATCATTGCGTGCCCTGAAGAAGAGTACAAAACTTCCCCGAGGTTAACCGAATTTACAAAAAGCTTAAGAAGCGCCTACAACAATTCGAAAAATTCGAAGAGAAACAAAAAACACAAATTTAGGCGGGAATTTTGAAATGTTTCGAACTGATTACTACCGTAATCTTTTCTTGTCGTGGCAAGACCTAAATACAAAACTGTGCGCGCCTTTAATTTGTCATTGCATACTGTATTTTTTAAACATTCAATTTGTTTCCGGATTTCCGGTCGCCTTCATTTTCAGAAAAGTTTTTATCGCAAAGTCAGTAGTCATAATTAAGTCAATTTTTTTCAATTTCAAATAAATTTTCACTTTCGAGAGTCGATTCAGTTATTTTCAATCCTTTTTCACTGTGCTCTGTCCAACTTCGTCTGTTTTCTGTCAATTTTATTGTCTTTCCCTTTTTTTCCGTCCGCTCATTTAATTTTCCTGCCTCTTATTCGGTCGTGGCCGCGTACTCGACAGCCGTTGCACTTGCTAGGCCATTGCACGCGATTTTTTATTTTTTTCTTCCTAAATCAACCGTCTTATAAAATCGCTATAAGTTTCTTATCAAAAATCAGTAATGCAAAGAATATTTAAAAATTTATCTCAGTCTGGGCGTTTTTGTTTTTAAGTTTTTAATATGAAATCCTTCAGAAATAGCCAAATTTTAACTTTCAGGCAATGGACTGTGACATTGCCTCTTATCATGTGGAATCATTCGATTTTCTTGTCACTTCGGGTTGCCAGTATGCCGCACAAGCTATTCCTGCCGAAAAATTCCGGTTGAAAAACGGAGACGCCGTCACGATGAAGTTCACTTCTGCTCAGCTCCACAAGCCAACTCTCGACAGTGGAGTAAGCGAAAGTTTAAGAAGACAGCGTCGACGATTACTATTTTGCAGGCAAACCTAACAAGTGACACACTTCCAATGTTTCCGGCCGAATGCCGACAACGTGGATTGACTTACGCCGGAAATCTGAAAGTAGGAATCGATGTGCATGTGAATGGGAGTCGATTGGATATCATCGAGACGATTCTCGGAAAAGTATCTGAATGAAAACTGAAAATATTGATTTAAAGTGAGTTCAGGTGCCAATTATGCTCCGCTCGGAAGGATGTCATTTGCGTGGAATGTCCAGAAAAGAATTAGTGGCTGCGGGCGAAGAACCGATTGAGAAAGGAGGATATTTTATTGTAAATGGATCCGAAAAGGTCATCAGATTGTTGATTGCCAACCGGAGAAACTTTCCGATCGCCATCATCCGAAAGACGTTCAAAGAGAAGGGAAAACTGTTCTCGGAGTTCGGAGTTATGATGAGAAGTGTGAAAGAGAACCACACGGCCGTGATGATGACTCTCCACTATCTGGACACGGGAACCATGCAGCTGGCTCTCCAGTTCCGTCGCGAGATCTTCTACGTCCCTCTCATGTACATCGTGAAGGCTTTGACTGACAAAAACGATGCCGTCATCTCCGCTGAGTTCAAAAGAGGCCGAAAGGGCGATCAATTCTTCGCTTCCTGTATTCTCAACATGTTGGCACAGTGTCAAGAAGAAGGAATTCTACACCAAGAGGCTGCAATTCGGGCCATCGGATCCCGCTTCCGTGTTGCAGTTTCGGATAGAGTTGCTCCATGGGAAGATGACCTCGAAGCAGGAAGATTCATTATTCGGGAGTGCGTGCTTGTCCATCTGGAGAACGACGAGGAGAAGTTCTACACTCTGGCCTATATGACTCAGAAATTAATCGCCCTGGTAAAAGGAGAATGTGCTCCCGAGACTCCGGATAACCCACAGTTTCAAGAGGCCTCCATCTCCGGACACATCATGCTGCTGATCCTTCGTGAACGAATGGAAAATATCATCGGAATGGTCCGTCGAAAATTGGAGTTTATGTCGTCAAGAAAGGATTTCATTCTAACATCGTAAGGGAACCCTATACAGTGTCGTTCAATCAGTATTATTTTCAGAGCTTCGATTCTGAAAGCACTGGGAAACCACTCTGGAGGAGAGGTCACTCGTGGAATGGCCTACTTCTTGGCCACAGGAAACTTGGTCACTCGTGTCGGATTGGCTTTACAGCAAGAGTCCGGCTTCTCGGTTATCGCCGAAAGAATCAATCAACTCCGATTCGTCTCCCACTTCCGAGCTATCCATAGAGGAGCCTTCTTCATGGAAATGCGAACCACCGATGTCCGCAAACTCCGCCCAGAAGCGTGGGGTTTCATTTGCCCCGTCCACACTCCTGACGGTGCTCCGTGCGGTCTTCTGAATCACGTAACTGCTTCTTGCCGCATTGTCACTCATCTCACCGACAATTCTAACGTGCCCGCGATGCTCGCCGAACTCGGAATGTACACACACAAGACGGTTTCTCTGGCTCCGCCCAATGAAGAGCTGTATCCAGTCTTGATGGACGGAAGATTCATCGGATATGTACCAATCGCAAAAGCTGCTTCGATCGAAAGATATCTGAGATGCGCCAAAGTGGCCAAGGATGCCAGAATTCCGTACACTTCGGAAGTGGCCCTCGTCCGCAGGTCCACTGACATCAAGAACATCCAAACGCAGTACCCGGGAGTCTACATTCTCAGCGATCCGGGTCGTCTGATCCGTCCCGTCCGGAACTTGGCCATGGACGCCGTCGAACACGTTGGAACGTTCGAGCAGGTGTATCTGTCGATTGTTCTGGATCCAGAAGAGGCCGAACCGGGAATTACGATGCATCAGGAACTTCACCCGTCTTGTCTCTTCTCCTTTGCCGGAAATCTCATTCCGTTCCCGGATCACAATCAATCTCCCCGGTATCCAATACCTTTTTATTTTTTTGAAACGCAGCTTTTTTCAGCAACGTGTACCAATGTCAGATGGGTAAACAGACGATGGGAACGGCCGTCCATGCGTGGCACGCAAGAGCAGATAACAAAATGTACAGACTGCAGTTTCCGCAGCAGCCACTGCTCAAATTGGAAGCCTACGAGAAGTATCAAATGGACGAGTACCCGCTCGGAACGAATGCTTGTGTGGCTGTCATTTCCTACACGGGATACGACATGGAAGACGCGATGACCATCAACAAAGCATCCTATCAACGTGGATTCGCGCACGGAACAGTCATCAAAGTGGAAAGAATCAATCTGGTGACCGACAGAGAACGGAAAACGATTTTCCATAAAAATTCTCGAGAGGAAATCAAGACGGTCGGAGCGGACGGTCTGCCGATTCCTGGACGACGATACTTCTTGGATGAGGTCTATTACGTCACCTACAACATGGAAACCGGCGACTACAAAACGCACAAGTTTCACTATGCGGAGCCGGCCTATTGTGGTCTCGTGAGAATTGTCCAGCAGGGAGAAGGGGATTCTGGAGCGAAACACGCGCTCATTCAGTGGAGAATCGAAAGAAATCCCATTATTGGTGATAAATTCGCTTCTCGACACGGACAAAAGGGAATCAACTCGTTCCTGTGGCCCGTTGAGTCACTGCCCTTCTCGGAAACCGGAATGGTTCCGGACATTATCTTCAATCCTCACGGATTCCCATCTCGAATGACAATCGGAATGATGATCGAAAGTATGGCTGGAAAGGCGGCTGCCACGCACGGAGAGAACTACGATGCGTCGCCGTTCGTTTTCAAGTGAGTTTGGAAAAGAAGGCACCTGTGGAAACAATTTTTCAGTGAGAAGAACACGGCGATCAATCACTTCGGAGAATTGCTCACTAAAGCAGGATACAACTACTACGGCAATGAAACGTTCTATTCGGGAGTGGACGGACGCCAGATGGAGGTCCGTTTGTTTTTTTTTCTCGAAAACCGTTTGAATACGCTCTCCGTTCAGATGCAAATCTTCTTCGGAATTGTCTATTACCAGCGCCTTCGTCACATGATTGCTGATAAATTCCAAGTGCGAGCTACTGGTCCTATCGATCCAATCACTCATCAACCAGTGAAAGGACGCAAGAAGGGAGGAGGTATTCGATTCGGAGAAATGGAAAGAGACGCCATCATTGCTCACGGAACGTCGTTTGTTCTCCAGGTAACCTCACTTCCAACTGTTTTCTTGTCGAGCTTCCCATTTCTTCCAGGATCGTCTGTTGAACTGTTCCGATCGTGATGTGGCATACGCGTGTAGAAGGTGCGGTTCTCTGCTCTCTGTGCTCATGTCCAGCAGACCAGGAGCCCATTTGCTTAAGAAAAAACGGAAAGACGACGAACCGATCGACTACACGGAAACGCAGAGATGTCGGACGTGTATGCAAGACGATCAGGTCTTCCTTCTCCAAGTGCCACGTGTCTTCCGGTATCTGACCGCCGAATTGGCGGCGATGAACGTGAAGATCAAGCTAGGAATCGAGCATCCGTCGAAGATCACCGGAAGCTGATTCGCTCCACATTAGATTCTCATTTTTCTTTTTTTTATCGTTATACGTTACTCGCTTTTTGTAGAATCGTTCTTTCCGTTATTTTCTGTTTTTGTTTGTTATCACATTGTTGTTCGAACTACTCTGTTGATTTTTAAATTGTTACTCTCCCACTCGTTTCCTTTCATGAATTTGCTAAATCTGATAGGTGTTGGCACGAAGCCTCGGCCATTTCCCCACAAATCCCATTAGTTTGCTGTCGTCTCGGGTGGTTTGTGTGCCCTGTCGCGCACTCTCTGCTCCCTCTAGTCAGTGCTCTTTCTCGAGTAAGCCCCCCGACGACCATGTTCCTCCCCTCACTTTTTCCTTTTTGCTCTCCTCTATGAGTCTATGACGTGGCAAGTACGGAGAGCATCCCCCATTCGCCCCTCGTGGGTCCCGTTTTCACCTTCATTTTGCGGTTCTCGACTTTTCCTTTGCAAACTGCACGGAAAAAAACGCACAACCGCGTGGAACGACACGCCGTTTCGCAGTGTAAAATGATGTCAGTTCAGGGCGGAAACGGCCGTAATTCGAGATGAAGCCAGCGGTTTCCACGGAGAGAGTTGCCACGTCATTACTCGGAGATCATTGGAAGAAAAGAGCTCAACTGGATGATGCAAACGAACGAGGAAGCCTCCAGCAGTTTTCGCGTCCTTCACGGCCATCTGCACCCCTCTCTTCCGTTCTCTTTCTCTCTTTTCAGGTTCCCACGGACGCGTTCGTTCCTCTTTTCCATTCAACTGATTCCCATTTGTGCAAAAGAGAACACAAACACGGGCGGTTCGGATGGAAAATAAACGAGTTCCAGTCTCCAGAAGACGTCAACCTTTATGCTCTCTTCGCGCGCATTTCGCAATGCCTTTCCCTCTCTCTCTCTCTCTCTCTGATGACGTCACTCCCGGGGACCCCTTTGCATCATCCCCCGGTCCCTTTCCAGTTCCGTCTTTCCGTGACCGTGCTCCTGTGGTCACGTCCTTTATTGACTCATTTCTTCCGAATGAACCGCTTTCTCAGCGACCTTCTCAACTGTTGCGATCCAGACGAGAATCCGTGCTCTCGGTGTCTTCGCACGTCTTTTCCCTCACTAATTGCGCAATTTGCAGGAAAAAAGAAGTAGTCGAAGACGTCGTTTCGAGCAGCGGAGATAGTATGGCAACAGCGGCGGGACAACGGAGCAAGACGCCGCCGAAACACAGCAATCTTCTGAAGACGTTGAGCATCCAGAACTCGATCGACGTCTCCAATAATGAGATGGTTAGTGTTAAATTGGGTCGGAAGGCTCAGATTTCGAAAAAGTTATTTTGATTAGGCTTAGATCTCACTAGGAAGTGGTCAGGATGCAAATTCGGGGAGGTCTCTCTCATGTTCTCCATTTTTACAAAACTATTCTGCATCTTTCGAAAACCGCACTTAATCATTGATTTTCTGTAGAAATAAAAGTTCAGATGCGATTTTCGTGAGATCCAAATACATTTGGAATTCTGTGATCTTCCAAATCTGTCCCAGATAGTATTCTCAAAAATGCTTCGGATTAGCCTACAGACTATTTCTGCTCCGGGAGCGTGGGCGCACTAACAAACAAAGTGTTGTTTGGGACGGTTCCCCCCTTTTCTGACATCATTTTGACCCTCCCAAACACAGACAAATTCTTTGCCCTTCTGATTGTTTTTGCGTGTATAAGTACGAATAACTTTCTCCTTTTCCCGTTTAATGGCCATTTGCTTCTTAATGTCAACTGAGTCACTGTCCGACAAATAGTTTGTTCCTGTTCCGTTCCGTGTCTTTCTGAGCACGTTTTAAAGGAGAGTGATAACTGCAAATGGAATAAAATCAGCAGCAACAGGTGTGCTTCAACTCTGATAACATGCAGAGCGAAGAACAGAATCTTCATTGGTTAGTCATCTGATCACTGTTTGCTCAGCCCGTAACACATCCGCATCCTCATTTCTTTTCGTGGCCACCTCGTAGTACAGAACACACGGTCACAACATACTTTGTAGCTGCAGTGTGGTTTCTATCCCCATTTCTCACCGTCATCATCATCTACCGTACACCGCCTCTAATTCGTCTGATTCGGATTCATTTAAAAGTTGAGGCTATTTCTGTGTCAAATTGTTTATAAACTCGTGTGTTTTGGAAGACGATACACCTGATTGTTCTGTGAGTTTGGTGCAACTCTGCAAAAAGAGAGCAATGGAGGTAAGCAATCGAACGATCGAACCGATCATCCCATTCGAGAGTGTCGGCGGGTAACCGGTGCGAGTTTCTGAAAGGGAAACCCCCGAGAGAGAGAGAGAGAGTCCTTCCTTATCAGTCCCTGCGAATCCCTTTGTCCTGTCACCTGTTATCACTTTCCGATTGCTCCGAAGATCTTCGACCTCTTTCTCGTTCTCTCGCTCTCTAGCTTCCCTTCTCATGTTTCACTGCCTGGCACCACAGTCCTCTGCAGAGTTCCTGCCCCGATGATCCATAAACATTCGCCCATCATTCCCGCCACATTTCGGTTCCATACCTCGTGGTCTCCTTTTCAAATATTGACAGTAGCCCTGAGAGAGAAGAAGCTTCGCCACTAATACCGCGTACTTTGTTCCTCTGGAATGTCGTCCTTCGTCCAATTGCTTGTTTTGAGGGTGTCATTCACCAGAGAATGAACACGACACGTCACTTCTACAGTCACGTTTTGCGCCCGCCTCGTCGTCTGCGTTACCGACGTCTCCACACGCGGCGATGACGTGATAAGAACACACAGAAATCATCACGATACTATCTATCTAGGGGGCCCTTCTTATAGTGGCAAAGAGCGCGGCACGAAGTAGTCACTGTCTGACGACGGAGAACAATGAAAAGCGCACACGAGACGCTGATAACCATTTGTGTCTTTTGCAACACGTGGCGGCTGCTCGGACGATCCCCTGCACACCTGATTTCATCCCGCTTGATCTACGTGCAGCTCGCGCTCCTCCCTTGTTTTTCCCCGTTGCAACAGCCACTCTGCCACGTGGGCCGATCTCTCCGTTTCTCTGTTCTCTCCGACCCCGCCCACATTCGCCCACACCGCGGAATCCGCTCTAGTTTCGATGGTTCTTACTTTATGATGGCCGTTGTTTTCAATCTTCCACCACTCGCATGCCTTCATAAATCAGACCATCAGCCGAGAAAAATCAATTAAGCGATCAGTACGTCGAGTTCGTATAAAAGCGAGCCGCCACGCGGTTTTCCCTCATTGTTCTGTGCGTCGTTATCAGACGCCGCCGCCTCCGGACAATCAGATGCATAGTTCTCCATTCTTCCCGCGGCCGTCCGCCTATTCTTAGGGCCGGTTACCGAGTGTACTTTGCTATTGATACCCTCCTCCGTGTTAACATCTGCAAAACGAACAGCTCGCAAATATTTAAAGACCTGCCCACTCGCACCCGTCATTTTCATTTTGAACTCAAACTGGTTACGGTAGCCGAGGACATCGGCTTTAAATGTTTGCACCGCGCACTTATTACCAGCATGGCGGGGCGCTCAAATCGGAACAGAGATCAGTTTCTGTTTAGTTTGTCGTCTTTTCGATCTGGATGATCCTGAGGCTAATCAAAAAAAGCTCGCGTGTTTAAAGGCGCAAGTCAAACTTTCTCGGCAAGGTTTCGAAGCGATGATCTAAAAGTTACGGTAGACAGCATCGCCGCAGATTTTCCTTTGTTCATTCGATGTGCGCATCAATCAAAATTTCAAGTCACTCTCTCACATTTTTGAGGCGATTTTCGGCTGAAAACAGAGATAAAAACACGTTTGTGATCGGTTGAAAAGCTGAAATTCGGTACAAAAGCACGGAGTGACCGTCGTTTCCACGGTTCTCTTCTGCCCTCTTCCTCTCTCTTTCTCTCCGTTCCTCTTTCTTTCCGTTCGTTTCTCGTTTGCACGTTTTCACGTTTCATTTTAGAAAAGTCTAAAATGTCATCTGTTGTGTGTCACCCAATTCTCGATACTCAAAACGGAATCGCCACCGATGCGGCCATCAAAAAGCAACGCCCGCCGCCACTTGTCATTTCCAGACCCCGTGACTTGGTGCGAACCCAACTAAATCGAAACCTTAAAACAAGATTTCATATTCCATTTTTCAGATCCAAGAGGCATGCCAGAAACTTGTCATCAGCGACCATCAGCTGAGACGGATCATGCAATTGATGGAGAAAAGCATGGAGCAGGGACTTGCCAGTAAGTCCGCCCAATCTGAAAATGAAACCAATCGAATCAGTTCCAGCTTCGACGAAGAGTGTCGCCGTCAAAATGCTGCCGACTTATGTCGATGCGGTGCCGAACGGAACTGAGGTAACATCGTTTAAGTCGGATTGGCATTCTCGCATCTTCTTTCAGAAAGGAGATTTTCTCGCTCTGGATCTTGGCGGAACGAATTTCCGTGTGCTGCACATTCGATTGGAGGGAAAGAAAACTCAGATGACCGGAAAAATCTTCCGTGTTCCAGAGAGCATCATGAGAGGATCCGGAGAAGCGGTGGGTAACTTTCGCCGACTTATTCACTGAAAATCGCTCATTTAAAGTTGTTCGACCACATCGCCGACTGCATGGCCAAGTTCATGGAGGAGAACAATCTGAAGGACGCCACCAAACTGCCGCTCGGATTCACTTTCTCGTTCCCTTGCCAGCAGGAAGGACTCACCAAAGGAAAGCTGGTCACTTGGACGAAAGGGTTCAAGGCTTCCGGAGTAGAAGGAGCCGACGTCGTCACTTTACTCCGTGAGGCTTGCCAGAGAAGAAAGGATATTGACATTGACGTTGTCGCTCTTCTGAACGACACTGTCGGAACTCTGATGGCTTGTGCCTTCCAGGAGAACACGTGTCAGATCGGAGTCATTGTCGGAACTGGAACGAATGCCTGCTACATGGAACGTCTCGACCGCATTCCCAAAATGGCAGGATACGTGGACGAGCACGGAGTGACTCCCGAAGAGATGATCATCAATACTGAGTGGGGAGCATTCGGAGATGACGGAGCCCTCGATTTCCTCAGAACCAAATGGGACGATGTCGTCGACAGAGAAAGCATCAACCCGGGACAGCATCTGTACGAGAAGATGATTTCGGGAATGTACATGGGAGAAGTCGCCCGAGTTGTTCTCGAAGATCTAGCGAAGCAAGGACTTCTGTTCGGAGGACACTCTGACGCCATCTCGATTCCACATTGCTTCCCTACCAAATTCGTTTCGGAGATTGACAGCGATCTGTTGGAGGATGACGACCGTACCTTCCAGAAAACGTACCAGATTCTCGAGGACATTGGAGTCGAGACGGTGTCCGCCAACGATTGCGCCAACGTCGCCTACGTGTGCAGTCTCGTCTCGACTCGTGCCGCCCATCTGACGGCCGCCGGAATCGCGATGCTGCTCAACCGAATGAACAAAAAGCACGTGACGGTGGGCGTCGACGGATCGGTCTACCGTTTCCATCCGACGTATCCCAAACTTCTCGACGAGAAAATTGCAGAGCTCATCGTCGGAGACATTGAGGTGAGCACATTTCACAGTCCTCTGAGCTCGATCACTAAGCAATCAATTATTTTTCAGTACCAACTCATGCTTTCGGAGGATGGATCCGGCCGTGGAGCTGCTCTCGTCGCCGCTGTCGCCACACGTCTGAAGGAGGAAAAGCTGGCCGCGTTGGCCAACAACGCCTAATCGCCGAAACGATAGACTAATCCTCTACTTTTTGATCACTTTCATCCGAGCTTTACTCATTCCCCCAAAGGTAGATTTGTTCACTTGAATCACTTCCCCGACCCTCTTCCGATAGATTCCGATACGGGATATTCCAGTTGTCTTCTATTTCCCCTTCCTCGGCATAACTCTTTTTTATAGCACCCTTTCACTAACCCCTCCCGTCTAACCCGAAACAAAGTCCATAATGGATTGCATTTATCATAAGTTATTCATTTTCTGAAATAGTGATTTACCAATCAAAACTTGTGTATAAAATACGTTTTGTAAGAAAAATGCAATATGACTTGTTCAGTCGCATGGTACAAGTGACAAAATACACAAAGAAAGGATTTGACATGGATATAAAGTCAGTAAATTAGGCGGTGGCATGAAGCCTCTGGAACTCGCTCATCCACTTGGCGAGCACCTCGGTCTCCTCCACAGTAATGGCGTTGTACAGCGACGCGCGGATTCCTCCCACAGATCTGTGGCCTTTCAGACTGATCATGTTCCTCTCAGCGGCTCCCTTGAGGAACTGCTCCTCGAGTTGCTCGTTTCCGGCAGCTCCTCCGATTCGGAAGCACACATTCATGATGCTCCGATAGCGTTTGTCGACGGCGCAGTGATAGAATCCGTTGGAATCGTCGATGATTTCGTAGATGAGACCGCTCTTCTTCAGGTTCAGCTCGTAGATCGCCTGAAGACCGCCCTTTGCCTTGATCCACTTGAGCACGAGATTAGTGGTGTAAATTCTGAAGAAAGTTAATGGGAACCAATCAGAATATGCTTTGTTTTGAGTATTACCCTCCAGTGGGTGGAGTGTTGTACAGACTGTTGTTGGCAATCATCTCTTGATAACTGAAAACAGCCGGTGTGACGGCTTGTTGCTGAAAAAGGCCGCATGAGATGTGTTCATTCTTCTCAGGCAAATCGTTTCTAATCTAGCTAGCTAGTGCGCGTTTCTAATTGAACCTAGTAAGATTCGATTAGATTGCAAGGTCTTCTAACTAGACTGATAAATTTTCTAATTAGATTGCAACACTGATATTAGATTCAAAATTCATCTAATTAGCTTAACCTTTCGGTCAAATCTAGCTAGATTTAGTTTAGATTTCATTTCCATCTAGTATTGGAAGTCGGTTTGGATTACAAAATCTCCTAACTAGATTACAAACTATTTTCCTGAATTAAAAGCACACCTTTCCAATGAGATCCTTCCTAACGATAACGATGGTCAGACCGGCGGCTCCGAGATTCTTCTGAGCACCTCCGAAAACGACGCCGTGCTGAAAATAAAGATGAACGAACGAAGTCATTTTCTTCCGTCTTTTCCCCTCTCTCGTTGCCTAGGAAATGCCTCACTCACATCCTTGAAATCGAATGGGCGCGCCATGAAATTCGACGAAACATCGGCCACGAGCGGCACGTTGTGAGACTCCGGCGCTTTCGGAGTGAACTCGATTCCGTGCACGGTTTCATTCGCACAGTAATACAGGTAGGCGGCCTTCTCATCGTGGACCCACTTTTCCTGATCGGGCACCGTCACGTACGGCTTGCTCGGCGTGAACACCTTCTTCACGTTGATGTACTTTCCGGCCTCTTCCGCCGCTTTCGACGACCACGCACCGGTCACGATGTAGTCCGCGTGCTCGTGGTTTCCCTAAAAATAGAAGTTTTATGATGATCACGTGGCAATTGGATGAGTAGCCCGGACGGGTTGCGCCCAGAAGCAGAGATCACCTTGAGATTGAGGGGAATCGCGGCGAATTGACCGGTTCCTCCGCCTTGCATGAACAGAATCTCAAAGTTGTCGGGCACGTTCCTGCAAAAATGCGAAAATGCGAAGAAGGATAATGAGAAGGAAGCGTACATGATTTCGCGGATCAAACTGATCGTCTCGTTGAGCAGAGCTCCAAATTCTTTCGATCTGTGCGACATTTCTAAAAAAAAACACATTTCCGGAAAGGTGCGTATCGCAAATTGATTACCAATGACACTGACGCCGAGATTGTTGAAATTCAGCTGCTCCTCTTGCATTTTGAGGAGCACTTCCTCTGGCAATTTGGCCGGACCAGCGGCAAAATTAATCTTCCGTCCAGAAGCCATAGTTAATTGGTCAGTTTATGAGTGATTCGTCTGCAAAACAAACAAGTATGATAATAGCGGCGACACGGCGATAAGATAGAAACAGAAAAGGACGGTACGCGTGTACCAGCAGACGGCAATCGAATGAACAGACGAAAAAGGCGGACGGGAAGAGACAGAAAGAGGGCGAACGAGAGAGATTTTATCATGAAACCGAGAGGAGAAAGTTATAAAAGTCACGTAGGCAAAATGTAGTTTTACGATGACGATCATCAGAATGACGTAACGATCAAGATACGGTAAGTTTGCCTGTGAGACGGAAGAAAACACAAGATGATGAATCCGGAATTACAATGAAAAATAACTACGAAAAACCCGGAGAGCCCTTTTTTTAAGGATTACACTGCTTATCAGAGAGGGACTGAGCGAGGGGAGGAAATGACAAAAATGGCCTGACAGTTCAAAGAACGGTCAAAAAGTAATTCGGAAGAAGATGCGATACCCAGCACGAATCAGTCTGATAAACCTGACTTTAGCGTGTTTCTCAAGCGGAATTCACATGGCAAGTCAGAAGAAATTAAAGGAGTATCCAAACGAGAACGAATCCAAACTGGTCAATGCTCGTACACTCGAACACATTGTACGCAAAGAGCATCACACGATTTCACAGCTACTGTAACCGCAACAAGTTTTTTGAAATGTGGCAAAGTTGGCTTTCAAGCACTTCTTTTTCACTTTTTTGGCTCTTGATTGTTGTTCAAGTCTCGAACAAACAAACTCATTTTCAGGATGAGTTCTCGCTCCTCAATTCTCTTATTCGCATTACTTTTCACATTTTTCGAAAGCTATGACGCTGAGAAAAAAGTTGAGATCAAAATGCACTCCAACTGGAAACAGACTCCTATTCTCGCAGAAATCAGGCACTTGAGTAGAATCATTTGTTTTTTGAGTAGAATAATTTATTTTCAGTGAATATATTGCTGATGGGAACGAAACGAATTTCTGGGGATTTGTGAAGAAGGTTCAAGTTCAAAGAATCGGAAACATCAGCAACAGTGAGCGCACAGGTCTTTCCTTTGAAAAATTTGATTTTCAGACACAGAACATGATCAGTACGAAATAGGCATTTCCATCGCCGAACAAATTCTGAGCCCTTCCAAAATCAACCTTCTCCGACTGGCTCTGAGCACGAGAATGATGTCTCCCCGAGTGGAAATTCATCGTCAACTCGGCGCTCCCTTTCAGCCAGAACACTGCACCTCATTTTTTGTATTCGGTGCACAGTCTGGTTGTCATTTGAGCAAGTTGAATATTGGAAAGCAAGATGAAACCAGTACCGAGTGAGACACCCTGAATCACTTCAAATAACAAAGTTAGTTTAGAGTGTTCGAGTTCGATCACATTTATCCGACAAATTCTATCGCCTCAAAAACACTTGTGCTCTATGGAGAACTTGGTTCTGATCAACTGAATCCCTTACTTCTCGGAGCAAAAGCTCTGGCGGACTCGGAAGACGACGTTCGATTTGTTTTTCGGCATTTCAAACCGACGACTCCCGATCAATCCCCAGTTTCTTTGTCTGGATATGGAGTCGAACTTGCTATCAAAAACACTGAGTATAAAGCAGTCGATTCGAATAAAAGCAACGACGAACCCGAAAATTTGCATGGACTCAACTTCAAAATCCTAAATGAAAAGCATTTAAATCAACGAAAAGAACTCGAATCTCTGCGTGATCATCTTGAAAAGATGGGTGAAATAGCACCTCTGAAGCTGTGGCAGATTCACGATCTAGGTTTCAAGACGTGCCAAAAGATGAAGATGGGATTGGAATTGAATTCTGCGGAGAAGGTACTTCAAGACTTTCCAGTGCATTCGAGGTTCACATTTTACCAAAAACAGACATGATGACATCAGTTTCAGGGCGATTTCTCACATAAATGTGGACGAAAGGTTCAGAAAAAGTGTGAAGATATTCCAAAAAAAAATGAATGAAAAGCAAATTGAGAGCGGAATGAATATTCTGGCAATAAATGGGAGAGTCGTGGCAAAGGGAGACAAGCACATCGATCTGTTCTCTCTGATGGAAGTAGTAAAACAAGAACAGCAAACCGTGGAAGATGTGGCGAATATGGGCCTTAAATCCGATGTGAGATAATAGTGAGAATTTGCAAAAAAAAACAGAATTCATCCGTTACAGATAGACTTTTCCCGATTGCTCACTGCTGTCGATCTGTCTCCAATCGAATCTTCGGTTTATGCTCTTGACTACAGAGACACTCTTCCCCACGTGGGCTCATTCCTACTATTCTCAGTCACTGTTCTCAATTTCAGTACTTAAATGACCTCGAATCAAATCGAGGAAGATATACGTCCCTCGAACTGCTTCTCCAACCATTCTCAAATGGGCAAATCCGTCCGATTTCGCGGAATATCTTCACCCTTATTCTATTCTGTGATCCGTTCGATTCGAACGATTTGCTTTTCGAAGCAATTCAGAATTACCACAAAGCAGGAGTCTATATCAGGCACAGAAGAAAAAACTGTTAAACTAACATACATTATCTTGTTTAGATTCGGAGTAGTTCCTGTGTTCGATGAGAAACGGCACGGGATCAGTGTTCAGGAAGCTGTGGGAAAGAAAACTGTTGCGAGAGAGAAGAGCAGTTTGTGGCCTACGAAAACCAGTCTTCTGAATGCCATTCAAGTAAGTCTTCGGTATGTATTACTATTGAAAGGGTTACACCCAGAGTTGAGAACAACGCTTAAAAGTTTTTATTTTATTTATTAAGTCTAGCGAATCTAGAGAACAAATATTTACAACAAAAGAAACCAATATTTACAACATACATGGATAAACCGAGATCATTAATGAAACAGTGAAGATAATGTGTAGAAAAAACTGATAATTTAGTCGACCTCCTCAACAGTCGGCCCTTGTGGATGATTGCCAGCACTGAATCCAGCAGATCCGGGGTTTCCGCATCCATAAGAAGGCTGCTGCTGTCCGGACTGGTGCAGTTTGGTGAGGATGGCCTGGCAGACAGCCTTTAGCTCCTTGTCCTTCGCCTCGATCTCGTCTTTCTCGGCCAGAGAGTTGGCTTCCATCCAACGGAGAGTCTCTTCGCACGCCTCCTTCGCACGACGTGCATCTTCGGCCGGCAGCTTCGATCCGTGCTCGTCGAGAGCCTGTTTCACTTGGAATGCGTACGCCTCGAGTTGGTTGCGGGCGGCGACGCGTTCGCGTTGTTCGGCGTCCTCTCGCTCGAACTGCTTCGCCTCGTTGACCATCCGATCGATGTCCGCCTGCGTGAGCCGTCCCTTCTCGTTGCGGATCGTGATGCGGTTCGACTTGCCCGTTGACTTGTCTTCAGCCGTAACGTTCAGGATTCCGTTAGCATCGATGTCAAAAGTGACGTCGATTTGAGGGACGCCGCGTGCAGCAGGCGGGATGCCAGACAGTTCGAAAGTGCCGAGACGATGGTTGTCACGGGTCATCGCTCGTTCTCCTTCGAACACTTGGATTGAGACGCCCGGCTGATTGTCTGCGTAGGTGGTGAACGTCTTGGAAGCCTTTGTCGGGATGCGCGTGTTTCGATCGATCAGGTTGGTCATCACTCCCCCGGCAGTCTCGATTCCGAGACTGAGAGGGGCGACGTCGACGAGCAGCACGTCCTTGATCGTCTGATCCTTGACTCCGGACAGCACGGCAGCTTGAACGGCAGCTCCGAAGGCGACGGCTTCGTCTGGATTGATGGAGCAGTTGAGTTCCTTTCCGTGGAAGAAATCCTTGAGCAACTTCTGAATCTTCGGAACACGAGTGGATCCTCCGACGAGCACAACTTCATCGATCTTTGATTTATCGAGTTTCGCATCACGAAGAGCCTTCTCAACTGGCTCGATAGTCTTTCGGAACAGATCTGCACACAGCTCTTCGAAGCGAGCACGGGTGATTTTGGAGCACAAATCGATTCCTTCGAACAGCGAATCCACTTCTAGAGTGGCTTCCGTTGAGCTCGACAATGTTCTCTTGGCACGTTCGCACGCGGTTCGGAGACGTCTGATGGCCCGGGGATTCGGCGAGATGTCCTTGCCGGTCTTTCTCTTGAACTCGGTCATGAAGTGCTGGAGCATGCGCTGATCAAAGTCTTCTCCTCCGAGATGAGTGTCTCCGGCGGTCGACTTCACTTCGAAGATGGATCCTTCGGCGATGGTGAGAATCGAAACATCGAAAGTACCTCCTCCCAGATCAAAGATCAGCACATTCTTCTCTTCCGAAATGCCTTTGTCGAGTCCGTAAGCAAGAGCTGCAGCCGTCGGTTCGTTGATGATTCGGATGGCGTTGAGTCCGGCAATGGTTGCAGCGTCCTTAGTAGCTTGTCTCTGACTGTCGTTGAAGTACGCGGGCACAGTGATGACGGCGTCTTTGACTGTGTGTCCGAGGTACGTCTCCGCAGTTTCCTTCATCTTCTGCAGCACCATTGCCGAGATCTCCTCCGGATTGAACTGTCTGCGTTCGCCCTTCACTTCCACTTCCACCACTGGCTTTCCTTGCTTTCCCTTGACCGCGAACGGCCAGTGCTTGCAGTCCGACTGCACCGTCTGTTCGTCGAACCGTCTTCCGATGAGTCTCTTCGCATCGAACACAGTATTCTCCGGATTCCGAGCTGCCTGATCTTTCGCCGCGTCTCCAACCAGTCTCTCCGTGTCAGTAAATGCCACGTACGACGGAGTTGTCTTGTTTCCTTCCGAATTGGCGAGGATCTCGACCTGAAATGAAATAGGTTGAACACTTGAATACTTACATCCGCTGGCACTTACCTTTCCATTCTGGTACACTCCGACACACGAATACGTAGTGCCGAGGTCAATTCCGATAGCTTTGCACGAAGACATTGCTTGTAATTTGTAGTTAGAGCAGTAGAATATTTTTATTCTTCTGAGGGTGACACTCTGCTCCGAACGCCAGTTTATATACCCGTTGAGCACTTCTTCTCGAACCTTCTACAATGTTCCAGAATCAGGGGCGTTCCCCCCTTTTCTCCGCCCTCCTCGCTCTTCCCTCTTTTTTTGTTTGCGTCTCTCTGGCCGCCCTATACTATTTCCTCCTTTTTTTCTTTTTCCCTCTCCCTTCTTTCTAGTGCTTTATCGAGATGTTCTAGAATATTCGCGAAGAACGCTGCTGTTTTTCCAGACTTTGCACTGTTGTGTACCTTTCCAAATCTAGAATCTTCCAGTTTCCAATGTTTTCGCTAAGTATTTGTTTCTGGAAGTTTCTAGGTTTCAGTGTTCAGGACGTTTCGAGAATTTCTAATTTCTGTTTTTTTTATGACAGACTATATGAGTAACAACAGTATTGTAAAAAAAACATGAAATTAATTAAAGCAGGAACAAATCTAAATGTACAGAAAAAACAAATCTAAATGTGCTGAATGCGTTTAGATCGTCCGTTATAACTCTGTTTTCGCCTTCGTGTCCTTCGTCTTTTTTCCAGCAAGAACTTCGCTAATCTCCTCGTCGTAGGTTTTCCATTCACCGATAATTCTTTGGGCAGAGCTCAATTTCGATTCCTTGGTCAACGGATTGTTGCACTGAAATAGACTGAAATAAAAAGGAAATCTGTTTTAATTCCGACCAAATCAATGGTTTTTGCTGCTTTTTTGCTCTCGTCGTCGCACCACGTTTCACACCAAAGCCATTCCTGTGGCAGAGTTCGGATCGGAACCTCGTGGATCATGTTGTTCGGCAGATCCTGATCCAAGTTCGATAGACTGTTCGGATCAGACGAAAGAGTCGCATATCGGCTACGGAGACGGTCCCCTGCTGCGAACTGGCGGAACTTCTGAAAGAAAGACAAAGTTCTTTCGAGAGAAATATTGATAAACCTTGAGATCAACGACATAGAGTGCACCGCAGATTGGAAAGCTGGGGCTCCGTTGCTACCTTACGGCTGCCAAATTTTTTTCCGAACAAGGCCCCTCCCACTGTACATACAGAGAAAATGCACAGGAAAGCATACAGATTAGTATACAGAAAAGCTGAGGGAATGATTGTGGAAAAATGAACAGTTAGAAAATAAAACTATTATTTCAGCGTGGAAATCGTTTCCTGAAGGGGACTGGCCTGATAAAGTCTCCCGTCGTTCTTCTGAATGGATATCCTTTGGATTTCGTCAGTACTCGTACGGTTGGAGAGCTTCTAAGTTCCGTAATTTCAGTCTTCTCCTGCACATTTCGATTCTGTTCTGACGGAGACAGTCCACGTGCAGACCACTCGTCTCCAGTATTCTATTTTCAGTGGAATTCTAAAGGATAATGTCGACATTGCCGAGTGGTGGCTGGAGGAGGAAACGAATGCGGATATTGTTGAACGACGGAATCAGAAGTGATTCGTCGTATAGCTCCTCTACTGAACATTTCTTGTTTTCAGAATAACAACAGCGTTCAATGAACGGACATTCATAAATTTCAACGAGTGATCCATAATCATGTTCAGGGAATGAATTAATGTTTTCAGAAACGCTGCAAAGTTCACGGATAATCTTCATTATGTGTCAGAGGATTCAGATGGTTCAGCCAAGAATGCGGTTCGAAAACACGCTAAAAAAAATTGTTCAAAATCAGGTTTTTATAGATCGTTACTACCTGGATCGTTGCTGATTTTGAGAAGGAAGGTCATCGACTTTACGCCGCTGAAGTTTTGAAGTCGAGAGCGGTCACTAAGAAAAACAAAGTGGCACTGATCAACAATCCAGAATCAAAGAAATACGACTGTGTTGGGAGGGAACTCCCACCGAATCAGAAGAATAGATTGAAAGCGTTAATCAAGGATCTCACTCACTTCAACAGCACAATCAGAGTTACGGACATCTGCTCAAACGATGGTTCTTCGTATATCACCTCTTTGCTCGGAATCGCTCCCGGAGAGATCGCTGTGGTCTCAAACGGCCTCATAATTGGACCATTGAGCGAAGATGAGCTTCTGACTGCGAAGGATTTCAAATATTTGGAAGAAATGTGGAAAGAGAAGCGAGCTCAAGTAAGATAGATTTACAATATTCTTAGAACTACGCTTTACTATTGCAGAAGGTTGCAGAGCTCCTGAATGAAGAGTTCAACGAAGACGTCAGTGTTCGTTGCTATTCGGCTGTCGCCGCTTCCACAAAGGACAAAGTTGCTCGACTTGATTTAACCGAATTCAAAGATCCAAAAGAAACGTGAGAAATTCATCGGTATTCTTGAGAAAGTGAACAAAATTTCAGAAATATACTCATTTTTCCGCCTGCCGAGTCGAAATCTCCTGCTATTACCGTAACCTGGATTGCGAATCCGGTCTCGCGAGAAGCACAACAGATAGTCTCGCTGTTGGAACTGATCCATAAGAGTTTGAACGCAAAAATAGAGGTGATCTTCGCTAACGTGTTCGAAAAGAATTGCATCTTCAGATTATTTTTAATCCAGTGGAAAGTCTATCCGAAATGCCAATCAAGAGATTCTACCGTTTCGTGGCCAGCAATGAACTTTTATTTGATGAGAACGGATCAATTGAGTATCACTCAGCAACATTCTGGAACATTCCACAAAAACAGTTACTGACAATGTCTGTGGAAACAAACGACGCGTGGATGATTGAAGTGAAATCGGCAGAATATGATTTAGATAACATTGTGTTGGAAACAGTGCGTGAATGAATGCGTGCAGAGCTCAAAAAAGAGTAACATACTTTTGAGGCTGCTGGAAACGTCGAGGGAGTATTCAGCTTGGAGCACATTCTCTTCGAAGGACAGGCTCTGAACCCTTCTGGGGAGGCGGCAGATGGACTGGAACTGGAATTAAAGTCAGGCGAAAAAGTGTACGACACGATTGTTATGGTCAATTTGGGATATTTTCAATTGAAGGTAACAAAATTATATTCCCAACTTGTTTTTTAAAAGATTTCGTTTCTCAGGCTGAACCAGGAGTTTGGACTCTCAGCCTCCGAGAAGGAGTCTCAGCTGATACGCACGAAATCACGGAAGTGAACTTGAAGGAAGCCAAGGAGAACATCAAGATAGTGATTGGTAATCAAACAGAGAGAAGAATGCTTCAAAAAAGCAATTCAGATTCTTTCACTGGTACGTGGACTAAAGTTGTGATCGCCGAGAAAGAAGGCGCCGAGCGAAAGTCGAATTCAGCCATTGCAAACTTGGTAGAAACTGCGAAAAAGTATCTGGAACTACTTCAATCCCCTCCTTTCCATTTCATCATTTTCCAGTTTCTTCACTTCGAACATTCACTCTCCCGATGTTATCAACGTCTTTTCTCTGGCTTCTGGACATCTTTACGAACGGTTCCTACGGATTATGATGATCTCTGTCATGAAACAAACGAGAACGGAGAAAGTCAAATTCTGGCTACTCAAAAATTATCTCTCTCCGAAGTTCAAAGAAACTATTTCATCGCTGGCTGAGCACTACGGGTTTGATTACGAGTTGGTCGAATACAAATGGCCAAAATGGCTGAACCAACAGACAGAAAAACAAAGAGTTATGTGGGGATACAAGGTATGAAGCAGTTACAATTCTTTAAAGGTTCCTTCCTGTTCAGATACTCTTCCTGGATGTGCTCTTCCCTCTGAACGTAAACAAGATAATCTTCGTGGACGCAGACCAGGTGGTCCGAGCAGATCTGCAGGAACTCATGGACTTAAACCTGAGAGGAGCTCCATATGCGTACGACATTCCTCCTTTCTCATCCAACTGTTTGTTTTTCCAGCTACACCCCATTCTGTGAAAGTCGAAAAGAAATGAACGGATTCCGATTCTGGCAATCTGGGTATTGGAAGACGCATTTGATGGGGAGAAGATATCATATCAGTGCACTCTATGTCGTTGATCTCAAGGTTTATCAATATTTCTCTCGAAAGAACTTTGTCTTTCTTTCAGAAGTTCCGCCAGTTCGCAGCAGGGGACCGTCTCCGTGGCCGATATGCGACTCTCTCGTCTGATCCGAACAGTCTATCGAACTTGGATCAGGATCTGCCGAACAACATGATCCACGAGGTGCCAATCCGAACTCTGCCACAGGAATGGCTTTGGTGTGAAACGTGGTGCGACGACGAGAGCAAAAAAGCAGCAAAAACCATTGATTTGGTCGGAATTAAAACTGATTTACTTTTTATTTCAGTCTATTTCAGTGTAACAATCCGTTGACCAAGGAACCGAAATTGAGCTCTGCCCAAAGAATTATCGGTGAATGGAAAACCTACGACGAGGAGATTAGCGAAGTTCTTGCTGGAAAAAAGACGAAGGACACGAAGGCGAAAACAGAGTTATAACGGACGATCTAAACGCATTCAGCACATTTAGATTTGTTTTTTCTGTACATTTAGATTTGTTCCTGCTTTAATTAATTTCATGTTTTTTTTACAATACTGTTGTTACTCATATAGTCTGTCATAAAAAAAACAGAAATTAGAAATTCTCGAAACGTCCTGAACACTGAAACCTAGAAACTTCCAGAAACAAATACTTAGCGAAAACATTGGAAACTGGAAGATTCTAGATTTGGAAAGGTACACAACAGTGCAAAGTCTGGAAAAACAGCAGCGTTCTTCGCGAATATTCTAGAACATTCGATAAAGCACTAGAAAGAAGGGAGAGGGAAAAGAAAAAGGAGGAAATAGTATAGGGCGGCCAGAGAGACGCAAACAAAAAGAGAGGGAAGAGCGAGGAGGGCGGAAAGAAGGGGGGAATGCCCCGATTCTGGAACATTGTAGAAGGTTCGAGAAGAAGTGCTCAACGGGTATATAAACTGGCGTTCGGAGCAGAGTGTCACCCTCAGAAGAATAAAATATTCTACTGCTCTAACTACAAATTACAAGCAATGTCTTCGTGCAAAGCTATCGGAATTGACCTCGGCACTACGTATTCGTGTGTCGGAGTGTACCAGAATGGAAAGGTAAGTGCCAGCGGATGTAAGTATTCAAGTGTTCAACCTATTTCATTTCAGGTCGAGATCCTCGCCAATTCGGAAGGAAACAAGACAACTCCGTCGTACGTGGCATTTACTGACACGGAGAGACTGGTTGGAGACGCGGCGAAAGATCAGGCAGCTCGGAATCCGGAGAATACTGTGTTCGATGCGAAGAGACTCATCGGAAGACGGTTCGACGAACAGACGGTGCAGTCGGACTGCAAGCACTGGCCGTTCGCGGTCAAGGGAAAGCAAGGAAAGCCAGTGGTGGAAGTGGAAGTGAAGGGCGAACGCAGACAGTTCAATCCGGAGGAGATCTCGGCAATGGTGCTGCAGAAGATGAAGGAAACTGCGGAGACGTACCTCGGACACACAGTCAAAGACGCCGTCATCACTGTGCCCGCGTACTTCAACGACAGTCAGAGACAAGCTACTAAGGACGCTGCAACCATTGCCGGACTCAACGCCATCCGAATCATCAACGAACCGACGGCTGCAGCTCTTGCTTACGGACTCGACAAAGGCATTTCGGAAGAGAAGAATGTGCTGATCTTTGATCTGGGAGGAGGTACTTTCGATGTTTCGATTCTCACCATCGCCGAAGGATCCATCTTCGAAGTGAAGTCGACCGCCGGAGACACTCATCTCGGAGGAGAAGACTTTGATCAGCGCATGCTCCAGCACTTCATGACCGAGTTCAAGAGAAAGACCGGCAAGGACATCTCGCCGAATCCCCGGGCCATCAGACGTCTCCGAACCGCGTGCGAACGTGCCAAGAGAACATTGTCGAGCTCAACGGAAGCCACTCTAGAAGTGGATTCGCTGTTCGAAGGAATCGATTTGTGCTCCAAAATCACCCGTGCTCGCTTCGAAGAGCTGTGTGCAGATCTGTTCCGAAAGACTATCGAGCCAGTTGAGAAGGCTCTTCGTGATGCGAAATTCGATAAATCAAAGATCGATGAAGTTGTGCTCGTCGGAGGATCCACTCGTGTTCCGAAGATTCAGAAGTTGCTCAAGGATTTCTTCCACGGAAAGGAACTCAACTGCTCCATCAATCCGGACGAAGCCGTCGCCTTCGGAGCTGCCGTTCAAGCTGCCGTGCTGTCCGGAGTCAAGGATCAGACGATCAAGGACGTGCTGCTCGTCGACGTCGCCCCTCTCAGTCTCGGAATCGAGACTGCCGGGGGAGTGATGACCAACCTGATCGATCGAAACACGCGCATCCCGACAAAGGCTTCCAAGACGTTCACCACCTACGCAGACAATCAGCCGGGCGTCTCAATCCAAGTGTTCGAAGGAGAACGAGCGATGACCCGTGACAACCATCGTCTCGGCACTTTCGAACTGTCTGGCATCCCGCCTGCTCCACGCGGCGTCCCTCAAATCGACGTCACTTTTGACATCGATGCTAACGGAATCCTGAACGTTACGGCTGAAGACAAGTCAACGGGCAAGTCGAACCGCATCACAATCCGCAACGAGAAGGGACGGCTCACGCAGGCGGACATCGATCGGATGGTCAACGAGGCGAAGCAGTTCGAGCGAGAGGACGCCGAACAACGCGAACGCGTCGCCGCCCGCAACCAACTCGAGGCGTACGCATTCCAAGTGAAACAGGCTCTCGACGAGCACGGATCGAAGCTGCCGGCCGAAGATGCACGTCGTGCGAAGGAGGCGTGCGAAGAGACTCTCCGTTGGATGGAAGCCAACTCTCTGGCCGAGAAAGACGAGATCGAGGCGAAGGACAAGGAGCTAAAGGCTGTCTGCCAGGCCATCCTCACCAAACTGCACCAGTCCGGACAGCAGCAGCCTTCTTATGGATGCGGAAACCCCGGATCTGCTGGATTCAGTGCTGGCAATCATCCACAAGGGCCGACTGTTGAGGAGGTCGACTAAATTATCAGTTTTTTCTACACATTATCTTCACTGTTTCATTAATAATCTCGGTTTATCCATGTTTGTTGTAAATATTGGTTTCTTTTGTTGTAAATATTTGTTCGCTAGTTAGTCAATAAATCAAAAAATTTCTAAATTCGGTTTTTTCAGTATTATAAATGAGTTCCAAAACGGAAGAGAAACTTTCCTTTGGGAGCGGATTACCGTTGTTGCAAAAAGTTAGGTCTCTAATCAAACATAGGTTTCTCAAGCTTTCGACTAAAAATTAGGCATGCTATCGTCGTGCGAAACATCATGGAACAGTTCCCCGGAATTATTGCGTTTGACGTCGGATCTGCTGAGAATGCGATCGAGCTCGTCGAGGAAACGAATGAAAAGGGAAACATTGGAATAACTGTGTTCAGAGTGTCAAACTGAAAGTGCACGCAGTCTCCCTCAGGGGAACCGAATCGCTCATTGAGCATCCGTTTTCGATGTCCTACGGGGAAGAGCTGATCCGGGAAAGCGAGGCTCCTCCGGTTTCCCCGATTTCCACGCGTATCGGAAAAAAATTAATGCGCTCAAACTCTTCAAACTCTTCAAACTCTTCGACCACATTGCAATAACATTACACTATGACCATTATCAGTTTTGTCATCAAATCATTGAACCAAACATTGATCTTATTTGTCCAATTTTCGGCCTTGCATCAGGCATCAGCCACTGATAAAGAAGTCGAATGATAATCATTTTAGTGTATTCCAACTGCCACAATGAGGTGAGTGACCGAGAATATTCTGTTCGTTTAAATACAGATGCTTTCAGTGACACTTTCGACTGGCCTGCTGGAAAGAACGAAGCGAAAGAAAGGCTTGGAGAAAAGTGAGTAAATGAGATTTTACGTTCCGAACACCCTGTTCCAGATTTGAACAACTTCACCTGGATTCTCGTATTGCCGCATCCCATGCGAAGCCGTTGACCAACGTTGACCCAGTCGTCGTTCCAATCTACCATTCGAGCACTTACCGTTTCAAAACTATCGACCAATTCAGTGAACCGAATCATGTACGGTTTCGGCTTTGGTATTTCAGTGAAATGCTAAACTTCAGGGCTCCAACTTTGTCTATCGTCGGTGCGGAAATCCGACAACCGAGAACGTGGAAGTGGTGATCAATGAGATCGAAGGAGGTGCCGGATCCCTGGTTTACAATTCCGGACTCGCGGCCATCAGTTCCGTCTTCCTGCAATTCCTCCACTCTGGCGCTCACCTCATTTCCATGGCTCCGATCTACAGTGGGACTTCCTCTTACATCAACGAAACTCTGAAGCGTTTCGGAGTGGAGGTGACGTTCGTTAACGTCGAGAAGGAATCGGATTTCGCTGGCGCCGTCGAAGCAGCCATCCGTCCGAATACAAAGTTGATCTACTTCGAAACAATTGCCAATCCATCGATGGCAGTGCCTGATGTGCTCGGAACTCTTGCAGTTGCCAAGAAACACAATGTAAATCAGCATCCCCAAGGCATTTCATGAATTCTGTCTTCCAGATTCGCACTTGCGTCGACGCCACGTTTTCCTCTCCGTACAACATTCAACCTCTTCAAATTGGAGCTGATATCTGTCTCCACAGCTGGTGATTCCTCCCTTCTCACCCACCATAACTCTTCATTTTCAGTTCCAAATACATCGGAGGTCACACCGACGTCATCGCTGGAGTCGTGACTCTCAAGACGTACGACGACTGGAAGGAGCTGAAACTGCAACAATTGACAACTGGAAGTTCCTTGGTGATTCATTCGCAATCATATGTTTCCCTCAAATTCTTTCCTTTCAGTCTCCCTACGATGCTGCTCTTCTCACCCGTGGCCTCAAAACTCTGGCTCTTCGAGTGGACAGAATCTCAGAGAACGCCCAGAAAATCGCCGAATTCCTGGATTCTCATCCGAAGGTACGGAATCGGCACTAGAAGATCTAAATATTCAATTGCAGGTTCAACGTGTCTTCTACCCGGGACTTCCTTCCCATCCCCAGCATAAATATGCGAAACAGGTCATGAAACAGTTCTCCGGAATGATTGCCTTCGACGTCGGAACTGCTGAGAATGCGATCAAACTCATCGAGGTCTGACACTCTCTCCCTCTCCCAACTTCCCAAATTACCCTTCAGAGTCTCAAACTGATCATCCACGCCGTTTCCCTGGGAGGCACCGAGTCGCTCATCGAGCACCCCCTTTCGATGTCGCACGGAAAGCAACTGCTCCGTGACGTGGACACTCCTCCAGTTGCTCCAGGACTTCTCCGCTTCAGGTAGTCAATTTCGTGTCTCTCTTTCTCTCTGTCTCGACAATCTCAACTTGCGAATTGCAGTGTCGGCATCGAGAATGTGGCCGATATCATTGGCGATTTGAAAGATGCGTTGGAGAATTTTTGAGCGGAGAAGAAGAAGAAGAAGAAGAAGAAGAAGATAGACTGATTGATGGAAGTGATAACAACTGCGCCTTGTCTTTGTCGTATTTGATAAAACTATTGAACTTCATGATGAACGAAACTGGAAATTGAAGGAGACCCGATTGACGAGATAAACATTGACAGCGAAGGGCATCGAAGAGCGAATTTCCCTGTGATAGGGACAAATTAGGGAAGATGATACGTCTTCATCTTCAGAAATCCGAAGCGATTCCCTTTGGTACCTCATCTGAAATCTGTTTTTCTCTTCACACAGAGATTTGTAGTGAAATTAGACAAAAAGGGAGACAAATGTATGTAAAAAGTTGTAATCCTTCATTCCGAATTAACAAATCAAAGGATGATCCCTGATCTCCGAAACCTTCCATCCAATTTCTGATCCGGCTTTCTTGATCTCGAAACAAGCGATCGGTCGTTTTCTTTTTGTCAACCTACCGATCTCGTGATACAATCAGGCGGGAGACGAATTGCTTTCGGCCGTCCTTTCTGCCTCGTTCTCACCAATTCCTTTTTCCTTTCTCCCCACCTGCAAATTCCCGATCGCCCCCCGTTCTTAACCCCCAGTAAAAATGGTAGACTGGTAGCCGAGCTTTGGTAACCTAGCTTTATGAAAACCTCATTGCTGTCACTGAAGCTTAATCACCAAAGGTCGGCAAACGCACACCGAAACTCACGTGGTTGATTGCGCCTCAGGAGGAAGCGGCAACAGAGAATAGGAACAGAAGAGTGGTGAGTAGGAAGACAAATATAGCGGGAGGCGAAGGGAGGAAGGAGAGGGGGACGGGCGACCTAACCGTGGACGGCGGCGCACCGAATGTCGAATTGAAGGCGTTGTCGGACGGGCGGGCGGCGCGCGATAGATGAGACTCCGCCCCTTTGTGGGCCACCGTTAGAAGATTGTCTCGAGATAGGAAAACGTGGCGAGTGAAGGTCATACGGTAGGTAGGTAGAGAGATGGTATCACTGAGAGAGGGGCCGCTCCGGGGAGGGCAGAGATGCGCACGAACAGATAGATGCGCAGAAGCGGGACACGTGGATTGACCTGAATACCTCCGAATGATAACGTGATAGTGACCGGAAGAAGACGGACCGCGACCCACAAATTATCCACCCAAAACGAGGTCACTATCGTTTATCACCGACTATAATTGAGGTCACAAGTGATATGGCGGCGGCAGGACGAAAGGAAAATGCAAAAAGCGAAGGTTGTCACGACATTTGAGTGCTCATTTTCGAAATGAGCAGGCAGAGCGCGCGCGCCGCTCAACACAGCACAGTTTGCTTTTGTTTCGGCAGGCGGGCCGTCGGAGTGATGAGCGACGGAGCGAAATGGAGAAGTTAGCGGAGAGACGCAGACTGGCAGGAGCTGGCTCACTCGCTCATTAGCATTCGGATTCGAAGCGATCAGGGAATGAGAGTTTTCAGAAGATTACGCCTGAAATGGTAGTCGATGGCCACTCCTCCAAAAGTGGTATTTTCAGAGAGAGGAATGAGTTGGCAGGTGGTAAAAGAGGTAAAAGAGTGAAAGGGCGAGAGAGAGAAAGAGAAAAACGAGTGATAAAAGATAAGTGTCGAGTCACGAAGAACAAGCTAGCAGAGGCAGCCGAATGGGCTCATTTGTCAACATTGCATTTCGAGGGGCGAAGCGTCGACGAGTGTAGCGGCGCTTCCCTTCGGACTCTGAAGACGGGCGGGAGCAGACCCGCTGAGAGTTTACGAAAATATCTCGTGCTTTCGAAATATATTCTTTTTGCTCACGTAGACTGGTTTTTCGGTCAAAGAATGTCTTCTCTGAACAATATTCAGAATGTATCCGGAGGATAATATTTTTTGATTCAGGTATTTTCAGATTAAGCGTACGACTGATTGGAAACCTTGATTCCATCTCCCGTCCCGTTTACGCCATCCATTCCAGCAGATACCATCGCAACCAATGACCCCCATCAATAATCTGAAGTCTGACAGCCGTCCGCTTCTTTGCCTTTCTGTGCACTTTTCGGCATTGATTTGCCGTCACTGTTTCGCATAGTCAAAAAGAAATAAATAAGAGGAACGTGGCGAAAACCAAAGGAGTGCCGAGGGAACAAAGCGGTGCGAAGAGACGTAGTCGCCCGCCCAAAAGCCCATTACTGTACCAAACGACCTTTTTCCCATTGTCGCGTCGCTTTTTGTGTATACTAATTTGCAAATTTGAGGCTAGGAAACTTTCCATTGAATTCGGAATTCGGGTGTGGCTGGGGACCCATAGCCTATGGGCCATATGCATTAGAAAAGTGGTTAATGCGTTCCGTAATGCAACGAAACAGATGAGGATGATTGAGATGAACTGAACTCTAAAAACGAACTTCAAAAACACATTTCATTTCAGCATGTCATTCAAACAGACACTTTAAAAGGAAACTTGAATTAGGAAACATTTGGGGGTGGGGGGACAAGGTGCAAAGCATGCAATAAAACATTTGGCGACACGAGAAATGCGGCCATATTAAACAGAATAAGTGATCGAATCGGGTTGGGCATTTGACAATCAACACCGGATTGAATTCACCAGGAGCTGGCTGGTTTGAGCTCGTTCGTTACAGTAAAAACTTGCGGAAAGACGAAAGAGCTCAAACCGAATGGTTGAGGCAGAACAGTTGAATAGAGGTGGGGGAAGTTCGCATGAGGATAGACTGCTTATATGGGAGGGTACGCGGACGGTTGTGAGGTGTCAAGTGGATGAGGTGGGATGGAGAGCAACATACAAAAGAAAATATAACAGCAGCAGTAGCAAGGGGAATAATGAGGAGTACATGATAAAAAGGGGAAGGGTTCTATAGGATAGTCGCAAATGAGAGGAAACGCAATAATTTCAGTTTTTCCAACTTTCCAATCATTTTCTACATTTGTCAAAACAAAAGACTACACGACTAACCACAAAATTTTTGGGGATCAACTGTGCCACAGGGAGTACCATAAAATGGTCAGAAAACTTGCATAACGTATGATGAACAAGAATAATTAGAGGGGGACAAAATTTGGGTTTGATGAGCGAGCTGCGGCTGCTCAGGCATCATGTTATTATAAAACAGTGGCGGAAGTTGACGATGGGGATGGAACCAGCGCAGATAAAACGGAAACAGGGACACAACAGAGATATACACGAGAGAAAAGGGTAATTTCGATGGCTGACGCTGGAGACACGACCGCCGATTTTTTGGGTACTCTACCGGGTGCTTGGGGAATGATTTGAGCCCGATTTGATGGGCCGACTAGGCTTGGAAGGGAGGTGTACAAGTCGAACTGTACGGATCAAACAAGATGATGTGTATGAATGGGAAAGGGGGGGCGGTGTCTAGAAGACACGAATGCAGTTGTTGCCGAAGTCGACGACGTAGATGCGACCGTCCGGTCCCACTGCGAGGTCCGTCGGTCGATCGAGCAGTTGACGCGGCGACGGGGTCAGAGGAGCTGGGGTAGAAGAGAATGCGGGCGCTCCGAACGGTCCGCTGAGTGACTGAAAAGAAAACTCCATGAAACTGAGGACAATTGATCGGAAACTGACCGAGTACGGAGCAGGCAGTTCTGTCGGCATCTGGAATCCGGCGTTTTCGAGCCCAAGTCCGAACGATCCGATGAATCGCATGTCGTCGGAAGCGAACACTTGGATGCGGTTGTTGCGGGAGTCACAGACGAGAATATGTCCTTCGGGGTCGATGACGACTCCTTGCGGACGAACGAACATTCCGTCGGCGTCTCCTTCACTGCCGTACACTTTCATTTCAGACATGTTGCGTGGTGAGAGCACGGCGAGACGGTGGTTGTTGAAGTCACTGAAAAAGGAGTTTCGGTTGGTTTAATGGGACGAATAATATTACGTGATGAGCAGTTGTCCGTCCGGAAGATAGCAGAGTCCACGTGGCGAGTCCAGATTCTTGAAGAAGTAGGCAGAATCAAATCCGCACTTCCTGACGAACTGTCCCGAAGGAGTGAAGATCTGCACGCGGTGGTTGCGAGTGTCCGAAACGGCGATCGCATTGTGTGAGTTAGTGGCGACTCCCCACGGATAGTTGAAGTATCCGACGGCTCTTCCACGATCTCCAAACTTGAGAAGGAACATTCCGTTTTCGTCGAACACCTGGATACGGTGGTTGTCCTTGTCAGCTACGATTATGTTGTTCTGTGTGTTCGTGGTGATTCCGGCGGGGCGATCGAACAATCCGGGACGGTTTCCACTGGATCCGAACTTTGCGAGGAAGTTTCCGTCCTTGTCGAATATCTGGATACGGTTGTTACTGCGATCGGCGACGAGTACACGGCCCCTCTGGTCGACGCAGATTCCCCACGGACGACACAGTTCTCCATCGCCACTTCCTTCCTTTCCGAACGTCATTATGGGTCCTTTTGCGGCGATTTCATCGTAATTCCTTCCGCGTCGAACTTCCATCGTCGTCGGACATCCACTGATCGGAGTTCCTTTGACGAGAACGTTCAGAATGTAGGATCCTTCGGAGGATGGGAAGTAGGTAAAGGCGACGATGCCGTTCTCACGAGGTCTGTAAGAAAACATGATTTCCATGACTCAGAGAAAAAAGGCGCCAAAAAGGCAACAAAACAGCGCGGGTGGCTTGTGAAAAGAGGGCGGCGCGGTTTCGATTCGAATCGGCGACACCCCTTTTTTTCATTCCCTTTTTCTCCGAGGAGAACGTTCCTAAGTTCACTCACTGCATTCCGACTTCCAATGGTGTTCCGTTCGGAGAGATCACAAATGCCTGCACATCAGCTGTTGGGATTGCCTGTTCCAAATGAGAATGAGGAACTTGATGTGGCAGAAGTGCTCCAGAAGTCGGTTGAGTGGCTGCGATCGAAGAGGACAGAAGATCTCCGCAAGCATCACGAAGTTGCACGTAGACGACTGTCTGACGTTCCCGAATTGCCCTGAAAAGTGAGAGATAAGGAGAAGCATATAAGAAAACGGTTACTTCTTGAACGAATCGCCGACGATCGAACTGTTCTTGGCACACGGTCCACTTTCGATGCTTCCGAACTGACGCACTTTGTTCAAAAGTGTTCCGTCCTGTGGAGCAATGAACTTGAGCCGATCGTCTTCGTTCACCTGACACGCGAGCATCAGAACATTGAGCATGTTGTTGTTCGTCTCGACTGATCTGTTGCTCGAGCTTCCGCACATCTGGCACGAAGCGAGCTGCTCGAACACTTGACGGAGCACCGATTCGTCGATATCGCTGTTCTCCAGCGACGATTTGGCAGTCTGCACGGCTTCTTGAAGATCGAATTGCTTTGATTTCAAATTATCCGCCTGCGAAATCAGCACCGACAGCTTCAGACTTTTGACAGTTTCCACTCTGTAAATCAATTAATTTTTCAACGTCTTCCATATCTGCTATACCTTTTGAGTAGTTCCTTGCGTCTCTCTTCCAGAGCAGTCGCGTGTGAATCGAAAGCAGTTAGGATTTCGTTTTCGGCAGTCTGAACAGAAATACTAACTCTTTCTTTCTACTAGTTCTGTAGAATACCGTTGCGTTGGCGACAATTCCCTCGATTATTCTCTTGATCGTTTCTCCCGTCTTCTCGCATTGCCATTGCAGCAACTGGCTCTCGTTTGCCAGTTCTCCGACGGCAATCCGAATGTCTCCGACTGGCTGAACACGGTGTTTGCTCGGATGTTGAGCTACACAGATCGCGCACAACGAGACCGTCTGCGGACAATGCTCGCAGATTCCGACGATCGGGGACTCGTGAGCACTGCAGACCGAAGAGGACCGAGGCGAAGAATCTCCGCTCACCGACTCGTTCTCCAATCCAGAAGCATGTCCTGCAAATAAGACTAAGGAGTTGAAGGTTGCTCTCATAGATTCGACGGTTTACCATCTGCGCTTCCAGCGGATCCGAGAGCTTGTCGAGATGCTCCTTCCGGGAAGAACTGCGACTGCTGAGCTTGAGCGCGGCTCATCTGAATATTATGCAAATGTAGTTGGAAGGCAATCATCTCATTGTCGTTTTCAAGAAAGAAAAGGCAAGAAATAATGGGGTAACAAATGGATGCATCATCAGAAGACCCGTCTATATATCTGGCTTTTGGAGCACACACGCACTATAGTGCTGCTCTCGCAGTGCGCAAACTGGGGGAAGGGAAAGCTGGACACCTCTTGCCAAAGGCCTCAATAGGTCCGTCGGCTGCAGTGAATTATGGAGACGGGAAAGCGAACGGCGAAAAAGAAGGGCACGTGCCGAGAAGTAGGAAACTGTTGCCATGCGAAAATAGTGTGGGAGAGAGAAACCGGTTTGTTTTTCTAACTTAATTTAAGACTTCTCACTGATAGCGAATGATAAAAGCAGCGTTTTGCTACAAGCACGTTACACTATTAGAAACGGAGAGAAAAGAGCCGGCGACAAGTGAATAGTACGCCTGATTGAAAAAGAAAAAGGAGAACAGAAGAGCTGTCGTTCCATTTGAAATGTGTACAATGTTCAATCCGGATTGACTCCCCGGAGCAGTGATGCGAGACAAAAACGGAAATGACGGATGCGGGATCTCCGTTCACATGATGCTCATGAAAAATGTGCAGCTATTCTTTCGTCCGTCTCCCCGCAGAATAATTGCCGCGGCGAAAAAGGTACTCACCAAGTTGGCGACCAGCTGATTGAGCTCCACGAATCCGTGTGTCTTCGTGGCCCGAACTCGTTGATGTGCCTGCACGCAATGAGCACACAGAGCCTCCTGGCACTGGATGCAAAAGGCGTACGACCTGCAATATGGAAATTGAGAAGGGTCGGCTAGCGTTCCGAGTGCCGGGCACGCGATTATAATGCGAGAGCGGAACAGAGATGGGCGCGGTGTGGTCGAATGCAACTATTCCCTCGAAATTTTCGAGGGAAAAGTTACAGTACGCAATCAAGTGTGAACATTTAACGCGGGTGCACCTCACGCAAAATTGCGGACATGCAACTTTTGATTCGAAAGTTGTCGTCGCGACGCCAATCGGCGCCCATCTCTGGAGCGGAAAGAGAACGGGCGAGACTTACATGTTAGCGTCGCATCCCTGGCACTGAATCGGAGCGAGCGGCTGCGACGGCGGTGGCACAGAAAACTGCTGCGGCGGCGTCGTCGTCATAAGAACCGGCGAATTCATCATGGTCGACGATTGAGTGGTGGGCAGCGGATGACGTGGAGTCAAGGAGAGCGACGTGCGGGGCGGAGCAATGGTGGCAGAATGCTTTGGCGGCTCCTGATTAGCCATTAGAGACGGTGGCATGATCGTAGACGTGTTTGTTGGAGACAGTGGAGAAAACACCGGAGTGTCGTCGTTCTGGAAAGTGTAGGAATTTTATGAGAGCCAATTTATTCTGATGAGAGCCACTTAGTAGGTTTTAGAAACTACGATCAAAACAAAAACACACGCGTCGTTTTTATTACGAAAAACGGGAAGAAACTGACCACAGTCAACGAGTCGAAAGCCGGGATCATTGGAGAGTGCGGGTTGAGACTGGCCAATCCTTTGATGGAAAGATTCGGAGGCGGTTGTAACGGGGACCACATTGGAGGCGGAGAACTATCCAGATCACCGAGTCCCAGCTGCGGGAACTGACGCAATGCAAGACTTGTCGAGGTAGGAGTCGACATGCGAGGAATCCCTGGCGACGGTGATCCAGGCATTCCACCAAGTGAGAAGGAGAAGGCACGAGCCGGGTGTTGTGGTGTGGCTGGAAATGAGAAGTAATCTGTGACGACGAATTCATTCTTACCATTGACCGATCTGTTCGCCGTGTCCAGCAACAATCCTCCGTGCGGTGGAGTCGTCAGAGTTGGCGACAGGAACATCTGAGGCGGGAAGTTGGCGGCAGTAGCTGATCCCGATCCACAAATACTGCATGCTGAAAATGAACAGGTCAGTGATGATATTTCCCGGGCTACTGTACCAGTTCGCTGGTCGAAGTTGGAGGGAGTTCTCTGGCAGCAGGACTGACAAGTTCTGAAATTCATAAATGAGAGTTTATTTTCAGGTAGATGCACTCACTTGTGTGCACAGACGAACTGCAAGACTCCGAGACGCGAGTTCTTGAAACAAACGGCGCATCGGAATGAGTCCTGTTGGCCTCCAATCCCGAATCCACACGGCGAGAAGGCGTGGAACTGCTGCGGCGATTGGAGCATCGACGGCGGAGTGTCGAACAGCGAGCCAGCGATTGCCTTGTAAGGCGGAGATAGATCCGGTCCGGAGAATGTCTGGAAGGCACTGGTTCCGGAGCTTTGTGGAATTGGTCCGAGCAAGCTGTCCTGTTGATTCGAGTGGTCGATGCGATGTTGAGACATCGAGTCCCCTGAAACAAACAGACCTTGGTAAAAAGAACTATTGTTTTTCGAGACAATTTCTTTGAGAACAAAAGTATAATTCTTAAGAAAAAACTAAGTAGACAATATTTTGGCCGTTAGCAAGCTATTTGCAGACAGAAAGGGTAATCCGAAGTGCGCGGACAATGGGTGCTGCTGCTCACCTTCACTGCTGCTGCCGCCCATCGAGAGCTCGTTGCCGCTGTCATTTGAGTCGCGCGATTCGGCATCTGCTTCCGTCTGACGGTTGCCCTCCTGTGGCTGCTGATTCGCTTCCTTCTCCAGGTCTGGACATTCGTTTGATACGGTCATCGCCATCTTTCGCTCTTCTTCTTTCTTATTCGAAAGAGAGTTATTCCAAGACTGAAATGATGATGAGATGCTTACTAATACTTGTGTGCCGTGAAAGAACGAAGCTAATTGGAAGGAAGAGAAAGGGCGCGAGCTGGATTTCCGGTGCGAGCAAGTAATGAACAACTGAATCCAGCGGAGCATGTAAACGGGAGCCACTTGCGGGGGCACTTTTCATTACGACGACTCAAAACGCTCGCAATTTCATTAGACTGACAAGGAAACGATGGGATGCAACCGAGGCGCTTCGTCATTCCGTTTTTTGATTCGCTTCATTATCCGGTCGTGGCCAACCCAACTCATTGCACAGAGGAAATCGGCTTTATGGATAGCCGCGGGGCAGAGATTTGCGGGCAAATTTTGAGCGGAGCACAAAGGAGAAACATGCAAACGAAGGAGGAATGAATGGTTCGGAAACACTTTGTTTCTGAAAGAACGGGCGGATTGCCGCCGCTCACTGAAAACGAGAAAACGCGCGTTGGCTCTTCGCATGCACGGTAGGTAGATCAAAACCGAAACTCGCACGTCTCACTTTCATTAGTTCTCAAACTCACTTGAAGTTTTAGACAGCGGCAATCCTAACGTCGCATTCCCGCCGTTTCCGGCACAGTTTTCGGTTCGATTCGGTCTTCTCCAAATTCGATTTTCCCTCCACCAGCGACGTCTCTTCCAATAAGACAATCGAGCTATTTATGAGGCGATCGGCTTTTCCTTTTACCCGTTCGCCAATCGAGGCCTAAAATTTAAAAATGAAATTGAAAAGAAAACGGAAAAGGAAGATTGAGAAGCAGCACGGACCGGCAAAGTAAACGGGGGACTGGAAATTGGAAAACTGTAACTCCCCACAGAAACCTTACTTCTAACCTGGCTTATTTTGAAGAACACAATAATATTGAACTTTTATATTTAAAAAAAGCAGAGGTTTTTATGTTCGATTTCTGGAGATAAATTGAAATAACCGTTAGTCGCATGTATGAAAAGCCGGGCCGTGAAGCAGAGTATTTAGAAAACAAAACATTATCAAAATGGGAGAATGTTCGGCCGCCGGCGCCGCAGCAAAGATTACGGTAGCTGTTGCTATCTCCTTTCCCTGTGCATTGCAGGAAACAAATAGGAAAAAGTTGGAAATCAGATTAAATGAAAATTATGTAAACCCGAAATAAGATGATAAGATAATTAATTTGATGTGTGTATTTCGAGTCGGAAAGCAAGAATTTTTCAAAGGTTAAAACGAGGATGGAAACGGAAGACACGTTTTGATGTCTAAATAACACAGCTCAGAAGAAATCTGAGAGCTTACAACATAATCAGACTTCGTCTCAAGTGCTTATGAAGCTCGTTAGCCAACATTCTGCGGTCGTTTCTCGGATAGAGCTCGCAGTTTTCTTCTCAATTTTCCGACCTCCCAAAAGGGGATTCTGCAGGTTTGTGCCGTGTTTACAGTGCTCCGAGAAGGCGCAAAACATTCAAGAGCTCTTTTCCGCGCATTTCTAATGAATGTACTTTTAGCTGAGTAGACTAATTTCGAGAAAATGAAGATATGGAAATAGGTCAAAGATGTGTCCAGGACCAATTCAAAAGAGAAAAATACCAAAACATGCGTTGGGCGTGTTACAGACCGAAGGAGCTCATGGGATTCGCCGTGAATTATTCGGCACTCGATGTAACCCGAACCTTGTGATTATAATGTACACGTTGGAATGGAATGGGAAATGAAATTGAGGGGTTCCCAGGATACTCGGGTCTTGCTCACAAGAGAGGAGAAAAAGGAAAGTGAGAGAAGAAGGCGGAGAAGAGGAGGCAGTTGTTTTGGGTTGACAGGTGAAGTCCATTTCGGGTGATAAGACACAGTCTGAGTGACTTCTCAGTGACAGCTGTTCCTTCTTCGATAACTGGGAGCTGACCTGCTGACCCGGGATATCCTGAAGGACAGCTGGTCCCTCGCCGTTTCTAACATGGCCCACCCAGCCACTGGCAACTTTTTCACCCGCACCTGCCATACGCGGAGGACAGACGAGAAAAAAACGAGATGACCGTCAATCGGACGACGGAAGAGGTTGAGTGGGCAGACTTCGGGAGGCATCGGGAGAACAGCTCGGATGGCGGGTAAACACGGAATATTCCGGTGGCACGCGGGGACACACAAACAGTAAACACATGAAGCGAGGAAGAAAGGGGGGGGGGAAAAGGTGCCGTTCACATAAACAAATTCAACTTTGATAGGATAAGGAAGCCCTTAATCGGATCATGATGTGAGTTCTCTGATAGCGGGAAGGATCCGGAAAAGGCCACTGTCTGACAGGGATTTTAGGAGTGGATCGAAAAAAACCTAGGGGTAGTGAACACGGCGGGAACGATAAAAGTGTGTGAGCGCGTGTGTGTGTGTGAAAGAGAGAGTCTTTTTTCTCTGTCTGTTACCCTCTGTCCGTCTCCCCCAGGCCCGCGCCGTCAGGGTGAGCGTGCGTGAGACCCTCCGTCTCTTCCACTCGCGCACTCTTTCGGCACCTGGGGGTGAGCGCCGCGTCGGCATCAGGGACACGCAGACACTGGGCGGGCACGGAGGGAAGAAACACTCGGTCGCTCGAGAAGCCTGGGGGACAGGCCGAGACGACGACGGACAGAGACGGAGGACCGACTCGTCGTCGCCGCCGCCGTCTCTTTTTGCAGCCAAACACACTCGCGCCCATTTTTTCCAAAGTGTTTCCCTCTCCCGCAGCTCCTCCTCGACCTCTCCGCTCTCCGTGCGCACTCTTCGTTCGCTCTGCTTCAGGTTCCGTCGAATCCGCGCCCTTTCTCCTCGCATTCAGTGTTCCCCTCGCTCTCCTCCTCGCGCCCACTCTGTTCACCACGGGCGCCGAAATCGTGCCAAAAGTGCAGGCATGTGTTCGAAGTGTACTTTTTGGCCAAAGGACGGCCACCACCGCATCTCTTCTTTTTACCTACAAAACTGAAAAATAAACGAAAGGGACCTAACTAAACGAGCCAATGGACCCGACTGAACAAAATGAATGCAGATATCGTAGCCCAGAACGTTTCTCTCTGATGGACTCCCAATATGAGAAACATCTGGTTACTGTAGCGACTATTTATTCGTCAGAACCGATGCGAAATCGAGGAATATAATTGATGGGCAATACGAAAAAAGGGCTTGCGGTCCGTTGTCGTGGCCGTCGTCTCATCCATCCAGTTTCTAATTTAAATAAGGTTCAGAATGACTTTGATGGCTTCCCGGATGACGTCCGTCACGGCTTCTTTCGTGCATTCTCCCCTGAAAGTAATCTATTCTGAAGGATTTTCGTCGCCGAATTGGCACATACTCGAATGGAGGAACGTGGATGAAAAGAGCTTTGGAGCAGTCTTCGTGGAGCGAAAGGAAATAGGAGAAACCGCAGAGATATCTGCGAGAGGGAAAAGTTGAATAGGGAAAGAAGGGGAGCAAAACCTTCCCGGATCCGCGGACTTTTCGACCTTTAGTCCTCCGTGCTTTTGTCCGTCCAATTGCAGTCTTTCGGTGACTTGCTTCGCCAGATCCTCGCAGTCAATGCACGTCACGAGCACATTGTCTTCCCGTTTGCACCCCGTCTTGTTCCCTTCTGGAGTACATCCGTTCACGTCGTCGCGGCAGTACCCGTCGGAAAAGGCTTGCTGTTCGAACTTGATCGTCTTCTGAGAAGGATGTGCTCCGATGTGAATGACGAGCTGAAAACGATAGAGAATGAATAATTTGGACGCCAGTTGTCTGTGCTCACGTCTGGAGAGTGTTCCTTCCACAATTCGGGAACCTTCTGGCTCACATCCTCATAGGCAACTGGGATCTTGTGCAGTTCGAGATAGACGCCTGGAAAGAAATCAGAGATAAGGGGCATAAGCTAGCGGCCGACTGACCATCCACTCCTTGATTCTGGAGTTCATCTACGACGATCGACGACGGGTTCTCTGCGAATCCCTGGAACGGGCCGAATCCTGAAGTATACTGTTTCAGGGGACCCGAGAAGGAGAAGTACTAACCAGTAACCACGACTTTCTTCTTTATCATCGTTATGAACTGAAATCAACGTAGTTTGTTATCAAAACGGAATTGGAAAAACGGGAAGGGAAAGTGTGCAAATAGGAAAGAGTCGCCGATGCCTTCTTTTGAAAATCCAATTGAGCAAAGGTCTAGTTCAACAAAGGATGTGCAGGTCACCGAAGAAAAGCTGTCCTCAAACATTTAAAGTTACTGAAGTGACCAAAAATTCTGAGCACACTAAGAAATAATGTCAGAAGGAGTGCACGGCGTTCTCAATAAACCATATTCTCAATAGAGCACACTTACCACATTCACTTGTTTCACTCACCCCGAACGGTTTCTGCGGTTCCGTGCACATGCTCAGCATATCTCCGATTTCACCGGGACTTCCGACCTTAATAAGGTAATGGAAAAGTTCTTGAAAAGTGCAAGTTCACTCACTCCCATCATCTTGAAAATAGTAATGATCTACGAAGAAAACGAGAAGAAATGCGGGAGAAAAGGGGAGAGAGAGGTCGAATCTTTGGGAGAAGAACTGATGTTTCGCATCGCTCGGAGACACGAAGATCGGTTGTAATGCGGAACTGCGAAGGGGAGGGTGACACACATTGCCCTTTGAACTGAAAAGATATCGAGAACGAGAGAAACTGTTTATACTTGCATGCAACTAATCGAATAGAAATCACAAGTCATGCTATTTTTATTTATGACTTGGAGAGAACTGTGATTTGTACGTCTGGACACTTGACAGAAAATGACTTTCAGTTTTGGTATGGGTAACTTTCCAATATTACAAAGCGTTCTCAGTTAAACCTGACACCACATGTACTGCACAACGAATACAGGGTTAATGTGTCAAACATATCAAACGGGGTTTCCGGTATTCCATGAGAACGCGTCGTTAATCATTCAGCACTCTAGGGTTCGTGTGGCCGAGGTCTATAGAAAGAAGGAAAGTATGGGAATATCAACGTAGCAGAGGCTTTATATATGGAGATCCGAACAAAACAGCACGTTCTCAAAACATTATGAATCATCGAGATATATGTAATTCACTTTTCACAAAGTCGGGAATTTGGATATTTTTAAAAATATACCTGCAATAAAGTTGGAAAGGGATTTTCACTGAATACTTTCCACATCGAAAATAATTGAATAAGCAAATTCGAGACTGAACCAGACTTGCAAGATTTGGAGACAGACAAAAATATGCAAAAGCGTGCTGCAAAGTCTTTGAAAGTGTGGTGAAATAGCTTTTAAAAAATAGGCTTCAGTGTTGCGATCTATCGATCAGTCACTTTTGAGCGAACTGTTGTAATCCTTTTCAAATTATTCGAAATGCTTGAACCGATTTAGACCCTGTCGGCCCGGCCCGTTGCAAGCCTGGTCTGAACTTAGTCTGAGCAGTCAGATCCCCCGAATGAATTGTTATTATTGCATTGCATGTCTCTTTTCTCGGAGCTCTTTCGCATCCCATTCACTCGTTTCCCTTTCCAACAACATTCACCGCTTCTGAACGGATCTCCCGCTCTCTCTCTCTCTCTCTATCTCTCTCTCTCTCTCTCTCTCTCTCTTTCTCTCTCTTTCTCTTCGTTCACTCTCTCTCTCTCTTTCTAATTACCCTCGTGAAAAGGACACGCAAGCACCGGCTCACAGAGCACCTCTTCGGCCCTCTGAGCGGCTCTCCGCTTGCCCGGTTACCATAGACACCGGCGCCTCGCTCTGTCTCTCTTTCAGTCTCTCTCTCTCTCCCTCTCTGGGCAGCCATCCTCCTACTCTTCTCTGCCGCCGCTCGCCCCAATTCACTACCAATCTGAACTCGTGTTCTAGCTCTCTTTCATTCCATTTTCTTCTTGCTTTCAGCTGCAAAAACGGGTCACGTCTTCGAGAAGAATACGAGATTGAAAGAACGAACACCAGTCGAAACGGACCATGTCTTCGGCCGTCAAACTCGCTGATCGGTAACTTTTCCGTTACTTTCTCCCGATGAAATCCTCCTCATCTCGTTATTATTTCTGCCATTGCCCGTCTGTTCACAAAGAGATTTTCCCTCATTTCCGTCTGGCTCCGGAGGGATTATTGTCGGTGTCTTTGCTCTAAACAACGCTTTTCTTCTACAGATATCTGATGACGAAACGGCTCGGAGACGGCACATTCGGAGAAGTGATGCTCGCCAAGAAAATAGACACCGGGGACCGGGTGGCGATCAAGAGGTACGGGCAGGAAGTGATATTCTCACGCTTGACGAGACGCGCACACTTCCCGTTTTCAGGATGAAAAAGAAGTTCTACAGCTGGGAAGAGGCGATGAGTTTGCGGGAAGTGAAGTCACTCAAAAAGCTCAATCACCCCAACATCATCAAGCTGCGAGAGGTGAGCGGAAATGACTGATTGAGTTACTTTTGGTTGTCCGCAGGTGATACGCGAAAACGACATTCTGTACTTCATATTCGAGTACATGCAAGAGAATCTGTACGAGCTGATGAAGGATCGAGACCGTTATTTCCCGGAAAGTGTCATTCGGAACATCATCTATCAAGTGCTCCAGGGGCTCTCGTTCATGCATAAAAACGGATTTTTCCATCGAGATATGAAGCCGGAGAATATAATGTGCAATGGAACCGAACTGGTCAAAATAGCCGACTTTGGACTGGCGAGGGAGATCCGTTCGAAGCCGCCCTACACTGACTACGTCTCGACGAGATGGTACCGTGCTCCGGAGATCCTGCTCAGATCCACTTCCTACAACTCTCCGATTGACATCTGGGCGCTCGGCTGCATCATGGCTGAGCTCTACATGCTCCGTCCGCTCTTTCCGGGAACTTCTGAGATGGATCAGTTGTTCAAGATCATTTCCATTCTCGGAACTCCAAATAAAGTGAGCACACCTCTTGTTTGTGCCTAGACTGTTGCGATTTCAGGATGAATGGCCAGAGGGATACCAGTTGGCTTCCGCAATGAATTTCCGATTCCAGCAAGTGGTGGCGACTCCGATGGAACAGGTGAGCATAGTTCGATTCACAGTAGCCGTTGTGGGATTACTGTGATTCTACTTTGTTCTACAGGTGGTCAACACAATCAGCAAAGAGGGAATGAAGCTAATGATGGACATGATGATCTGGAATCCGGAGAAACGGCCGAACGCACAGCAGTCTCTCCGTTACAAATACTTCCAAGTGGCGGAGAAGCTCGGCGCTCCGGTCGTCAGTCAGCCGGCTCCGGGCAGCATTCGGAAGACGAGCGCCACTTCGGTGAAGAGCGACACAAAAGCGATGACGGCGAAGGCCACAAAGGTGAGAATGAATGAAAACGGAGGGAAGGGGAGACTGAGATGATTGCAGAAGGATTACTTGGAATCGGAGAATGTGTCGCCTCAGCAGCCGGCGAAAGTGATCGAAAGACACTCAAACAGGAACCTCCCACTCAACAAGGCGACTTTATTCGAAAAGTCAGTGTTTCAGTTTCCCAGAAATGTACAATATCGTTTCAGAACTGATAGCAAACCGCTGGCGCCAACGAAAACGAACGAGGCGAAGCCGTCGGCGAAGGACATTTATTTATCGAAAAGCAAATACGTTCCGGGTACAGTAATCGGGACTGCGCGCGCTCTTTTCTGTCGATGTGTTCTCTAAATGCAATCGTTCAGGTCAAACGACGAAGGACGTTTCTTCTTCGAATCAGAATCAGATAATGACGACGAACGGCCTGACGGGCGCCACGAAAACGACGACTTTCAGCGCGAAGAAGGAGGGGCGGACGGCCGTTCAGACAAGGTTCGAGTACGCGTACGGTTCGTCGTTTTGTTCTCTTCTCGGCTGTCCTTTGGTTGCGCATGTTCCCCCCTCTCCGGCCGCTCCCATTTCAGTGCCCTTCTTCAGGATACATCCCAAACTTCGGAGCAAGACAATCGGGGAGTGTGCCGCCCAACCAGCAGAATAAGGAAACCAACTCGGCGAACAAAATGACGAATGCGGGTCGTGTTGACTGGGCGGCCAAGTGAGTTTCGGCTTCTCCTCCGCTCTTCTGAACACTCATTTCAGATATGTGAAATGAGCAGCCACACTACGACCTCTTTTCCTCTCCTCTCCCATTCTCGCTCTCTTTTTTTCTTTCCACAACTCTTTCATATTGTTCCTTCTTGTTATTTTCGTGCAGTATTCGTCAAACAATGAGCATAGACAATTCACATGTATTTTACCAGAAAAATAATGAATCTGTTCAGGCACTTAATCTACGAAACGTTTGACTTGAGGAAACGGATCCAAATTTAAGTGAAATTGAAAAAAAACCGAGTGAGAAAAGTGTGCTGGAGAAAAGCGGGAACAACGCTAATGAGTACGGTAGATTACTATAATCAAATTGGAATTACGGTACTCTAAAACGGTCGAATAATTCAAAAATCACACATGAAAATCTAGAAAAAAGGGGAGGGGCTCAATTCTTAGAACCGAGATATTAGCAGCGGACGTCGTCGAACCAGCAACCACTGAATGCAAATCCTAAAAATTCTAGAGAATGAACATGGGAAAAGCTATAAATAAACTGAGCAAAAAAGGGGAGGACGGACTAATCAGAGCACCACAATGAAGTGAAATTGGAGGAAAAATAGTATATCATGGGGCATATTATTGCGGCTGATCAAAAGTGAACATGGGACAAAATTGGTATCTAGACAACAAAAATTGCAGTTTACGCATCCGTACACTCTGTTGACGTCTCTTCCGATTCGGATGGCTTCTGGAATCAAATCTGATAGGAATAAATTAGAACGGTGCAATGAAACTTGCCTCTGGCGTGGATGGCGTCGGATCCATCGGTATGTCGGCCTCTTCTTCACCAGTACTGGGGACGACGACTGAGATCGTGGGAGCTGCCTCCTCGACTTCATCGATCTCCATATCGACCACATCCGTGTTGTCTTCACCTTCTTCCACGCGCACGGCGACAGCAAGCATCTCTGGGGGTTTGGCGATATCTTCCTCTTCCGACTGATTCTGTAATAGTTTTCGATCATGTGTAAGGAGCAGTTGAATTTCTCAACCATAGGCTCATCCTCGAACTCTTCCATTTTCTGAATCGGTGCCTCTTTTGCAATTAATTCTTCAATGTCTTTCATCTCATCCGCTATACCTCGTTTGATCTGAATTCCATCGGTATCACTGAAGCAATCGACTATAAAACTAACGACTTGTTTGACTTCCTTGTCGACGACACGAACAATACTTCCAGTCGTATCCGTCAGAATCACATCCCCAAAGAATGACTGTTCGCGTTCTCTCATCCTTTGCGTGCGGCTTTTCAGGTCGACTGGTTGAGAATCGTTCGCCAACCCTTGACATTTTTTGGCAAAGTATGCAGCATCAATATCCAAGTCTTTGGACAACGTGGACATCATGCTGGCGAGAAGATCGATGTCACGGTGGACATTTGAAGGATCAGAAGGCTTCTTGTCAGTGCTTTCAGAAAGCAAAATGTTCTTCCACGTGTCCAATGCCTCGCAAGAAGCTATTCTAACATTTGGAACTTCTGAAAAAAGAAAAGAGTGAACTTTCTGATTGCTCCGTCTTTCTTACTGTCTTGAACTAGTTGCTGAAGAGGAGTGGCGAAAAAGTAACGGAATTGAACTCCATCGCATTGCTTGTCACGAAGAATTTGAGCAGAAATGAAACAGAACCTGAAATGGAGAACTGTCAACCAATTAGGATCACTTGGCTTACGTCTGTCTGCGAGTCCACTTCTGAGTCTTGGCGAAGCTGGAGACGATGTCATCGACGAACTGCTCCGAGAGGAAGCTTTCCGCTTTCTCTTTTTTGCTCTTTGCATCCAAATGCCCCTTCTCGATGTCACGGCTCTCTTTGATCTGTGCCCATTCGACCGAAACTAGAGCGCCGACGATCGTCGAGACGAGAATGACTGCCTCGCGGCGGACCTCTGCAACTCGGTCATCGGCCAAAGTGAGTGCGATTCCGGAAATGTGAAGGTTGATATCCTGGATGTTGTACAAAGAGCAAAGCTTTGAAAGCTGCCTGAAATGTATATATTCAGCTGTAAAGCGTGCTGTTCGAGGAACTAACGATATCAGTTCGAAACGAGAACGCCAATCTCCGTTCTGTGCCTGATTTCCGGGCTGGGCCCCGATCGGGAAGAATTGCGGCAACGAGAAGATGATCTCTTCCCGCTTCTCCAACGACAGACACTACAATTTCTCCATCAATTCATGTGTTTTCAACTGGTTCTATTACCTTTACGAAATCAAACAAATGTAGCAAAATGCCGTTTCGCACGTCTGCATTCTGGTCGTTTCTGTAATAATGGTGGAACAAACTGAAGACGTCGAGTAACGGGATAATTACCTGAGGTCGTAGAAGACAGGCAGCAGATCTTCGTCGGTTATTTCAGTGCCGAGCATGGTGGCGATTTCGTGAATTGAATAGGATATCGACTGACGAACTCTGGCTTGCTCGTCGAGAGCCAACTTTCGGAAGACCAGTTTCAGGCGTGGCCATGCGGCTCTTCCGAGAGTGTAGCATACTGCGGGGAAGTTGTGAGCGCAGTGACGGTAGATTTCTGCACACAACGAGGCATCCCCGGTGGCAACCGCCCCACCGTTGTGGCTTATCGGACCCATCACTTTCATGTAAGACTCGACGAGGTCGACGGGAACATGACGAAACACCTCGTGCTCGATCGAGGTCAGGCTGATATCCGACTCTTCGGTCATGGCGGCTTCTCCGTGGATCGACGAGTTCGAAGAAATTGACATGTTCATCTCCTCAATGTCCAAAATACCAAGTTTCTCTCTCTCTTCTGTGTTGATCATCGCCACCGAATCACTGCTTTTCGACGAGTCGACAGAAGAGCTTGTAGGCGACGATTCGGAAGAACTATTGGCCTTTCTGGAACTGGTATCAATTGAATTTAATCAAGTCGGGCAGAATTAAACTTTCTTGGCGATGCGGTAACTGGCGATCCATTGGATACGAACGACGACGATCTGGCTCTTGGCGAAGTGCTCGCTGGCTTCATGACGTCGAAACGGCTCTCCAGGTAATTATTGGAAGTTGGCGAGTTTGTGAGAGAAGAAGAAGAGCCGAAGGGCTTCAGTTCATCGTCGATAGAACTGCAAAGACATTAAGAAATGCATAGAATCGGCAAGAGAATAACATACGCAATGGCGTAGTTGGAGGACCAGTAAGTCAGGGAGAACTCATTGGAGACCGGCTCCTGGCTGATATTTTGTATTGATGCGGAAACCGAGACAGACTCGGACACTGAAGATTTGATTTCCATGGACAGGGGAGTGTCCTCTTCGTCTTCTTCTTCGTCAGCCACGAAGGACTTGTCCAGTCCGTCCTCCTCGTCGCTGTCTAAAGCTTCGTTCTCATCGTCGTTGAACTTCGGAGTCTGATTTTCCATGTCTGCAATTTCAACATTTCCAAATTAGAGATTCGAACGGCCACGATCAGTCAGATGTGAGCAACAAAACAGAACAAAAGATGGTGAACAAGGACGATGTCTGGGACAATCAAAAGTGCGAAAATAAAATATTGAGCGGAGTATGCGAGAGGGAAGTAATTTTAAACAAACAATGATCGAACGGTGCACAGTCGATATATTTCATCACTCATCACTACATACATAGCTCGCGGTCCACAGTGTTCAGTTTGTTGTCGTCTTCAACGAACATCGGCGGTGTCATCAGTCCCATCGATCGTATTTCGGTTGGAGCTGCGAAATCGAATACAAGCCCTTTCTTCTTCCGCGAGTTGCGGATTGGCGAGCGGCTTGGCGATAGCTTTGGCGACAATTTCGGCGAGCGCTTGGAACCCGACGGTGGCAGCGCGCCGAGCCTTCGAAGGAAGAGCTTTTGCCGAATGTCGAGCTTCGACCACGCGTTCGTCGCAATTCGCCTCCCGCGCGGACTAGATGTTCGTTTCTCTGGCGACTGCTCCGCATGTTTCTGCGGCGATGCAACGGAAGATGCTAAATGAAGCGGGTTACGGTACGAGAGAGGAAAATAAAGATTGAGAAGAGCGGACTGGGTGAGACGGGATGAAGTAGTGTGGAACACGACAAGACCACCACCAAACGGAAAACTACAGCCACTATTAGGAGCCGATTTGCAGAACGAATGAAACTGACCGTCGTCGTCAAGTCCCAATTTGGTCAGATCGTCGGTGGAGCTGCACTTCGCAGCGATACCCGTTCCTCCGTTTACCTCTGAACCGGCTTGCTTAGAATCAGTGGACGCGTCGGCGGAAGAATCAAATATCGGGAACCGCCTGAATGCGAAACGATGGTATCAGATTGCAGCTGACGACTTGATCAACTTACTGAGGATTGTTAGGATTGCTTCTCTTGCTCCACTTGTCCATCAGACTGACTGCGCTGTGCAAGGAAAGCGTGCGTTTTCCCGGGCTGGAGAAGGTCGATGAAACTTTCTCAATTTCCTTCGGAGCATTGGACTTCGGAGAGCTGCGATCAAACGGACTGAACATTTTGTTTATCCCAGAAAGAACACTGAAAAAAAGAGAAAGCTGAATTTGGCATGAAATTATGCGAGAACCTATCCATAACTCGTTCTCCTCGCTTCGGAGTTTTCACAGCTGCCGAGACAGACTCGGTCGCCGGCCTCGGTGCCACGTGTTCGTTCAGTGTCAATCTGTACTCGAAGTCATCGTTCGGATCAATTTCAGGAAGCCACGTGTCCTGCGGTAGATCTCCAAACTCGTGGGAACCACCGTCCGACACAGTCGTGTTGAAAGAGCTGGAAACGTCGGCCGGAGCGGTGACTTCTCGCAAAATTATCTGTCCATCTTTTAACTCAATTCCCGTGATATTCGGGTCAGCAAAGAGAGAAATGAACGGTCCGAGCTGCTGATAAGCGATGAATGATACCCATTTGTTCGGATCATTCAGAAGGCGAACAAAGTTCGGAGACAGAATATCGACGCGCACTTCATTTGAAGCACATTCGGCTACTTTCACGAATATCTGAAGAAGCGTCTCCTAATTTGATTGACAGTTTTCTCAGTTTCATTACCTCACAAGCTACTTTTCGCACTGCCCAGGTCATATCGCACGATAGTGTTATCAGATGAGGAACGAGAAACTGAAAAAGTAGTAGAAGGGTGCAAGCGGATCACACCGCGATTATCCTACCACTTCTGTGAACTTCTGTCCGAACAGATTTCCTAGATTGCCAAAGATGTGCAAGGCGCTCTGAAAGTTTACAATTAGGTTGATGTCGTTTTCGGAACGTTCATGTTTCCCATTCCACGAGGCACTAGGTTCGTTTTCATGTTTTGAAAGCCTCTGCTTTCCGGTAATGATTCATCAAAACCACTCTAATTTGTGTGCATCTTTGATTCGATTAAACCATTTCCCCTTCGATTAGCCCCCATGTCACATCTCCTTCCCATCGTTCCAACATCAGTCACTCTACCTTCCGGACGTGCATCGTCGGATCCTTGAGCATCTGTGAGAAACTTGGAAGGAAGTTCTCGAAAAGCCATCGCCGATCGTGTATCGTGTCGAATGAGATCACTTGACAGAGTGCCTGAAACAACTGTTACACTTGTAGAACCACGTCACTTCATCAAGAGTGACGAAACCGAAAAGCTCAACAATTCGACAATGTTATGGCTTCCTTCTTTCGCATTTCTTTTCTACACACTGCAGTTTATAGCAAACTGGCACACTCCGAGGTGGCCTACTCGGAAAAAGGACAGATTAATCTCTTTATTCAATTAGAAAACATTGACAAATCGGAAATTTATCGAGCGACACACTGACTCCATCGACCCAACCCTTTACTCGTTACCATTACCGTTTGCGCTCAAAGTGATAGTGATACGTTCAGCACATCAAAGCTGGCTGTGATATGTGTCATTCAATGTCAACATTTCACGCGCTTCTTTGACGAGCTTCACGATCATTATTTGGTAAATTGCATAGACAGGGAATAGGAGGGAAGAAGTAGGACGTCTTTTAGAGCAAAAGACGGAGGGACCGACTGAATGAGTCGCCGAGGGGAAGAGCCGCAGGCACATGTGACCGCCCGTGCCTCCCTCCGCCTCCAGGACCGCAGTGCTGTCACTCCACAACCTCCGACGACTACGACTAGTGGAAAAGGGGCCGCAGGAATACAAGTTGGACGGGGGCTCGAATGAGAGGGGCCCAACGAGACGAGGAGACGGGGCGGCAGTCGGCAGCAGCACTCGGCACACATCTAGACACACAAACACGCGCACTCACAACACCCCATCGGGTGGGCGGAGTCTCAGTTGCTTCCTCCTCCTCCGCCTCCTTGCCTCGTCTCCAAGTGTCGTACACTGTCTCTGCTCCGGATACCCGCCCACTTCCAGAGCACATTCGGAGAGGAGAGAGCAGACATCCGAAGGGGCGATCCTAATCCAAGTGGGGGACTGAACTAGAAAAAAAAGGGGAGCAGGACGAGAATTCACCGGGGAAGGGAAGATGGGCAAGACGACGAAGGGAAAAGAAGCAGCAAATCTTGAGAAAACCCGGCGAAGAATGATGAAAGAAGCACACGCACGCGATTTCATCTGTGTCTCTTCTCTTTCCCTTCCGGACCCTAAACAGCAATGGGCCAGAAGCGAAGGACCGCGTCGAGGGCCCTTCGGAGAGTAGCACACGCAAGAAGAGCCTCAAATATGCATGAGATACCCAAAGAGAAAGAAGATGTGAGCAATTCTAGGATGGCAAATATTCGAGGGACGGTTGACTAAAGAGTAGCCTGATTAGCTCAATTCTCAAGTGTCGAATTCATAGAAGTTTCTAACAAATTGGCGTCGTCTTGCCACGTCATTGGCACTATTTACTCTTGTTTATCGGTCAGCGAGGGCTTTACAATTCGTCTCCTCCAGGCCCATTCTGTTCCTGATGAAAAACAAGGGGTCGTTACACCAAGACAAGTCGGAATTTCAACACAGGCCGTTGTAGTCATCAGTTCATCGTCGCCACAACCGCTAAAGTGATGGAAAGGAGCAGGAGGGCCTGCCAGAGGGAAAGGTCCATAAAACGCGCGGGCTCTCTATTGCCTGCCTTTGCTCTCAATGTATCCGTGGGGCCGACGAGGAGGGGGATAGTGAGGAGCCAACAACTAAACTAGGAGAAGAGTTGTCTCGACGTGTTCGACATAATGAGGTCATTAGAGAGCATGTTTCAAAGAATTCCTGGAAAGACAAACTCTCGGGTTACAATTTCGAGATCAAAAAGATGAACTTCCTATGCAATGAGTGTGCGCTAACCGGCTCGGCTACCGATAGGCGGCACTCGAGAAATCGCCCGTCACAGGCAGCCAAGTGCGTGTTCCGGCCTCTTCCCATCGCGCATCCTTATCACTTCGCAGCCAAACACTATCCATCCAATCGACGGCTCTATTCCGCTTTGCTCACTCGTATCCTCTCTTTCGAACAGAATCGTGTGCAGCGACGACAGCTGTCCGGACGGCAGCCGTCCTTTGTCCTCGCGCCATGTGTTGCCCTCCTTCTCTTCACAATCGTCCTTGTTACCATCATCACACCATCTGGCGGCACTCGTCCGCTGACTCGCCAGATGCCGTCTTTCGCGTCTCGTCGATTGTGCACTCTTTCTAACAGATACCACCCGTACTTTAGAATCGAACGCAGTAAACTCTCTTTGAGCTAACCAAGAAATGAGAGTAGCAGCAGATGACTGGCAAGTCCGATCAAAATCAAAATAGGAAGCAAAAGTTCCGGTGAAATAATCTCGTGGGAGTACTGAACAGGCCATCAAAAGGGACGTCGAAGAGAAAGACAGCTCTTTGTGGACATGTCGTTCTTCACTTGACGGGGTACCAACAAATGTCGATGATTGCCGTCTGTCACCTGCTCTTTCCGGTCCGTCAAGCCACCCAAATGAATATTCTTCTGTCATTTTTCTTTGCTTCTGCACCTGTTGCCCCTATTCTCTAATCACAGCAAACAATCGCTTTCGTCTCCAAAAGCGCGCGTCGCGTGTTGGTCGCACTTCTGCTTCGGTAGAAACGGAAATTTTCAAAATTTTCGAGGTCGGAAAGAACGACAGGCGCCCCGGGAGACGTTTTGTCTCAGTGGAGATCGAAAGGACGCTCACCACCTTTACAACCACTTTTTACGCGTTGAAATGTGAGAAGTCGGAAGATAGTGCAGGCGAGACGAGAGATGATCTGAGGGCGAGTAGAAGCGGCAAACGAGAAGAAACGGATAGGAAGGATGGAAAGGGGGGGGAGGGGATTGAGGAGAAAGAGATGATATCTTCGACAATTTCGATACTTTTCGAATGAGTTTTAACAAGTCGAGGGGAGAAATGACTCTCGACAGGTGACTTCTATCAGTTGTTCCGGCGCTTGGAGGGATTGGGAAGTTCGAAGGATCGATAAGATACGAATGGTAGGGAATCGGAGGGAAAACTGACGAACAGAAAGGTATGGGTAGTCCCAGACAGTGGGCGAGCTCGCAGAATTTCTGATGAGCTGTCTGGAACCACCAACGGAACGACATACACTATGACCAATAAAGTTGTCTCCGAACAATTTTATATTCACAGCACCAATAGTTCAAAACTAAACACTTTTGGAGCAGAGAATAACCAAGTATAAACAAAAAATTATTCCAGATTAAAATAACTAAGAATCCGATTCCAAAAGCTTACAGGGAAATACAAATACGAAAAAAGCGTAAACCGTGATTTTCTAGATTGAAAGGCAACATCCTTATATCAATTTGCATAGCTGAAATCACTTTTGTATCGCACATACAAAAGTGATTTGACACTTCAATTTGTTTCCCCTAAAACTGTGATATAAATTTGCACTGCCCTATCTTAACAAGAAACAAATTCACAAATGTGAAGCTTACTGATCGCCTGTGTTCTTGATCCCAATAGAGACACCTATTCCGTAAAGAACCTCAACTTTGCTTTCCTCTAAAAGGCAATAAACCACCCAAGCAGCGACCATTTAATCCCATGCCAATCTGTTCTGATTGAAAAAGAAAACCAACTGTGTGCGTGACGTATTCTCTTGCCGTCGCAAAAGTGCAAAACCATAAACGCGAATCACCCACCAGTTGAGATGAAATGGACGGGGGCTACGAAAAGAACAATGGATAGAAACCGATTTTTTCAGCCAGGGGACGAGGTACACTAGACAGCACAAAATTGTGAAACATTGGAAATAGAGCATGATCCTGCACAGTTTAATGAACGATCGTGCCGATAAAAGTATTTTACGCTAAAATTATCTTTGCACTTGTTCAAAACATGTCTACTGTTTTCAAGCGCCCAAGTTTGCTTGTGCTAAAGTTCCAGTCCAATTCGGAAACGCAAATTTATGAAACACTCGACATTCTAAACATCGGAATGAACATTTTATGAATACCCAATTCGACTGAAATTGAAGTTTGTGGGTCATCAGAATTCTGCGACGTCTGTGGAATTATTGTTTTGAAAAATGCGTCTGGGCCATAGAAACCAAATATAAATCCTCGTGAGTTACGGTGATTTTTGAAATCTGAAAAGAACTAACTCGAAATGTGTTTAAGCAATGTAAATTTTAGTTTCGCGATAATTTTCCTAGGTCTCCATGTTTTCGTTGTTTTCCGCGTAAATTTCCGTTTCAGAATTTAGATTCGTTCGAATTGCGTGACGATATTTCCTATTTACATTGCAACCATCCATCTTTTCAATTTGCAATTCTGATCAATCGTTCGACCGTTTCTTCTTTTTCCTTTGTTCTGCCTGAAGACACATTCGTCCGTCGTCTCTTCTTTTCCTATCACACTTATTTTTCTTCTTCTTCTTCTTCTCCTTCCTTTGTCTCATTTTCGTTACTTTTGTGTACTGTCGAAGAGCGAGAGTAGGCGCGTCGTCGGCAGACTCGCAAAGGCGAAATAGAGTTGCGCCCAGACAGACACAGCCAATTGCCCATTTTGCCTGTCGTCCTGTGCACTTTTGCCGGGGGCGTTGTCACACTTTTTGATTGTGTTGCGTGTTTCTCTACGTATTTCTCCATTCGGCTGATAAATAAAAGATGACCAAATTGAAGATATCCGCGACCAGGTGGTACTGTAGCAGGAAAGACGGGCATTCCTTCCTCCGAGAAAACGAGCGTTGGCAAAATTGACAGGATGCGGGTTGAAAAAGCTGAGCACACTTACTGGAAAGTATGTCCCCAATTTTCCCCGCTCGCTCTTATCATGGAACTAAACATGGGATTTTCTCGATTAGTCGTTTCGTTTTCGTTCTTCTCCGACAGAGGATTAAAAAACGGCATACGTTTCCACCTTGGCTCCCCGGACATCATGTGCTCCGCGCGTTTCTAATCCAAACATAGTGCTTTTCTCTCTCATCAATATTCCATCTTCACCTCACCCCATACAATCTGCTTCTTCCTCCAACCGACACAATAAGCAAACGAAGATGGAAAGAAGAAGAAGAGGAAGGGGGAAATGCGAAGAGGCCCGTTTATAGCTCGCCCGAGTCGCATCGAGTGATTCATCTCCTCTCTTTTGCTGGCTCTGACGCCAAATGAACGCACTCACAAGCACACAAAAAGCGGGGACGGAGAGAGAGAAACAGAGAGAGAGAGAGAGAGAGAAGAAGAAGAAGAGAGGTGCGATTGGGTCCCCCATAAACCGTCAGATTGACGACTCAACTACTCTTCCTTTTCCCTTCTATTTTTTTCAAATTGGGAGGCGACGGCATATGGCTGCAATCTGATGGAGACGGAGCGCCCCTTCCTGTTTCGTCAGCTCTCCATCTCAAAAAAGACAGATGGTGTTCGCGTTCGACACTCGCGCACTCGAATTCAGGAACAAAACAACAACATGATTGATGTTTTCAGCACGCTCGTGGGTATACTGTAGCCGCCTGATTCGCTGACGTGTCTTTTAATTCAGGGATGCGTTGTTGTTGTGGCGTGCTCCCGTTTCCCTGACAACGCGTCCACTTGATCGGTCACATTTCTGTCCCGTGGAAGGGCGCTTTCAATCACGTAGGGGGTGACCGGATGAAGTTGAGCCCTGCCTACCTACTCTCACACAATTTTGTCACAATCCAAACGGCGAAAAACAGAATAGTGATACGACGAGGCTCCGACGTCTCACTACCCATGTCTTTCATCGTCGGGCAGACTGTGCGATGGAATCTTAGGCTACGACTGCGGAAGGCAGAGACTCGACTAACCTATGAAGATGCCAATGCGGAAAGTCTCTTCTTATCACTCAACTTCGACTTATCAGTCACCCGACAAAAAACTTATCGGAGTGTAGAGAGCAAGAGAGTATGCTGTGAGACTGCAAACTCTCCAATTTCGAAGCTAACCTTTCGCGCGCCGCCTTCTCTGCTCTTCTCTTCGAGACGCAACGGCATAAAAAACACATTCTCGATTTCGGCGTGCGAGCAGGAGATCGAGAGAAAGAGCGTGACGAATGAGCGTGCTGCCCGCCGAGGGCACAGCAGCAGTGAGCGCCACGATGGGGCCTGGGAGCAGAGCGGCCCACCACAGCAACATACAAACAACAAGATGCAATGACGACGCAACTTGAAGCCGATATATCTCTGCTTCTAGACGCCCTATCGGAATAACGACTAGAGCATTAGATCGGTACGGTTTTAGGCTTTCAGAGGAACACGCGGTCACCGGATTCCGCTCATTTATGTTACTCCACCAACTTCTTTCTTTCCTTGCTTACCGTCCGAGGACATCCAAGCGACACCGAAAGGAATGAGGAGAAACGACTTGAAGGAGCGAGTGCTGGCGCACGATGTCAGAATGCCAGCCGCTCTCCTTTCGTCGGAGAGAGCGAGTAAGGCGCACAACACCAGCACCAGCCACACAGGCCAACAGCGGCCCTCAGCAGCCAACAACATACTAAAAGAGGCGGAGCCGTGCCCGTGTTAGAGAGCGCGAGACGCTGACGGTAAGACGGCATCATCGGCGCCGACGCCACCACTGACGCCGCGCCCGTCGACAACGACGACCCTTCGGCACCGCCTACTTTCGGTGAGCGAAACGGCCACGTGTACCAGTGAGCGGAAGAGACACTAAAGGGCACCCGGAGAGTGGCGAGGCGGCGAGAGCACGGGGCCGCGCCTGCGCGCACATAGCCAATTTTTCGTTATACTCTCTCTTTCTTTTCAATTTTGTATACATGTTTGTGTATGTGTGTGTGCGAAGGAGAGCGACGGGTCGAGGGCGCTGACAAGAGAGCGTGTCTTGGCGCGAGACGTCGACGTGCCATTTTTTGCGCGCTCCGTCGTCTCACCGTCTGCTCCATGCTGTTTCGTGTGCCGTGCGAGCAGCCCAATATCGCTCACACGTCGATGACTGCGAGGGGCGCAGCTCGGCGAGACGTCGAAACACAACACTCACAGAAGTGAACAAAAAACCGAGGAAGAGGCGAAATAGTGGGCGGATGGAAGAGAGTCCACCGTCTCCTTCTACTTCTGTAGGCAGTGGTGAGCGGCGCGATGAGCGCGTGAGCGACCGAGCGCCGTTTTTGCTGCTGCTGCATTTTCGAAACCGGGCAGAAACTGGTGAAGAAGAAAAAAAGAAAGAAAACGCAAAAACGTCAGTCGGTCGTGGTGAGAAGAGGCAACGGATTCAAGGTGAACTTGAGAACCAATGGGGATGAATGTGGTAGATTCCAAAATCAGATAATACCAAGCGAGAGGAAACTTCGGGTTAGATGAGTCAAAACTTGTAACTAGAGCCTGGAAGAATGAGTCGAAAGGACCAGCTGGGGCTTTGTTCAACTATCGCAGGGAAGGAATTTCAACCCTGAGGTTGTGGAGTGTCGGCAAGCCAGGGAGCCTCCCAGCGTGCGACAGGCCACTCTTCATACACCAACTGACCATCAACTTCATTCTAGTCCTACTTATAGTTCAATTTCCATAAAACGTATTTCTCAGTATGCGTTCAACGTTCTCTTTTGCTTGTTCTACAATTGTTCCCGTCTTTCCCCTCTCTTCCGCCTGTCATTTGTCATCGATTCAATTTTCCGACGAACAGAAAATTAAAAAAAAATTATCAAGAGTGTGTCGGGTAACACGTCATGGCTACGAAAACGATGATATCACCGGGTAGATGCAGGCGAAGAGAGGAAACAAAAGTAGAAGACATAGTAGAAGACATTGAGGGCAACAGAATAACAACATAGCATAAGTAAATCGGAAGGGGAAGAAAAAGGAGCAGAACAACAATTGCAGAATCAAGTTTCTCTTGCTGAGCTTCTCGATTTCAATGTGTCTTAGAGGAAAATAAAAATGAGCCGACCTGGACGCACTCCATTCGAAGATCGTTGGATTGAAACGTCCCAACACCTGACTGGTAGATGAAGAAGAGTCCAGGGACGACACCTTCGCGCATGAATTCCTGACTCAGAAGAGCTCGTTCCATCAGAACCGTTATGGCAGAGATGCATTGCCTCCGTATCTGAAATATTCCATTTTTGAAATTCTTCGTCCCGTCTGACCCCTGTGTTCAATGTTTCGTTTCCCGGGTAACTAGTTTCTCCAACCGATACCAATCAGTTCCCGATTTCTTTTCTAATGCCGAAAACCTTCCTACCGACGTCTCGGTCGTTGATCGATTCTCGATCTTGTTTAGCGCCTTCCTTCCATTTTTTTTCACTTCTTCCCATGCCCGACCCCATCATCTTCCACTTATTCGTCGTCTTTCTTCTCCCGACCGCGATGTTTATTGTGCCGACGTGCGTGTGTGTGGGAGACACAGAGAGTAACAGAGGAGGCGAAGCGTCTATGTGTGTATGTGGCATTGCGGCGCCCGTAACCTTGGCATAACGATCGCCGCCCGCAGTTTTGGGGTCAGTTCCTCTTGGCTCTGCACACACTCTCTATGCCGGTCTACCAAACAGTACACATCGAAAGGCCGAGCGGACGGCCGCCATCACAGGTGGAGGGGCGCGAGGTCGAATGGCTTTTTGCGAGGAAAAAACAGAGGAAGGACGCCAGATGTATCCGTGGACAAACTATGAACGACTTATACAGGAAAGAGAGAAAAATCATCTTCGCTTTACGTTTCATTCATCTTCGCTAAGGAATCGCTAGAAGTTCAAGATTGTGTCAACTGTTCTTCCCGACTTTCATTTCAGTATCCAATTTCCGTAGAATCACATTGAAGATCCGTTTCTTTCTGCTCGCGAAACAGTTGCAAACAAGCATAGTCTCCTCCTCCGACTTGCACTTTTATCCATCCTCCAGCACATTCCGTCCGTCTTTCTTGTACACGAGCACACACCAAACACTCTCACTCGCTCACTCACACATTGCGCAATCGGTCTGCCAACCAAACCGATATCATCGCTCCTCGCCTCGCGTTCCATGGCGCCCCCGCGCGATCACGGTAACACACAATGGAGAGACGCAGACGGGGAAACCACAGCGCGATCACCCTCTCACAGAAACCAGGCTCAGGAACAGGAAGACGACAGGGTAGGAGTGGTACGTAGACAGCTGATATAGATAAACCAGACACCAACGACAAGGGGCTTTTTCCGTCGACGAGAAGGGTTTTCAAGGGTTCCACTGTCGACCTGACGACAATGAATTAAATCCCAACAAAGTGACCTGACTTCGAAAATTTGGAACCAGTTTGCTTGCGCCGTTTCAGTGAGGCGTAGACATCGCCAACTTTCCGAATTGACCTTGCCATTCGTCTGAATCACATGTACAAAGTGGCCTAATCGGAAAGAAAGGCCCAGTTGTAGAGGCTCAATCTTGCAGGAAGTTTAAGTGACAGTTCGTCGAATACATTCCAGATATACTCCAGTTATCCAGTCGACGCTGCGAGCTGCATTACTTTCAATTTTTACAGACACATATGCATGGGTTTGAAAATCCTTGTAAACCCGAGACGACCTTCAGAACGCTTGCCCAATTCAGAAAAAAAACGATTATGTGAGCGGCAAGGCCGTTCAACGTTCTTTCCCATTTCCGTTTTTAAAGATTCGCAATGTTCTGTCATAATATACACTGAACTAGTTTCAACGTCTCCTCAGTGTAACCAATGTACATTTATTAACGGAGCCAATTGTGGGAGGAGTCAGTTGCTGAGCAGTGCCAAAAATATCCACATTTCATCTTCCCGAATGCAGTGTTTCGTATAGTTCGCCACAGATACTACGACTGGTGAGGGAGCTAAACGGGAGCCGGAGGCGCAGAGAACATCACCTATGCTATTCAGAAAGGGCGCTCGATCTGGCTGAACACTCACGACTCGCTCACGGTGCACTCACAGAGCACTCACAGGACGGGAGCTGCACCCCACGTCTTCTTTTTCATCTCTTCTATTTCTTGTTAGCGCTGCACAGCGCCACCGCCCACGATAAGTCGTGCGGAAGAGAAGAGAGTAACAAACATACTTCCAACTGAGGGAAGTGTTGCTCTAAAAATGTATAAGCTCGACTTGCTAATGAGACATAGCACACACGCACCCATCGGATTACAGAAATCGCAAGCACACGGTGGGACTAGAAGTCAGCTTGAAGCGGTTTAGTAAACAATAGGGTACGGAAGAAACTCGATATTCTTGCAGTTTGATTTGAAAACTGCTCGTTCATTTATTACTCTACGACTTCAAAACTACAGATTCGTCCGGGCCACTTGAGAAATCATCGTTCTATCAGGGACCAATTGGCGACAGACTTCCTGATTGCCTCTTCCCACGTTCCCTCTCCGTTCTAGCCTTCAATTCCAATCGATCAAATGTGTCTTCGTTGTCGCTCTCACCCTCTCTCTCTCCTGATTTCTGATCTTGTTTTTTTCATCTCTGCCGTTTTAAATCGCTATGTGCCTCGAAAGTGAGGCGGAACAGGCGATAAGCGGGCGAAGCTGTTTCTTTCCCGACCAAAGTTCCTATCGCCTTTTTGTTGCGCTTGCAGCTGCAACTTACCGAGTAAACGAGCCTCCCCTCCAAGCAACACGGGGTAGTGAAATTGCGCTTTTTTGCTATGACAACAGGCGGACATGCGGGGAAGGAAACAAGAGAAGGCGGTTGAATTGAGGCCAGCAATGGGGTTTCAGCGAAACTTCACCCAGCGATAGGAAAGCCACCGAATGATTATCGCCTGATTTATTCTCAGCGCCAATGCGTGCCAGATTACTATTTTCGTGAGCCGCACAGAACTTGAAACACACTATTGCTCTACCGTCGTCAAAAACTTCAGGGCTCCCCTGTCTTCCAGATTCTGAATATTAACACTCACCATGGAATTTCCGGACATTGCAATCATGACGAGCATCGAGAGGGGGTCCTGGAACTGCTTCAGCTGATCATGGCAGGCGACCGTGTCGAAAAGAAACGGTAGAGCATCGAAGACGGCCGACATCTGCGCAGGACTCAGTCCCCGTCCTTCGTCTTCTCCGGGGCTCAACGGAACGATATCGCTGACTAATTTGTGCCGCATCGCCTTCCAATCAGCCTTTCCTTCCTCATTCTTAATGATAGTGAACGGTAATCGAAACTCGATGGCTTTGAGCGATTTGTCGAACAGATCCACGAAATCTTCTACTGGATTCAACGTCTCCAAAATGGCCAGCATCTGCTTCATCGCATAGTCGCTACAAAGCAGCCGTTATTCTATTCGCTTCATGAGAACGAAAACTCACGCTTCCTCGTTATAATCACTGTATGTTGAGTCGATGATGTCGGGCAGAACGGAGCTATCTCTCGGACCATCGAGCCAATGAGGAGCAGGCCTTGATTCGCTCCGTCGCAAGAGAGGATCCCCTTCGGAGTCGTCCATGTACCTCGAGATTTGGGCATGATCCAGTTCAGACAGTACATTTCGATCTGCAATACGCTCAACTTTCCAGATCAAAAGGACAAGTGGAACTTACAAGACATGCCTTGTCTATCCGCCTCGAGCACAGTAGGTAGTGTATTTGAATATTTCCTGGAAAAAGAACTAGTTTTAGTTTTCGATAAACAGGAATTTGATAAATAACCTAAACGCCGTGTTCTTACTCGGATTCCGTTCTCCCGACTGCTTATCTGTCGAGTTCCGATTCAATTTAAACAAACGGCAAACCCTGAAAACGGTTTTTAACTTGATTCGGTGATTCGAAAGAGCACTTTGGCAACATGCTCATCCACAACGAGTTGGGAAAAACGACGATGATCAGAAAGAATAGTACTAAAATCACGAAACCACGAGAATTAAAGAGAGTTTCGATGAATAGACCAATGTGCTCCTCGCTCATATAACAATGAAATTCTGGAATTCGACCGCTAGTTTTGACTCAAAATCCAAACAAGTTTTACTTTTAATGACTTTTCAGACAATTGCTAAGATGTGGCGAAAAAATAAAAATAAACGGAGCGTTTTAAATGCCGGTTAACCTTTTCAGAACAAACTGCGGAATTAATTATTGGCGTGGCCGTGGGGGATTTCTTTGCTCAATTAGAGATCTGAGACTGGTTTGAAAGGGAACAGAGAACGTTTTGAAGTTTCCAAAGCATAAATTACGTCTGGAGAACGAAGTTTATGAAAAGTACATAAGCACTGCGAATGCGCCTTGACCAGTTGACCGTCGGCAAACACGCCCTGCGTCTTCCCAGTTGGCGCGAAAATCGCCATTTTGCGCAAAATTTATTCGATTTTTCGATGAAAAAAGCTCGACAACCGGCAAAAATGCAGAATTACAACTTTAAAATCAGTAGAAACTGCTCGCAAACACAAAAAACCCCACTTTTGCGGCACTACAACGAAGTAGAACTCGTACGGAATGGAGATGTAACGATTTGGAACTCGCAGTTGTATTTTAACGTTGCGAGTTCCAAATCGTAACAATTCCATTTCGTGCGAGTTCTACTTCGTTGTAGCGCCTTTTTTGCGGGCGGCGAAAAAAAAACGACCCTCCGCTCGAACGGCGCTGCAACTACAAAACACTTTTTAAAAATTCAAATTCATGACAAAAATTTTAAAAAAAAGTTCAGTACAGACAACAAAACAGGATTTAACGAAACCGTGAGATTTATAAATTAAGAGAAGTAATAGGAAGAATGAAAGTTATCCTTTGATGACTGCGATAGGCCTCAGCTTGACCGCTTTTTTGCTGATTCCAGCTGCGTCACACGTGTCAACTACATCTGTCACATCCTTGTACGACTCTGGCGCCTCCTCCATAATCAACTTCGGCGAAGCGATTCGAATCGAGATCTCTTTCTTTTTTAGGTCACTAATCACTGAGTCCCATGTGATTGTTCTCCTCGATTTGGCTCTCGAAAGTGCTCTTCCCTGAATTCAATATTATCACCGGCGCTACAACGAAGTAGAACTCGCATGGAATAGAAAGAACTGTTACGATTTGGAACTCGCAGTTGTATTTTACCGTTGCGAGTTCCAAATCGTAACAGTTCTATTCCGTGCCAATTCTGTTCTGCTGTAGCGCCTTTTCACCGATTAGGGGAAAACTAAAACTACGTACGGCTCCATGGCAGGTGGTTCCAAATGTTTCGACGAGTCCCTGTTCCGTGCCCGTCAAGACGTAACTGCAAGTTCCCATGCTTCCTCCGATCAAAACGGGCTGTCCGATCAATTGATAGTCGACAGGAATGAGCGGGTGATGGGCCGGGAAGGCTCTCGTGGCTCCCTTTCGATGCACGCACAACTTCCGCGGCCTGCCGTCCACCATGTGCTCTTCCATCTTGGCAACATTGTGGGAGACGTCGTATATAACCTGCATATCCATGTCATCCGCCGACATTCCGAACGTCTTCTGAAACGCATTCCGCACACAGAATGTGATGCACGAGCGATTGACCCAGGCGAAGTTGGCTGCCGCCGCCATTCCGGCAAAGTAGTTCTTCCCTGAAAGTTGCGAACTTTTCGAGATGACTTCCTCTTTCTCTACCTTCCACAGAATCGATTCTGGCGCACGCGAGCTGTTTGTCGTTGACCACGATGTTGTCCCTCGCCATTGCCCTCTCCATCTCGACCAACGAATCCGTCGCTACCTGATGTCCCAATCCTCGGCTCCCACAGTGCAACATGACGACCACTTGGCCCTTCTCGTCGATTCCCATCGTACTGGCCGCATGCTTGTCGTATATTTCATCGACCACCTGCACCTCTGCGTAATGGTTTCCCGCTCCGAGAGTACCCAATTGAGGTAATCCTCTCTTTTTGGCCCTTAACGACACTTTCGACGCGTCCGCCTGCAGCATCCGCCCGTATTCCTCGCAGTGTTCTTTGTCTTCCGCCCATGAATATCCCTCTCGCAATGTCCAATCCATTCCCATCTCGAGACATTCGACCAGGTCCGACGCGAGCATCGGAATGGCTCCACGAGATCCGACGCCGACCGGAATGTGATCGAAAAGGGACTGAGTCAGTTGCTCTTTGTGCGATTTGATGTCGTCTTCGAACAGATTCGTCCTCAAAAGTCTCACTCCGCAATTGATGTCGAATCCGACGCCGCCGGGCGAAATCACGGATTCTGGATTGCCGACGTCGAACGCGGCGATGTTGCCGATGGAGAATCCGTATCCGGAATGAATGTCCGGCAGTCCGATCTGAACTCATTTCCATTCGCTTTTAATTTGGAAGGGAACTGACCGAGTATCCGACGATTCCGGGAAGCGATGCCACGTTGGCAATCTGTCGGACGGCCGGCAGGAATCCTCCGATTCCTTGTCCGTCACACGAGAACTTGAGCTCGTCGAACATGAGCTGCTCGAGCCGGTTATTCACATAAAACCGGCCTTCTACGTTCATATTCGGTACGAAGCCCTTTTTGATTTTAAATTTACAGTCAGAAAGTCGGTCGATGAACCCGCATTCTTCCTCGAACGTTCGTGGCATTCTGGAATGAGAATGCGATCGATTCGCAGTCTGCCGGCCGCCCGATTGTGACGAATTTCGCAACGTTTCCAGACAAATGTGATGGATTGCCAATCGACTTTCGAGAACCTGGTTTATCAATCATAACCTTTTTATTGCTACACGAACTAAAAATCTCCAGAATAAAATACATAGAAAGAATGTCATCACGGGGGTGAATCAGAATAGAACCTTGATATTTTCACAGAAAATGAAAGGCAGAAATAGGTACAAAACGTTATTTGAAGGGGGAGAAGTATTAAACCCGTCGGTGGGAATATAAAAATTAAATGCGTGAAGGAAGCAGAAGAATGAGCTCAATTAGTATGCAAAGTGGCAAAATAATGACTTGGTAGAGGATTTGAACCTTTCTCTTCGGGACAGAGAATGTACAAGGAATACGGTTATGGATGGGTGAGGACAGATCGGAGCAGTTGGACACGGGACGGATTAGACCTGCGTGTGACGACGTGCCATCTCTTTGTTCGAGCGAATCGGCTGAAAAGCGGAAGTCAGATCGGATTACAATCAGGTTTTCTCACCGAATCAGTGGCATTTGTGGCGTTGGCGGACGACGCACGCACACTTTTTCGTTGACTATTCATCCGAATCAATCCGGAGACGGAAGAATGCGACGGAGATTTGACTGTGTCGAATGATCTGCTGCAATTGGACTGGTTTTCAAACGATTCAGTACTGAAACCTACTTGTTATTCACTTTTGGAAGCCGTTCGTCAATGGCTCCGCGACAGAGGGGACAGTGATCCATCATATTACAGCAATCGGGGCAGAAACCACTGAAAAAGAAAGTTAGTCTCGAAAAGAAAAAAAAGGCAGAATACTCACTCATGATTACATGGGCTCAGGGTCATCGTGGCCGGAGCAGCAAAACAGATTGTACAATAGTCATCCGGAATATGTTCCTTTTCCAGTCTTTCCAGTCGGACTTTTCGTGGAATTATCGTCTTCTGCGCGGTCGTCAGTTTTCCGAAATCGTTGAAACAACGGAATTGTGTTCCCGGGTGATACTTGAATCTGGTGGCTCCGAAGTTGAAACGGCACTGCTGGAAGGACATGAACGAGGCGGCGGCGAAGACTCCCTCGGACGGCTGACGATTGCGCAGGAATTCAGTGTTAGCATCTTTCAAACGGGTTCCATTCAGGTAGAAGACTATTTCTCCGTCCGGAATGTTCAGTAGAACACCGATCACGTCTCCAGGCTTCCAGTTTTCGTGCTCATGTCTGTGACTCTTTGCATTGTACCAGACCAGTTGACGACATCCGTCATAGGCAACCGAAGAGGCGTCGTCGCCTATTCCGTATCCTTCGTGGTTGAGGAAACGGCTTCTTTTCGTCGCCACTCCGATTTGCATGACTCCGGAAGTGAGTACGGTCGCCTCATAATACCAGACTCCGTCCATAACTTCAAACGTGCATCGGACCGATTCGAATGAGGACACATCGCAGCGAGCTTCCAGGCCGTCCGGTCCAATTTTCAAGTATTCGCTGACATCTTGATGATTGAGCATTGCATTGATTTGTGAAGTTTCGCAGGTTTCATATGAATACGGACGAGATGGGAGAGTGACTGAAGTCGAAAATAATTGATTGAAACTTTTCGAATACTACTTACAGATGTTATCGAGAGCCCACTGAGCACAGAATCCTTCTTGTTTGGCGTGCCAGGAGGAGGAAGAAGAAGGAGAGCTTTCCTTGTTCAGGAATTCTTCCATTTTCAGCAATGGATGCGTCTGTCCGTCCGTGAACAGTTTGCAAATGGTGATCTGATTTTCTCTCGTTTGTGCAAACTTTTCCAGTGCTAGCAAAGCAAACATTCTGACGGCATGTGTATTTTTGTTTTTCTGTAATTCTCATTGACTCCTCTTACAGCTTCCTTCCAACTCACCAGTGTGTCTCCGTACTTGGGAGGGAAATACGTGAGGCCATAGCCGATCATCTTCATCAGATATCCTCTGATATTCTCATTGAACATTGTCACCGCGGCTGTTCCGGCCATCTTCTCTGCTAAAGAACCGAGCACGATGCACATATTCTTATGCCACGCAGGCGGAAGGTTTGCAATTTCGACGAATTCGCTGCTGAGAGCAAGACTGCGCAGCAATGAGTGAACGGATTCCTTGCTTGGCAACGGACATTCATCCAGGAACAAAGAAATGACGGCTGGGCCAAGGGGATCATTTTCAGGAATCTGCGAGAAAAAGAAGATAGTCAGCAGGCGATAATAGTCAATCCTCACCGTGTGAATGAGAGCTTTCACGACCATCATCCATCCTCTTTCCTCGTCGGCGATGAAATTCAGTTTGAGAAGAGACTGTGGCGGTTCTTGCTCACTGAATAGTGCATTATTTTTCTCCCTTTGCAGCAAAAGAGCACTCACTTGTTCACTAAAGTCCTTATAACCTCCAGAGTTTCGATTATCAGCTCCTTGATGTCTCCGTGAACGTCCGTTGCTTCGTCGACTCGATTTCTGTGACCGGATCTTGGATGTGTACGGGTTGAGAAAACGTCGCCAGGCACAGAAGCGTTTCGTAATTCTCTGAAGCTGTCGAAATGTTTATTTCTGCAACTATTTAAATTCAATACCTTTTTTGTCGCCTGCGCTCTTTTCGCCGCGCTCGTGCGTCACGACTGATGCATGTGCCCATTCTAAAAATTATAAAGTGCTTTATTTTAAAACTGAAAAGTTGTTTTTCTCTTTTTTAATGAAATGAGTCAGAATTGAAGATAAAACAGCAGCTTCTGATTTAAAGTCAGGTACGGATTTGGGATTCAAGGCCGCGACGGCCACGGCCACCAAACCGCTTCCAATTTTTTTCCGTGAAAATTGGAGAATTGAGCGTTAGAAATTAATTAACGGCAGAATACAAAGAAGCTCAATTGCACTTTCAGTTAATTAACTTTGACCGAGAAGTTAGCTTATCGCTAGCGCAGAAAATTGAAAAACACGTGGTTTCCTCAATTTACCACAATTCGAACAGAAACGAATCGATTAGTAGACCACCGATCGAATCCGATTTACTAAAAATAACTAAGTGTTTGTAAAATAATGTGTTTTTCGGAAGGGAAGCGAGGCGCGAAGCGCAGAAGCAGAAACCGGACGAGAAACAAGAAGAGGACGAAAGGGACAGGAAGTATCAGATGAGAAGTAGGTGTACTCATCTGAAATGGCGGAGAGACGATGACGGAGAATGTCATATGGAGGAAGCACGAATTTGAAGGATATTGGATAGAAAACGGAGAAGGACCAACAATTTAATGCGAAACGAATACCTCTTCAATACATGCGCAAGTGTAGCGAGAATGAATTCAGTGAAAAAAGGAGGTGTAATGAGGAGAGAACAGGCAGATGACGTCATTGGACGGTTTATGAAGCCAGCTGAGAACAAGTTCAAGGCTGAGTCACAGCTGATTCAGCTGAACAAGAAAACAGAAGATGTTAGATTCTGGGGGAATTACGATAACAAATGTACGGAGTGTGCCGTGTTTCCACTCCGATAATCTTGGGGTTTGTCTGAAAGACACTTGTGAAGGACACTCTGAGGGCATTAAGAACAGAGAGACCGGCCGTGAAATGAGTATGTAGGCTTCTTGTGACGTGGAGAGAGAGAGAGAGAGAGAGAGAGAGAGAGAGAGAGGCCACGGTTTAATTAAAAACTTCCGAAAGATCTATTTAAAACGGGTACGCGTCTGTTTCACGTTCTGCTCTCGTAATGATAGGAAAGTACGGGCGATAGTCAGGAAGAGAAAAGCAGTGGCCGAGTGTAAACACGAGTGCGATCGAACTGTTTGGCAGAAGCTTTTAAGACTGGAGAGGGGCGAGCTGCCCAATCGGCGCAGAGTAACGTGTTGTTGTTATTTGTTTGCTCGCATCCATACTGTTTTCATAATATGAAGGGGGATCGAATAACAAGGTACGACAAATAGAATACACGGCTGTATCATCGACCATTAAATTCGAAGGTGTGGCAGGTCAAATAGCGAACGAAAATAGGCGAAGAAGTTATTTGCGAACAAAGTGAAAGGCACTTCCGAAGGCTGTGATTGCGATGGGAGCAGAAGCATGGAACATGCGAAAGAGTCGAAAAAGGAAGGGAGAGTGGTGGTGGAAAACGGAAAGATTAACATGTTCAGCGAGGAGGCACGTGTTTTGATATGATAAGAGACGGGGAGTTAATAGACGTGTACTATCTCTTTTCTCTCGATTTACTCTGTTCAGTTTCAGAAGAGTCAATATATTTCGGTTGCCGTTTCAACCTAATCTAAGAGGCAAACAAGTAGATATCAACTGAAAAGAACCAAAGGGAAATGGAAGAGAAACGGCCGAGTTGGACGGGCACGGACTGCGGAGCTGCGTGCAAACGCCCTGGCACCGACCGGTTTTCCGCCGATTCCCCCCACACCTTTCACCGTCGGCGCCGAGAGTGTGTCGAGTGGAGAGACGCAGACACGTGTGACGCAAATACGTGAACAGTATGCGGACGGCACGACGCGGAATCCGCGCGCAAATCTGCAAAAAGAGCGGGCGCGAGGCGGCGGAACGGAAGGTACGTGAACTTTGAATGGCAGGTGAAATGCGATCAAAAAGATTGCGCTCAGGACTAGAAGATCAAGCACGGTCAGGCGGGGAACGGTGGCCGGATCCGAGCGAACGAATGAGAAGAGAAAGAGGAACTCGTTTCCATTTAAAATCATAACATTATCAATTCCATTTCATTATCATAATCAACAGCTCTTTTTGTATTCGGAACACTCACCCGAAGTAATTGCACCAGACTATATTGGCAATCGAGCACTTGCAGTTCGGCTCGTGAAGATTTGTTTTGTCCGGCGACAGCTCTAGGGCCAACGCGTTGATGAACTGAGAGACATTGTCGAAGAGACGCAGATCGGCCAGCCCGGCAAAAGCCATTTCGAATGCTGAACACGCAAGTTAATGTTCTTCTGGAGGAGGAGGGAAAAAGCACTTGGGAGGACGGCTGGAAAGGGGACGAATCAAAAATGGAGTGGAGTGGACGGGCGCCGGAGCTATACGAGGGGAAGGGAGCTATCGGAGAGGTCGGCGGGTACAAAGAAACCGATAATACGAGAGGGTACAAAGAACGGGAACTAGTGATAAGCTAGCTGCCCAGGCGGCAATCTTATCTCGTGGAAAAGGACGGTTTGTACTCGAATGCGTGAAAGAAATGAAATTGTAGAAGTTGTCAGTGAGCAGTGAGAAAGTATAATGTATTCAGCGAGCATTGTGACTCACAATAGTACTTTTCTGGAACCATGCATAAGTAACCAGCGGGACGAAGATATGAATGAACTCGATCGAATAAAGGTCAAGAGGAAAAGAAGAAAAATAAGTTCAGGTTTACAGAGAGCAGTCCAGTGGAGCGTGATTGTCCGAAAAACTAATATGCGTTATTTTGGGCAATAAACATTCGGAAGGGAAAGAAAAGGATTTCTTGTTTTGCTGCCAGCGTCCATGTCTGGTGGTCTACGAAAAATGGGCCCGAATAAACAAAACGACACTGATATTTGAACTTTTCCACTACTATAGCGTCTTAGACAAAAAAATCAACTTCGTGGGCATCAATATTTTCAGTGTCTTTCTCGAGTGACCGTTACTCCCTCAGCTGGCCAGCATGTGACCGAGAAAGAGTGTGCGCCTGTTCGGACACGCAGACGGAGACTGTCGGGTGCGCTATCAAGCAGAATCACTTGTTTGCGGCGTTGTCGAAAGCGGCAAAGCATCGGAGGCCACGTGAGTCAGCGGGCGGCGCGGCGTTGGAAGCTGTCTGAAGCGGGAAGCGAGCAGATGAACTCGCAAGGACGCTTGCACTTGGCCCCGTGTGAGCCCGTTTTGTCCATTGTCCACGCACTTTCCCGTAATTGGAACTGAAATGGACTTTTCTCGGTCGGACCGGCAGAGAAAGACCACTTTGCAGCAGCTGATGTTGTTGTTTTGACGAGAGGAAATCGGGACGTGATTCGGAAAACAAGAATGAAGAATCCAGGAATTGAGACGGGATTTTAGATTAGTGAGTAGGATAACAAGTGATAATCAAATCGAATGTGAGGGCGTTGCCACGTCATAACAGTTGTTTACAGTATTTATTATAAACTGAATGAAAAACCTAAATGAATCACAGGGGTGGGATTTTGAATCGAGCGGAGCAGAGTTATCACTTGAAATACTTGATGACGTTCTTCGCCATAATGTCTCCTTCGGCGATTACGAATGCGTGTTCGCAGTCGTGTTCGTCCAACGTCACTTTCTCGGAGCCAAGTCTCTCTATCATTGAGTGCCCTGAGGTGAACGGATTGACATGCAATGAGCTTCGCTCGGCAACTGACCATGTTCGACCGGACACCAGCCGTCTTTGAGTCCGTAGTAAAAGTGAATGACGTCCTTTTTTTCCAGAAGGTGTTCGTTCAAATCGAGGACAAAATCCAACTCGTCGTTCGACATGTGTACTATATTTCGGAAGACATCCATGTGAATCAGTTCGACAGCCGCATCCACAATCTCCGGTGGCGTCTGGAAAACTGGCTTAGTTCGAAAAAATCAAAAGAAAGGTCATTTGACATACATTCGGATGGCTTAGATTCAATCCAACGAGGAACTTTTTGACGAAACTTGGAATGTAATCGACCCACCAACTGGCAGTCTTCGCCAGCCAATCATGCCGTTGCAGTACCTGAACTTTCACAATTTTTCTTTAACTTTTAACTTTTCCTACCGCCAGAGTTCCCTGAAGTCGTTTTCCGTTCGGAGACGTGGCCATGTGCACTATGGTCGGAAACAGTCCGACAGCCTTTTCCACGTGGAACCCGTCGTTGATGACTTCCGCAAGAATGCGTAACATCATGTAGGAACCGATGCTGTGGCCGAGAATGTACACTTCTTTTCCACGTGGCAAGTGCTCGCGGACGAATGCCAATTTATGGAGCACCTGTTCTTCCAGAGAAATTCGGTCTGAATTCTCAGAAAGGTACTTGAAAACAGTAGATTCGTGTGATACCGTGACTGCGATGCTCTCCGTCTTCTTCCAATTGTCCGGGCATTTTGACGTGGTTCAGACTGGAGACAGTGATGAATAAGTACTGATTCTTCGCATTTCTCTTCTCTTCCTCGTCTCTTTTCATCAGATTTTGCAGTATTTCTCTTCCGAAGTGAGCATAAAATCCTTCGTTGCCCGGATTTCCCGGAATCATGAGAATCACGACCCGATTGTCGTCCTTCCGTTCAGCTAATCTCAAATTTTCCTCCGAAATATTTGTGCCCATCACCGACATTTTCGTCCATTTCCCAGCCACTCGAACCCACTCGACTCGTCGGAGAATCGGATTCATCTGAGAGTTCCCAATGAAAGAAATAAATTCTTTCAGTGGGGGAAATGTTAGGAGATCGCACCTGGCTAATACCACCTAATCAGATCAACAAAACATCGGAGACAGAGGTCACATTTATTCAGGTAAACATTTAATCATTTTACAGATGAATTTATGATTAGCTTTTGAAAATTGAGATTCGAGTGCATTTAGTTGTGGGTGAGATATCAGCGATCGCCTGCAACAGCTTGAATTCAGCACAATGGCTTCGATCGGATCAATTACCTCTCATAGCGAGCACCCTGTTGTAACCTCCTCTCTCGGGATCGAAGTCCTTGCGATACTCATCACGGACCTGACAAACTCGCCCATATTATTCCTCTTTCCGATGGTCGCCTACCTGTCCTCCGTGTTTTCCTCTTCCGTACTGTCTTCCTTCGACAAATCCGGCATCCCAGTCGGCACGGATGATCCGATCGTCCAGCCTTGTGTTCGATACGTTCTGCAGAGCCACTTCGGCGTCTTCCCGAGTGTAGAACCTGTAAACAAAGTGAATACAATTGATATATCGATTGAATAACCCACTCGACAAAGCAGAATCCGCACGGTGTTTTCTTGAATCGATCCAGTCCCATAATCACTCTCCGTACGTCTCCGGCCCGGCCGAACAGCTCGTAAACTTGATCTTCTCTCGTGTAATACGACAGATTTCCGACGTACAAAGTGCACGAGTTGCGCAGAGCATTCTCCTGATCCTTCACTGAACCCTGAAACGAATCAATGCGCATTGGAATCAAAATCAAAAAGACGTACCGAGTATCTTTGATCTCTGTAGGCACTGATTTCCTTCGGATTATCCAACGTTCTCGGATCGAAAACCATTCTGCAAGCGTTCAATAATATAATGGATTCGAAAATAATAAACGCAAAAAGTAATCGGCAATGACGGAGTGTCGTACTGCGCTCGGTTTAGCGACCATAGGCATGAAATGGCCCAAGGCCACTATGAACACGTTCAGAATCTAATCAAGTGACCGCGTGCGCGTCGCGTTCCACACTCATGTGCACGCACATTATCGATCCACTGTTGTGGTCTTGCCACGGGGCAACGATTCGGGAACGAGAGGCGCCAGGTCACTGAAGATATTTTATCTGATCAAACAGCAAACATTACTTATATCATCAAGTTCTTCAATGCGTATTTCAAAAATATGTTTATTAAATAGCGTTGTTGATCAGAGAATAACAAATATTATGAATGTGATAAATTATATAACAAATACAGTTGGACTGAATGAGATCTCAAATTAGTCCGTCCATAATCTTTTTGTGCACCAGAAATCCAATCTGTTTGGAGACGTCCTTTCCTTCGAAATGGCTCTTTGTCGGAATCATGATGGAGACGAGCTTTGTGAGTCGGTAGGTGGACTCGAGGGTTCCGCGGCACGAAACCAAATATCTCTCTGAAAAGGGAAGTGAGCATGAATCCTCTTCATTTCTGATCTCACCGGTCGGATGCTGTTCCTCATGTTCCTTTCTCTTTCTCACAAGACATCTCATTTCAATCTCCAAACATCCCGAGTGCTCCAGCAGGCTCTCGCGCACTTTTTCGGGTGAACAATGTTCTGAAATGTCGTTCACATTACAGTAATCCTTCAATTTTCCCTTACGTGGCAACTCGATCACAAATGGTTCGATTTCTCGAATGATTGTTCGCGCCGTCTTCTCTGGATCAGTCGAGACGCGCAGTTCGTCGAATCGGAGGTTGAACAGAATCGTGTAGTACGTTTTGAGGGCCGCCACGTGGAAGATATGCCACTCGCCACGCATGAAAATCGATTCGAATCCGAGCCGACAGAAAGAGAGATTTGGCATCTTACGGAACTTGCGCGAGGAGAGGAACTCGAGGAACTTGATCATCTAAAAACTGAAAAGTAGATTCAGAATCTAACGAAGAGCACACGTACCATATCAGACTTTTTATTCTCGGACAATTCATCATTCGGCTTGAAGGTACCCTCTTCCTTTTCCTTCGCGTACTTCTCTTCGTCAATTTTGTCGAAGAAAGTCACTTTAACCCCGTTATAAACGTGTTTTTGGGTGGCGAAAAGGATGAAAATGAGAGCGAAATGATGTTTTCTGAGCGGTGTGTGCCTGAACAGATCCGATACACCCGCCCACTCGAGCAGAATGAACACGACACTCTTGAGACCAGGATTCTTCTCAAAGTACATGTTCAGAATGCTCTTCGCCCTTTCCACCATCTCTCCGGCTTCGAGCCGACTCAATAAGAATTTGTAGGTAATGGGAAAGTCCGCGAGAAATTGTTTTCTGTGCTTCTCGAGCATTGTGTACATGGGATTCTCGCCGCCTATCAACGGAGTGTCCGAGTCCAGAGTGTACTGCTTTTTGACGTGGGCGATGACGTCGTAGACAATCCACGCGAACGAGAGTTTCCTCGTTTCCTTTGTCGACTGGGCTTCTTCTGAAACACTAATGAACAGTGAGCAGTGCGTTCTCACTCGATGTTCTTACCGTAACAGGCCTTATACCAAGCGGTCGCCTTCTGGAGAATGTTCATGGAAGGCTTGTTGCATCTCCAGTGAAGAGAGTTGCTCACATTCGGCGAGTTGTCAATCTCGTCACAAGTGGTACGGAATCCGCCAAACTCCTGAAATACATTCAACTAAATCCACGCACGTGTTTGAAGACGATTGTTACCAAGAAAAACTGTTCGCGGTATCTGCTGATCAGGTTGGTCACTCTCGTCTCGATCATCTGATTCGTGTTGTAGAACGACATGTCGTCTTGATCCTTCTCCGAAATGCGGTTCCTCATTTCGATTATGCACCCCGAAATGATTTCGCCTTCCGTTTTGATACCGTACGCTTCCATGATCGCCTGAAACTCTTCTCTTTCCGTTTCCTACAGGCTCATTCACTCACTCTCAGATTCCCGTTGTAATTGGCCAGGTCTTCTTTTGCACTGTCCAAAAACCTTTCGTATCCTGGCGTCGTGATGGTCTCGTCAATGACCACATCCATCTGTTCGTCGCGTTCCTCCGACGCCTTGATCACATCGTCGATAGCTTTGAATTCACGGAAAAGCTTTCCGGCCAGACGGGGACTTATGTAGTTAGGCAGTGCGTTAGTCTCCCCGTGAAAGTCCGGGATTCGGTCAGCCTTCTCCGGCGGGATGATCTCCTTCGTTTCTTCGTCTGTTCTCCATTTCATCTCAAGAGGAAGAGGAGGCACTCCTGACTTTGTGAAATCGACGGCTTGACAGTTCTTCTTTGCCAAATCCATGCAAACTCGAGAATTGATTCCGTATTGATCGGACAAGTGGAGATGGCTGTTCGAAATCGATCCGACCGAATCGAGTTTCAGATATTTCACGTAGAACTCTTGCTCCAATTCACGCTGAAGGCAAAAGTTTCATTCGGTGCCCGAATGCGTCACTTATCACTTACCGCTTTTTTATTGTCATATTTTCCGTCGAGCTTTTCAGCGGTGAAATCGAATGGTTTCTCGTTTTTGTCGAGCAAAAGTTGCTGGTCCCAGATGACAGAATACTCATCTCCGTCGAGATCGGATCCGGCCATTTCGTCCGGATGCGGTCGGGGACCGTGCTGTGGGAACACAACGACGTCGCACATGTGATGCAGTTCCGGAATGTCGACGGCTTCGAAAATACGAACGTCTCCAGCCACGATGCACGGATTCTTCGTGAGCAGAACTGTGCCGGTGATCACACGTCGAGCGGCAGTCTTCGATGGCAATTTGATGTTGATGTTCTCGGTGCACTGGACGAAGATCTGTCCGTACTGCAGTTGTCCCGTCTCGTCAACCACTCCGAGCATCGACCGTCCGAGCTCTTTCGGAATCGGAATCTGCTCCTTTCGGATCTGTTTGGCTGGAATAGTGAAATGTTATGCAAGGCCGGTTTCGATTCGAAACTTACTGATCGAAAACTTGATGGACGCCTTGATGAGAGAACGGAAGAACGGCTCACTGGCCAGTGAGAATCCGAACGTCGTCTCCAAACGGTCGATGTCAATTCGACGGGGAAACTCCTGAAATGGAATGGTTGTGCTTCTATGCCGGTTCCAGATACACGTACCTTCAGTTTATTCCTACAGTACCTTTCCTCGTTCATCTGTTTCGCGAACTGTTCGATCTGCATGTCCATCAGCTCTTCCACTCTTCCGGTCACTCGCCGATGGCATTCGAGTGATTGCATCTCGGCCACTTGGTCCAGAATGTTGATGAACGGTTTGTTGAGAGCCACAGGGACTGGCGCCGAGTACTTCACAATTTCCACTTCGTCGCCGTCGCTCGCCGGCGCCACGAACTTGTACTGACTGCGACGGAACCCGCAGTTGAAGTCGAACTCGTTCTCCTTCTTCCGATCATCGACTTTGTATCGCTCGTTGAGGGACCAGCGCTCCGCCCATTTCCGCATATCATCCAATCCTGGCTCGATGGCAATCACACCTTTTCGGCCGTGAAGACGGAATTGGAAACAGCTGGGCACCGCTTTGCCCAGGTTCATCGACAAGGACACTTTCTGCGCAAAGTCCGCACTCATGAGTCCGACTCCGTCCGAGAAGGTGTACTTTTCCCCGCTCGCGTTCTTCCCCCCTTCGTAGTCCATCACTCTCGTGTACTTGTGCTTTAACATCCCGACTCCCGATCTCTGAATACTCACGATCATCGACGGATTTGTCCTTTTCACTCACCCTGCTCTGTGTGAAACATTGTCCGAATCGAGCCATTCTCTTCGGAATGCTCTCCACCATATCGAACTTTCCAAGACTTTTCCTCGTGCGGTCAATTTTTCCTTGGTATCCTTCCATACTTTTGCCTTTTGCCAGTCGCGACTTCATCTCTTCGTCGGTGTATTTCAGCATGAAGTATGCTCCGTTATCCCTCATCTGAGAGTTGGAGCATCCGAGGAAACCGAACGGTTTGTTGGCCACAACCACGCCGTCGCTCAGGTATTTGTTGGCCGTCAGATCCAGCAACGTTTCCGTCGTTCCCTCTCTCATTTTCTGGTTGTTATCATCGCGGAAGGTGATTCTAAGAATGCGGGTTCCGTCTGGATCGTACATCCGCAGCACTCTGTTGCCCATAATCATCTCGGGAACGGTGTAGATCACTCGCGTCGGCGTGAAAATCACTTTTCGAACTCGCATGAATCCGTCCTTCATCTCTTCTTCCCACCCCAACAACGCTTTCGATTTTTTTTTCCAAATTAGCTTTTGAAGACACTGAAAACATAGAGAATTTGACCGTAAATACTGTAATAGAAGGGTACCGCGATATTGTCAATTCAAGTCTATGTATCTCAGTTTCCGCTAGAGATATGAAAAAGTTGTCAACCGATATAATGTGCATAATGTGTTCCGGAGCAATATATCAGTTGATAACTTTTTCATATCTCTACCGGCAGCTGAGATATATGATCCTGAATAAAGGGTATTCGGGTGCACTTACGCGAGTTACTGATCCCAATCGTTTTCTGCAATCGATCATGGTGATCAGATCCTCAAGTGCTGCTTCCACTTCCTTTCCGTCGTCGCCCAGGTTCTCCGTTATCAATTTCAGAAACGATTCCCAGTGCCTTTCATTCAGCAGCAGTTGATCTTTAACAATTGCGCCCCTCGAGAGAAGAGCTTCGATTAGAAAGACGATTGAGAACTTCCGCTCGGCACCCACGTCTATTAATCTTTTTCCGATTTGTATATCCCGGCTTTTGAAAAGCTGAAATGATTCATTTTAGAGCTGGTGACAATGTTCCTTCTCATCAGATGTACCGGTGCTTTGACGAATTCATCGAAGAAGCGAGCGGTCTCGGAGGTCGGGCGCTCGACGCATCCGTTGCTGATGGTCCAGCGATTATAGGGCGTTCGGTGGCCCATCAGAATGTTCACCGATTGCAAACTGGCAAATTCGATAGAAACGCCAGTACGAATACGGAGACGGGAGAGGATTTTGTAGATTTCTGGTGTCTGGAAGCAAAGGATGGAGGGTGTTCGGGGATCGAACTGAAATAGAACTCACTTGGACATCCCTCCTGAACTCAATCGTGAATATGGAACTGTCGGAGATGGCGAGTGCGTCCGCGTATCCGTGGTTCTTTCCTAACTGCTTCATCTCGAAGTCAATTGTCTTTCTTCTCTTGAAGAAGGGCTGCGCGAACATGCTCCTGCCATCCTGGATAACCCGTATATCAAATTGGAAACACAGCCAACTAACTCACTTTGTTCTGTCTCGTTCCTCTTCTGATCAATGGCGGAGCGTTCAAGTCGAAATGAATGCGTATTCGGTCCTTGCCGAACCGGTCCGTCATCGTCGGTTCCACAATGATTCGGCGGATCGCGGCCCCTGTCATCTGAAGTTCACAGTTCTCTGGTCCCCTTCTAAATTGCTCCTGATGACACTTACGATGACCTGATAGTTGACCTCTTCCTTCTTATTCTGTTTCGGCATCTTCTCCTGCGTCATGAATCCCACCGTCAGAATATTTCTCTTGTCGAACTCGAACTCGGCGGCGATCTTCCACAACGGAAATCTGTTCTTCTTCACACTGCGCCTCGTGTCCAATTCGTTAAGTGTTTCCTCCCAGAACGAGATTTCCCAGTGATTGAAAAAGGTGCCGGACTGGATGTTTCCGAAGTAAATCGCCGAAAGAGGCACTCCTTTGTGATGGCAATAGAGGTCTGGCGACCAGAAGTCGGCGCTGTGGAGCAGGAGACTTCCGTACTGGTAGGGCATCATCGGATACTGTAAAAGAAGGAACTGAGAGTGTGACAATAACGTAGAATATTCGATCTGCGTTTCCGTACTTATTTCTACGGGATTGTCAACACTCTCAAGGAACTCGTATTCAATTCAATCGACGTCTAAACGTACTCCATATTTCTCATCTGTCGTCACTTTCACTTCCTTTATCATCGTTTTCAGAAACAATTGGCAGGTGTCGATGATTTGGAAGGAGAACGATTCGTCTTTTTCGATTTCATAGTTGATCTCGTAGTACTTTTCACAGTAGTCCTCTTCGATCAACTGCGGTTTGCTCGTGGAGAGCACAGTGACGCGCACTCGCTCGAGCACCCTGTCCAGTGTCCGACACGTTCTTCTGACCGTTCCCTCCATCACTTCGTACGCATCGTTTGCCGGGATTTCCAGCTTGATCCAGCCGTGCTTCTTCGACTCTTCCATGGTTTTTTTCTGGAAAAATGAGTGCGTAAGGAGGAAAAGAGGGAAGGTCTCTATTGATTTCCGTCTCTACGACACGCACGTCTTCGTTAAAGGGGGATGATAGGGATTACGGTGGATTTCGAAGACGAAAAGTGAAAAGTTGATGAACTCCATACATTTGAACTCCATACCACCAACAGAGAGCAAAGGAAACGAACATTTCGAAAAAGACAAAGGAAGAAATGATAAAATATCAAAGGGAAGTATCGATTTCAAGCAATGGATTGAAGGGATCGACAATAGAACTGAATAAAATATGTGAATCAGAAGAGCAAATAACACTGAGGGAAGAAATTCAAAAAAAAAGCGGACTGGCCTGGGAGAATACCGACCGTAGAGGGGGTCTAAACGACGTGCGGAGGAGGGGAGGAGAGGGACGAGAGAAAAAGAGAGAGAGGGAGTGAAACGTAGAGCACGACGTGTTGATGCACGCCGATTTCTCACATGTTTTATTTCCATTTCTGCTGGGGAGCGAACAGAAACCGAAAAACAATGCGAAAATGGTCTTCAAATAGCCAACGATTGAGTCTTTCTCCTTGAATCCAGCCGAAAAAAAGTGGAAAAACCTTCCAGAAACCACGGACTTCTCATGATTTCTACTGTAGCTAGACAAGGTAGTCCGAACCTTTTCCATTGTTTTCGTGTCGTTCAGAGAAAGGAACCTCTCAAAATTGTTTGATTTTTGTAGCATTTGAGGTGGGGATAATTCAAGAAAAGTCGCCCCCCGCCAGTGCAGAGTGGGTGGGGGCTTTTCTTTAAGAACTAGGTATTCTTAAAGGAAAGCCCCACTCCCTCCTTTTCAACAGAGGACATATTCAATAAGAGCCCCCCACCATTCAAATACAGCCCCACACTTAGAAAAGCCCCCCACTCGTGTTAATAGCATTGAATATCAGTCCCCCACCATTCAAACAAAGATAACATGTTTCCCTTTGTTTTATTTGACTTGTTTGTCAGAGATAAAAAAATACGAATGAGCAATACGCAGAAATTTATTTATCGCTATCAGAGTTCAGAACGCGGGCATCGAATTCGTCGCTTTCGTCTCCGCTCCGTTCATGACTGCTGCCGACCTCGGAGTGCCTGCCGCTGAAATGACCACAATCACTCCGTCTTCCTTTTTCTGTAACCCACCGTCTGGCGACGGTTTCACTTCAGTGACCGGAGTGGCCGCAGGGGACGGAACCGCCGGATTGTTGGTGTTCGGCGGCAGCGATTTGATCGACGGAGCAGTCTTAGCCGTGAGTGGCTGAGCAGAAGGAGTGACTCCGCTGCGAGGATTGTGACTTCTGAAATGAACGGAGAATGGAATGAGCACGAGATGGAGGGAGGGGTTACAATGGCTGACTCGTCGGTTGTCCGGGCCTTGCGGAAGGCGCCTTCTGCTTCCTAATCCTTTCGTTGCTCTGAAAAGGGTTATAATTGAATGGTCAGTTGGGAACACTCGGACCATGTCCTGCTGCGTGGATGCCTCGGGAACTCTGCTCCTGCTCAACAGACTCTTCAGTCCCTTCTTCTCCGACTTCTTGTTTTTCCTGCTCGCCCTCTGCGACACGTCCGTCTTCTTCTTCTTCTTCTTCCGTGATTTGCGGGACCCTTTCTCCTCGACGCCCTGCTTCTTCTTTTTCTTCTCGCTCGTGTCCATCGCCGTCCGCGTACTGTCCGTCATTGCATCCGACATCGGTGCCTGAATGCTTTCCCTCTCTTTCTTGACCCCATCCCTTTTTCCACTCACAACTCTCATCGATTGGGTCACTGGCCTCACTGGGCACTTGTTCTGTTTCTCTTTTTTGCCGCAAAAAAAGAGGGCACAGCTCTGAAGTATCGGATATGATTGGCTTTTCGGCAGGGCTCGGCAAAAACTGAACTTTTGACCCAGTTCCAATATTCTGATCGGAAGTAAACTTTGCAGACTTTTTGGACTTGGATTGAAGTATGTTGGGTCCAGGTTTCAGACCGGTCCGAATATCTGGTTCCAAGAAATGTGAATCATAAGCGAAAAAGATCGGGTTTTCACGAACATTTCGGTATTTCAGCCTCTGATTTACATATCTCTGTAGTGAATAATCCGATCGGTCTGAAACTTGGACCCAAAATACTTCAGTCCAATCGGAATACTGCGACTGGGTCAAAAGCCTGGACCTGTACCGTAATCAAAGTCAATCCGTTGAGGAAAAGGACAGCATCAATAGAAATCACCATCTCTCGTTCGTTTCATTCGTACAGAACGTGGTTATCGAAAATGAAAAATGATTATTTGTGACTCAATTTCTCAATTTCGCAGAGCGCATTGGATCAGAACACGTTTTAATTCGCTATTGATCCAATGAAAATATGGAGAGAACAGAAAGAAAGACACTTTTATTAATAGGAACATGATAAAAACAGTGGATTTAAAGCAATAACCTGTGGATTCGGAATGTGTTCTGACTTATATATTTCCTGAAAAAATTGTTTTCAAACGTTTCCACCCTTTCCGAACCTCTCTCAGCAAGCACCTTGTTGTAACCTCCCCTCTCTGGATCGAAATCCTGGCGATACTCATCACGAACCTGACCGACTCGTCTATATTATTCCTCTTTCCGATGGTAGCCTACCTGTCCTCCGTGTTTTCCTCTTCCGTACTGTCTTCCTTCGACAAATCCGGCATCCCAGTCGGCACGGATGATCCGATCGTCCAGCCTTGTGTTCGATACGTTCTGCAGAGCCACTTCGGCGTCTTCCCGAGTGTAGAACCTGTAAGCAAAGTGAATACAATTGATATATCGATTGAATAACCCACTCGACAAAGCAGAATCCGCACGGTGTTTTCTTGAATCGATCCAGTCCCATAATCACTCTCCGTACGTCTCCGGCCCGGCCGAACAGCTCGTAAACTTGATCTTCTCTCGTGTAATACGACAGATTTCCGACGTACAAAGTGCACGAGTTGCGCAGAGCATTCTCCTGATCTTTCACTGAACCCTGAAACGAATCAATGCGCATTGGAATCAAAATCAAAAAGACGTACCGAGTATCTTTGATCTCTGTAGGCACTGATTTCCTTCGGATTATCCAACGTTCTCGGATCGAACAGCATACTCTTGAAGGACAATTGAGAAGTACAAAACTACACTGAACCGGAGATAAAAGGTGAGAAGAACCGTGTTGGAAGATAACGAAAAATTATAAAACAGACAGTTCATTAAAGCAGATAACCGGAAGGCTAAATGACAATGTAAAAAGCGAAGAACGGATGTCCGCAAGTCACAATGGAGCAGCGAAGCATACAACGAAAAAGTGAAAAATAAAAAGCAGGCTGAATAAATGCAGTGCAATATTTAAAATCTCTGAAAAAAAGATGATTTTGACCAGAAAAGAATCACGCATGAATGTGTCCTTTTATAATTTTCTCATAGCACAGACGAGCCATTTGTGTCGAAATCTCTTGACCTGTCACATAAGTTTTGATGGGAACCTGGAATACGCTCATGCCGTTTTGAGAGCTTACTAAGCTTTACCTTGACGGCCACCAGCTGCCTCAACTTGTACATTGCTTCGAGGGTTCCACGTGTTGACACCAACAAGCGCACTGTAATTCACCGTTACTAGAATGAATACCATCCTAATCTGATACCATTCAAGTTTGGAGTCTCATCTATCGCACGAACCGACTTTTCCATGTTACGCATATGAATCTCCTCGACGCCCGTGTGTTCCACTAGTTTCCGATGAACAAGTTCACGGTCACAATCGGCTGGAACGAAGAATATATATCGTCACTTTACTAAAAGTATTACCTGGCAACTCGATAACGAACGGCTCATTTTCTCGGATAATCGACCGGACTGTGATCGTGGGATCGGTCGAGACGGGCAGTTCTTCGAAGCGGAGGTTGAACAGAATGTTGTAGTAGGTTTTAAGGGCGGCTACGTGGAAGATCTGCCATTCGCCACGCATGAAAACAGACGAGAAGTCGAGCGGTCGGAATGACAGATTCGACATTTTGCGGAACTTGCGAGAAGCAAGGAACTCCAAGAACTTAACCACCTATGAAATGACAGTTCATCGAAAACTAAAAAGTGATAAATATACCATCTTTGAGCGTTGTTCTTCGGAAATCGAATTGTCCATATTTTCAGCTCGTTTGTGAGTCTTTTCTTCAATTTTGTTGAAGAAAACACCCGCGTTTCCATCAACCGATGAGAATTGTCGAGTGGCGAAGAGAATGAAAAGAAGGCAGAAATGGTGCTCTCGGATCGGCATGTTATCGAAAAGCTTCGAAGCTTTCGCCCATTCTTTCAAAATGAACAGCACGGTGTCCAGTCCTGGATACTTTTCCAAGTACATTCTGATGATGACGTTCGCTCGTTCAGTATGTTCTCCTCTGTTCTCAGGCGTTTCCACACGACAGAACTGCTCAAATGACTGACGGTTGTCAAGCAAATACTGTTCCCTGTGAGCATCAAGCATTGTGTACAGAGGATTCGCACCGCCCATCAAAACGGCATCACTCGTGAGACTCGTGTGTTGCTTCACCAACGCAATGACGTCGTAGATGACCCAGGCGAATGATAGCTTCTTGTTCTCTCTCGTACGCCGCGCTTCCTCTATAGAAAAACACAATCGTTGTACAAACTAAAAACTTCATAACTTACCATAGCATGCGCGATACCAAGCCACCGCTTTGCGCAACATTTGTGTAGTGGGAGCAAGACACTGCCTCTGCATAATGTTGTTGTCGTCATTCGCCCGAGCCGTCGGTTCGGTGTTTGACTTCCAGCCACCTTCAAATTCCTCGAAAAAGTGCTCCCGATACTTGCGGAACAGATTTGTCACTTTCGTCTCGATCATTTGATTAGTATTGTAGAATGACATGTCATCCTGATCTTTGTCCGAAATTCTGTTCCGCATGTCCACAATGCATCCAGAGAAAACTTCTCCTTCCGTTCGAATTCCGTAGTTCTCCATCATTGACTGAAAAATTTGTTTGAATTTGTGATTGAAAAAGCGGTCCAGCTCACTCTCAACTGTGCATTATATCTTGCGAGTTCTTCCTTAGCACCGACTAAATGTTCCTCGTATCCTCCAATCATGATGTTTTCATCTATCGAAATTTCAAGTTGTTCATCGCGCTCTTCGGAAATCTTCAGCACATCGTCAATGGCTTTGAACTCTCGGTACAGTTTACCGCACAGTCTCGGGCTAACGTACATCGGAGAGTGGTCGTTTCCCATGTGGTAATCGGGCACTCTTTCCGCCCTTTCCGGAGGAATCATCTCGCCAGTATCCTCATCTGAGACGTCATGCCGTTAAATTTACATTAGGAAAACATGGAAATACCCTTTCTCCATTTTTTTTGGAGAGGCTCCGGTGGCTGGCCTGACTTTGTGAAGTCAACGGCTTGGCAATTTTTTTTGGCCAGATCCATGCACACTCGAGCATTCAGTCCGTACTGATCGGAGCAGTGGAGATGACTGTTCGAAATAGTTCCCACCGAGTCGAGCTTGAGATATTTCACGTAGAATTCTTGCATAAGATTCTCCTGTAAATAATATAACTTTTAAATTTGAACATATTAAATTTTTACAATCTGGCTCTCGTCGAACGGAATCTTTTGTTTCTCCGAAGTGAAATCGAATGGTTCCTCGTTTTTTTCGAGCAGAAGTTCTTGGTCCCAGATGACGGAATACTCATCTCCGTCGAGATCGGATCCGGCCATTTCGTCCGGATGCGGTCGGGGACCGTGCTGTGGGAACACAACGACGTCGCACATGTGATGCAGTTCCGGAATGTCGACGGCTTCAAAAATACGGACGTCTCCAGCCACGATGCACGGATTCTTCGTGAGCAGAACTGTTCCGGTGAGCACATGTCTAGCAGCGTTTTTCGGTGGCAGTTTGAGAGCCAGATTCTTCGTATACTGAACGAAAATCTGTCCGTATTGCAAACGACCCGTCTCATCAACAACTCCGAGCAAGGAACGACCTAGATCTTGTGGAATCGGAATCTGCTCCTTTCGTAGTTGCCTCGCTAAAAAAAAAGTTAATCTTACAAGACGTGCGTAACCCACTGATCGAGAACTTGATCGACGCTTTGATGAGAGACCGGAAGAACGGTTCACTAGCCAGCGTGAATCCCCACGTCGTTCGAAGGAAGTCAATGTCCACTCGACGAGGGAGCTCCTAGAATAATATCAGACAGTGGAAACGAAAGATGAGATTTCTCACTTTCAGTCGATTTCTACAGTACGTTTCGTCGACCATTTGCTGAGCAAAAGAGAGCATCTGCCGGTCAAGCAGTTCTTCGATTCTGTTGGTCACTCGCCGATGGCACTCTAACGATTGCATCTCGGAAACTTGATCGAGAATGTTTATGAATGGTTTGTTGAGGGAAACAGGAACTGGAGACGAATATTTGACAATCTCTACTTGATCGCGTGGATGTCTCTTCGAGATAAACTTGATTTGACTGGGACGGAACACACAGTTAAGAGCCCACGAACTGTCATCGCTGGGGCTTTTCATTCCGTGTCTCATAGACCATTCTCGTATTTCATCGAGCAATGGTTCCACAGCAATCACTCCCTTCATTCCACGGAAACGGAACTGAAAGTTATGATGAATTGAAAGAAGCCGGAAGCGCGCGTGTACCTGGAAGCAACTGGGTACTCCTTTTCCAAAATCCATGACCGTTGCCACCATTTGCGCGAAACGGAAGCTCATCATGCCAACTCCATCCGAGAACGTGTACTCATCCCGTTTCGAGTTCTTTCCACCTGTGAGGTCGAAAGCTGTCATGTACGTGCATCGCTCCAGATTCACTCCAGACAACTGCAATCACAATCATTGGAGTTAGGCTTTTATTGTTTCTCACTCTGCTCTGCGTGAAACACTGTCCGAGACGAGCCATCATCTTCGGAATGTTATCGATAGTTTCGAAACGTCCCAAGTTCTTTCTCGCAGCCTGGATTTTAGGATTGAATGTGATCGGAGGTTTTATGTGATGAATGGCTTCGTATTCGCGACATTGCGACGAAGAATACTTCTCCATAAAGTACGCTCCGTTGTCTCTCATTTGAGAATTGGAACTGCCTAAATATCCAAAATTCCGGCCGGCGACCGTAACTCCTTGGCTCAGATACATTCCGACGGTCTTCTCCAACAGGTAACTCGTTTTGTTCGTCCTCATTTTTTGATTGTCGTCGTCGCGAAATGTAATTCTCAGCACTCTTGTTCCGTCGTGATCATAACGTCGGAGCACTCGATTTCCCATTAACGTCTCCGGAGCCACGTAGATGACGCGTGTGGGCGTGAAGATGATCTTCCGAACTCTCTGATATCCCTCTCGCATCTCCTCCTGCGTCAATCCGTTCGTCAGACTGTTTCTCTGTCTAGTTTGGCAGATTCTATCAAAGCACTGAAAGTTTGCATAATAATTTTGCTTGCTAATTAATTCGGCCACCTTCATCAAAGATCCGATTCTTTTCCTTCCGTCGATCATATGCACCAAATCCTCGAGTCCCGCTTCACACAACTTATCGTCTTTGCTATAATAGTGCAGAATAACTTCGAGAAATCGATGCCATATGATTTCGTCAAGCAGTATCTGATCCTTCACGACTGCTCCTCTTGACAGCAGACATTCGATGAGATAGGTGATTGCGAACTTTCTCTCTCGGTTCGTGTCCACTTCTCTCGATCCGCACACCTCGTGCTTCCGAGGGAATGCCTGAATAGCTCAATTTTTCGTGAATTTCTTTCAGGTTATTACCGTTGTTATAAAGTCTCTGTATACTGGAGCGGAGAAGTGCGTCGGTTTCAGCTGTTGTCCATTTTGGAATGTCCAACGATGATACGGATTCTCCCTCCATATAAGACAATCGATAGACGGAATGTCGGCAAACTCGATGGAAACTCCAGTACGAACACGCAAACGAGACAGAAGGCGGTAAATTTCATCGAGCTGGAAAGAAAGGCTCAGTTTGGATATTCGTAGCGATAGTTCTCACTCCAACTGATTGATCGAACTCGATTGTGAACACAGGGCTGTCTGTTATCGCGGTCGCAGTTGGATACTGTCCTGCAGTCCTTCCCCGATTGATTACCAAATTTCTGCGGAACGGTGGTATTGTATGGCGGTTACCCTGAAAAAAAACCGTTGAGAGCGAGAAAACGCATTAATTCTCACAGCGAGTTGCTTGTCTGTGAAAAATCCTCTTCTAATCAAAACGGGACAATTGAGTTCGAAATGAACGCGATTCCGATCAGGACCGTAGTTGTCTTGCACCACCGGATCCACTATAATCCGCCGAATGGAAGTCCGTCTGACCTTGAAATCATCAATTCAACTTCTATTGCCACTTTTCACTTCTTACTGTTATCTGATAGAACATCGTGACTTCTTGTTTCGTCTTCTGAGAAGTGTCTTTGTCGGGAATGAATTCCTCTTCCCTCTGTTTGAAATGCACAGTCATGAAATCCATTTTATCGAATTCGAATTCCACTTTGATCTGGTTCAGTCCCTGTCTATCGACTGTGGTTGTAAACTTGCTGTTTGTTTTTGCCGCCACCCGTCGACGAGTGTCATCCCAGAATGAGACTTCCCAGTGGTTGATAAACGTTCCTCCTTGAATATTTCCAAAGTAAATAGCAGAAAGAGGAATATCAACAAGATGACACGTCAGTTCAGACGACCAAAAGTCGGAACTGTGAAGAACAAGATTTCCTCGTTGAAAAGGCACCAAACGATCACTCGCCAAATCCTTAAGATAATGTTGAATAGCAGCTATCAATGTGTGCGAAAATCTGTCGGCAACGACCTGTAAAGCGACATTATTAAGTATGACTCTGTCAAACGTTTAAACCTCATAATTGACTTCGTAAAACGGTTCACAATCCTGCTCTTCGACTGCCTGAACCTGACTCTTTGACTGAACCTTCATATCATAGAGATTCAGAGCCTAAAATCATTTGTTTTCCGTTACAAATAACAAATAAAATGCCACTTACTGGTTCTAGTTTGGTTGCATGGCATTTGACGATCGGATTCATAAACCGCTCCGGCAGAGAGCACGGAATCTCGAGCTTGATCCATCCCCGATACCCTTCGTCTCCCATATCGGGTCACCAACTATAAAAATTTCGGACTTATCGGGAAATTGTCGATAAAGTCTGCAAATCAATCTATTTTCGAGTTATTTGGAAAAAAAAATGATATTCAAACAACGAAAAAAGGAAACGACAAAAGGGGAGTGCTTGGGTGTATGAAAAAGATAGACAGATTGGAAATATCGTAAACGTTTCTATTGTAAAGTGATGTTAATATTAATCAATTCGTCTTCAATTTGACAAACGAAAACGTTATCTTTTTTTTATTTCGAACAGAAACGAAAAACCACGACTAAAAATGGGTTTTCCGAAAAATTCGCGCCACACTAAAAAGTTACGGTTTTAACTATCGCTGCGAGACCTTGCTGAATAAACTTTTACATGTCCCTTTGAAGAGGTTTTTGTTATTTGTTTTCCAGATTCGGAATAATCTATTAAAATTGAACAGAAAACATGGAGAGCTTCTTCAGAACCATTTATTAAGTCAAAAAATTAATAAATCTATGTACACGGCCAAAACCGGAAACGAAAAACCCGTCAAAGACACCGAGAAGCGAAGGTCCGAACGGGAAGATCCGCATAAATTGGCACATGGTAAGCAAGTTTCAATAATCTAAAGCACGGACCCGTATCGGGAAAATGTGGTAACTGTGCCTACTAAGCAAAAACGAAACAAACTGATAAAATAAAAACGAAAGAGTGGAAAGAGGAAGAAGAGAAAGACGTGTTGATAACGGAAATATCTTAGCAGACGGCTTCGGCCATCTCCATAACTGGCTCCAAGACTGGCTGGAATTTCGACTTGAATCCCGAATTCCTGCGTTCTCTTGGCTCATCAGGAATCACATTTGGGTCCTGTTCGGGGCTCTGAAGCACATTTGGAATGGAATATTGAGATGACGGGCTCTTACCGGCGGTCGTGCTGGGATGGCAATGTTCAGATAAACGTCGGGAAGCAGTTGCTCCGGCTGTGCTTCGTCCCTCACCAATCTCACCGAACCCGCGTTTTCCTTTACATTCTACAACACACGGACTTTGTACTCTTGATAACCGAATGCAGTTGATACCTGCTCGTAAGCGATCAGCTGGCGCCAGAAACCAAGGTTCGGTCGGACCATCGAACGCTTCGATTTCATCAAATGATAGGCTTCGCGGAGATTGCGACATCTGAAACAATGTTTATGGTTTGTTTTCCGAGAGGAGCACGTGTGTTTGTGCGAGCATGGGAAAACTATGATATCATTCATTGGTTTGCTCCGCAGATTTGAAATCTGCTGATCATCCGGAGGAATACGTACCTGTACTTGAGAAGGAAAGCGAGGCAGATGGAAGCGGAGCGGGAGACCCCGGCCACACAGTGCACGAGCACTTTGCCTCCGTCGGCAATCAGTGCCTGGATCTGATCGGATTGAAGCTCGAGGTGCGGGTAGATGTACGTCTGCGGAGTGTCCTCCAGCCACAGCTTGGTCCTCTGGATGTCGCCGAGACTCCTCAGATTCGGCACTTCTGTCGTCGCGTTTATAATATGAGTGATTTTGTTTTTCTTCATTTCTTCTTTGGTGAGCGCGGAAACTCCGCAGATGAACAGGCCCGGCACGATTTCGGACATGGCCGCGTAGTCGGGATTCACGCGGAAAGAGAGAGTCATTCTGGAATTGGAAAGTGTATTTGAGCGAGTGAGCACGAAGACTCAAAAACGGAGCGTACCAAGAGGTTATCAGCGAAAAAAGCGGCGCGAGAGGGAGCACGTGACACTGGAGGGAGTACGCGATAACAGTGAACTTTGGGAGTGGAGAAGAAAAGCGAAAACATGTGGCGAACGATAAGGAAAGGGGCAAAGATGAACAGAAGAATGGGAGGACGAATGAGGAAGACGGACAGAGATCGGGGGATTTGCAGACTGCCGCTGCTTCTGCTGTCTTTTCCTTTCCTTGCTGCATGTGACACTCACATGCCGGACTCCTCTCTCTCTCTCTCTCTTCTTCTCTCTCTCTCTCTCTTTCTCTCTCGCTCCCTCTCTTTAGTCTCCCTTCTTCTCTTTTCGACCTTGATTAGTTGCTTTCAATGAACCATCTGTGTTGAATTTTATCGGATGGGAAAAAAGAAGAGAGAGGATGATAAAGTGGGAGAGAAAGACTGGTTCCGACACGTGACCAGGAACAAGAATGTAACATTTTGAACGCGAAGAGTGTAGTGTTTCGAGCCGGAAAGGGCGGACGGACGACATGTTATGACACTGACCACACCCGGCGAATATATAGGCAGAAACGACTTTCGGTCGAAGGTGCTTTGTGTCCCTCCGCCCTGCCGACACGTGATTCTGGCTGACTGTCTGTACGTGCGACTACGTGTTAATTCACAAAAACGGCGATTTTCGAAGGTTCTGACGAACAACAGAACCCGCGTGTTGACTGTGGGAACGAAAAGGGAAGGCGTAGGGAGAGGGACTAATGCGTGAATGAATGCCGGAAGAGTGGAGCTCGATGAGCCCAGCAGTTGTTCTCTCCGACGCGATCAGTGATATGTGTAGGCTGGAGGCTCCGGGAGCCCGGAGGCGGGATCGAGAGATGGGGGCAAAGGGTATCCAGTTACGACTATCATGCGATGGGGGACGAGGTTCAGACATGGACGTCATCTGGAACAACTCGTGTCTCATTGAATGAGGACAACACGAGGAGCCAGCGAAAGAGGAATTCATTAGTGAGTCAGCCGGCGGCTCCTTCTTCCAATTCACAACTCAAAAACCATCTTTCTTATATCTAACTTATACGTTTGTTTTCTCACTATCACTGTTTTGTTTATCGCTATCGATCAGCTGGCTGAAATTGGAGAACCAGTCCAAACTAGAAATTTGTTCGGCCGCGAGGCACCAACGTCTAAACAGAACTGTTTTCCCGAGAGAGCGAGAGAGAAAAGAGACGGCCGAGTCACATGTCGACCTTGATTCGAGAAGGAGAATAAATGAATGAAATTGGGAGGAAGGGGAACAAGCTTTTGAAGATGAAGGGACCGGGGAGGAGCTTTCCGACCCGATGCGGCTGCTCGTTCCTTGTGGTCAAACAGTTCTCTTTCTCTGCGTCTCTCCGATCCAAAAAGTCTCTTTTCTGAGTTCGAAAGTTCTTGAGAAATCGGTGGGTACACAGTGAGGAATGGTGGTTTGGACGCGTGGGGACGGTGGGGGCGGAGGGCGTCTGGCCGCCGATCAGCGGGACTAATTGACACGTTATCAAGTTGCCGCGAAAGGATGGCGTGGTCGATGGGAGGAGAAGAAGAAGAGGAAGAAGGAAAGCAAGAAGTTCCACAGCTGTCGCCGTCGAACAATAGTCGCGGTTGCAGATCGGAAGAGAAGAAGGAAAGAGAGAGAGAGAGAAAGACGGTAAGCGATCATCTTCTACTCTGATAATTTCAAAACGTGTCGTTGACATACTTTTCAACTTGACCAACTCAAAATGATCAGTCTGAGCTCGAGGAGCAGGAGAAGAAAGCTAAAATAGATGGAGGAGCTACCAGCACGCGTGAGCTCTTGAAATCCATAATGAAGGAAGGAAAGAGCTCATTTATTCTCAAGTTTTTCTCAAGTTTGGCTACGTAAAAGTGCGCGAGCCTCTCACTCTCACTCACCTTCCTTATCAACTTTTCAGAGAGGTCTACTTTGGACACGTTGACGTCAGTTAATGTGATAAGAAACTGAAAAGAGCAGAATGTGCGTGTGTTCCGACAATTGATTCATCGCGAGAATTGCGACAGAGCGGGGAGGGGAGGCGGGCCTTTGCGCGGAGATGAAGCTGCGCAAAAACGGAAAAAAGCGGGCATGTGGAGAGCACGTGAAGAGGAGAAACGGAAGCGCCTATTTGGATGGAAAGGATCGGAAAGCAATGGGTTCAAAGGGTGGAAAGGGATGCGAATGGGGGGAAGGGCTCGGAAGATCAGGGGCGGACGGGTCGGTTAAGTAGTGACAGAGCAAGGCATCGGATTTCGAAAGAGTGTTCTCTGCTTCCGAGTGAATAACCTCACAGATTGCATGTGAAAGCGCACAGAAGGATGGAAGGGATCCTTTTGCAGACGTCATCCGGAGCGGTTTAAGGACATGGAAGATGTCTGAACAACATGAAGAAGAAGGAACTGGGATGATACAAATTGTGCGCGCGGGCTCGCTCTGTTTTTGTTGTTCCGCTGCTAGACACTTTCATTCATTCAAAACGGAGAATGCGTCATCGCGTGCGAACGAAAAATTGAGCAATTTCCGGAGATCTTTGATTCGAAAATGATACCGTAATTTCACAATAACAAAATGCGTCTTGTCAACCATTCGAACAGTAACAAGTCTCTAACGAAGGGGCTGTCCTCCAGTTTCATCGTTCTCCAAATAACTTTCAAAGACACACAACACAACCCGTTTGTTTTACATTTTTATTTCCGATCAATTGCCGTCGTGTCGAGTCAACCGATCTACTGATAGTTTTTGTGTCAACAGTGACTGGATTCGACCTAAAAGTTCACAAAAACACACGCTGAATTGCGGGGTGATTGGTGGTGTTTAATGCCAGCAGGATGCCGCTCCGATGACTACGGTAAGTCCGTCGTTCACGTGAACGCAGCATCCGGAATGCATTGTCAGCATCTTTGGACCGCTGACAACAAAACGAAAATAGTTGTGTCGACTGTGTACTTCGACCTGGACCTTCAATCCGTGGGCGGTCGCATTCTAGAGAATTGTGCCCTATGTACTCACTGTCTTTTTTTTGTAGGACGGGGGAAACAACAGCTTCTGTTTTGACCACACGTGATATAAGCACATCTCCTCAGTGGTTTCTCAGAATAACATCCCAGTATAGCTTATCCATCTTTCCATAAAAAGGAAATGGAAGTGCAGGAAGTGAGCTGCAAGTAAATATGTTTTCGGCGAAATTTCCGGACGGATTATGCTCGCCATAAAACTAGGGACTTCCAAGCGAAAGAGATGTTAAAAAGTTCAATTCGCAAACTGGATGGGTCCATAAAACATTGCGTCTTGTTTTTTCCTCCGCCGCCTCTGCTTGACCCAAGTTTTCAGTGATCACTCGCATCCGATTCACGAGCGTTTCACGTGCGGCTCGAGAGTGTTTGCCGCGGCGTTCCGGCCGAGTGTTGTGGCACGGACTCCTTTTGTTTTTATTTGTTCATTCATGAGAAAGACGACGGAAGAACCGGAGTATTCGGGAGAGAAAGGACTAGATCGGGACACATCACCCTGCACGGGAGATGCGGAAATCATCAAGATGTACATAAAAGAAAAAGAGAAAAAAAAAGAAGAAGTGGGGTCTACGTGTCTGGGGAAACTTCTTCGGATTGACTTGGTCGGTGCTCGACGACAATCGGCCCCGGCGAGGAAATACTGCGCTTCCGACGAGTTTCCGGTGAAATTCGATTCGAAGATTGACGTTTTGGACAGCACAATCCAGTTGCATACCAGAACATCGACCTGAAAGCTTAGGAAATATGTTGAAACGGCGAATGGATCCTACCAAAGAATGTGGCCGACGGTGAACCAGAGAGCCAAGTTGTATCCGATGAAACTGAGCAGTTCGTAAATGTTCGGATCCTTCGACACCAGAATTTCAGTAGTTCTCATTGAGGAATACTCGAGAACAAGACGAGAAACATAGTCCTGAAGCTCTTTTCAAAGTGAACTCGAGCCCGTTTCCCTCTTCTCACCTGCGTGCTTCTGTACTCTTCCGGTAGATCGTATCCCTCAATGGTTCCCGGATACGAAGTGATCAGACAGCTTCTGTGATTGTCATTTCGGCACTTTTTCACGTCTTCATAGCCTGGCAAGTCCTTCGGAATGTCCTCTTCCCAGTTTTCGATCCTCGTCAAATCCACGTAGCGCCGGGCACAGTTATCGTACGCTTCCACACTGCACACGCTTGTTTGACTGACACGGAGGAAGAAGTCGCTGGAATTTTCAGAATTAGAAAGGCTCACGGAAAAGCTGAAAGCAGTCACCGATAATTGGTGGGATCGTAGTGAAGAAGTTCGGAAATGAGAGGATGGCAGTTGCAGTATCGCATGGCCACGAGAAGATTGCACATGAGATAGTTGGTGTGGTTGTTCTTGAAGGCGTGCTCGTCGCTCCGTCTCGCATCGCCCAGCGCGTACCCGCAGGAAGTCCTTCTGATGTCCGCCTTCTTCTGAAATAACCTCATCGCGTATTCATGCTTCTCTCGATTCTTCCCACCGTTTTCCGCATCTGCAGTCTCACTCCTCGTTTGTCCATCAGTCGGATAGGGTTTTCCAGCTCAGTCGTCATTCTCGTCACTTCGTTTCCGCCCTCTCTCAGATAGACATCGATTCCTGGATGAGTGGGCACATAAGTGGAATACCACGAGTTTCGAGTCATCTGCAATGGTTTCCCGTGCTTTCTTGGCCCTGTTTCTGTCCGAGTTCACCTGGAAAGTGATGGAGAACTGTCGGTTGATCGCCGTCGAATTCTGCCACATTGTCGAGTCTCTCCACACCCAACACAGTCCGTTCGTGCTCGGAATCAAAGAGAGCAAGTTGCGGCAGCAGTCGAAAGAGGACAATTGGATGCCCTGATAAGTGCAGCTGTTGATGACGGACTGACACTGGTACTGCATGTTCTGGATCGTTTGGTTCCGCGTCGCCTGAGTTATGTACTGCAGAACGGTATTCTGTCCCTGTGTCATGAAATCGGCGGAAGGCGGATAATAGTCGGCGGCTTCACGAAGCGAAGGGTTCGTCCATTCGAGCAGATAACGGAGAGCCGAATCCTGACGCAGGTTCACATTCACATTGTTCAGTCCGTCTTGTGAGAACGGCATTCTGTTACAGATGACGAGAGCAGGAATGAAAAGTTGATCTTCATGAACGCTGAACAAGTAGAAAACGGTTGCGATAAACTCCGGAGAAACTTACGTTTTCGTCTCAGTTTTCTCGGTTTGAGAAGCAGTTCGAAAGATGAAATAAAGGCTGTGGAGCACAAAAAGAGCGATGCAAGAGCAGAGGAGAAAGAGGAAGAAGAGGCCCCCGAACAGGCCGCGGATCCACATTCTGCAACGCATCGTTTCGAAGCGGGAAACACGCTAATTGGGAGGGAGAGAGTTTGAGGAACGGAGCTCTTGCGAAACGAGCAGGTGCGATAGCGGAAACCCCCCAATTATAGGTTTGCATTGCATTTCGCGAACGGGATTAGAACTACGCGAGGGTATTGCAATTCAGGGATTTCTTCGGAGGGAAAACGTGACAAAAGGAAGGGGAAAAGTTACGAAACTAGGGGAATAATTGAGGTAAAGAGTTGCTCAACGGAGGTCCGACGAGTGTCTGCGGCTCTTTCTCTGTCCTGCTCTTCGTTTCGGACCCTCGGTGAAGGTTGTATCCATAGAAACATTTGAGTGTCCGCCGCGCACTTTCGACCTCTCCCGAGAGACAAAAAAGGAATGCGGAAGGAGCCGGTGCCAGACACGAATGAGCTCAGTGGGGCGGAAGGGAGTGAGGAAGCGTGCCTGGACGAGCAGGTCCGCCTCTCGGCTGAAATTGATACAACCTTGATTCGGTTAGCAATTCGTATAGGTGCATCAAATATTCGTATAGAAACTACTTGTTAGGGTCATTTAACGAATTAAAAGTGACCACGGCGGAACATATCTGGTTTCATTCATCTCTTTTAAGAATTCGTTATGAGCACGCAGGTGCAAGATTTCACGGGTCCGCGCGAAACGAAAAAGTATACTAATCTGATTTATAACGAGAAAAACTGAAAGTTCGATTGGAAGCAGTTCACTTGGCGAATCCACGTGGCATCCGCATCTTCGCACGCGATCGGATTGTGCGGCGTTTCGTGAGAACCGCCTGAAACACGGATGTTCAGCCCTTCACGCACACACTGAAAGCGAACCTCTCTCGTCTGTTCGGCGATCATCTGATGGAAATTGGGACGAGCTATTCCGAATTGTTTTTGTAGAAACTCGGCGATTTCAGCCATCGTGAACCGATCCGTCGGACTCTCCGCCCAACACTTTTCCTGAAAACTCTAATTATCGCATGGCTCACGCTCGCTTCCTCACAACAATCATTCGAGAAATGTCTGGACTGACAGAGGGCGGAATCTCCATCCGATATCCCGTTCGGACTTGTGCGTTCACTTCTCGGACGGACATGTTCGGATACGGTTCCAAGCCGCTCATGAATATCTCCCACGCCATGATTCCGAACGCCCAAACGTCAGTTTTTGGAGTGTATACGAAATTGACGAGGGTTTCGACTGCCAGCCATCGGATGGGAACGTTCCGATTCGGATCCATCTGGTAGAGAATTCCGGGTCTCGCGAGTCCAAAGTCTGAGATCTTGACCATTTGATCACCGTACAGACAGTTTCTGGCGGCAACGTCTCGGTGCAAGATGGGCTTCGAATGAAGGTACTCCAGACCCCACGCAGCCTGCATCACCATCTCGTTCCTCTTCTCGCAAGTGAGCGTAGGCTGCTTCTTCAGGTAACTGTCGAGGGATCCGTTTGTCGCCAGCTCCATCACCATGTACAGCGGCTCCTGTCCAACTGCCACTCCGTACAGCTTGACCACGTTCGGATGGCTCAGAGATCTCATGATTCGTGCTTCGCCCATAAACTCTTTTATCTGCTCTTTTGTGAGTTTATCCAATTTCGCCGTCTTGATCGCCACCTTCACCTCTTTTTCACTTTTCAGTTTCAGAACTCCCAGGCTCACTTCTCCGAACGCTCCTTCTCCTAATTTCTTCATAACCGTCACCGCTTCATGATCCAGCTCCCATACTTGACGCATAATCGGACGAGAAAGAAGGACGCCGCTTCCGATTGTCACCTTCTTTTTCCAGTAATGATCGATCAGCTCCTGGATTGTTCCAAACTGCATCGAACTGTAGATCATGTACTTTTTTTCGTCCTTTTTGATCACAAAATGTTGTATCTGAAACGGAGGGTCGTTCACTTTACTCATCGCTTTTTCATCATCTTACGGAAGAATTTTCATCAGGAGAGGCGCCGAGTTTCACGCTGAGAATGTACGATCGGCCATCTCCGGACCGCGTTTCGGACGATCGGAGCACGAAATCTCCGTTTTGCGTGAGCATCAGTTGGACGTCTTCTCGAGGCAGCAGTCCGTGATAATATTGTTCTTTTTCAATCAGCCTCCCCCCTGGCTCCATTCTTCCTCGAAATGATGATATTGTTCCCATGTTTCTTCATGGAACACGCGGATCGGTCACCCGCCCACGCCCTCCAATCCTTCTTCTCCTGTTTCCCTCCAGGCCCTATGATTAATTTGGTCGCCACGTCATTCCTGCTGGTCAATATAATTAATCCAATAATTCCGACACAATCGGAGATCGGATGCGGAAAAGCGTCCGAAAAAAATTGCTCGCAATGACGTCATTGAGCCGAGCGCTTCGGGGGGTCAAGAACATTGTCTGTTCGCACCTCAGGGCCGCCCATCCAACAGCATTCGTTCGAGAATAGGAGGAGGACGGCAAACAAAACCGACAATAATAATACGAAAGAAGGAGAGGGTGAGAGTGAGAGAGAAGGGGGGAAAGGAACAAAAGCGCAAGTGAAACTGAAGAAGGTGTGCAATATGATGCGCTTCTCCAACACTCAAGTTGTTCTCAAAATCCCAAAGTAGTTCGGTTTGAAAAGTTCTGATTTCGCATTCCAATTCACATTCAGCAAACGTAAATTAACCCCATCAGAATCCAGAAACGCTTTAAATAATCACTTCCGCGGATCTCAAGTTCGGATCGTCCCCTCCCCCTAGAACTTTCTTTGAACTCTGCTTCTTTTGTTTACCCAAACAAAAAGCGAAGGTTGTTTTCATATAATTATGTGTCCTTTCTGCCGCTGGTTGCCGTGGACACTCGGCCAAATTGCTGCTCGACCACCCGCCGCCCGTCCGTCTCTTGTGTCGTTTGTCCTGGACATCGGACCTTCTGTCGGTCGTTCCGTGAAGAGCGAGACCCATTGGGACAGGTGGACGCACCGTAATGAAGACGTCCGAACAGTGGACCATTAATCCGAGTGCGTGATGACCAGAAGGGAAAGCGAGAGAGTTGGCCACTTCTCCTCGCTTTTTCCCTTCCCATGTCACTCCGAATTCGGATCAAAACGGGCGGCCGCCCGTCGTCTCTTCTTTTGTTTCTCCCAAATGGGCTAAATCATTTCGTGAAACTGCCGAGAACGTTTTCAGTACGCCCACGCGTCGTCGTCCTGATGTAATAATTACATCCTCCCGCTCCCATTGTCCCTCCATAATTGGCGGCGTCGGCTGAAAAACGAGACGATGCCACGTGGAAAGCGATTCGGCGAGCAATGACCAATTCGCGGGGCGCCTTTATTTATTTGGCTTTGCACATCTGTCCATACGAACGGCGAAGGCACGAGAGCCAATTTGAATGATGGTCTGGTGTATTTTTGAAGCGGAGTGTGATAATCACGTGAAGGGAGAATGGCTGTAAAGTGCGTGATGTCATCGAAACACTTTGGACCCCTCCGGAGTCACACTCGCCAGGTGCCAGCCGAGCACAAGGCGGAGGAGAAGTCGTTATCAGAAAACCAATGACTGCTTTCGTTTGATCGTCAAAACAGATTGCTCCCAATGCTTTATTGTTCACAGGCCGTGAAAATGGGACAAGTTGTTAGTGGCAGTGGTACTTCTTTTGAAAGAGTTTCAGGGATGGGCAATTCAAGATACAGAAAATGATAATCATTGCAGAAGAAAAAGTCAAAATGTACAAGCTAAAATTGGGCCGCAACACACTTATTTTGAATGGATACAGATAGGGGCATGAGCTAGGAAATGACTAGACTCTAGCTGAATTTACAATATTAGATACGGAAAAAAATTATGTGCATTCGAGACCTGCTCTTTTGTGAGTGAGAAGCACCATCTAGTTGTCACCGATCTGCTTGATGTCGAAGGCGATGTGAACTTTGCGATCGTTGCTTCGTCCCGACGACATCTTGGCGCGTTGCGTGTCCGCTTTGGTGCTCGCATGATGGTTCGTCTTCTCGACCTTCGCCAGACGATCTTGCTTCCGGGTTCTCTCCAGACGGCTGTCAATTCCGGTAGCCGGGTTGGCGAACATCTGAAAAGATTCGCAATTCAATTGGGAAACGAGAAATTGATTCAACTGACCACAGTTTCGAGGTGCTTCATGTAGGAGACTTTCGCATTTGCGGCCTTCTTTGGCGTCTTCTTCTTCCCCGCCGAGTCGTTTACCCTCCGGATCGCAGCAGCTCTCTCGGGATCCATGTTCTCATTGTCGTTGTCGAGCGGCAGGATTTCCGGGTTCTCGACGAGCACCATATCGTCGTTCTCGCGTTGCGCAGCGACGAAATTCACGTTCATCCATTCGCCTTCTTCTTCGACCAGATTAGCGTTTGCGGCCTCATTAGGTTGAGCAGCCGGAGCAACCGGAGCAGCTTGTTCCTCTTCTCGTTGAAGTTGTTGATTGTTGCCAGAAGCGACGAAGTTGAGGAAGAAGCGAAGCATCTTGACTAGGGATTGTGGGTCTGAAAATGAAAAGGTATGATGAAGAAAGGCAAGAAACGAGAAGTGAGAATGGAAACAGGTAGACAACGGACATTGTTGTTTTTCCGAGAGGGAGAGAGAAGCGAACAACTTATTGAAAGGAACAAGATCGAAAGAAAGATCACATGTTCCCGTGCCAAAGAGGCAAAGTAGAAGGCGACTACTACACCCGAGAAAGGACGTGAATGAGAAGAAGCACACAGAACGGGCGGGCGATGGGCGGGGACTCGCGAGAAGGGCGGGGACCAAGAGACGCAGAGTGCCGCTTTGCCCAACACATCATGTGGTCTAAGCCCTCATGACCTCCTCCTCCGAAAGAGGCGAGGGAGCGGGCGGGAGGGAGAGAGGCACAGAGAATCTGGTTCCGAGGAACGAGCCATTACCAGACGGCCATTGTTTGAGTGGCGAGCATCGCGTGACCAGCCACCGAATTACCATATTTCGGCGAAACCTTGATTAATAATGTTTCCCTTTTCCGTTGTCTGCTCACTGAGCCCCTTGACTTTCGATCTCTCGGATCGAACCGAACAAAGCGCGAAGAATCGAAGTGGTTTGACGCGTCGCCGTCGCCGATCGCTTCGTTTGTGTTTTTTGTGTTGTCGCAGAAAGAAAAACAAAAAGATAACAAACGGGAGGAAGAGAGAGAATGACGCAGTAATAAGACATATGGTACTCGAAAATAGAGGGAAAGCGAATAATAGACTGGAGGAAACGACGAATTCTGGTTTCCACTTCCGCATGTAAAATAACGCCGACCAGAAACTGCGAAACGTTCCGGTCTGTCCGTTAATGAGCGGCCACGCGACGCATTCAAATGGGACCGGAAAGGGGAACATCCACGTGACCAAAGAGCTTTCGCATCGAAGGATTTGAAATGTTTATTTCTCCGAAACGTCGATGAAATTGCTCTCTGCATTACTCTTTTCGGCATTGGTCAATTTTTCCGCGGCGAAAAAAACCGAAAATGGAGTGCCGTCCGAATTCCTTCTCAACGAAATGAACAAAAAGCACAAGGAAATTGTGGAGTACTTTCACAAGTCTCAGAATTTGTGAGTACAGAATATTAGTGGGAGGGAATTGGAATGCGTCAGAGAATCGACTTTGCCGATATTCATCGAAAGAGCTTGGATTCGACACGAGCGGGAAGTGCGGGGAAAACGGGAAATCGAGCCTGAGGACGACGAAGAAGACGAAAGGACGAAAAGAGAGATCGGGCGGTCGAGAAGGCCGGACAAGATTGTTTTTGTGGTCCGTTCTGCCGGGTAAGCCTTTATTTCCCAGAAAATGTGTAGATCAAATTGTTTACAGAAAAGAGCAAATTGTTCAGTACGTCTACGTTGTCTGTTCGCTGATCGGATCGATCGGATTCCTGGCGTGGTCCATTCCCGGAATGCTCAAATCGGCAACTACTGTCATCGGTAAGTGCGATCAGCTTATTTCATTCCGATCCATGTTTTCAGTGACGAATGTGCACGATACTCGAAAACCGCCTCGGGAATTACCGACCACACTCGCCATGTTTTTCAGGTCGAAAAAACAACAAAAGACCCCAACGGGTGGGTGAACTCTTGCAATCAAATTTGGCAAGCTCTCGCTTTCAGAGACGACGCCGCCGGAAATGCCGAAAGTGGGAACGAAAGAAGCAGCGAAATAACCAGAAAGTTCAAACTGAGACAGATTTATAAATTATAATGAAATTATCAAAAACAGATTCAGATTGTTGCATGCGTTGAAATATTGAACGGAGAGATTTCAGAAGAGGATCGAGAGAGCGTTCAATCGAATGCGGCAAGAGTGAATGAGTCGATGAGTCCAGGCGGCTTCGTCTGCCATTTTCCGAGTCCGGCAGCTTCCATCTAAAAAAAACAATCTGTGAAAACTGAGTAGTTTAGTCATCCCATACTTTTCCATAGAAAACTCTTTTCTCGTACTGGTATTCGCTCGCATTCTCCTTGGCCTTCGAATAGTCGACAATCGATAGATCAACGCCGTTCACCCTACGATAAGCATCGAAGATCTCAGCCTTGCACAGCTTCGAACGGGACCCCTTGTTCGTGCGCCCAGTGTTATAGTCGAGCACTTCGACAGAATCGGATCCTCTGTACCAGGCTTGAGAGTAAGCCGCGTGAATGCGCATCTGGAGCGGCATACTTTCCACCAAGATCTCTCGCTCAGACTCCGCCGGTCCCAGTCGTCCTTGGAGAGCGAATTTTAGCGATTCATCAGACACGGGCACTTCCGAGCCGAAGTAGATTTGGGAAATGAAGATAGGGTGAATTATGTTAGAGAGCAAAGCGCCTTGAACTCCCAGCACACTCCATTTGAAAACTTTGTCTGCAGTGCAGTGAATACGCAAAGTCTTATTTGCTCGAATTTCCTCGAGAGTAAGCACATCGCTCGGAACAGGCGATGTGTTTGTCGGCCTGAAATTGCTCTTTTAATCTATTTTCCTACAGAAATGTTTCCTTACGTCACGAGAGCGAGGCTCTTAGTCTCGGCGTCATCAACAGCGTACGTGCAGACGGGTGAGAAGTTCGAGTAGAGAACGAGCTTCATATTCGATTTGAGAGCCGCCTTTCCGCCCTCTTTCTTATCAAAAACCGACATTCCCGGGTTCGTCTCAAGAATTTCCAGTTCTTGGAGTAAGTAACGGATAAGAGATCTGCGAGCCAGCACAATAGGATCCAAATGAATGACAGCCGATCCGTTGGCGCCGTTGAGAGTATCCGGTTCGACGACGTATTGAACTGAAGATCCCATGGAGAGAAGTCGTTTCTCGTTGTGCTCATTGACAAGCAGGAAACAAGCTATCTGATTGCTTGGCTGGACCTGGTAGTACTCGGTCATTTGATGGTACTCTCTTTTGCAGAACTCTGCGATCGTTCTACAATCATTCGAAACTTTTTGCTCAGTCATGACACGATTGGAAAGAGCAAGCGGGTACGTGGCTGATGGGTCAAAGTCAATGTTGAAGATCTTCTTGAGAGCCAGCATCGCCGCTTCGTTCTTGGCCAGCTTCTTCGATCTTCCGTTTCCGGTGTAACGGTCTTTGTCATCGATTACACAGTCACAGCTGAAATATGAATTTTAGAAATTCATGAGGGATTCTCGGAATTGCTCACTAGAAAACAGTGGCTGGCTGTCCGGCCACCGCTGGCACATTGTCCTTGAATTCATAGTTTATCTTGGTGCGCTGTCTGGTCTGTTTATTAAGCATCGCATGGAGAACGGCGCATGGTCCTTGGGTGGTCACACCATCACCCTTCACACAAGTTGTCGGGTCGATTTTGAAATAATTTCTGAGCATTTCTTGAGCCGCGAACTCTTTGGCGATAGCTTTCGACGGCAGAGATGGCGACTTTGTGTTAAATTCTTTGTCGTTCTCTTGAAACGTTCGAAATTAAACGTCAAATGGATCACCACCCTTACCTGTATGATCGATGATCGAACACTTTCCGGTGAAGAGCAGTCTTCCTTCTCCCAATGGTCTGTCCTCAGCAGGCTCGCACTCCAAAGTCACTGAGCAGTTGAGAATAGTGCAGATTGTATGAAGGCACTGAATGATGGTCATGTCCGATCCGAGACGGTTGCTCGCATGTCGACGGGCGACAGTAGTTATGTCCTCCTGAGACAATTGGAACAAGTCCCGAAGGGCTTCGCGAACAACCATATCCTTCAGAATCCCTCGGTTCGCTCCAGACTTTGAATACTCTTTGCCTTGGTCGGCGAATTTCAGCGTCACAGTGTGCTGAGCGTCGTTCTTGCGCCAAGCACCCTTTTTTTCGTTTTCAGAATTCTCGGGTGTCTCTACGCCTTCTTGCTTCACTTCCTCGTTCACTTCCTGCTTCACTTCCTGCATCTTCGGATTCTCATGAGCTTCGAACACCGGCGTGTACTTGACTTGCGACTCCGCAATAACTTTCTGCATCAAATCGAGCAACGAGAGAGCCGATTCGACGGGAGTCAACTAAAAAGGGACAACATATGTTTTCAGTTCGAAATAAAAGGGAACTGTTAGTAACCAGAACCACACACACCTTAGCCTTCTTGATACTAGCTTTCTTCTGAGCGGCAGGTGCTGGGTTTAACATAGAAGCGGCCTGAATTAACTGAATGGAATGCAGCAAAACACGCTAAGAGGAGAGGGCGATTGAACATACGTTACGCTTGCCCGCTTGCCCATTGCCATCAACCGGGACACCACCGGAAACGACTGGCACCGCTTTCGCAGTGACCCCCTCTTCGAACGGTGTCAGATGCAGATCTGGACGGAGATCGCGGATGACAAGCTCGGCGCACTTTTGTTTTGCCGCTTTCTTGTTAGCCGACTCCATTTGGAATTCACGCCCGTTGACCGTAAGAGTGCAACGGTATCTCTTTGGGACGGTGTTTACTTCCGAGTAGCTGAAATCGAATACTCTTTTTACCACATCTGCTTTCTTGGACTCACTCTTCTCCGATGGTTTTGAAAAGTTCGTGAAGAACCATAGCTGGCGTCTTTCCGGCAGTATCGAACTTGCGTGGTGGAGCCGGCGCTTTGTTCTTGTTCTGTAGTGTGCCTATGAGATTTCTGATTTTGATTCTCGCTCACCTTCCAATTTCCTTTGCTCATCTGAGGTTGTCCGAAGAACTGCATCTTAGACTGTCCTCCCTGATTATTAAATGGCCGATTAAAACCACCGAAAGCATTCTGAGAAGGTGGTGTGACCCAGTCTCGGCCCAACATATTCATTGCGTTGGCACCGGTGCCGGCTCCGAAGGGGTAGGAACCATGATTCGCAGCCTTCGGGGCGCCTTGTTGCCCAAACTTCTGGAATATATTTTTTTAAATACTTGTGAGACAAGACTACATAGTGTTCGGTCTTCTACTTTCTTACGACATGAAGCGAGAGCAACTTGCCTTTTGTTGGAATTGTCCAGGTGGTTTCTGTTGCTGTTGCATGAACGAAGAAAGTGGGTTCAAGTTAGAGTAGGCGCCGGGAGTTTGTTGTTGCTGATGTGGCTGTTGCTGTTGTTGCTGTTGTTGCTGGCTGACATACTGCGGAAACTGTAACTTTTTCTGAATGGGTGAGTGATACGAACTCAAAATGACACCGTACCGCGTTCGCAGCCGGAGCAGCGGCAGCAGATGGCGGTTGCGACCATTGAGTTGTCCAGCCATAATGATTCACCTGAAATACTTTATTCCATCCGATCCAATTTCAAATTTCTTGTCGGTTGGGATGGATTACTGAAGCCTAATTTGATTCATTCCTGGTCGATATGTTCCGTATTGGAAACTAGCAACCACGTCCAGGAGTGCATCACCTTGTGACAAAACAAATCTACGAAGAAAAGTTCGAACAAGCTCAACCGTTTGGGACGGGCTAATCCGTACTGGTAAAACATAACATGTAAAAATTATGCGATGCATACGAGAACGCCAAACATTTTGGGGGTTCTTTTTAAATCGGACACTTATTGTCATCAGAGATCCCACAAAAGTTCAGTGTTAACGTACAGGATCGCTCGTGTGATCGGTGCCGGTGCCGTAGTTATCTCCGTAAGCAAAGTTGTAGTTAAGATTGGGATCCATTGTTTGGGGAAAACGAGACAAATTATATACCTGCAGACATTATCGGTTAACAATTGTGCAAACGGAACGAGATACACAACCGCAACCTGATCATTATACGGCGCGGATCGAGATATAGCAGAGGAACCATGAGCCGGATAATGATAGAACAGAAAGAGAAAAATGTGCAGGAAAGCAAAGAGAACGTCGGAGAGATACCAACTTGCTCCGTGCTCAGAGGAATATCAAAGGAAACGAGGGGGAATCGATGAAATGTTTCACAGCTTTCCGCATTTTTAGAGCGGAAAACTGAAAAAATGTAGAGTAAAACGAGTTAATTAGAATAAATGCATTTTTTTTCGAACAAAATGAACTTTTGCGCAGCAAAAGAAACGATTGTGCACGACGAACGCCAAAAATCGAATACGAATTGTCTTCGCGAACGTCGACTCAGCTATAGCGTTTGTGGAGGCCCGGCGGACACCCGCCGGTTTTTGAAGCATTGTACTGCGCCTTGTTTAGCAGAAAGTGGCATTTGTCGGATTTAGACAGAGATTTCAATATAAACGAAGAGGAAATTAATGTAAAACGGCCTAAAAGCGTAAAAAAAGAGATACAATATCACTTTTTCAGAAATTCAGCTTCTTCACGGCGAAATCTCTTCGTATTTGAAAATAGAGTGGAACTGTTACCGGAGAGGCTGCTCTCGGAGTATGCGAAACTGCAACTGGGGAATTCTGATGGGAATGTATTGTGAGAAGCATGGGCAAGGCTTTAGAAACCTTGTGGACACAGCACAAATCTAGATTTGTGCTGTCTCCTGGTGATCATTTTTACGCTCTTAGGCTGTTTTACATTAATTCTCTCTTCGTTTTTATTGAAATCTCTGTCTAAATCCGACAAATGCCACTTTCTGCTAAACAAGGCGCAGTACAATGCTTCAAAAACCTCCAGAAAAGGCTTCCACTGAAGCCTTCCAGAAACGCTATAGCATCGATAGCGTTTCTGGAGGTCGATTCGAACGTAGTGCGGCGGAGCGCGTTTGCACCCTCCGAGCTGCCACGTTTCCGGCACTTGTTTCCGACTCGGGAACTTCAGCGTTCTGAAGCCTTTTTCTGAACTTAATATATTAAAAATTCGAATGATTTAATAATTATTTGTTTAAATCTTTTTCATGATTTATGTATCCTACTTGCAAATATAAGTTGCAAAATTCCAGAAAAACTGAGGAAACTGAGGAAGACTCTTTTCTCAGATTGCGCAATTCCGCTTTTTAATAGTCTTCTTTGGTTTGTAACCTTCAACATTCGTTTCAATAATATAAATTTGTCTAGCGCCGCAAAGTTGAATAACCGTGCTCCACCGCGATTTCTAGACTTCTGCAGCAAAAGTATTTACGAATCTTTTCGTTTGACAGTTGTCACGCAATCTGAATTAGTTATTTATCCTTCTCGTTTACATCCTCGAATTCTCATAAAGCGCGTTCTTTATCTCGAATTCATATTTAAAAATCCATAATTTCTTATGGGGTTATTCAGGCTGTGAAAAAATGACTTTTTTCCGTTTTTTTCGTTTTTTACGTCAAAAAATCCAACTCAGCGATGTAAAAAAAACGAAAAACAAACATACGCGCCCCATTATTCTTTTCTCTTAACGGTGCACTCCTGTTTATTATTCTTGCATTCTAAAAGTAAGTATTATACTCGGCTCGTTGTTCACACATTCGTTGCAATTGTAATTTGTCCATATTTATCGAATAGCATATTTCGCATTTCAGGGTGCAGCATGAGTTGGTTTTCATCGTCGAAATTATCAAAAGATTCAACGCCGTCAACAAATTACGGTTTCGTTTTTTCATTGATTATTAGCTAGTTTAAAAAATTAAAATCTAATCTAATTATTATAGTGGCACCGCACAGAAATGGCGCTCTGTTGAGAAACTCTTTTTGCAGTGCAAATTGAGCGACCTCGGGGCCGAGTTTGAAAATTTAGGCCACGTTTTCAGTGGAAAAATACTTCGCGGCCTAGAAATTCGGCCAGATTGCGAACAGCGCGCCCTTTCTGTCCGGTGCCCCTATAATAGATATCTAATTAGAAATCTGAATTGTCAACTAACTCTTTTTCCGTTCCCCAAAAACCCACATCGGCCCATTTCCTGCTCCATCATAAATCTGCATTCACTCAGCTCTTTCCTATCCTTTTTTGCATTCGTCTGTCCGTCTTTCTTCCTCTCAACTCTCCCCTCTCACCCAGACTTTAATCGATCGGCGCACTCCGCTCTCCCCGCCGCCAGCGACTTCTTCTTCTTCTTTTTTCCCTTCTTTGTTTCATGTTCTCTTCTACCCCCGTGCACATCCTTCACTCGCTTGTCTTCTTCTCTTCCGTTTTCCATTCTCCCATTCACTCCCCCTCGTTGGGGCTTTCTTGTTTTTCGGGAGAAAGCAAAGATTCGGTTGTTGGTTAATGCGAATTGAGTTCCCACGAGCTCATGCGTTAAGGCTTCTGATTTCATGAGATTAGGTGGCTCAGCGCATTCTCCATGAGTATGTAACTACTGAAACAGTAAAGTTCGACTAACAATTCTCCCATATCCTCATTCTCATCATTCATCTATTTTTCCACTAACAATTTCAATGTTGCTCTCGGTCAATCATTATGAACTACTTTGAAATGCATGAAAACTGAATCTCCTAACAAGAAACGAGCGAAAAAGCGGAATTTTTGTGCCAGAAATCGGATAGCGCCGCGGTCGGGGTTAGCCAATGCACGACTCCGTTTTCGCTCCTAATTTTGTCGGTCATGTCTGAATTCAAATTGAATTTCGCCTCTCGTTGTGGCAATCAGACCCGCCGCCGCCGTAACAAGCCACTCGGAAATGAAGTCGTGAAATTATATACTCTACGAGCTTCCGGGATTGTGAGGAGTCCTCTGGTCTCTGGAGACAATTAGTGCTCAACTTCATCCATTCGCCGTTGCAAAATGCAAAGAAGGAAAACGAAGAAGTCGCTCGTGCCTCCTTTCCTTTTGTTGTCTGCCCTGACTCTCATGCGTGCACTTTTCTGGTAATCCGTTGAAAGTAATTGTTTTCAGACCGGCTCCCCTCGTCTCAAAGGGAACAGAGGCCTCCTCCATCTTTCAATCAGCCTCCTGCCGCCTTCGGCCACCAAAAAATGCTGCGTGTTAGGAAGACGCCTTCCGAATCGCACGCGCTTTCAAACTTTGCGTATGTGAGTCGCCAAGACTTTGACGCGGAGAGAGTCAAGTGAGCAGACAGATAAAGGGCCTTCATGTAAACGATCATTCAGACATGTGACCGTGACTCCCGTCTCTCTCCAACCCCACCACTACATTTTCTCAATCCGCAACGACAGCTCCGTTCGTCCCGGAGAGATTGCCTTCGGCGTTCCGCACCGCAAATGGGCGAATGTCAGTCTGGATCAGGAAGTGCAGGTTGACCCGTTCACATTCCCTCGCTCCGATTACATTGGATCAATCGTGCTCTCAGCAGATTTCAATGGGAAGAAAAAGTGAGTGGAAAGACGAGATATCGATACGAGAGTGTGGCAATCCCGTAGAAAATTCGAAACCCGTAGATTACAAAACCCGTAGAGTCAAATCCCGTAGAAAAGGGCCGGGCCTAATGCAAGGTGCGCATATTGTTTTGACTCATTTTTGATTGCCTTTTTCGCCCTATTCATTTGAGCCATGAAAATTTGACAGAACGATTAAAAATGCCATGAGGAGTCCAATATTCTGAGTTTTCTACATTTTGGAGTATCTGTGTTTGTGTACTTATTTCTACGGGTTTCGATTTATTTTTATTTTTAGGCCCGGCCCTTTTCTACGGGATTTGACTCTACGGGTTTTGTAATCTACGGGTTTCCAATTTTCTACGCGACTGTCACACTCTACGAAACAACTCACAACTCGCATTTTTGCAGTGTCTCGGCGGAACCACTCAATTCTGATCTTATGGCCAGAGAATTCTCAATGCAGTTCGGAGGACAGGCATTCTCGAAGTGAGTTTAATTCAGTTCTTCTAGTTTTGAAAAGTGGTTAACACAAAAAAGCATTGAAAATAACAGAGCCGGTAACTAGTAAAAAAATGTCCTGCAATCCTACAATATTCGATTTCAGAGGAATGCAGTTGGCATTCAAGTTCGACGACAAAGAGAAGAACAAAAGTCACTTGCTGTCGCTGACCGTTAAGTCAATTGAACAGTTTGACGTGGCAAAAGCAGCAGCCGCGTCAGTCAACGGAGAAGAAGGGACCCCTGCGAAGCCGAAGCAGATCAATGCCGGAGAACTTCTGCCGAACTCTGTGATCGTCTTCGACAAAGAGGAAGGCTCAATGCTGAATTTGGTCGGAAAAAGCAAAGGAAAGGCGGCGTACAGATCGATTATAAACCCAGACTGGGACTTTCAAAAAATGGGAATCGGAGGTCTTGACAAGGAATTCTCGAACATTTTCCGACGTGCCTTCGCCTCGAGAGTGTTCCCTCCGGAGTTTATTGAGCAGCTCGGAATGAAGCACGTCCGAGGTATCCTTCTGTACGGACCGCCCGGAACCGGAAAAACACTTATGGCCAGACAAATTGGAAAAATGCTGAACGCGCGTGAACCGAAGATCGTGAACGGTCCCCAGATTCTGGATAAGTATGTCGGAGAGTCCGAGTCGAACGTGAGAAAGTTGTTCGCCGATGCCGAAGAGGAATGGAGACGTTGCGGAGCAAATTCGGGTCTCCACATAATTATATTTGACGAAATCGACGCCATCTGCAAACAGAGAGGATCCATGGTAAGTTAATTCTTCAAAACAACCAATCTATTCAGTTCGTTTTCAGGCTGGCAGTTCGTCTGTTCATGACACAGTTGTCAATCAGCTTCTCTCAAAAATGGACGGAGTTGAACAACTGAACAACATTCTCGTAATCGGAATGACGAACAGAAGAGATATGATTGATGAAGCTCTGCTCAGACCGGGAAGACTTGAAGTACAGATGGAGGTGTCGCTTCCGGACGAATTCGGAAGACTTCAGATTCTCAGAATTCACACGGCCAGAATGAGAGAATACAACAAAATGGACGGTAAAGTCGACCTGGATGATCTCTCGAAAAGGACCAAAAATTTCTCCGGAGCCGAGCTCGAAGGGCTTGTCAGAGCGGCACAATCAAGTGCTATGAACAGACTCGTAAAGGCCGGAGGAAAAGCTCAAGCGGATCCAGATGCCATCGAAAAGCTCGTCATTAACTCGGGCGATTTTGATTACGCGCTGGAAAACGACGTGAAACCGGCGTTCGGTCGGTCTGACGAATCACTGAATAAGTTCTTGAGCAGAGGTATGATTGTGTGGGGACCGGAAGTGACTCGTATTCTCGACGAGGGAAGTCTTCTTGCTGCTACAGTTCAAAATCCAGAAAACAGTGGATTCAGAACAGCTGTTCTGGCTGGTACGTGATAAATTTCTGGTATTCTCCCAAACCATCTCTTTAGGCGCTCCAAAGACAGGAAAAACGTCGTTGGCTGCACAAATCGCAAAGAGCTCAGATTTCCCGTTCGTCAAAGTCGTCTCGCCAGAAGATACTGTTGGATTCTCGGAAAGTGCAAAGTGCATGGCTTTGAAAAAAGCATTCGAGGACGCGAAACGATCGAAATTGAGCGTGCTGCTCATCGACAATTTGGAGAGACTTATAGGTGAATTATTAAGTACATTTGAGAGTACATTTCTGAATTGCTGATATTTAGACTACCACCCAGTTGGACCGAGATACTCGAATCTTGTCATCCAGGCTCTGATGGTTCTTCTGAATGCTCCTCCACCAGCTGGTCACCGTCTACTTGTTCTCGCCACTTCATCCGATCGTTCATTCCTCCGAGACATGGGCCTGATGGATGTGTTCGGTGACGTCATCGACATTCCAAGATTATCGAGTTCCAACCAAATGATGAATGTTATCAAAGAGAGCAACATCTTCAGCGATGATCAGATCCCAGACGTTGAGAGGAAGCTCAATTCGCTTGTGTACGAGAAAAAGTGAGTGATCTTTTTTGATCTTCGTTAAGATATTGGAAGCACTCCCACTTAGTTCCCAAAATCGCAGCTTTTCTTGTAAAATAGTCTCGGATCATCCCTTCACCAATTTTTATGATTCTTTCAGATTCGGTGTTGGAATCAAACATCTGCTAGAGTTGATTGAATCGGCTCGTCAAGTGGAAGCCGCTTATCGCGTTCAGACTATTATTGGAATGATGGAGAACATCGCATTCAACTTCCCCTAAATGATACTGTAATTAGTGTATGACCATTGAAATTATTCAATATTGTGATAATCAATGGATCTCTCGTTAATTGTTATTATTTATTTGATTGAGTACTGTACTTTAAATTATTTATTCGTAGTTTCGAGACTCGTAACATCTGTATTTTAGCGACTTGAGCATAATCTCGACGGTCTATACAATCCCGTTTTAACTTTTCCTGTCAAATATTCTAGCCAACGCCTCGTTTCTAGTAGACACTTACTGTAAGTGCTAGCAAATTTTGAACTCTTCATAGCAATAAAATATATCTGTCCGAACTCTTCGCAAAGCTCCCGCCTTTGCTTTCCAATCCCCCTGATCCCCTCAAATCAGATTGCATTGGCTGAGCAGTCGGTGCCTGGCACAGTAACCTTTCCCTTGTTTTCTTCTTTTATTCCTCTTGTTTCCACCTTTTGTGCCCATTAATTGTACTTTTTACCCCGGCACCGTCGTCGTCGCGCACATATGTACCCCTGTGACGTCACCTTGCGAAAGGGCAGGCACACATGGCCGAGGACACTCGCACACCGCCAATTGTGCGCCAACTTCGAAACGTTTCGAATCTGGCGCCGTGCCAGACGGGTCACAATGAGTCATCGGTGAAGGACAAAGGCGCGAAGAGTGCAAAAAGAGAAGGGAACGACCTACTGTCTACCAGATGAAGCATGAGAGGCCCAAGGACATTGGAAGGCAACCGAAGCGAAGGATTACTGTAGCCGCGAGCTAGCAGATCACTGGGTTCTCTTGAGATTTTTATAGGCTGGTTTTCAAGTTTCTAAACTCAAGTAGAAACATTTGCATGTTCTCATTTAGCACGAATTTACAAAGATGACTCATGCAGTTTACCCCCCAGACTGCGGAAGTAACTGGCATTCGCCCGAATGAATGACAAATCTTGTTCATTTCGTAATTTTTCACAAAACAAACCGAAAACTTCTTCTCTTCATAAATGGCTGATTTCATTCCGAAAAATCAGACGACGATTCAAGTTATGCTCCAAATAATGCACACTTTCAAATAGGAGCTCATTAATTCATTTTCCCATGATCTTTTGGCCCGTTTATTTGCTCAATAGCGCCTGCACAAGTACTTTGTGCTCTTCAATTGCATCATTCATGAAAGTGCACTCAGGTGGCATGTGGAACACACAAAAAACATTTGAAAACGAGTAAACCAGGTCGAAACCCCACTTTTCAGATTCACGAACGAATTCAAAACAGTTTTCCCTTTACTTCTTCAGATTCACTGAATTCGAGACAAGTCTGCCTTTTTCACACTTCCATGGGCATATAATATCACAAGAATTCGCTGCCGAAGCGGCGTTTCTTCTGTGAACCGCTTGATCGAAACTCAAATTATGACCGGAGGTTTGATAAGGAAACGTCATCTCAAACCGTCCTTTTTCCGTGATTCTGCTAGCTTATCGCATTCTCCAAAGAAGGACCTCCAACGAAGAAAAGTGCGTGTTTCCGTCGCATTTCGAAATGTTTGCGGTTTGCCACCGATCGTCCGTGCAGTGCACTTGCACTTCTTCTTCGTCTTCTTCTTCTTCTTCTTCTTCTTCCTTCTCTTCTTTTTCTTTTTCGATGGCGACGGAATCGGCGTGATTAATGTGCCGTTTGGCTGTTAATTCGAAACAATTTCCGCAGCTGTAGGTACGTGTTGTGCCCTCTCAAAGTGCTTCCGTCTGCATTCTTTCCATTTCACGGCCACCCGGGTGGATTTCTTCGCACGCGTGCCCCTATCGCTCCAAACCATCACAAATAGCCACCGCCCTCTTTTCGAAGAGCACTTTTCATTTGTAGGTCACAGCATCAGCATCAGCAGCATCTATACGAATACGGAAAAGTGCATAGAGATAGAAAAAGAGGGCGAAGGAGGAAGAGTTGTAGTAGAGGCGGGCTCCAAGAATGTAGTCAAAAGAGGCGACGGAAGAATTGACGGAGATCTTCCGCAATCGGATTCTCGATCTTCCTCGACGCGTCATAATTATACGATTATATCAAGATGATGCAGTACGAAACGAACGTTGATTAACTGGATAACACGATGATTTCAACGCCGGATTGCATCATGACTCCCGTATTCCTCGAACGAGCAGTTTGTGCACGTTCTGGCCGTCAACGAGTCGTGACGTCCCTTCCAGAACGAGACTATTCTGGGAAGGAGACCACGCGACGCCTTCTGTTTTCTTCTCCGACCTGTCACGTTTTCCCGATTATTCCCAATTGAAACTCACTTGTTTTCAATGAACCGGTTACCTGTCTAGCCCAGTGGCCGCTTTCTTCGCCGAGTCACGCGGGTTACGGTAGGATTCAAACTTGGCACCACGCCAACCGTCGTTCTAATCGTCGAGCGGAATCTTCCTTCTTCCGCGGAACCGAACCGGCCACACCGATTCGTCATTCTTTTGAACCAGTTAGCCCCATTTACAGATGCGCTCCTCTCGCCCTGCTGATCACAGCGTGATCGGGGCGGCCCGGCGGTGTGACGTTAAGAGCGCGCCGTTTCAAGTCACGCAGTTTTATCACTCCGAAAAAACTATACAAATTGCAACATTTTACGTTTTCTGCCTCGTTTGATAAGCAGACCTGGCTTCGTGCCAACACGGAAGTTTGAATGGGAAAAAGAAAAAAAAGGAGAAGACGGTCATTTTGGTCTTTCAGAAACATGCGTTCCGTTCCTCGCACGACCATTTTATCCCGCTGAGCCGGTCACCGGCAACGTCCAATTCGGATTTCAGATTACGTTGCCTTAGCGGTCTTACACTGGATGATGCGGCAAAATGAAACGTTTTAGAAACATTCGAATGTGGTGACCACTCTCAATAATTGAGAATGTTCGGCTTTTCTGACCCTAGCTTTTCGGGTTAAAGAAAGAGAACGTCTTCTTTTTTGTGCACGAACTCCAAATGTAGTCCTTTTCCGCTCCGACGGACACGAGAGCCCTTTTTATATGATCTGTTGGCCCTCAAACACTGAGAACAGCATGTAGGCTTTTTGCCCTTTTAGCCTTGTTTTGATCGGATGATTTGAAGCGGCTCTTCCGCGAGTGATGTCATCAGGAAGGAATGTTTTTGCGATTCTAAGAAGAAGAAGAAGAAGAAGACGATGATGATGATTACTATTATGGTTAATATAGTAGCCTTTTGGTAGTCGTTCAAGGTCGCCGCTTACTCACGCGCTGCCCCTTCCCGCCTCTGTACTTTTCCTCGTTTGCGAAATTGTTTTCGATAGTAAGGGTTTATTAACAGAGATCTGTCGACATGTGAAAAAACAATATAGAAATCTGATAAAAATTTGGAACAGGATAGAAATGATAAAGGTTTGTGTGAGCAAATTGGGATCGGAAGGGTACAATGAAAGGTCAAGGGGTAAATGACACCGATTAAATGTGGGGGCACGAAAAGAAAGGTGGACGGAAGGGGAAAGGATCAAGAAAGAAATGAACGGAGTTGAGATCCTGCAAACCGCAAGAGGACGAAAGACGGACTGAGGGAAGACACTAATTATGACATTGCAAAGGGCTCATATATGTGCAGACAGTGACGTGAGGGTGTCTTTCTCAACCGCAGGAAGAATGACCGATCAGATTAGTCGAAGCCTCGGAGGTATCTCTTCAGTCGGTCCAGGTGGTTCGACTTGGCCAGCTTCTTGTGATTATGGTGGTGGTGGTGGTGCTTCGCATCTGGCGGCTTCCCGACCACTTCGTAGACCGCATCCACGGCGACTCCTTCATCATCGTTGTACATCTTGTAGTCTATTTCTGAAAGGAAAGGATTAGTCGGAGTTGGAGGAGTCGTATCTTTTACCTTTGTACTGTGGCCGCGCTAATACTCCGATGAGCATTGCTAACAGAATGAAGGCGAGGGTGAGCTTCATTGCTGGCTGCTAGCGGGGTGAATCTGAGTTCGAATGATTACGCTGACGGTGGCTGAGGATCAGGCAGGGAAGACTACGCCCCTTGAAACCACGCCCCTGATACTCGATGGCAAGGAGGCGGGGCGAACACGCAAAGAGAACGTGGAGAGAAAGAGACGCAGAGAAGGGGACGTGTTCGGACAAGATGGCTTACGGGATGAATGTGGATTCGACGTTTGACGTTGGAAAAGATGTTGCCACGTCGATAGCAAGCAGAAAACGAGAAAACGTGACAGCGCTGCCGGAGAAGGAAAGCGATTGATAGGGGCAAGAAGTAGGTGTTTGTGTGGCAAATGTCAAAACAGGCCAATCAAACGGCCGATCGGAGATGATAAGCGACGAACAGTCTGCGGGCGACGATAGCGACTGGCTGGCCGTGCACTTTCCGTAACAGTGAAAGTGACCGTAAGCCGGGCGAGAGAGGAAATCGAAAGTGGTTTGAGACGAGTGTCGCCGCAGGAATCGAAAGCGAAACCTGGCGCGGTGATAAGCTCTTTGCAGGTCGCGGGCGGAGCTCTGCTGATTCTTCTGTTCGATTTGTTTACGTATATTCGCCGTAAACAGTGTTTTACTCTGCCCACGAGACTTTCCGATAAGACACCTGCCTTCATTCGCCTCCCAGTCCAGTAGGTCATTTCGTTTCTCTTCTTCTTCTTCTCACTCCTACCGGTTACGGTATCGGTACGTCTTCTCGAATTTTCGAAATCGGAAAAGTGCGACACGGCCTGCCGCCGCCAACGAAGAAAAAAGGGCGCGAACATAAATAAAAAGGGAGGTCTAAACACAAAGGGAGGGAGGACAGGCGATGAGCGATGCAACCTTCGAGTGTCTTTTCCCGCAGCAGCCACACGCACGCTGCCACGTCAAGGGCAAACTCGCGCCAGGTCGTGGCACGGTGCCAAGGATGAAATCGAAATCAAAAAAGAGAGGCAGGAGGTCGATCGCCCCTCAAAAGCGCGTCGTCGGCCGGCACCACAAAGTACGGTAGGAGGTCGTCCGATTGAAAGTGAAGAGAAGACTTCTGAGAAGTGCGCCGAGGCGAATCGCAATTAGAGCCGTTAATGCTGCAAATGTTTGCATCTTCTATTTTCAGCCGGAAACTTTGATCTCCTAGTTTCTAATTAGGAACATCTTGAAGCGATAGTGTGCCACCAGAAGATCTTTTTTCGATGCATGGATTTTTCGGGCGTACAATAGAGGGATTCTGTGTGCTTAGCTCCCCACATTTCATCCATTTCATTAGTGACGGGCAAGTGATTATCACCCAAATCTTCCTTCCGCAGAGCACCGCCCGTTCGAGTAATACGCTCCCGTTTTGAATGTAAGCTGCTCAAACCAATTTGCAACCCGTGCTTTTAAACGGTCAATTTCTGCTCGTTTTGTGGTCAAAAGACTCAGAAGTGGAAACAGGGATGAAGATTTGGTAGGAGGCGTCCGGAGACAGATTAGAGGTGTTCGCCATTTGAAACACATACATGAAAAAGGATTATACTGATTTGGCTTAGGCTTTTGGTGCCAGCTGATACTGGTGGAAGATTGGAAAGACCGAAGAGAGCTTCTAGTAAATTGATGGTCAGTTTCAACATTAATGGGGGGAGCGATAAGGAAGTCTGTCACAAAAGTGCAAGAAGCCGTAGATTATTAGACGTCACGAGTGTTTCAGTAACAAATTGCGTAGGATCTCCGACTCGCTTTACTCTCAAAATAGTCGTCGTTGTTGACTGCAAAAGTGTCGCTCGCACTAATTTCCTTTAAAAGGTCACGGCTCCGCGTGCCCTTCACATGGTCCGTCGATGCAATCGCAGCGAATTTCCCCGTTATCGATAACGTTCCGCCCGGCTATCTGCACGGTCATCAACGTGTACTCTGATCTTGATCATATTACCCGGAATGCACTTTTAAACGCCGCCGCTGACTGCTTCCATTTGCAAAAAAAAAGAAATTGGGAATTATTATGCAAATGTCACTTTCCGCGGCGCCATAAACAACTGCTCACGAGAGTAATTTAGTTTTGCGCGTTATTAGAGTCTGGCTCCGCGAGCTGAAAAGACAAGGATCAGTGGGAAGAGAAAGGAGTCGGCTGAGGAGGATGGATGTAGTAAAGTGTAGTGACATCAGGAATATAGCTTCTTCTGGCGAGGACAACCGGAAGGATCCTTCGACCTTTTTCTGATCTCGTCACGAGCCTACTGAGCACGTAATCGGGTTGTTTACCAAATACGAAAACATATACTCTTTCGGACGAGTGCACTATGCGAAAGTTTAATTAAATTTCGTCCGCAAATCCGGCCGACGGAAACCGCGCTCTGCTCGTTTGCAAGTGTATAGTGCTCATGTGGAAAAATGTTATTTCATTGGGAGTTACTTCAAAAACGATCTTTCTGTGAGATGCGTCCGGGTTTCTTTCGACCATTTGTTGCATTTAAACCCCGAGTCTTTTTCCGGACTGGCTCCCGTGGTCAAGTGAAGTGGCAGCCTTGTGTCTGGCCCGACGACGTCATCGGCGCCGTCGTAATGTGCTCTCCGCGTGCGCGCCCCACAGACATTCGATTATACGATCGTCGTCGTGTTTTGTCAGATGAATCACAGCTCGCGGAGGCGTATTTTTGGCGACTAGTGCAAGTTCAATGAGCAGAGGATGAGACAAAAACGGAAGCGGATGAACTCTGAAACAAAAAAGCACACACGAGGAAAAACTGAATAATAACATCTCGGCATCGGTCTCTGATGAGTGTGGAAATCGGAGAAAGATCAGAGATCCACGAGCGGATGATTGGCTCTTCCAGTCACGGATCGCAATCCCCTTTGTCGTTCGTTTCTGATCAGTTATCCAGCTTCTTCATCTTCTTCTTCTTCTTCTTCTTCTTCTTCTCTTTCTTCCTATTCGCTTTTTGTTCGGCTGCCAGACGCGGAATGGGCTTCCGAATGGCATGTGCCCACCCGTCCTCCGACCACTTTTTTCAGTATCTCAGTTGTTATGCAATCGTTTTGCTTCGACAAGTGGCGTCTCCAAGAAGAAGAAGAAGAAGAAGAAGAAGCGACTTCATTCCCAAAAAAAAGTTTGACGGAAAGCAGACACGCGCCTGACGCCGCGGGCGCCGAAATCCTTCCATACATCATCTTTTTTTGTTCGCTTCGCTGTTGTGCTGCTGTAAACCCGTGGGCTGCTGGAATGTGTATGTGTTTGAGCCCTCGGAACGAAGAAAGAGAAAAGCGAACAAACGAAAGGGGCCGGACACCGTTTCACTATGCGAAACGGGGAAAGTGACGACGGCTTTCTTTACTGCGTGTGATATTAAGAACCAAATAGTAGCGTGGCAGGAGAAAAGAGTGTGGGATCCGAAGAGACGCAGAGAGCATATCTACTATCACGTTGGAGGAGAAAGTAACCAGTTGTGGGATGACGGTGTCTAGCCTTCTACACCGACCGATCAGCGAAGGGGGATATTCGGATGACAAAGGCTGGCAGGAGAGGAGTTCCCGGATGCAGGAAATCACTTTCCCCTGCCATTATCACGATGATCCTTTTTCTTTCGACGAGAAAAAACTCGATTTTTTTTGTCTTTTGAGGTCGTAATCGAGCCGGTTTTTCATCGAAGATCGGCATTCCACAGGTGTTCCTCGAGATGACCACCCATGTGGCGCCGGATCGGATAAGGACAAACCGTTTGAACAAGGTCAATGCAAATTGCCCCCCACACATTCAAGGGAAGCGAAATGGGTTGACTACAAAATAATACTATTTGACACACTCTTTCTATTTTATTGTCTGGACAGTTTGAGAGCGAATCTCCAGTTACGGTACTTCTACGTCCTGTAGATTGGTTGTGATTGAAACATAATGTTGGAGGAAGCCAGCTCAAGTCTTCTTGCAATCGACGCCTTCTCCGCCGATAATTTCCGCAGCGCTGATAACACTCTGATCAGAAACGACGGTGTCTACACTTTTGCCCTTTGTCGAAACCCGTTCGGATCCCGTCTCAGACTCGTTTGCAATATCCTGAACTTTTGCATTTTTCCGTTGAGCGTAGTGCAACTTGATCCAGGATGTTATAGGGAAAGAGAATATGAACACAATCTCGGCTAACCCCGGCAACTTTTCAGCAAAATTTCAGCAACATTTGAGCGACACCTCAGCAACTTTTACCTAGCTTCTGGTGAGAAGTTGCTGAAGTGTCGGTCAAATGTTGCTGAAGTTCTGCTCAGAAGTATCGATGTAATCTAGATATTCCTCTCCCTCTTCAAACAATAAGAATGCGAATTGGATAACGGATTTATTAACGAATTGAAAAGCGGAAAAAAAGCAAAATGCAGGAGAATTAAAAAAAAAAGAGAAACATTTAAAAAATGCACACTATTTATCACAAGACTGTAAACCTGGGCCCGCTGAGCCGTCCGAGCTGATTTTTTGCTTCTCACAACCGTTCGAAAGTTCACGTGTTCATTTCTTAATTTCTCCGTAACAAATTTTTCCGTTTTAGAAATGAAAACGTGCGCGGACAAACCAAGATACAAATCATCCTTATTAATATAACACTTCAGGAGTATGTCCGTCTGTTTGTCTGTTTATTTCTCCGTTTGTCCGTCCCCACTTTCATTCCTAAAACGGAAATAAATGTGACGAAGAAATTAAGAAATGAACACGTGAAGTTTCAGACAGTTAAGAGAAACAACAAAGCGGCAAAGTCGCTTCCGAGCGTGAGCTTGGACCGCGCAGCGGGCCAGTTTTAAAGCTTTGTAAATAAATAAATAAACAAAGGGACAGACTCCTCAAGACTTCAATAATAAGAATGAGTACACAAAAATAAGTAATTATGCTCACGTCCATCGGTTCTTCAAATGCGATTTCAGAGTTCACATGATTTCACATGATCTTAGAATATCTGGATCCCTGTAAACATGAGATAATTGCAACTGCATTTATGTTAAGTTATTATTATACAAACTTTAGGATATGTATTCTTTTCTGATGATTTCTCAGACATTGTAAAAATGGAGACATCTCAGCCCTGCGAACTGTTCGTTTGATAGATTTGACCTTGAAATGTTTCTTTTAATAATAGCCTACAAGGGAAAATTACGTACATTTGCTGAATGTCCGTTATCATTCAGATAATGCATGATGATTTTCACCGGATCGAGAATCCATTCATTGCAGAAGATGCAGGCGCCGTACTAAATTAAAGTGGACACCAAAAAATGACGTGAGGATCTCACCTCATGAATTAAGAACTCTTTTTCTCGGGATGTTAATTGTGTGTCGTCAAAATTATCAATGTACTCGTAGTCTTCGTTTGTGCAACTCGTAAATTCTATAACGAATGAGTCATTCCTAAACATCAAACTATTGGATTTACCCGGGCCGTTCATCTCTGGAGCGGGTGGCCAACAAACTTTGACTCGAATGACATCGTCGCGTAGATTTCTGGATTTAATGTAGCCGGCGATTAATGCGGGATACTGTTGAATTTTGAAAATCCAGTACTGATATTCTTCTTTGTGTTTGACTCGGCGTACCTAAATTGAACATGTTCCGAGATTTGAAAAAAAATGAGATGAACCTTTTTCAAATGTTCCACAGAGAATGCATGAACAGCCACATTGATCGCTGTCCAATCAGAGATATCCACCTGACAGTAGCTGCATTGAGTCTGTAAGAAAACACGAATCAGCAGTGTTCTTAGACGTATCTCTTACCGGTTTTACAAAACATTTTACCCGATAATTCAGATTGTTCATCATTTGGAAACGCACGTGCTCCATTAAATTGATTTCTTCGAGAGTGGGTCCCAGGCAGTCGGCTTGCACTTGTCCATTCCGGTGATAATTGAACAGTGGGAGCTCACATGCAGTTAGGTCCGTCCGTGGAACACATTGAAGAGGTTCAACAAGAGTGATCAGAGGAACGGTGGGAGCGTCTGAAAGCGCTAATTCCAATTTGAACATTGCTAGATGGATAAGAAGCTTACGTGATTTCTGGACATTGTTGCTCGGCAAAGCACACGTTGTTGGAGGGATCGGTGATTCCGATGCGTGAGAATTGCTATATTCTTTGTTTTCCACTTGCTTCGCGTTGGCTTCTTTTTTGCTTGTGATTTTTCGAGGCTCTTTACTTGTTCTGATTCCATCGGTGTTTTTGTTTTCAAAGTTGAACGCCGATATCTTTTTTTCATAGTAAAGAAATGATTTTCTAGGGACACTAATCTGTGATAGATACTTCTTGTGCCCCTCACTGAATAAATGGTCAATAAAAAGCTGAGCAGTGTATGGTGTGTAGGGCTCCGAAAATGGACAGAGACGACAGACAGCCTGTAACCGAGGTCATGTGCATTTCCCTAGACAAGAATTTCTCACCACTTTATTACCGTCCCGTTTCGTATTCCAAAACGTTCTTTTCACTTCCTTTTTATAATTAAGTGCTGTCTTACACATTTTTTCCAGTCTTTGCAGTTCAGAAATTACTTCTTCGCCTAAAACGCATTTATTTCCGGGGTAACAATATGTATCCACTAACCCGTGATTGAATCTGGATCAGCCGGTTCCACATGGCACAGCGGATGATCTATGTATATCTTATCTGCTGCACTTAAGAAGAGTGGAGCCTTCTTCTGGCGGTCTCTGCTAGGTAGCACAACTTTATTCACTTTTGAAGACTTTGAAACTGTGTCAGACTCAGAAAACTTCGGGGCCGCTACAACAGCAGCTATAGTCTGAGTTTTTTGAGACGGCACGGAAGCGGTCACTTGTGACGGCCTTGGAGCCTTTTTAGTCTGAGTAAGTTCCGAACTATGTGCGTTCGGCACAGGTTGCGTAGGAGGCCGTGAAGATATTGACGATGGAAACCCGCCTCCGACTGTAGAAGGAATTGTGCACTTGGGAGCTTCCACGTCACTTTCGTCTGAATACGCAGTCAACGGATCCCTGTCCAGAGTATTCCGCTGTCTTCGAAATGGATATTGTTCGCCATAAAGGTAGGTAATGACGTCTGAACACATGATAAATGACAAGATTGAGAAAATTAAAGAGTACCGAGCGTATAATCAACGAAAGGTTCATCTGGTTTTTCAGCTATTTTGATTATGTCATCCGGGTCTATCGCCTCATTGTTATACAATTTCTCGAGGTCTTCCAACAAAATTATTCTAAACTTATGTTTATTATGGAATGAATTATTGGTGCCAGAGAATGTGGCCGCTACGGTTGTGGTTGTCTTTTTCAAAAAAGTTTCATTTTGTTTAGCATTGCAACTTTCGAGTTTGAATGTTTTGATCTTTACCGCGTGTTTATTAGGAAGACACGAGAAAAAACGTGACGAAAACAACCACGACCGCGGCCGAGTTTGCATCAACAGCCACGTTTTCTGGGATCGATAATACTAGAAGCTGAGAGAAATGTTTAATATTTGAAAACAAACTTGTCTTTAAATTTGAAGACCGTGTCTCTCGTCGTCATTTTCCCAGGTATGATTCTGAAAAGCGATTGGAAACGAACGGCTTTCGGAATGCAGAGAAATATCACTTCGGACAGACGATTCTAGCATGGGAAAGGGGAAACAAATGCAAGATAAAACGTTCATTCAAATATTTTCTGTACATGAGATCACATTCTGGCGAAGACGAAAGCGTATCCTTTGATGGCGAGAGGGCACGCGACATCTGAGTAAATGCACATGGAGAGGAGCCCCGCGAGCAGAATGGCGCCGGCCTGAGAAGAAAAATGGGGTCAAGCAAAAGTGATAAGGCACCTGAAGGACGTAGAGAGCGAGATGGTCGACAGTGTAATACGAGGGCAGATCGGGGAAATTCCCCTGGAGGAAAATGAGAACTGGGAAAGCGGGGAGCATTGCGGCGGCGGTGACGAGGAGAAGAAGACACGTGGAACCGAGGGGATGCATTCTGAAAGAGGATTTTGGGAGAAAAAGATCAGAGCGGCAGGATTAGAGTAACGTAAAGTACGATAATCGACAAAATGTTGGACCGATTATCGACGGGGATGATCGACAAAAGTAATGTCGATCAACAAAAAATGCGCGGACGGTCGTCGATAGATCACTTATCGACAGTCCGCGAATTTTTTGTTCATCGACATTACTTTTGTCGATAATGTCGACTTCAGTATCTTCGACTCTTATCGACTTTTCGACAAACTCTCAAGTCGGCACGTCACTCTAGGCAGGATACCTGAGATTGATCCACCGGTACACTGCGGAGTACTGCAAGGAGTAATAGGCAGATTGTTTCTAACGTTTTCTAAATACTTGTTGAAAATACAACACATTTCTAGAGGACATCATTTTCTGAAAAAAATCTTCATACATATCGATAAAAGAAGCGGGATTCGATAAAAAATATTATAGGGGCACTAGACAGAAAGGGCGCGCTGTTCGCAAACTGGCCGAATTTTTAGGCCGCGAAGTAATTTTCCACTGAAAACGTGGCCTCACTTTTCAAACTCGGCCCCGAGGTCGCTCAATTTCCACTGCAAAAAGAGTTTCTCAACAGAGCGCCATTTCTGTGCGGTGCCACTATAATATCCAGGAAACAGTACTATAGCACAGAGAAGAAAAAAAAAAGCGGGTCGAAATGTGGTCTGATAATTAGAATAGGAATGTGCGACATGTGATGTCAACAATCTTCTCAGCAGTCGAATAGACCGGAGAAAGCTTAAAATGCAAATGGCACCATGAGACAAGAAGAAAAAGTACACTATGAACTACACTACACACATCGGCACCTATTTTCATCGTTCTAATAGGAGACAGACTTCTTGATGGCATCGAAGACTCTGTGGACCGTCGGCAGGTAAAATGGCTCGTGCACGTGCGGGAACGGAGTGTCGTAGCCAGCGACGCGTTCGATCGGAGCTTCCAGATTGAGGAAGCAACGCTTCTGAATGTTAATTCCTAATTAGTCTCGCCTGGATCTTTGATTTCCAACCTGGACAGTTGAAGCGATTTCAGCTCCGAATCCGGAAGAAATCGGGGCTTCGTGGGTAACAATTAGTCTTCCCGTCTTCTGGACGCTCTGCAAATGTTTTGGCTATTCAACAAAGTTAATTCCTTGTTCATTCTTGCCTCCACAACGTGATCTTCGTCCCATGGCTGAATAGTTTGCAGGTCAATCACTTCGACGTCCGCATTCAGCTTCTCTTTCGCAAGCTGAGCAGCCTCCAAGGCAACGTGCACTTGGGTTCCCCAAGAGACGATAGTCAGATCCTTTCCAGTGCGGACTGTTTCGGCCTTTCCGAGAGGGATTTCGTAGTCTCCGACTGGCACGTCTTCGGCTGCCAGACGGTACAGAATCTTCGGCTCGAAGAAGATGCACGGATTCGGATCACGGATGCACGCGAGCAAAAGTCCTTTCGCCTGAATGGGTCCACGCGGAACGACGAGCTGAAAGACTAGTATTCGTCCGAATTCCAGTTGCCAATCACACCTTGAGCCCCGGAGTGTGAGTGAAATTAGCTTCTGGACTCTGAGAATGATAGAGAGCTCCGTGTCCAACGGCTCCCCATGTCGTTCTAACAGTCAGCTTCCCGCAGTTGAATTGGTTTCCAGAACGGTATCTGAACTTGGCAGCCTCGTTTACCAGCTGAAAGTGGAGAAGGCTTTTGGTAACACTGGAATGTTCTTTGAAACCTGGTCGTATGCCGGGAAAATGTAATCTCCGAACTGAATTTCCGCGATAGCAGTTGCTCCGGCGGCAGCCACTCCGATTCCGAAACCGGCGATTCCTTGTTCGCAGAGAGGAGTGTTGAAGACGCGTTCCTTTCCGAACTTTTGCTGCAAGTCCAGACTGCATCTGAAAACTCCTCCGAATGCGACGTCTTCTCCGAACAGAACCGCCGAGTCGTCAGTTTCCATCGCAATTCGCATCGCCTCGTTCACCGATTGCATCAGATTCATTTTCGTTTTCTCGACATTCTCGAGGCCAGCTGGAAGAGCTGTGGAAGGCTGGAAAGTGAAGTGAGCCTTTCCACGGGCTTGTTGAGCGAATTGGGACCTGCACTTGGAAAGGAGACTGACTGCGCGGGAGCTCATCTGTAATCGATGATTGGAAAACGGTATCAGAGCGAGAAACAGATATAATATGTCGCCGAGAACGACTTAAGGGATTAAAAGAAAAACAAACTCAGATGAATTCATAACAGAACGACGTAACACAAGAAATCAGGAAAAGATAATAGTCGCTCGATAGAAAGAAGCGAACTACCGGTTAGTCTGACAAACAAGAATAAGAGTAGATAGAAGGCGGAAAAGGGGCAATAAAATGGACGGAGCCGCTCAGTCTTCGTCGGAATCGAGATTCTCTACATCCTCGTCGATGTCGAACAAGTCCTCGTTGATGTCCATCTTTGCCATCGCTGCAATTCGTGAAATGAATTTTTGCGAGAGGATGCTGCCGCTGAGAGACGCAGAACAAAAAAAGAGCTCGTTTCCCATTACACGTGTGCTTTTATCGATTTGCTTGAGAAAGCACTCGATTTGAAAGTCGCAAGTGATGTTTGAACTTTCTGTCTGATAAAGAAAAGATATTGACAGGCAGAGAACTTGACGTCTGCGAGACATTCCGATTCGGAGAGAACGCGCGAAGAAATATGAGGAAATTGCCAAAAAAGTTTCTAGACAAATAAAATTTTTGCAAGATTCGACCTCCAGCAGTGGATTGAACGGCAGTCGATGAGTTGCTCATTTGATTCGTCAGTTCGTCGTCCATTCCATCAAACTTGAAGAAATTGGCGTCAATCTCGAAGACCTTCTCGTTCTCCTGCAATGTCTCTTTTCAGATTCTCGCATTCCCATCTGAATAACTCACATCGACCTCCTCCTTCTCCATTTCAATGTCTCCGGCTTCGTCGTCGTCGTTGTTGACGAGATTGGCGTCGAACAGGAACAGATCGCGTCCGGACATACCATTCTGAGCAAAATGCCATTTTTATCAGAATTTTGTTATTTTATCTCACGTGTTTTCCAGACTTGATCTTTTCCCGCTTCGCATTCTCTTCTGCTTCCTCTTTTTCTCTCTTCTCTCGCAGTTTTTTCTTCTTCCAGGCGATGAATGATTGCAGCGTCAACTTTGTTAAGTCTTTCGAGTTCAGGGCAGCTCTCTGAAAATTATTTTTAAAGGTAAAGAAAACTACACCCGATTAATCGCTCTTTACATGTTGGCATTAGGTGTTACCTCTTTTTCGACAAGTTCTTCGATACTTATTTCGTCTTCCTTCTGTTGTTCCATCGCCTTCCGATCCTTTCTCAGAATGAATCCCTCCGGAAGACAATGACGGTATTGGCACTTGTCTCCTCCGTTCGGGCACTCCCAGAACCATCCGTACTTGTTGTTTTCTACCGCTTCCAAAAAGTACTTGCATACGATATCGATCATGTGCCCTCCTTTGTTCTTCTTGTTCACCACTTCATTCAGCTTGTCTTGATCCCAATTCTCATTGGTCTCTGCAAATGAATCATCTCTATCTTCTCACTCTCATACTCTCAAACCGTCTTTGTCCACTTCTCTGCTGTCCGCGTACAAGTTCTTCTTGGCCGTTTTTTGAGCCACTGCCAGATCGTGACTGAACTTGCATTTGGCTCCTTTCCCGCAAAGTCCTTGCTTGAAAAACACGCAAAGAAGTGACTTCGGATCGACATCTGAAACATTTACACGCTATTAGTTTCCATCGAATGGGAACGAACCCTTGGCGACTTTCTGCTCCACGGGCTTCAGGAGGTTGGCAATATCGAGGAGCTCGTCTTTCTCTTTCTTCTTCGCGGCTTCCTGCTGCCGAACAAGGTCCATTCGAGTGTTGTTGTTGCGAACCTAGAGGTTAGTAGTCTTTCAGAGTTAAAAGCGCACAATTACCTGGTTCTCGACCTGCTGAACAAACTTTTGGGTCTTGTTTCCCTTTTTGTTTTTCAGACCGAACGTTTTGTCTTCGATTACTTTCTCCTTGCGCTTGGTCTCAGCCTTTTTGCTAGGCTGTTGCTTCGGCGGCATGATTGACGAGTTCTCTGGAATTTTATAGTTTCAGGAACTTGCAAACAAAAACCGACAAGAAGGCGAGGATAAGAAAGTCTTGAAATATTGAAATTCACAAAGATAATTTGTGAACATAATTCTTTCAGCTGAAAACCGAACGAAAATGGGGACAAAACGTGTTCAATGATAAAACTCACTGGCCGCCGTCCTTTGGAGTGTCGTAATGTCGCGCGGTTTAGCAGAAAGCGGCATCTTCAGAATTCGCCAAAGCATTCGTTGAAGATAAAAAGAGAACAAGAGTTAAAAAGCTTAAAAACACGAGAAGAAGTAAAAGTGACTGTTTTACAAATTCGAGAATACATTTTCGGAATTCATGTCACATTTATTTTGCTTCCTTACAACAAAATCCCTTTAGTTTTCGAAAGTGCATTGAAATTGATGCTAGAAATGCTGCTCTTCCAGCAACCGGGGGAGACGTGGTGAGATTCTGATGGGCGATGTTTCTGAGAAGCCTGGAGAATGCATCAGAAGTCTGCTGGAAGCAGCAGGAGCGCGTAAAAGGCAGGGAGAGGATGGCGACGCTGGCGGATCGCACACAAGTGGCTCCGCTCGCTTTCAGTGACTGCTCTTCGAGCATCCGAAGCTGTCACATTGGAATTCTGATGGGCGACGATTCAGAAAAGCCCGGAGAAGGCAATGAAAGCGTGCTGCAAGCAGTAGAAGTGCGCAGAAGGCAGGGAGGGGCATCCGGGGGAGACGTCGTGAGACTCTGATAGCCGAGGGATTTTGAGACACCTGGAGAAGCCGTGTCTCAAAACTCTGAACCTTTTCCAAGCGAACCCCTCCCTATCAGAAGATCACGACGCCATCTTCGGATGCTCGGAGAGCAGCCACTGGAAGCGAGCGGAGTCACTGAAACCGAACGGAGCCACAGGAAGCGAGCGGAGCCACTTGCGTGCGATCCGCTCGCGTCGCCGTCCTCTCCCTGCCTTCTACGCGCTCCTGCTGCTCGCAGCACGCTTCTCATCCGGGCTTTTCCGAATCGTCGCCCATGTCCTTAAGGGGCAGCAACCTGGACATTTCCGTCTTTACCGCGACTGTAAGAGGTGTCAGGTTGCCCCAAGTGTCTCTATTACTTCGAATTCTTTGGCGAATTCTGAAAATGCAGCTTTCTGCTAAACCGGGCGACATTACGACACTCCAAAGGTCGGCGACGAGTTGCCGACCAAAAAAATTCGATATTTATTGAAAACTCTATTTTTACCCACTCACTGAGTAAATTATTATTATTTTTCAAAAATGTTCGGTAGTGTGCACCGAAATGATGACCCGGACAACCCGAATACACTGAACGGGCCGAGAGTTTCGCAGCAACCAGAAACACAGCCGGTTAGTGATGCTTATTCAAAATCAAAGAGAATAATATCAAATTTGAGACAATAACGACTGGAATGTCATGGGAACTACGCGTGCAATCGTTTATTGGACTCTTAATTCTCTCAATTATCGCCAGTTTTTCTGTAAGAGAAATTTTAGAAAGAAAAATAACTGAAGCCACGTTTTCAGGGCAGCTACTTGCTTCTCCTCACGAAAATCACTGGATTCTGTATAATGACATCAATAAGTGCAGTCCTTTCCCTCAGCAGTACTTGTTGTCTGATGGGTCCAGTCGGACAGCTCAAAAAAATGTTCGATAAGAGTCGGTGGATCGCTTCTTCCATGTACATTCTCATGATTCTCCTCACTCTCATCTCCGGTCTCGTCCTCAAGAACGCTCTGCTCGCCATAATCTGTACCGTTGGACAGTACGTTTCCATGGCCTGGTACTCCCTTTCCTACATTCCGTATGCACGGGAAGCCGTTGCCAAAATCTTTTTCTGATTCAGTTCTGCCCTCGTTTCCCTCCATTTCCCGCTTTGAGATTTGCCATCGTCCGGTTGTGAGAGCTTTTACTTAAGTACATTTTGTGATCATCACGGGGTCGCGACGGATACATCGAAAATTAAAAGTTGAACTTCCGCCAACAGTCCATTGCGTACCGCCCCTATCTTAATTAGGCCAAAGCGAAATTCGAGCGTACATGTGCCAGTGTACCAGCCACGACTCCGTGATCATATATATTGTCTACTTGTTGTTGCTAAGTTGTATAATACGAAATGCATAAAATAAATTCTATTATAATGAGAATGAAACGTAACGTGTTCTGCAAAGGACCAAATCGGTATTACCAATTGTCGGCGATTCTAATGATTTTTCCATTCTGAATGAGTCCATCTAGTGGCATCTTTGCCACGGATAAAAAGGTCGGTGAAATCGTTACAGACGAACGAGGCGGCTCACTAAAATGAAACAGGCGGCTCACAAGAATGAACTCCACGGCTCACCGTCTTTCTCGAAATATTTCGCACCGCCGGAAACCCCAGCAGTGCATATCCAAAATTATTTATTAGCTCTACACTTTCTTCCGAAAGGCAGAAACTCCAGCGTACCTTGGTAACTGGGTAATAAACCAAGGATTCCGGCGCGATGTTTCCTCTTATACATTTTCATGTACCGACAAAAAACGGGCTCGCGTTAACGACCGTTGGGAATGCCCAATAGAGACGCAGACGAGCAAACAAACTGTTCCAGAACTTGTTGATACGGTAATTCAAGTAATTTCGAATCCAATTATGTCTCTTATCGAAAAGAACATAAAAATAAACTGCGAGAGCTCATTTTGGCGACTGTTGTAGCTCATCTGAACTGAAAATTTATTTTGTTACTATTCCATAACATTTTGTTCAAATACATCACTTTCTCATCCTTCCAGTCTCTTTTCTGTGTAACTGGAAGGTACCTTCAGTTCGGCTGCTTGCAAGTCAATTAATTCGGAGACAATCCGTTCGGAGTTCTATCGAAGACTCGATGGATCCGAGGAACTCGCATGTTTCAGGCGATTTCCAGCGTTATTTCTAGGAGAGTGAATTGAAAATGCAAAAAATTATGCTCGACCAAACGTTTCCTCCTCCCCTTCTAAATAACTGCTTCATCGTTTCCCACACCAACTCTCGTATATTTCCTTTTACAACAATGCGTTTTTTTCCCACAGAGAAATGTCGAAAGGCGTCTCGAGGCGGCTATAATCAATCGGAGAGAGTAGCATTCTCACTCGAGCCGGCTCTGCTCCACGTCGTCCCTTTCGTTTGAATTCCAAATGTCTGCCGGGTCGTCAGCAGTGGCGGCGGCATCGTCGGCCGGCTGAGTGGCGTGTTAATTTGATTTATGTGATGACTGCAGAAGACGGCGGAAAACACGGCGGGCAGGCAGGTAATTGAGAAGCGGTCCCATTCCGAATCTCCCCTTTTTTCCGCCTTTTCCTCCTCGACCACTTGCCTCGTCGCTTCCGTTTTGATTTATGAATCGGCACGAAAAGACAGCAGCAGCAGCAGCAGCCTCAGACATTCGGATCGACGAACAACCTTGGTTCTCCGCCAGCATTTCTACTCGTTTCGTGTTGTTTTTGTGGAAAACTTTTCATTTCTGTGTTTCCATCTTCGCGCTTTGATTCAGAATTCCTCGCCCCCAGCAACTCCTCCCGGGCCGTCTAATCGTTTCCGAACACGGAATCGTGGCTGGTACACTGGCGCAAGTGCGCTCTAATGAAATCTTCAAAAATTTCGCTTTGACCTAATGCTTTAGGATAGGGGCGCTACGCAATCGACCGTTGGGGGAAGTTCAAATTTAAATTTTTGATCTATCCGTCACGACCCCGTGCCGAAATAGACACCCAACCTTCGATCATCGTTTGAATCGCCCGTCTCCTCCAAACTTTATGTGCCCGCCGAAAGCCCTTTTAGTGTCCCATTTGGCCGCCCATCCGCACGTGTTTTTGAGCGCAATTGCGTTCTCCATAAACCGAATCGCTTATAATTACACCCTGTCGCGCCGTCGTTCTCAATTTGCATTCAGTGTCAGAATCCTGCGCCCAGCCGTCCTCCCCCGTTCCTCCTTTCTTTTTTGTTTCACACAAAGGCCGGCCGTATTTGTGCCGCTCGTCCCTCGATGATTAGTCGTCGTGGCACGTCGATATATCACTCAAGCCGAAGTGCTCTGTGAATTGCTCCGGCGCAGAAGAGCTCTGAAAGAAAAGAAGCGAGGAGGGGCGGAAGATCACAAAAACATTTGGTGTCGGGCGAGCATTTAATGCTTCTGCTGCTGCTCGTTGGGGCGACGGCGGCAGAGTCTTCCGGATCTATTCATATTTCATCCTGCCACGTCTTACACTTTCATCAATTTAGCGGTGCTCTCATATTTCAACACAATATGAATTGCATTATGTTTTGGCAGCGCAATGGGTCCCAGATGATTCTTCATACGCCCGATCACACGTTCTACTGGTGGAGAGGAGCGATGCCTCCCTGAAGATACACAAACAGATACAATCGGTCCCGTTGTCCGCCCCCTGATTTATGTATCGCCAGAAGGCGATCGTTTATGACACGCCGAGTACATACTCGGGAGATTAGCTCCGCTCATGCGTCCCCCCATCCGCAACCATCCAATTATGCGCCTCCTTCCTCCGATTGCCTTCGTTTTTCGATAGACGACACCTTCGACACCGGCTGTTGTCCTCTCCTTATCCCTTCCAAGACCACCCACTCATCCGTCTGGCATATGTTGAATACGCAATGAACTTTGTATTAATAGTATGTGTAGTCTTCGATTTGAACATGTGCGCGAAGACGGACGGCACAATGGCAATTAGAGATTCGCGTGTGTGTGTGTGTGTGGACAACAGACGGACAGAATGACTGACTGACGTCGCTTTGGAAACATGCCGCCGCGCTAAATACGCTGATGAATGGGATACGGCGCGAAAGTGACGAAGGTCGGATCCCTTCTCGTTCGTCCCCTCACCTGATCCTTATCATCCGGAAGTTGAGGGCCATTATTACCGTACTCACATTCACCGCGTAATTTGAGCACACAATAGAGGCTGTTTGCACCCGAGTGACGTGACAGCTGCATTCACCTGCTATTACAGTACGCCCTTGAACCGCAACTAGAGTGACAATGCACTAACATTGCGTCACACAGACTCTTTGCCGTCTTTATGATGACGTGGCAGACCTTTCTCGTATTTACGACCTCTTGGGTAACCCCGATCTGTTCTCTTTTACAGCGTGTCTATTACATCCCCTTCCCTCCTCCTCCGTCCTCTTCCCTCTTCTCGTTCCCCTCCTCGATCGTGTTTGTATCCGTTCCACGAGCATCATGTCATTATTTCACTGCCCAGTGACCACCAGTTAGCCGCCTAATTAGCGGTTTGCCCAAACAGAAACGGACTGCCGGATTATCCCTCGAGCAAATCATCATCTCTTTCCGTTGCCGTTTGCTAATAGACACACCTGGAGAGGTCATCGGCCCTCTCAGCTCATCCGTCGCCAATAATAATATGGTTGGGCGGGATGGGGAAATGGGCCGTCGAGTGCTACCAATTTATGGCTCTCCGGTCGCTCGTCTCGTCGCGATAATAGGCTTGTTCGACACTTTCACATTAACCAGATGAATGTGCTTCTGGCGTCGGCTCGCCGGTCCGTCTCCTTCTTCTTCTTCTTCTTCTTCTCCATCTCGTTGTTTCTCCAAATAAGATTGGCAAAAGGTGGCTCTTCTCTTCTCGGAAGTCTCTCCAAATTCCTGAGCAAACAGACAGATTGCATTGGCGGCTCGCATTTCGACTCCCCGCCCCACCACATCTTCCTCTGATTGCACAACGAGCATGTGACGTGGCACTCGAAACTCGAGAAGGTCCCTCCTTTGTCGGTACCGTCGCCCGTCACAAGAACCGTCCAATTACTGTTCTTCGTCACTTCCATATCTGATGTCGTCGCAGAGACAAGCATCTCTTCTTGGTGCAGGTGGTGAGTAGGGACAGATCGCATCATAATCGTCGAAGTGCGTATACATCGCAGTACGTATTAGTGAGGAGAAGGGAGGTCTCTATTGACATTGTTTGCACTGGACGCTCCTTCGGAACCGTCAGTTATGTAAATCTGAGTAAATAGCGGCTTTTAGAGTGTTGCCACGTCAAACAGTATTGCACTTAGAGCCTACTCACTCGCTCGCCTCTTCACCTACTACCACCCGCCGCCGCCGCCGCCGCCAGCAATAGCAGCAGCAGCAGTCACATCTAAATGTCACTTCTCTTGTCAAAACGCAAGAGGCCCATTCTTCTGATCGCTTTTCAATGGTCGTGTCGTTTCGGCGCGTCGTTGGCGCGATGCGAAGAAAAACGAAAGGTTCGAAATCAAATTGCGGGAAAAGAAGAAGAGGGGTCTCTTCTATGAGTCTGCTTGCCTACCGAGCGGTGTCAATCTTGATACACACACAAGCACTCAACAATCGCACACACACAGGAGGCACTCGACCAAACATTGTGGTTGGCAAACTTGACACATGTCCTCCTTCTCCTCCTCCTCCTTCTTCTTCTCCCTCTTCTTCCTTCGTGTCCGTCCAGTAACTCGACCTCCCTCTACTCCTCCTTCGCCGCCGTCTTCTTCTTCTTCTCCTTCTTCTCCCCTTGGTCAACCAATATGATGCGCTGTTGCCTGCTGCTGCTTGTCCCCTTACACCCAGCGGTGTCCTCGACGTCTTCTTTTTTCTCCCATCTATATTACCCCCTCTACTCGGCCCTAACACACACCACCACCTCTTGATCGTTCGCTGCGGGGTGTCGGTGTTTCGACACATTATATGTTGGATGGCCCTCGCCTCTTACCCCTTCCTCCCGCGTCCTACTCCTCGTCGACCCAAGCACATCTGGGTGACATACACACACACACACGCAGATTATCCATGTCATGTTCATAACGGCCCGCATGTGTCTGTGTCCGTTTTGACTCTGTCGTTATTTGAAATTCAAATTACATCTTCCTCTCTCGGCTCCTTCTTTTTATTCTTCTTCTTCTTCTTCTTCGTCGTTTCCATTCGTAAACGGGAAAAGGAAAGAAAAAATATCCGCCGTGTCTCCGGAGTCACCTGAAAGAGTCTCCGCAAGAGCAATTAGGGATCGGAGGGGTGACACCTCGTCCCCGGGGACCGGAAGCCGTCTCATAAAGTGACAAAGCTTTCTAGAGAGAGTGACCAATCGACCGTGTCCTCCTCATATTCATATGGGTAGGCACTCGCGCGCCCCCCTCCTCCTGCCAGTGTTTATGTTTCTATTACTCCCACTACTATCCGCTGCCTACCACCGCTCACTCGCGCGCACAGCTTGCGCAGTCTCTCTCCCATCTCTTCGTCTTTCCGTTCCCCCATTATTGTCTTTTTGTCGAGAGTACGCGAACGCTCTCTATACGCACATCCGATTATCTTCTCGCGCGCTCTCTCGCTCTCGCTCTCCCTTTGACCCCCACACACTTCTCCCCGTTTTTCTTTGATTCAAAGTCGGACAGTATATGAATTCGACGGATTTTGATGCCGGAGTTCCGTTATTATTGCGATCCCTGTCATGACAACTTGCGACGAACGGAACAAAAAAAACATAGCTTTTTGCCGCTCTCATTCATTTCTCATGTCCCCAGTGTAATTCTCTCTCTCTCTCTTTCTCTCTCTCTCTCTCTCTCTCTCTCTCTCTCCGAACCTGCTTGTTTTCAATAAGTCAGGGTGCCCCTCGTCGGTCGCCAGTTGTGCGTGTTTGCTGTCATCAAGGGTTAATTCATTTTTGTCCATTTCGAAGGTTCCCGTAATTGAATTATTGAATTAGAAGGCAGATTACATCCCCCCGGCCGCCGCCGCCCGTTTCTTTTTTCAGGGCCCCCGGTGCATTCGTTGTCGCGTGCTAGAATGCATTCGTTTCATTGGCCAACTAATTTCCAAATTGGTTTTCCCTCCCCTCCTGGCTTCCCTTTGTTCTTCCCTCATTCTCTCCTTATTAGTTCAACTTTTCGGGTTTCCCCAGAGAGGATATTCCAACCGTGGTAGAATAATCAGGCCGTCCGTTCCCGTCTTATCATGTCGTGTCATGATTTACACATCTCGGCTATATCCTTTCTTTTTTGATTCTGCCGCCGCTGTCGTCGCCAGCGCCACAGCATTTGATACGGCCGGAAGAAAGGTAATTAATTGGAAGAAAGAGAGAAAGACAAGGGGTTGTTGGTGGCCACAATGAAGCATTTACGGGCGGACTCTGTGAGGTACACCTTCCACGTCATCGGTCCCTTCTGCTCTGCTCTGATGCCGCCGCCGCACCATTAGTCACTCTGCCCTCTTCACGACTACAGAGCACCACCGTACACCTTTGCTGACGCATTCGTAAAGACAAAAAACAGATTAGAAGAGAAGACAGAACGAATTTTCGTACTCAATTTGTATTACTATCACTACGGTGGCGCTTTGACTGCGGTTAGTCAGACTCATAACACACCCGCCTTCCCCCCGACTCGGCCACTTCTATTTCTGTTTATGTAATCCGGGAATAGTAGCCTCCCGAGACCTCATGGTAAATATTCATCAGTTGTAACCAAGCGTGAACAACATCTTGTGTCCGTCGTCGTCGTCGTTTCTTTGCGTATTAGTTGTCATCCAATTACTTCTCGCTTTGTTTTCGAATTCGGCACTCCGTCTTCGTGTCGTCGGTTTGGCGGCCCACTTCGACCCGGGCGGTCCGTCCAGCCGCCAGAAGCTCCACACACTCATTCACCTAAACCTTTTCCCCTTCTTCTTTTTTTGATTATTCATAGTCCTCTTTTGTCTTTCTCTCGCCGCGTTCTTTCTCCTTTTTTCCTTCCTCTCCCACTCCGCGCAACTTTAGGTTAGAACGTGAGAAAGGCGAGCCTTTCGTGTTTCGTTCCGGCCGCCCGTACCTCTTTTCCTTTACATTCGCCTCCTTTTGGTCCTTCCGACGCCAACTGTCGCGAGGAAAAGTGTCAATTTATGAGGTTGTTTAGTCGGCCCATAAAAGTCCAGAATGATGCGGAGAAAGCCAATAAGCCTCCACTTGAAACTTCTAATTCTTCCCTTTTCCCAGTCAAAGCACCTGGATTACATTGGGTGTAACTTTCGGCGCCGAACCTATGAATCTTCTCGAATGTCATTCGAAAGAGAGAACCTTGAAACGGTGATGTACTCCCGGGTTAACATCGTCCATTTTGATTAATTACCCTTTCATTGATGAGAATCGAGATAATAAATCGGTTGGAATCTGACGAATCAAACGTGATCTCAGTTATTTTGCAATTCGATTATCCACATGGCTGTGCCGAGGTCATTCCGGAACAGTGTTGACTGTGTGAATGGCGGTAATCCGCGCGGTCATCCATCATCGAGTGCTCTGTCTAATTGGGTGCGAATCAGCGGGACGTCACCGCATTGTGCAAATGGTCTCTCCTCGCCACTCGTAACAGTGCCGTCGTTCGGACGACGACGACGACGTCTCCTTCTTATTCTACCTCATGCGCGCCTTTTCCGCATCATTTGCGCACTTTCTCACACGTTTCCGCCCCATCTCGCATCTCCATTTCCATCGTTTCGTTGTTGTTTTTATGGTGTCGTTTGGTGGCCGAACCGACAGACCGTCGGCCTTCTGTCCACAATTTTCCACATTTTTCGTGTCCGCATAATTGTTTGATAAACGACTCTTCCTGCCGCGTCCTTCTTCCCCGTCGTTTCGTCGTTTCCAGGCCAATGACTGCACTTTTTATCGACGTCGTAAAACTGGGCGCTGAAAGTATCACTTACAAAATCTTTGACTTCACTAGTTATCGTGTTTCTAGAACATCCATTTCACCGCCCATTTTGAAGAACTTTGACGCGTTTTGCTCTTGCCCCGATGTGCCAATTAAATGCGAATATGTTGATAATGAGCGTGAAGAGACCAGAACGTCACTGATAACACGGTGGCTCCTTCTGCTCCACCAGGTCGTCCGTGAGAATTTAGTTTCGGTTGCCCCCTCACGGCAATTAGTCGTGTGAGGGGCACCTGCCAGAGTGTCAAACACGATGCGTCAGTCCGAAGGGGCCCTCGAATATAAATGCGATTGTAATCCATCTTGCATCGCCCATTGCTCCTCTTCTTCTCTCTCTCTCTCTCTCTCTCTGTCTCCCCCATTTTTTGTGGGCCGCGTCTATCCATCAAAAGCTCACCAGTCATTTCGAGTCGAATAAAATGAGCATTTGGTGGGCGACTCGACGCGGCGCCGGCTAGCCTTCTTCACTGCTTCTGCGCATAAGAAAACCCATCGTTTTTAATCGAATACAACCATCCGGCTCCTTGGCAAGCCAGAAAGCTCCATTTTCTGTCGCACGACTCCCCACTCCACATTTATATTCATCTTCGGTATGGAAGTGGCCTCCGGGCTCTTGCGTGTGCATTCCACCCCGATTTTTATGTGCGTCTCTCTCGACACTCTGCCTGCCACTCTTGGCTTCAAATTGTTCGTGAAGCACACAGTGCACAATAATCACACGCACACATGCACATAAAAACGCCGTGTCGCGGTTCGCCTAAAGTTTTTGACACCCAAAAGTTCCGCTTATCATTCCGCCGCCTCTAATTCCTTTATCGGGCCAACAAACCGGCCGGCTTATTTATTACCCGTGTAATATAATGTGCACCTCTTCATTCTCCCATCATGAAACGCTTCGTCGTTCTTTTGAAGTCTTTTCTCTCCGTTCTTTCGCCCTCCTCCCACGATAATTGGTTTTTGCGTCGAGCGTGGCGCTAGCGGCGCAAACACGTCGACGCGAAAGTTCACAATTTGAAAAGTTGAACAAAAAGAACGCGGATGACCGTGTAAACGAGGCCCGCCGCCCTTCTCTCTTTTTATCTTTCTCCGTTGTTTTATCGTTCCTCCCATAATAAAAACCGAATGAGCCGCTTTCATCTTTCCAATTCTTACAGCTCCAACACCTCCAACTCTGCTGTCTTCACGACGTGAGAAGCGAGAAACGCGCTCGAATTGTATCGTCTGGTCCCCTGCCAAGCTTCGGTTTTCCCGAACTAATCTGTGAAAATTGTGCCTCCACTGATCGCCCGTCGATCAACCCCTTCTACAACCACGTCGGACCAAAGGCGATTCGTGAATCCAAATTTCCCGCATCAAGGCTCGAGCGCCGCACGAGAAAAGTGAGTTTGTGTTTTTGAGAAAAGTGAGTTTGAGTTTTTCAAGTATTAAACGCTTTTTACAGTAGGAAACGAAGTGGGTCTGCTAGTGGCATGTCCTTTTCGGATCACATTGAAGCCATCAAGAAAGAGATGACCACGATGAACAGTCAACTTGGAACCAATAAGAGCGAAATCGAGCGAGCACGACAGGAAAATTCGTCCATCCAGCAACAAATCCAAATGATATCTGATCAAGGGACTCTGCAAATGGACCTACAAAAGGCGGCCGAGTTAACGAAGAAGCTGGAGAACATTGCGAGAACTTTCTGCCAAACAATCAGCGATCAGAGCCAGCAGGCACAGTTGCTCGCAGAACTCGAATCGATCGCGAAAAACGGAGCCGGTCAGATGTCGGTCATGACTCCTCCTATGATGAATGCAGTTGCTGCTGCGGCAATGCATCCACATATGATGATGAGGTATTGAGATCAGAACCAACAACTCTCAATCGCGGTACAACATAATAGAACTGCGACGTAATAGAACTGTTTTTCGGTGGTTCGCGTTAGCATTTTGTTTTTAAATGTGAGCAATTGTCTATATTTCGATGCAATAATTGGATAGCAAGCTTCAAAAACGATCTTACTTCATAAAACGATTATCCTATAGAAAGGCGCTCTAAACAGTTCTATTGTGTCGCAGTTCTGTTCCGCCCAGTTCCATTATGTCGCAGTTCTATTCTGTCGAAGTTATATTCTGCGCAGTTCTATTATGTTGTACCGCCCTCTCAATAACTTGTATTATTCAGAAATCCGATGATGAATGCAATGAATGCATCTCCACGAGTTGGAAAGGGAGGGGCGCCGAACGGCGGATTGAACGGAATGGCAATGATGCATCAGATGCAGGCACAAGCAATGATGCAAGCACAGGCCGCCATGATGCAGGCTCACATGTTCCAGCAGATGCCAATGATGGGAGTGCCCGGCATGATCCCCGGAATGCCTCCAGGAATGGCCGGTCTGCCCGGAATGATGCCCCCGAATAGCGCCGCCGCAGCCGCTGCAGCTATGCAACAATTCAATGCTGCTCAGGTATAAATGCAACTCATCCGGACAATCATTATACCGTGAGCTTCAGGTGGCCGCTGCAATTGCCACGTCAACACCGTCAAGGAATCCATCGACGTCTGGAGCAGCTTCTCGTACGCGGACGCCATTAACCGCATCGGCCACGAATTCCCCCCGACCGATCACGGAACCAGTAATTAAAGAGGAGGACCCGCCATCGATGGAAGCTGACGTCACCGTGACTGCCACGAGTGCCGCGACAATCAAACAAGAAGAGAACTCGACGGTCGCCGTTGCGTGATTCCGGCGACTTGTGCCATTCCATAACTTTTTTGCTCTGATGCTATTCGGTGGCCGAGCCTTTCATTGGCCTTCTCTCTACTACTGGTCCTGCTTCCCTTTTCTCTTGTTTCGTCCATCACCAATCTCTCACTTTTTGCTGCTCCGTTCATAATGTTCTCCCGTTCGATCCCTGCTGCGTCGGACATTTCGATCTCTCTGCCTGTTCGACAGCTCTCCTCTATGATCAGTTCTGATGTTTGAAAATGTGTCCGGATCTTTCAGTTCTCCACTTTTATTCGCTTTTCATCCCGCAGCGGGTCTCCTCTTAATGCAACACTATAACTCTCAAATTTATGTATTTTGGAGAAGAAATCCAGTATTTATGAACAATAGTACGTTTTTTCGCATTTCTCTCGTCGCTTCATGTGAATGCTACCAACTCTCATCCCCCTTCGGTTCAGTCCAGTGTTTTTTGTTTTCTGTCCGCATTTACAATCTTTTGAGGTGCCAGTTATTTGTTCGGACAATAAAAATGAGTGTTTATTCACATCTGAACCAGAAAATCACAATCCCGAAAAATGAATTTACTAGAGAATAATTTAGGGGAGAAATATGTCTATATAGCTGTTGAGGGAGGTAACGAATTATGGAAGGGCGGCGGTGAGCTCCGGAACTGCCTTGAACAGATCGGCCTTCAGTCCGATGTCGGCCACCTGGAAGATCGGTGCATCGGGGTCCTTGTTGATGGCGACGATCACTTTCGAATCCTTCATTCCGGCCAAGTGCTGGATGGCTCCCGAGATTCCGATGGCGATGTACAACTCCTGAATAACGAGCAAGTTGTTGATATTTTCTCTTTTCACGACTTCTTACCGGCGCAACAATCTTTCCGGTCTGTCCGACTTGCATATCATTCGGGACGTATCCGGCGTCGACGGCAGCACGGGAAGCACCCACTCCGGCTCCGAGTTTGTCAGCAAGATCGTAGATGAGCTTGAAATTGTCTCCGCTCTTGAGTCCTCTTCCTCCGGACACGACCACCTTCGCGGTGGCGAGATCTGGTCTTTCGGACTTGCTCAACTCCTGTCCGAGGAACTCGCTTTGGTCGGTCTTGATATCAGAAGAAGGAGCTGGAAAAGATAACTTCAGTAGCTTTCGAAACGTTTTTCGTACCGTTTTCAACAGCTCCACTTCCGCCTTCTTTGGCGGGCTCGAAAGACGTTCCACGGAAGGTGAGGAGCTTGACCGGAGCAACACTCTTCACCTTTTTCACAGCGTTTCCGGCATACTGATTGCGAGTGAACGTGTCGGCCGAATGGACTTCGGTCACATCGGAAATCGGGGAAACATCAAGCTTGGCAGCCACGCGTGGAATGATTCCGCGGCCGAAAGCCGATGATCCGGCGGTGATGGCGGTGAAGTTGAACTGCTTCTGGGAGGCCAGAACGACTGGGGCAACGCGCTCTGAAGGGGAAACTTGAGGGATCGCCAAACGGGATGAGGGACTGACCTGGAAGGCTGTGCTTGAGTTTCTCATCCTGAGCCACGAGCACTCTTTTCACTCCATTCACTTTGGCAACCTCCTTGGCCACCTTCGTGGCGTTGGCTCCAGCGACAAGGACGGAAACATCATTTCCGAGCTGAAAAATCGATAAATAACTTGAGAAATCAGAAAATACACTAAAAATTTGGGGCGATCAGAAATCACTGATCACAGTGTGAACTGCGCTAATTTTTTGGTTTTTCGAGGAAATCTCACCTTCGTGGCAGCAGTGATGGCGTTCAGAGTGATCGAAGCGAGCTTCGAGTCGTCATGCTCCGCGATGACCAAAGTGCTGTTTAGGCGGGAAGCCTGAAAGATGAGGCAATTGAAGCTACCCCCCTTAACAGCTATATAGACATATTTCTCCCCTAAATTATTCTCTAGTAAATTCTTAGTCTGCAGAGTTCGGAATTTCTCGATTTGCAAACGAAAAGAAATAAAACTAGATCTTCCGGCCAGACAAATCCTCTGCCCAATCGATTACGTTTTATATCAGAAAACCTAACCAGAAAGATAAACGGCAACTCACATTGTTGAAGCGCACGGTCCGGGTGAAGACGGTTCTCGCGGAGAGCATTTCGGCTGAAAACGGATTGATTATTTTTTGGACGGGAACAACATTCGCGATTGACAAAAAGTAAACGGGCACCACAGTGTGTAGAATGATAAGAGGAATGAGATGAGATGCGAAAAGAGAACGAGAGAGTGAGAGACCGATAGAGAGAGAGAAGGAGACAGAGACAACATGAGAATCGGCAGAAGAGTCAAAGTACGCGGCGCGATGCGGAAATTACATGGTTTCGGGCAACAAGTTTGAGAGCTGTGATTGAAAGCTCAACTGCAAAGCATAAAATCGTCAGAACGTGCAGCGTGGCCGTTTAGTTCAAAGGCCACCGGGACGTGAACTTGTCAATCGAACTACGGCTGGGAATGTTTTCAACAGTTCCGCTCTCACTCCGAACTTTCATCGCTTCGCCAACTCGACGTTTCTCGGAGAGCACCTCTCGAAGAAAGACATGGCCGTATCACTCGATGAACAGAATGTCCACTCGGAAATCGCCACTGCCGTTGCCGGTCCGTACAGCGAAACCGAGCTCAAGTCTGCTGCCAACTCGACCCTCAGATCGAGAAGCGTCGCCACGACCCGCACCGCGAGAAGTAGTTGAAGAAGTTGAGGAGAAGTAATGCCAGCGGATTACAGGCTCGGCGAGTGCTCCGGCTGCTGCTGCTGCTCAGGGACCGAGCTACGACAAGATGATCTCTGCGTTCGCTACTGTCGCCTTCTCGTACCTTTTGCTTGGAATCTCGCTCTACGTCGAAGCCACCGTCAGCCTTTTCCACGTCGGCTACTTCTCGTACAGAAACCCTGCCGTTTCGAAGGTACTCACGTCCGCTCACTTCCCATTCGAATCGAACATTTCAGGATCTCATCAAGACGGCCTTCCATCTTCTGAAGACCTCGTACGACAACAAGTTGCTGACCATCTCGGAGATCTACGAGACGACCAACCACAGCATCATCAAGCCAATGGCACGCCAGAACAAGCAACACTTTTTGGAGGAAAATCAGCGTACTGCTCAGTTGCAGACGATGAAGATCTCTTCCGCCACTCGCTAATAAACAGTGCAAATTTGAAACGTCTTCATTTTGATACAAGTCGGCACTTATTGCTTTCCGAGAATCTCCTTTTCCAGTGCAGATGTTCGTCCGGCCGCTTTCCATTCCCGTGTGTGGTTCCAGTCAACAAAGATCATCGCAGCGGCGAGAATCGGCCACGAGTAGACGGGAAAGCCTCGTTTGAAGGCAGTCCATGCGGATGCGGCTGCGACCATTTTCTTGGAAAAACAGTTTTACCAATAGTGAATGAATGAAGGCGAATGAAAAAGAAAATAAGTAAATAAGTAAATGCGGGCGGAAAAATAGAGCGTGACAATCCCGTAGAAAAATGTCGAACCCGTAATAAGTACGCAAACACATTTACGCCAAAATGCACAAAACTCAGAATAATAGACTCCTCATGGCATTTTTTAATGGTTCTGTCAAATGTTTATGTCTCAAATGAATAGTTACTAAAGGGGCGAAAAAGGCAATCAAAAGTGAGTCAAAACAGTATGCGCACTAGGCCCATTTCTTTTTTTGTAGTCTACGGGTACGTTTCGAATTTTCTACGGGATTGTCACACTCGAAAAATGAGAAAATAAAATAGCTTGCGCGGTTTGTGATCTCGATGTTGACGCACTTTGCGCCGAGTTGGCGTGTTCTATTGAGAAGAGCAAAACGTCTTCTTAAAAATGTTCAAACCTAACTTGCAAAATAATAGTTTCGTACAATGTTTATAAGAGCGAACCGTAAATAAATAGACAGTAATCAATCAAGAAATTAAGATTCAGTCCAGTTGGACGACGGATGGCTCCTCGAAGCGCTGAACCATGAAGTGGAGGTCCTCCGAATAGCCGAACTTGCTGTAGAACGGAACGAGCTCCGTCTTGCACTCCAGAGACAGTTTATAGACTCCGATCTGTGAATTAACAGTTGTGAAGAGGTGGGAATGATCCTATTACGGTTTTGGCCATGTCGACAAGCACATTGTTGAGAAGAATGCCGAGTTTCTTTCCGCGCATCGATTCGTCCACGACGACATCTTCTACTCGCCCGCGGCTTCCCGCTCCGTGAATGAACTTAAACTCAACCACCAATGTCGCAGCGCCGACGATCTTCGCCGATCTGAAAGCAAAACGGCTATGAAGCATTCCGAAGAGATCCGACTCACTCAATGTGCTCGAGCACGACGACAAAATACGAATCAGCCTTCTTCATCGACGCGAAACGCTGCTCAAAGTAGTTTTTGGTGACGTGTCCGACGGAAGTGAGCTGTTCGAGCAACTCCAGATATCCGTAGTCATCGCTGCGAAGGGCACGGAGACGGAGACCGGAAGGCGGCGAGATGGCGGTCGGGAGGAGAATATCGTCGAAAAGAGGGACGGACATGATCGGAAAGTGAATGCGAATGGAAAGTGAAAGAAAGAGGATTGGAAAAGAGCAAAGTAACAGTAAAAAGGGGAGTGGATCGGGTAGATCAAATAACATTCATCGGTACAAGTAGTTCAAATCGGCAACAGGTTCGGGCCTGTGCGGCTTCCGGACCCTGCTCGTTTTGATGAACATCAGGTGGTTGATCGCCCGATCCGTCGCACTCCACATCACATTTCCGGCGTCTTCCCGCCCGAAGACTCCGCCCGTTTGCAGGCCTCCCAGGTACTTCGCAATCCGTTTGTACTGGCGCCTTGTCTCCGCCGCTTTCTTCGCTTGTCTCCTCGTTTTTTTCGCATTGGCAATCTTCATCGCTTTGACCACTTCCTTTATGTATTCAACTACCGTCTCCAAATTTCTTCTATGTTCGAAGTTCTCCTCATTGCTGATTCTCCGGTAGATCTCTTCTTTTTGCAGCCGTTTCAGTGCGTCTACCATCTGAGAATGCATGTGCCATTTCCGAATGTGACTCTGAAAGAAGGAACATATTTCGGAGGGAATCTTGATGGCCGTACGATCTGGAACCTCCGACGGATGTGTTTCTGCTTCTCGATGTTCACTTTGTTATTCACAAGAAGCAGAACGAATATGAGCATGAACACAGCTCCCGGCCACACAGCGATCTCTGAAAATGACGTTGGCTCGATTGATGGCATCACTCGTACCGAATAGTTCCAGAGCGCCGGAAAACCTGGGATTTACATCGGCAGGATCATCGTTACTGAAACAACTCGAATCCCTGCTCACACGATACATTTCCACTAAATCTGTTTGAAAAATAAAAAAAATAGAATAAAAAACTGATTTATTATCCTTTTGGTCACGTCAAATTAAAATTCGATCTGATGATCAGACGGTGATAACAAAAAAGCATTGGTCAATAGAAGACTATTAAGTCGGCTGGTTTGATAGGGAAAGGGTGGTTTTGTGCCTAAATTCATGATAAACAGATGGGGAAGGGGGTGGGGTTGAACGGTGTTGTGAGATTTGAACATGGGCTAGAAAAAGTTTTAAAATCTCAAATTACTGAAGTGTTTGATTTGAAATGGCATATTGTTGAGAGTGTAAGAGAGGGACATGGCCCATTTCGAATCAACTAATTGCCAATGATACAGGGTTAGCGTGAAAATAACACAGAAAAAGTGGGGTGCTATGACGGTTGTATTCGAGATAATGTGAATGGGTCCTCACTAGGACCTGTCGTTTAGTTTTGGAAAATTGAAAGATCGAATCACTTTTACAAGGCACTCAAACGTTCAACATTCCAAAGAATACAATTACTGGGGGAGTGTGAGCACCAGGCGAGTTCAGATTACAGAAAAGAGCAATTAATGGTATTAGGTGATCTCATGACATAATTATTACAAATTGTATGTATATGCTATTCCAAATGGAGTGAGATGGCAGATACCAAGAGTGGGGAGAAGGGGATAGGAAATATAATAACGGGGGACGACAATGGAAACATGAGGAATGGTACATGATTAAATGGCAACTCTAACGGTGAGCACGAACAAAACAAATGGTTAGAGCTATCTTCTCAAACATACTTTAGAATGAGGTGTTGTTGTTCGAGGGGGTCGGACTGTCTCCGCTGGACGGGGGGACGATGGTGGATTGAGAAGCGGCCGATGAAGAGGACGAAGACGCGGATGTGAAGAGCGATGGGAACGAGTTGACGTACGAAGTGGTCGTAGGATACTTCGGGAACGCGAAGTCGTTGGCCAGTTGCAGCGAGTTAAAGGTATCAAACATTCCAGAACTGAGAAGCGAATAGTCGAACACATTCGATCCGAGCAATGGGTTTGATGGGGCAAGAGTCGGGCTCTGAAACCGGTCCCTTACAATAAAAGCAGTGTGGTAAGCACATACCAAAATGGATCCTCCCAAAGTGGTCGCAGGAACTCCTGGATTTCCGTGGCTCGAAGACATGATGACGCCAGGGCTGCGAAGCGGTGTTGGAGACAACAGAGGAACGGCCGTCATGACTCTAGCCGGGTTCGGAGATTTCATCGGGCGGTACGTTCCATTGATTATGGCAAGCTCCATGAGTTGCTTCCTCTTGAGTTCATCGGTTCCTTCCGGCTTAAAAATTAATTATTGTCTATGAATGGATTTACAAACTAACAGCCGGAACGAGCAACTTTCTGACCTGCTCCAGAGCAGCTTGCAGCTTAATATGAACGCGATTCTCCGTGTCTTCGCATTGCACCAGGACATGCAAGTCATCTTCAAGATGTTCCCAATTGGCTTTTCCGCGATGAGCGCTTTCCTTCAACGACTGCACATGATTTTGGAATGGATTTAGATTGTTTAGAACCTTGGATTTGTCACGCATTGAGCCCTTTCCGCGCACCATTATCTTGCAACCGGTGTCCTGTTCGAGTTGCTTGGCAGTCATTCCTCGCGGTCCCAGAATTCTTCCCACGAAGTTGTACTGAAAATGCGGATAAAGAAGCGTCGGTTTTCTCATACTTACGTCCGGGTACTCGTTCTTAGGGACGTAAATCTTCTCAGTTATCGAAATCATGTCACCAGCTGGCTCTGGAAGCTCCACACGAGGGAACTCGGTTTGGAACAGAGCGACACGAACCCGACCGATTTCTGAAATCTAAACCTGCAACAGTACATTTTCCCAGACCCACCGTCATCGAGTAGTCGTTCGACGTTGTTGAACATGTGCGGGAACATAGTCAAATGTTTCTTTTCCTTGACAAGATCAGCCAAATACTCAACGGTGGCCTCCACTTCGATCGGCTCGGTTGTGGTGGGAGAGAACAAGCCTGTAGTTTCCCAAATATACTGATCAATCAAAAGCATCAACCCCTACTCTTGCTGTCTAAAGAAACTTTGCCGTAACTCATTGGTGTCGATGGGAGTGTGGGCGAGAAGATGCTTCTGTTCTTATGACTGAACATGGCAGCCGGCGACAGGATAGAGTTTGGCGTCTGGCTGTATGCACTCGATATGGGCGAGAGAATGTTCTTGGTCGAAAGCGAGAGTCGAGCAGGTGGTGGTGCCCGCAGAGAGCTCTGAAATCAACGGTCATACGAAAGACACCGCTCCCAAACGTACCCATCCGCCATCGCGCCGCCCTCCCGGCCAACGATCACCGGCCTCCACAATCGGAAACTTCTTCCGCGGACTTTCTCCGTCAAGGGAAGTCGGTGTCAAAATGGATGCACGAGACGGAGAATCCGAGCTCGGCATATCCAACTGCGACGTTGCCCCGAATGTTGGAGTAGTGCACGACGGCATCATTACAGGTAAAACCTAAAATGAGAAGATTCAGTTTATAGCAGTAATCGAACAAGGAGCGATAGAAATCAATCAAAGAGAAAGAAAGCACAAAAAAAACAAATAAAATTTCTACTTTTTTCCAGTTTCGAGTGCAAAAGTTAGGGAACACCCGAGAACCGCTAAAAATGAATTTCAAAATCCCATTTTCGAAATCAACCGTAGTCGAAAAGTGTGTCGTAACGAGACCCACCACTCGACTAGACATATGTTCCTTTAATCTGATAAAATAGTACGGTATTCCACCGACCAATCTCCACGAAAAACTTTATTGAGACCTTCAGAATGAATAAATGACAGAAACAGAGCAAAATTAACATTTTTATTGGCGCTGATTGTTTCGTCTGCGATATTTGTGCTTCGGTTCTTCGCTTTCTTCGACTGGCGGAGGCAATCCTGCTGCGAGAGCCGCCGACTTCTCCAGCAAGAATCTCTTCTTCTTTTCCGTTTCCAGAATATTCGTGATGCGAGTGCTGAAATAGAAGTTTTAGAAAGATTTGTGGTTTTAAAAGAAACCTTATGCCGAGATCGACCTCCGGAATTCCTGCGAGCATGTGCTCCGAAAGCAGTTCGGTTTCCTTTTTGCTCTGATTTGCCTTCACCTTCCCAGCCGCCTGCTTCAGCAGTTCCACTTCCCGATCTTCCGCGTTCAAAGACGAGAATTTGGCGGACATCGTTTGTTGTTTCTGCGGTTTTGCGTCGTCATTTTTTAAGTGCACAATCCCGTCGTCGATGTATTTCCTCAGTTCTTCGTGTTCGTCTCTGAGCATCGTCTCCTTCTCGAACTGCTCGCGGAGTCCCTGCTCAATGCTCGCCGCTTCCATCGCCGCCTTCTTCTTGCTCGTCATCACCATTCCGCCTCCCGCCATCTGAATTCCGCCTTCCAGTGCCGCGGCTTTCGAGATCCCGACGGCGCACTCGAGCTCTGTCAGTCCGTTTTTCCGCTCTCTGGATCTTTGGAGGTCTCGGATGTCCGCCACGCGCGTGGATTCTTCTAAAGCTTTCCAAACAGTCAAGTACACTTTCTCAGCTCTTTGATTTACCTTCATTTGCAGCGTCGTCGTCATTGATAACTTTCCTCGTTTGCACCTTTTTCTTGGATTTTCGGAACAAATCAGCCATGTCAACTTCTGAACAAAAAACAGTAACACGTGATTTTTCACCATTAATTTGATGTATCATTCAGTTGGATAACAGGTTCGAAAACGAAGTTCACAGAAAAAGTAACAAAGACATTTTATACAGGTTTCTATTATTATCGGTGAAAACGTGCAAATGGGAGTGGAAGAGGAAGAAGAATAAGAAGTTTGATCTATTAGGAAATGACCCAGAATTGATGTGAAAGTGAAACAATAACTTGTAAAGTGACATGTTGCCTATGAATGATATTATGTCCGATTGTAATTCTCATCATTGCGAGAAAGTAAAGCTGAATTGTTTTAAAATGAACTAATCGATGAGGAGAGAGAAGAAGTGAAACATGAGGGAAATTAAGGGTTACTAACACTTATTACTGTATTAAAAATCTGACGAATACAATCGATCGCAAATCGATTTGGAATTCTTTTCGAAAATTCAATGGCCGTGGCCGAGCTACCACCCATTTCCGAAAATAGCGAGAAAATGAGCCAAATTTCTGAAGCGAAGAGATTTCTGTGAATATGTACGATGAAGATAATGCAACAGGGATGGGGACGACTAGAAAATGTTCTATAGGAAGGGAAAGTACAATGATTAGACTGAGTTGTAGTTCGGATTCTCTTTATTCAGAGATTCCATCTCCAAACGGGCTCGAAGATCAGCGCAAGTTGAGCGGAGACGGGTGATCTCTTCTAGAAGGGCACTGCGGGCAGCTTCTTCCAGTTTGCATCTGCAAATGAATAGTTTTTCAGCGGGTCTTCCGAGGCTTCATACCTTTCCTCCCACGCTTTTTCCTCGGTTTCGTCTTTTTCCTCGTCCTGATTGGATCTGCTCGTCAATTGGGTAATGTCCCGAAGTCTCCAACAGAGCCGTGCAATGCGTTGACGTTCTTCGGAAATATCCTCGCGGAGCATTCCTTGCGTCGCCATCAGCTGCTTCTCCTCGTACATCTCGATGCATCGAGTATCTGTTGTTCTTAGCGAAACGATCTGAGGAGTCGTTTCCACCAGTTGCTGCAATTTCTCTCTCTCTCTTCTCTGATCCCCTCCGTCTCTCTCTCTCTCTCTCTCCCTCTCTATCTCTCTCTCTCTCTCTCTCTCTCTCTCTCTCTCTCTCTCTCTATCTCTTACCTTCAGCCTTCTTTTGATTAACGTGATACTGTTCTGCACTTGCCACGCGTGCTCATCCAATTCTCCGGTCGCCCGACCCCTTTCGTGGCGCGCACTAATCTGCAATACGGATTCGTTTCGTTGGCATTGCGCCAGCAAGATGGACGCATCCGATAAATGTTCGACCTTCGAGTTTGAAGCGAAAAAGATGAATCGAAACGGCGCGGTCAGTTTCACCTTGCATAACTACCTCCTAATTACGGTTCAATGCGAAACGCGCCTGACGGAAAGTGGGCGTCGTGGCGGTTGAATGGGTAGACTTTCGCCCGCTGATATCACTTCACTATCGGTTCGTTCGCAGACATTCCGAGGATTTGTAATGCGTTCTTCACTCACGCCCTTCTATTGTTCGGCGCATGTTCGGCCGCTGACAGTTTAACCTTCTTGTGATAAACTACATATTTCTTTTGCAGTTTGATTTGCTGTGGATCGACTAGATAGGTTCATCTAATGGTTTTATCATTCCACACTTGAAATGCATTCCATTGAAAACTTGTGAGCGTCAAGACTCGTTTCTCTCCCACGCATTCATCTTCGTCGCTAATCCGTCGTGTCCCCTCCTAAACCCACCTTCGAGTGCAGCAGGTCCAGCAGAAACTGCTGTTTCGTCAGTTCGTCGCGCACTTTTCCGATTTTCAGATCGTCTTCCTCTAGCCATTTTTCGACGAGTTCGCCCTCCAAAGGCGGCACGTACCTGCAACAAAACCACTTATTCTCTGTTCTTTTACTCACTGCCACTACTTCTGTTTGCGTACGCATACACATAAACATGATGAGAAATAAATGTCCTTAGTCTTTTCCCGAAACGCTATGACATAGACTCGACTGTTTCATCAACAAAACGACTATTGCAAGAACGTTTCCCCTTTCCTTCCGTCCGTCAATCTGACGAGCGCTTATATAACAAGAAAAAATAGGCCGGCGTCGTCGGACCGGCGGCACGCCACAGCCGTCGTGCGTGTTATCAATTGTCGCCACGCCAAAACAAGGTCGACTTATCGAAACGGATAGGAAAAACTGCTGATCCATTCACACACTCGACCTACATTATTGCACTCTCTCTTTCCTTTCCCACCCATCCTTGATTCCCATTCCACCACTAACTTTTCTTATCTTCTTTGCTGAAACCACCTCATCCTAATGACTTCTTCGGTTCTTTTCAATCGATACTCTACGTCTCCTCGATTTCTTCCGAATCCTCCCCGATTAGCTGATCTGCATAACGACGCCCTGCTTTTTCTCCCTTTCCTTCTTCCCCTTCTTCTTGCCTCATTTCCCTCCCTTCACATCCCTGATAACTCCCGTAACCAATCTCCGTCCACCAGTCAAATGACCCATCAGTAGATGGCAAAAAGAGTTTCCGAATGGCAAACAGTCGTCGGATGGGGGCGACACCTCTGCGTCCCGCCCTTCTTCTCCTGCGCCACCCTCTGCCCACTCACTCTGTCGCGTCCTCCTCACTCGACCGCCCGCTTTCACACATTGTTCGCCAATCGAATACCGCGCCGTTCTCGTCTTCTATCTCGTTTCAAATCAATCCGTCTATTCTTCTTGTTATAATTATTATCCGCATAAATATTTTCATCATTTTCACTTCAGGCGCCTCACAAGAACGAAGAGAAAGGATCAAAAACGTGAGACTCTGGGTCAAAATGCGACCTCTTGTCGCCATATTTCTACTCCTGTTGTGCTATCTGACTAGCCAGTCCACAGCCGCCATCGCCAACTGTCCCGACTTGGACGTGCTCGAGAATCAGTCCGATCTCTCCCAAGACGATCTCAACAACCTGATCTTATGCTTTTGCAAAGTGAGTCATTCCCAGCACCGCAATCTTTTTTCTTTTGTAAAGTGAATCACTCATCATTATTGCCTTTCAGCCCGAACAGAATGACAAAGTTGCAATTTCCTGTCTGTACGGCTCCAATTTGGATCATTTGATAAAGGCAACGGAAGCAGTGAAGAATGCAAGTCTCTCAACATCCTCAGTAAGTGTTCGAGGGACTTCATTTTCCAGAAACCATTTTCAGATCAGCATTCAACATATGGAATTCCCCGATAGTGGACTTCCCGAATTTGGAAAGATCGCTCCCGAACTGGAGAGTCTGGACATCAGAGAGTGTACTGGCCAGGATGAGCTGAATGTCGGAGAAGACAGTTTCAAAGGACTTGAGCAGACGCTTCGTAATCTGACTATCCACTCTTGCAACCTTCAGGCAAGGGGAGAGTCCCCAGTACCCAATAATTTCAAGACAATTTCAGACAATTCCCAAGTCGATCGATGCCCTCGAGAATCTTGAAACGATGGCTTTTTCGAGCAACAAGCTTGACACTCTCGGAGTGGATCAATTCAAAAACAAGAAGCAGGTGAGTTGGTTTCCTTGTTTCCTGCATATTCTTCACGCATCAAGCAATTCATCCGCTAATGACATTCTCGTGTCTGATGTACTTCTCTATTCTGCGCACTCGACAAAAATCGCATTTGTGTCCTTTTCGCCACGTTATTACACCCCCGTCGGCGTGCTCTTTTCAAAGAAGAAGACGGCATGTGGAATAAAAGAGCAAAGAGAGCAGCAATGAGCCGTGAGACATAGTACGAACCGCACCGAACTGCCGCTTTCTGAAAGACACGTTTTATGCGTCGGTGTTTCCTACCGCCCGCCAATTATTGTTTCTTCGGCAGGGCCGATGACGTTACAAACTTGTCTCCGGCTTCTTCGCCTCGCTCGTTTTTATGTACTTCACACTCGCTTCGCACAGAAATCAAACACATAGAATGACGACGAAACCGTCTCGTAATGGGGAACGAATGTATATCTTTTTGCAGTTGGCATATCTCGATGTGTCTGGAAACTTCATAACATCCATCGAGGAGAAGGCGTTCGAACCGCTTACGTCTCTCGAGACACTCGTCATTGGAGAACACAACTTTGTCAATGACACGGTTATTGAGGAAATCGGTCGTCTGAAGGCACTCAAGGTGTGTCACATGGGTCATCTTCAGAAGGATGTACTTATTAGTTCAGACTCTCGATTTGTCACGTGCCGATGGGGTATTCGAACCACCAGAGGCTTTGTTCAAGGAAATCCCACAAATCGAAGTGCTCAAACTCTCCGGATGCTCGATTCCTTCTTTGGAACCCGGACAGTTTGCCACTTTGAAGAAGCTGCGAGAGCTCGATCTTCGAGTCAATCTGATCGAAAACATCACCGCTTATTCATTCGATGGACTTGAAAGCCTATCCAGACTGTCTCTCGCCGGCAACTTCATCTCGTTAGTTTTTCGTTGTTATTTTTCCTTTGACAAATATTTTCTAGTAAGCTTGAGCCGGACGTGTTCTTTGGTTTGTCAAGCCTCGAGGACCTCGATTTGGGATGGAACGAGATCAAAACAATTCCATCTGACGTTTTCAAGCCTCTTACTGAAAAGTTGACAGTGTTCAGTCTACGAAACAACCCAATTGCTCAGCTCCCCGAAACTGGGCTTACGGCTCTTCAAAAGTTATCTCTGGCTGAGTGCGGATTTACTACCATTACGGCTGATCAGCTGAAGGACTATCCGAAACTAGAAGAATTGGATCTTTCCAAGTGCAACATCTCAAAGATCGAAGAAAATACATTCACAAACCAAAATGCCACTCTCAAGAAGTTGAGTCTTCAGAAAAACAAGCTGAAATCCCTTCCGAATGTATGTCTCTCGTACTATTAGCTGTGAGAAAAAAATATTCTGTTTCAGCTGCTCAAGAACCTTCCGGCTGTTGAAACGCTCGACATTTCATCGAATCCATTCCTTTGCGACGGAGAACTTGCCCATTGTAAGTGTTCCATTTCAATTTACAATAACCCTAAGTTATCACTTCAGTTGTATTCGGAGTAGAGGACCGTGTGAAGCAAACCGAGGAGAATGGAAACTCGTTCTTCATAACGAATGCTAACGAAACGCTTTGCGATCGTCCGTACACTCTACGTGGAGAGCAAATTCTCCAAGTTGAAACTGAGAAGTTGCAACCATATGATGAGAAGGCCGACACCACAACCGCACCAACAACTACCACGACATCTGCGGTCGAAGAAACGACGACTGAGTTCAAGATTGTGAGTTGTGATGGGTTGATGAACTTGGACAATGCTCTGCTTTTCAGCCAGATATTCTCGTGGGCAGCAAAACTAACGACACTTTGTTCAAGGAGGAGCCACGTCGCGACGTGTACGACCTCTCGAAAACGGACGATGCGAAGGGTGTCTACAACCAAAAAGGTGAGTTGGTCAACGATAACAATACGAATATGAGCAAACCTGGGCGCATTCGCCAGTTTGTTTATGGCATCGGACCCCCGGAAAGAGAGAGAGAGAGAGCGGATTTCTACTCGCAAGCGATAGCATCCGCTTCCAATCAAAGAGTGACAAGTTGGTCGGCGAGCTGCCAGATTGGCCGCCCTTCTTCGCTTTTCTTCCCTCTGTCACATAAACATTGTGTTGTGTGACTCACTCCTCCTCCATCTCTTTCCCAACCATTCTTATTCTTTTCTCACATCTTTTTCTTTTTCAAAACGCACGCGACACCATGGATGGTAAGTTGGGTTTCTCTCGGAATTCTTTGAATTCTTTCTTTCGCAAATCCTATGGTTTAGGCACATACGCTGTTCCAATCACTATCGGAGCAATTGCTCTCGTCTCCGCAATTATCATTGTTGCTGTCGTTCTTTTTCTCAAGGTATTCAGAAGAAGATTTACATGGTTTCGCAATAGTTAATCTATTTCAGAAGAATCGTAAAGTGAGCACTGAGAAGACGGACGGGAAAGGAAAGGCGACAAAGGAGAAGGCGGCGAAGTTGGAGGACGGAATGGTCGAGATCGAACTGGATTCGCAGCCGGGAACTCAACATGCCACGCCTCGCAGATGAATACTATTTAGCTCCTAATAAGAGGAACTGTTTCCTCCTTTTCCCCGCTCAATCGCACTCTAACTTATCCTGTCCCATTCAACGTGAATTCCTCGAAACGGTTCCCCTCAGTTACTGCTTGTAGCACAACTTACTTGATGATTCTTGTGTCCTCGCCCACCAAATAACATGCCTGAAACTCTGACAAATTGCAATAAACACTTCAAATCTTTTCCCGCTTACTTCTTGAACTGCGATTCCGTCCGTCGGTCGGATAGCATGCGCACAAAAACAAATCATTTTCCGTGACATTTCGAGCACTGTTTGGAGCAAGAGACCAAGAGCCTGCAGTCCCATTTTGTTCGCCTTTTCCTGAAATGAAAACTGCTCACCCCGTCAAGTTTTCCTCTCTTTTTACCTGTGCCATAACGTTTTGAGCGTGCAAGAAGACGTATACAAACAGTGTTCTCCGTTCGGGTGCCAACGTGTTCAATGCTTCCTTCATGTGCCGAGACGCTCCACAGACGCAAACTAATCGGGCGGTCAGCTGGCTCGTTAATGGCAGTCCACATTGGCAAGACTCGGCGATCAAATCGAACTCCGGAGGAACCACTGGCTCCGGTATCTGACGAAGAAATCTGAGAAAATACCGCTTTCTACCAGGTTTCCATGCAAATCCTCACCGTTTAATGAGCCCCGCGGCATCGTGTGCATCTGCGAATACCATAGGTTCGCCGCAATTCGCTCTTCTCTCCAGCTCATCCAGCCTGCTTTTCGGCGGTGATAATCTGTAGATTCCCTCTGTGCCCAGCCCGTTTTCCTCCACGAAATCGAGAGCGTATCGGAAGAAAGCGGGCAGTGGCTGTCCGTCCAATGACGGATTAGCGGCCACGGCGTCGGCCAGTGACAATCCGAGCACTCTCTTCACAACCGGCTCCTCCGGTTCCTCGACTACTGTCGTTTCTGCTTCGTCCGAACCCAGTTTTGTCCATTTTTCTATCATTTTCCTAGTTGATTTACGAGTTCTGTAAAAGTAAACAACCTCAACTGAGTCTTTCTGAAGAGGGAGACTTACAGTCTCAACCCTTTTTTCTTCTTTTCGGGTTCATCATGCATCCTACTGCAAGAACAGAAATGAATTACGAATCGCTGAAAACGGTTAGGTAAACGAAAGAGGGTCAAACCACTCCAAAACGGAAACAATCACAATCCAATTTGATTTCATACATTTATTGAACAAGAGGACGACGACACAGACTAAGAATAGGAAGGTCGAAATAGGGGAAAAAGCGCCGAATGTTTAGCTTAAGTACAAATGTGTCTTTTCGTATAAACTGAAGTGGAATTGGAGAAGCGCTGATGCGGACGGACGCAGCGATCAATACTTTTGGAGGACGGCGAGCGCCTTGAGCAGGTTATCGCGCACGGCGTTCGTGTCTTCGTAGTCGACGGCGCTGAGTGCGTACTTCGTGTACTTGCGCACCTCTGCAAATTCTTCGTCCGACGGGTGTCGTCCGGAAGGACGGGCAGCCGGCGGTGGAGCCGAGAAATCCGGGTATTGAGTTGGTTGAGGAGGATACGGCGAAGAAGTGTTGGATGGAAGGCCTGGGGTTGAGTAGTTCGGTGGTGGGATAATGGTGCGAGCCGGTGGCTGTGGTAGAGAGTGATCTGGAGACAGTACGGTTTCAGTAGGAGTGAAATTAAAAGGGCTCACCAGATGGCACACTCGGCAGGCCAGAGAATCCGAAGCCAGGAGCTGGAATATTGTTGTAGTTGTGCTCTTGGGGCTCAAGAGAAGAAGAGGACGGAGCGTTTGGTTGGAACTGAGCGCCGAACTGTGACAAATCTGAAGCTTCTTATTCGATGAAATTCTGAACAATCTGGACTCACCATCGTCCTCTTCTGGCTGTTGCTGGCTGCTTGGGACGTAGGGAGTTCCGTCTCTCAGACACGTAAAGATTTGAGTGCTCTTCCATTTGGCGTACTTCTTCGACGAAAGGAACGGCTCCTCGATCTGAAGAGAAGTGTACGAAAGAAGAAAGTTACGGAAAGAATCACCTCGCCGAAAAGTGCAAGGACATCCATAACATGCCCGGCCGAGTAGAATGCGTGCACGACAGTTTTGTCGACCTAAACCACGGACAATAAACCATAAATGGGCGACACGCATTGTTTACATTTCCGGTTTTTTCCTTTTTGTCAGCGAAGTTGAAAAGTTTCTCGGCGAAGCTTTCGATGTGCGCCTGGGCGATAGTCTGAAATTAATAATGGCTGGCGTCTCTTCAGATCACCGATTACCTCATTTTTGATAGCGTCATTGTCCGCCAATTGAGTCTTTATCGCTTCTAGAGTGGTGAGAAGAGCGGTCAGATACTGACGTGCCTCGACCGTCGATTTGTCGAGTTTCATAGCGGTTTGAACAGCATAGAAGAGACCTGGAGACGAGTTATTGGGATGCGAAATATGGTGGACAGGGGTGGATTTATTCATTTACAAGCACAAGACAAACGGGGGTAATGGAAGGAATCGGTAACTCGTAGATGACGTAATGGATGTATTAGGGAAAAGAGTTAAAGGAGACTGGGAGGATTGGGTTAGTCCTGGAAGTTGACGAGAAGACTGGCCGGACTGAAAACACTGTCGGCTGGTCGCTCGAAGACGGTTCCTCTTCGGACGATCATCTTAAACCAATCGACGAGCGTAGCCAGCGTGCGATCAGCCACCATTGTGGGAATTCCGCAGTCGATGCGCAGCTGACTGATGTTCTTCTCCATCAAAAGCATTCCTTTCTGGAAACGTTCTCGATCAGAACGTTTCTTCCAGATAGTCATGTCAATTGGAGATCGATCAGCGGTGTTGAAAATAGCCGTTGACGGTGCGGAAAAGTCGATGGAAAAACGAGGAGCATAGCCAAGAATGCGACAGAAGACATTGAATATGTGGAAGAAGAGGCCGGTGGCTGCTAGCGTCGGGATCTCCGGATGAGCGAGAATCATGGTGGTCTGTGGCAAGTGAATTCCTCGAATTGTATCAACGAGTTGACAATAACACGCTTTTGGAATAGATCTGCCTTCGCGAGAAGCTGGGCCTCCGTCGATAACCACTCGGAATAGCTTGATGACTTCGGTCATCATTGTCAGTTTTCGATAAGCAATGAGTCGGACGAGCACCCCGATCACCTTCTGCTTCTTCTTCTTAGTTCCCTTATTCGCTTCGGCCTGTTCTCTCCATACTTTCACAGTATTTTCAAGCATTTGCTCATCCTTCTCTCTCTTCTCAATTTGCTCGTTCACTTCAGCTAGCTTTTGTCGTCCCATCAGAATCTTCGAGTTGATCTGTGCGATCTTCTTTTTCAACTCTTCGCATCCGATTCGTTTCTCCTCGACTTTGACAGTAAGAGTCTCCGCCATCTGATGTCTGCTCATGATTCCCTCTTTCTCATCGATGTATTCTCTCAAACAATCTCGCACTTCGCTTGCTTTTTCCCGTTTTTCCGATCTTATTGATTCTTGCAGTTTTTTCCACGGCTTCTCATCAAACGTCATCGTTGTTTGGTTCGGTCCAAATGTCATACAGAGCCCTCAAATGTGCCCCATTAGACGGTGGCAGGCAATTAGAAATGGATGGATTGGGTCAGTAAGTCAACATTCTACGGAAGTATTTCGAAATAGCAATGAAGTGTGAATAGGAAAGGTGCGAAAATCAATTGGGGGAAGATAACCGAAAAAGAAAACTCACACCAATAATAGATGACCGGATCACGGCTCGCATTCTCGTTGGCGATCTTTATGTACGGAGCAATTGGCTTGAAAGCCGGCGGCAGATTGGCGGACATCTGGAAATGAAAACGGAATAAAGGTGATTCGGCAAGTGAATGGACGATGAGTCAGCCTATTCCGACGTCTGCGTCTATCGCCCGACCACCGGGTGTTTGTTTTGAAATGACAAGAATGACAAGATCAATCGGATACGAAAAGCGGAAAGACGACCGCGAAAAAAGGATACATCAAGCGGGAAGGTTAGCAAGGTTTTTATTCACATTTCGCGTCTAAACCAGTAATTGAATTCGGAGAATTATTGTTAGGGGGTCAGGGAACAAGACAACGGTTATCACACTGGACAGGTAAACTATAACAATCACTAACCAAGCGGTAAATCCCAATATTATACAATAAAGTACAGAGAAGCCCAGGAAAGATCAATGAATTTCGGGAGTGTAGGTAAGGACAATGAAGAACAGCCACATATGCATCATTATGAAGTAAAGGACGAAGAAAAGTCGCGCGGACGGGTGACCACGGAGCATTGAGAACAGCTTGAATGCGGTGGAATCGACAGTCTGAAGAGCATTTCTAGTCTGTTGATGATTGATATTCGAGAGAAGAGGATGCGACGAAGAAGTGTGCGAGGGCGAGTTATTGGAGTCGATGGCGATGGAAGTGTCGCGATTTGTTGCTTTCTGAAGATAATAAAACTTTCCAGTGATTCCATATTTTTCTTGTTCCTACCTGCAGTCGTTCCAATCTTACATTCAACACTTGGTTCGTTCTCATCACGTCTTCCAGCTGTTGCTGCTTCTGAAGCAGTAGATCAGAGAGTTGCGCGGCGCCGTCATCTTCATTTTTCGTCTGCTCGTCCCTCATGCGAGCACGAGTTTCGCTTATTGCTTTGCGCAATTCGTTTTCCTTCTCGAGCATCTTCGATTGATGCAAATCTCCTTGTCTTTTCATCTCTTGCTTCGTGAACTCATTCTCGATTCTCGAACACTCAACTTTCTCGTTCAGCAATCCGATTGTGCTGTCCCAGGTTTGTTTTTCTTCCAGATGCGATCTCTTCTGGTCGCTGAGCTGGGATTGGAGATCTCTGAAATTGAATGTGTCGATTCAACAAGCGAAAATGTAATGCCGCGTCCAATGTCTCGGAAAAACCGTAAAAACCGCAGGTTTTTCTGTCCAAAGTCGGCCGAAATTTCCGTGAAAAACGGGGGTGCGCACAGCTCAATGAATGTAACCGTACCCCTAAAACTACGGTATTTTTAGAAAATTTGCGCAAGAAATTTGAATATTTTCAAATATCCTCAAGAAATTAACAAAATTAAAAAAAAATACCGTAGTTTTAGGGGTACGGTTACATTCATTAAGCTGTGCGCACCCCCGTTTTTCACGCAAATTTCGGCCGACTTTGGACAGAAAAATCTGCGGTTTTTACGGTTTTTCCGAGACATTGGACGCGGCATAACCACCAACCTAATTTGCACTTCAAGCTCTTCCATGTCCGATCTGAGAGTGTACACTTGCATTTGAGCAGACTCGAGATCTGCCTTCGTCAAGTCTCTTTCCACTCTGATCTCTTCTACTTCTGCTTGCAGCAAATGTACCGGCCGCTCACTGGATCCAATTCCTTGCTGAAAATTTTCAGTCAAGCTAGAATTCAAAATAAGAGTCTACCTCAGACTTGAGTGATTCGACCAGCTTTTCCTTGGCTGTCAGTATTTTCTGTGCTTTGTTTTTATACTCGTCAAACTCCTTCTTGTTTTCATTCAAATTGAATTTGGCCAGCCTCAGCTGCTCGACCATCGCGCGGATCTCTTCTTCCAAAGCGACAATCTTTCTCCGGTGCGAATTGCACTCTTCCACCGCCCTCTCTTTTTGATCTTGAGCCTTTTGTCTGAAAGTCTTCAATATCATGAACCAGCTACTGTCTAAACTCAATTACCTGGCCAACTTCAGCTCCTGTAGGCTGTCCATTTCCTGACTCGATACTTTCTGATTCTCAACCCTCTTCTCCAACATCTCTTTTTCAGCTTTCATTTCATAGTAATCTTGGCTTCGTTTCTCCAATTTCTTCTCGGTTTCTGACAACTTTGTTTTCAGGACAGAAATTTGAGAATCCTTTGCAAAAAGTTGCGATTTGACGTTGGGAATCGCATCCGTGAATTCCGCTGAAGAAAGCAAATTAACTGAAGATAACTCACAAGTCAGAAGTCAGAAACTAACAGGCAGTCCGAATACTAGCGACACTGCGTCCGCCAACACTTCTCTGACTTCGCGTGTCGTCATCTGGTTTCGCTGTGTTTACTTCCGCTGAATTCAAGACCATCGTCCAGCTTTCTGAAGCGGTTGTGGTGGCCGTTCCCGGTTGAATTGAAGACCCTCTGAAAAATCGGTTTAGAAAAAACAAAAAAATGCATTATCTGACTGTTCATAGTTTCGTCCTCTCCATCCTGATCCTGTGTAATCACTTTGTGCTCGAGACGGAAGCGAAGGAGCAGGTCTTCCGAAATCTTCAGTTATCACATGATCAGGCATAGAAATCGCTGTTGCCGGAATACTGGCAGTGCTTGATTTACGGGTGCGTGGTTTTGCATCTCGCGCCTGTTGAATTGCATCTCCCGTCTTAAGCCAAACTTCCTGCTTTCATGACAATAGTTTAATAAAATACCTTCTCATCAAGCTTATTCAGCAAATTTTCGGCGGCGCCGGCGAAATCGGTCACTTTAGACAACCATGACATTCGTTAAAGGCGACCTGGAAAACAATAGCGCATTATGAAACAACCAGGAAGCGAGTCAGTACAAAGAAACGGAAAAATCACAGTTTAGAAATGTTGATTTATTGTGCGGACAGTCTTGCGAAATTTCGGACATTTTATTGTCGCAAACAACAAGCTTGTTTATAAATTAAAATTGACAATAACTACGAAAGTAAACACGTGATTTAGAATGCTTCAGTTATCTAACAGTATCGTGAAATACCAAAAAAATGAACACGGTCAGACTCGTCAAGAGATTCGAAACAAAATCGAACAAAAACAAGCTTTTAGCAGAAACGTGGATTAGAATCAGCAACTGGACTCGATTCGGCCACTCAAAACGTCGGCCATCATTTCTAGGCCATTGACAAATTTTGCTTTTTTTTGGACTGAATTCCGTTTAAATTAATGTTTAAAAAAGGCTCTACGAATTTCTTCCGTTAGATCTTTGTTTTAATGCTAGTGTCATCTTGTTCCTTTCAGAAATGTCCTACGGTCCTCAATTACCTGGTTGGCTCAACAAAAACAACGTAAGTAAAGTTTGAAATGTTCAACGAGATTTTGTCAGCTGCAGGAAACGGAAAGTGACGGAGAAGAAGCTAGTCCGCCAGTTTACGGTCCTGTGATCCCCGGACAAGGAAATACTTCTGATAATAACAAGACGGTAGGCGCATCAAAACGATAATCTCACTCAATTGAAAAAATGTTTTCATTTCCAGGTCGACAAAGTTCCCAGTGGTGCTATTGGACCATCTATCCCTTCTGGATTGTTTAAAAGGGAAGATGACGAGGAAGAAAAACAGGCGCATGTGTTCGGGCCGATGATTCCCAAAATGGTTACTCCCATTGTCGACGAAGAAGATGTAGAAGATGAAAAAGACTTAGGCTCGAACACATATGGACCCTCAATCCCTTCTAATTTCCGTCCACAAGTGGGTCCAGCATACGACGAATCGGATGAAGATATTGTTAGTCTAGAACTATAAAAATTCCGTAAACCTATAATATTTCAGGGACCAATGCCGGTTTCAAAAGGAAACGAGGAGCGCGAAGCACTCGAAAGAGCTTACCGTTTGGCATTGCAGAAGGAAACTGAAGAAGAGGAAAAGGTGATGCCTTAAGACAAGTAAAACATTTAATGAAATTCCGTTCAGAACGCACAGCCTAAACGTGAAGAATGGATGACGTCCGTTCCGAAAAAGTTGGGAAACTTTGGTTTGGGCGCAAGAACATTCAAAAAAGGAACGGCGTCGGAAAGAGATTCCACGTGGGAGGACGCTCCAGGAGCAAAGAAGAAGCGGAAGGACGAGCAGACAACAGTTCGAGCGCTCGGGTTAGCGGCAGCCGACGCTCGACAGGCCGCGATTGTGGCTGAAAAGACTGCCGGGCCATCGTTGTTGGAGCTTCATCAGAAGAAGAGAGACGACAAAGTGAAGGATGCGGTAAGTGATTCAACTCAAATTCTGATTACAGATTCTGAATTTTCAGGGACTCCTTCCGGGCGAGCGTCGACCATTCGATCGAGAAAAAGATATGGAAGTGCGTGGTTTGAAACCAGGAGGCAGCAAGGAAGCCGTCGATCGAATGAAGGAATTCACAAGTCGATTCGCTAACAGCAAAGAACAACGTTTTTTGTGAAACAGACACGTGTGAATAAATCATGTATTATCGACTGGTTTGGGTGGAACGACGTCCTCTCCAGCGTCCATTTCGTAGAGTTGCGCGTTGGCTTTCTGATGCTTCTTTCGACTTTCGGCCACTTTGTCCGATTCATCCTGAACTGGGAAACTCATCTCTTTTGCATCGTCTCTTTGCTCACCGTAGCCTTCTTGATATCCATTTCCAACTGTTCTATCTCCGCTTTCCGGGATTTGTGGGTGCAGCAATAGAAGAGAACAAGAAAGATAAGGACGAGGTACTCGATGACGGAGATGATACTCATTCCGAGGAACAGACCAACCTGACCACCGACATCCGAAATGAAATTGACGAACTGAAATTCAGAGTACAGCTACTTTAAGTTATCATTAGGATTACTGTGTAAGATGGAGATTCAGTGAGCACTTGGAAATTCATCCGTTCGTAGTAAATTTCAATGAGCAACGTGTTTGCTTTGTACCAATCAAGACACGTCTCTCCAGCAGCCACCCACGGGCCAGAAGGTCCTCCCGGGTTGCATTCGGTCGGCTGAAATTGGGCATGAACGGAGAAAAGGAAGCGAGGGAAGAGAAACCGTGTACGAATCGGACGGCCATTGAGCAGTTGAGACTGTCACTCCGTAGGAATCGATTCTGAGATAATGATTGGAAAAAGCGTGAAAGATGTCGTGAACCCACTCGCAGGGCTGCGGGCAATCGCAGTCGGTGAGCACGTCGAACTCGGTCGAATCGGCACTGTTGATCTGGTTGACGCAGTTCACTGAACCCTTTCTTTTCTGTTCCCATTCATTTTCCCTCTCCAACTCACAGTTGTTCAGTGTCTGAGTTCCGTCGTCGCATGACGTGTACTGTGTCGTGTTGTCAGCATGTGAATAGGCAGGGTAGTAGCATCCGCACGTGGAAACTATCTTCTCCTGCATGCAACTTCTGAAGCACGCCTCGACGGTGTAGGTGCCCGTGTAGTGAGTCGTCTCGAGAGTCGTCTTCTTTGTGCAACTTCCGTACGGACTGCTCAAACGGGTCGTCTGCACGTAACTGACTCCCAGAGAAGAAGCCGTTCCCGGAGGAGCAAAGTATCCAAACACATCGGGATACGGTATCTCGTCCTGCATGTGAATGTCCATGATGACCCCAGAAGCCTCCGTCCACGGCAAGTAAGTTGCCTGGTCCGTTCGGATCACCATTCGGAGACCGTAAAGAGGGCCGGCGCGGGAAGAATTGTACACGCCTTCGTTGTTGAATTGAAGGCAGTTACCGTAGGAAGGATTGTAGAAATCGTCGAAGTCTCTGGAAGATTCGACGAAGTTATCTCTGTGTTCTGAGTCTGAACTCGTACGTTTCATTGCAAGTCTTCGCGTTGTATGTGCAGCTAACGACCATGTCATCGTAGGAATAGGCAATGTCCGTCCCGTCCTGAAACATGCTCATTTCCTCCCTTTTGACATTTTCTCTAATCAGTACTTAAGTCGCAATTTTTCCTGGATCTGCGAGCTCTGCGAGCTCTCCTAATCTCATAATCTTTTCCTAATCCACAGGGAATAAAAACCGAAATAAATGACTACTGTAGTCCTCCGATTTCCCGTCTTCCTTTCACGATTTACCCCACGCATTCTCATAAATTTTCCCGAATGCGTACATCGTACTGTTTGTTCTTGAGCCGCTCCGAGTACATGAGAGTCCACATGTTGGCCTGTTGCTGTCGGGCGGCAGTCAAAGAAGCGGGCAGTCCAAACTGGACGGACGTCGATTCCGAGTTGTAGTCGTCTATCTGACAAAGGACTTCCAATTGAGACGCGTCCAAAAGAGACCCACCAGACTGCTCATATCACTGTCGGCGGCCTTCGTTTCGGTGAGCTTCCACGGATTCAGATGGCATATAGTGACCGTGGGAAACGTGCGTTCGGCGAATTGCAACTGCAATCAGACACTCGCGTGGGAGAGATACACCTCGTTAGATGCCTTTGCTCTATTCGCGTTCAATCAAACTGACCGTTGTTTCCGTATTCACACTGAATGAGAGGTAATTGGTGAGCAAGGTGACGAACTGCCAGATGAAGGCTGCAATCGAAACGAGCACCACCAGGATCCAGAAGGCTCTGAAGCGCATTAATCAGAAGGATCGCGTGCCAGCCTCCTGAATCCATCTTGTTATCCCATCCACTCACCTCAGCCAGCGGGCATTTGCCATTCCGATGTGAGGAACTCCATGAGTGGACGTCCAGCACGAGAAGTCCGTGAAGACGTACTTTAGGCCGGTCCAGAAAACTCCCATCTGAAAACGGAGTGATTATTTGTTGTCCACGTCATCAACCGCATGCTTTCCCACGAGTATTTCAGGAATTCCAGGCGCACAGCGTCAGATTCTCTGGGAGGTTTTCCCGCTGAAACTGAATCTCTTGGCCCAGTAATTCTCATCGTCAGAGTCGTTGAAATTCGAAAAATACGCGCTCACGAGGTGTATTAGCCAAATATCATTTCGATGATTTATGAGTTTGCCGGCCGTACGGCTTCTTCTTCCGATCGTCGGTCACCTTGTCGTCCGGCTGCCAGCCACTCTCGTTCTCTCTCTCTCTCTCTCTAATTGGCGAACAACCTCCTCTTTTTCCCCTCTTTCTGCTCCTTCGTGAATCCACGAAACATGGGCTCATTACGAAAGAAATCGGAGAGCCGCCCCTGGCTTTCTACGCCGCACAACACATCATGATTTAATGATTGACGAGCAGTTTTTCCCCACATTACTTACCCTTCACACTTTCAGTTTTCCATCTCTCTCCCGCTCGTAAACTAGTCCTTTTTCCATAATTAATCTGTGTTCTATACAAGCTCATTCCGATTTATGATTGACTCCGTAAATGCTGCCTTTCCGAGAATGACGTGCTGGATCCCGGAAGTGAAACAAGTTTTGGGTGGGATCAGATGATCTCCACGAACAACTGTTTCTCAGAGAGATTCGGTTCGCGAGAAGACAAATGTGTCTGGAAAGAGTTGAAGAGCTTCCTGAGAGCTTTGAGACGGAGCAGCCACTTCAAAAATTAAGAGGAATAGTTCCAGAAGATGAGAAAACTGTCGAAGGAAGTGTCCACCACTCTCTTCCATTATTGTCCGTTCTCTGAATTGCCCGTGTTTTTTTCCGGTTATCCCCTGATTTCCCAGTGTCCACGCGACAAATAAGTCGTTTTCCAATCAGTCGCGCCCCGTTTCTAGCCTTCTCTTGCACCAAGCCTCCGCTTCTGAACCTTTTTTGGTTCATGAGCTCGGTAGTTGACAGATCGAAACGCTTCCAATAAATTACACTGATTTGTGGTGTAAAAAGAAGGCCAAGTAATCAAGAAACATGAGCAATTCGATTCTGGAGTAGTCCGTCCGAAAACAAGACAACCATTGAACTCATTCGACGTACTTCTCAGCCATCGTTCCCGCTCTTTTCATTTTACGACCTTCGGAAACTTTTTCGGTCCTAATGGAGTCGAATGGATTCGCCACTTCGCAAAGGAGGAAGGAGAAGGAAAAGAAGGAAGTGGAAATTGGGCCCAATTGAAATCCACGTCAAACATCATCAACTGCCATAACTCTGCTCGATTCTCCCAATTTCAGCGGCAATTATTTTGTGTGTTTCGGTTCCCAGCCGAAAGATTATTCGGTGCGTCAACGAAGACCTTTTCGAGAGAATTCCGGAGAGAAAGGTCTTGAGGCCGAAAGTTGGGAAATCCACGTAAAGGAGTCCAATCGACTCGTGCGAGATTGCTTTCTGACACAATGCGAATGTAGTCGGGGGCCCTGATTGGATGGAAATGTAGTGGCAGTGGCTCCACGAAGACAATTCAGAGGAGATTGGATCTTGCAGCGAGTCGCATTCCCGGAAACGGAAGAGTTATTTGTTCCCGTGTATTTTATCTGTCTAATCCGCCGCTCTCCCGCTTCATCTCACCTTCTCGCCTTTCGTCCACTTCCACTTTCTTTTTACTTTTACTTACTTCAAATGTTTTGCCTCAAACGGTTTCCTCTCATCTTTTGAATACTTTTCGATGGTGTTAGTCATTCGTGCCGTGAGGACGCAGAAAGTCATCCGACAAACAACTTCTCAAATTCATTTCGACGTCTGCGTACGAATGACTCCGCCCCCGTCTCTCTGTCTCTCTCTCCGCCATCCGAAACGATTCAGAAACTGATTGTCCCGCCCTCGAGCCGAATCGCAGCTCCTCCCTCTCCACCTCATTCATCCGCACATCGAACTTCCAGCCCGCCCGCAATGCAGTTCTTCCTCGTCCTCTTCGCCCTCGTCTTCGTTGCCAACACCACCGCCATCTCACAGCATCAAGCCGGTTAGTTAAATGAATCCAAAAGAAGGTTCCGAGCAGTCCATCCCATCCCCATCACTAATGAACTGGTCAAACAAGGAAAGAGGAACTCGTGAAGTGAGCTCTTTTCTGCGAACCGAAAACGGCCTCCTATTGTCTCCTAATTTCGTCCGAATTCGCGTAGCTCAGCTCTCTTTTGGAGCCCAGTTTCTTAGCTCTGACTCTTTTTATGAATACAATATGAACGCACACCGAGAGACTTCGCCTCTTTTTACGAGCACAATAAAACACGGAGCGGTTTTGTGACGTGGCGGAACGGATAAGAAAATAGGAGAAAAAGGAGAGGCAAAAAAGGGAAGATTGGAAAGAGAGGGCTCTTCTGGGAAGCATCGTTTTCGCGTATTCAGAAGAGAAACAAAAGTAACCATGGCTTCAGACGGCCGCATGAAGATGTGCCCCCCGGGCGGATCCACCTTCACAATGGCCTGGTCGATGTCGTGCTCAATGCGTCGGAGGAAACGGGACATCGGAGCAATATTCGGTCAGTTTCCCTGCCTCCATCTCCCTTCCGGAACTTCCGATTCTTCCAGGAAAGCGCGCTCTCGTCGCTCCGTCGATTCGCCAACTGCAGACGATCTGCTGCCAGGTCGGGTGCAACGTGGAAGATCTTCTCGCCTATTGCGCCCCGATCTGACCGGACCGTCATATTCGATGATTGCCCCCTCCTCCTTAAATTCATTCGTTTCTTTTTCAGCTTCTGATTTTATTTTGAATGAATACTTACAGTGTTAACAATGTTTCATTCTTTGAGAATTTCAAATTAAAAAAACAGAAAGCAAGATAGAGATCCGTAGAAAGAAGAAATCGAGAATTGGAAATCGAAAATAGGCAAATGGTACAGGGTATAGGACAGGTTTCGGTAGATTCAAAGGACGGCATCGTCGCGAGGTAGACATTTCAGAGGATCCCCTTCGAACCACTGCAAGAAAATAATTATTAAGAATGTGTCTGGATGGCTTAGATCACCTCGAGCAGTTTGGCGATTGGCATTCCGACGATTTGAGGAACGAGATTATGTATACTCAGCGCCTCTTTTGAGGTTTGCTGCTCGTTCCTCAGGATTTTCATTTGTTGAGACTCCGGATCACAGCCCGCGGTCTTCATTAGCTCTTCGTAGAGGCTGTGACTCCACCGTATGATCACGTGATCGTGCGACTTCTTGCTCCAGTCGACAGTCGGCCGAACTCCCGGTTCGTCGACGCTCATAATGAGGGACATGAGGAGGAGTGCGAGTCCGTGCAGACGGAAGAAGTCTTCCGCCTTCGAATCGTGCAGTACTTCGTGCACGAGCGTCTTGCATTCATTCGGTTTCTGTGTGAGGTAGGAGAAGAAGGCGGATAGCAGCTTCACGTTGTTCTTCAGCATTTGAGAGCAGCCGTTGATCTTCGGAGCAGTCAGACTGAAAGAATGTAGCCATGATTCACTGTGACGCATTTCGCCCACTTTTCCGCCACTTCGTAGTATTCCGCCATTTTCAGCTGATTCAAGTATGTCATCGCGAGATTCAAATTTAAGAGAGCGATGGAATTGTCCATGGTCCTTCCTTCTGATTCGAGCATCTGGGACTGGTGACTCATAGCAAAATAGTCACCTTGTTTAACTTACTTTTATGGCGGAAATAAAGTGTTTTTCGGCAGCTTCATTCTCTCGAAAGTAGCAGCATTGAAGACCCTGACAATATCATTATGGATTGAATAATAGAAGTTACTAATTCTCACCAAAATGTACTGAATGTGAGGTGTGAAATAGCGGGAGAGCAACGGACCGCTGGCTCTGTTTCCCACTTCAATCATATCTCGCACGTTGGTCAGAGTCTTATGCGGTCGACAGGCCATCACATTGCAGCACGCCATCATCTCCATGGTGGTCATTTTGATCATATTGATGCATCGGACAACGCCCATCTCGCGGGGACTCCGTGCTGACTTGAAGAGTATCTCGTCGGCGTGCTTCATAGCCAAATGATAATATTTCTCCACTCGGTCGGGATTCGACTGCACAAGAGCACCGACGATGTTCATAACGCATGCAAAAACAGTCATTGAGGTGTCGCCGAGCCATCTGCAAATAATATTTCACTTTGAAATGTTTATCGTCATCTCAACCTGATCCCATTGGCTGGCGCGTCTGTAGTCGTTTGAGTCCTCTGGATTTGACGCAAAAGTTGCCGAGAAGTTCGTGACTTTCCTTCGTAGAACATGTAAGACAGTTTTGTGCACACGAAAAAGTCCTTTATACAGTCGACGTGCGTTTTCTCCGACGGCACTATTTCGAGAGCTTTGATCATCGATCCGATTTTTGACACCTCGCTATTATCCGGCTCTTCGTGCAATAACTGATACGTCACCAACGTCCTCGAAATTCGGAAATAGAGTTCCATTCTCGGGTCGTTTTGGCATTTGCCGATGGCAAACTTGCATATTTCAAACGCCCCATCGATGTCTTTGTCGATTTTTGAGAGTTCCTGAGCAGAATTTATTAAGTTCAGTCGTTCTGAAAAGAAAAGCAACTCACAATCAATTGGAACATCAGTTTGTAAATGAGTTGTGAACACTCTTCTGCAGAAGAAATTTCACGACGCAGCAAGGTTTTGATATTTGGAAGTGGCCAGTTCTGATCTGAAAACGCACCGTGCAAAAACTATAATTCTTATGAGCTCACAATGAATGTGTAAATCGGCAATCATAGAAACTGCATTGAGCCTGTCTATTGCGTAGAACGAGCCCATCGCCAACATTTTCTCGTACTGAAACAATTTTTCGAACAAACTTTAAAACACTGGGACATACTGCGATATGAAGATGTGTGTTTGCAAGTTCGTAATTATCTGTGTAGAAAAATAAGAGTTTTCCCAGTTGGAAGTTGCAAACAGCAATCATTTCGTCCGAAAGTTCCAACTTGAGCGAACTCTGAAATGAGCAGCACGTTTTTCCGATATTTCTGTTCGTTTTCTCTTACTCTTGCACACTTGATCGCCATTTTCAGTTTCGGTGGTTCTTGAGTTCGCAAAGCCTCTGCCATTCCGAGAAGAGCCTTCGCCACATCATCATGGTTCATTTCCTGCAGAAATTCGAGTTTAATTGGAACTTTTTTGAAATTGGCGGCATAAAAAACTGCTAATGTCGCTTCTCCGGAAGAGGTTAGCAAGTGCGCTCCACCGCACACTTGTGAAACGTTGTACGGGCGCTAAGTACAACGCAACAGAACTCGCACGGAATAGAACTGTTACGAATATACAATTCGCGAATTGGAACTCGCAGTTGCATTTTAACGTTGCGAGTTCCAAATCGTAACAGTTCTATTCCGTGCGAATTCTGTTCTGTTGTAGCGCCTCAATGCACTACGGCCGGCACTTTCTACCGAAAAGCGCAGAGAAACTCGCACAAAGATATTTAAAAATTAAATAAAACGTTTAAAAAGATAATTGCTTAAATTCATGTTCTACATCTTTTCGTTCCATTAAATGAAATATCACTCTGGAAAGATGTGAAAACCGAACTGTGTTGGCTGGAGGAGCAGTAGCTGAAAGGCGATGATTTATTCATTGGCTTCATTATAAATCAGAACAGAACTCATTTTATTTTTCTGACGTGTACATGTATGGTTTTCTGAACTCTGGAAGAACTAGCTACCGTACCGTCCTTTAAGTTGATCAGACCAAAGATCTTCGTCACAGTTGGCCCCCGCTTTTATGGTGTTTAAGGCAACACTTATTTCTGCTCGTTCTGCTTTTTTCTATCTGATAAACGTCTGTTCAAGTGTCATTCCGCAGATTGACACCTCGTGACGTGGCAGTATTCCCAGTGCACTCACAGTCAGGTGTCATTCTTCCTCAAAAAGCCCGTCATTTTGTTACTCTTTCACAGTGTGACTTGGTGCGGAAACGTGATAGTTATTCAGTTGGCAAGCTTGCAAATCCCGGCCCAATTCAAACACGCGCGCTTCTGGGACGGGGCGCCTTGTCTGGGGGCGAGGGGCACGAGACGCAGGCCGTCAGACACAGCCGCTCGCAATGATCGATTCCATTGGGCAGCAGAGAGGGCGAGAGAAATGGCCGCCCCGATCTAAGCAGTGCCGTTCTGGCGCGTATAGCGAATCGCGACGCTCGCCTACTACACTCCGGACGAGGAGGAAGAGACACGACGAGCAAGAGCCGGCGAGCCGTGAGCCCATGCATAGACGGACGAGCGGCGGCCATTGCCCATGTCTGTCTTCTCGTTTATTTTCATTTTCATTGCCATCCCGAAAGCCGTCCCCGTGAGCCGCATCCATCGGCTCCACCTTTCAATCAAATTATTGTCGAATCGGGGGGCGCTCGCCCTCCTTTCCGTTTTATTGTCCTTTTTTCGTTCTCACTGCGCGCCTAATTTCATCCTAACCACTTTGCGTTTTGTTTGACAAGACACTGGTTGAACACGTGAAACCGCCAGGCACTTTCCCTCAAAATGACTCGTTCTCGGCCATAATCGAAGGATGATTGCTCGAGAAAACGGCAACCTTCCTTCGTTTTTTATCACCGTTCTCTCATCAGAAGATGGAATCGATAAGGTAGTGGTTGCCCTGTGCCGTCTCTTTTTGTGCACTATTCTCCACCGCGCAACTTGGACGCGTCAGAAAGAAAACATTCAGACCGTTTCCCTTCTTATCAGTTTGACACACTCCGTATCATAATAATTTTGGAAGTCACCGGAAACCCCTAATTCAGAAGTTTCTCTCCGTTCCCTCAGTTATCTGAAATAGTTGTGATGTTTTCTTTCATATGTCTTCCGATTGAGTGCTCCGTCGCCTCGGCTGCTGATTCATGCCTCCGCTGTTCCCACGGGAAACTCTTGTTTCCAACTCGTTCGCCTCTTCGCCACACAACCCTCCATTTCACCCGATCATTTTGTTTTGCGAGTTTGTGCCTCCGCGTGATATTCATAAAGGGCCCAAAGAATTCACACATTGAAATGTGATCCTCTAAACGAGCGAAAAAGACGACGTCGGTCGCCGCGGAGCACAAGGATATTCATCATCGAACCGGGCTCTCTCAGATAATTATCTATCCACCCCGAGTCGATAGCCGCAATTTTAATTGTGTAAGAAGAGAGAAGGAGAAAGAGTGGGAGAAGCAAGAAGATCGGCCGAATGATGAATCGGTTCGAGGCGACTGCTCACCGTTTCGGTGTGTAATCCGGTCACAACCCTATCATAGATCCGGTTCGGCCTTAAAAAACAATACATTTGTGAAAGAGGTGGGCAAACATGATTTATAGTATTACCGCCTTTTCCTCTTTTCTTTCGCGCCTTTTTTTCGTGGGAAAATGAATGTTTGAACAGCGGGATGACGGCCTCTTTCAGTCGACTCAAGTGATGATTAGCACAAGAGCCGTTCGTTTCCTTTCTTTCGAGCTTTCGAGGACCAGAACTTTTCGATTCTTCTTTTACGATTTGCTAACGTCATCTCCCTTCTCCCCCAGTATGTTTTTCTCTTTTATTCCTCGAAATCCCATAAATTTTAGACGCTTTTCATTCGTCGTTTCTCTTCTAAAATCTCCAAAAATTCCCACAAAAAGATGCCAGGCGGTGCCACCAAGAAACGCATAAAAATCTTAATATTGGCTGAGTACGTCCATTTATGAGGGTCATTCCCCGTTTCCTCTCCCTTCGTTCCAACCGTATCCTTCTCCTTTTTCTCTCTCTCTATCTCTCTCTCTCTCTCTAATCTTTCGGTTCTTCATCCCTTCCAAATGAGTCACCACAGGGCGACAGGCTCCCAAATTGCGTCAAACACAAATGCTCTTGCTCTTCCTTTTCTCTCCTTTTCCTCTAATTTGAAAGCGTGTCCTTTCGGACTCCTGATGTCATCTGAAAGTGCGTCTGGAAGAACGGGCGGCTCGTTTCCGGGGGGACCAATGGCGTGAACATTTATCCATCCGAACCCACCAATTACTGACACATTTTTCCCGTCCCGAATACCAGTTTTGCGTGATTTGTAATGTGTGTGTGTGTCCACTCGTCCGTTACTCTTCTTTTCATTCTACGCGTCATCTGCCTCTCCTCGCATCCGTTTTTGATACTTTTGCCGACCAAATTAGCATAATTATGAGACTCTCGCCCTTCTCGGCTCTGTGTCCAGCTTCTTCTTTCTCTCTTTTTCTTCTCCCGCTTCTTCGTTTCCAACTTCAGAGATTAAAGAGAGAAAGGGAGAGTGACGGGGATGAATGCGTTCTCCCCGGGCGGATTGCGTGTGTCTTTCGTCTGCTTTCCGGCGCGGCGAGCCAGTTGTTGCTCAAGTGCACCCGGAGATTAGGAAACAGAAGAGGACACGTGTTTCGCTCCAACAAAACATTATATTCTGGGATTAGGAAACATGAAGAATGAATTGGCATTCAGCAGCCGACGCGGAGACACCCCGAACTCTGCTTCTACCCTTTTTCTTCCTCTTTCTTTCTTTTTCGGTTTCTTCGCTTTTCCTCAAACTCCTCCTTTCGTGCCATCAAACTTTGCAGTAGTAACTAGTTGATGAGCTGCGAGTAAGTCTGTGCGGAAGCGCACTCGTGCCCCTCGGCACCCTTCTCACACCTCGCCAATGTTTTCGTGTCGACTGCTTGCCCCCGCTCTAATTAATTCGCCACGTTATGCAATTCACGAAGCCAATAATCCATGTCCTTTCGTCCGTTTCCTTCTACTTTTACTTCAACTCTTCTTCTTCTTCTTCTTCATCCCATTCCCGCTCGCCACAAAATTCGTTTCTTTCAGGATGTCATCCGAAATGACGTCTCCCGAACACGGGGTCTCCACATCGAACTCGGCGGCGGCCACGCCCCCTCCGAAGCCGTCAGGAGGCGGAGAGCAGCAGCAAGTACCATTCCGTACGTTTCCTTTTGTTTTGGCGCCTTATCCGCGCGACAACCTTTCCGTGCTCACAGAAATTCAAAACCGGCGTCTTGCCTGTTCAGTCGTTGTCTGCCTTTATTTTTGTGTCATCTTCGCACAAAAATAGGCTATTATTCATGTGTGCGTCGTCGCTTATTTTGCTGCCCGTGCCGTCGTTTTCCAGAATTATACGAGCCTGCGCAGTCGAAGAAGTCTAAATGTTTTCTTTCTCGTTCTCAATTTCCGGGCCCTGGACGATGGTTGGAAACATGTCTATTGTTGCAGAAATGATACCACCCGGTCACTTCTTTGCCAATCCGTTCATGAACTACATGCCGGCGACTCCAGCGGAAAACTGGCCTCCGAGGCCCCCAGCTGACGGGAATCCGGCGATGGCAGCCGCTCAGGGGCAGATGGTACTCTCTCCCGCACAATATCAAGAGATGATCCAGCATTACTTCCAACAAATGATGGCAGCCAGTGGAGCACAGTTTCCCATTCAGTTCCCGCAGTTCCAGCCGACATTTCAACAGCCTCGGCCGTCTTCTCAAGTGAGTTTTATGATGTATTTCATCACGGGAGTGTCGAAATAGAGCGAAGGATCCAAACAATGGTCCGTGTATTTCGCAATGGGGTCTCAATGGTCCTCATAAGTGTATTCCATCCCATTGATTGCAGGCCTCATCATCTCACAGATCTGAAGATGATGGCGGACGACGGACAGCTGGCAGCGTCGCGTCGAATGTCTCTCCGAATCATCACGAGGTTGGAAAACACTTGAGTCTGCAGTCAAACACCACTTCTCTCTTTCTTTCCAGACACCATCCGAGGAGGCGAAAGAGACGACGATCGTCCCGGAAACGGCTGCAGAGCCTCCTGCGACCTCGAATGGTGAGTTTCATTTTCATTGGAAGCGCTGGCTTAATCGAATTAGACGCGAGTCAGGGAGCACTATTTTCGGCCGAATGTTCTGCTCTCCGTTTGATACGCGGCCGCCTTCTGCTCATCCGCCTATGGCCAAATGCGCGCGCGAACTGAAACACGAGAGCGTCCGATGTGTCGAACTGCCTGCGTCTTTCCTTGTCCCGCACTGCTTTTCCGCTCGGAGATTCACTAATTGTCGGATCTGACGAGTCCGCGCGAATGTGTGTATGCGATGGCATTAGGGGAAGAAAAGGCTGGAGAAAGTGGAAAGAAAAGGTTTTTTCGTCATATATCACGTTTGTGGGTACTCAGCTGCTCATCTCAATATTTTGCCACTATTTTACTATTCATGGGTATAAGAAGAGGAAGAAGGGAAGGGAGATACATACGGCGGTGCATGTATAATCTGTCTTGTGAGCGGGACGCGTCGTAATTAAGCAGAACAAATAAAGGAGACACACGAATTGATCCGTTCAATTGCAGATGACGTTCCGGTGGCTACGCCTTCGGACGTGGCTGGAGAAATGATCGAGAAAGCGGAAGAGTCGCTCATGGCGGAAGTGTCCCCAGAAGGCGAGGATAAGTGCGAAGAGAAACGAAAGTTGTCTGGAGACCGGACGGACAGTCTCATCCGGAAGCAGATGAATGAAATGGAGAAGGAAATCACGAGGCGGTCCCAGAATAAAAACATCAAAAAAGTGAGCTGATCTTCTAACCTCTTGATCTCCGATCACTGACTTCCATCTGAAGTTCCATGAGCATTTGACTGGAACGTTCTCTGATTTGTTTGTCCATTGCAATCCAATTCCTAACAATTGCAGCGGTCCAATAATCTAATAGAGCGTCGCGGCCCTCTTTTCTCCTTATTTTCTGCTCTCCTTCGGGGGCCCGGCCAATTCCACAAATGCACTCGCTCTCTTCTTCCTTCACTCACTTCTTTCTTTCCTTTTTCATCCTCCTTCAACTTCTCTTCTCACTTTTTCCTTTTCGATCCATTCTTTGAATCCCGTCCGCACATAGCTGCAACCATTAACTCTTCGGGTTCCCAATCACTCCGGTGTCAGATTGACGACGACGGACTCGCCGAACTCATCGGATCCACCTCCAAACCGTCAGCAGTCGACGCATTCTCCCCCTTCGTGGAAAAGGTACCCGACCGATTGCTGTTCGTCGTTCTCGTGCTCTCGTGCTCGCATGCTTCCTTCTTACTCACACAGTTTCCCTCATACCGTGTGTGTGATGTGATCGTGCAGTTACAGGAGTAGTCGGTTTCTTCTTCTCCTCCTTCCTGACTGACTCCCTTCCGATCCGTGTTGTTCTCTTTCCTACCGTGATTCCTCTGATTGTCGTGCTCCCAAGTATTGTTGTCGTTGCCTATTCGTCGTTTTCCAATTGCCTCCGTTTTCAGAGTGCTCTTCCCTACACTGCTGCTACGGCGGTTGCAGAGAAGCCGGTCACGAAGGAGTCTCTCAACCAGCTCCGTTCCTCATTCAATCTTCCCGAGGATTCACCGACAGTCGGCCCAGTTCCATTCCAATCTCAGTCCCCGATTCCGCCGTCGACCAATCAACAGCCGCCTTCTCAACCACAGCCTCAGCTCGCCAGCAATTCAATGTTTATGGCAACTTCCAACAACTTTTTGCCAAATGCATTCCCGATTGGGGTTACGGTAACTTGCTTTTTACCTTGTTCAGTCACAAGAAAAGTGAATCGTTCAGATGACACCCCAAGCTCCGTTCGGTGCTTCTCCTGGATTCCAGATGATGCAGCCTCATCAACATAATCTCTTCATGCAACAACCCAATCGTAATACATTCTCATACAGTGTCTATCAACTTTTGATTCCTTTCAGTCAATATAATGAACAACGGAACGAATCCATTCCTGCAGACGCAACAACCCATCGCTCCCGTCAACTTCGTGCAGCAGAATGGAGCCGCTCCCCTGGTTCCGACCGTTTCCGCCCAGCACTGCACTCCTGAGCAGCTTGCCGCTGTCTTTGCTCAGCAGCAAATCGCTCAACAACAAGCGGCTCAGATGCCCGCACCGACTCCTTTCGATGCTCCGCCACCTGCGGCTCCCGCGGCCACGTCAGTCCCATCCACTTCTGGAGCACTCGCCCCTCCGCCTCCACCATCCCATCCGATTCCGCGAAGAATCAGTGTAAATGGATGGCCAGAGGAGAACGGAAACAATCCAAATGGATCGGCAGTCCCAAACGGATCCGGAAGCGGAGAGGACCCTGTGTGGGTTCTGAGGGATTCATATTTGAAGAAGATGCAAAGAGAGCAACGCACTTCAGCCGATGAGGTTCGTTTTTGAGAAACAAAAGAGTCTTCATGTTTCATAGGCTATCAAAGTGACGGGGAACTCTGGTTCAATCAACCTTCCTCTCTTTCATTTCCTCTCGAATCGTTTTTCGCAACGACACTCTGGGGAGCCTCCAGATTGCCGCCCTTCTTCCCAATGATAGATGTCCTTCATTTCCTTTCGCAACCCGTCGTTTTTCAGGAAATGAGTTGGCACGAAGCGGCCACAGCTGCTCAGGAAGCCGCCGAAAACGGTGGCGGCGAGGAGGAAGAGCAGGAGACGGACAGGCTTCTGAACGGAGGCGGCGCAGGGGGCAAGACTTCCAGCCTCAGGGACCGTCGGGGATCTGTAGACAAGAAGAAGAACAGCAAAGAAAGTAAGTGGGGAAGACGTGTTAGGAATAAGCGCCGCGCAGAGAAAAGGGAGCCCATTCCCCGTAGAAAGCGCACCGTGTCGTCGTTCCCTTTTCTCCTTCTCGATAGTTCTCTGAAATCGTAATTCATTCCGCACACCGTCGTCCACACGCGCACTTCCACTCGTCCTCTCCACTTGTAGTTGTTCTAATTTGGTGAGTTTGGATTCGATTTGTAATGGCATCCTTTCACCTTTTTCGATCCCGTCGCACCTTTTTTTAGTTATCAATATTCCCTTTTCGGTTTTTGTGTGAATGCACGTGGACCCATCCCCCTTCAGATCTCCTCTAAATCTTCACTCCCTCTTCCTGCTCACTCGGGCGGCATTGTAATCATCCTCCGACCGTACTTTACACACTCACTCTTCTGTTTTTTCACACCGACCGTTCAATGTTGTGATTGCCTCACTTTCGGCCCTTTCCATCGCCCTTCTCGTGGTTTCTCTAACACGCGCGTTTCTCCACTTCTATCCTGTAAATGGTCTCCCTTTCGACACGGCTTCTTTTCTGGTAAATGGTGGCTTATGAGTGAGAATCCCGCTTTAGACGTCCGTCTCCCTTCGAGAACATCATCCGATCTTTTCAGCAATGGTTCATGAACCTGCAGTTCTCATCGAAGGAGTCCTCTTTCGTGCTCGATATCTCGGATCGACGCAGATGTTGTGCGAGAGCCGAGGTAGCAAAGCGGCCAGAATGGCTCAGGCGCAGGAAGCCGTGGCGAGAGTGAAGGCACCGGAAGGCGACGCCCAGCCATCCACTGAAATCGATCTCTTTATTTCTACTGAAAAAATTATGGTTCTGAATACGGATCTTCAGGTTTTCAGATGGTTGCAACGTGTGTATCATTCTATGAACTTCAGAGAATCTCCGACACTGATGTCCGACAGGATATTCTGATGGATCACGCCCTTCGGACGATCAGCTATATTGCCGATATCGGTGATTTAGTAGTTTTGATGGCAAGGAGAATGTCTACGAGCCACTCGGACGAGTCTTGTTCTGACAGGTTCGGGAGACGCACCGCAGTACACTTTATCTTCTTCTGTTTCAGTGATGGCGGAGGGGTTCGCAAGACACCTAAGGTCATCTGCCACGTCTTCGAATCAGACGAAGCATCTTTCATCGCTCAGTCGATCGGCCAGGCATTCCAAGTAGCTTACGTCGAGTTCCTGAGAGCCAATGGCATCGACGATCCTTCTTATTTACGACAAATTGACTATCAGGTATTACTCTTCAGTCCTCAAGTTCTTTTCAAATACCATTACATCTCAGGAAGTGCTCAATTCGCAAGAACTTCTCGGCGATGAACTCGAGATGTTTGCAAAAAAAGAGACGCAAAAAGAAGTTGTCGTTCCGAAGAAAGCGGGCGAAGCGCTCGGAATAGTCGTGGTCGAGTCGGGATGGGGATCCATGCTGCCGACTGTCGTGCTCGCCCACATGAATCCCAACGGACCGGCAGCTCACTCTAATAAACTGAACATCGGCGATCAGATCATCAACATCAACGGCATCTCTCTCGTCGGACTGCCTCTTTCTGCCGCGCAGACTCAGATCAAGAACATGAAAACGGCGACGGCAGTCCGGATGACCGTTGTCTCGACGCCTCCAGTAGTTGAAGTCCGCATCAGGAGACCCGATACCAAGTACCAACTGGGATTCTCTGTGCAAAACGGAGTAATTTGTTCGCTTCTGCGAGGTGAAAACGGAATATGTGGAATAGAGAAATGAATGGGGTTTTCAGGTGGAATCGCCGAACGCGGAGGCATTCGAGTCGGCCATCGAATAATTGAAATCAACGGAACTTCAGTGGTTGCAGTGGCCCATGACAGGTAAAAAAAGAAGAATTCCGGAAGGATACTAATGGAATCAATTTCAGAATAGTGAATATGCTGGCAACGGCGGTCGGGGAAATCCACATGAAGACGATGCCGACGTCGATGTTCCGTCTTCTGACCGGCCAGGAGCAGCCGCAGTACATTTAACCACTCTAGTTCCTCCCTCTTCCATTTCGTCCCGCCTGTGATACTTGCGAGATTCCGTTAATCCATGCACGTCCTTCTTTCCCCCGTTTAGGTGATTCTCTGCGAGTCTAATGTTTGCCATTCATCGTTTCCAATTCTTTCTTTTCCGTTCGTTTTCTTCCGCTCTTCGGTCACATCTTCCTTCTCTAAGATGCCAGACGTGTTCCTTCATTTTGTTTGTAATAAATCGGGATTTCTTTTTTGTAACACACTTGATTGATTAGATTTTTCATTAAAACCAAAATTACTCATTTGACCACCTGCAAAAAGTGAAATAAGAAACAAAGACGTGGAAGAACGGGGAGACTAACAGATGGATTGAATGACATGAAGGACGTTGACAATAGAAAAGGAAAGAACAATACTAGACAAGTGAGGGGGGAAAGGATTTGGGGATCGGGACTGGGGACACGTAACGGATCGAGATGGTAATCAAGATAACGAAACGGGAAAGACTAGAATTTGGTGATATTTGATTGTGGGGGAATGCGATCCATGTAGAGATAGTCTATTGCCTCGGCAGCTCCGGGCTCATTTTTGTGAGTGACGGACATGTGGAAGCCGAGTTCAGAAGGCACGTGGCAGAAGTATTCGCACAGGCCACACTTCATCAGGCCTCGCGATTTCTTGGCAAACTCTTCCGGAGTTGGTTTGAGATGAGCAGGCTGAAAAAGGAAAGATTTCATTAATTCATTTGAATTTGATGTTTTACCTTTGGCGTTTGAATGACTCCATCTTCAAGACGGAATATGGTGGCACTGTTGACGGTGTGGAGCGACTGATCTCTCATTGCGTGATGATTCAGCTGGTGGAAGTGCACGACCAACTTGTTGTTATCCGAGTAATCACAGAGATGGCACGTGTACAACTGATTCCAGCCGTGGCGGTCAATGTGCTCGACGTAACTGCTTTGCGAGACGCATTTGAACGTGCATTTTTTGCAGTACTTGGCATTTCGCGCCACGAACTGATGCTTCATTTTTGGTCGTTGGTACTCTTCCTTCGGCGGCTGTCTTTTCATCGTCACATTGATACGGCTTATGAGCTGATGTCTGTGGAGTGCGCAATGCTCGACGAAGTTCCTGTTGTTGGGTGTCTTGTAGTTGCAGTTTTTGCAGTAATATCCTTTCACTCCATGCGGTATCGTTTCACTCTTTCGCAGCTTTATAGATCGCTTCATGGACGGATCAAAATAAACGCCTTCCGAGTGCAACTTCAGGTGTTGCAGAATAGCGGTCGGAGTGAAAGTATTGAAAGAACAATCGGTGCAAGTATACGGACGAGGAAGTGGAAGCTGTGGCTGGTGGAAGTAGAGATGCTGCTCAAAGATATCGGCATCCGAGTTGTTGAATGGACAGTCCGGGCACTGACGAGATGCTGAAAATGAACAGTTATTGAGATTTGTATGTCATCTTTGGCTTTACCTTTAATTGTGAGCTCTTTCTTCAGGAAATTTCGAATTTTCCAGTGAGCCACCTCGGTCGGCTCGTCATTGTCCTCGACACAGCTGTCGTTCAGTTTCTCCAGATTGGCTGCGCTGGTCGAAGGAGTCGGTTTCCCGTTGCCGTTCTTCACCATCATCGAGTAGTTGATCTTGTTCTTCGTCGATCTTTCCGATAGTGGTCTAGTGGGCTGCGCGTTTGGAGACTCCGAAGAAGGAGTCGATTCGTTGCTCCTCTTTCTCTTCTTCTCAACCTTCGGCTTTGCTTCCTTTTCCTTTTTCTCATCCAACAGCAGCTTCCTCTTCCCTTTCCTTTCCGTCGTTTTATCAGAATTCAGATCGGTCAATGAAGAGACTGGATTTCCTTCCTGATCGACTCTCTTCACAAATGGCATCGACTCATTCAAACCGAGAGCAGTATGAATGACTGTGTGCTCTTCCATCTTTCGCATTTCAATTGAGCTGTACGAGCAGTTCGAGCAAATATAGAACTTGGCAGTCGTCCGATGGTTACGGTGATGTCTCCAGAGACATCCGAGGGCCAACGACACGTAAGGACACTTGTTGCAACAGTAGATCCTCTCCTTACCGATTCCCCTTCTCGTTCCGATGTGCACTCCTTGGTTGACGACCACGCGCATCGGTTTCACTTCCTGCAGAGAAGCGTTGACTGGCAAATGCTGCTTCATGTGATCCTTTAGAGAGACGGGTCGGTTTGTAGTGTAGGTGCATTGAACACAGCGATACATCTGCTCTATGTCATGCCTCTTCTTGTGACTTCTCATGTCTCCCCGGTACTTCGATGTGTACGGACAGTCGATGCACTGGAATCCTTTCTGACCATCGATCATCTTCCGAGTGAAATGCTCGTCGAAATCGGGACGAGCAGCCTTCGCAGTCTTGCACCACTTCTTCAGGGCGTCTCCGAGAGTGGTCGTCGCAGAACATTTGTACATTTCCATTGCAGTTGAGGCAGTTTCGGATATCTGCGCAGTCTCTGCAGCGCCACCAGAAGCGGTCGTCGGAACGTCGGCTACCGTACTCTGTCCGATCTCTGCCGGACTCGTTTCTTCTGGACCGGCGTGCAGTTTCTCGTGGTTAGCAAGAACATCTTTGCTCCTCGATGACCAACTGCAGTGTCGGCATTTGAATTGCGAAATGGTGAAATGTTTCGCATGATGCCGTTGACATCGACTCATCGTTGGAGCTTGATAGGGACAGAGATTGCAGCAGAACACAGCCTTCTTCTCGATTTCAGCCAATGCTCCCGGAGGGACAATGCTTCCATTTCTGAAAAGAAAAAGGTAAAGCTCCGGATAAAAGTGTTGGGCAGCATACATGGAATCAAAAGATTCATCAGCCGATTCTTCTCCTTCTTCCTCCTCCGTTTTGGCAGTATAATACTTGATGAAGTACTTGTCTCCGACGAGCTCTTTCAGGTAGTAAGTGCGATGATACCGACTGGCCGTCGAGATGTGCTTGGTCAGTTTGTGAACTCGGAGAGCTGCGTACGTCTTGGCTCTGTGGCCGCAAGTGATGCAAAGGAACGGAAAGTTGGAGAAAGCAGACTTCTGAAAACGGATGAGATTAACAAAATTTCTGAAATTTTAAAACTAACCGCTTTGTGAACTTTCGCCTTGTGGATGATAAACTGGGTCATCGAAGAAGTCTGGAACTGGCATCCGTCCACATTACACTGCTTCTTGACAACATCTGGGCCACTCTGGGATGGAACTTTCTTGTGCGATCTAATTTGAGCCTGAAATGAAGGTATAAGAATCTCTATTCACCTGCAAGTCTCTTACCTTTACTAGCAACGACTTCTTTGTCGGCTTGCTGAGAAGGCTTCTTCTGACGAACTTTGGTGGCCACGGAAGTGTTCCTTCGTGCACTGTGTAGTGCCTTTGCAGGAATCCAGCCGCCCTGCACATGTAGTCACAGTTCTCTGCTGGACAAACGAATCCTTCGGCGAGACGGTGTCCTCCACTGTGTCTGTTGAGACGAGTGATCGAGGTGGCGGTGAAGGGGCAGCGCGGGCAACGGCGACGCTTCCTCTTCTTCTTGGCCGGAAATGGGTCCTGCGGTTCCAACGATTCCGGTCGTTCCTGCATCTCTTCTGGTTGTAGCTCGACCGGCGACTCCATCCTCTCCAATTTCTCCGGTTCTTCCGATTTCTGCTTCTGTTTTTTGCTTGCTTTAGAACTATTTCTGTTTTTGGTCGGCGCTGGAGAGCTCTTCAGTGGAGGAGTAACAGAAGAAGACGTAGACGGTGTGACCGAATTGGGGAGCGACCCATTCGGAACAGACGAAAGGATCAGCGGTCTCAATTTCGCACGCATCTTCTTCGGGGCTTTGTCCATTTTTTTGGGCGTCTGCGGAGGAGTTGCCTTTTTGGCTGGCTTCAATGGACGTGTCGATTTTCTGATAGGAACGAAGTTTGGTTGCGCATCGGATTCATCCGAAGAGTGTCGGGACAGCGGAGAAGACGATTGCTCCCGCTGAAGCAGTGGAGGCGGCGAGACCTCCCGCTCGAGAATCGGAGGAGGCGTTTCACTCGGAGAACCGACTGCATCAACTTCCGCCTCCGCATGTAAGTACGGTTCGGACAGGGCGGCGACCAGTTGCGGAGCACCATTACTGCTGTTGTTATTGGTGCTGTTGTTGAGCGAAGTATCGGTGGATGCATTGATCGCAGGACTCGTCTGAGCGCTGACGACTCCATAGCGTTTGTGAACGTTGTTGTGATGCATGAGGGACTTTTGAGTGCTAGCCGAGAAGTCACAGAGTTCGCAAGCAAACTTTCGTTTCTCTCCGTTGTGCATTTTCGAGTGATTCGACAGACTGCTGCGAGATTCATAGCGAGAAGGGCACTTGCTGCACGCGAAGGACCCGGATTGCTGAAAATGATTTAGTTTCGGTTCGTTGACTACAGTATCCCGATTCCTTGGACCCCAAACTCACATCTACCCAGTCCACCAGTGTGTCCTGGTAGTCTCCCCAATGGGCCGTGCTTCTGCGAGTTCTCCGCTTGCTGAGAGTTTCCTCTTCGCCGTCGTAGTCCTCGCTCTGATCCTCTCTCACTGCTGACATGTCCTCCGTCAGCACACTGAGCTGTTGCTCGAACGCAAAGTCATCGTCGTCATTCTCATCGGCGTGCGGATCCCTTCTGCTCTTCTTCTGGTTGTTCCCATGAGCGGCTGCGACCACATCCAAACAGAACTTCTTTCGCTTCGAGCGTCTCAAGTTGTCCGACTCCGAAGAAGTTGCTTCTCCAGACATTGTCCTGAAACGATTGGCCTGTTATCAATTTCACGATGATGATGATAAGTTCATGAAAGTGAGAATCGGAGGGAGAAGAACACGGGCCCCTGTCTAACGCCTCTATTGCATAGCATATAACCACTCTGGCCTGTCTGCGCCTCTTCGTCTCCATGAGTTCTCGTCGTAGGCCTCCCTACGACGTGTTTTCTCTTTTCTCAATCTCTCTGCTGCCTGGAGAATATCGATCGAAACTTGATTAGGCAAGACAGAGAAATGAGAAGAGTGTGCAGGAATGAGAGACTGAGAGCAAACGGAACTGCAAAGAAGCAGGGCCAAGAGTTTTTAGGAAGGGAAAAGAAGAGCCTTCGGAGATCAGAGGAACAAAATGGAATGACTAATTTAGATAGGAACAGGTTAGATGGACTGTGTGTGACTGCGAATTCTTTGGGACTACCGAAGGTACGTCCACAAACCTACAGTGAGGCAGAGTTTTGAAAAAAAGGTGGTGATGTGTAGCGACGAAAGAACAGATGAATGTGAAGATGAAGGTACGGAACGCTCTGGGGACCGGTGATAACGAGTTATTTACGAATTTACACTCAACTTAGTGGGGTTGAACAAGCGGGGAAGCTTCATTTAGCTGGTCTAAAAAGGGAGCAGTGAAAGGAAATAGTGAAGCGTCGAGGCAGATACTGAAACAACAAAAAGAGTGAAACGGAAGCAGATGAATAGGCCCGCCGATGACGTGGCAAACAGTCACGGCTGATGAGCAAGCAATGACAAAATAAAGTTTCTCAGCGGACAGCTTCAATCGTCTTTCCGCGAGCTTTCAATCAATACAAAGAGCGAGAACTTTCAGCGGAATCAATCCGAGCATCCGAAGCTTAGCGCCAAGAGACGAGGTCATCTAATGAGAGTGTGTAAATGAACAAATGAAGGCGTACGTTTCGCATTGTCATCTTTCAGAGTTTTCTGCCGACGAGTAGGCGAGAACTAGCGACGAGCCATCGAACGGTACATTCATACGGACGCTCGAATCCACGTGTTTTTATTCACCAGCCGTCACGGCATGAGGAGCATAATCTGCGGGACGGTCAATGATAATAAGGAAATCAACCGAATGTCTCTGTCTGTTTGCGCACCGATGGCCGCTAAGTAGCGGCCAAAAAATGGAACTTTTCGCCAGGAGCAAGAGATTCCATCTTGGGAACGCTCGGAAACGAAGGATTCTTCCAGAACGAGCACTAGAAAACGTAGAAATGAGTCATCGGAACTTCGCATCTGAGAGGAGCAACTAGGGCGGCACTCAAGGTGCAGAAGTCTACAGAGTAGTAGGACACGAAAGACTACGCCTATACAAGGGCCGACGGCGGGGTGAGCTCTCGGCTATCGGAGGATGGATTCAAGACCTACAGGTGCTCGTCAGATCGTCCTTCTCAAATCAACTTCCGATCGTCGCCACAAGCCAACAGAGGACACAAGAAATAGCATCGGCTGGACGGAGGAAGTGAATCAATAGAACGACGCGACAGCACGAGAGATGAAGAGACGCAGAAAGCTGTCGGGCGACGATGCGACCAAATCGACTGAAGTCGGACCGAGACGCCGGCCCCTTTACTGCTTATTGGGCTTTTTCCGGACCAGGTGGTCTCGTGCCACGTGGTAGCATTGAGAGGTTCTAGCGGAAGGGGCGGAAGACAGGCGGCAAGGAGGAGAGATGTCTATGGGATGATAGAGAGAGAAAAGAGACAAAGAAACTTGTTCCGATTGGAAACGTACTCTAGGAACTTGCAGGCTGTACCGCCCGAGCTGAAATCAGTCAGAGAAGCCTCGAGATTCGAAAAGTGTCGACAGAGCTACCTTCCTCCGGATTATCAAGATTGTATTCCTTCTCAATTATTTTGATAAGATAAAAACCGTCGTTTTAAAATGAAACGTTACGAAGGATTCAAATGAAAGGGTCCGATACACCGCACGATTCAGGAGTCATTTTCAGCATTCAACTTGAAAGTATTGATTGGCAAACGGCAGTGAAAGGTAGTTTTCCGGTAGAAGTATAAAATCGGCCCCCTAAATTCTAAAATCAGCAATTCCAGGGTGGAGGGCAATTCTAGAACATTTCCTATTTTTCTATTACAATAACATATTCGTTTTCTAAAAGACAAGGGACTGCACGAAATAATTTCCAGTTCCAGAAAGTTTCCTTTCAAATCCGTAATAGTGAAAGGGTTCACCACTGTCATGACGTTCAAATCATGACGTCATCAACCGTCCCGTAAACGATGTCTGAATGACACTCACTAGCGGTTCAGAACGCCTTCTAGCCATCCAGAAGGAATCCCCCACCGTAAATCACGCGCCATTTTTCATTAACTAGACCTCAAGGCGCACACGCCTTCTTCCGCTTTCGCCCATTGTACGTCTACATCGATCCGAACCCATTCGAAGACTCATTTTGTTTCAGTATCACACACTAACTTTGGGTCGTTTGCGGATCGACGGCTTATCATTTCAGACAGAAAATCAATACGTGCTGTAATAATAGTTGACTTCGAGCATTTTTGTCGAAAAATTGAATAACAAAATCGAATAAATACGAGATTGAATGATGAGAAAGCAAGAAGAAGTTTGGAAGAGGCGACGAACAAAGAAAAGACGCATAGAGAAGAAGCTGAGATAAATGCGTGAACATCGCGTGGATACAGTAGTACTGTAGATCAGAATGATTCATGGAATATCAGTGGAGCGCCAACGGCTTGCAAGTTTTCAGAGGGACCCACCCGAAGAGAGATGCGATAAATACACGACTAGACGCGACGAGAACAGAAAAGAAAACAACCAAACAAAAATTATTGTTTTAGATTACAGAAATGGTGCAAGGAATACTAAGCGGCTCGTGTGATAAAATGTAGGTCTAGCGCACCTGGTTCACGCTGGATTCTCTTCGAAACGTAAGCGGGAAAATGGAAATAATTATGAGTCAGTTTTGATTGAAACTACGCCAACTCTTATGTTAGACTCTTTCCCGAAGGAAGTGTCACGTGGCGTTTCCGAAAGTTTCTGAGAAAAATGTTCAAATGTTCAGTTTCTTTTCCAAACTAGAAAGCGCTACAAAACCTAGGAGTCGTGGCACTTCGAGTCTCTCTCCTCGGCGGATATTCAACCTCTCCTAGTGGGACGTCCAGGACAGTTTCCACGTGGCAAACACAGAGAATGATGTCGCAGAAGGCTAGCAAGCGAAAGAACGAATCATCTACAATTCGACATCTCACTCTCTTCAGAGTCTGCGATGGTGGCCTACGGGTTCGTCTCGCCGCGGAGAGGGCAGGTGACGAGAGTGCGAACGAGACGAAGTGCAAAGAGCGGAGGACGCAGAGAAATAAGAGGGGGGAGGGGCCACATTATCAGGGTACCAATTCGGTAAACCATCTTCCCAAGAGTTTCAGGAAAGTAAAAAGAAACACAATGGGGTTATCTAGGAATGAGCAATGCCTACAACCGGTCTCCAGAAAACCACGCGCAAATCGACGGAATATGGAGCCAGATGACTTTTGCTCACTTTCGCATTCGCCAGTAACTCATACAGACATAACAGTTTGGAATTCAAGTGTTTAGAGAACGGACGGAAGGGAGGGACCGACTCCCGTTCAGTTTTTCGGCTGAAAAGGGAAAGAGAGCATCGCCCGGCTGCAATCGAACTTTTCACGTTGTAATTAATAAAAAAAACAGCACGAAATCGGCTCAAATTTTTCAGATTCGGATGAACAGAGGAAGCGAAGGGAAGAACGGTTAGAACATGAATTCGAAGAGCATTCGAGTGATTCATCTTATCAAGTTTCCGTCAATTGTTTGCATTCGCTCAGCCGTTTTCTTTGCAACATTGAACTCGAAAAGCATGGGATGTCAGGAGATAATGAGTGAATATTCGGATGAAACAGTTACCGTGCTTTCCGAAGAGTAAATAGGGCGACGTAGAAACAAAGTACACAATTGAGTGCGAGACGGAACACGGGTCTCGGCACGATTCGGAGCCATCAAATTGTGTGGTTCGAGACGGCCCAAACGACGAGAATCCAAATTGTTGAGAATTTTACACAAAAAGAGAAATACGGTGGGATTCACTTTGCAAAGTGCTCAATTTATAGAGCGAACCGGGCCCGGGTGATGACACGCGATGAAATGTCAGCGCAAACGAGAGAATGGCTGGAAAAGAGGAACGGCGCCGGCTGAAGGGAATAAATCCCGGAATCGGAGCAGAACTACTGATAAAAAGACTCCAATTGGACAAACAGGCCGAATGGCTCGTGTGAAACGCGAAATAACAGGTTGAGTGCAGCTGGCGTCTGGACTGTAGACGGGAAAAGAGCGGAGGGCCCAGACGGAGAGAAAAAAGGTTGGAATCGTTTATGACGTGGCAGATGCAGCATAATCATTATTCAAAAGTGACGGGGCGAAGAAGACGAGACAAAGACAGAGGGGAAGGAGCGAATTCGCGTGAGTCTGCAGGCGCGGCAGCACAAATGTGAGCTCGATGAGAAATGCGCGGAAAAATGGGAACGGGTGGAGTGACGGATAAATTGAAGGCTAGTGAACAGACTGGAACGGTTCGAGGAAAGGACGACAACGGTTTTCTACAAAGGCGTTATCGTATAAAGTTATCGATTGATTCTGGAGAATGGTATAAAGACTGAACTGAACACGGTGAAAAGTTTAACGGGGAGTCTAGACAAAATCTGGGCGAGCAGCCGTTTCCTGGAATTTTTTGAATACCACGAATCCAGTCAATGAACGGGAGACCCGTTTTTCGGCGGTATTCAAGCAGAATTTCAAGCTCCGTTTTCAAGTTAGAACGTAGATTCAGAAGGCGACGATTCTAATTGGCCAACGTCAAAACACGTATCGTTCTCATTGGTTTATTAAACTGTACACGAAGACTGTGTTTAACAAAGTATCGATCGAAAAGTGGGCGGGGTTTCTACATCACGACTTCCGAAAATCCAGGTGATCGGGGGAGGGATATGAAAATTAGGAAAAGCATCGGAAGGTCTCTAGTAATTCCGACTTCCGGTTTCTTGAACTCTCCCTCTCTCTCTCTCTCTATTGCCTTTTTGCTTTGTCGCGCGTTCGCTGTTGCCTTTGACCGATAACAACTTCATGGAGAACAAACAAAAAAACAAAGACAAATGGGAAAACATGAATAACAGAATAATAATATCAGTCGTCGTCGCCGAAAGTTATTTTCTTTCCGCACGGCTTCGCTGCTTGCATCTCCTTTTTCTTCAGTTGACTGGCCGCCCACGACGGATGCATCTCTCCCGCGAGAGTGTTGTTCTTGCTTGAGCCCTTTTTCTTTTCCGGTACAACTGCACGAACTGGCTCTGCTTTCAGTTTTGCTTGCGGTGCTTGCACTGAAAAAAAATGAGGTGTGGTACATAGGCTGGAGCCAACCTTCCACCGAATCCTTCGCAGGCACCGTCGTCTTCTTCACTGCTTTTACGATCTTTTTTTTCGGAACGGCGCCGCCCTTCGGAAGGAAAAACGCGCTGCTCTCGTCATCATCCATTTCCTCTTCTTTCTGCGCCTCTAGCTGCGAAACCTTCGGGATCAGGGCTTTCGATTTAGCAGAACCGATTGTTCCTCCCTTTGAAAGATCGACCTTCATAACAAGAGTCTTCTGAAACGACCCGTTTCCCTATTTCACGTAATTTTCCAAACCTGATCGGGGTTCTCCTCAGCCAGAACTTCCACGTTTTCTTCCTCTTTTTTTTCGCCGTTTTTCTTAGCCGGAGCAGCCTTCTTCTTCAGATTCTTAGCATTTCCCTGTTTTGGATTTCTAACCTAAAATTATCTAGTTTTTGGGAATAGTCTACAATCTTTTCAAACCTCTTTGGTTTTCAGTTCTTTTTCTAAAATTTTCTTCATCTCCAGCTTCACAGATTCCTTCATTTTTGTCTTTTTCTGAACAGCCTTTCCGACGTCTTCATCTTCTTCTACGATCTTCCGTTTTTTTGGTTTCAAAGCCGGTCGCGACTTGTCTTCTTTAACACCGATTAGACTGAGCAACTAAAAATGATTCTAAATGAGTTTTTCTGTTTTTTTTTTGAGCAATCACCAATTGCCGCCTCTTCTGGGCAGCCTCTTCGCCCGCTTCCTCATCACTGTCGACCATTTCGACGTCTGATTCATCATAATCCTCCACATTTCCAGACTCTTCAGCCACTTCTTCATCTTCCGCAGTCTCTCCCTCTGCGCCATCAGAATCATCTTCTTCGTTCTCTTCTTCTTCTTTCTGTTTCTGCTCCGTTTTCTTCTCTTTCTTCTCCTTATTCGCGTATTGTAGACCAAGGCGTTGCATGAAGAAAGCGGCAGTTTTGTTCCATTCCGTATACTTTGCTCTGAAAACGAAAAGCATTGCACGTGAAGCGAGTGAGTCCAAACCGAATAGCCTCGACTTCCTTGACGAGCACGTCTTGGCGTGCCAGCTTGTACATTAATCTTTCGGCCACCGCAGTCTTTCCGTCAATTTTCAGCTCGCTCATCGATTTCGTATTCAAAACTGCAAACTTGGCTACCGTATCCCTGTCGAATGTCTGTAAAAGGTTTCATAAATTAACAGTCGATAGCAGATTCCGGCCACCTTCAGTCCGAGAATCTCTTCCCCCAGTCTGGCCGCTTTCCTCTCTTGCTCTTTCTTAGCATTCTCCCTCGCTCCTTTCTTCTCTTCCAACGTCTTCTTCTGTCTCACCAACTTCGCCATCAGCCTATTCTTCGCCTTCACAATTGGCGCTCTCAATCTGACCAGTTCGTTGTTCAGTTTCTGAGCAGTCAACGTCTCCTTCTTTTCTCCACTTTTCACCTCCTTCTTCTTTTTTTTAGCAGCCGGCTTCTTTTCCGCTACGGAGTTCTTGGTCGGCTCCATTTTTCGTTCCCCCAAATTGGGAAGTTCGAACTCAATGACGGGAGCGGCGATGTCGACCATGTTGATCACTTTGTAGTCTTCTGCCACGTCGTTATCTTCATCGATTCGAGCCATTGGCATTTCCACGTCATCCGAGATGGTAGCCTTTTTTTTAACAACGGCTTTCTTGATAATTTTCTTTCTCATCTAGAAGGTTCAGATTCTCAATGTTCAGCACTCAGATTTCAATTTGAAAAAGTAATACAATTTTAGCGGACGATACCAGGCTCTAGATATATTTAGAATAGAGAAGCATTAATTTATGCAGGCAATAATTGTCCAATATGTCAATTTCACCGTAAATTAATTTCCCAAGTGTTATGAGAAGCAAATTGAAAGAAGGGATTGCACGAAACAAAAGAAAATCGTTAAATTCCGCTAGAAAAGCACCATCATAGACGAATTTTGACAAAGTCGGAATCACGGGAAATCAAAGTAGATGGGTAAAGGTTATCACATTCGGAGAAGATGAAGGAGAAGGCAAACATGTGAATTGATATTTAATAAATAGAAATTAAGAGAAGGAATATGAATAATGGGAGAGGGGCATACGCAAATGTACATGAGAATGAAGAAAACGTTAAGAAAGTGGATGAGTGGGAGAAATCGGAGGCCGAGGTGCGATCGGAGGCGGCTGAGTACTGATCGGAGGCGGATTGAACATTCCTTCCGTCAGATAGCCAGCGACTCCGGTTGGACCGCCTGAAAATTAGATGTAAACGGAGAACGAGGAATACATTTTATCTGACCTGTGATGGCTTGAGTTCTGGCTGCTGGGAGGAACAGGTCGTGTCTTTGATCCTTGAACTGAGCCCAGATAGGCGATTTATCCAATATCTCTGAAATCTTTTGTCCCACTTTCAGATCGAGAATCGCACTTTTGAGTGCGTCGACAATCTCCGCTCTTGCAGCTGCTCCGTTCGAAACTCCGTTCATCGAGCTGTCGAGCACTTCGAGCAGATAGGGAACCATTCCGCAGTTAAGCATCTGAAGAGCCAGCTCGCCTGTGTTTCGCTTCATGAGGCACTTGAGTGCGTGGGCGGACTCGCGCATCAAACTCGGCTGGTTCTTCATCGACTTCATTATTCCGTCAATGCACGGCAAATGTGACAAAGCGTCGCAACAGAATTGGTTCTCACTGAGCTCTTGGAGGATAAGAATAGCGGATCGAGAAGCAGAGGTGTTCTGAAGGCACATTGCGGTGCAGAATTGGGGAAGGTAACCCTGCGAAGGCAACTGATCAGATGTGTTCGGATGATGGCGAACGAGTTCCACAAACGCTTTCGTGACCATTTCCAAATCGGGCGTCGGTCGGCTCATCAGTTCCAATACTCTGGAATCAGTGATTTACGTCAAAAACATGGGAACCCTCAATACTTTTCAATGAGTTCAGTCGCAAAATGCTTAGGATGTCTGACCGACCAGCCGGGATTCTCAACGAACAATCGGACGAAGACTCCTCCGACGACGAGTTCTCCACTGATGCTGTCTCCGTAAGCGCAGCTCTTGTCTGCCAACGAAGTGGTGTTCCACTTGGCGGTCGAATCTTTCACGTGTTGTTCGTACAGTCTTCCAACTTCCGTGTCGATGACTCCTTTCACTTTGACTCTTGTCGCGTCATTCCAAATCAATTCGGGATTCTCGTTGGACGAGTCGAACATCTGCAGGCTGAAAGTGGTTTTTTTTTACTTGATTAAAGCACCTGAAAACTCACGCAGTGGTTGGAGAATCTCTCAGGGCATCGGCAAAGATCTCGGGCAGGAACTTGATGATAAATCGGGTCCAGCGAGGTCCTGTGAGCTTGTCCGCTTGCAGTTTGGCGAGCAATTCGGCCGCTTGCAGTCTCTGTCCCTGATCGGAGTTCGTGAGACAGAGAATTGAAAGAATGTACATGAGTCCTCCGTGTTCGAGCATTTCCTTCACAATCTGTCCGTTCGAGGACAAAGCGATAAGCACATCAAGAACACGAGCAATGATTTTCGGCTGATCACGGAGAAGAGTGAAAAGAGTAGTTGTGACGTGGCAAGTGGAGAGATCAGTCACGCATTCCTTGTTCACGGCCGCCAGAAGAATAACTTGGAGCGCAGCGATTTGAAGCTTCGGATGCTTGCGGCATCGGAGATATGCGATGAGAAGGGGGAAGTTGCCGATCAGAAGGATCTCCACACCTGAACGAGCTGAATTGAGAACGGTAGGAGAATGGGAGAATGGAGGATGGAAAGGAAAGAACAGGGCCCGAAACAGAGGAGCTAAACGACACAGAACAAACTTTTACTAGATTTACGACGGTGCTCTCACCCTTTTTGTTGGCAAATACAGCTCCTGTATGAAAAGTGTTGGAAAAGAAAGAAACCGTATTCTCTCACCTGGATTCGCAGAAATGAGATTCGAAAGTGCCGTCAATGTCATCAGCACTTTCGTTTCCGTGTCCAATGCGTTTCCGTTGGCACTCGGTCCATTTCCCCAATCAATGTCAATCAAATCATCAGGATTTTTCTTTTTCGGAACGCCGATCAGCTCATCCGCGTTCTTTCTTATGTAATCCAACATGTCCACTGCCACTTTTTTCGGCTCCTGAAAACAAAATTTATTGGAAGAATTGGACAAGTCGCCACTGACATGAAGAGCGAACGTAGGTTGTTCGTTGTAGATTCTGATGAAAATGTCGCCGACGATCAACTCATTTTTATGAACAGACAGCTCGAATTCCGCTCCAAACAAGTCACTCTGAAAATGATTGAAATTAAATAAATTTGAACGTGAATTTATTTTTTTTACAGTGGGCTCATTCGACGTGCGATGTCTTTCGACAAACTCAAGCACTTCCGCTCTCGTTCCGTTATCCCAGATCATGTACGGATTCTCCAGATTACTGTTTAATGTCTTCAGAACCATATCGTTCGTCTCCACTCGCATGCATCGACAGATGTACGGAGTGAGCAGGGCCCGAAGACTAGCTTGCACTCCGTCGTTATCTGGTGTGTTGTCACGGAATCCAGCCAGAGCAGCAAGAGCTTCCGAAGAGGAACGGGCTAAGGAATTCGCCAGCGACTGTTTGTTCGATTCTTCCGAATGCTGGACACCTCCTTCGTCCAGAGTGTAGTCGAAGTGGAAGAGATGAGGGACAAGCTGCCAAAGGACGCCTGTCTGAAAGAGCTGGAACTGCAGAAGAGTGTCGACCGCCATCGCTCGAATGCATTGGGCAGAAGCAGTAGACAGACGTGGCAGATTCTGAATACACAGAAAAATGGAAATTAAGAATACTAAACACAAACCGAGAACTGAAGAAGTCTGCAGAGAGCACCGAAGATGGACGGCATTTCGACGAGTCTTTGTCGGCACGCTTCGAAGGTGGCCGCAGTGGCAAAGCAATCGCACACGTGGATGCACACTTGCACCGGCATGTCATCCGGTTTCGAGCTCATCGTCACCATAGGCACACACCGGTCGAAAGCAGTCACCAGAGCCTCGAGTCCGTTGTCCCTTCTCAGTTGCTCGGCATTCAATGCACTGCTGATAAGTGTGTAGTTGGCAAGTTCGATGGCGGCGGAAAGCAAATCGCCGCCTCCCTTGATGAAAAGAGCCTCGTCCTTAGCTTCCAAATCAATCGTCTTGATGAGCTGCGAATAGCCGGCGTACTTGTATTCGGACAGTTCTTTACTGTATCTGCTGTATATGATGGACTGCGCTTGCAGACAGAGAACAATGCGATGCGAGTCTGGCATGTTCGATTTGATGGCACTTTCACTGCTCAGAAGTTCGTACGCTGCGTTGATTTTTTCGAAAGTCTCTCTTCCTTCAGGATTCTTGTCTGGATGGTACTTGGCTGCCAGCTTGTAATACTGACGACGAATAAACGCCGGCCGACGATGCCTAAAAACGAACCCGGTCAAATTGGAAGAAGTCGAACCCTTACTCTTCATTCGTCATGTCGATTGAGAGAAGTTCGCGAGCCAAATCGGCAGACATTGTCGCTGGTTTCTTTTCCAGCTCGTTATACCACGTGGCGAGACAGGAACGAAGGAATGGAACCGGATCACGGATCGGCCAATCAGGGAATCTTTGCTTGTTGCATAGATGTCTCAAGTAGTAAACGTGGCAGAAGAGCTCTTGCGTCAATTCCGGATAGTCGATGAGAGGAATCGGACAAAATTGGTAGAGAGCACGAACATTCGAGGTCAGACGGTGCGAGAAGTCAGCCACGTGCACTGCTACTCGTTCGATAAGATGCCGACGCATTGCCGTGTTCCAAATGATTTCCGGGTTGTCGAACTCTCCCAGGAACACTTCCGCGTACTTCTCCGGACCGTACTGCTCCAGATAGAACGTGGCCGCTTCCGGAAGGAGAGTCGCCAGAATGGATTGCCGAGTTCCTTCGAGATGAGGAAGAGTGGATCTGAAGGCTTGCTTCATGTGAGTGTAATGGAGGAAACGAGCAATCGGCAGCACATTCGATCCGTTGTACATGAGGATGAAATAGAAAACTCCGGTGAGGTAAAGCCGGTTGAGCATTGGATTGTCCTGCATAACCAAGTACATCAACTGGGCAACGCGCTGCACAATCTGTGGTTCGTAGGTTAGCAGCAGCTGCACTAGCTGATTAAGGAGACCAGATCCCGTCAGCTGCTTCTTGACCGATGGCATTGGCCGAACAACACAATCATGCTCGTCTCTGTAACTCATGAAGTGTATTAGAACACTTTTGTTGATCACTGACCTCGAAGGGAAGAATTCGCACATCTGGAGAATGGTATCGAGACAGAGAACGCTGAGATCCGTGAAGTTGAGAACGGTGGCTTGGAATGGTCCCTTTCCTCCGTCGATCTCCTTCAGCTGATCTTTTTGTTGACAGACAGTCCATCGGAATTGTGGAACATCGGACAGATTGAGCCATTTGTCCGTCCCGGCCGCCCACACCTGCGTCTTCTCGAATATCGTCTTCTCCTGATACATATTCTTCATCGTCTCAAACGACAACGGGCCGATTTGTTTGGCCTCTTTGTCGTGATAATACCATTCCTCCGAACCGCCTTCTCGAATCTGCTCCGCGCTCGCTTCGATAACATTCGTCTGATTTTGCACGATTGCTCTTTGAACGTGCAGATGAGCAAGCACAGCGAGATCGACAAGCAACGGCAGAATGTTGGCCACAATCAGTTCTCGAACATTCTCCTTGTTCAGTGCAAGTTTTGAGAGAAGAAGAACCAAATGATCCCTTTCCAGGGGATTGATACATTTAGTGAGCATGTCCACAAAGTGCTTGGCATCTTGGAAAGCTCCGATCGTCATGTGATGGCGGGCGTAGGTGACAGCCATTGCACGAAGACAGAGACACTTCATGTCGGGTTTCTGGGAAAGAAGAAAACAGTGATAGACATTGTTGAAGAATTCCGATCTGGAACAAGTGTACATAGAGAAAACAGAAGAAATCGGACGAACGGATTGTGGATTGGAGTAGCGTTCTCGTCGGCCTCAAAAAGAAGAAGTCTCAAATAGTAATCACCGATTTTGATTTCTTCCAAAAGAGAGGGATAACGAATCTGAAATTTTTTATTTATCCCAAGCTAAGCAGCGTCGAATTTCACCTGAAACTCCGTGTGGTTCCACGCTATCGGCAGCCCGGTCGGTGCTTGTTCCTTCTCGCTCGCAAGTGTCCTAATTTCCGTGTCCATCGCGTGTCTGAACTCTTCTCTCGTCTTTTCATTCCAAATAAGATCCGCCTGTGAGTGATCTTTTCCGAATTGATAGGCAAATAACTTCCAGTTTACATTCGGGCGCACACGATTTCTTCTTTTTCGGAGTACAACTGGTTGTTGTCTTTGTTGCTGTTTTTCCTGTAAAATTGAATTCAATGATAATTGGCAATTTTCGCATTACGTCAATGACTCTCTTCGGGAGGAAATTCAATTTCTGTTCGAGATCCCAATGCTGAACAAATCTTTCCAAACCAGCTTCTGCGGTCACTCTGAACTGATCGAACTTCTCTTTCATCGCATTCTGCTTCGATTCATGTGTTGCCGCCGTCAAATTATTTCGTACAATCAGCAAGTCCTTTTCGGACAGCGGAACTTTCTCTTCTGATTCCAGAAAGTTCAAAAGCCCTCGTGGCAAGATTCGAATGAGAAGATCGTTGGCTGGCTGGTTGTCGGCTATCCAAAGACTGATCAGATGACCTGACAATTGCCGATTTGTTATCACTCTCAAATCCTTTCCCGTTGACAGAAGAGACATGAAGAGGTGGGTGAGGAAAGCGCCCTCCGAAAGAGCCAGCATTTGCATGGACTTTGAAGTTTCCACATCGGCTTCTTCGATGATTGCTCTCATAACCATTCCAGCTCCTTTCACAATTGTCATGCTGGGGCACTGGAAAAGTCGGAAGAAACTGCGACCTCGAGCGGAGACGAGCTTCAGAATATGATCGAAGGTGTCACCGGAAGTAGTTTCTGAATAAGGCGAGCAGACAGAGAACGTAAGGAAGTTGAGCATCGAAGCGATAACAAGCCAACCGGTCGATCGATCCACATGAGAAACGATGAGGTCAAGTAGGTTTTCCACGAATTTCGGACTGCTCATCAGACTCTGCTTGTTAAGTTGTTCTATTCTCAACTCGTACTGGTCGTGCATCGGGTACATCAGAGCACAGAGGGCTTCGACGGTCGCATGGTCGATTGATTCTGATTTCCAAGAGAGAACACGAACAACCAGACTGCCAAGCTTCTCCCGGACTCCGTTGACTTCCGTAAATGCCTGGAAGCCACTCTTAGACGCGAACAGCCTTCGTAGACATTGCAATTGAGATTCTGTCTTCCTCTTGTACTCCCTGTCATCTTTCGTGTAGTTTTCCGCGAGGACGGCTTCAATGGCATTCACTATTACTTTTCCTTTGTTTTCGGAGAAGAAGCCATCATGCGACTTTGAGAATCTTAATCCAGAATATGGAATGTTCGCATTGAATCTTCGAATGAGCTCAGAACGACGAACACCCGCTGAAATCAGGATCTGCTCTTATTTCGTTCCGGAAACACCTACGTGGCGGGGCAATGATATGCTTCATGCACAGTGATTCGCTGTCTTCGTCCAGCGTAGAAGTTAATGGAATCAGCCGGAGATGTCGGTCGACCCGGTGCCCACACACGAACACTTCGTTGTTTCCAGAAGCGCGGATTCCGTCGAGCAGTGAGGCCAGAATCAGATCTCTTTCCGGGGCTAGGTAAGCCCGTCCGTCTCCGTTCTCGTACTCAACTATGAATTGCTGTGGGTCGATCTCACTTCGGACAAGGCAAACAATCTGAAATGTTACTTTTCGATATCACTTCTGAGTATTACTCGATCACATGTTTCAGAGGAGTCGCACAAATGACGGCATACGTGGCGGGATCTCGTTCGATGATGCACGTCTCGCTGAGACAAAGCAGTCTACGAACTGCCTCGTCCTGTCTGCGAGTGAGCTTAGACACTTTGAACTCTGTGTAGGACGTCAGTTCTTCGTCGCGGCTGCACAATCCCAGTCGGGTTCTCATGAAATCGTCGAGAGAAAGTTGCTCCTTTGCAATCGGAACCGAAATTCCCACGTTTTCGGCTGCCAGACGACGGACTTCTTGCACCAGGTCTTCATGATTCGGAGAGGCAAACATGTGCTGAAGAATTTCCAATAAATTATGTTGGTTTCTAATTTTAACTAACCCGCCGCCGATGCTCTCCCATATCCACGACAATCGCGCCTGGGCAATCGGAAACTTTTCCGATGCTTCGAATGTTTTTGTATGGATAAGCCTGCACAACAACACCTCGATTATCAATCTGCTCGAGAGATGCCGCATTCGCCCGAAGAGTAACCGGAATACGACGATCACTCCAACTTTGTTTGAACGCGGTCACTGTCTGGAAGAAAGTCCTAATTCCTTTTAGAAACTGTAAATTACCATGGGATTGAAGCTGGTCTCAGCAAATTTCGTGCGGAACTGAAGACAATCCGTGAGAATGTCTCTTGTGTATTCGGAAGAGAAACGCATCTCGTCCGTCCCTCGCCCACCGCGAGTTCGCACACGAATTTTATACTCCTCTTGTCGAGATTCATTGGTACGGAATGGTTTCACGGACACAAAATCTTCATAGAGCCACTGAAACACATCCAGTTTTCATATGTTAGTTTCCGGATGAATGTGTTCACCTGGTTGGTGATTTCCATATTATTTGGGTTGTAAGTGGAGATGGCCAATGTCCCGATCGAGAAAACCCGCTTGTACCTGCAAGAACGTTCGGTTCGCGGCCGTCATTCAGTTATGAAAAGACGTACTTTCCCTTCCATGAGTGTTTTGTGACCAGATAGAGCACGAGGTCTCGATTGTCCGGAGAAAATTGAGCCATTTTTGAAACGATAGACTGGTTGGTGATTAGCTGTCACTGTGCTTAGAAAGGCTCGACATTAACGGCTCTTTCGCTTGGACCTGAAGACGAACAGGTTGAGAAAACCGGATTTCAGGCACGATTAATCAGGTCAGCAACTAATGAGTTGTGGGAAAATGACAGTGAATAATTGGAGCGAGGGAAAAAATGAGTGCGGTGGCGCGCGTTTGCACACTCTTTCAGTCGCTGAATCACTCGGTCGACCGGAAATTGGCGGCTAACAAAACAGCAATGAATGAGGAACTCAAAAGTTTTTCCAGCAAAATAAAGAATTTTTCAAAAAGTATTCTTATTAAAATTGCAAAGTGAACACTTTTACATTTGCTAGACAGTCAAGCGCTGAAAGAATGAGTCACGAATGTTTTAACATCTAAACAACAAGAAGATGCGATCGAAGGACAAACACGTTATCGCGGCAGCATTCGAAGTCGTGATATGCAGCAAACTTTATAATGGCAACACGGTATATTCTGTTTCAACATGTCAGTAAGTGCACTAGCATTTCCAGATACTACTTGAATTGAACGGTCGCCTTCCAGATCTTCACCACGTTTTTCAGAATAACCAGTCGTTCGGGCACTTTCTCACGCTTTGTTCTCGCTCTGCTAGGCTCTCGGCATACTCAATTAACGCAGCAACGCATTCTAAACCAAGTTTATCGGAAACTCCATGGCAACGGGCGGACACTCGGGACGGGGGCGCAAGGGGACACTTCACTGAGCTCCGTACTCTTCTGCCGAACATTTTCATTCGTTTTCATAAATAAACAAACTATCAAATTACCGCCCGATGCCTTTCAGAATGTCGTCGGAAAAGGGGGATGCGCGGAAAGTGTACGTCCTTCGGGTCGCCAGTTATCTGCTCGGACTGAACATTGTCGAGGAGAAGTTGAAGAATCCGGAGCCTTTGGAGGTTTTCGTCGATTCGAACACAAATCTTCTCGTTTTCTCTCGGTCAGAACAGGTATTTGTCGGTAAAAAACGTGAGGGAAATCGAATGGAAATCGTTTAGAAACTGGAGCTCTCTAACAAAATGAAGTCCGCTGCTCCGGGTGGAAATGTACTCAGAGTCGTATTCTATAAAACACAATCGGTGCCGCTGAACAACGAGAACTACAAAAGTGTGGTGAATGTGATATCGGCCAACGGTACATTGAATCAAGTCTTCTTGAAGTCGGTGCAGAACGTAAGCACTCTTATGGATCGGTGAGAATTGAACAGAATGTTGCAGGTGTTCGGAAAAGAGTTGACTGAAGGGAACAACATGCAGTTGATAGCAGCCGTCAACGAATTGGAAGAGAGTCTTCTGGCGACCGTCGAGATGGGAGGAGGTCAGTGGTCCCGATCCTTCCGAGCCATTCCTTTCCCTTTCAGGAGGATCCCTTCACGATGAAATTCGCAGTTGGAAGAGTCAATCCGGGAAGGCAGCAGCCGATTACAACGAGGCTTTCAAGCAGTTGCAGGTGCTCGTAGAGACCATGGAAGAACGGAACATCGAAGAGCTCTCCGAACTCGTCGAGTCATTCGAAGACACTTGCGATGAGCTGTGGAACTGTGCGACGCCGTATCCACAAAACAGAATGAAGATGCTGATCGAATACGGAGCAGCATATCTCTGCGAAACGATTCAGTTCAAAATCGACGACGCGTCCGTTTGGAGGGATGAGAAGGTCTCCGAGCAATTGAGATCCGCCATCGATGTCTGCGATCAAATGCTGATTGTAATCCGATTGTTAACCGGGCAGACGTGGAGAAGAAATGTTGAACACACGTGGGAAGGAGAAGCCCTAGAGATGAAGTTTCTGAACGGATTCCGAGAGAGACTCGATGAGATATTGTCGGTGAAATCATTGGGCGGACAGTTGGAAGAGCTGCTGCAAGAGAGGGGAGTTCGCGAGGAAACCGAGAAGTTGATTGAGACGGCGATGCGGGGAATGGCTCCGTTGGCATACAATCCGTTCACGGAGCCGATCTGGAAGTCCCGGTTGCTGGTGGCAGAACGGGCGATCGAAGGAACAGTCGATCGAACTCTGCCCCTTCTGAAACAGAGGTTGGCTCTGAATTCGGGAGATTCGCAGAGTGTAAGTGAATTCAACGATCCAAAATGTATAATTTCTCATTGCAGATCGTTCTGAGTCTGGAGAAACTGAAGAGTTTCCTGAGTCGTTCGAACATCAAGGAGAAGCTGCAGCACGAAAGAGAGATGTTCCTGAATAGACTCGTGTCGATGCTCTCCGTGAAAAGCCAGGAGTTCAACGAAAAGTCCCTTCAAGTGGACGCGAAGAACTTTCAGTTTCTAACTGAAGTCGCAGCGCGGATCGTGTGGATTCGACAGCAGACGAGCCAGATGGAGAGTATTCGATCGCTGAGCAAGATGATGTTGAACGACGTTCCCAATTATTCGGCCTTCGCCACCAAACTGGACGAGTTCACAGAGAAGCTACAGTACTCGGAGAAGGAGTGTTTCGATGACTGGTGCCGAGAAACTGTCGGTTTGATTGACAACAAGAACGAGAATGACACTATCAATCTGGAGACAACGGGCAAGATTATGTACTTGGAGGCGTCGAATCGAGAACTGAACGTCAATTACTCGGACAGATTGCTCCGATTGTTGAAGGAAGTTCGACAATTGAGCAGTTTGGGATTCAACATTCCGTCGAAGATCCTCGCGTGCGCAAACAACGGAGAGAAGTACTATCGGTTCGGAGTGATTCTCAAACAGATTGCTCACTTTTACAACACAATCGATCAGCAAATGATTCCTTCGCAGCAGGTGACACACTTTCCATTCCCTCCCTTCCTTTACTCTATTCCATTTCAGTCTCTGATGCTGGACGAAGCGATAGCTTTCGAGAAGCTCGTGATTCCCAGGAAGGACGCGTCGAATAGCGCATCGAAAGTTACTTGGAACGAGCCGAAACAACTGGAGGAGTTCATTGTGCAACTGCAGAATGCGGAGCAGAAGCTGTCGAATCGGAACAGAAGACTGAGAAATGTGCACATGGAACTGATAGAGATGGTCGAGAAGTTGATGGATCTGAACATTGTGAAACAGAATAACGAGTGGAAGGAGATAATTCTGAAGATCCGATCCAAGATGAAAGAGGAGGAGTTGGTGCACGGAGCATCGAAGAAGAACATCAAACCGTGGCTGATCCACTGGGATTTCCAATTGTACAAGGCTCTTTTGGTTCAGTATGAGTGGGGAATCGAGAGCATTCAGTCCCAGTTGACCACCATCCCCGTCAGTTTGGTCTTCGCGTGAGTATCGATGCTTATTAGGTTACTGTAGTCTGCGATTGTTTCCAGCGATCAGAAGATACAATTGAGACCGACAATCGAAGAAATTCGTGCAAAATACTACAAGGAGCTCTCAAAGTTTCTTCGAATTCCCGATCGGTTTCGTGGAGTGCAAGAAGAGGAAAATGTAAATTAAGATGCCAACTTTTAAAGTACAGTACGATTCTACCTTTGCAGTCATCTAAATTCTACGCCCAAATGATAGATCGGAGCATGCATTTGTTGCCGTCAATTTACGAGAAAGCTGAGCAGTTAATGGACAAAGTGATCAATTGCGACAGTCTTTTCGTCGTGAGTCTCTTCCTCCCCTAGTTAATTATTCTGAAGTCACCACAGGACTGGCTGGTCATTTCACAAGTGGACCTGGAGGAATTAATCGAAGAGAATCTGAAAACGGCGGCAGATTGGGAGACACAATTCAAAGTGTTGAAGGCGAAAGCGAGAGAGGCAGAGAGACTCCCGCAGTAAGTTTGAGAGCAGAAAACATGGGATCGGTTGAATTTGCAGCGAACTAAAGTTCGAGTGCATTCTGGTGAGCACGGCAGGAGTCAAGTCGGCGATAGAGGATGCCATTCAAAGGTTGTACGACACGTTGACATGGACTCTCCGGTGAGCACAGATCAGAAATTCTGAATACTGAAAGATACTCTCCAGACACTCTATCTCAACGACATCACAGTCCATCAGCACTTTCTTGAACCAAGCGATCGACGTGCTCAATACCGTACCCCAATCAATTGACGAAATCGCCGAGGCCAACGCGAAACACGTCACGTTTGCCGCCACGAACAGACAATTGAAAGAAGGGTGGAAGGTGATGGAGGAGCAATTGACGCTGCTCCGATCGGTCGCCGGAAGTGGGATGGAGCAGATAGACAACCTCGAGCAGACGTGGGATCGATTCGATTTGATGCTGGATAGCCACCAGAGCATGATAAAGGATCAGGTGGAAGTACTGAAGAGCAATGTGGAAACGAATGTGAAAGGGATGAAGGACGAGGCGGAGAAGCTGAAGGCGCGGTGGGATCAGTTCAAACCGAGAAGCGATGCGCTGCAAGGAGACCGGGAGGAGATGCTAAAGGCGATTCAGTTCATAAAAGAGAAAAGAGTGCAGTGGCAGCAGCTCAGCGACGGGAGGGAGAAGATTGAGTGAGTGAAAACCAGGAGAAGTGGTTGAGAAATGGACTAACTTCAGAAAAGAATGCGGACAGTTTGGATTGGAGCCTCCGAAGATGGATATTATCGATGAGATTGACGAGGACATCAAACAATTCGAAGACAATTGGCTCATTTATGAAATGTTCAACACCGAATTGGACGCAATGGCTCAAGAGGAATGGATCGTATTCAGAAGTAAAACGTACATTTTTGACGAATTCCTGCAACAATGGATGGAAAAACTGAAGGGAAGCTCACAGACGCACATGAGCGTGCGGCTTCTGAAGGATGTGGAGCACTTCAAGGAAGTGAGCAGCGCTCTCAAGTTCTGTCGAGGAGACGTTCTGAGTGCGGATCATTGGCACGAAATGTTCCGCTTCTTAGGATTACCTAGGTATTCTTTATGAACTACATTGGATTTTGGATTTTATTCTTTCAGGGGATCAACAATTGAGAAGCTGAAGTTTGCCGATTTGTTGAGTGTTTCAAATAATATCATGGAAAATGTGGAGCAGTTGAAACAGTTGAACTCTCGTGCACAAGGAGAGGTGGCCATCAGAGACGCCATCCAGGAACTGACCCTTTGGGCGGCACAAACTGAATTCACCCTCGTGGACTACAAACATTCGAACGGTCAGAATCTGAAAATAATCAAAGAATGGAAGGAATCCATCAATTCGGTAAGAGTTTTGAACATTCCTCGATTACAGTATTCTGTTTCAGCTGAAAGACAGTCAGGCTTTGCTGCAATCTCTCAAATCCTCTCCTTACTATTCTCAATTCTCCGATAAAACTGCAGTTTGGGAGACGCGGCTCGCCGATTTGGATGTCTTTCTGGCGCAAATGAATGAGATCCAACGCAAGTGGATCTACTTGGAGCCGATTTTCGGAAGGGGTGCGCTGCCCTCGGAAGCTCCTCGATTCTCTCGGGTCGATTCCGAGTACAGGGCGATTCTGAACGGTGAGAATGGAGTTGAGTAGTTTTGAAATAAATGTGAATTCTCATCAGATGTGTCAAAGGATGCTCGATTGGTTTCTCTGTGCAGCAGACAGTCTTTGAGGAAATCACTCGAGCAGATCGTAGATCAATTGAACCGATGCCAGAAGGCGTTGAATCAGTTTCTAGAGCAGAAAAGAACAGCCTTCCCTCGTTTCTACTTCATTGGTGACGACGATCTTTTGGAAATCCTGGGACAATCTACTAACCCGCAAGTAATCCAATCGCACATGAAGAAGCTGTTCCAGGGGATCAATCGAGTCGTCTTCTCGTCCACCGGAGAGACTATCATCTCGATGGTTTCCGCCGAGGGAGAGACTGTTTCCCTCTCGAAAGCGGTCAGGATTGTCCCTCAGGTCGAGACGTGGCTGCAACAGTTGTCGGATGAAATGCGAAAGACTCTGAGGGAACTGGCGGCTCAGGCTGTCTCCGATCCTCAGGCATCTCTCGCAAAGTACCCATCGCAGGTGCTTTGTCTGGCAGAAGAGGTCAAATTCACCATCTCTGTCGAATCGGTTTTGAATGGATCCAGTACCCTGAACTCGTTGAAATCTCAACTTGTGGATAAGCTGAAGACGTACACAAACATGAAAGTGGAGGACAAAGTGGCCGATTTGAAGCTGAAGTCGTTGATTCTCGATCTGATTCATCACATTGACGTCGTCGATCAGTTGACGGCGAACAAGGCGAACTCGGTGTCCTGTTGGACGTGGCAACGGCAGCTCCGATTCTATCTCGTCAACGGAGGAATCGTGCTTCGACAGGTGTCTAGCGAGTTCGAGTACACCTACGAGTACCAGGGAAACTATGCGAAACTGGTGCATACGCCACTCACCGACAAGTGCTATCTCACGTTGACGCAAGGTAAGAGAAAAGGAAGAAGAAGAGACAAGTCTATCGGGACTTTTTCAGCCATGTACATGGGATTGGGAGGCAATCCGTACGGACCGGCAGGAACCGGAAAGACAGAGTCCGTGAAGGCGTTGGCCGCTCTCATGGGACGACAAGTGCTCGTCTTCAACTGTGACGAAGGAATAGATGTCACTTCGATGGGAAGAATATTCACGGGAATCGTAGAGTGCGGAGCATGGGGATGTTTCGATGAGTTCAACCGATTGGATTCCGTAGGGGGATACGCTTCGGAATAATTACTGAACAACTGTGATTTCAGACTGTACTCTCGGCGGTTTCAATGCAGATTCAGACAATTCAAGGGGCAATCAAGTCTCGGGCCGGTTCCTGCGCATTCGGAGGAAAAACGGTATGTTTGAAAGGCCTCCTCTATTACAAAGCCAGCATTTCAGGTGCAAGTGAACCCGAACAGTGCCATATTCGTTACCCTTAATCCCGCCGGAAAGGGGTACGGAGGACGGCAGAAGATGCCGGATAACCTGAAGCAGCTGTTCCGAGCAGTCGTCATGGGCCGTCCCGACAACGAACTCATCGCTTCCACCATCCTTTATTCGGAAGGATTCGTGGACGCGACTGCCCTCGCTCGCAAAATCGTTTCCGTCTTCCAACTCAGTCGTCAGATGCTCTCCAAACAGCAACACTATGATTGGGGACTCCGAGCTCTGAAAGTGGTACTAGGCGGATGCGGAGCTCTTCGCAGAGCACAGCCAAACAAAGGGGAAACTGAATTGGTCGTGCAGGCTCTTCTGCTGAACACACTTTCCAAACTGACATTCTCCGATTCGGAGCGCTTCAACTCACTTATCGATGACATATTTTCGAATGCGGATAAGGAAATGACAAAGTTCGTTGAGCTGGTGGAACCATTGGGAGCAGCGGCAAACGATATGGGCATCCATTTGGGAGAGAAGCAGATGGAGAAGGTATTTCAGCTGTACGAGCAAATGAGACAAAGGATTGGGGTGGTGGTGGTCGGAGCAGCTGGAAGCGGCAAGTCGACGATTTGGAAGGTGCTGCAGAGAGCACTCATCCTCTCGAAAACCTCATTGAAAGTGACACAATTTAATCCGAAAGGAGTGAACAGAAACAAACTGCTCGGAAATATGGACATGGACACGAGGGAATGGTCGGACGGAATCATCACGATGGCCGCGAGAGAAGTGATCAAGGATTCGTCCGTACATCACTGGATCGTCTGTGATGGAGACATTGATCCCGAGTGGGTGGAAGCACTAAATTCGGTGCTCGACGACAACAGATTGGTACGTTTCGCAAAGTTTCAAAGTACTCATTTGTGCTTTATTCAGCTGACAATGCCATCTGGAGAGCGAATCCAGTTCGGTTCGAATGTTAACTTTCTATTCGAAACGGACTCTCTTCAGTTTGCATCTCCTGCGACAGTATCCCGAATGGGAATGATTTATATAAGGTGATAGATAGATGCTTTTGGATCATAATATTCACTTGAATGTTTCAGTGAAGAAGATGTGACTCCGAAAGAAATTGTAGCAAGTTGGATGACCAAGAATGCAGAAGATCTTCACGAACAGATGAACTCTTGGGTTGAAGAGCATTTCTGGAAGTGCTACAGATGGGTACGAGCCAATCAAATACCTGGAATCACCAACTTTGCACTCCTCAAAAACGGCCTGACTCACTTGAAAGCGAGCAAAACGAGTGTGCACTTCTGCGTGCTTCTTTTCAACGGATTCGTTCCCTATGTGCTCCCGGAGAAACGGATCGAGTTTGCGAAAGGAGTCGCTTTCAGCGGAATGGCTCTTCCTGACGCGACGAACGTTTGCTACTCCGAGCGGATCGATGGAATCCAGACGTACGCGGACGACGTGTCACAATCAGTGAGCAAGGAAGAAGTGGAGAGGGAGGACTTGCGGCCATTCGTGCTCACGGCCGACGCACAGAGATATTCTGACATTGTAATCGAGTGAAGAAACATTGGTTGATGTGCAAGACATGGTTTACAGATCGCTTCGTGGTTCCGTCCGGAGAACCGTGAGAGTTTTCTCATCACGGGCACAAGTGGGTGCGGTAAGCAACAGCTTCTGAAGCATTGTTTCCGGAACGACCCGGACAGTCAACTGGCCACGCTCTACTGCTCCGCCCAATCCAGTTCTTCTCATTTGCTCTCGCTGATTCAGCAGAACTGTGTTCAGGCTAGCAACCCAACTGGAAGGGTTTGGAGGCCGAAGGACCGCCCGAATATGATTCTCTTTTTGAAAGGAATCAATTTGCCCGCTCCCGACAAGGTGAGATAATCCATTAGCTCTTTTGCAATCTGTTATCTTTAGTATGGTACGAATGAGTTACTCGCTCTGCTCCAGCAATTGCTCACTTATCAGGGATTCTTCGACCACAACCTCGAGTGGGTTTCCATCGAAAACATTCAATTCGTCGGTTCGATGAACCCCCTCGGCGACGGTTCCACTTCCATTCCCAACCGACTGCTCTCTCTCCTCCGATGCGTCAGTCTGAACACAACCGACACTTCGCAGCTCACCTCCATATACCGTACCTATCTGACTCCGATCCTTGAAGAAGCGGGAGAACGCAATTCGGAGGTGGTTGCCAGTCGGATGGTCGACATCTACAACAAGGTTCAGACGAACTTCCGCCCCTCGGATAACATTATCTTCTCTTTCTCTCCACGAGACCTCACCAATTGGACAGTTGCAATTCTTCGCCATCAACTCGACGCCGGCCAGTTGGATTCTGCGATTAGTTTCGAAGCGAAGAGGATATTCGCAGACAGATTGCCAACTGAAAATGACAAAAACACGTTTGATGAGATACTTCGGAATGCGATTCCACTCTCCCAATCCAACGGTATCACTGCTACAGCAACGGTGCACAGCGAAATAAACATTTCAGATAAAGTGTTCGTGACGACTGGCTCCATTGTTCCTGGTGAGAGCAACACGGGACTGCCGCTCACCTCTATCAACATGTCCGATTTCACTCAACTCCTCTCCAAATCCATCAACCGATTCAGTACGTTCCGACCCCACAAACTAACCAAAATAGCATTATGTTCAGCATTCGAAGTGGCCAATTTCAATTCTCCGCTTACCAGTCAACTCGCGTTCTTCTGCGCGTGCATCGATCGAGTGCTCACTTGCCCGGACGGCCACCTCTTTCTTCCCGGACGCACTGGATTCGGACGAAGAGACGCCGTCCGACTCATCGCTCACATGCACAATATTACAGTTTTCTCTCCCGCCGTCACTGCCAACTTCACCGCGAAACAGTTTGACAACGAACTGAAAGCTGTAAGAATATGCAGAGATTATCATTAGACCATTGTGGACATTGTTCAGGCGTTGACTCATGCCGTGACGAACAACGAGCACGTCGTTCTGATTCTGGAAGACCATCAAGTGAGGAAGAATACATTCCTGCAAGCCATCAATTCCCTTCTGGCCAGCGGGCACGTTCCCGGTCTCTTCACCCAACAGGAACTCGATGGACTCGTCGCTCTCGTTTCCGAAGCCGCCAATCAGGCATCGTTTACGGGAGCTCTTCAACAGTTTTTGGCTCACAGTTTGTTTCCTGTTCTCATCAAATCAAATCAATGTTTTGTTCCAGGAATCAGAAGTCTCGTTCATGTTGCTCTGATTCTCGAGGTCGAAGCGAGCGATTTCAAATTGAATATCACGGAGAATCCAGCCATTCTGAAGCATTGCAATGTGATCTTTGCTGACAGATTCGATCGGAATAGCGTTTTGGAAGTGAGAAAACTTATCATGATTCCTATTGCTATTCTCCTTTTTCCTCATCAGATTCCCAAAATACTTCTGGAGGAGAAGGGAGTGAAAACGAGCGATGCGGTGCTTTCCGGATTCAGTGACGTGCTCGTGAACCTGCCCGATCATCTGTCCATTCAGCCGATCAAGTTCCGACAGTTTGTGGAGAACTTCTCACAACTTCTCGGATACAAACGGTCCACGCTTTCCGTAAGGCTGGAAAGACTTCAAGTAAACTGTTAAATAATCATAAATGTAATTAATTATCTGATTGACTAGGGTGGTGTTTCGAAGCTGAACGAAGCCAAGGAGGAGGTGGCTAAGATGCAGAAGAAGGCGGGAAAGAAGAGCAAATTGCTGGCGGAGAAGCAGGCAGAAGCCGACGAAGCATTGAAAGCGATCACTGAGAGTATGAGTGTGAGTGATGAGAATGAGAAGGAAACGATTTGAGAGAAGACGTTCAGGGAGCCGAGGATCAGAAGGTATCGATGGAACAGCTGAAGGCGGAAACGGAAAAGGAAAATGTTCGGATCGAGGAGCAAAAAGCGAAAATAGACGCGCAATTGAAAGAGGTGCAGCCGTTGATCGACGAAGCACGGAGGGCAGTCGGCTCAATCAAATCGGAGTCGTTGAGTGAGATCAGAAGTCTGCGTGCTCCACCAGAAGCCGTCCGGGATATTCTGCAAGCAGTTCTGCTCTTTATGGGTATACTTGACACATCGTGGGAAGCTATGAGAAAGTGAGAAAACTATTCAGATTGTGAAATAATTGAGATTCAGATTCCTCTCAAAAGGTGGAGTAAAGGAAGACATAATGAACTTTGACGCGAATCGAATAACAAATGACATTCATAAAAAAGTGACGGCGCTGGTCAAACAGAAGTCGAATTCCTTTGAAGAAGCGGTGAGAGTCTGAAGGCGAGACCATCTTTTAAATCCACCGATTGTAGAATGCAAAGAGAGCGTCTGCTGCAGCTGCCCCGTTGGCAGCTTGGGTCAAAGCGAATCTGGAATATTCGAAAATTCTGGAAAAGATTTCTCCGTTGGAAGGAGAGAAGAACAAACTGATCAAGTGAGAATACGCGCGCTCGAGCACAGACAGACAACTTTGCTTTCAGGAATCTGAAAAAGGCGGAAAAGCAAATGGAAAATCTATCGAAAGGGCTACAAAGTGTGGATGAAGTCGTCGGGGAACTGAAGAGAAAGTTCGAGGTTCTGATGAAGGAAGCGACACAAATCAAAGTGGATCTGGACAGGGAACAGGAAACGATTCGGATTGCGGGCACTCTCGTGGAGAGCCTTTCCGGAGAGTTCGAGAGATGGAAAGTGCAGATTGAATCATTGAGAGAAGAACAGTCAAAGGTAGATCAAGACGAGTAGAGTAAGAACGGAAAAGGGTTTTCAGATGGAACTGTGCTCTCTTGTCACCTCTGCATTCGTTACCTATTTGGGAGGATGCAGTGAAAAGGACAGAAAGGCCCTTCTGAAAGCAATGTGCAAGATGTTCAACATGCCCAATTTCAAGCCCCTTTCGTTCGCTTCTCTGGAGACGGAGCAGTTGAACTGGAAGACAAAGGGCTTGCCGGCCGATCAGCTGTCCCTCGAGAACGGAATGATCATGTTCAACAATGCCCACGTTTCTCTGATCATCGATCCTTCCGGTCAAGTTTCCGCGTTTCTGAGCAAGTTCCTCGACAAGTCGGAAACTTTGAAAGCGGCTCAAGCGGATCTGATGACCCAGATTGAGTTGGCCATCCGATTCGGCAAGACTATCATCGTTGACGACGTGGTCGAGTTTGATTCGGCGCTAATTCCGATTCTGAGACGAGATCTTTCTTCTCAAGGACCACGACAAGTTATCAGTTTCGGAGGAAAACAGATCGATTTCAATCCAGACTTCCGCATATTCATCTGCACGCGCGATGACAAAGTGCAAATCCGTCCGAATGCGGCGAATCAGCTGAACATCGTCAATTTCACCACCACAATCAGCGCTCTCTCTGCACAACTTCTCGACGTGGCCATTCATTTGGAGAAACCGGAACTCGAGGAACGGTCCAGTAGCCTTTTGAGAGATGCAGAATTGAAGAAATTGGAACTGGAAGAGCTCGAGCAACTGCTGCTCCAACAACTCGCTTCTTCTCAGGGAAACCTTTTGGAGAATACCGCACTGCTGGATTCGTTGAACAAATCGAAAGAGAACGCGGAAATCATAAGCAAGAGCATTGCGGAAAGCGAGCAGCTGCACAAAGAACTGACTACGGTAGATGAGCAACTGATTCGCCTTCTTAACTTGAACGTTTGTGGTTTCAGCAAAAAGAGATCTACGTGCCGTTGAGTCTGTTCACTTCCAGCCTATTTTTCTCATTCTCAAATCTACAGTACTACAATCCAATGTACAATTACAGTGTGAATACTATCATGAGACTATTCGAGAAGACTATCAAGTCCTGTGAAGTAGGCCCTCCCTCCCTCCTTCCATTTCCATTCCATTTCCATTCCAACTTCTTCCAGGACAAGTCGTCGACTCGCGTGGAGACTCTCGCCCGTCAGATGCAACTGACAGTCTTCTTCCACGTTTCCAGAGGCATCTTCCGCCAGGATCGGCTCATGTTCGCAGTCGCTTTCATCAATGCGACAATGCCGAAAATGTTCCAACCGAAAGAGTGGGAACTCTTCACCGGAGTGCTCGTCGACGAATCCGCGGATCCGAGCGGCATCCGCGTGTCCTGGCTCTCTCCGGAACGGCTTCCGGCTCTCGTTCGCATCCGCACTCATCTTCCGAGTCTCTTCAACAACCTCCAGATTCATGACGATGCCACGTGGAATGAGTTTTCGAAGACCATGCAATGCGAAAACGCGTTCCCGAAGAATGTGGAAGTAAAATTGACACATTTCCAGCAGGTTCTCTTCATTCAAGCGGCGAAACCAGACAGACTTTACAATTGTCTCATGGGCTTTGTGCTCAAAACTCTAAGTGAGCAACCTTCTGTTTCATTCGAACTCATTCTAATATTCAGACATTCCTTCCATCAATCCTCCTGCTTTCGAGCTCAAACACATATTCGCAGAGAGCGAGGCCAGTGAGCCTGTTCTGTTCATTCTTGCGGACGGAGCAGATCCTTCGCAAGAGCTCGCCGAGCTGGCCGCCGCTGTTAACGTTCCTTACCATTCGATTTCGATGGGACAAGGACAGGAAGTGGTTGCGTACGAGGCAATAAGGGACTGTGCTTCGAAGGGAGAATGGCTCTGCCTCAACAATTTGCATCTGATGCTCACCGCCGTTCCTTCCATCTTCAAGGTTTGCTCCTTCACTCTCTTTCTCTCTATTCTCTCATTTCAGCATCTATCCTTGACCACTCCACACGAGAACTTCCGTCTGTGGCTGACCACTGAAGCGGACGCCCGATTCCCGTCCATGATGCTGCAACAATCGCTCAAGATCACGTTCGAGCCTCCTCCGGGAGTCCGGAACAATCTTCTCCGAACCTATACTCAAATAGACCGAAAGTCCAGAAACATCGTGACGTGCCAGTCGATATTCGTTCTCGCTTGGCTCCACGCTCTTCTGCAGGAGAGAAGAACGTTCATTCCGCAAGGATGGACAAAGTTCTACGAGTTCGGAGCGAGCGACGTTCGAGTGGCACGTGCATTTGTGGAGCAGTTGACAGCCTCGAGTAGGGGGGAATGAACAGGCGCTAATCAAAGAATAACATTCTCAGATGCCGATTGGGAATTCGTCCGCGGAATTCTGAAATTCGTGATCTACGGAGGACGCATCGAGAACGATTTCGACGCGAAAGTGCTCGATTCGTATCTGAATATTCTGTTCTGTGATGAGAAAATAAACGGAAAAGCGGGACAGCATTTGGTGAAAGGCATCGAGATCCCGGCGAGTGGAAATGTTGAGGTGAGGAAGAGTTTATTGTTGGGAAGGGCAACTCTGATGACAGGAATACGTGGCACACATCTCGAAAAGCGTCCCTTCAGTCGATGAGCCATTCCTGTTTGGACTGCCCGAAAATATCAAGTACTCGTGGCAGATCGTCGAAGCGGAGAGGACGATTTCTTCGATCAGAACACTTGGTGAGCCGCAGGTTTCTACATACTTTCGCATTACTCAATCTTTTTCCAGCTCTTGGTGACACGAAGAACGCGCTCTCCGACTCGTCGGAAACGGTGAACCAGATCCTGTCCCTCTGGAAAAAGCTGTGCCAATCGGACGATCTTCCGAAAAGGCAGCTGCCCACGGCCGCTGCTTCTACCGATCCGATTGCCGAAGTGCTGTGTCTTGAGACGATCAACGCTCTCAATCTGATCAAATTTGTTCATCGGAGCATTGCCCTCGTGGCCCGTTCGTTGAAAAACCCCTCGCTCGCGGCACCGTCTACCCAGAAAACTATCCAGTCGCTGATCTTCCAGCAGACTCCGGATGAATGGGATTCTGCGTGGGCGGGGCCTTCCGATCCAGCAGAATACCTCAACGCGTTGGTCAAGAAGACACGTGGCACTATGCAGGTTGGCCCCTTTCTTCCTCTTCCCTCTCATTGCCCCCACTTTCAGCTGCTCGAGTCCTCCAAGTCCTCCTCCTCCTCGTTCCTTTCCTCTCCGATCGACTTCTCCGATCTGTTCTACCCGAACATCTTTCTGAATGCCCTCCGTCAGACGACGTCCCGTCTCCTCCGGATTCCCCTCGACCAATTGAGCCTCTCTTCCGCGTGGACCCCCTCCCAATTGCCCGCCAAACAGTGCGTTCAAGTGCAGGGACTGCTCCTCCAGGGAGCCACATTCGACTCTTTCCTCCGCGAAACTACCGTATCCAGCGCCGCCCACGCTCAGGCGCCACTACTTTATCTGGCCTGGACGGCCGAGAACTCATCGACAGTCAGCGGGGAACAGATCCAAGTGCCGTTGTACAATTCGAGCGACCGTTCCGACCTAATCAGCCCGGTGAATATGCCTTGTCGCGGCGCCGACAATTGGAACATTGCAGCTGTCGCTCTGTTTTTGAAATAACCATCTAAACATAATAAACATTTAAACATAATACACAACGATCAGCTCGCTCCCTCTTCGTGTTCTTCTCTCTCCGAGAGGGACTGACCTTCACGGATCCACTCTGCCGGTAGCCTGTTTGTGAGTAACCCAGGCAGAAAGATCCGATGACAGCTCACGGTGTCGATCAGTCTTTCTCAAATGTGCCCAATAAAGCCGACGATTACCGAAAATTTGGTTTTCACGCTTTTCGAGTCCCGCCCACGAAACCTCAGTTGTCGTATTTGGGTCGTGGTGGTCCACATTGCATTCATTTTTCATTTCTGAAACAAAAATCTATCTGCGTCTCTTCTTTTTCGCAAGATATCCGTCACTCGACTCGACAATCGTCGGCGTAACGATCTGCACCTCATTTGCCCTCAATACTCAGGGACTCCTCACTGGTCCGATTGACCAGTAGGTGTACAAAATCTGACGATCACATTAGTACTTTTACTATTTGAGACTAGCGAATCACGTGAACTTTTTGTTAAAACTGTTCTGAAGGGCAACCCAGCTCACACCAAATTGAACATGTGTTTTTAGTTGCACGAATTATTTCCTTCTCCGGCGCAACCATGAATAACAGTAATGTAACTCCAAAAGCTTTAATGACAGTACTCTACACGAATACTGTAAGTCTGAAAAACAGGTTTTCTCAATCCTGGCCAGAAAATGCTCCAGACAACCCACCCGCTCCAGTTGTACTTCAACAACAAGTGCGCCTACTTTTACTACAACAATTGGGCCCTGATGATGTGGGTGACGGCATCCGTCTTCTGTTTTCTGGCGTTAGTCTCCACAATCTGGACCATCTATCAGGCCCACCAGTTGTGGAGCACTTTTGAGGAGCTCGAGCACTCTCTTATCGATTTTATTGACGAGGTTTGTCCATTTTTCAAACATTCAGATGATCTGGAAAGTTTTGATACCCATATTGCTCTAGTTTCGACACTTTTGGTTTTGAGCTCATGAATAGTTCAATCGCTTTTAGACGTGCCAAATCCTCCTGCCGCTCGGGATCTGCAAGCAAATCTGTCATCCGCATCACATCGGAAACCTCAACGCCAACTACCCGTCGCACGGTCAAAAATCCGATTTCAAACCGGGAAAAAAAGAAAATCGCTATCCCGAAGACGTCACTTTTCCGCCGTCCGACATTGAACGCGTCTATGACGTCATGGGAGGTTGGGGAACCGAAATTTTTAACGGAAATCTACAATATTTCTTTGCTTTTGAGACGAAGAAGCCCGAAAATCGCGCATTGATGAGCTGAGAAGCGCCGAATCGATGTCGCAGAGCATAAAGGAGAAGCCGAAAGAGTCGGAGCCCGTGAAACTGACGCCGTCTCGGGAACTCCAACTCCAGGCAACACCCACGCAGAGCCGTGAGCAAGTGAATGTGCTCAGCAGAGAGCCACACAGTGATAAGGTAGATTTACGACTGAAAATCTGAAAATAAAAGGGAGAACTGACGAAATTTGACAATGTTCCAGAAAAAGCCGTCGAGCAGAGGCACCCAAAAAGCCACGTCGACACCGAAACATTCGACCGAAACACCCAACAGAACTCCTTCGAGGGAAAAATTCAAGAGCCGAGAAGCTGTGACGCCAAGAGAGGGAATGAGCAGAGAGAATCTGAACGAAAAAGTTGGTTTGAAGAGAAAACATTATTCCCGAAATTTCCAAAAAAACATTTCAAACCTTAACAAAATCGTGCAGAAAAATCAGAACGTTGTTTGAAAGTGGAATAATCGTTTTTCCAGAAAAATGCAAAAATGTCGACGGAAGCGTTCAAGAGCCGTGAGCCGAGCCGAGAGAGTGCGAATCCTAAGTCGATCGAAAACAGAAAAAGTGTGGCGAACGAGAAGGCGTCCTTGGAGTCGACCGGCGCCGGAAGAGCACTGAGCAAGGAGAGCGTCGAATCTACGCAGCAAAACAATAATACTGGAAACTAGTCATTTTTGTGGATTTGTTTAGAATGAGTATCGTATTTTTGGTTCGGTTATTCTCGGTTATTTTGCATTGTTGTGGGTCTACAGGGGTCTAACTCAGCTTGCTGCCTCTTCGTGTTTTTCTCTCTCCGATAGGGACTGACCTTCACGGATCCACTCTGCCGGTAGCCTGTATGTGAGTAACCCAGGCAGAAAGATCCGATGACAGCTCACGGTGTCGATCAGCCTGTTTCCAGTTCCGATTCCCGTCTTCGTCGTCGTTTTCGAATGTGCGAAGTAAAGCCGACGATTATTTAAATGACTTCCAGAATAATTTCCAGTCTTTTTGAAGCACTTCCCAGAAATAATATTGATCACAATCAGTTCTTGTGAATTTTGGAGCTGCCTTTATTTTAAAAATTCAAACAAGCGGTGAAGCCGCTTTCGAGCGTAAGCTCGGACCGCGCAGCGGGCCTAGTTTTAAAGGGTCTTGTAAAATTCATTTGATTTGAAGGTAAATTAGAATACGAATGAAATTAGGGGTTTTAATAATTTGTATGAGAGAAGTTGGTTGATATCCACAGAAAGCGATTTTTCGATATTCGATTCGTTGTTCAGTTCTCCATGCCCTCCTCCTCTTCGATCGTCTGCTCACGCTTCTTTTGCATCGAAGTCGGGCTCATAAACGTGTTGGTCGTGTCCAGAAGACTGTCTCGTCTGACGAACGAAGTGACGCGTCTCTTCTTTTTCGCGAGATATCCGTCATTCGACTCGACACTCTCGTCCGCGTTATCCGACACGATCAGCAACGTCTCCGGCTCTGGGGGCGAGTTCAATTCATCCTGGCGCGGGTAAGAGGGAACAACGCGCTCGGGAACGTTTTCTGAAAAAAGATTAGTCAGGATGAAACGCAGTTTCAAACGTTTCTACAATTTGAATAGCACCCACCTGTTGGATTGACGTGATGAAGACTGACTCGACTGAGGACGTCTTCCGCCTCTTGAATGCAAACCGTCGAGGCCTCTTCGGTTCCGTTAAGTACGGTTTTCTGGAAATTTACAACTTAGCAAATGAGAACCTCCCTGTTATTACCATCTTTTCGCCGCTTTCATTGACACTCGCATAGATTTTCTCACCGGCCTCCGAACACTTCTTGCCACACTCAGAGAGATTCTGGAACAACGAACTCAATGTGGTCATCGATTCGGAACGATTGGCTTCGGCATCACTGCAGAGGTCGGTCACGAGCTTCTGAAAACATGAACTGATTGGCAATTTCAGTTTAGCACTACTATACCGTCAGCCTATTCTCATTCTCGACCGCTGCTCTTCCCGCTGACTTAACAGTCTCGTCAAAGTCGGCATCGATGGTCTTGAGAGCTTCGTCGACTTTGCCGCTCGTTTCAGTCGCATCACACTGCTCTTCGACAATGTCTTCGACTGATTGAACCAAGGTTTCAACAGTATTCAAATCGGAGAGAATCTTGCTCTCGGCGACTTGATCCGCAACGACTTGTCTGGAAAAAAACATTCCGATCACAAATTGTGTATATAATACTGCCTACTCTTCGTGATCCTTCTCCACACGCAATGCCAACTGTTCGAATTGAATGAGCATTTTCTTCATGTTCTCAGCCATTTTCGAGTACGTGTCTTTCACAAAGTCCACAGTTTCTTTGCTTTTCTCAGTGCGCTCCTCGACATTCTCGCAGACTGTTCCGCGAATTTCGGTGAGAAGTGGTCGAACGTCATCAGCGAAGGCGGCAACTTGCCGCTTGACCTCGTCGAGCCTTTCCAAGAGCTCTGTTTTGAGCGCATCCGAGTTTTCAGAATATCCTTTGTAGTAACGAGTAACAGTCTTCTGAACAAGACAAATTTGAAAGAGAGCAGAATGAATATACTCACAAGAGCGGTCTCCCATTCCGCACGAATGTCTGTAGACTTTCCAGTCACTTTTTCTGAGGCACTCTTCTCGATGGCTGCTGCATTTTTGAAACAGATCGTGGAAACATCTTCCAGTGTTTGCCTTTTTGATCCGATTTCCTCGGAAAGCGTGTCGAGCTCTTCACATGCAGGCTGTATTTCGTCGACCAACTCCTCCACCACAGCGGTCGCGTCTACTTTCATAGACTCGGTCTGCTCTGTCATTTTGACGACGAACGCGTTCATCTGCAAAACAAAAATTGCTCAACTAGAAACTTTCATTTAAAAAAAAACCTTCGTCATGAACACTTCCACTGTACTTTTATTAGTGTCATCTGCTTTTTTCATCTCGTCAACCTTTTTCCAGAATGCTCTCAAATCCGTCACCATTTCTTCGGCGGCGTCGTGAGTCTTCAGGAGTTGGTCGAACGATTTCAGTGAGGCGGTGTGCATCTGCCCGAGAGCTTCCATATAGTTCGAGAGCTCGTCTTTTGTGTCTGCCAACTCCTTCTCCTTTTCGGCCATTTCACGGAGACGTTCTCTCAGTCTGTCTTCCAGTGCGCCCTTTCGTTCGTATAACTGCTTGTACTGCTCGTCCATGTGCATCAGATCTTCTGTGAAGCGGCGAAGACGATCCACAACATAGTCCAGCTGCTGCTCCAGTTCGTACACTTTCTCCGTATTTCGTTGGAACTCCTCATGCGATTCTTCGCTGATGATAACTCCGTTTTTCTCTCGGGCAGCCCGAAGATCCCGCCGCAGCTTCTCGATTTCATCGGAATATTCCTTGAGAATCGTTTTCTTGGAAACTTTCGTGTTACACACTGGTTTGTTCTTGATGTTCGCCGCCCGCATCGCATATTCCAGAGTGCTTTGACCCTCTTCGAAATTCGAACTCGACGGAGACATCGTAGCGATCAGAGATGTGATCGTCGATCCACCAAGACTGTCCTGCAGAAGACGAGTCAGTTTCGACTCTCTGTACGGAATATGCTGGGCGCTTGTGGTGAGAGAGCGAATGACTCTTCCGAGAGTCAAAAGGGACTGATTGATCGAGCCAGCCTCCTTCGCGCGGTTTCCTTGGGCTCCAGACCGTCCGATATTCTCTGAACCGGCCAAATCCACAAGATTCAGTTTTCCCTGTTTGACCAGTTCTTCTCCAGTGTGCGTGTTCTCCCGGACGACTACGTTGACCATGAACAGACTGTGCGATCTGCTGCTGTGCATATTCATTAGCGTGGCCGCCGTTCTTCTCTTTTCTGCTCCGATCTCGAGAAGCTTGAAGACATCTGCCCGATTGCGAACAGGCACTTCTTCGACGCCAGAGACGATGACCCCTTTCTTGTTGGGATCGTCGAAAATGCGGAGACGTTCGCGGTCGTCGGAGTCGGCAGAAGCGAGCAGATCGAACAGCTCTTCGTTGTACAACTCTACATAGCTGACACGGAGCGAATATTCCTCACAACCCAATGTTTCCAACTGTTCGAAAATGTCCTCAACTGCTCTCGGAATGATTCCAGTTGTCGGGTCGTCGTGGGAGCTCTTCACGTCCGTTCTGCCTCCTTCCATCGTGAAAGTCTTTCCGGTTCCAGTTTGTCCATACCTGAAATCGATCTGTTCGAAGTTAACAAAAGTAACAGTTTCAACTCACGCAAACACGGTGCAATTGAATCCGGCGATCACTTTTTTGATCTGCGATGAAACCAGATCCTCGTAAATATCCGATTGAGTCGTGTCAGCGTCGTATACGCGAAAGAATGGCCCAAACGATTTTCCTTTCAGGCTCACTGTCATTTTGGATTTCTCCACTTTCACAATGTTCGAGCATTTTTCGCTTCTTTCCGTTCCATTCATTGGTCTGAAAAGATAAGTGAATGCATAATGGGGTCAGTTTTTTGAATACCATACCTGACGCGGACCGCCACTCGTAAGTGGGACGTCGCCTCGGAGACTTTCTTCTTCGTTGACATCGTGATATCTGTCTGTAAACAGGAAAATGACCAATTGCTAAATAACTAGAATGTTGAATAGACATGCACACAACGCCAGTTGCGTTCGTATTCACACGTTTCGCGCCGTTTTACAGCGGAGCGCACTTGCATCGACCCCAGAGGGGGCCTTTTTCAGCGACCGCGGTGTTTCGAATATCAACCATTCACTCACCATGTTCAACGACATGATCCCAGTTTGAAATGGGCGTGCTTGAAACGAAAGTTTATAGTTCACGTAGAATTGCTGGAACTGTAAAATAAAGAAACGATGGGAATAGTACAGAAAAGAGAAAACTGTCAGTGAGAAATAATGGCATTGGGAGGTTTTATGAAGAGTGGAGGCGCAAAAGTTGAAAAAGCCAAATCAACAATATAATAGAAGTGCCTGGAATGAAATGGACTGAATTGCTTTCGAATGATTTTAAAAAAGAGAAGCACTGTAATAACAAGACGGAAATACAAAGCTGGGGCACAAAGGTGGGGCACAAAATAGTATATTTTAAAAATATGAATGCTGTTTGAAATCTGAAACTCGCGCCATTTTTTTTAACGAAAATTGTTAAAACTACGGTGAGAGCACGGGTCTCAAAACGAAATACTTCTTTTTAGCGCTGTGCCTTTAAACTAGCGAGGTATTACGGTAGCACTCACATGTTAACTTTGTCTGTTTTTTTTAAACAGTTTTTTCCGACAATTGTTTTCTTGTTTTTTTACAACAAAAAAAATGAAAACGATTTTCAAAAAATGATTGTTTATTTTATCAGATTTTATTCAGAAATGTGCTCATTTTCAGAATCGCCAGCGGTGCAGCGATGGTGCTGAGTGTTAACATTCCGTTGAAGCCGTCGGAAGAAGCAGTGGTTAAATTCCTGCTGTATGAAATACTTTTCATATAAAATTCATGTAAACCTTGCAGAGGCTTGGTTTTCGGCTCAAAAAAGACGCAAGGAACGCAGTCGAATCGTAGAGAATGCTTGCGCCACGACGTTTTCGGTGCGAGGTTAGCATTTGAGCCCTCCGAAATATATGATTTTTCTATTCCAGCCAGTTGATACGAGCAATTTTGAAGAAGGACAAGAAGAACCGAAAATCGTGGATTGTCGTCTGCAATCTCGTTTACGGCAACACGATTGTTTTGAAACAACAAGTTGCTCGTCTGCTTTGTATGTTCGAAAAATCTCGAAAATTATTATTCTCCAAATATTATTATTCTAAAACAAAGTGGAAACCCAAATACCGAAAATACCGAATTCAGATGATGCGATCAGGGCAAAAGACATGGTTACTCTTTCGAATTACATTACTGAGGAGGAGGAAAGAAAGCGTAAAACGCGAGAGTTGATCGAGGAAGCCATTCGTGACGAGAAGACTCCAAAAAAAAAGAGAAGATCGAAGGCGATGGAAAGGGATGACGATTATTTGATAACGACTCCCATGCCTGCGGTTGCTCTTCATTTTGAATTACCTTCGACTAAGCTATCCATTTTCAGATGCAAGCGCTGAAACAGAACATCACGATGGCGGACGTCGTCTCGAGTGCTCACAAGGTCGACAATCCATGGACGGGCGACGAGCTAGCTCCAGTGACTGATGAGCAGTACGACATGCTGTATAATATGCTCGAAGACAGCGATGGACGCCTCTCCTTTACGAACAGGTAGATAAGGGTGGAGTCTATATTAAAGCTATTTGTGTCTGGTTCAGAACATTCATCGATCGATATAGTTCAAACACGGCCCCAGAAAACGTTCTGAACGTGGGCATGGATATGGAACTGGACAGACCGACATACGACAATATTCAGGAATTGTATAATACCCCGAGGAAGGAGAATCAAATCGAGAGTGTCCGAGATCGTTTCAATGAGAACAGTATGATGCACGAGGAAATGTTCGATCACAATCCACAGCTAGCAGATATTCTCCGTTTTGGACTAATTCCGATTCTTTCTAATGAAGGTCAAAAAATAAGTTTGGATGAAGAAATGGAAAGCGCCAGACACCGCGCCATTGTGGGTTCACCTGAAAATCGTCTCAACAAAGTATCTATTTCAGGACACTGACTTGCAGATAGACAGTAGTCAGCCGAGGATGGAGGTGCCACGGCTTGCCTCAGAGCAGGTACTGTCATTGGCGTTAACCTAACTGTCAGACATTGGTTTTTTAGATATCGTTGCTTTCTGACGCTCAAGTTGTCATTCCTAAAAAACAAAGAGCATCGCGTACCCCGGCGAAAAATCAAAAAGATTCAGAAGAGCAAGACGTTGTCGGTCACATGATTTCACTGGTGGGAGAAAGCACGGCTTTGTTCGATAATTGGTCTGATTACAGAAGAGCATGCACCGTATGATGGAAGACTTCTCGAGTCTTCATTATTCGGACACGAAGCACTTCCTGCAAAAACCAAAAAAGTTCATGAGTGTGAAGCAGCTGCTGGATCTTGTTCCGTTCTTTCTGAGAGAGAACTGCGATACAAAACTATGGACAGTTTTTGATGGAAAACCGAAAAGACACGAGAAGGACTCAAGAAGCAATGTTTCGAACGAGTCCATGGTGAGCGAGCCGCCATCGAAAAGAAGTCGGCGGTCCGATTACGAGAATTTAAATCTGGAGCCTATCGACCTGTCGCAAATGAAAGTAATGATGACGCCTTTGAAAGAAAAGACTCCCGCGTTCGTGTTTTATCTCCTTCCATTCAATGTATTTCCATTTCCAGGTCGTCTCCAATTCATCGCTCGGAACTCGAACCCCTCGCTGAAGTGGAAACTGCGAGAAGAATGCAAGGTTTGCTCCCGTCCTGATTGACTTCATTACCTCTTTTTTCTAGAAGAGTTCAATTACGACGACGTGATTCGTAACCCGATATCACCGAGGTTCATTCCAATTTGTACTTTGTTATTCGATTAAAAAATTTTTCAGATTCAACGAACAACTGTCCGAGAACATGGACAATTCTGTCACTCCAAGGCAAATAACGGACGGCTCACACCGGCTCGGATCCGACGACAGATCGGCCGCTGTAATTCGTGAGAATCTTCTCGCGTAAGGGCAGCCATTTTTTTTCTCGGTCAATTGTTGCCAATTCAGAGAATGCCAGAAAGCAGCTCCGTACACGTTTAGTCTCGAATCTGTGTTCCGTCCGAATGTGTCCAGAAGAGAAGCCGCCAGAACATTCTATGTCACTCTGGGTTTGTATCAACAATATCTGGTGATATTCTTCGAATGTACGTTTCAGAACTTCTCAAAGAACGAGAACTAGTTGTGATGCAAAGAGAGCCGTTCGACACGATTGAGCTGCAAGTCGAACATGAGGATTCGGATGATATCGCGACGGTCGAAGCCTAGACGCATCTATTTCCATGTCATTTGTTACCCCTTTGACTTTTTGTTGACTGCTAACTGCTAGAAAGTTACTCCCCGTTGTTTAGTATTGTTTGTTCGCTGTGCAAATTCGGCCGCGTACGACGGAATTAAAACGGTGGGCCTATAATATCATCTGTAAAATTTTTTTGCTCGTTCTTTTTTTCAATTCAATTTCAGAATTTAATTGGACCCCTGTAAAAATGATCATGGTTACATTTTACTCTTTTTTCAAATAAACCCGGTTTTATTGAGTCTCCTCCGTACTAATTCACTGGGTCCTAGTAATTTAGCGAATCAGCCCTCTGAATATCTGTTCGCTAGTCCATTCTTTAATTACCCATTTCTACCGCCTTATTAGCCAAACGCCGTCTTACATCGATCGAGAGTCGCATACGCAGTTAGGCTCTAATTGGCACGCAATGCAAGCGCGCCCTACCGGCCGAATTCAAACGACGCAACGCGAAGTGTCTTCTCCAGTCCTCTTTCATGCCAATGCGTCCATTCGTTTCCATGACATTTTTACTCGTTTTTCGAAACTCCAACGTTTACTCATCGACTTGTGTTTCATTTTTCAGTTTTGGTCGCGACAATGCCACCTAAAAAGCGTCTCCGTGGTCCGAACCTTTCGGCCGTCGAAGAGGAAGAGTCGACGTCGCGACAAGCAACGAAGGCCGTCCAGAAGCCGAAAGAGAAGGTGACTGCGACTGGAAGAACGAGGGGAAGACCGACGGCGACGGAGAGGCAGAAGGAAAGTGCAAAGAAACAAGAGAAGCCGGTTCCGATGGAAGAGGAGTCGGAAGATGAGTCGAGTGATGATCAGAGAGAAGCGGAAGAATCAGTGGTGGTGTCGGAAGATCGGGTGGAGCATGACGACGAAGACGAGCAGGATCTCACCCGAGATGTGAGCCTGCTCGTGATCAGAGGACCAGACCCGGTGACTGAGTTTCAAACGATGAAAAAGAGCATAAGGTAGAGAAAGAGAGACCGAGTGGGAATGGGAAACTTTTTTTCTAAATTTCAGAAGAACTGTGGTTGAAGCGTTCCGGATGACTTTCCAATCAGCCGGAAACATCAACCAGGACATCAGCGTTTCCACGCAAAGAGTGGTCAGACTTTTCCAAAGAGTGAAAACTATGGTCAACCCTTCGGATCCTTCAAACGGAGAGAACCCATTGAGAGACGAGTTCTTCGCCGAAGTGGATATTCGTCTCACAATGATGCTCGACGAAGTGTCCGTCATCGAAAACCGTGCACGCGTTTTCAAAATGGTCGCTCTTTCGGCTGTCGAACTTTTGAACCACAAAGACGGAGGGGACAGCTCAATGCTTCATTTTTTGCTGAATTTCCTAGAAGAGGTACAGAGTTTAGAAAAAACTGAAGGGTATAAAATGTGTATTTTCAGTGGACTCACAGCACGAACGTGGCTGCTCGCATCAACACGTCCAGCTTTACAAGCTACTTGTTCGATACTGGAAGTGATAAACTGCCGAAGGAGTCGGGCACATTCTGCGGATTTCCGATCAAGGAGTCCGAGAGAATGTTCAGACTGCTGAAAAGAGGTGTTCAAGACAAAGAGTACCAAGCGAGAGTGTCGGCGATCCGCGGAATGGGTTTCCTTCAGGCGTACCCGGTCCCGTCCCAATGGAGCTCAGAAATGAGGGAGCAGTCTCCGAGAGAACGTCCGTTTTCCTCATCGTTCCCTTCCAACCCCGTTTTTTTCAGTGCTCATGAGATCGTTCCTCGACCAGGCCTGGGAGTGCAGACTCGTTGCGGTTCAGTCATTGAATCCGAAGGAGAGCGACACGCAAATCCTCTCGGACATTGTTTACTACGATAAATGCCTGAAAGTTCGTACGACCGCACTCGGAAAGTTTGCGGGTATGAAACCGAACAAATATGTGAGGGAGAAGATAATGATGCTCGATTTGTGCTTGAAAGATCACGAAGGTAACAGGAGAGAGATTCAATTGAGAAATCTGAGAGTTTCGTTTTAGTTGCTGTCCGTGATGCCGCAAAGAATGTCTTGAAAGGCTGGGTGAAGAGGATTTCCGATGTCTGGGCATCGAGACTGAAAAAGAAGGAGGTCGAAGATGTGATCGGTTAGTGAAGAAGAATAATAACTGACGAATTCTTGGATTATTTCAGCCACTGATTTAAACTACGAACCAATTGAGGAAGTGAGGGCGAAGGGGTACGCGGCGTCCGGTCAGGCCATCGTTCTCCTCTGGCTCAGTGATTCCCCGGAGACTCCTGAGCATCATGTCATTCTCAAACGGCTCTGCAGTCATCTTTTCGACGTCGTCCGTCACATGTACTCGTGCCATCTGGAACCAGTGAACTCGTTCGCTGACATGATTATGACCGATTTGAAAGCAATCGAAGGCGTGTCGATTGTCACGAAAAGTTCCATTTCAACGATTCTGGAAGACAGTGAAATAAAATCAAGGTAGAATAGGAAGCAACGGCAGATCGAGCCATTTGCGTTTGTTTTCAGAACGGATGGGTTCACGAATCGGGCTAGCGTCTTCTTCTGGAGGTGCTTGGTTGAGTACATGTCGGAGAGAAAACGGAGCGAGGCCGACAAGGCTAGTGCTCTGATGAGATTCCTGTCTCCGTTGGGTACCATGGTCGATCACCTCAACTTGTAAGCTCGGACTAAGCTGTGCGGATTCTTAATATTAGAGTTTATAGAGTCTTGCAAAGAGTGAGGAATTTGGAGGACGAAGCTGACGACGACGAGATGTACACCCTTCAGATGTCGTTCGTCGAAAACTTCCTTCTCGTGATGAGGCATGCGCCGAGTGACCAGGCCGGTCTGGATGCGTACAAGAAGGCTCTGCTGAATATGCTTCTGAACATGTGCTACCAGAAGAAAGTTGTGGACCTTATCATCTTCGAACTGTCACAGTTCTACATCGACAGCCCGGAAGAGCTGTTCTCAATCATTTACTCGAAAGCAAACGAGGTCAGACGCAGCTTCAGAGGAGGACGCATTCCGCGATTGGAAGAGACCATTCTGATAGGAGAGGCAAGAATGCGCGCTGCGAATGGAGAGGAGCCGAACTCAAGAGGGCTCAAGAAGATTCCAGAGGACAAGGTGAGACACGATTCTGCAGAAATCAATCATAACTTATCTCACATTCAGGCGGAAATCCTCTTGGATCTGTATGAGCTAATTATGGTCAATTCAGCGTTGAAAGCGGGAATTCTGAAGAAGTGGCACGCAGAGTATGACCAGCGTTATCGTCTTCTGGTGAGTTAAGAATCTTCAATTCTCTGTAATCCGTGCATTCTTTTCCAGTTCGAGCGGTGCCTCCACGAATCCCGCCCCACCGACTTCCGCGTCTTGACCGTCGAGTGCATCGGTATCATCGCCATGTACGACTTGGACATGGCGGCGGATCGTCTCGCTGTGTTGGTGAAAGGCGTGAAATCTGACAGTGCGGAGGTGCAGGGAGCGGTTGTCGGAGTGATCGCAGACATTGTCGTCCACCACGGTGTCGATCAGGTCGAAGAACGCCTGGGATCGAATTACGACGTCGTCGATCTGCTCTGCGACTTCATAGTTCAGCCGGAAGTGGTAAGCTGGCCGAGACAGATAAAGAGTACAACTAATTGCTGATAGTTTTCAGACTCATCACCTTGACGTCATCTTCCGCTCAGTGGAGTCGCTGGCTAAGATCCTCCTCAACGTCAAGATCAACCCGGACAAATTGAAGTGGAGGAGAGCGGTGCTCTCCCTGATGTACCGAGCCGCCTTCCGGATCGCCAGCCCAATGGGCGCCAAAATAAGAAGTACCACCATAATGTTCCTGAAGTTCTTCTGTTCTCTGAAGAGGTTTGTTGTATTTTTCCCCCTACTTTAGTATTTTATAATCTTCGTTTTAGAATGCACCAGAGTTTGCTCATGAACACATTCGGCCGCTTCTTTGAAATGTGGTCGATGAATTCGTCGGAGAACCTCATGACACTGGACCCGTTGGACAAAATTTTAAAGTTGAAGAGATGCGCAGCTACATACGTGGCACTCACCCGGCACTCGACTCTGCCGATCGAGGAGCAACTGAAGGTGAGAAACCCGTCGAGCTCGCACCCAAATAATTTTTCCAGTATCAACCGGTGCATGTGGATTTTATGACGCGCGCTCTGTCAGACATCACAGCCTCTCCGGACAGCGTTCAGGCAGAGTACCTGGCGGTAGTTCTGCCGTTCCTCGAGTATGAGACGTTCAATCGTGCCTCCCTCAATCGCTTCTATGGAGATTTGGATTCGTACATCGGGGTATTACAGTAGACTCTCAGGACTGTTGTCAAAATAAAGTTTGCAGGTTCACGAAGAAGATTCCGATAAGGGACGCTATAACGAGTTGCGACGTATCCAGAAGAGAGTCGCAAAGCTGCTGGGAATTAACAAAAACGACGAAGAAGAAGAAATTCAGCGAGCTGCTGATGCTCGCAGAGCAGCAACGAAAGCGAAGAAGGCTGCTGCTGCCGCCGCCGCTGCCGCTGAAGATGATCATTCGGAGGAAGAATATAAAGACGTCGAAGAAGAAGAGGAAGAGGAAGAGGAAGAAGGTCCATCCACGTCGGCTCCAGTGACCAGAAGGGGCCGTCCTGCGAGAAATTTGGCTGCTTCTGCTACCAGAAAGAAGAAGGAAGCCGACCCGATGGAGCTGATGCAATCACCTACGAGAACCATGAAAAGTAAGAATGAGAGACGGACCAACAATGCGATCTCTTTTCCTTCAGGACCCCCATCTCGTCAGAACACTGCCTCTCGCCCGGCGCCTTCCACTTCTTCCACTCGAAGCGCTCCGCCTCGCAGTGCCCGCAAACTCCGCAGTGATAAATGAACGATATTTGTATCCCATTTTAAGCTAATAAGCAATTCTGAGATCTCTTGCAGTCACAGAGTATTTCCAAATCACGTGACTTTCTGAACAAATACAATTCGATCTCTCCAATTATTTCCAAATCTTATTATCTGGAGGAATGTTCATGCGACCAATTCTTCTCGTTTTCCTCGTCTATTCTGCATTAGCAATTGAAATCGATGTAATTGTAACTGTGAATAAACTTCTATTTTCTTAATGTTCAGTTTGTGATCGAAAAGCCGGACGGCGGTTCCTACTACCGTTTCTGGGTCGTCTACGCGGGAATCTCAATCGCGATGGCCGTCATAGTCGGCGTTTCGACGGTCATTTCGATGTGCAGACGGTACCAGTTGGTGGCCAATCAGGACGACGAGGTGGGTGTTTTTGAGGAGCCATTGCAAAATAGAATTCAGATTTCGGAGAGTCAGTGGTGAACGGGGGCGTCCGACGGAATTCAAACGGATTTTAAATATTGCGATTTACTGTTTTCAATTATAAAATTTGATTACACCCTTTTTAAAGAAAAATCCAAATGGTTTTCAGGAAATTTTAATCAGAACTTTTTGCAAACCTAATTCGAAAGAGTCGCGAAAGGTTCGACCTCGGACTTTTTCGCACTATAAGTGTGTATCAAAAACAAATATCAGACCCATTTACTTGACAGTTTTGATGATCGATAAATTAAAAATTTAATAGCAAAATCATAATGAAAATTGAGCCAATGAAAAACAACGGTTGAAGAGATCGGGAGAGAGCAACGGGAAAAATGGAACGGCATTGGATCACTTTCATAAAAACTCTTTCATTTTCTGTCTGACCTCCTCGCAATACTCTTCGAAAGACTGAAAAGGAAAACATTGTTGTGTGTTTGAAAATAAAACATTCCCACCATTTTGAGGATTTCCTCATTATGTTCATAAAATTCTTCGACTTGTTCGGGAGTCTTCGTGCCCAGCAGTTCGGAAATCAATTGGAAATCCTTCGCATACCAATGGAAGCCTGAAAATGTCTTTGAATTTGAGGGGATTCTTCCGGAAAACGGACATCTGACGACGTCTTTCTTTTCATCTGATGTCCAGCTCTGATCGAGTCTCATGCGTCCGGAACGGTTGCTTGCTATCAATACCGAGTCCGTGCTCAGTTCCTCGTCGCATCTGTCTCTCAAAAACGTCATCTCACGCTTCCACGCTTTCATGTCGAATGAGTCGAGTCGATCGACCGCATTGGTGGCTAGCATCAGCAGACGTTTCGATTCTTTGCTAAGGACACTGAAAAAGGGGACGCATTTAAAAATTTCGTTCCCGTGAAAAAGGGTCGTACTGAATATCTTCCATCGATTTCGACTCTTTTTCCCTCCAAATGATCGGAAGACACTGGAAGTGTCGATTTCTTGTATGCGCTGCAATTTTGTCGTTGTCGAATAGCCTCGTCATGCGGCAAGTGTTCGGATCCGATGGATCGAAGCCGCCTGGCGGTTCGTTAATGAACTGAGGCGACGGCTTCAGAAGTTCACATTCTTCTGAAAAGTTGGAAATAGGCAGAAATTATGCTTTTGCTTAGTACCGATTATGATGCAGTCATCATCTTCTGGCTCCGGCTCTTGATAGATTTCGAGTCTTTCGTTCGCTGCTCCGTCTCCACGCCCCGTAAGACAGACGTAGTTGACAACGTATTTCTTCATATCTGCAAGTACTAAAAACGAGTATTATGAGCAGACCCAAGTGAGAAACGAACACTCTGGACACGATACTGTCCCATTGCCATCCGAAGTTCGGTCTTTAGTGGGCAATGGACGAGGAATGCGCATCAACGCAAAGTAAAGAACGCAGGTCTTGCACTCGTACCGTTGCATTGTTTCGTTGTGCTGAAAAAGAGATAAGTTTGTAATTGGGTGGCAGGCGGGCGGGGCTAACTCACAATCAGCACCGGGTTCTTCTCGCCACAATTCTCGCACAATCCGGCCGGACGAATATTGCGCGAATCGATATCGTTGAATAGTTTGTCGTATAAATCCGGCTCATTCACTTTCACTTCAATGTTCATTTTGTAGTTAATGTGTTGCTTCGTATCGTAATAGAACTTCACGATAGAAGCAATCGATCGATGCGGCAACTGAGGCAGAGGGATTTAACAAGAAAAACAAAGATGAAGCTCACCGCTGCGCGAATTTTCTTGAACCTCTTGCCGAATTTGGAAATGCACAGAGCGAAGAGAGTCTTCTCCTCTTCCGTCCAATTATCTTGGAGCCGTCTTCTGCTGGCAACTTCCTGTCGAGCCAGGGTAGAATCATATTCACAGTTTCTGAGGATGTAAAGCGCCTAAAAACATGAGTTTGCGGCATATTCCGATTGGTAGTGGACCGTACCCGGTCGATGGGCAGTTTGAACCGGCCAACTGACTCGCTGACGTATGATTCGAGACAATTCCCATCAATTTCCTTCGGGTTTTCCCAGATCATTTGGTCTCGGTCTTTAACATAAGTTCGACGATTTTTCGGTTCCTCGAATTCATCCAATTCTGCCTGATATTCGATTCCGACGTTAATCAGCTTGTCAACACTCGACAAAGGATTTCCAGCTGAAAACAGAGGAGCTTATGAAATTGAAAGGAGAATTAGCAAACATTGCTCAGCTTCTCCATAGCCATCGTCATCGTTCATCGATTCCTCGGACGAAGTTTCCCGTCTTTGCCTTTTAGCACAAGGCGGAATGATTAACTGATAATAGAAATTTTTTTTAGGAAATCGAATGGAAACACTAACTCGGCCGTCAATGTGTTCTTGATGGTCCGGCAGCGAATCTCCGCCGTCCAAATGATCAGTCATTTCATCGTCGTATACATCGAGAATATCTGGAAAAATTAATAATTTATCAAAGCAACAGTTCCAAAAGTTCTCACTTTCTTTTCTGCTCCCATCGTCGTCAGAATCAGATTCTCGGTCCATTGCCTGAAAATTGAAAAGGTTTCTTTTAAAACGAGAAAAAGATATGAAAACCACTTCGAACTGGCGGGAATCGATTAGAATTCCCATATTCGGAGTATTTCCGCGAAAACAAACGGGATCCCGTTGATGCGAACAGGGAGTAAATGCGCTCCATCGAGCGAAACCAGAAAGCGCAATGTTCAAATTTCGGATTTCGAGGAATCGAACGAGGTATTGGACAGAATAAAAACATGATTTGTTCGAAATTAGAAGAGAATATGAAACAGTTTATGAAACAAAACTTCGAAAACATTAACAATTACCTCGTAAATGCGAAATTTAGTAAATAAAAAGACGACTACAAGATCTAAGCTATTCTCTATTTCTTATTTGATTCTTAATCTTATTTCTCGTTCTCCTTTCTTTTCCTCTTCCCGCTGCTTTTCTTCTCAGCTCTTCGTTTCTCAGTCTGAATTCGGTCGAGAATCTTGCCGATTCGTTTCCGATTTTCCTCTTTGTCACCTTCTAAACTGCAGGACAAACATACATGGAAGCCTGAATCGAATGAGAAACTTGTTTGAATATGCGAAAGTCTCTGACCTTTTCTAGCCGAGTATTTGTGCTCTTTCGTGGTGAGACCCTCCTCTTTCAAAATTCGGAGCATCTCGGAGTGTTCATTGCTCTTCGCTCTCTCCCAAAGTGATTCCAATGACATCTCTTCGACAGTCCGTCTATCCACGCTCGGCCGTCCTGCACTCACTCCATCGATCATCAAAAGGAATTCGATCGCGGCGTCGTCGTCGACTTGAGGCCATTTCTGATCGGAAACGATAGTTCCGTCAGAGGACAGAGCAGACCACATTTCAGCGGAAACATGAGGGCAGAACACCTAGATTTCAGAAGCTTGCATTCAGAAGCATTCAGAAGCTCAGAGCATTCAGAAGCATTCAGAAGCTCAGAAAGCATTCAGAAGCTGTGAATAGGAATCTAACCAACCTGGAGCATGATTGTGAGTGACTCAACGGCTCTCTTTCCTTGAGGACTGTTTGCCAAGTATACGGGGTCGATCTTCTGAAAGTAACATACTCTCGGGTAGCCCTAGATGTTGCTCACCTTCAATGCGTTCGTGAATCCTTGAAGTCTCATTAGTGCAGTGTTATGCAGATGAAGAACTTCGAGACACATTCCGACGTTCCGCACAAAAAAGTTGTACGTCTCTTTTATGAGTTCCTCTGTTTCTTTTTTCAGTTCCACCCTTTTCCCTTGGCTCCTCGCTTCAATGAACTGTGAATTAATTGTGGCGATTCTGTCGAGAAGCTTCTTGATTCCTTTCAGATCAGTCTCTCCCCAATTGATCGGCGCTCGTGGAGCAGCTGCCTCGAGAAGCCTCAGTCTGGTCATATCGACGCCTTCCGAATCTAACATCGCTGCCAAATCGACTCCGTTGTTCTTCGACTTGCTCATTTTCTCGTAAACCGCCTCAACTTCCACTTTCTCATCGTCCCTCCTCGTTAATTTCGAACTGTTTTCGCAGACTTCAGAAGGCATTAAATACTTTCCGGATTCCTTCTCAATGAACGTCCTTCCACGAACGATTCCCTGTGGAATCAGGTCCGTGAATGGCTCTGCAGTCTGGATCACTCCGATATCATTGAGGAAGTAAGCGATGAATCTGGCGAAGAACATGTGAACGGCGGCGTGTTCGATTCCTCCCACGTACACATCCACTGGCATTTTCTTCATTGCCTCCTTCGAGATGATTTCTTTTCCGTTTTTGTTGTCCAGGTATCGGAGGTAATACCATGCCGAATCAAAGAAAGTGTCGAGTGTGTCTTCGTCGAAAGTTCCCTTCATTCCGAACTTCGCTTCTTCCACTTTCTCTCCTCTTTCCGATCCGAGCACTGGCAGCTTGTCCGTCGGCACGGCCACCCTTTTTCCGTTCTCTAACTGGACCATCGGGATCGGAGTGCCCCACCCCCTCTGCCTGCTAACCACCCAATCACTCAACGTTCGCGACGTTTCGTAGCCACCGTATCCTCCAAACTGAAATCATCTCGTCAAGTATTATTCAGCTACCAAATGTTCCCACCGCTGCAATTTCTTGAATGTCGTTTTTGGTCAAATTTAATTTGTGTTTCGACTGCTGAATGCCAAACTTTGCGACGAGTTCTTTGTCTATCTCGAAGTCTCCAATGCGACAATTCAGATAACTGACGGTTTCCGGCCGATACGAATCCTCGACGACGATCACGGACATTTGCCGTCCACTGACTCCATTCAGAACTTGGGATGGCAGTTTGTCTGGAAATCACTATTGCCATTTCAGATTGGAATGATAGTCTCACATGGGAATTGAGTCTCCTGCTTGTGTGCCAATGGATGGCTCTGTTTGATAACGAGAAACTGAGCATTGGCAATTTGGAATATATCATGAACTCTAAGATCTATGTACTCGTCGCTCGTTCCGTCTTTGTGAATTGGAAGCATGAAACGGAAGACGTCGCACTTTCCGATCCAGTTCGATTGAATGTCTGCCACTTCTCCCCACTGCTCCGACATCTTCCTCAGTCCCTCCTGCAGTCGTGTCGCGTACTTCGGCGTCTCCACCATCCACTGCCGCAACTTCTTTTTCTCCGCCTTCGCACCACTTCTCCAGCTTCTTCCGTCATTGTCAATCTGTTCGGCGGCCAGAACCGTCTTGTCGACGGGATCCCAGTTCACCTCGGCCGTCGTCCGCTTGACGAGTCCGTGCTCGAACAGTCGACAGAAGATCAATTGCGTCCATCGGAAGAATTCGGGCTCGCACGTCGAAATCTCGCGTTCCCAATCGAACAGAATCCTTGTTCGAATCAGCTGCTCCCTCATCGCTTCAATGTTTCGCACCGTCCATTCTCGAGGATCGACTCCTTTGTCACGGGCGGCGTTCTCCGCGGGCAACCCGAATGAATCCCATCCGATCGGATGAATCACTTCGTATCCGTTCAGCCGATAATAACGGGCGGTCGCATCCGAAATGGTGTAAACGCGCATGTGTCCGATGTGCAGACGACCCGAAGGATAGGGAAACATAGACAGAATGTACTTCTTCTCTCCGAGACGAGACGGCTTCTGAACAGTTGAATTTGGATTAGATCTCAAAAAGAACGGAATACAGTTTTCGAATAATTGAATGCGTCGACTAGTGACTTCGACCATTTCTCCTCCAGCAACCGCGTGTTCTCACTGATGCGTACTTCTTTCAATGGCCACTGAAGAGCAGTGCCAAACCTTCGGAGCTGTCGAAGAGTGGTCCTTTGAAACACCCTCATCTGCTGACAAACTTGCAGATTTGACTAAAAACGAGATCTTGAAGTATAAAACAGCCACCAAACTCTCTTAGAAGTGCGCTAAACGTCTGCAATAAACAATTCATTCACAAAAATTAGGAAACATAGACTATTACGAGTGGGTAAGCTCTCCTATTTCTATAAGTTGAAAATGTTTGATAAAATCTCACACAACGAGAAAAAAACGAGCTCTTCTGAGAAAGGATTCACTAGATGGGAAATTGAAAAACATTGAATGAAAACTATTCGGCGGCGAAGAATGACTAAAAGAAATATGAAGGGACTAAAATGCACATGAAATATTGGTAAGCGGTATGAACAAAACCGGTTCGAACTTATGAAGTGGACGACAAAATCTCGGTTGTACTGTTGAAAAGAAAGACTTTGGAATGAAAAACATAGAGAAAACGATGTTTAGAAGACGAATTCGGCACACTGTAACCACCGGTCGACTTTTTCCATGGGGAGCGTGTGCAGGAACGAGAACTTGGAATCGTTGTACATGTTCTGGATGAGCGGCGACGAGTTCGCCGACTCCTCCTTCTCCGTCGAGCATGCGGAATCTTCTCCTTGCTCACTGCACTTGTCACTCTCGTTTATTTCGCGGATAAGGTCTTGACTCGAAGCCGTTCTCCTTAGAGTTCTCAGCCATGGCGTCTTTTCACCGCCAGACATACGTTCTCTGAAAGTTTATGAATGTTTGGAAAGTTTGAATACTTCAAACTCACTCGTAATCTCTCGGCGGCGTACCGTACCACCTAGAGCAATCGACTGTTTCCGAATCCATTTCTGTCCATTTTCGGATCATAGATTGAGTGCTCAAGGAAGTGTGCAGAATGCGATTACGAATGGACACACTTTCGGGCGAATTGATTGTTTGGTCCAGAAGCGTCATTTCTGGAATCGGGCGCAGTGGAAGAACAGCGTCATTCAGAGTTGATCTGTGAATTTTCATTGTTTATCACTGGTTTTAGTTTCTGTTTACCTTTTTTCGTTATTTTGTGGAGTGATCCCTGCTTGACTATTCGATTGTCGGCTACCTCCCAGTGTTGATGCCGGTCCACCCGAAGACGTTCCTCTTTTTCCGGCCATTCCTCCGTCCGCCTCGTCATCGTCATCTTTCTTGTTTCTTTCGTCAAATTTCGATGCACATTTCGAAGAGAGCATCGTCAGTCGTCGTCCGTCATCGTCGTCCGAGGCATCAGAAGAAGAGCAACTGGCACTTCGTTTCGATCTGACTATAAATCGTTGATGAGGATCGTATCGACGAAGAACGTCCGGAGATACGATAGCCTGACGAGGACGGATTGATCGGACGGCACTGTAGGTGTTAGGAGTGAACTGAACGAAAGCAGAACCAGAACTGGTCGACGTGGAGGACAGCACTTGATTTTTGGTTGTGAACGGAGTGGTGAGAAGTGAAGCCGCTGAGCTTTTAGTTGCGTGAATTGAGTGATGACGGCTCGGAATATGAACTAAGCCTGTTGATGCGGATCTTGAATGACTACAAGGAGTGTGAGACCATTTTCCGGAAGTCATTACCTGTTCGTCCGCCCACCACGATCATCCAGAGCTCTCAGATGGCGACCGGAAGTTGTCTGCGAGACTTCATTTCCGTCCTCAGTCTGAAGCACTTTTGTTAATGCTGGTTTTATTTTAGTTGTTACCTCTTCACAGATTCCGAGTAAATGGGGCGACGACGACAACTTTCGCATTCCGCTGTTAGTCACACTCACGGAACTCACTTTGAGTCGTGACATCGAAGAAATTGCGGACATTGCTAAACGAATACTTGAGTGCTTTTGAAAGATGAATTCACTAACCCGGAGAAGTTCTTCCGCTACTGGAAGCTGGCGGAGACGGAGAACGGCTACTGCGGACACTCTCTGGACTGGCAGCTCGACCACGACCGCCTCCTGGAATGTGAAACAGCATGATGAAATGAAAGAGATTATTAGAAGCAGATTGGAATATTAGCGGTATGAAACTGCGAATGCATCATTTGATTACCGAGTCTGTTCAGATCGAGAAGCTCCTGGACGGCCTGCGGACTGACGCGATCTCTTGATATTCCGGAGAACATCGAGACGGACGGAGAAGAGTTTCTGAAACGTGGCTGTTAGTGAGAAGAAGAGTGGTAACGGCGGTGTGTGGGAAGAACGGAAAGGGAAAGGAACCTTCGGAGCAGTCGTTTCGCCGACGCGGAACGGAGCAACTGGTGGTGAGCATGCAAACAACTATCGCTTGACTTGCGGATGGCGTGCTCCTCGTTTCGGTTCAAAGAGTCGTCCACAATTTCATTGAGCACACTTCTTCGCACTTGCCGTCGTACATCTGATTCACTGCCTTCCCGTTCATCAATCGGAGACAGAACATCTTCGAATCGGTTCACTGTCGTCGTTGGAGTGGTCGGACTGGTGGAGTTGGCAGATGAAGGTGCCGGAATGAAGAAGGTGGTTGGGCGGGCAGCATCGCTGTCGTAGGCCGTCGAACTGACGGCTTCTTCCGAATTCTGACGAGAAAGTTGTGCGCTACAACACCGACTCGCACTTCGTGGTGATGACACAAAATCGTGCAATGGGTAGAATCTAGAAATGACCGAACAACGACACTTTGAACATTTGTAAGAAGGATAGACTTTCCTGGTTTGTGGCCAAGAGCCGCGATGAAACGCGGACGAGAAAACAGAAGGGAATCATGCCACGAAACAAGAAAGAAACATGCGGGGAACTCAACTAGAAGTGAAAATAAGTACCTGCTGCTTTGTCTGCTGGCCGACCGGAGGTACGAGGAAAGTTCCTCTTCGCTCTCTTCCTTCAAAATGGAACACGGTCGAGCTCGCCACGAGTTGGAACGGGATCGACAACGAGAATTGACGTTGCTCCGAGTGGTCACACTGTTTTCAGACACTTCTGGCCGATCTTCCGCTTCCACGTGCTTCGCGAGCAGTTCTCTAGCTTGTTCCTCTCGGAACAGAGCAAGCACTTTTTCAGCGAGCAGGTAGTAAGTGGCTGTTACGGAATTATAGTCGTCATTTTCCAGAAACCGTAGGATATTCTCTTCTGATGCAACACCTCCTGCTACCATTTGTTCTATTATGGTTGCGTGGGCGGATGCCGGAAGATGATGCCGAACGATGAGAGGTATTGCGGTGGAAAGTCCTCGGTCTCCCGCTTTCACCCACGAACTTGAGACTATCTTGTCGAGACTCGCCCTCTTTTGTGGCTCACGAACCAGCATGGATTGAATTAGACTGGAATTTAAACGATTCTATGGTGGTCCTCGAGGAACGCACACTCACTGTTTACATTCAGCTGAAAGAACGTCCGGAATTGAGTATTTACAGTCTAGAATCTTAGTCAACGTTTCGGAATCATTAGCTTCTTGAAATGGGAGCCGACCGCAAACGAGCATGTACAAAATGACACCTAATGACCACACATCTGCAAAACGGAAACAACGCTTGAGGCTTAGAATCAGAGTTCACAAACCGACTGCGGGGGCATCGTAAGAGTCTCCTAAAAGAATTTCGGGCGCAGAATAGGCGAGAGATCCGCAGGAAGTGCTCAGCTGCTCTCCCGGCTCGTAGCTGTTTGAGAAGCCAAAATCGGTCAGCTTCACCATCCCTAGCTTTTCAAAAAACACCACGTTCTCGGGCTGAAACAAAATTTATGTTTTAAAATTTGACAACCAAACCTTCAAATCTCTATGAACGACGTGTAATTGATGGCAGTAATCAATTGCGGTCATTATCTGACAAAAGTACTGCTGAGCCAATGACTCGCATACTCCTTTCTCGTGCTTGATTATAAAGTCGTGCAGGTCGTAATCGCCGAGTTCAAGAATCAAAAATATCTTCGTTTGTGTATCCAGAACCTGAACACAGAAGAACATTCCGTTTACAAAGCGTTGCTAATTTTAAATTCCCTCGAGATTTCTGAGACATTGTTTTGTTTTTTGAAGTTTTTCAGCAATACCTCGTACAATCTGACGATATTCGCGTGTTGTACAAGTTTCATACATCGAACTTCCTTCATAATCTGTGAAGTTGACGCTTCATCCATTTTCGTTTTGTCAATTATCTTCACGGCCACCTGAATAACAGAATCGTTCGTCTCTTTTTTAAAGAAACAGAAACGAACCATTTCTCCGGTAAATACGTGTTTGGCGAGCTTCACAACGGCAAAATGGCCTTGTCCAATAGTTTTCTCGAGATCATAAAGACCGGCAATTCGGGTATCCCGAATGTGAAGAGAAGATTTCCGGCGAAGAGCGCCCGTTTCAGGCGCATTTGACATGCTGTAAAGGCGATTTTTGCGGGGGCAGCGTGCCGAAAGAGCAGCAGAAGAGGAAAAATTCGAGATAAAATAACAAACTGGCGAAGAGGGAAACGGGATGTGCCGAAGGCAACAAAAAGAAGAACGGATTTTCGATTCGCATAACAGAACCTCTTGTTTTCTTTTTCCTCTCTGCTCAAGTTGCTTTCGGTGGAGCGCGTTTGCATTCCTCCGAAAAGGATCGGCGCGCTGAGAAGATATCCACTTTTTAAAGACTTAATTACGCTGAATTAGTTGAAAAGGAAAATAAAAAAAGGTATAAAATGATGCTTATGTATCTTTTAAGTATGAGCACGTGAAGGGAAATAACAAAACACAGCAACGGTCAAACGATAAAAGTACAACGAGAAACGGATTTAGCCACTTTCCAAAAGTTGCAGTTTGCTCTTTCTGACATCAGCGGTCTCATTCCACGAGAGTGAGCCGACGGAAGCCAAAGTGACTTGCGTTTTCAGGCGAACCAAGCGAGAGAGAGAGAGAGAGAAAGAAAAAACATCTAAATAAAATAGGAGGGAAGGAGGAGTGGTTTAGTCCTTCTAATCACACACCATGTACTCGCAGAGAAGAATACCAGATGCGCCGGAAGAGAAAAGGGCTCATGAATGCCCTTTGGTTTAAAGAGAGCTGCGAAAAGAAGACTGAAGTGGGTGGGAAGGAATCAAGGCGGCGCTTGTTTTTTTCAGATGCAGCCCCAGTGTCTCATCAATGACTAATTTCATCAGAATGTCACGATCTTGCAAACAAAACCGTTTCTTCCAGAAATGGAGAACAAGTGTGCCGACGACTTCGTTTTTCAGCTGTATACGAGAAAAAGCAAATGAATTGGGAAACAAATGCGAAAACGAGAAGAGAAGAAGCGAAACGAGCAATCGCCAAATTGGAAAATAACATCTGCAGCATGTCAGACGAATTCCGGATAGCCGGAGAGGTGGCTTCTGTTTTCGCTTTAAATGCTCATTTGCCTTCTCATTCAGTATCGAGTTGGCATCAGTTAGAATGAAAAAATGAGCAACAAGGCGATTGGTTGCCAGAATGAAGCAAAGATTGCAATGTGTTGAATAGTTGTGAAGAAGTGAAAGTGTGCATATTACACGGATTGCAAATGCTGCTCTGTGAGTTGCCGGAGAGCCCCCGATAAAAAGAATCTAAATCGGATTTGCGGGATCAGACGCGGCCATTTGGCCGTTTTTCTGCCCTCGAAAGGTGATGAAGGAGGGAGGAGCGAGACGAGGAAACACAGAACTATCGTGGGAAAACACGGGAATTCGTGCGCCGTCACATGAGACACCGATAAGGGAAGCGTGTCGCCTTATTCTAAGTTCCGTACGTTCGGCATCGGGCCTTCGTCCCCTCGCTCCTCCTCGCACTGTTCTAAAAACGGAAATGATACTGCAGTAAGCAGATTATCACCAAAAAAGCGGATTGGGATTGTGAGATTAGCTGGAAGAAAGAAAGACTAATACACTGCGAGCCGAGGAATACGGTAGCGATGTGCTTATCCCTTCTGAAGAGATTTTCCTCGAATATAAACTCGCGCAGCAATCTGGTTGGCGTGGAAACCGAGCACCTGTGCATTGGAAATTTAGAGTTGGAAATAGACAATCATAGAGTGCGATATGCTTCCGGTGACGAGATTGGAGGCTCTGAGTATCTGATGGAAAAAAAATGTGGGGGAATGTGCTAATACGATTGCTTTTACCACATCAAATCACATGAATTGCCCGCGCATGCCCCAGCATAAACTTGCCCCCGATCCCAAGTTCTTCATTCATAGGCAACGCGTAATCCAATTACTAAAATTCTTCTAATCCGTTATGTACTATCAGCATTACTTTGGAGTCCGAATTAGAAAGATAGCTGCTGACGTTCTCTCGTAGACTGATGAAGCCAACCGACAGATTAGCGGGCCGCCTCGAGCTGAAACGTACTCTTCTCTTCCCCTTCCCGGCCCTCCTGACCCCTCGTCTCCCACGAATGTTTCTCATGCAAGAGGGGCAGCTGCACTTATCCTTTGTCCGTCCGTCCGTCCGTATTTTCATTCGCTCGTTCGGCCATTCGGCCATTTGCGTATCCGCCCGACCGCCCGACGTCTGCGCGGCCGAACCCAATTGAGGTCACAAAACTCGGCCAGCAATTCAAATTTGTTTCGCTCGCCGCTGCGAGTGTTTGAAAAAGTGCGAATTGAATTATAATTGAACAAAGTCAAATTTATTAAAACTTTTTAAGTGATTAGGATTAGAGCAAATAAATTATCAAAAAGAAAGACTGCCTCGAAGCACAGCAGGCAGTGACAGTGGCTGTATTTACAAATAAAAGTTCGCTGGAACAAAACTGGGTAACAGAAGACAGGGAGAGAGCAGAGAGACTGAGAAATCAAGGAGATGAAGAGAAAAATGATAGGGTCCCGTATTTTAAATTAAAGTATTTTTGAAGGGGTTCGAAACGATAAAAAAGAGCATTTCAGCCCGATTCTTCGTTTCGTTTTTGAGAGTTTTTTGCCGGTGAATACCAGTTTTTAAGAAATGAAACAAGAAGAGGAATATGGGTGAACTGAAAGGGTAACATGATACGATAATGAGTCTATTTTAGCCTAATAATTAGATTTTTATGCGCTTCTGGAAAGACACGTTAAAATCGTCGAAGAGCTCTGTGCTTCGCCGTTTGTTCTTGTTCGCATGACTCTCGCCGGTAGCCACGTCCAAGTCGGTCAGCTCGTGAGTGTCCTCTTGCAGCACCTGGGTGTCTGCCTAAAGCAGAGACTGTAAGGTCAGCTCACGATAGGGGCGACTTACGAAGACGTGCTCGGCGACGTTGGTCAGGAAGAAGTCATCAGAGTGGAAATAGGAGGAGTTATTCGTGGACGACGACGGCTGTCCATAGGGGTCAAAGGAAGTCGGCTCGGAAGACGGGAGCATTCCAGAGAGGCTGGCCAAAGGATCCGAAGCGATCGGCATGTCTCCCTCGGTGGCACTCTCCGACATCGAGCTACCGTACATGTCGTATGGCTGATAGTTGACAGAGCTCGGAGCGGAGTAGGAAGACGGCATGAGGGAGAGCGACGAGGACTCGTAACCGTACCCTGAGCCCACACCGCTGAACCCCATCTCACTGCCTCCGTACAAATTGCTCGGCTGGTTCAGCCACAGGTCGTTGGGAGCCATCGGAGGCTGCTGCTCGTAGCTGTTGGTGAGATCCTCGAGCCTGAAGTCCTCGAGTTCCTCCTCATAGAACGAGACGTCCGTCATGTCGAAATCGTCGTACTCTTCGTCCGAAGAGGCCATGTCCTGTTCTCTGCTCGACGTCGGTTTCTTGGGCATCTTGAAGAGGTCGGACACAAAGTTCTTGATGAGAACTCTGAAAGATTCTCAGTCCGTTTCTGTCACAATAGTACCGGACCAACGAACCTTTTCCTCATGGCTCTCCCACCACAACCGGCTCTCTTCTTCTCCGTCTTATCACTGCATTTGTGCAGCGCCACATTGCACAGATGTCCGAAGATCTCTTCTGTGAGGTCATTCTGCTTGTAGGTCATGCTCATCTTGTGCAATCAACGGATGTAGTTCGGGTGGTTTCTGTAAAATGAGTGATTACGAAGGAACACTTGGAGATGGAAGCAAAGAATCAGATGTAAAGAACGGGTAACTGGAACCCAATTATAAACACGAGTGCAACGACTTGGACTTTAGGAAACATGCAATTCTGTGTTTCGGCTCTAAATGAACCGTTGACAACATGACCATTTGCCTAGAAGTTTCCAACATAGTCCTAGGGACTATGTCGCACACTAGTACGTACAACTCAGCAATGACAGTGTATATCTGGGGAGGACTCCCCACAGTAGGCCTGTGTTTCTTCTCATGTGCTCAGGCTTCCCTATGGGACACTGTCTACTGGCCCACCCAATCCCTCAGCCAATTCCTTTTTAGGCCGCTGTATTCCATTCCACATTATTGTGATGTCCCACGCCTGTCGGTCTCGGAGCGTTCATCTTTTTTCCATCAGTGCAACATAAACAAGAGTACATCAATTTCGGACGCAGACGGCGCCGAGACACCGTGGTGGTCAGTCATTTGGCTGGCGGCCAAAAAATAACAACATGCTGCAGATAAATGAATGCACTTTGCTCCTACGTCGCTTCTCTGGCGTCTCTCGAACACACACAGCGACGCACTCACTCAACAACAATGAAATGAGAATGTGATGATGTGTTTTTTGTGCGGCGGGAGGAGAAGGAGGGGAGGCAAGCACAGCAGCCAACGGAGAAGGCAAGGGAAGGGAGAATAAACGGGGGCCTTGGTTGTCGGCCGAATCGGGCGAGCGAGCGAGGCAGCGACGGCCCAACTGCGCCCCGTCGAAGCGACGAGGCCGAGGGAGGCGAGGCCGCAGAGAGACAGCGAGGGGCTGCCTTCCCCCCGCTGTGTGTCTGTCTGTATGTGTACGCTCTGCTATAGCGAGCGAGCGAGCGCGCGCACAAGGCCACCCGGCCTCCGAGGCCGCCTCTACACTCTCTTTCGATCGATGGGCCGCGCTCGCTTCTCTGACTCTCTATCCCGCCACACGGTCCCTCTTAATGACACGCCGACCCTCCTCGTTCGGCGTGCTTTCTCTCTCGCCGCGAGACAGCGCAGCCGGCAACCCAACCAACCAACAGCAGCCCGTCCTTCTTCTTCTCTCCCCTCAATTTGATTCGACGGTGGAAAGAGATGGGGAGAGGACGAACGAATAGCAGTGGCGGGAGACGAAACCGCCGCGCTTGAAATGGATGGGAGATACGGAACGGGCCGTCGTATGAGCAATCGAGGAGAGATGATGACCACCCGGGCGCCGCCGCCTATCACTTTTCGATCTGGGAGTTGTGTGTAAACAAGCACGTGAATCAGAAGGTATTCCTGCATGAAGACAACAGAGCATTCCGAGTGGCAAGTGTATTTTGCAGACACTGGGTACATGGCGATGCCAACGAGGTGCTTATCATGACGGGACGGGTGCGGGGAATCCCGAACGACGGAAGTCTTACTGTAGTATTTCTGAACCGAGGCCTTCGCGAAAACGTCTTGCATCATGCAGATGAAGTTAGTGTTCTCAACCAATTTAAGGACCGCTTTGCATAACTCAGAGTATCATTCCCATCTAAAACCAATATCTAAAAGGCTATGTCTTTTTTCCAGGCGAAACATTTCCACTTTCGATGACTCAGCTACTATTTCGCAATACTTTTTTTCCCGAGCTTCTGTTCTAACCTACCATATCTGACTCTTTCGCCTGGTTAGCCATCAGCATCTCATGAGTTGCTCTGTCCATTCGCCTGTAAATAATTATCATTAGCATAACGTGTACGAAAACATCTCGTGGGCTGGTAAGTCCCGTGCTATCAGCAATGAGTCATACGGTAGATGATAAGAATGAGAGAGAAAAAGAGTGAAGGAGTTGGAAAGAAGGGAGCAAACACGTCATCGGGTAGGCGCCCGTATCGGTAAAGAGGAAGGGAAAGGGGATGACTACAAAGGCATGCACAGGCACACGAGGCCGGACGGCATGTTATGAAATTGGATATATGAGAAGAGTCCGTAAACCAAAAGCGCACAACTTTCGAATGAGCAGAAAACGATAGAGATGGAGAGGGTGTCCGTGAATACAGTAAACAAAAATGTGTGGACTATGAGCATATCGAAATGGAGAAAAAGAGAGAGTGAAAGGACGGAAAGTGAAAGGGAACCTGCACACACTTGGCACTTATTCAGAGGGCAGACGGGGAAGAGAAAGAAAAATAACGTGACATCTCGAAGAGTAAAGAATAATCGAGGCAGAGTTTGAAGACTGAACACTCGAGGGAAGACGGCGAACGAGACGGACTACGGACACTGTTTTGCGCTCGGACAAATCAGAATTCACAAAGCCCTGCCTGTTTCGACTGATTTCTTTCGAGAAACTAACCTCGTTCGCTCGTCTTCTTCTTCTTCTTCTTTACACTCGAATGTCGAGACAAAACGATGCGATTAACCGTGAGAAATGCCCAAAAGTGTAACAATCGAACATTTTTCGACTCGACCATAATCGATATGATAGAACGGCGGAAGGTTGTCGAGAGTGAACGGGGAACTGAAATCGAGAGAGAGAGCAAGAGGAAGGGGGAGAGCGAAAGAAACGAAGGTCTATCTCGTTCTATCCAAAGCGCAATTGGAACAAAACGAATCGAGTGGCGACGGAAATGTGTGCAAACTGGAGTGAGAAGGTTCTCGTTTCGCGGCCATAGCATGTGATACAAACTGGCGGCCGACGGAAGTAAGGACAATTCTACAACGAAAAGGAGACTCTCTCTCTCTCTCACGCTCGTCCCCTGCAATGTTTGACTCGCTGAGAGCAACTCATTACCGCTCTCCGCGCCGATTTCGCGCCCATCCATCTCCTGAGGACCAAAGAGTTTTTGTTCGGACAAAAGGCTCATCACGTATTCAGAGCTCGAGCTTGTGTTTCCAGGGAAAATGCCGTTTTAGGAAACGTTTCCCTCCATTCTGGCTCCTCAGTTTCTGACAAAATGCGAGGCGGAGCAGGTCTTGTCCAGATATTCAAAGACTTTTCCAACTGGTCTACAGTAGCCGTGGTACCTCACGTGGCGAATGCCAACAACAAGGTAAGCTCCGGCAGAGACGGACGAATAATGAGTGAGAGACGGAGGCGCGGAGAGATCCGCTCGGGATGATGTCATCCCGAGCGAGATAAACAGGAGGCACTCGCGTTCCCAGGTCTCACGTATCTTCTGGATCTTCATCTTTGTTTTTGTGTTGGGAATGTTCGGATACGAACTGTACATCCTAATTGCAAAGTACTTCTCCTATCCGGCCACAGTTACCACAGAGATTCTGTTCGAGAAGCAGGTACAGTAATCCGGTCAGTCGGCGTTTACTAGAACTTTCCGAAGACGTTTCCGGTGGTGACCGTGTGCAATATGAACCCGTACAAGTACTCGGTGGTCAAGACAAGTTCGGCGTTCTCGAGTGTGAACAGTCTGATGACGGCGTATTCGAATGCAGCTGCGGGCACTTACTCGGCCGACAAATGGGGGCTTTATGTGGGTGAAAAGAGGAGAATGAGAGGACAATGAGAATGGGTTCAGGAGGCGAAGAATGAAAGCTACGATCTAGATTCGAGAGCTCAAGATGCTCTCGTTCTGGAAGCGAGCCTAATCACGGATAAGACCGCAGCTCTTTACACTTATGACGATTTGATTCAGGACTGCAGTTTTGCCGGAAATACATGCTCTGAGTGAGGGAAAAAAGAAGTGAACAAGTGAATTGATGAGGGGTGCTTATAGGTCAGACTTCAAGAGATACATCGATCCAGTGTATGGGGCGTGCTACTCATTCAATGAAGATTCCTCATTGAACTATTCCGTGAGCAGAGGGGGAATTCAGTTCGGACTCAAACTTATGGTTACTGTTACGGTAAAAAGTGCATTATGATAGGGAAATAACTGAAAATAGAAGTGCAGCAAACGAAAACAAATGGTACAACGGACTTCCTTCCAACGACCACTTTGGCCGGAGCACGCATCGGAGTGAACTCGCGGGGCAATGATCCAGGCCTCGATTCGAACGGAATCGACGTGGGAGTAGGCTACGAGAGCGCCGTTTCTGTCACCCTGGTAATTCATTCTATTCTGTATTCCATCGCATTCCCTTCAAGTTCAGACTCAAAATGAGAGAGCGAAACGACCGTATGGGAAGTGCGTCGATCGGGAATCGGACAGTACGGACTATTACCAGGCGAGAGAGAGAGAGAGAAAGAGAGAGAGAGAGAGAGAGAGAGAGAGAGAGATAGAGAGAAAAGGCGTTGATGAAAGAGCGATTTCAGGACTACACGTACACTTTGGAGACATGTTTCAACGGGTGCAAACAGAGGGACACCGTCTCGAAATGCAGCTGCGCCAACCCGAGAATCGCCCTCGGGCCTTCGGACACCGCGTGCCAACCAGTTAAAACTGACCGTGAGTGGACGGAACAAAACGTGTTGACGACAGGAAACCAGTTGCAGTGGACTGTCTGCAGTCGCTCAAAGGAAATCAGACAAACTCGGCTGCCCCGAACATCGACCTGCTCGTCGAGTGTTCGTGCAATCCACCGTGCTCACAGTCCACCTACACACCTACCGTATCCCTGGCGCAATTCCCTTCTACCAGTTACTACGTTGCCACGTCATCCACTTATGGGGTACCGGCCGTCTCTTTTTCTTCCCTAATTCTCTCGTTGCAGGTGGGCAGCTGCTCCTCTAGCAACTCGAACTTTGCGAGTAAATCAGACTGTCAGTCGTGGTACAATAGCAACGGTCTGATAGTTCAAGTGTTTTTCGAGACGCTCAGTTACGAGTTGTACACCGAGACGTCTGGATACACGGTACTAGTTGAACGTGTTCAGAAAGGTGAAGGTGAAGTGCGTTCAGGTGAGTAACGTCATCAATGATTTGGGAGGACAAGCCGGTTTATGGTTGGGACTGTCGGTGATCTCCGTGGTTGAGGTATCGCTTTACACATTGCATTTTAAAAAAGGCACGTATTTCTTCAGATGACGGGGTTACTAATGGTTATGGGAGCCTTCTGTGTGACCGGAGGAGCCATCAAGATCGCACCGGACAACGACGAAATAGAAAAGGATCACAGAATTCAGGTGAGCGATTCATTGAACGGAATGATAAGAAACGTGTGGATTGCGGGGTTCGGGGAGAGGAGGGGACAAACAGGCAAAGAGACGGAAAAGAAACGGAAAGGTTGTGTTCAGGACGTGGAAGATGTCAAAAAGGAAATCGATCACATGGAGAATAAGCACGGAGAAATGGAGAGCGACGGCGAAAACGAGGAAGAAGTCGGCAAGAACGAGACGGGCGGCGAGGAGAAGAAAAAGGAGAAATAAATTAGCATTTGGTTGTCAAGAACGTTCTCAGACTTGTCACAAATGTATTGACCACTGTTGCATTCGCGCAAATTGCTTCTAACGCTCGAGTGACGTCTTCTGACGACGAGAAACGCACCAACGTCAGGTAAACGGTGTCGAGTAGCCTGGAAAGAAAAACTGTTTTCGGAGGGGACTAAAGGGCGGTGGAGGCCGTTCCAACCCAGATCATTATCGCATAAGGATTCCATTCTCGAGAAGATTTATTCTGTCTCCCGAACTTACGTCGGATGCGCATTAGTAGCCAATGCCACGGGCAGCAAAAGATGCAGACTGCGACCGTTCAGAAACGTCCGTAAAGGTCCATCGTCCGCACAGAGTTGCGTTGAAATCCGAGGACAGAGGAACTGGTCGGACAGCTGTAAACATTCTATTTTCGTCTCTTTCCGAGCCGCTTTCAGCTGACCGCTAGCAAAGTGGCACACTGTTCTGCAGAAGAGACGGTTGTGCAGGCGCCGGAACAGGTGGAAAGCAGATGGATGAACAGACGGAACTCTTCTGGCGAACACGAATCGGATTGTACTTGGAAAATACGAATCCCATTTGTCTTCTCGACAAAGTCCGACGAGTACATTCCCTGCAAATAATATACCGTTTTAAAGACACTTGTTGCCTGCAACCTCAAAATAATGACTGTTTTCGCATATCTTCTTCATGGGAGCCGCGACAATCGGTTCGTCATTCTCGTCGACGAAATGGAGCATCTCTTCATCTGGAGCAACTTCCTCCACCTCGCATTTTCCTTTTCCGTCTTCCACTGGGAAGTACCACATATCGTTATCACACAACTCTCTGAAAATTAGCAACGTGTTGGCGACCTAAAATAGGGGGTTTCTACTTGATTTTGTGTCCACTGATCAGAATGGAAAGGGCACCGATGATCTGCGAGGCGAACGACGGCCCGTTCTCGTACGTCGTCATCTTTCCCCATTCCTCAAAACTTTCAGGAGAGCTCATTAAGTGCTCCAAAGCATTGAAGAGCTCAGTAAGCGCAGGAACCTTGGCCAATCTAATTCTTTCTCTGAAATTTCTGTTTAGTGAAGAAGTAAGCGAGTTCCCTACTTGACAAGCACAATTTTAGCGATGGCGGCCTTCGTTCGGTGTACAAAATCTTCTTTAGTGAACTGCGAATTGATGTGTGCATCTCCATAGCTGTTGTCCACGTGGCTTGCGAATTCTCGAAGAATCTCCCGTCCGTGCTCCGAACACGTGTCGCAGTGTTTGCATGCTTTTGTGTACTTGAGCATTCTGCACGGAGACGCACAAAGACCGGTTAGGATTCTGACGTGGAATTGAAGATCGAGCAGTCGGTAGACGTGAGTTCGATGAGTGGCCATTCGGCGGAGAACGCGATATGTTCGGAAGTCTGGCGCGTTGGTGCATCTCAGGTAGGCCACGACGCAATCGACAACGTCCGGACGGATTAAGAACTGCAGATTGTAGTCGTCCTGGGAGAGCCACGTCAACAACCACAATTCGCCCTCGACTATCTTCAAAACAAAGAAGACAATTTCAGATTGTTCCCGTCCGGTCAACACCCACCGTTTTTTCTAGTTTTCCCGTTTTTTCTTCTTCATTTTCTTCGTTTTTCTCCGCTTCATTTTCAGATTCCACGTCACTCAGTTCATCGAGAATATCGTCGTTCTGTCTGGAAAACTATGCTCTTTCTCTGTTACATTAGAGGGAGTTTCTGACCTTTTCGATGCCGGGGAAGATGCCGCACTTGATGCCACAGACGAAGGGAAACTGTAGTTGGGAGAAATGGATCCGTACGGAGGAGACGTCGATGCCGAGGCGACTCTCCGCGGAGACATCGAAGCCGAAATGGCTCTGTGCGGAGACATCTGCGGAGTGTCGTACGACCACATCGAGTAGAAATCCTTATGCAACCTTCCGCAGTCGAGAACTTCCTGAATGTTATTAATAGGAGCTATCATCATTGTCTCATTCTTACCGCATTCTGATTATTTTTCTCTTCCGGAACCCGATCGGTTGTGCTACTTCGCAGTCTCCGTACGAATTCAATGTCAACCGCTGGCTCGCACTCACTTTTGTTCTTTTCCACATAACTATTGACATCTTTTACTACAGTATTCACAAATGTCGAGTTCTCACTCAAATGTCTCATTCCGGCCGTATCATGCACAAAGTGTCGGAAGGATGCCACGATGGACACTTTCTCCTCGATGAGTTCCGACGATGCGAACACTTCGATGACCACATTCAGGGCGCCGCTCGTTCTCAGTTTCGCCCGGCCCCAAGCTGTCTGCGAGAACGCGGCCAGCATTCGGTTCTTCTCGGGGATGGAGCACGCGAGTAGTCGCTCGATGAACCCCTCCGTTTCCATTCTGAACTCTACTCATTCGTGTACTTCTTCCGGTCACATCACTTACTGTTCTCTGATGCAATTCGAATTCGAGAACAAATCAATCACAAACTGTCGGGCTTTATCATTCTTCTCGAAGAACATCTCAATTACATGTTCACTGCAGGCACTGAAAAGAAAAGAGACACGTGGTGTCTGATGCATTCATTTGGTACCTGCTGGACAACTGCCTGTCCAACATGTTGCCGTGTCTCTTCAACATTACTTTCAGAATTTTCACAACTTCTTCTCTCCGCTCCTTTTTCGCCAGCAGTTTTCCGAGATAAAACCCTCCGTTTGAGAGCATGATGATCTACAAAACGCCAATTTTAGTACTGTGTTTGTTTGGCCGCCAAACGGCCGATGATCGATCATCTGTGTCTCGGGGACAAACAATTCCTCCTATCACGTATGCTTAAGCGACAGTTCCTCGGGTAAGCTGCCATATGCGATGCACGTGTTTTCATAATTCGCATGTTTCAGAGGATAGGCTGCGTGTAAGATGACGTGGACTACTGTAGATGGTGATGAATCAGAGAACGATGATTGTCATTTAAAAGTGATTGTATTGCCTAGTTCAAACCAATAACATGTTTGTGTTCTAGAAGGTTCTATGCCAGCAACCATTCTTGTACATAAACAATGATCAAGCTGTCTCCACTGTCACATTATTCTAGCAAATTTGCTAGTTATCCTCCAGCTTCTTTACTTTCTACTCCTATTTTGTCAGGTGATACGGAAGTGAATGCGCCGGACCGGAGACTACCTGTGAACGTTTTCAAAGCATTCCTCAAAATGTTCAAATTTAAAATACAATCTAGTTTTCAGATACTATTATAGAATCCATGTTTTGTAATACATTACAGTAACTTCTACCATCTTGTTCTCACACACCCGTTAACAATTTCATCAGCCCGCTGACCGATTCCATTTGAAACCGCTGCCCGTCGATCATCTGCCAATTTCGCAACTTGTTGTTTCCACTCCTCGGCCCGCCCCCTGCATGGCCCGGCGCTGTATATAAAAGAGCCAAAGATCGTCGTCTCTCTCCATTCTCCGCGCGCGTATTCGCTCGTGTTTTCGTTGAATTGTGTGCTTGTTTTCGAGCCGGGGCGCCGGCGTCCTCCCCTCGGTCACATGATTCGTATCGCCTCGCCTCCATCCTCGCGCACACTCTCTCCTATCTCTCCGCTCCGTCTCGTTCCTCAAACTGCCTCTTCTTTCTGGTTACCACTGCCATTCGAAAACGGCCATCTGACAGGTTGTCGTCTTCCCTCTCAAACCCCTCTTTCTTCTCTGTTTTGACAGCACCACCTTCGAAATAGATTCAGTTTCTGCCGTGGTCACTCTCAAAAACATGCTTACTTCTTATCTTCTTATGCATCTGAATTTCAGCAAGAATGAGCGTTGTCGAGACCACCACTGAGATGAAGGCTGGACATCCACCAGCAACCATTGTCGGAGGCCGTCGCGTTGTCAACCGCAAGGATCGCAAGCTCTCGGACTCTATGGACCACAGCAACTCGGAGAGCTCTGATGACGCCGTGCGCGAGATTATCGACTGTGATCTTCCGGCTAAGGTAACACTGGCTCTATTCAATTTGAAATGCCAATTAATGCTTCAGATGGAGAAGTCGTATCCGACAATCTCGGTGAAGAGGACACACGAGAAGCCGGTGCCAACTCTTCAGGAGCTGCCACGTCATCAACGTGGAGCCCACCAAGGAGGACACGTCTTCCAGCCACGCAAACAGACCCACTAAACTGCAAATGATCCGATCCCCGATGCATCTAAGTATCTAATGAACTCCGCCCGCCCGTTGTATAATTTGTAATATCTCTGCTACTTTTACTCTGGAATATCGTTTTAGATTAACTTATGACATACCCACTTAGCATCCGGTTTTTACATTCCGCATTTTAGTCAATAAATAAATGTATATAAGGGAAAACAAACTGACCCTGGTGAAAGAGTGATTGGCGAGATAGAGGAAAATGCGAAGGCACTGCGTCACGATGTTCTCAATGGACGACTCGAGCAGAAGGGCGATTCGATCGAAGAGAATGGTGTTCCTCGAAAGCCAACTCGTTACTAACTCTTTGTTCTGACACAGATTTCCGATTAGGCGGCACATCGACACTCGGATGTCCATGTTCGTTGTGCTGCTCTCGCAAATCCGAACTGCAATGGAAGAATACAGAAGCAATAAAGTATTTCCCGTTTCCAACCTGCCAAATCGAGAAATACTCTCTGAGCTTTTTTGATTTGCATTCCTGTATGTGGTGTTCTGTCGGTGAAGCAGCAGTTGGCCAGAATGCTCGTCGAGTATCTATGCAATTCTTCGTTGTATCTGAAGGTTCCCTATTCACACTGTGCTTGCTTCCTTCTGATAACTCACGTCGGGTTGCCCAGTAAAGAAGTTTCCCTGGAGAACACCGCCACCAAGACTTCAATGTTAGTCTTGTGCCCTACAAATGCTCCGATCTTCTGCCCATTCGACAACATCGTCTTCAACCGTTTCGCACATTTTGCCGCCAACTCTTTGTCCTCTCCTTTCACCTTTTTCATCAAATCCTCGAACTCATTACTCGTCTCTGGCTTGGCCCGTTTCACAATATCGTCCGAGTTCCCACTCCTCCGTCTTTTAGGCGGAGCGCCCTTGGGTGCTGTACTTTCCACGGTGTTCATTCTGGAAACAATGCGAATGTACTGTCTCGTTGTGTGCAAGGACGTCCCTTCTCCCTACAGGCCCGTTCATTGTCTCTTTCTAGGGCAGCATCTGGTCAGTCATCACTCGCTCACGTTCTCTTCTCCTCGGTCAATCATACTCGGTCGATATTTGCTGCCGCGCACCCTCCCCAGTGTCCCCTTGCGTGCGTCCAAGAATGCGCCAATACTCACAGTGCTGACTCATTCGCAAAAATTTGAAAATTTTTGAATTTTTATGTCAGATTTTTTGTGTTTTCAATGCTTTTTCACAGTAATTAGACAATCAGGTTAAAAAACGCATACACTTTTAGATGTACTAGTACGAGCTTAACCCGTTATTCATACAAAACGTTTTGACATGAAATGTACTTAAAAGTATATTTTTTCCTACTGATTCTTTTACATCACAATTCTAACTTATTTCAAATTTACCTTTAGTTCGGAATCGAATGAAAATAAAGTTATAGATGTCCAAAAAATCGTTGGAGAGACGGCCAAACGTATTGGCGCGTTTCTCGTGCACGGCCACACTCTGCTTCTATCCTTCGCGTACACTCTCTCGTCTAGCCTGTGTCTGGCGTCCAGCCAACACTATTCGCGCGCGCTTTCTATTTTGAAGGCGACTGGACTCGTTTTGGCCGTATTCCCATCGTTCGTCTAGCTTCTAGCCCGTACTTTTTCTTATTTTTTTAGTGCAAAATCGATGCTCTTTTCTCAAAAAAATACATTTCAGTCTATTGTCAAATGGGTGACTTGCCAATTAGTCAATAGACTGAATTATTACCATTTTACGACCTCATTAGCATTTGTTTCATTCTTTAAATGTCATAACAATGTTCATATTATCATTTTTCATTGAAAAAATATTAAAAACCACTTGTTTTCATGAGCTTTCGGGTAGAAATGCGCACATTTTTGGTTGCCTCTCCTCTCCAATTTTTCAAATTTCCAAGTTTCGCGCGCACGCCGAAAAATCGTTCAAATAAATAAAGAACGTTTTCCGCCACCAGAAAGCATTATTTTGAAATTTTTACGCATAAATATTTGTAGAAAACGGTCCTACGTGATTATCACGAGTAGTTTGTCGGTTTCGGGGTTAAACAAAGTCTTGAGGGTGATTTTTCATATATTTCTACCTTAATCTATATTTCCTCTTATCATGTTTCTTTTGTACTTTTGATGTTTTCCTCTTTGATATAAACCGTAAGCTATGATGAGAACAAAACGTGAATAATGTCTTGATTTGCAGAGCTAAATGAGCACAAAAAGAAAACGTGTGCCTGAACCCGAGCCGGAGAAGGATATTCCATCCACTTCGACGGCGAAGAAAAGAAAGGGAAGAATGACGATTGCGGAAAAGGAGCGGAGAGAATCGGAGATGAAAAAAGGAGAGTACGTTATGTCGAAAGTCCGGAGACAGATGAACGCAGCTGGCACCGCTCCCGCCATTGAGCGCTTTCTCCGTCTTCCATCTCGACGTACTGAACCGGAATACTACGAGAAAGTGAAGGAGCCGATCGATATCACGACGATCCAACAGAAGCTGAAGAACCCCGACTACTCGAGTTTTGATCAATTCTGTGATGATATGTCCACCTTTATCACGAACAACCTCTCCTATTACAAGGTAATTAGTGTCACAGGATGAAAAATACATTCAATGTGTTTCAGGACGACTCAGAGGAGCACAGTGACGTGCTTAAGATTGAAGAAGTCTTCAAGAGTTCTAAGGAAAAAGTAGTTTCTGGAGAATATATGGAAGACGAGGAGGAAGAATCGGACGAAGCGACGGCAGAAGAGGAATCCCAACAGGACGAATCGGCTGCCAGCGAATCTTCTCGTGATTCGACGCCTATGGAACTGGACGAATTCATGAGTAACGACCTGCTGGGAGCTGTACTCGAAGCCACAGACGGCTCGGGAAGGGTACTGTGTCCTCCATTTCGAGCGCTTCAAAGCGAAGAAGACTTTCCCGCTTATTACGCGAAGATTGAGAAGCCGATCGACTTGAAAACGATAGCTCAAAAAGGAAGGGAAGGAAAATACGAAACGATAAAGGATCTGAAAGACGATCTTTTCCTTCTTTTCAAAAATGCGCAGACGTTCAGTGGAAAGGGAAGTGATATTTACAAAGATGCAGAGCTGTTGAAGACTGTCGTCCGGGAGAAGATCGCCAAGATTGAAGAGAAAGGGGTTCATCCGATGAGGAAGGCAAAGGCGGCGAGACTGGTGGACGCACTACTGGCGACCACTTCGGACGGCAACAATTTCTCCGAGGATTCTGAGGAAGACGAAGAAACTGAGAATAACTCGGAGCCAGTGTGGAAGCTCTATTGGACGATCAGAAATGCCACTCACGAAAAAGATCGCAACATCACTTTGGCTGATAATTTCCTCGAACTTCCAAGCAAAGAGTGAGCTCATTTTTCCTTCATCGATTACGGAAATTCGTTTATTTCAGAAGCTATCCCGACTATTATGACGAGATCAAAGTACCGGTGTCCCTTTTTATGATAAACAAGCGGCTGAAAAACGGACAGTACGATATCAAATCTCTAGTTGCCGATCTGATGCAGATGTATTCTAACGCATTCGAATATAACCTCGAAGCCTCCGACGTCTACATTGCCGCTGAAAAATTGAAGAATCTGACACTGCTCACTTGCAAACAGTTGGTACCTTCCCTTGACCTATCCAACTACGAAGCGCATTCTTCCCACATTTCTCCGGCCAAACCGAAACCAATCTCCCATAGAGCCAGAATAAAAATGGAAATCGACACTGATTCGGAAGACAGTCGAGTATGATCGACGTTTGGAAATTTCTCTAAATTAACGTTCTCATTTCAGACTCCTCCACCTTCTCACAAGCGCAAATCCCCAAAAAAGGCTCGCATGGAAAACGGATCCGCGATAAGGAGTCAGAAAAAACCGACGCCATCGCTTGAGGCGAATACTTTCACGAGACACACGCACATGATGCAGGGACTGTGGAACTGCGTATACCAGTACAGAGTGAGGGTTCTCTCTACATTTCCCTCGTTATTCTCTTATTTTCAGCACGAAGGAACTCCTGCGTACTGGCCGGCCGGAGCGTTCATGGATCTGCCATCCATGAAGCAATATCCGGAATACTACCAAATAATTCAAAATCCAATCGACATGAAGATCATCCGCCAGAAAATCGACACCAATCAGTACCCACACGTCGAAGCAATGCTCGCTGACTGTAGACTGATGTTCTCGAACGCCCGCGACTTCAACGAGCCCGCATCGAACATTCACATCGATGCTATTCAACTGGAGAGAACTCTTCTCCGCACGTACGAGGGAATGCGCAATCAGTCGGTGAATCACGTCGCGCCTTCCTCAATGCCTTCGACGCCTTCTTCGTCCTCTTCCAATCTGATGATGCAAAACAGAATAAAGACGTTAGTTTCAATTAACAGTTTTTGAACTAATTCAGCTGATTTGTTCAGGAAGACGACAAAATCAGAGACGAGAGGACGAAAGAAGAAGATCCACGGATCAGATGACGAAGATGCTCCGAGAGTGCAAGTGCCGAAGCAGCAAAGGAGCATGGAGGACGCAATAATGCAATTGCCGCCGGAAGAGCAGAAGATGTGGAGACTCTTCAAGGCCATGAAGGATGTCCGCGAAGAAGGAACGAACCGTCCGTTAGCTGTCAATTTCATGCGTCTGCCCACGAAGGACGAGTTGCCCTCGTATTATGAGGTAATCAAGAAGCCAATGGACATGATGAAGATCAAGCAGAAGCTGGACAGCAGACAGTACGTCACTCTCCTCGACGTCGTCTCCGATTTCATGCTGATGCTCTCCAACGCTTGCAAATTCAATGAAACCGACTCGGATATCTACAAGGAGGCGGTGGCTCTCCAAAAGGCACTTCTGGAAATGAAGAGAGAACTAGACACTGGAGAAGACGTCCCCCGTGTTCAAGTCGAGCTCCGCACCATATTCACTTCCATATTCGCTTCGTTGTTCAGCAAGAAGGACGAAGAAGGAAAATGTTATTCTGATCATTTGACTGAGATCACTGAAATACTCAAGTCGAAGGGAGTTCCAGCCGCGGAGTGGCCGTTCACTTTGGATCAAATCAAGCTGAATATAGACAAGTGTCGGTATAGAAGACTCGACAAACTTCAGAAGGACTTCTTCGATCTCTTTGAACGGTGCAGAGAACTTTCTAAGGTCGGTTCGCCGATGTACCTGGCTGCGTGCACGCTTCAAAAGGCGTTCATTGAAGAAAGAGACGGAAGATGCAAGGATTTGATACACTCGAATGCTTACAGTGTCATAGAAAAAGACATTGATGAGGCGATCGCACATGAGCGGACACAGAAGGCGAAGGAAGAAAACGACGAAGATGCTGGAGGAAAACCGGGAACAGTGAAAAGAAATGTGAGTTTGCTTCTTCGGAGATCCTGGAATAATTCGATATTTACAGGAGAGCGAAGTTGAAGTCGAGGATTTGGAAATTGAAGGAATAAAGTACTCGGCGCCGTGCTATGCGTATATCAATCGAACTGATGACAAGAAAACGCCCCTCCACATTTTCCGCATTGAGCGGACTTTCAAAAACGAGACTAGCGAGCAGGCAATTCAGGGATTTTGGGTCTATCGACCAGAGGAAACTCTTCATTTGGCTAGTCGCAAGTTTGCCAAGCAGGAAGTCTTCCTCACCCCGTTCCGGGACACGCTTCTGGCGGAAAGACTTCGTGGACGTTGTGCCGTTGTTTCCATTTCCACGTACACGGCGAAGATCGTGAGCGAATATAGCGAGGAGGATGTGTATCTGTGTGAATTCAAATATCACGGGAAGCCAAAATATTTCGCCAAATTGAAAACCTGGCCATACACATCAGAAGATGACGAACTTGAGTGTACAAAGAGAGCCAAACATTTGACTCCGAAGAGGAATTTGAATGCAGCGGATGCCGATGGAAACGGAGAGATTAAGGAAGCTGTTGATGAAGGAGAGGAAGACGATGATGACCGTGCTCGCTGCGAAGTTTCTCTCGAAATCGAGCGTTTCGAATTGGCGGCAGCATCAGCCAACGCAGAAGGAGAGCAAGGAAAGACCTACTTCCAGCAAATCCGTTCCTCAACTGGCAAATTTTACTGGCTGGGACAATTCGTTCTCGTTTTCAATCCGCGAAAACCTTTGTGTGACGTGATGCGCATTAATAAAATTTGGAGGGAAGAAGAGTGAGTTTCTAGTTCTGAATAACTCAAAGTCTTTTTTTTCTTTTCAGTGGCACTGAATGGTTCTCCGGTCCTTGGTTTGCTCGCCCGGCAGAGACGATCCATGACGAAGGACGGCTTTTCTTCAAGAACGAAGTGATAGCCGTCTACCGAAATGACGAAACTCGCAAAGTGTCCGAGATTCAGAGACTCTGCGATGTTATGCCTGCCAAAGTTTATGTCAAGCGTGAGTTGTAATGCCATGCCCGTATTAGTCAAGTGGTCTCTTTTTCAGAACGTCAGACTGAAATTTCGGAATGTGATGTGTATGTTTGCGAAACGTTGGTGAACGGAACGGCCGATGTCCCAGAGGACTGTTCTCTTCTCGGATTCCCTCCCGTGAGTGTGATTCAGTTAGACAATATAGCGGCGTAGATAAGAATCAAGCGTGTAATTCATTCGGCTTTCCTGTTTTACAAACACAAGATGAGACAAATTTTTCATAAAAACAATCGCGTATCTAGTAGCAGGTGTAATTGAAAAAAAAGTGCTCGTTGTATCCTCTATTTCATGATGTCATGGCTGTAATGTTACTGATCCTTATTGCAAGTCAAATGAGGAATAAAAAATGTTTCATCATTTTCAGACTGCCAGTGACGATTTCAGCTCTGCTCAACCAATGAATCTAGACTACGCGAAGAGTATGCGCAAAATGAAGGTTAGTAGCTTTTCGTTAAAATTCTCGACGCTCCAAGTGCTCATCCGGATTGCTCTTCGGTTTCCGGTGGCTGCGCAAACGCCATCTTTTTTTTCTTCTGCTCTTCTGTCACACCCTTCTTTCTCGTCTCTTTTGTCTTATCTCTCTGTTTGCCACGTCATTACAGACTGCTGCTGGATTAAGGTACATTACATTCAGTGTCAAAACGAAAAACAGAAGCGCGAAAGAACCAAATCTGGCGGAGCCCACTGATAAAGCGAGCGGAAAGCAGAAGCCCGAGAAAGCAGCTGTTATTCGCCGCACGAAGCCTCCCCCTAATTGCCGCCGTCTCTCTTCATCCGCCGCAATCTTTCCCACTCGCTCTGTCCGCCAGCCAGTCAGTTCGGACGGGGTGTATAACGTGCCCTCCCTGGGTCGTCCTCCTTTGTCCCTCTCTATGTCTACGTCTCTTCTAGGACGTCGCTGCTCTCGTAATGGGCGGCCGATCGTCGAGCGAGGAGGGAGACCTGGTGTGGGGCGAGCCCGCTGCGCACTAAGGCCTCTCTGTTTGTGTGGCCTCCTCGCATCGATTTCCGCGCAATAGAGACATCAGACGAACAGAAATGCGAGAGAGCGTTAGCGGAGGAGAACGTGCTGACGTGTGGGAGGTGAGAAAGTGTACGTCGCGGAGAGACGGGCAGACGGGGCGAGGTCGCGGAGAGAGCGCAGATGGCGCGTCATAGCGAGTCTATGGTTTCGTGAGAGTGAGCGAGTGCGTCTATCCGTCGGTCCTGGCTGTGTGTGTACAGGCGAACTACTGCGCCGTTGGTTTCGTCGGATGCTGCCGCCGCTGCTGGTGGCCACCGCCGCCTGCCTGCTGCGGGGCTCCTCGCAGCCTGCAGCACAGCCCGATTTTGTCTATGATACGCGTTTTGTTGGTCTTCTTCTTCTCCACCGCCACCTCCTCCCTCCTTCCCTGACCACCACCGTCGGCGGCGGCGGCGCCCCTACTGCCGTTCTACACGGAAACTATGCCGCTGCTGTGTCTGCCTGTGTGTGCGTGCTTCTCTCGCCGCCTAGGAATCCGAGGCCTCGCCACAGAGGGCGGGAGTACTGTAGACCGTCGCACAGTTAGAGCCCGCGACGTGTGACGAATCCTAGGGTTGCGTCGAAAAGAGAGTATTTGCGGAAAGTGTAGAAGAGACTTGACTGATTATCTGAGATAGCTCACCCGCGTTCCTTCTTATAACCACGTCACATCGCACAGCCACTAATTCCAACTATGATAAGTCTTTTCAGAATTACAAGCTGCATTCGTCAATCCCGAATGAAGAATCGTTGTTCTACAAAACACCAATAAATATGGACAAGGAACTCTCTCCGTTTTTAAAGGGCGATGGCGCGATGCCGCTTGACCATCTGGACGAAATGATGGAGGACGACACGGACGGCAGCGAGTCCGTGTCGAGCACCAATCCGGTTGGCAAGATGAAGGAGGAGCCAGCTCCTCTCCCTCCACAGACGCCTTCTGCCTCCACGACACACGTAGTCGTTGCTTCTGACTTGCCAGTCATGACACCTAAAGCGGTGAAGAGCAAGAGTGGATACATATTGTTCTCGGCGGAAGTGCGTAAGAGGATAATGCACGAGAATCCGGATGCCGGATTCGGAGAAGTTTCGAAGATTGTCGGAATTGAGGTAAGATAAAAGGTAGATAAACACGCTAATAGCAGTAGTTTTCAGTGGAAGAAACTGTCAGAGGAACAGAAAAAACAATACGAGATGCGCGCTGAAGTGTTGGCAACGGAAAAGGCGAAGCAGGATGCGATTAAGGCCACGCAGGCGATGGCTCTTCTCCCCGGACAAGTACGGATATTCCAGTGCCGATGGGCGACCTGTGATGCGCAGTACGACTGTGAGAATGGCCTTCTGGAGCATGTTATTCAACATCACACAAGCCAAATTATAAGTAAGTTTATCGCAGAAAGAGGCGCGGAATTCATAGATCGTGTTTCAGTGGACAGCGACCAACAGTTCGTGTGCATGTGGATGACGTGTCTTCGAAATCGGAAGGACGGAAAACCCTTCCCTTCGCTGCCACGCCTTCATCGTCACATCAAAGAGAAGCACATGCCCACGTCAGCAAAGAATATATATGCAACTCAACTCGGAAAGAACTACTTCAAAGTTGTTCCAAATCCAGGAGACACTCCGGGAACTCAAGTGATTTCCGCTCCTTACGGACGTGTTTCGGCACCATCAAATGGAATTCAACATGCTCCTCAGCCGAACGGAGTGAACGGAAATCCGCCACAACATGTAATGACGAATGGTCAGCCGATGCATCAGCAGATTCATCCGCATCAGCAAGTCCAGCAACATCATCATCCTGAGCAACACCATCAACAACAGCAGCAACATTTCCAGGTTAGTCGGCAAAGTGTTTGCGGACCGACGCGCTATTGCACAGAGGCACATGCGCTTGTTTATGAAATCGATTCACAAACGTGGTATTTTGCAGCAGACCCAACCCCATCCACAAATGCAAATGGCGCAAGCACCGAACGGAATGTACCACCAAGGACCATCCTCCTCTCAGCAGTTCCATCAGGCGCCACCTCAGATGCAGCAACAGCAGCAAGCTTCAGCCCCACCGCCTCAGATGCAACAAGTAGCCGTTGCGGACGTCGGCCGAACGGTCGTACGAGCTGTCGTCCCAGCCTTTGTCGCTCCACCGAATCAAATTCATTCGAGACGAGTTCTCCATTCGGAAGCATATCTCAAGTAAGATAAAATCAAATTCTGACCATATTTATGTTTGTTTTTCAGATATATTGAGTCTTTGGCCCAAAACCGTCAGAAATCCGTGAGTCGCTGGGAACGAAGTCTCGGAGCGACACACCGTAACACGCAGCCGAACGGGCAATCACGTGTGCCAGCACACTGGATAAGAGTAAGTTTGAAAATTCAGTGACGTGTCAAATGAGTTTCTGTTTGCAGAGAACCGAAAGTGGGCGACCCGTGGCACGCGAGGAAGACGTGTCAAAGGCTCTTTGGAAGCTGCGCGACGAACTGCTGAAGAGTACGTGTAGTCTCGTTATGGACAGACCCGCACAATAAAGATCTCAACTTATGCATCAAATCCACCCCGTTCAATTCTATGAATCTCGTTTCCCCCACAATGCGCTGTCCATAATCCGTTTTCTGCTGTTCAGAAAGTTCGAAATGTTCTGTTGGTTTACATGTTTTCACTTGATGATCTACACAGTCCCATCCCTTATTACTTTGTTTTTCTTTTTCATCTATTAATTTATTTGTCTCTCGGGAATGGGTACATTGCAATTAATTATTCACATGAATATTATTCTCAACTTCCAATTGTACTATTCAATCTCCAATTTTGAATTCGGGCCTTTAATGAATTTTGTATTTGTCAAAGATCTGTGGCCAGAATGACGACTTTGTTCGGAATAAATCCCTGCTTGTCATCCGAAACTCGGACCGCCCACAGCCAGTCATCAACGGGTTTTCCAGTGCACTTAATCCATTCTCCTGGTCTGACTGTCAGATCGAGAGGCGTCCGACCGGCGAACGACTCGACGACCAGAAGATTCTCGTTCTCCCTAGAAAGAGGAAGATTTGAAAACGAAATGAAACATGGAATTACCACTTTTCCTTGAGCGGTCGGTTCAGAACGTCAGGAGGAATTCGGACGTGCGTCGCCGGCACGAATCCCGACTGATTTTCTGAATTGCGAACGTAGACCCATTCGGAGTCGGACACGTTCAGCACTGCGATGGTTTCGCCCTCGCGGACCGACAAATCGTCCGGAGCAGAAGCGGAGAACGAGAGGAGAACGGGCGCCTCGAACAACTCGTCCTGAAACTTTGGCGGATTAAATTTCAGATGGAACGCGGCGGCGGGGACCATCTTAAACAGCTCTCCTTCCTCTTTTTGCACCGGAAGACTGTCTATGAACCTCTGCAAATTCGACTTTTCCCATCGACGATCCAACGTGGCACTCGAGCCGATTCCCTTTTTCTGAGCAAAACGTTTAATTCAATACCGACATCGAGCAGATTCTCACTCTGTCCCCTCTTTTCCGATCTGTAATTAAAGGGTTATCAAGCTGTCCCCTTCTCATTAATCTCACTCACCATTGAGCAAAAGCTTGCAGTAAGTCTGGGGGATGAAGCCCCTTCTTCCGTCAGAAACTTGCACATAAATCCATTGATCGTCGCGGTAGAGCGCTTTGACAGTCGTGCCACGTGTCACACTTATCTCATCAGCAACCTGAAATGCTCGAAAATTGCAACAAAAACAGAAATACGAACGGTAGCCGTGAAGTTCTTGGTGAGTTGTCCCGGAGTGAACGGATCGAAATGCTCCACCTGCAGACTATCAATCCATCCTCCGTTCTCGGGAGCTGCAAAACTCTTTTTTTTAAAGTTCAAAGCACTCAATGTTTTGAAACAAGAACTGACCTCTTCCGGAGAGAACCTTCCAGAAAATACTTCGGATTCCCATAAACCCTATATCGGAAGATACAAACGAAAAAAGAAAGAAAGAGCGTCGGTTTTGGCGGCGAAGAGGCAGAGACATGTCAAATTGTTTACCGAAATCCGGATCAAAACGGGAAAACAGTGCGTGGCGGACCGAAGCGGCGAGCACATTCATTTCCGAAACAAAGAGAGTGAGAGAAGATGTCCGTCCAATTGATCGATTGTGCTGGATGCGAAAAGAGAATCAGTGAGGAAGATGTGAAAAAGGTGCGGGTTGTGCTGGAGGAACCATGAATGAGCGGGAAGTGGTTACAGAATCGAGTGGTGTCTCTGTTGGATCGAATGTGGCACAAGAACCATATTCATTGTGTCTTTTGCAAACTGCCTATCTCCGACGGCCGTGTCTTCCGATCGACCATCGATGATCTGAAGCCGGCGTGCTACGTGTGCCACATCCAGACCGCCCATCCGTCCTGCTTCGGTCAGTCCGTCCCTTCCCATCCTCTTCCCTCTCATTCCCTCGTTTCCAGGCTGTACTCTCCCGGTCACTGAACGTGCTCTCACTGCATTCGGCCGTCTCTTCCACGTCGACTGCTTTCGTTGTTCCAGCTGCAACAAGCCGATTCCGCAAAAGAAGGGATTCTACGAACGAGACCTACAACTCTATGACGACGCATGCTACATGCTGCACATCAGAGATGCTCCGTGAGAACACAATCGAGCTGAACTATGAGATTGGGAAGTAGTAAAGCGTTGCCGACTCTCTTTGCGTCTCTTCTTCTGGTAACCTCACACCAGAATGTTTCTCTGTCACCTGGTCAGCGTGACGTCACTTGTATCCTTTGACAAGGTGCTCTCCGAATTTCTGAAACCATCAGAAACCCATTTTTAATTTATGGAGAGGTATTAAAAATGCAATGTTGGGAAGGCAAGGCGACGTGGATTACTGTAGTGAGACATCCAGAAAGAACACTTGAAAAAAAGAATTTCTCGAAGCTTCTCAAGGAAAACGACAATATCCGGAGATGTGGTGCCCGAACTGGAAAGTGTCCGGGTGTGACTCGCGTGTCAGCAAGTGTCAGAGTGTCTGCTTCGGTGTGTTCCTCCTCGCCTGTCATCGATCCGTCCGTCTCGGATGCACACAGCTGGCTCGTCTCCGCGCCTCCTCTCCTCCTCATTCCAACCAACTTTCTTGTGTCCCTGAGTACTTTTTCACTTATTCCGGGAGCAGATCCTCCTCTTCTTCTTCTTCTTCTTCTTCTTCTCCTCCTTCCGTCACATGTGGCTTCTTCTCGTTTTATGGCCAGTCCGTTCTGATCTTGGCCCGCCACGTCTCCTGTCGGATAAAGTGCGACCGCCCGGGTGCCCGGTGTAAACAACGCGTCGATTGATTAACGATCAGTGGAGGATGGGACCGCAGAAAAGAGCAGGAGACGGAGGAGAGAGTGCACCGGCGACCGATGATTTATGCGCATTCCTCGCAACTTTTCAGTGCCTTACTCAATTATTCAGGAGCTTATCCAGGTGGCTCTCCACTGTTTTCTTCCAGTTTCCGACACTTTCGAGCCTGGTCTTTGTGGTCGAAGTGTATTCAATTTCCTTTTTCTTTATTCGATTCCAGTCGGAATTTGTTTCCGGCATCACAGTTTACTTTTGAAAAGCTCTGATCTTTCCGAAAAGCCCGAACACTTGTTCTTTTTTCCGTAGTCTTCAGGAACAACTGAGTTTTATTGGTGCTCCGTTTGTTGCTCTCTTCATTTCTCTCTCTCTTTCTCTCTGCTTCCCTCTCGAACTCATCTGCAATTCTAAAACCCTAAAAACTGGAATGAGAAATCAAAAGTCGGGCGGTCTAATCGGGCATTCCACGGAAACCCACTCCATCTGGTTCCTGCTTTTTTCCCGAGCACTTTGATTCTTGATTTTTCAACTGGGATGGAAGAGAAAGAAAGAGAGAAGAACAATTACAGGCGATGCAGAAGATATGGGAGTGGATAGTGGACAAAAAGACGAATACGATCAGGAAGTGGAGGTCGTCGAACATCCGCAGAAACAACACCGAACCGGACGATCTCGCAGGTTCGCGCTCCTCCACTTTCCGCCTGTTCCACACTTTTCCTTGTAGCGTTCCGGAATGGGAAACGGAAGTCGTACTCTGCGGGAAGCATCACTTCTTCTTCGACGACAACCAAAAAGAACCCCGACTTTGAGAACTTCTTCGAAGAGCCGCAGATAAAAGTGATGCTCGAGTCGCGGAGGGAATCCTTTCTACGCAATTCCACGTCCGCAGAAGTGTTTCCCGTTGCTCCGCCGGATTTGGAAGCCGTGCTCGAGAGATCAAAGTCAGTTTGGGATCGTATATCCAAGGGCAACCGAAATCTCATTAGATTCATTGAGACGAAGCGGAGAGCACTTATTATTTTTATTATTGCTATTCCCTTCATTTTCCAGCAAAAACACGCCGAACCCGACGCCGCGGACCGTCAGAAAACAGCTGCGATTCGAGATTCCCGAGGTACCGCCCCTCCGTGCTCTTCCACACATTACTCTATCTCTATCTCTCTCTCTTTCGTTTCCAGGTGCAAATTTCATTCGAAACAAACGAGCCCCGAAGAGTGACTTTCGAAGCCGCTTCCTCCATCGTTCCTCCTCCAGAAATCGACTGGGATTCGCCTCCGAGAATGAACACTGTGCCTGAAGTGGAGCCTGTTCTGTGCTTCGACGACGAAGTCTCCGTGAGCACTCGCCGTCTCTCGGCCAGCGAGAAAGCCAGGCAGAGTGTGATAGCGCAGAGGAGGCAGAGCAATGTGCAGGTACGGATCCGTCGTTCGCGATGATTCCAAAACAAAACAATATTTGAGTTGGTGCAGTCAATGAGCGGACGAACGACGACGACGACGCTCATTCCGCTGACGTGTGCTCAGATTCATTTGGTGAGAGCACTGTGGAGGCAGGTGTACACGACGAAGGGACCGACGGTCATCGGAGCGAGCATCTACCACAGACTGTGTTTCAAGAACCTCATGGTTGGGGAACACGATGGAAATGATTGGAAAACTCGATTTTCAGGTGAAGGAGCAGATGAAACAAGTGGAATTGCCGCCAAAGTTTCAAAACAGAGACAATTTCGTGAAGGCGCACTGCAAAGCGATGGCCGAGTTGATAGACCAAGTCGTCGAGAACCTGGATCATCTCGACAATGTGACTCAGGAATTGATGAGGATTGGAAGAGTGCACGCGAAAGTGTTACGGGGAGAATTGACCGGAAAACTGTGGAATACGGTAGCAGAGACAATAATCGACTGCACACTCGAGTGGGGAGACAGAAGGTGAGCCAGAGAAGGAAAGAAGGAGAAGGGAACGGAAGAGAAAGTTCAGGTGTCGGAGTGAGACGGTTCGGAAGGCGTGGGCACTCATTGTGGCGTTTGTGATCGAGAAGATAAAAGCGGGACATCATGAACAGGTGAGCAAGCGAACTGGGAGCAGCAGAAAGATTGGGAACATTTCAGAGGAAGCTGATGTTGGCCACGCGACAGTCACTTCCGTCCATCCGAATGCCCTCGATGGATCGCTTCTCATAATCTCTCTCTCTCTCTCTCTCTCCCTTTTCTCTCGCCTTCCGTGTTGTGTCACTTTGTTATTTTCCCTGATTAGGCTTCAATTCGGCAGTAGTGAATCATGCTAAACCCCCTCCATTTCGTACAGTGTATCGGCCATTTGTGATGATCTCATCTGACTTTTCATTCATTCAACAAATGTTTATAAATGTTTATTATCTACTCAAAAAGCGCTCTCTTCAAGTATTGTGAGTCCATAAAGACGAAGCCGGTGTCGCGGGCGGCGCGAATCTTCGAATCCGCCACTTTCAGATGAATGTATCTGCTCGTCTCGCAGCTGTTCCACAAATTGTACTGAAAGCAAAGAGTCATTCAGGATGATTCGATTGAAGGTACTCGATTGGTAATCTGGAACTGATCCGGCACTTCCGTGGCCACCCATTTGGCGATCAGAATGTGATTCTCAATACTCCAAACTTGCGGAACACGCGTTTTTAAGATATCGCTCCGCCGAATGAGAAAAGAAAATTTCTGGAAAACACGATGTTTGAAGAAATACTCCAGAAGAGTTCTCACGTGGAATTCATTCTCGTTCGGCTCAGCCACGTCTTCGGGTTTTCTGAAGAAAGCAATGAAGAACTCCTAAAAACACTTTTACTTACTGCTCTATCATCTGTTCCGTCTTATCCTATGTATTCCGGGCGCCGTTACGTATCCTTCGATAATCTTTATTCTTGACGTTTTTGAACCCTTACTTTTGAAATCATTTAAAAAAGAATGGAGTGTCACGCGTGCATATTAGTTTCCTGATCCAAATATTTTCAGAATTTCTGTTTTTCTCAGAATGTTACTTGTTTGCCCTTTCTGATTTCTGATCACTTACGTTCGATTGAATATTCTGTAAGGTTCTTCAACCTTATGCGTGTCTTAAACCCTCTTTCGTCATCACTAATGACGTGTCGAAAGTCAAACAAATTTGTTGGAAGTGTCGATACGAGACCACTTTTTCAAAAAATACCGTAGTTCAATAGTGTACGGTTACAGTCGTTATTAATACTGTGTGCGTCTCTGTTTTCTGTGAAATTTAGACTGGAATGCGAAATCCAACAGACTTTCAATTTTCTGACTTTGGGCACATTCCATGCAAACGGCGGCGAAAAGAAAACATCTTCTCGAGACCTGACCCGCGAATCTCTCGCGTTGGCAGACGACGAGAGCGAAGGCGAGAGAGTGCGGCGAGTAAAGAGAGCGCAGACAGTTCGCGCGGGTCGTTTGAATTTTTTGACCAATTCAAACAGGTTCTCATGCGGTTTTGATCTGCTAATATTTTTGTCTTCATTCCGAAAACAGTTTTTTTTTCATAATTGTTTCTTGGAATTCCCTTCTCCTCATTTTCTACGTTTCTTCACTTAACATATTATATTTGTCGATTTCAGCAAAGAAATGGACATTGCCGACACGGGAATTGTTAACTCATTCGTAAAATTAGTGAGTTGGTTAACTCTTTTAATAATTATCATCATTTTTAACATTTTTAGACAAACTTCTTCGCAGCAAATCTCAAATACTCTTCAATTAATTCACTTGAAGAACTATGGGCCAAACATGGAGAAATGATTGCACGGATGATGTAAGTTTCATTTTTTTGTCTTTTTATTTACAGTTTGAATTTTCAGGCAATGTGAAACACTGGAATTCAAATCCAGTGACATCTTCTACGAAGTACTGTACAGAAAGATCCGACTGGTCAACGGAGAAATGGCGGCGGCGTTGGATCCAGAGAAGGCGGCAGGCGCTGACCTTTTCGAAATCTGCAAGTTCTACGCGCTTTACCTTGAATACCTTCGAAAAGATCATTCGACGACACTGACAGAGGTTCTCGAGAAGATCCCCTCCGAGAGCAATTTCAACAGCAACTTCATCCTGGGAATGTTTGCGTACTTCGACAGGCTCTATTCCGACGATTCTGCAGACAACTGGTGGTTTTGTCTCAGACCTCAGGAGAGCACGGACATGTTCGAAGTGGCCAGTACTCCGAGAAGAAACCTCTTCGACCAAAGCGCATTCGCCACTCCAACTGCCACCGCGAGACGTCTTCGCACCGCCACGTCGAGCTCCCGTCGCAGTCCGATAGCGGAAGCAGTTGACTCTCCCACGATGAAGTTCTTGCGCAGCGAACGGGAGCTGAAACAGGCAAAAAAGAAGATCAGTGATCTACAGCAGACACTTGACGAAGTTGATGCGGAGCGGAATGAGATCGTTGAGAAAAACATCGACTTGAAAAAACAGTGAGTGAGATCGTATTTTGAAAGTGGCAATCGTATATTCAGAGTTACTGAACTGAAAGGAAGTGCTGCGGGCAACAGGGACACTGCTCAGAACGCCTCGAACGAAGCGGAGAAGCTTCGACTCGCGCTGGAGACGAAGAAAAGCGAAGCGGATGCTCTCAGTCAGCAACTCGAGGAGAGCCGCGCTGTGATCAGAACCATGAACCGTCAACTTGAGGAATTGGAAGTCGAAAAGGACAGATTGACTGCAAAACTGCAAACCGTCACACAAGATCGAGACACGTGCATGAAGCAGATGAGAGACATTCGAAATGCGAACGAACAGGAGTTCGGCAGCTGGAGAAAGAGGGAAGAGGATATGAACAGTCAACTGCGTGAATCGATCGTTGCGAACGGAGAACTGGTGGAAAGGCTTGGCGCTCTTGAGGAACTGAAAGCGGGTCTCACTTCGGAGAACGAACGACTGAACCGAGCTTTCGAGGATCTGAGCATCGTCTCCTCTAGGAGCATGCAAGATGCCGACAACGCGAAGACTCTGTTGAAGGAATCCAGAGAGAAACACCAGGAGACCGTTCAGAGAATGTGCGACGAGCAAGCGGAGAGAATGAAGATGGCGGATGCGACGATCGAGCGATTGCAATCGGAGCTGAACGAGGAGCGCAACGACAAGAGAAGTCTGCAGGAGCTTCTAAACGAGCTGAACGAGCAAGTTCTGAAAGACGACAAAGCGAGTCACGAGCAAAGCGAAGGGTTCCTCAGTATCCGAGCTTGCCTAGAAGCATCGAAGCGTCAGATCGAGCAGCTGAAATTGGAAGTGGCCAGCAAAGAAGCCACCAACGCCATCGACAAGGAACAGAAGAAGCGCATGGCTGATTTCTTGAAGACGGAGGCGGAGATACGCGAAAAGTCTGCAAAGCAGCATGCGGATTGCTTGGCCCTTCTGGAACACAAGCTGAAGTCTTCTGAATCTGAGGTGGTTTCGCTAACGCATTCCAACAAAATCGTCGAAGAAAAGTATTCGGGAGAACTGGCAGAAATGCAGGTTTGATAACAACAGGGTGACTCAGCCAACATCGCGATTTGCAGAAGCAGATCGAACAGAAGGACGAGGCCATCAAGAGGCTCACCGAGGAGTACGAAAAGTTCAAAAAAGCCGACAATGACGGGCAAAACGAGAATCGTTTTTTGACGGAAAGAATAAGTTCGATCATATTCTGTGATTTCCAATACGAGAGAAGTTACAGAATTACTGGAAGAGAATGCCACTGGTAGGTTCAACAACTCAAAGTCGTCGTGCGATAGTCTCATCGACATTCTTGCGAAGGAAAACACCGAGTATACGGAGGAAGAAATGTTCAAACAGGTGGCCGCAACTCCGAGAAAATCAGTCGCGTTCCATGTCGATATGGAGAATGACACGACTATCAAAGAGAAACCGTTGGGATTCCGAACTGAGATGGTGGGGGAGTTGTCGGCGTTGCTTTTAATAGATTTCAGAACAATACGAGACAGTATTTCAGAACAATGCGAGACAGTCTATAAGTTCCATCAACGACGAATCGTTCGAACGGAGCTCGTTGACGCGTTCTTCTCTTCGCTCAGACACATTCACGCTCGCTTCGGCTCATTCTTCGTCAGGATTCAAAATGCCATACACTCCATCGGGAACTTCGAAAGACCGAGTCGGAGTGCTCACTGCCCGCAACGAGAAAGTGAAGCCTCATCTCCAGTCATCCTACGTAACCGAAATGATGGACGTGAGCTCGCCGTCCGCCGACGAGGAAAACGTCAGAAAAGGCGGCACTATGAAGGTGAGTTGGCAGTAGAAATACAGACCTTTCATTTCTAATTTCAGCCGAAAAAGTCGCGAAGAGAGTCCCTTGTTTCTCTGATGTTATTCAAGAAAAAATAAATTGCACAGTCTTTGAATAGCAGTCATTTGTGAGTAAACGATTTTTTCTTGTGCCTATTAATGAACGTTTAACCATTTTTTCCTTCTCTCAATTTTACATGCACCGAGGAACAGCTGCATTTCTTTTTAATGGCGGGGCCTAGATGCGAATTCTGTTAGGATCGATTCGGAACAGCTTGCGCACATAATACACTTGTGAAAGGGAAATGAGAATGGCGACGACGCAGAAGACGACATTGTAGTTTTGAATGAATTCCGAGTTCTGAATTTGAAGAGCTTCATCACGAACGACCATCTCAAAAAAAAGGATTGGCAATTGGAGACGAAGTGGACGATTACCTGGTTGTAGAACTTCAGATGATAATAAATTTTGTATATTCTGTGCGTGGACGCCATCACCGAATTCTGAATGTCTTTAGAGATTTGGTTGTGATCGAAAAACGATTTTAGAGAGTTTTCCATCTGAAATGAGACGATTTTTACAAAAGAAGCGGGAAGGGAAATGTCACCTTTTCAGGGCTGTAGAATTGGATGTAGAGGTTGATTGTGATCGGACGGCGAGTGTACACACAAATCTCGTAGGCTCCTGTCAAGTACTCATTCCTCTTTTTTGCAGACTGTCGAAAATCGACTTTGAAAATTTTGAAGCATTTTTGGTAAAATTGATGGATTCTACAGATGTTTTACTTTCCGACCCCTTCGCTATACCGTTTTCGGTCGTGTTGTGCTCCATATGAGCATCTCCGTCGCCGCTCGCCCAATCGGAGAAATCGCCGCTTGGGGAAGTGACCCGAAATTGCATCGGATAGACCGCGTCGAGTGTCGGCTGAAAAAGAACCGAATGGGCAGATGTTCGCTCCACTCACTCTCATTCCGATGTTCAGGATCATTCCGACCTCGAGCGGTTCGTAGAAGCACGACATTTGAGACTCGGAGACGAACGTGAGGATCCTTCCCACCTGCAATTCGCATCCCCGTTATTCACTTATTCAAAGTCCGAAAGTACCTGTGAATCATCTTTGATTGAGGATTTAGTGGTGAGTGCGTGGCAGAGTCCGAGGCAAAAGAACAGAAAACGTAGCATTTTTGGGGCAAGTGGAGAGTCTTGCAACTGATAAAACGGAGGGGGAGTGAGACGGAATGATAAGGGAAATGAGCGTTGCCAGATGGACACTGGGCTCTCCCAAATGATGATCTTTTTACGTTCCCCGGCGAGAAGACGTTAGTTTCCAAGTCAGATAAAGTTCATTGTTCTTCGAGTTCCCACGCTATGTCACTACCTTTTTTGTTTCTAATTATAAAGTGCGTGAAACGGAACGTACTGGATGGATTACGATAGCTGTCAATCTAATCACAGAAATTCGCGAAACCCCTCGTGATATCCGTTAGTCACCTGAAAACTACAGTATTCCCTCTTATCATTGCTCTATTTTTAGATAGAAAGGTGACAGATAAGCAGGGCGCGTATTTATTGAGTTCATTTGAAATGTCCCCTTCCGCGAATTCGTTCTCCGTCCCGACCAACCGACCACAACCGTCGCATTCCCGCTCTCTTTCTCTCTCTCACGACACCTCACTAATCTCCAGCCTTTCACGTCGTCAAATTTCAATTTGTGCCATTTCCATCGCATCCAATTAGCACTTATTTCGACCCGATTCGCTGTGCTCCTCTTCTCGTTGACGCATCTGTTTCTCCTCCTTCTCTCATTCTTCTTCTCATTCTTTTTCTTCTTTTCGTGCCCCCCGAGTGTCTTCTGCTGCTGCTGCTGCTGGCTGTGGAGAGAGAGGAGCAGCCGCTCGAAACATAAAACAAAATCCTTGTAAGAGAGACAAAGAAGAGTGAAGGCGTGCTCGGCGCAGAAGCATGCGCGGCTCCTGTGCACCAGTGTAATGGGCTGCTCATGTCGACGACGACGACGACAAAGTGCACCAAACATTGTTACATCCAGCGCCGGGCCCTCCAACCGCTCCACCTATTCGCCTGTCCATTATTCATCGCATCTCGCGCCCACTCCTCTCCCTTCTTCTTCTTCTCCTCCCTTTTCTTGCCACTTGAAAGGTTTGCCCCTTGTGAACTTGTTTCCGGAAGACGTTAGACTTCACAAGGAAACAAATGAATTGGCATGAAGACGTCCCTCGTTTTGTTCTTTTTTGAGAGGATCCGAAAGGAATGGGCGAGCAGAGAACACGAAATGAGACATGTTTCGAAATTTTTTTCGATGAGAAAATACGGGGCTTCGGAGGGAGAACTCTGCCAATGAATATTGAATATTGGCGGGGCTCGCCGCCACGAATCTCGTCGCGAGTGAGCACATCTCCGTCCGTCGGCGGGCATTTCTCCGCGATCTCTCCTTTATGTTTGGCACATTGTCGGGTGTCTGCCGGTCGGGCTGAAACTGCAGTTCCCCGTCGCTGACATCATTTTCTCGTGACATTCCAGCAGGCGCGGGCAGCAAGAACACTAGTTTCCCATAATCCGACTCCTTCTGTGAATCTGAATCTGGCCGCCCATTATGCAAATCATAACGAGCGAGGGCACCCTCGAAATCCTAGAAGTCTCCTGACCCACACTTCCTCAGGAAGTGTACAACTCTTGCTTCACTGAGCTCCCCTCTCGAACCGTTTCTTTCCACTTTTCCAAATTGAACCTTCTCTCTCCTCCCTACTTTCCTTACTTTCCAATAATTGAATCCCCATCTCAAAAAGAATTGTCGTTCGTGCGTTTTCCTCGGATTTGCAGTCAATATATTCTGATTTTATGGCTGTAAAGGCTTGATGACAAACAAATTGTGAGTGGGACGCCGCCGCCGTCACTGGCCGCAATTCGATTCATTTAGCAGGCGCCCCGCACTGGCTCCTCCTCGCATTTCTATTTTCGCCAACGCCAATCAGCTCCCGCCCCGCGCGTGCGGCTCAATGACTCTCTTCCAGACAAACGATATGTCCCATTTGTCTGTGGACACAACGCCCCGAGGGCAATTATTTAATCATAAATAATAGATCGAGCGGCTGAAGGTTGGGAGCTCCGGGGGATATCAATTTGTAATTCAGTACGTACGACCGGGTTCCGCGCCCATTTATTTTGGCGTTTTGCAGTTGGATTAGACAAAGGAAGTGCGTGATTAGAAGGGCTAAAACTGCGATAGCAATAATACGGAATTGGATCTTCCGTCGGCTTTTCCAGATTGTTGTTCAACTCTTTTTCCACCTGAATTTGTGGCATTTTATTCGCGGCCGCCCCGCTGTCTTGTTGTCATTTTCTCGCCACTTCTGGAAATTGAATGTGAGAGGTTTCTATCAATTATCGCGCATCATCAAACTCATTATCGTTGTCGTCATTATAATTGGCGTCGAGACCTTCGTCGTCTTCTAATGCTCAAGAACGTCCCTCGGTCGCTAACAGAAGAAGAAGAGGAGAGAGCCAGGGATAGAGAGACTACTGCTCCGCTCCGAAGGGAGGGGGACCGCCGACGACGACTGGCTGGCTGCGTGCGCGTTTGTGTGGCACAGAGAAGAAGAAGAAGAAGAAGAAGAAGAAGGCCGAGGAGGAAGAGGAGAAGAAGAAGAAGGATACGTTAACATGATGGTGGTGCGTGCAAGCAGGAGCGAGAGAGAGAGCAGCCGATATATACATGCACACTCACAGAGCACTCAATGGCAGCTCACGAAGCTCACGAATGCGGCGGGGCGTGGAGACGTAGAGACGTGCTGCTGCCGCGGAATTATGGCATTATTTGCTGCGGAGAGAGGAAGAGGGAGACTGGCCTGCCGCCCCCCGAGAGCCTCATACACACGTCGATCGATTGGCAAGCACACAGACACACAGCGCGCTCACTGACACACATAAACACGCTCACCATACACTCTCCCATCTCCTCCTTCTCGCCGCCTTCTTCTCAGTGGCAGCCACCCCTCCGATGTCTGCCGACGGACCGAATGAATGGCTCAACGATGTCTACCTTCTTCTTCTTCTTCTTTTTGCTTCCCTTCTCCTTCTTTCTACACGTTTTTCCGTTTACGGCTCCTGTCTCATTCCGTTTATGATATTATGTGAGAGCTCCCCGGCGCACACGTTTTCCAATTTCCGTCTAGCTCCTAAATCGGCGCCCGCATAATCGCGCTCTAATGAGAATTTTAATTCGAACGCGGCGCGTCCTTGAAAGATTCGCAAATCGCCGACTTCGCACGCGCTGACGTCGGAACTTCAAATAGAAGATTTCTGTTCGGAACGCATTCATCCAGAAGCCAAATGGCTCAAAGAGCTTCACCGACGCAACCCATTTGCATTTCTTTGCAACCCAATTCACTGCGTGCTACGCTTTTCAAAACCACCTAGTTCTTCGCGATGCTTCGTGCTTCCTTTCTTTTCCTTCTTCTACCGCCACTCGTTTTTCTTTTCTCTCTGTCTCTCCATCTCGCGCACACTTTTTCTCATTGAATCGATCATCTTCAGCTCTTTTTTCGTAGCTCTGTCGCTCGCAACATTCCTTCTTACAATTTGATTGAATTCTTTCGAGCCGAACGTTTCTTTTCAATTGATTCTCATGTTGATGTGCTCGACGTCGAGCTCGACCATAAATTTCAAGAGCGCCATAATATTTTCCCGCAGCACCGTCGATTTTCAATCTCAGCAGTTATTGACCCTTCCCCTCACCTGAAAGATTCTCCCCTGAGAACGCCTCTATACGAGAACCGATCCATCACAACAATAACTTTTTTCGAAAGGTAGACGCGGAGGGTTTTGGTCGGTAAATAGATACGATACTCTAGTCGTTTGCCGTCTCCGAGATACTCAAAATTAGACTGATTTGTATCGTTTTTCGAACCAACGTCCGCAACTGCTCCTTTTCAGAGACAGAATAACTGTCGAAAGGTTCTTGACTCGTATCGGAAATTTGTATAGCAAGAGTGGATAGATAGTACAAAAACGGTCGCATTGTGGAGAAATTTCGAATCAAACGGTGGCAATTATTTACATGATCTTCGTCGTCGTCTCCATTTTCCAGGGCTGACGCGAAAGGGACGGGGACGATGTGCAACTCGCGACAGACGGACGGCGACGCGGCGATTCAGTTTTGCTTTTTTCGTCTTCTTCGCTTCCCCGCGCCACATAGCCCATATGCTCTCAAGATGCGCTTTTTGAAAATGTTTAGTGACACATCATCTTTTTCCCGCGAAGACGACTGATCGATTCGTTCGTGTACTGAAAGAAACATGACATCGGAACGGAAAAAATCCGCACACCAATTTATTAAGCTAAGCCTTTTTATTTGATTAATCCATCTAACAAATCTCTTAGTTTTCCTCTTTCTTTCTCTGCTCCTCTTCTTTTTTACCTTACTTTTACTCGTTCTCTCTTTCGATCGCTAGTCTCAAATGTTTGTCATTCACGCCACCCACACAAAACAGAATCTTCGCTCCTTCGCCGTTTTTTTTATTCTGAGAGTCGATGGAATCAAAAAGCTTCAAAGTGCAGTCTAGTCTAAACATTTCCTTTCCTTGTGCGGGAATATCGAAATTTTGATTGCATATTGACGGCTTCTTCGCGCTAATTGGCTATTTTTATGCTTCGAATACCGTAACTATTAGTGGAGTGCTCTACGATGTCCCATCTTCAGTCTATGCATTTATTATGGAAATAAAACAATTGGGAGAGGAGAGCTGACTCTGTTCATCTCCATCTTGCTCTCCATCTTGCCGTGCTTTCGTCCTGATCATCATGATTTTAAATTCGAATTGACACGCGACGCACGCCCGCTCGCCGCCCCTGACCTTCTCTTGCTCGCCCTCACTTCTCTCCCTCGCTCGTTTCTTCTCTTCCGACAGCACAGATGCAGTAGAAGCAAAAAAAGAAAAAGACGTCGCCTACTGCCTTCTTTCTGTTTTCTGCAAATTATATCTCTCGCGCGCGCTTCAGCAGGAACTTTGACCTGACGCCGAACCATAGTCGCAGCTCCAGATGCCGTCGTCCATTAGTTTTACGAGGCTCTGAGATCTGATATCAATCGGCGAGCAGCAGCAGACGAAGCGCATATCTCACTGAGCAGTTTATTTGAAAAATGTGCGGAGCGCCGTCGCCTTCTTGTGAGAGAGTGAAAGGAGAGAGCGTTAAGTTCACCTCCTGACTTTATCGGAGACGTCTCCCTGGATACGGCTTGTGGACGTGTCTCCGGCCTCCACTCATTCATCAACTTCGTCGTCCCTCATCTATATTCCGCCATTCGCTCATTCCGTATCTTTCTTGTCTTTCCCCTTCTCCTTTTTTCGCTCGATTGCTTTCACCATTTATAATGTGCACACACTTTTCTTTTCAGCGCTGAGCAGCACAGTAGAGGAATAAGTGAGACCGTTCGGGGCATAGGTCCGTTCATCAACTAGCGCCATGGGTTGTACCATGTCACAGGAAGAGCGTGCCGCTCTGGAAAGATCGAGGTGAGTTCGAAGGATGTCCGCGGATGAAAACGGAAAGAAGATATTGCAGAATGATTGAAAAGAATCTGAAAGAAGACGGCATGCAGGCGGCCAAGGACATCAAGCTGTTGCTACTCGGAGCAGGAGAATCTGGTAAATCGACAATTGTGAAACAGATGAAGTGAGTTTTCCCCCGATGATAAAATAAAACTAACTGTTTCTTGCAGAATTATCCACGAATCCGGATTCACGGCAGAAGACTACAAACAGTACAAGCCAGTTGTGTACAGTAACACAGTACAGTCATTGGTCGCCATTCTGCGAGCCATGAGCAACTTAGGCGTCTCTTTTGGATCGCCTGAGCGAGAGGTGCGTAAGTTAAAGAGAAGCAGCCGGGTTTTGGGAGGCGTGGGCACAAAATAAATGACATAATCTGTTGTATTCATTGCGTCTTGCTGCCGCTATTCCCCAGAGAGCCGCCGCCCAAATCGGCCGGACCCCTCGTCCCTTTTCCTTGTTCGGGGGGAGTTTCCCACTCGGTTTCGACGTCTGAAGAACTTTTTCGAGAAGCGGGGCTAAAAATGACTAAGAGTAGTGGTGGTAACTTGAGATAATTGACCAAAATGACCATTGCGGGAAAGGGCGTGGGATCCGATTTCAACTGTTTCGGCGGCGAGAAACGCCTTGAATCTCGCTTGTTCCGAGTGTAAAACCGTAGTGGCCGAGCACAGAAAGCAAAACAAACGAAGGAGCCGTCTGAAAAACGCGGGGCGCGTCTTTCGGAATTCCATAAACATTGCGGAAGGAACGGAGCGGACAATTGTTGCTCTTGTCGCTTTCGGACCGCCCGTTCGTGTAAGCACACTAATTATTCAGTAGTGGCCAAGAAGGAACGAGACTTTTGAAAATAAATGGAGCACACCCACAATTTGGAGCGCAGAAGCGAAATGCATGTGATTTTGTTTTGCAGGTAGACGCAAAATTAGTGATGGATGTGGTGGCACGGATGGAGGATACAGAACCGTTCTCAGAAGAACTGCTTAGCTCGATGAAACGATTGTGGTCGGATGCAGGTGTACAGGATTGTTTCTCCAGGAGCAACGAGTACCAACTGAATGATTCCGCAAAATAGTGAGTGGATTTTGGAATAGTGAACTAATCTGTATCACGCCGAGAGATTTAAATGAAATGATGATACGTGCAGGTTGAAACGTGAATGTTTTCAGTTTCCTTGACGATTTGGAACGGTTAGGAGAAGCCTCTTATCAGCCAACCGAACAGGATATCCTTCGAACTCGAGTCAAAACAACTGGTATTGTTGAAGTTCACTTCACGTTCAAGAATCTCAACTTCAAGTACGTTTCTTCCGTTTGTGCTTTTTTCACCTCTCGTCTTTCCAGATTGTTCGATGTGGGAGGCCAACGCTCTGAAAGGAAGAAGTGGATTCATTGCTTTGAGGACGTCACTGCCATCATTTTCTGCGTTGCCATGTCGGAGTATGATCAAGTGTTGCACGAGGATGAGACAACGGTACGAACTGCCTTCTGGAGGTCTCATTGTTGATCTCTTCTGATTTCAGAATCGAATGCACGAGTCACTGAAGTTGTTCGACTCGATCTGCAACAACAAGTGGTTCACTGACACATCGATCATTCTTTTCTTGAACAAGAAGGATCTGTTCGAGGAGAAGATCAAGAAGAGCCCGCTGACGATCTGCTTCCCAGAATACTCCGGTTAGCTTTTTCTCTCCATCATTAATGTGCTCACTCTTGATCGTTTCAGGAAGACAAGACTACCACGAGGCGTCCGCTTACATCCAGGCACAGTTCGAGGCCAAGAACAAGTCGGCCAACAAGGTACGAAAGCACAAACCAAGCGATATGATGAATTGTTGCGAGAGAGAGAAAGAGAGAGAGCGCGCGAGTATTCCCAACGGAACATGCTAATTGTGCTCTGCTCGGAGCACACAAGAAACCTATTTTCTAAGCCATCAAAAACCGCCCTCTTTCCAGGAGATCTATTGTCACATGACGTGTGCCACAGACACCACCAACATCCAATTCGTGTTCGACGCTGTCACCGACGTCATTATCGCCAACAACCTGCGTGGCTGCGGACTCTACTAATCGTGCTCCTGCCGGCCGATACCATCCATCTGTGTGTATCTTTGCTTTTCTTCCCTCCCCTTTCCCCTTTCTCCTTTCGATTCATTGTCGACTCGACTGTATGATGATTGATTGACTGATTGATTCAGAATCCGAGTATGCATCTATAATTCGAGAGCTTCTCCTCTTTCCTCGCCCAGTTCCCGTTCACACCTAACTGTCCTCGAATCATTCATAATAGCCTTCGCACACCCGTCAGATTTATCTATCTCACCACTCAACTAGGATCCTTAATTCACACACTCACCCACACACACACACACACACAATCGCTCCAAACATTTATTTATTTTCTTATTTATTATGGTGTTTGTCCTTCCCCGCCCTTCCCTTTTTCTTCCCGTGTAGCCCACTTCACTGCACTCTCTTATTCAGTTGGACTTCTTCCGAAAGGTCTCTTTTCCCCCTTCCCATACCATGCTTTGCCCTTCCATCTCTTCTTCCTATTTTCCTTTTTCCTTCCCTTCTCCCCCTCTTTTCCCTCCCTAAAATTCAACCTAGTCACAGTCAAAACTTTGCAATCCTTACTTCCTCTTTTTTGTAATTTTTAAATTCTATTTTCAATTTGATATATTTTTGGTATCGTCTTCCACTTCCTTACCACCACCATCCACCCAATCTTTTTCGCTGTTTTCCGTTTACATCTTGAATCGTGTCTCACTCTTGTCGGTGAGCACGATACAGTGGCTTCACTAGCATGTCACTCTGATATCGTATTTGATAAACGACATCCCTCATATTATCATGTTTGACAGGCATCAGGAAGTTCGGGAGCAGCCTGATCAAAGCACGGAATGCGTAGTAAAGCGAAGAAGAGAAGAAAGAAGCAGAATAAGCAGAAGAAGTGTCCTTTCGCATTGTCACACAGTCCGCCGTCTTCGTCCTTACTTTCGCTTTCCTCTGTCATCCCTCCCTTATCACTTGTCCACTGCCCAACCACACTCATAAATCCGTCGTCGTCCTGTTCGCGATGCGGCTTCGCTTCTGCCTTCTAATACTCCTACACACTCTGGTATCCCTATCGATTTGCACCGATTATCCGCCTGCTCTTATCGCCAACGAATTCAAGGAACACTTTAATGTCGAGGAGAAGCAGTTGGAGACGGTCGAGGAGCTGCTGATCAAAATGAAGAAACTGGCACATTCGAGAAGCTTCGCGGGGAGGGAGTTCGGGCACGACGCGGTTGAAGACTCGAAGAAGGACGTGGCGATCAGTGCTCAGCAGGGAACTATCGACAAGAAGGTCTCGCCGTACCTCTTTGAAGGTTTCCTTCTTTCCGTTCTTTCAATCTATACGCCCAGACATTTAAGGGGACATTTTCCTGTCGCGCCGGCAAGCAGTCGACATTCTGAAGGCACTCTCCAAGGATAAAACAAAACGGTTGAGAAGGTAACATTACAAGTTGCTTTTTTAAAATTCATTTTTCTTGTGTTTCCCCCAGGTCATTTGTATCTGACAAATCTGCCACGTGGAAAAAGATGCCAATCAAGTACCGTTTCCACGAAAGCATCGGTAAACGTTCTATCGTCTGAATACATTCGGAAACTTTTCCATTCTAGACTTCTACACAATCAGCCAGATCATCGCGGCGATCCGATTCTGGGAGGATTCCACGTGCATCACATTCGAGAACGTCTCCGACGCGCCTGACAACGAGGACTACGTTGAATTCTTCAGCGGGCAGGGGTGAGCGATTGAGAAGAAATTAAAGCGATTTTGAAAGATTTTTCGCCTGCAGATGCTACTCGATGATCGGAAGGAACGGCGGCCGACAGGGCATTTCCATCGGCGAAAGTTGTGTGAAAGCAAGTTTTCTTCCGCGGCTTCCGCTCACTTCTCACACCTCATTTTTTGACAGATGGGTGTGATCGAACATGAAATCGGACACGCACTCGGTCTTTGGCACGAACAGAGTAGGCCTGACGCACTCGGATACGTTACGGTAAAAGAGAAAAAGGAGAGAGAGAGACAGAGCGGGTGAGTGAAGTTGATGTTCAGATCGAGAGAGATTTCATTCTGCCGTCGTATATCAGTGATTTCCTGCAAAGGGACGATGAGATTGACACCCTCGGAATACCGTACGACTTGGGATCCGTGATGCACTACGGAAGCACCGCGTTCAGTGTGGATCAGAAGAGCAAAACGGTGGTGACGAGGGATTCTCTGTATCAGCAAACAATCGGACAGCGGGAGAAACTCTCATTTTATGACGTGGCAACGATCAATACGGCTTACTGTAAAGGCGAGGGAAATGAGAAATGGATTGAAGAAGAATAAGGACTTTAGATGAATGCAAAGCAGAAACGACAAAATGCGCGAACGGTGGGTACATGAGACCGTCGAAGTGTTCCGAATGCATATGTCCGGACGGTTTGGGCGGAGACAACTGCGAAAAGAACGAGGATCCGAAGAGTTAGGCACTAGCCATTTGCAACTGAGAAGAACTCGTTTTCAGATGCTGAGTGTGGAGGAGTCATCGAATTGACGGATGGATGGAAAACGCTCGAGTCGCCGAATTACCCGGATCCTGGTTACGACGCCGATCAGAAGTGCTCATGGCTTCTGAAGGCAGAAAAGGGGAAGCGGGTGGAGATTGAGTTCATCGAAGACTTCTCTTTTCTGTGCACTTCCACCTGCGTCGACTTTGTTGAACTCAAAATCTCTGACGATTTGAGGAACACTGGATTCAGGTGAATCACTATTTCCGACTAAATCATCTGGAAACGTCGTTGCAGGTTCTGTTGCTATGATAAACCGGAAATCAATTTTGTGTCTCAAAAGGACACTGCAATTGTCATTTTCCGATCGCAGTTGTCCACTGATATTGGCTTCAAAATTCAGATGAAATCGAGTGAGTTACTCACGAAAACCCATATTCTCGATGTCTATTTTTAGCGGACGCCGAGCCACGAACTACGATCGCACCTACGATAATCACAACGACAAGTGAACGATAACTTCCGTTTCTTTCATTTTTGCGTATCAATTTGCAGATGCTCCTGTGACCGTGGATGCTCCGAATGTGTGGGCGGACTGGGGAGAATGGTCGATGTGTTCGAGGACTTGTGGAGGCTGCGGAATCAGAAGCAGAGTCAGATCGTGCAGGAGCAAGAAGTGCGAGTAAGTCTATGGAACCTGGGAGTAGCAGGCATCCATTCGTTTTCAGAGGAAGACGGCAAGAGTTCGGAACGTGCAATCTGAAGGCGTGTCCGGTGGACAAACACTGTGCGAAGCTGCTCTCGAACAACCGCCTCTGCAATGGGAAAGTGTGCACCAAGTGAGAGCCCTTCCCCTTTCCTAGACTCAAATCCTCCTTCAGAAACGACATCTCCATCTCCTCGTGCGATGCTCCGCAGTGCTGTCCTCCGTTCATCAACGTCGACGGAATGTGCCAATCGGATCAGGAGAATCAACACGACGAACTCTGGCTTTCCATATAATTTATGCTCAAACCAGTTAGGTCTTTCAATTTGTTTCCTTTTCTCACGGGTTCCTTTTGTTTGTATATACCGTTTCTCTAGCTTCAGAACAATAAAACAGTCCCCCGGTTTTATCTCACAAATCTTGTCTGCACGATGGATGCGCACGTCGGCAGGTTTCTTATGCAACGTGCCATTTTTGTAATCAAAAAGTATTATAGTACATTTTGTTCAAATAAAAACGGGCAAAAAGTTTCGTGACCGGGAACTTACAGAGTTCTCAATTATTATTCTATGAACAGAGAGTGTTCCGTTTTCGTTCTCTCTGAAATGTCTACTTTGATCTGCCCTCCCCTCGTAGGTCTTCGTCGGCTTCCGAAGAGAAATGCGAAATAAATGAAACTGTGAAGATGTGATCAGTGACTGGTTCATCGCCGTTTCCTGAATTCTCTGGAAACGAGATGGCAGCCACACAGCCAGCAGCAGCTGCGTTCCGGCTATCTCTCATCTGAATCATCGCTCATTTCTTCTGCGCAACACAGAATAAGGATGCAACCGCAGGAACGGCGCTTCAGATTCTCCTATTCCGTGCTCACCGTGCTTTCGATATTCGCCGCCACCGCTCTGCGTCCAATTCTACTCGTGAGCTCACCAACTTTTTCCGTGTTCATACATTTCGTTTGACTTGAAAAAAGTTAGGAAGCAAAGATATAATGGCCGTTTGAAAAGAAACTATAAACGAAATTGGAAACCAGTGAATTGCAGGGTCTCGTGAATCCGCATTTATTCAGACAAAGGAATATAATTCAGACGGTGAACCGGGTTTCTGAAAAGGTGAAACCCCGTTTTGCAGAATGCTATCAATAACTGATTTCAGCTCACATTCGAGACAATCCACGAGGACAGCGAGTTCAAAGCCTTTTCGGAGGCACTGAAAGCCATGCCGAAACCTCCCTATCTCATTTTTGTAACCCTTTCGCTGCCATTCCCCTCATCTCTTCATTTTATTGCAGTACGACTCCAACAATCTCGACGTCTTCCTCAATCACATCTGCAATTTGGAGTTCATTCCGAACGCGCTTCCCCGTCTCGTCGCCGTCTCGTTTGACACGACTGCACACATGATCCTCAAAGAGAAACATCCTGATATTCGGAGTGTGATCGTTGATTTAAACCCTCTCAAGGTGAGATCTCGATCATTTTTTCGGTCGATACAATCTGTGACGGAATTCACATTGCAAGTTGTAGGAGGCGTTGGAGGACGGATACGAGAACCGTCGCTACATTATCTATCAGCTCGTTTTGCTCGTTCGCACCAGAATTTGTGCATCGTTGGCACTTCGTGGAATCGACTTCTGGGCAATGCAGCAGGTTTTGAAAAGAAACTATAAAAGTAGGTAGAAAAGCTCTCATTTTCATTGAAGGACTCGTTATGGATCGAAAACTTTGAGTCGATGAATCTCGAGGACCGATATCCGAACGCTTCGATGCTGTTTGACACAGTTGGAAATGAGCAGGTGAGTCGAGAAATACGCAAGGAATGGAAATTGAATGACTCAGCTGCGAGAGTACAACCGAATGCACGGATGGATTTGCGGATCGACGTTTTTCGTGAGAGGAAGCCCGATGACTCATCAGTTTTTCATGCAGGTAACGTGAAAATTCGGCCTCCCAATTCAGGTAGAGCGCATTAGCAACACGTATGACGCAAAAATATAAAGCTTCGCACTTTTCCCTGCTAAAACAAGAATTGCAAGATCCGAAACGTCGATTATCCTTTTGTGATTCGTTGTGTAAAATATATGCAATAGTTATTCCAGATCGACGCATTTATGCGTTCCCATCAGAGTCCGGACTCTTCCATAATGACCTACTTATGCGGACACCGACAATATAAATGCCAGAGACTTCCCAGATGGTCAGTCCGTTTCCCTTCCATTTTCATTTCTCTTCGCAGGGTCATCTCGTCGTCCGATTACTTCCGTGGCACTCGTGACACTGTTCCCGTCCTGATACAAGTGGATTCGGAACAGAAAGAGGAGACCAAAATGGAACTGTTCCAACGGGCTCACTTCATATTCCGGCACGAGAACGGCACTTGCGACAGAGAGTCCGTGCACAGATTAAAGTGGGAAAACGGAAACGAATTGTTGAACGCAATGGGCTTGTTTTGCAGGGACGCCGTGCGATTGGCCTTCCCGGAGAAATTGAAGCTACTCAAGCACTACTACTACGAAGAGAGCTGGCTTCAGAGGCTGCAGTACGCCTACAAGCACATCTTCAACGTGGACCGATACAATAACAAAGTGTTCCTGACGGTCCATTACTCTCTCGTCTAGGCCTTCGTTCGCTCTTTTCGTCTCTTTTTTCGGGTCCTATCAGAATCGACTGAAGAAGTTGGTAGTAAATATTTTTAATTACTGTATTTTCTCATGAAACTCAAATCAGTTTATAAGTTCCTTTTTCTGGTTTCTGAGTGAAAATTGCCAAGAAACGAGACACGTCGGAACGGGTGGGAGTAGGGGGTAAATGGTGCAGGTTGAGAGGAACAGAGACAAAAGTTGAAAGAAGTATAGGAAAAAAACAGACGTGGGGGATGTTTCCTCAAATATAAATAAGTTATTTCACAAACCAGACTTTCTCGTGTCTTGAGTACAGAAGAATGAAAAGGAGAGAAACGAATGATCTACTCGAAACCTGATGGGATGTTATTCAACAGACGTGAGGAGAGGGAAGGAGAGAGAAACCGTTGATAGACTTACATGTGAAAATATTAATCAAAAGGTTTAATAGGCGACGACATGACCGTAAACAAGCACTTGAAAAAAAGATGGTGATTTGGAGGATTGATGCACAGAGAGATGCATGAAATCGTACAAGAATTACCCGGATACAAATAAAACAAGTTGTTATGGTAGTGATTAAGACGGAAGAGACCGATTACTTTTTAGTGTTGCTCGCTTTGTTCACGAATTGTTCCATTAACTGCTTCTGCTGCTGTGGGTTCAGCTGCTGAATCTGCTGGAGAAGCTGCTGAGAAATACCTCCTTGTTGTTGGTTGGCTTGAGACGCATGAGCCAGAAGAGCTGCAAATAACAAAATAC